AAGAGTTTTAATTTCGAGGTTCTACAGCCTGAACGCACGGACTTTTGTCCCCATGTTCGTTAGTACGTTCATGACTGTGTTGTACTTGGAGAATATTACCATGCTTGGTCAATTCTAGCTGGAATTCCTTGAAGAGGGTTTCCCAATTCCTATGAATCTCGGCAACAATTTCGTTAGTCAACTCGTTGTCGTCCTTGTAGATCTTGTCCATTTCTGGCCGCGAAGGTCTGGGATATTCATCTGGTAGAACAGGCTCCATATCCTCCTCGTTGTAAATGTCATTGTATTCTATTGCGGCCTTTTTGTGCTTAGCAATGAACTCCGCTTCAAATGGGAGGATGCTGATGTCTGGGTGTGAAGACATTTTGATGGTGGACTGGAACGAAGTATCAGGCTACTCGTCAGAGAGGGACCTGAGTTCCGAATTCTATCACCGCCAAAGTTCGTAGTCGCTATCGGGTAAGTCTGGATCGAAATGTCAAATCTTTCTACCCTATAACAAACACACATATTAGTTTCTGTCAGAGCCATGAATTCATCAAGTGTATGCAAGAAATCTATGCCCAGCTATACTGCGAGGATATTGTCCGCGTAGTGACATGCAGCTTGTACAGTACTAGTCAATTAATGATAGGACGCATGGAAGGGAGGTGAACGGGTATTTCTTTTGCCACTAGTGAGAGCTATGATGTATATATCAAGGCATTTTAGAGAAATTGTAAATAGACAGAGAGGGTAGTACGCAATCACATAAAGTCGTGATGTTCACGAAGCCTTGTGTGCTTGCTTAGGACCAGGAAAGCTCTGTTGCTTGTTGCATCGACGCTGAACTCCGTCTGACAGATTTAGACAAGCAGAGTGCGCCGGGAGACAACACTGGAAAGATGGACAAAAGCAAGATAGGAGACGTATAGCAGGGATTGTTGAGTATGCTTGTAGGTATGCTTGGATGGATAGTAGTTGCTTGTGTTGGATGATGTGGAAGGTGGAAGGTGAACATATAGAAGTCCATCTTTGAAATTATTTTCAAAAGAAGTTATAAACCAGCAAGCAAAAAGAACAACAGCAAGTGCAGAGGATATGGGGAGATGTGATGTAACTCAGAGGTTATGTGACAGCGGGAACATGTGTTGATGAATGTCGTCAACCACCCGTGGGTGGTCAAAGCCAACGACACTTCGCGATGGACTTCGCCCCCGGACCGCAATTATAATGAGCTGAGAAAGGACTTATGTGGATGAGGATAAAGATCGCTCGGCTGATGAAGAGGAACAATAAACGAAAGGAAATGTGATGTGGTGTTGGCTTACCTTTGGTCGGCGCGTGTCTTTAGGGACAGCTAGGATCAATCGAAGCGTTCGTGATCTATTTTTTAAGATCATAATATTAGTTACGCGTTCTGAACAGGCTTGATGAGAACCAATTGTAAGATGGAGGGGGAGGATCTCATACCTCTTAGCTATTGCGATCCGCTTTGGGCTCGAGCAGTGAGCGCTCAGAGACTAATATCTTGTCGTTAGCTTCGACAAGGGCGCAGATGTACTATCTCTGTCAGTACGAAGACTGTGGTGGATAGCTGTCAGTGTCGTTGAAGAGATGCAATTGTGCGGTGTTTGCGTTGTGGTTGTAGAAAGGAAGGGAATGGAGGTGCGAAGAGGAGGAGGTTCGTGGGCAAAATTCCCCAGCCGAAGACGACGATCCGTTTTGAATTACGCTAAGCCCCTTCCAACTCAAGAATCTTTGAAAATATGGTTATAAAAGCAAGACGGGGGAAGAAATGTACTGGTCTAGATTGTAGGATAGTCTACGTACCTCGTGGTCCGCTGGAAACTCGCTGTTCGTTCGTTTCCTGAGAAGGCAATTGATCAGCTTCCGGGTTTGTTCTTTCGAGATATGCAGCCAAAGAAGGAGATCTAGGCTTCGGGTTGTGTGGAGGAGGAGGATAGACGGAGGTGGAGTGGAAAGTTGAAGGCTTACCAACGTCTTGTGGGTTTCGTAGCTCGAATGCTCTGCGGGAGGTGTCGTCTCTGCTCAACACAACACCGGGGTTAGCAATCAGGACCCGGCTTTCCGCTTTCCCAAAGCTTCTCTTGAATATCTCGGCGGATGTGAAAGGTATCGTGCTCGGGGTGTAGTCGACGTCTTGCTATGTTAATACGTTCTCGAGAAAATGCTTGAGGGTGAGATAACTGAGGGGGTGGTTGAAGTGCTTTTAAAGGTCTGTCTCTGATTCCACAGAGTTCTGAGTATCCAACAATTGACCACAGCACGTTCTCAAAGATCAGGTGTACCAGTAATGGACAATTGGTATGAAAAAGAGAGGGTGATAGAAGAATTAATGGCTTACCTGCTGCTTCGTACCGTCTTCTGATGTGACTGGAGGACAACGTGCTCCTAATTTGCGCTTGTTTTGCACAATGGAGAGGTGGGAAGTCGTTACTGTAGCTTCTCGTAAATTATGTAGGAATACTACATATGGCAATCGGACTGATGAGAAGTCGCTGTGTCCTTGCGAAAAGTCGTTGTGATTGTCCTAAATCTCTCCACCACTTCCAATTCCGGTCCAAGCTCTTACTAATGAGACCGCGTGCTGGCGACTGACATGCTTAGCACCGCGTGACAAGGCTAAAGCAATGCGATGCAGGAAAGCCAAGCGTCTGAGAAGCATGCCAAGCGAGGGGGAAGTCAACGACAAGCACCATGTAGGCCGCGAAAGGGTACGTCTCTCGAGAAAGTCCCACTATAAGGGACCGCTATCTTGGACAAGACAATACAATAGCACTAGACTCCGACAATGCTTCGCTAAGCAGAAGAGGTAAGACGACAGTGACGATCCAGAGCGCATATCGAGTTCCTGCAAGCAGATACAAGCTGATGTCGTCAAGACGCGAACTTGTTTCCAAACACCCCCTCACTACATCTTCCAGCAACCAAAGAAGTGTCAATACATCTTGAAGACTATATATAACGATTTTCTAGCAGATATCAAAAGTCGGGTAAGTAGTCAGCAGCCTGGAAATAGAGGTTTCAGAGGGGAGGAAGCAAGTCGGTCTGTTCAGATGCCTCCAGTATTTCATTCCTTCATACACTATACAGTACTGACACACCAGCTGACAACAACAGACAAGATTCCTCCTCCCAAGTCTCCAACTTTACAAAGCATACATACGCTCACCTCCATATTTACGTTGCCATTAGCTCTGCGGAGAATGAGTGCTCGCAGATATTCACAGAGAGACAGCTGCAGCAAAGGCTTCAACGACACAAAACTAGCACCAGTCTTTCTACAACCACGAACTGACAACAACAACACACACACACGAGTCACCGTAGCTTTTCTCAGCCTCCAGGGAAAGCCCAAAGCTTGAGACTGATGGTTTCTGGGATTTTAGGGGCGCAACATCTCGCGAAATATTCCTACTCTGGACCTTGAAGCTCATCTCATACCTGAGTACCATGGCAAACGGCTGAGGACAGAGATCTAGATTGAATGGGCCGTTCAGATGAGGAGACACTCAGATGAGCAAGAAGTCGACGGTGAATTCCAGTCTGAAGATCTCTGATTCTCAAGTACAAGCAGGAGAACTTGAGTTAGAGCAACAAAATCCTTTTTCAACCACAATAAATGCTAGGTACGAGATGGACAACTCAAGCTGTAGTTGTCTGGGAGAACTGCCAGCTCAAACATTGCCTGACAGAAGGACAACGAGTGATGAACAGCAAGTGCATGGGCATTGGAAGTTATCGAAAGTTGCAGAAGATAAACAGTTATGACTATGGCACAACGCTGCCTGTCCAACTAGATACTCCATCATAGCGGGCGAGAGAGCTTCATTTATACTCAACCTGCAACTCCTGCCTCTATTTGCTTCCTGTTTGGGCACCTTGCCAATTGCCCACAAGACAGGGTCATTTGTCTCTTACCGTTTGACTATCTGACCCAGTCATACCTAGTTTCCGAAAGCTAAGCGAGACGTCCATATGTTTGCAAGTGCATCCTTCATAACATTATGCTTTGGTACTGGGAATCAAGTGACACTTTTGCATTTTGTTTCGGCATCTTGCCAATTGATCACAGGGAAAAGTCATTTCTCTGCTATTTTCCGTGGCTCTGCTGCATTTACACCAAAGCAGTATTGTACCCGAGATTATGCAAGTGCGTGTTTCTCAAATTCGTGCGTTGGTACTGGCAATCGAAGATGACCAATCTGCTTGTCTACAAGCTTCCAATTATGGGCCACACTCATCCAGAAGCAAATAGACTCTGACTTGATCCAATGATTACTACAAACTCCTAAACCAGAGCCAGGAGATTATTCCGAGTCAGAAGACAGTGCCCCTTCATCGCTCCACCCACACGCCCCCAGCAGACTATTCAGAGCCAAAAGAGCGCAACAGCCTAAGCAAGCTGCTTAGCAATCTCGCACTATCGTACTCAACAACACCTGATCAAACAAAAAACGGAACAGCAAGGACACAGATCGGTTGCAAGAACTCAAACAAGTACCTGCTCCAACACTCACTTGCCCAACTTGAGAAACAAGGACCCAAGTACACTGCACGTGATGGGCGTCACCTTCTACCTAGGTACCTAGGTAACCTTCAAACCTTCAAACCTTCAAACCTTCAAACCTTCAAACCTTCAATGAGCACCATAGAAACGACAAGCAGCAAGTATCCAAAGACAAGTGACAAGGAGTGATTCTTTGAAATGAGGTCAGCAGAGCAAAGGAGGTAGCAAGCTGTCAAAAACATAGGAACACGCTGGCTTCCTGATCCTCGGACCTCGTCAGCTGCACCTGGCTCCTCCCTCCTTTTCTCGCTCCCACTATCATTGCAAGAGAGCGACTGCTTTCCAGCCTCTCTTTCCGCATAGCAGGCTTTGTTCTAAGCACACCGGACAGGATTAACAGAGTTGGCTGAGCTCGTCAACAGCTGCCCCTCATGTCCACTCCAACACCGTGAAACTCCCAAATTCTTCAAACCTCCGATGACCCAACAAATCCCCCTCCTATGAATAAAGGAGACATCGTCATGAGTAACTCTCTAATAATTTAGAGACACTTATCCAGAGTAACAACACCCGTCGTCAGCGTTGCTCTCAATCCCACCATTTCCCAAGGTCCAAGATCTAGCTAGGATTTTCGCTATGGTAGCCTTACCAACCTAACCTATCTAACCCCAAACATCCAAGCTCCATTTTACAGCCCGGCTGCGGCAACAATTAATCCACGTGCATTATTTCTATATTCCTAAATTGCATTAGTCTATTATTGTTTTCTCTATACAGTTTGAGATATATTGATATCAAGGTTATCACAATGTCTGTGTCAGTTTGGACATTTTGGATGTAAAGGGAGATTTTCACGTGATGAGGAATAGAGACGCAGATGGGAGCAACAGTTTGGGAGGTGGAGTGGAATATCGAGGGAAGAGGGGTTGTATTTGTTTCTACATACTGGATCAAGAACGATCGAGTTGCGGAGCCGGCCATGGTTCTCTTAGCATGCATCATTATCGTTTCGATGAGGAAAAGTGAGACAATAGCCTCTAAGGCAAAAAGCAAAAAGCTCAAAATCTCTCTATGTAACTCGGCGACTCTTGCGTTTGGGTCTCACAATGTAAGTCGTTACCTACACATTCATTAAACAATCGCTATGTTGAGGTTTTACAATTTCATCCAGGGAATGTTCTATTCTTGTCTAATTTATTGAAGCACATCCTCAGGCTTTGGGAGGCTAGATAATTTATGTGTTAATTATTCAAGTAACAAGGCTAACAATTCATATATGCGACTGAGTTTTGGAATCCATCCACTATCTCAAAGATCTAGGAAAAGCCTTCTCGAGAAGATGTATATTGAAAATGCGTAAGTTCAAATGGATAACGAAGGAAATATCTACAGGAGGTATAGTAGTGAAACATAATTAGGCTGTCCGTCCAGCCAAACAGATAATAACCTCCCAAACAAACGAAGATTTCTCCTCCATCCCTTTCCCATTGCTTTCTCGCGTGCTCACCTGCTCGCTCGCTAAGGCTCGCTCATGACTTAGTATCCGGCCCCAAAATATCACTCACACTCCCCGCATCACTCTGACTAGGCGTATACTCCTCTCTCCCCATGCCGCCCGGGGTATACCGAAATCCATCCGCAATCACACTACTCATCTCACTCCCATCATTATCCTCGTAAGCCGGCAACTCCTCCCCCTCTCCAATCTGCGACGTAAGATCATCCGCCATCAGCGGTTGTGTTTCCGGGACAATTGCGGGCTGGGAATCAGCGATGACCATCTCACCCGCAACATCGGCCGTCGTCCGCATCTCGCGGATATCCTCCGTCATAGTCGTGCTCATCCCATCTTCCGCATCAGCGAGTAATCGTTCCCTTTTCTCCTCGTAATCTTCGTCGTCACTATCGGTTTCCTCGCCTGAGAGTCTGGCTAGGAGACGAGTAATGAGGTGCTTATGAGCTGCGCGGCGATATGCTCGTCGACGGTGACGCTCCTCACGACGGGCTTGGCGGTCGGCGCGTCGTTTGGGGGTGCAGAGGCGCCGGTGAAGGGCGATGATTAGGAAGGCGAAGAGGAAGCCGATGGCGGTGAATTTTGTGATGATGAGGGCTTTGACGAGGCCGTTGCGGTGGGGGGGACCGGGAGGACCCATGTGGCCTCCTTCGTGTTCGAATTCGGGAGGCGGTGGTGGTGGTGGGTGATTACCGTGATGAGGGGGTGGTGGGCCGTCAAAGTCCGGAGGAGCTTCGAAATCTGGACGTTCTTCGTGGTGAGGTGGTGGGCCATCGAAATCAGGAGGTCCTCCGTGATGACGGGATAGACCTTCGAAATCTGGTGGATTCTCGTGGTGATGAGGTCCTTCGCGACCTGGACGACCTTCATGGTGAGATGGTGGAGGAGCGTCAAAATCCGGTGGGCCTTGGTGATGATGTGGGCCATCAAACTCGGGACTTTCTTCATGGTGATGTGGCTGGGGACCATCAAAGTCCGGGAGTGGCATATCTGGAGCGTCCTCTGGTGGTGGCGGAGGGTGGTTCCAGTGGTGTTTTGGGCTTGGCCATTCGAAGTCGTTTGGAGTAGGCATAAAGTGGTGTGGATGAGGTCTGTCTTCCGGGCCGTGATGCGCACCTGGTCCCCCGTGTAGCATGCCATGAGGTCGTCCAAATGGAGGAGGACCGTAATGAAATGGAGGCGGACCATGGTGGAATCGCGGATGAGGATATCTGCAGACGGGTAGAGGACGATGATGTGGTTTCTTCCAAGGTGGGTGTGGTAGGGTGTGGTTTCCCTTGCCATGCTTTGGTGGGCCACAAGTATGATTCTTCCCTCCCTTGAAAGGATTCTTAAATTTTGGAAACTTGGGGTGCTTGAAGTGCGGGTGACCAAACTCGTCCTCTTCCTCATCGAATTCGCCTCGCACCTTTCCATACAAGTCATGAGCGGCGTTCTTTGCATGTTGAGCGAAAGCCTTGACAACACACTTCAAGCTGTCGCAATCCTTGAGATCGCTAACATGTTGGCGGTTGCCATGATGAGCAAGGGCTTTCTCCTTCTCGTGGATGAGATACTTGATCTCTCTAAGTTGGCTCCAGAGGTATTCCAACTCGGCAACTTCTTCCTCGACATCGAAATATGGTTCATCCATCTCTTTGACTGGTCGAAGACCTTCTGGGTTGGGATTGGCTACAACATCGTCGGGAATCGAGAGATCAGTTTCGATGTTCATGATCGAGACCTGACCGGCTTGTCTGAAAAGAATGGAGAAGCCGACATCTTGGACTATCTCGCCATCTATGGCATCAACTGTAAACTTCATCAATTGACTATCGGGTAGACCATTGATCTTGATGCAGTGGAAAGACCAGGAACCAGTTACGATATTCTGTTGAGCTGTTGAGATAGGACCCGTGCCAGACGGAAAATTGCCATCAAGAGTTTGAGGGAGGACTTGTCCATCGAGAGTAACATTTCCAAATCCACAAGCTTGTTCTGAACTCAGGACTTCGAGCTTGAATTGTAGTAATCGATCTTCATCAGGTGATTGCACATCGCTTGCCTGAGGAACTACAACACCGAGATATGCGACAGCCCGGTCTTTACTATTAGCCTGGAGACAACACTTGAAAGGATATATATTACCATGAGCGGCGACCGGTCTGCTGGAAATCGCTCCCTCCCAATCTTCGATCTGAACATCAGGAACGACGAGGGCTGCTGCGAGCGCTGGTGCCAGCAAAAACGCGCCCAAGAGGCCGCGCATGCTGAGTAAAGACCGCGATATCGCGATTAAGAATATGAGATGAAACAATAGGGACAATAGGCAATCAGCTAACAACTACGGACGAAATATTGTTGGCGCCTGAAGGACTTTGACGAAATACCAACGACAAGAAGAACAATGAAAAAGGAAGCTTGGAAGGATAAAAGATCAGGAGGAGAGAGAGATCCCCTACTGATTCATGATTGTGGCTGCGCAATCTTCTCAAGACTCGTCCTCGGTGGGGTGAAGGGGTGGACGTGGGTGGCCTGCAAAGGGTCACTAACCGCAACCAACGGTGCTGCTGACGACGACTCGGCGCATCGACTGTTAAAATTGCTCCGCACGGTTCCAACACTGCCCCCAACAGCAAATAGGAGGGCGCAAAAGTATATCCGACACCGTATTTCCGCTGAATGTGAAGCTCATGATGAAAGAGAACAAGTGTGACGATCAGTGACGACCTCTGACGAGTCAATGTCCGGTATCGTAGATCCACGATGGGGAAGCAGAGTATGGAGATACTTATTAGTGTTTTGATGGTAAAGCTTGTTCAAAGATTTCGCGAGGAAATGGCGAAAAATCTCGGTCGGCAGTGAAAACTGTAGATTCCCACGTGATCGGTATCGGATCCGATGGTAGGTAGGTAGGTAGGTAGGTATTGATAACATTGAATAGCAGAGATGGCTTGTATGTCCATACAGGTTTGCTGAACAAAAGAAAACTCAGTTTGACCCCAACTGCAAAAGAAGAAATTGCAAACTCCCTATGCCCATCACATGACCATCCTTCTTCGAGCCAGGTGCGCTGACACCATGCAAGACAGAGTCTAAGTCAATCTTGTCTCGTACTCCGTACATTATCTGATATCATCCGACGCGAAGAAAGGAACGGTCCGTCTCCAAGCATCGCAGGAGTCGAGAAGAGGCGATTGGGCCGAAAATAGTTAGCTCAGACCGGGAAATCTTGAGGGGTTCACAAGAGTTGGGACATCTCTCTTCACCGTCTCCTTCCACCATCATCATTCCTTCCCAACGATGACTGACAGTTGAAAGTCGGATACCGAAGCCGTTCATTTCCTACTATCGTACCTCTGAGTACATCTTTACATTCCGATAATGTACAACGTAGGACTGAATCTGCTGCCATCCGCCCGTCATTGATCTGGTATTCATCTGGTATTCTCTTCATCGCGGCCAAGGTGCGCTGCCTGTGCCATTCGACAGACCGCGACTCGATGCTCGCCGATGCTGTTATCCAACATTGTCTGGTCAGACATTGTTGGAATCGACGACGAGAGGCCCCACAAAACCCCGGAGGCTTGCCCATCTCTGCATCACATTGGGTACCGCTGCTCAGGATTGCGCTTCTTACAAGACATCCAATGAGTCTGGGTGAAGCTGAAAAACGAGGGATTGAGACTTTGTCTCACAAAATGGTGCACAGCTTTCCAGATCTCGATAAACCCCCGGACGGGCTTCTGTTGTGCGGCCGCACACGACATCAAACTCAAACATCACGACACTCCCTAGAGAACTATTGCATCTGAGCAGGTATGGTTCAGCTATCTCTAGGAGTCAAATGTTTCTCAATACATCCGCAAATCTGTTACAGCAGCTCCTGGAAACGGAGAAACCAAGCAGATCCATCAAGTGCAGCCTGACAATTTGGCTTCAGTGTCACGGTATACTACGACTTCAAACATTACCTAGGTACATATTACACCACTGCGAGATTCAGCGATAAGATCCATAGTTCGAGCATATTCGTGCACGTTGTTTGACTCTAGGTGGAGCCTATCATCCAACTACTGTAGGCGCAAAGCAGATCTCGAGTGAACACCTGCATGGAACGGATTGCCGATTTGGTAGTGCTGTGCAGTACACCATCTTCTGAAAATTCGAGGGCGTTTTGTACGAGGCGCAGGAAGATCACAGCTATCTCTTCATAGTACATGTCCTTCTTGAATTTTAGTGGGAGTATTCCGTGATTGGCGGTGAGCTACTGCTGGCCTACTGCTGAGACATATGCAGAGTTGCATATATGGCAATCATCCGCTGTTAGTAGTGTGCACACCTGCTCTTTCTATTTCTGCAGCAAACATCTCATACAAAGACGTTCAAACTGCCTCTTCGTTCTAAACCTGTCTTTTCACCGTGCTCCTTATTGTATCCTTAGAATGTCTCAACCTCAAATGGAAAGTACGCTTGGAAAATGGTCAAACCTCCAGCCTTTCCAACAGAGAAGAAACAAAGTCGAGCTTCGAGGAGACTCGCTCACGATAGCAACTTTGGTTGCCGTTGCAAGGTAAGTCACTTTGATGGTCACGCTATCCAGCTACCCTAACAAGTTTTTTTTTTTCAGATGCGATGCAATTGCCAGTTTGGACAACCTTCCTCGCCACATCAGAGCTTCAATCGATGACAGCGTCAAGTTCCTTATGGAATCGCTGGCCAATGGTCACTCAGTTTATGGTTGCACCCCTGCGTCATGATTCCAAACTCGACAATAGTTAACATATGGTAGGAGTGACGACTGGCTTTGGAGGGAGTGCGAACACCACAACGTCCTCCACCAATGCGTTGCAAGTGGCACTACTTCAAATGCAATTATGCGCGGTGCTACCTCTTTCTGATAGCAGTGCCTCTTCGTCCCACCATGGTACAACATCCGATTGGAACGCAATCGCGAAGCTTAGTATGCCCGAGGAATGGGTGAGAGCTGCTATGGTTATTCGCTGCAACTCTGTCCTTCGAGGACATTCCGCCGTTCGTCTGGAAGTCATCCAGGCCATTGTCAATCTCCTTGAGCACAATCTTGTGCCATTGGTTCCTCTTCGTGGGAGCATTTCAGCATCTGGAGATTTGTGTCCTCTTTCATACATCGCTGGTGTACTTGAGGGCAACCCAGATGTCAAGGTATGGTCTGGTCCAAAGGAGTCAAGGAGATTGATCCCTTCGAATGAAGCTCTCCAACAAGCGGGCATGAGTTCGGTCAACTTTGGTCCCAAAGAGATTCTCGGCTTGATCAATGGAACAGCCTTTTCTGCCGGCGTTGCGACTCTTGCTCAACACCAAGCAGATATCCTTGCAATCTTGGCGCAGATTCTCACTGCCATGGGAGTTGAAGCTATGCTAGGAGCACTCGATAGTTTCGATCCATTTATTGCAGCCATTCGTCCTCACCGGGGTCAAATCGAAGTGGCAAGAAACATCAACGCGTTCTTAGACGGCTCGGATTTTGTCCGCACAAGTAAGCACCATGGGTGCGGTGATGGTCTAAGACAAGATAGGTATGCTTTACGAACAAGCAGTCAATGGCTCGGCCCGGCTTTTGAGGACATGTCTCTAGCTCGAGAGCAAATAGAGGTGGAGCTGAACTCCACTACTGACAACCCTCTTGTCAATGTGGCAGAGAAGCACTGCCATCACGGTGGCAACTTTCAAGCATCTTCTGTTGCATCTTCGACAGAGAAGACTCGCATGGGACTCGAAAAGATTGGCAAGATGCTCTTTGCTCAAAGTGCTGAGCTTCTCGACAATCGTCTCGCATACAACCTTCCTCCCAACCTCGCAGCCGACGAGCCAAGCTTGTCATACACCCTCAAAGGAGTCGACATCAACATGGCAGCTTACTATTCCGAACTTGCCTTCCTTGCCAACCCAGTGAGCAATCACGTCCAATCAGCCGAGATGTCCAACCAAGCACTCAACAGCCTCGCTCTCATCAGCGCTCGCTACACCCACATGGCAATCGACATCGTCTCCCTCATGTCGTCCGCTTACCTCTATTCCCTCTGCCAAGCCCTAGACCTCCGCGCCATGAACGCCGCATTCATGGATAAACTCAAGCCCGAGATTACGAAGTGTACCAACACTCTCCTGGGAAGCATGCTCTCCCAACCCATTCTCAAGAAACTCGATCACCATATTTGGGGCGCTATGAACTCTGCGCTTGCAAACACCACGACCATGGATTCACACGATCGATTCACAGCTGTGGCTCGAGCTGCTCAACATTTGGTCGTCGACGCCCTCGAAGCAGCACACCATCACGATGATGCTTCTGATCCGAATAGAATCAATACCCTTTCCCTAGTCTCCGAATGGACCTCTACCATTGCCGTCACAACCAAGACCATCTTCCTCGCAAATCGCGAAGCTTACCTCGCAAACCCGGACGCGAGTAAACATCTAGGTAAAGCTGCCAAGATCATGTATCAATTCGTGCGCAAGGATATGGGGATCCCAATGCATAGAGGCCTGGTTGACCATCCTACCTACAAAGCTGAAGGCATGGTGGATGATGGCACAGATAAGGTCACGACGGGCACGCAGATTGGGAGGATTTACAAGTGTTTGAGGGAGGATGGGATGGTGGATGCGATTATGAAGTGTTTGAGTGAGAGTGAGAAGGTGGAGGTTCCTGTTGTGGAGGAGTTTGAGAGGGGGATGGTTAGTGCGAAGTTGTAGATTTTGGAAGAGGGGATTGGAGTTGTTTAGATTGGATTGATATTTTTCTTCTTCTTGATGGGGAGTGTTCTAGAGGTGTATTAGTAGTTGTTGCAGAGGTGAAAGACTTTTTGAATTGATTGAGCTTCGTTCTTTAAGTTGCTTAATTCCACCAACACAGTTTATTTGAGCAACCAATCTTGACAAACTTATTCACCATCATAACAAAACACATAAAGACCAAAAGATCAACTCCCCAATCGCACCCAGACATTTGACTTCAACACCTCATCACGTGCCATCAGGCTCCTACGGCAACCGCATCAACCAAACCCACATATCAAACCCTCCAAAACATCCCGCCAAATCTTCCCCTCCACTCCACTACAACCCCTCAACCCACAATCAAGATGGTAATCCCTCCTCTATTCTTCCATGTTCCTCTATTTGTATCGCGCACAGCTAACGATAGCTCAACAGTTACCCCTCGGCCTCCTAACAGCCGCCCAAGGCCACCCCATGCTCGTCGAGCTCAAGAACGGCGAAACCCTCAACGGCCACCTCGTTACGTGCGATACGTGGATGAACCTGACTCTGAAGGAAGTTGTGCAGACATCTCCCGTAAATATCTTCTCCTTTCCTCTTCCCCTTCTTCCTTTCTCAATTGCTAAAAAAAATGTTGTATCCAGGACGGCGACAAATTCTTCCGCCTCCCAGAAGTATACGTCAAAGGGAACAACATCAAATACCTAAGGGTCCCAGACGAGATCATCGATTTGGTGAAGGATCAGCAGCAGAGGGATCAAGGTGGGGGAGGAGGAGGGTATAGAGGAGGCAGAGGCGGTGCGGCGAGGGGGGATCATAGGGGTGGGGATCGAGGGCGAGGAGGACGGGGTGGTGGGAGAGGAAGGGGTAGAGGGAGAGGGAATTGAGAGGGTGGTTTGGGTGGGATGCTTTGAGATACCCGTGGGAAGTTTAGTGCCTGAGAGGATGCGTTTGGAGAAGAGCTATGCTATTGAGGCAAACAGAGAGAAAAATGCTATTACGCCAGGGATGGCTGAAGACAGACAGAGAGCTAGCTAGCTAGCCAGAGAGCTTCTACAAAGATAGACTCAACCACAAAAGCAAAAACCAATACCCTCCATCCACAACTTTCCCTAAACTCACATCCCAGCGAGCGAGGCTACCAAAAACTTACCCCACGTGACAACAAGGCTGAACAGTTCTCAGCCCCACAAAAAAAGTCGCAGCTCCAAAGCTCCATCCATCCATCCATCCGTCCCCAATGTCCCAACCAGCATCCCCCACCCGTCAATGTCCGTAACCCGCATCCCAATCGACGGACTCTGGCGCTGTCTCTGTCCATCCATCGACCTGATCTCCTCTTTGATCCCCTCTCGCAGATTGAGGAGAGGATTCCACAATGGATCTTCTGCAGCAGGAGACAGGAGCTTGGGGAGCGAGACAAAGATAAGGAAAATCAAGGATAGACTACAGGTCAGCTATCGATTGCCGTCTTTGAACAATGTCCCAGCAGAGGAGGTCGTCAGTCGCAAGGAATACGCGAGGATGCAGTGGGAGAATCGGGTTCGGTGGGCGAGGACGCGGAGGGAGGGTGCAGCGATGATTCTGCCGAGGGTTAAGGGGAAGGAGAAGGGAGAGAACGATGAGAGGATTGCGAAAGCTGTGAGAGGGTTGGATATACCGCGAGCTAATGAGACGTTTTCTGGTACTTCGACGATTCCTCCGATAGTTGAGGGGAAGGGGACGGGAAAGGCTGAGAGGGTGGTGAGGCCGGTGGATGCTTTCGCTGGGATGAGTAGGATACCGCCGAGAGGTGGATTTGTGAGCAAGGCGGAGAAGGAGGGAAAGGAGAATACGATTCCTGGTGGGGTTGTTGGGGAGGAGAGTCGGGATGGGAGGAAGAGGGAGAGCGTGAAGCCTATTTCGACGTTTGAGGGGGGTTCTGCTATTCCGCCTCGACGAAGAGTACGAGATTTTACGGAGGAAATGCATATTGGTGTCAATAGGTCTGCAAAAGATGGTTTGGGATCATTGACTATACCGCTTGGGCGAGACTTGGATGAGTCTACAAAGACAGATACTGGCGTTACTACCTCTGCACAAGACGATGAGGAATCTTCTGCTATACTGCCTCTACAATACTTGAATGAGCCTACGAAGGAGACAGAAACCCATATTGCTTCCTTTGTAGGACATGAGGAAAAAGAAGTGGCAAGTCTAGTTGTTGAGACACTAAGTAAGAGGGCATTGAAGTCAGCACCGACCATACCTGCTATTGAGTCGAAGGCCCGGTTTTGGAATTTCTTCGGATTTGGAGATGCTGATGTTGTTACGCCGAAGAAAGATGAAATGGTCAAGGACGTTCAGCAAGGGGCTGATGCAAAAGTTGAAGCTTCGAGGACCATGACTCCAATAACGGCAGCTGATGAGGAGTCTTTCGTTCCATCTAGAAAGGATGATTCGCGACCTAGCCAGGTACCCGAGCAATCGGATCACTCTGAATCTACTGCTGAAGGAGGTGATGCCCAAGCACTCCTGGACTCAGTAGCAGAGACTGAAGTTTCGAGAGCAATTCCTCCCACCACGACGGTTGAATCACCTGCTCTCGTCCGACCTAGACCTAGCTCCCAATTCGAAAGAAAATACGGTTCAGAAGCTAGTCAGATATCAGAGCAGGTAATTCATTCTGGGTCCATCGAAGCAAGAAGTGACCCTCGAGCACTCCCAGATTCAAAACTCATTCCTATTCCGAACTCAGACTCTTTTCAACGGACCGCCATTCCACCTCGGCAGGCTTCACCTTCCGTAAAATCTATGGTCAAAGAGCATTACTCGGCATTCCGAGATAATCACGTTCACCCTACCTCAACATCTCAACAAGTTGAGAGCAGAAAAACCGAAGATCACTCCAGTCTCGAAGGTGGCCTTCATCCGAAGCACAGAACAGACTTCGACGATATTCCACTCGTTCACCTCCATGACCAACTGGCAAAGCTCATCAAGACCAAAGATGGCTATTTTCGGATCTGCGAGTTGGTGACATACTTGCTGGAGGATAGAGGCGAAAAGCCTTCATTGGTTCATTATGATGCATTGATAAGAGCGAACGCTGTTGCTGAGTATGGCGGTGCTGATGTTGTGAAACATTTACTGCAAGAAATGAAAGAGCTAGGAATTGGAGCTGATAATGGATTATATCATGGAGTTCTACAGGTTCTTGCCATTCATCCGGACTACCTTCTTCGAGAACAAATCTTGCAGGAAATGAAAATGAAGTGGTTCGGACTCTCTCCAGAAGGTTGGCATAACTATGTTGTTGGCCTTCTTCGTGATCGACAATACGAAGTTGCCATAGATAAGCTGGAGCAGATGCATACAGATAATATCATGGTTCAGCCGTGGTTGTATGATATATTCATGTTCCAACTTTGTGATGCTGGGGAGCTGGATGAGGTTTTCAAGCTTCTCAAGCACAGGTTTGAGAACGATCGAAAGGAGATCCAGCCAAGTGTATGGTACTATGTCCTCGATGCTTTCACCAAAGCATTCCATGTTAGTTGATATCCTCAGACCCTTTCCATGACACACTAACAGTCTCGACAGTACGAAGGAACAAAATACATTTGGAAAAGACGCATTCAGACAAATTTCCTGGTTCCTTCCGATGGAATCTGCACAGTGGCACTCAACATGGCCGCGAGATATGCTGATCCTGGATTTGCAACATCTATAGTCCGCATTCTATCGAGCCGACTGTCAGTCCTTGCTCCATACCATTACGAAGCTTTACTCGCAGCATATGCTGGATCCGGTGACATGAAAACCGCCTTCCGTATCCTGGCAATCATGTCCAAAGCCAAGCTGGAACCAGATACAAACACCACCCGACCATTGTTCATTCAACTATCACAATCAAACATCAACCCTCTAGTGGCGTGGGAAGACTTGAAAAGCCTATCTAAAGACGGCCATGTTATTCCCGTCACGGCAGCAAACGTCGTCCTCGAAGCCTGTTGCGAGACCAATCAATTCGAGCACGCAATAACCTTCTACAAAGAACTTCACGAAATCATCGAAACTGGTCCAAACACAGATACATTCAACACCCTCCTCCAAGGCGCCGTCTACGCAGGCCGTAAAGATCTCTGCATGTTCTTCGCCAGCGAAATGGCTGCTTTAGACATCAAAGCCGATCGACTAACCTACGATCGTCTCATCCTGGCCTGTCTCCCAGACCCGGACTACGAGGATGCGTTCAGGTACCTGGAGGAGATGACGCTAGTAGGGAAAGATAAGGGGGATGGCGGGTGGTGGATGAGGGCTGGTACCGCGAGGGCGATGGTGGAACGGTGTTCAGCGGCGGGGGATGAGCGGGCGTGGGGGATTCTGAAGATGATGATGAAGAGGGGGATGAGGGCTCCGGAGACTTGGGTGAAGGATAATTGGGGAAAGGAAATCAGTGGTAGGGGCATTGGGATGAAGCTCAAAGAGCGTGCTCCTGGACTTGTATAGTATTTCACGCATGCCTGTATGATATTTAACCAAATACCTAATGTAAAGAATATTTATGTACATCTATTCAGACCACTTCCTGACCTCAAGATAATGATCTAATAATCACCCCACTCAATCTCCACCCCTTTCTGTTGAGACAGAAAGAAAACATTGTTGAGATCGATATCGTCACACAGCCGCGCGCTATGCGGTGTGACTGCGACGGTGATGAGATCGGAATCGGGTGTTACTGTTACCGTAGCTCAGATTGTCGAGGATCGGAGATTGCCATTGTGGGACGGGTTGTGAGGGTGGCGTCTTGGTCGGGGGAGGATTTGGGATAGGTAGGTTTGTTGGGTGAGGGTGGGATTGTGTTTGAGGAGTTATGAGCTTGGGAGTTGTTTTAGATGGGCGAATCCCAGATTTTTAGAGTGAGTGAGATGTTTTGAATCATGCTCTAGGCTTCTTTTGAGGTGAGACTCGGACTAAATCTGTTCAAGATATTCAGAGCCAAGAACTTCCCTGGGAATATGTAGGGTTATTTGGAGAAAGTCAGCAGGTTCTTGCGCGTCGTTGATAATTCATATAATTGAGCAGTTCTGCTTTAGTCGTCCCCAAGCTTGAGACCAGTGCTTGAGAGTGTTCTATCACCTGATTCGGAGATCATGTAAGCGATACCGAGAGTTGAGAGAAAACATACATGAACTGTACTAAATGTGGTTGAGTCTTGCTGTTGAAGGTTTTCTGTAAGCGAGTACTCGAGAGCAGAAAGAAGCCTGGAAATGCCATTGCTTTCAAAGAAAGAATAAGATAATCGAATCACAGCTAGTAAGCTGGATAAGGGGCTCTTATGCTTCCTCTCAGCCAGATTAGATGTAAGAGCTGAGGCCAGCGGGAGCGGCCCACCCCACCATTTTACACCAAAACACCCCTTTTGCAAAATAGTATATTATTATAATTCTTTAATAAAAAATAATAGAAAACAAATTAAAATCAAATTAGTATTAAAAATTTATTTTATATAATTTAAAAATCGAATTAAAAGGAAATTGTAGAAACGGTACGTAGTTAAAATAAAAGATTTTTAAAAAATTCAAAATTTAAATATAAATTAAGCGATTTCACCTCTTTTTTACCCCTCTTCTCTTTTTACCTCTAAACAACTCTTGCAAAATATATTATAAATTTTCGCGTTCTTTGTGACAGCACGGTGGGAAGTTTTATACGTAGACGAAGTATCGATTTGGCTATTTCTTAGGATTCAAAAGTAAAAAAGAGAAGAAGAATGAAAGAGGAGAAGATCTAGATATATATATGCTAGGGGAAAGGGATGTTATGTGAGGAGCTAAGCCCTAACAGGCTTAGAGCTAGGGAACGCCACCATTCCCGGCCTGACCTTTGTCGCGGGCGATTGGGCAGGCGATTAGGTCAGGTGACAGGCGATCAGCCAGGCGATCCAGGTTATCCGTAACATTCTTTATATAATTAACTTTATATAAAGTTTAATTCGAATCTTTAATTTTATAGAATTTTATAAAAAGGTTGTAAAAATATAATTTAATAAAAGAGGCGCGTTTTGGTGTAAAATGGCGAGTGGGCCGTTCGCGGTGGCCCCAACTCTTACAAAGTCTCAGTAGTCACGTGGCTAAGAATTACGATGTCCACTGTAGAAGGCACCGCTTTCATGCTCAACTGACACAAATCGCACTGACGAGAATTTATTATGTCTCCAACTTCTTTGGAAGCCATCGCAATTATAGGTAGAGAGCAAATATGGAGTTATTGTCAAGTCAGGCGGAATAAGTCACTTGATCGTATCAACCAAGGAAATCGCCCTCGAAAATAGCTTCGTATTGAGAATAGAATGGCCACAGTGACTCTAAGGTAAGGTCCACTTGCTGAACGACTTTTCTCGAATGATAAGAATTAATGACGAGTGTTGCAAAGTATAAGAAGTTGCGAGAAAGATTTGTATTGTTTGACTATGCCAGACTTGCCTAGGCAGCTGAGGCAACAAGTCTCTGTTGAAGTCAGCTCTTTGCATTTGCTTTAAGTCGAACTTCAAAGCAGTCTTGTTGTTGGGCTTTACATTCAACTCTTTAGCCTAAAGCGCAATAATAGGATTTACCTGTTGTTGCCAGTCTCCCGTTCTGGAAATATCCCTCGCAGTTTCTACGAAGTCTCTGTTCTTCACTCAAAGTTTCTCTATACTGCGCTTGTAGATTCTTCAAGTTTAGGAAAAAGTCATGCATCTAATATAATTAATACATCAGCTTCTCTCCGTTGTTGCAACTTCTCAAGTCGGTTGTCTGTCGTCCTTGACCGGCTTGCTCTTGCAATGAATTTTTTTCACATGATACCTTCCATAGCATTCCGATATTTTCTATTGGGCTTTGATCATCCATTCCGATACATCGCTATTTCATGTCACGTTTAGGCTTCCCATGATGCATGTCTTACATATGATGTCCTCTGATTGGGTGAACATCCATTAGCCTGCCGCTTCGCAGGGAATGATCCTAGGACCTAGAAAAAGTGGGATGCCGTAGAACACTTCCATTAGATACTGCGCAAGCAACTCCCTTTCAAAGACAACTTTCTTGCATTGGCGAACTTCCCTCCAGGACTGTTCCTGTCAACGGTATCTCGCGACACCTTCCCAGTGGCATTCCATTCTTACATTCCTTAGGACGTCCCACCACATAAGAGACCTCCTCCCTTCCTGGATCTTAGCCCCCAGACTACAACATCACACTTTTGAAGCCTGGTTACTATCCGTTCATCAGCTCCCCTCCTCCAAATCCGGTTGCCCCGAGCTTCAACTCTCCATTATCGTGCGCAAAACAAGAAAGCTTCACTTCACCTCACCTTCCACTCTCATCCCTGGACTGCTCGACGCAATTTCTCTAACGCACTACCAAGATGAAAGTCTACCTTGCGGGCCCAGATGTCTTCATGCCGAAGCCCGAGGCCCGAGGAGAAGAGCTCAAAGCTCTCTGCACAAAGCACGGATTAGAAGGCCTCTTCCCTCTCGACGATAAACTCACAGGATTTGAACACGGTAGCGTCGCAATGGCAGACGCAATCCGAACTGCGAATATGGAGCTCATAAAATCATGTGATGCTATCTTAGCCAACATGACTCCGTTCCGTGGCCCCTCGATGGATGTCGGGACGGCATATGAGATGGGCGTTGGCGCTGCTTTGGGGAAGCTGGTTGTGGGGTATACGATGCAGGGAGATAGCTATGTTGAGAAGGTCAAGAGACTGCACACCGTGACGAGAGATAAGGATGGGTATTTGAGGGATGAGGCTGGAATGAGCGTTGAGGAGTTTGGGATAGGAAAGGGAGAGGAGCCGTTAGTGGATAACTTGATGATTGCGTGCGGTGTCCATAAATTATGCAAGAGCGAAGAGGAGGGTGTGAAGGCCATCGCTGATGTATTGCTAAGCAAGACGTAGTAGCAACGCGCAAATAAGCATCGCAATTCTAGAATACATTACTTCTTGCCCAAAATATGCCAATAGCTCCTCCATCTACCCCCCTGTGGCCATAGCTCCATTCCCCAATTTAAAATTGCAATTGCTGGAGATTTGTTTGGACAGTATTATACTCACCACGCGTGTTCTCAAGCGACAGTTGGATCTGCTGAAGCTCGGTTTGTTGTGCGTGTAGAGCGATCCTCGTTGCTGCAATCCTTACCTTCTGCTTTTCGCATCTTTGCTTCAATTCATGAATCTCTTTCGATAGAAGGGTCTCTCTGTCCGTCAGAGCCATGAAGTCTGTATCATCTTGTTGCGCGCCCATATCATCATCTACTCCTGTGGCACTACTTTCTGCAATAGCCTTCAACTTGGTCGACCTTCGAGTGTTTTTGGCAATGGCATCAGAAGGGACCTCAGATCCTAGGATCTCTGTGCTTCGACTGCCGGCTCGGGCAGGCTGTGCAGAGGTTTCGATGTTTGCATCAGAGCCCCCAAGACGTCTCCTACCACGTTGAGAAGATTTCTTTACTGTGACTGGCTTTGTAATGCGCTTAGAAAGAACCCTGTCTCGGAAGACAGGTCCTGATGTCGCAACTTGCTGACGCTCTACCCCCTTCTTCCGTTGAGGCTTACTTTTAGACTTGACTCTCGTACTAATTAGTGGTTAGTATTAATCATAGACCGATGGCAAATGACATACGGCTCTGGCGAACTGCTAGACGCATTTGCGCCCTCTTTCTTGTGTGGTCTTCTGCGCTCGTCCATGAACCATTTCTAGGTATTCATCAGTCTATGTCAGTAAGAGATGGGGTAAATAAGAGCGTACATGAACTTGATGTTTCGTGAGACCGGGGATCGTATTTGCCAACTTTCTGTAGTCGATCTTTTTCCAATTCGCATGGTAGACTTCATACGCAGCAAAAAGTTGCCTGGTTTGGAACTTGGTAAATCGCTTGTTGGTTCTAGAATCGGGATCCTCGGCATCAGACTCCTGAGTTTCGTCATTGGATTTCTGGGAAGATCCAGGGCGTTTGTCGGTCGTAGCTATAGTTTGATTCATGTCGACGGTTGGGCTTCTACTTCCTTGGGAAGAGGTGGAAATCAGAAAAGGGGCGCGAATCTATTGAGCACAAGTTTATTAATGCGTCTCGCCAGTCTAGCCGTTTGCAAACTTACAACGGGATCTTTCAGCACGGTTGTGGCTGGGGTCGCTACGACTTCCTCTCCACGGGCCTGCTTGAACCAATTCTAGTGAGTGTCAGTGAAAGCAAAAACTAGAGCGCGGAAAGTTTCTCACATCCACTTCAGCGTAGTATCGGTCTAGTTTACTACGAAGATAAAGAAGTACCTCACTGGGTGGGTTGTTGTTGTATTCCTTGGCGACGGCTTGCAGTACCTTGAGCGTTTCCGGGGACCACGGTCGCGGGTTTTGAGGAAGAAGACGAGATGGCTTTTCGACGTTGATATTAGATGGAGGTGTTGTTTCTTTGACAGGTTCTTGAGTGGACTTGACAACGCGCTTCGAGCGCCTGCTAGTGGGAGTGGATTGCGCCTCGATGCGATTCATGATCCTAAATTGCTGACCTCAGATTGCGCATCCACTGAGACCTCACAATATTCTTGTATTCTCGGACTTGAAGAAGGAAGAGAGTTCCAGACCAGCGATGGTGGTTGGAATCTACTCCAGTGGGCGAAGAATAGAGGGGTGACCTTGATGTGTGAATGTGGTCGTTGCGCAAAGTGGAAAAGGAAGGTTCGGGTGGGGCGCAAACAAGTGCCCAGGTGGACTAAGAGATTCTAGTCACATGACTACTTAAATCAGGCCGTTTCTGTGATTCTTACACCATTTCACAATACAAAAGGGAATGTAACTAGTTCATTGTTCCTACGTTTGTATCTAGGCTGGATACTTCTTGCCTCACGGTGCTGCCATCTATGATCTATCGCCAGTGTCTATGATCTATCCACTTGCGATGCAGAGCGCGCATGCGCACCTTTCCGTACTTACAAAGCCCCCTCCATTCTCCCCATGTCCTCGATCTCTTCCACAACATTGAGTAAATCAATGCGACTCTGGTGCAACTTCTTTTTGAGCATCACAATGTCCCCCACAATTTTTGCTCGCAATTCTCTCAATCCTGGGAGTCCTTCCCTTGTGTTAGAATAGTGAAGCCTCTCGCCGCCTCCTCCCTGATTCGTGCCGACCATGGTTGTTGGGGTCTGCTGATGCCAGGAATTACTTTCTTGAGGAACCATACTTGGAGTTTCCTTTGGGCCAGCTTCTAATCTTCCATCCTCTGACGAGCCACGACGGCGTTTGTTGGAAGTCGTTCTCTCTCCCTCAAGATCAATTTTAACAGCAGGTCCAAAATTGTCAGCTCCATCCTGGAAGTTTGACTCATGCTGGGCGCTCGTTCTAAAATTCTTAGGTATCAATTCCTGTGATCTGGTAACCAACTTTACTGCGTCGGGTTGAGCTCCATCTTCGTCAGCACTCGATTTCTCCGACGTCTGTCTCACATTGGCTAAGTTCAATGAAGAATTTCAATCTAAAGAAACTTACTAAAGTGTCAGCAAGCGTAGGAAAGTTTGTGCTAATTTTCCTTTGTCTTCGGAAGCATCCATTAACAGTGTTAACTTCCCGGATGAAATCCAATGACGAGTCTGGAGTTACCTGAATAGATTCTTCAGTCCGCCCGAACTCGGTGGCAAGCATTTTGCGGACGTCGCTAGTTAGAATTGAGTTCTTCTTGAGCTCGGCTTGAAATCTCGCGATCTGTACAGGCGTAAAATAGCGTCCCTTCGAACTATATTCAACAGATGATTTGATGCTCTCGTTATTGGACCATCCCTGATAGCGATTAGTACAAATTTCGCTAGTGAGTTCTGATTGCAATACCCCGATCTGTCCTTCAGTATGTCTATTACCAGGGTCCCTCACGGGGTTGTCTATGTCTTGTCTTGAGGGTCGTAGTGTATGTTGGTAAGATTCCCCAAGCTTCTGAGAATCTGCAGCTGTCTTATATCGAGGAGCGATATTCCGTTGAGAACAATCAGATTTGACAGTGGCAAAGCGATCGTTACCGAAACTCCTTGTGTGTGGCTTAGACCTGTGGTTCGACGTATTGAACAAGCCTCCGAATTCGTCTGAGGGCTCAGATTTCACTCTTCTGCTCGAGTTCTCGGTAGAGTTACGGCTGTTTTGATCCATGTCCATGATGAAGATGAAGATCGGAAATCAAGACTCGACTTGGGCATGAAGAAAATCTAGCAAGTTTACGAAGTCAGAACTCTGGAATTTAAAATCAGAAACCTTACTTGAATAATACTTTGCAGCAAAGGACCTTGCCACTTCTCGAATGTCCCTTGCAACTAAAGAGAATCTATGAAGATCTTGCTTTGACATGCATTAGCTTAACTCTTTCAATACAGGTCGTGATTTAGGTCTTCGGGCTTAATTTGAGGGTCGTTTCATAGAATCACGACTGTATCATCTAGATAGTGCTGTTAGCTGGTGGAACATCTAGATTAGTTGGATTATTTATCCCTTTCACATAGTTTTGGGAGCGAGAGAGTACTTTCATCCCATCATCTAGAATATCCTTACCTTTCTAGCACGTTCTTCTTTTCTAGTACGGCATTAGTACTACCTTAATTTGCAGGAGTTCAATATCCCTGGTCTCTCTAGGTAATGAAGTCATAGGAATACATTGACAAATTATTTGTGTGAAAGTGGTTTGATTCTTCTCTGTCTGAATGCTCTATGCCCAATGGGACTTCAAAAGAGCAAAATGCTTCCACCGCCAGCCAATACCGGCTTCCTAATTCAACACGCTAGTCTATACATGCTTCCGTTCAACTTCCCCAACGCCTAGCCCTTTCCTTCTTATTCAGAGTCGTCCTAAATTTCCCATTAGCTTCAGATCATTTGGATATCAAGTTCAATCAAAATATGGCTTACATCGAGCAACTTCTTGGCTCGCTCGTTGACTTGGTCGTTTGGTGGAAGAGGAGCGGGACAGGAGAACACTGGTGGAGCGGGGCCAGAGGCTCGTGCCGAGGATCTTGCCATGTTCTCCAGATTATCCAGATGGTAATAGAAGAAGTTCTACAATATGTCAGCCTTTGAATGAACCAAGAACTCATGGATATTTTCCTACCGAAACCTCCATCTTCGACAAACCGGTCATCTCTGCTAGATTCTCGTCTCTATCGCTTGGGACTTTGAGATGCTTCTTCGGGTACTTCAGAAGCTCGTCGTGTAGGATGTCCAGCTGAGCGTCGTTGAAGCCAGCAGCAGAGGGTGCCTCAACAAACTACCATATATTAGCCACACATGTACAGATAATATACTCGGTTGTAAAGAAGAAGAATAATAAGGAATGGTATAGAGTGATATGGCAGAACACTCACATCGGCGTCATATGGTCCCTTGTAAGCGAATCCTTGTCGGGCAAAGGTGCTGGGACGGGGATGCCCTCGTGGTGGTGGACTCATTGAATGAGCAACCTGGGACTCTGGGACAACTGAATTCATAGGACGAGCGACTTGGGACTTTGGGATAGCTGCTTGTACCGCCTTGTTTCGTTCATGCCAGAACCACATCTGTGGCAAGTCAGCTTGATCTCTCTCCTCTTTTCAGTATTTGATAAGTACCTTGAACTTGTTGACCTCGTACTTTCCACCAAAGTCGGTTGTGTTCATCGACTTGATTTCGGCCTCGGTCGGGTTTGGCGTAGTGGCAAAAATGACCCGTAGTCTCTTCAACTCCTCCTTTGTGAACCGGGTCAAAAGGCGCGGAGCGCGAGTTCCGGCGGGTTGTTGTCCGTTGGGAGGGAGGCCATTTCCACCGCTACCAGCAGCCCCTGCGGTCATTGTTCCGTACATGGTTATCACTTATGATCTTTGTAAGTCTTTTGAAGTGGCGGGTCTTCGTAAGGTTGGATACAGAACTTGATGCTCTGGAAGCCGCTGTTCACTCTTGTCAGCCAAAGACGTGCAAAGCGAGTAGACTGCTGTCAATGACTTACAATTGTAGGAAGTAGGTTCTAGTAAGAGAACTTTTCAGAGTTTTATTTGCGATCCAAGGAGTTCGTTTGTGGGTGTTGATGAGGTGTTTTGGCAACCAAGGCGCAAGTGAACTCGAAGATCGTAAGCGAATAGAGATTGCTTTTAGGACGCGTCAGGTGTCGCAGCGACTCCTCTAGGATATCAAAGTGTAGGAGAATCTGTAGTGATGGGGTAGAATCTGCGAGAAGTAAGACCGAGGGAACTGCCCAAGAGAATCTGCGTAGTCGTTTCTTCTTCCGCTGTTCTGACAACTGCTTCGCGGTACCGAAGACGATATCCGGAGGCCAATATCGTGGGATTGCAGACTATAAGGAGGTTTCTTGTACAGAAAGTAATTTTCGAAGGCAAGTATTGCGGTGTTGGAAAATGGATAGCGTTCTTGTACAGAAGAGGAGTTCCGGTCCGAAGGCGAAGATTCTGGGGTTTTAGACTAGAGGGGGCTTTCTGTAGAGAAGACAACTCTCGACGGCAAGGATTGTAGTGTCGTGGGTTAGAGGGAGTTCTCTTGTACAGAAAATAATTTTCGAAGGCAAGTATTGCGGTGGTGGAAATTAGATGACGCTCTTGTACAGAAGAGGAGTTCCGAAGGCGAGGATACCAGTATCGTAGATTAGAGGCCCTCTCTTGTACAGAAAGGCATATCTCATAGGCAAGTTCATCGAATCAGATCTTTCCTGAAAGAGTGTGACTCCCAAAACATGGCGTGATATTTCTTCCGGGGAGTCCCTCAGTCAGCCGTGCCTGCAGAAGTTCCATAAGTCACGGTACATCATTTACAACGATAGCAAGGTTTTCCATTCTCTACTTCATATCTCAGTAAGCCTTATGGTTGCGACCAAGATTCTTTCCTTATTCTTTCTACCTTAGCTTTCTCGCTCGTAACTCTCAGGGTTTGGGTCAACGCGTGCCCACGGCTCAAGATATGGATTGGCTTCTTTAGCCGCGACTTTTGCAGCCTTTGCAGCTTTTGCTTCAGTCCAACACTCAGCCAACATCGCGTCTCTCGTACCAGAAGACACAAAACCTTTACCTTGAGCAATCTGAGCAACCCCGACATTGACTTTAACTACTTGTCGGCCTTGAGCAAGGGATCTTTCAGTACCACGAGCAACCTTTGAAGTCTGGTGATTGAAGCTTACGGGCCACTCGGTGACCTTGATACACTCGTCGTCCCTCGCTGCTGAAATTAGCAAGTGGAAATCGTGGATTATAAATATAATTGCTCACCTCTTTCGATGTTGATCAATCCAGGATATCGGTTCATCCATAGAGCCACATTGGCCGGATGTAAGGAGTCCACTTGGTCGGGCAGACGGTCTCTCGCTGCTTCGTTTGATTTCAGGAACGATCGATATGCGATGGCGGCCCGACGAGGAATGCGTAGAGTCAGCAACTTCTCTTTGACAGGGTATGTGACTTTCAAAGTAATGATCAAAGACCGAGGAGCAAATGTATTCCCAGCAGATCTGCGGTCACCGCTTGTATGCTTGCCAGCGGAACCTTGTGGTACGATGGAGACGTTTGCAACACTGGTCGAGGACTTCTAGAACAGCATTAGATAGTTGAAAATCTTATAGGAATGGTGTAGCCATACAACAGCGGCACTTGAGTTCTCTGCAGCTTCGGCGTCAACGTGATTGATATCTTCCCTCTCTCTTCGGTATTTTTCGTTCACAAACCATTTCTAGAAGTGTAAGCGATCAAGATCAAAATGCTTAAAAGATGGCTTACCTGGATGTTATTGTATGTGGAGCTTCTACCGATCGCAGCAACCAAACTTTCAATAACTTCCTTCTTAGGTGTTACACCGTGCTTATCATATGCGCTTCGCAATATGTCCCTCTCTTCGAGTGTATACTTGATCTTTGTACTATCGGTGGGAGTATAGGTGATCTCAGGGGCGCGCTTCTCGCGTATTGGTCTGTCCATTTCAACGGGACGACGGGGAGGTTCGGAGAGGAAGGACTAGTGACTTATTTGTCGTTTGTTGCGCTCAACGGCGAGCTCCTCTAGTCCATTCAAGTAGCAGAAGCTTGTAAGTGAACCTAGGGAGGTAAAGGAGCGCGTAAGAGAGTTGTCGAAAGGTGATGACGGGAAGATTCTTGGGGAAATACAAGTATTTTGACTTCTTGCGCTTGACGGCGAGCCCCTCAGCCACTACAAGTAGGAGGAGAGGCTTGGAAGTGAAGTAAGGAAGGCGAAGGGGCGCGTAAAAAGAGAGATGTCGAAATGTGACGACTGGGAGGCTCTTGAAGAAACACAAAGAGGTTGATTATTGTTTCTTACGTTCGACGACGAGCTCCTCGACCCAATTCAGGTAGCAGAAGATACTTGGAAGTGAAGTAAGGGAGGTGAAAGAGCCCGTAGAAAGGGAGTTGTCGAAGCGTGACGATGGGGAGATTTTTGGGGCAATACAAGGTTTTGACTATCGTTCTTTGCAGTCGGCGGCGAGCTTCTTTGGCTAGCAAGTAGCAGGAGATACTTGGAAGTGAAGTAAGCAAGCTTGAAAGATCGAAGGAGGAGGCGAAGAGAGTTGGAAGTGAAGCAAGGAAGGTGAAAGATCACGTAAGAAGGGGGCTGAGAAGAGACTTGCAAGTGAGCAAGGAAGGTCAAAGATCGCGTAGAAGGGGGGTTACGCGGGGGGTACGTGACGACAAAATTTGCTCTGCTGCGAGAAGTGGAGCGAGGAGGACGAGTCGAGAAAGGCAGGTTGTTTACACCGTAGAGCGACCACCCTCAATTGTCTCAGCCGAGCAACACATGCTCCTGCTTCACTTTACTGCATTTATTTTACGGTAGCTCATTAAACTGGTGCCATTTCTTTCTTAAAAATATTGGCAATCTCATAGAATTAAGCATGATTCAGTACGTACATACACTTGTGGATTTGTCAACGCCTGGTGGAGAAAGAGACGATAATACCCGGCAGAAGCCTCAGTGGAGGCACTGGAGGCAGAACCGAAGTCTGGAGAAACTTCTGAAGCTGTGTAGCCAGTATTGAGAACCGTATTAGCATCAGCGTGGCCGCAATTGATCCCAATCCGTTGAACGACACGAAGCCCCTTGTGGCTAGAGGGCGGCTATGAGAGATTCTTGAATTTTATATCTATCAATACGCCCAGTCCATTGACACCAGCAGTCTTCTTCGAAATTATTTCTCTTGCACCAAGGAAGCGAACTGTGTGAACGGTGCGGAGCAGAAGGCGACGAGACGATAAGCCGTGCTTGGCTTTATAGAGCTTTGCCAGGAACCTCTAATCACTAGCTCTGCTTAGTCTGCCTTGAGCTAATCAAGCCTTCGGGCCTGCCAAAGTCCTCGGCTTGTCACTACTTTCTTCTCGAAAATAAATCTTAACTTGCGCCCTCGCGGCTCGTCGCCTTGCCAGACTCTGAGCTTTTGTTGCCTACAAACAGAGAAGTCTGGTCATACTCTATCTACAGGTCCGTATAGCTCTAATAACCTACCCTGATACCTGACTGTGGGCTGAGACCAGATTGTGCTAACTTTGTACTGATGAGCAGAACACAATATCAATCCTCCCAGCAGCGAGCCGGGGCTCCTACAGAATGCCCAGCACCAGATAAACACATACCGAGAATTACCTAGAGGACTCCGAAGGAGAGGAGCATGACATAAATACCAATATTTGTATATTCGACGAAGTGGAGACCAGTGTGGAGACTGCACCATAGCCGGGGGGACTGGGAGAGCTCGATGTGGTATCTTGCTACGGTGGTTCTGGGCATTTCATTTGGATTTGCCTTAATTGTGGTAAGGGTTACATATACGCTGCACTCGCACTGGACAGAGATGAAGAAGGTATGGTCTCTTTTCAATCTTCAAAAACAGCCCATGGACTGACTATGAAATTCTAGCATGGCCTGACAGTCGAATAAAAGCTCTGAGATACCAATATCAACCAGGAAGCGCAATGGAAACAGTAGAGGATATCTCGAGAAGCAGACCTCGATGACTATATCTGGAGAAAGACACCTCAACAATAATGCCTCGAGGATCGTACCACAAGATTTAGAGCCTCGAAAAAGTACAGGTTAATGTGATGTCGAATGCGAGAGCGACAAGGTAGCCTTAATCAGCAAATATCGGGGCAAAAACAATAACACCCGGTTTGATTGGAAAGCGGCCTCAGAATCCGCTTCCGGTTTCGGTCTTGTCAATTGCTTTGTTTTGGCCGAGCTATGACAAGCACAACCCTGATCCAGCTTGTGATCATATTCCATTCCTACTGATCTTTCAGAGATGAAACGAACCAGACAGTTTCTTCCAGTCTCCCGCAATAACCGAACTCCCTCTGTTCACCTGGATGATGTTGCTGCTTGAACTGAGAATCTCGCACACAAAATCTCACACGTCTTGCCACCAATTGCAGACGATCTACGTACAAAACTGACATTTCTAGACGATCCGGGGCTACCTGGTGCCATCAAGGTCTTCTTGGCAGCCTATAGTTGAGCATTCCTTTCTTCAAGCAATTCTCTTGGGATTTCCATCCACGGGAACCACTGAAATGACATCTAACAAAAAAAGCTAACAACTTTGTACATGCACCAGGAATCCAAAGACCTCTCACTGTATGCTGATATACAACGAGCTACCTCCCTACCAACACCAACAAAAGATCATACCTTATCCTTCCTACGAACTCAAACAAACCCTACTTGCAATATATCGGATACAGCGACACTTTTCCCGAGCTTTCCCGAGCGAGACTTGGAGCCAGGTATTCATAGGAAAGATTGGATGAAGGGTGGTAGAATCACGGGAATCATATGGGAAGAAAGAGTGTTATTGATAAGTCTAAAGTATCAAAGTACAGGAGCAGGAATGAGGATGCATAAGAGTCTGCATAGCTGGCACTAAATGTCCTTGAATAAAGCTTAAAAAAGAGCACAAAAGTGGACCAATGGAGTTCCAACTGAGAGCAAAGATGGACAATCTGCTTCACAAAGCGAACTCAGGATGGTGCATGGTCTGCATGGCGATCTGTGCTCAAAGCGAGAGATTGGGGACCCCATAACCCATAACACATAAAGGAGAGCCACGTTCGGGAGGAGACCAGGTTCGGGAAAGGAGTACGTTTGGGAAGGGAGAGCCGTGTTCGGGAAAGGGGAGCTATGTTTGTGAAAAAGGAGCCACGTTCGGGAAAAAAGAGTTATGTTCGTGGAAGGAGAGTTATATTCCGGAAAGGAAAGCTATGTTTATGAAAGAGAGCTATGTTCTGGAAAGGGGAGCTAGGTTCGTGAAAGGAGGGCCACGTTCGGGAAAAGAGAGACACGTTCGGGAAAAGGGAGCCAGGCTCGGGAAAGAATAGCCACGTCCGGGAAAGAAGAGCCATGTCCGGGAAAGGGGAGCCATATTTGTGAAAGGAGAGCTACGTTTAGGAGAGGGGAACATGATGTTCCCTTTTTCAAAGAGAAAAACTGCGGACCTACAACCTATAAGAGACATCTACAATGTCTCTCTTGAAGTGGGGCCATTCTTGTCTTCAACCGAACTTTAGTACGTGGTCGGCATGGCGACCCCTTTTCCAAGCGAGGAAGTGCGACTCACCTGGCAGAGACCCACGATTCTCCTTTTCAAAGCGAACCCAAGCGGTTGACCTTACAAGGTCGACATGGCGACCACTTTTTCAAAGTGAAAAAATGCGGACCCACAACCTGTAATGGAGAGACCCACGTTCCCCTTTCCAAAGCGAGCTCCGCTAGAACTTTCCGAGCTATGATGAACTCCTGTTTATATTGAGGCGGTGCGGAAGACATGTCTATCCATACACAACACGAGCTCCTTTATGGAGCAAGAAAAAGAGGCATCTATTCTAGAGGAGTGATGGACTCCTGTTCAAAGCGAAAGACAGCTACGACGTCGAAGATAGTGACAACGGCAACAACAGAGACAACGGCTACATCGGCTACATCGGCTACCACAGCGACGATAGCGACGGCAGGGCACAATCTGAGACGTTCAAGTTCTGCCAGCTAGTATTGAAATCTCATTTCATGGATGATTTGGTTTACGGCTGGCCCCTCTTTATATGCAAGGCACCGGTTGGTACGGTACAAACGCACATGTCTATCAAGGATGCTGATACTAACTTTCAGACAAAATTTGGCTAACTGCTATGAGCTGTTTGACCATATTTGAGATTCGCTAGGTATGCTCTAACTTGTTGACAAGCTATTTAGTGAAGGATTGGGAGCACAAACGACGATATGGAGCACAAAAGCAGACGGAAAAGGTTGCTGTTTGGAGCTGGGAATATATTCAAGTCAAGAAGCTTGTATGCTCGAATACAAATGGCAAGAGAATTGCGGTCACCAACAAGCAGACACTGGGGCTGCTTGCAATCCCAAATGCAGGGACTCGAGAAGCAAATTCGGTTTGATTTAATGTTTCGTTCCTCATGATGCTTCCTAAGTACTCCTGCAATGCATACACAGTGGTCCTGAAGTATGATATTCGACGCCCACACCAGCAATGTAATCATAAATAGAAGACCCAAATTGGACGCCACAATTTGCAATGAAGATGCGAGTCTCTATAAACAAACAAATCGGTGAGATCTCTGTCCAGAGCCAACGAAACTAGGTAATGCCAATACCTGCAAACCATTTCCAATGAGAAGTCAAGCTCTAGTCCACCCAGAAGTCTCTTCAATCCAAACACCACACTCTGACGGCCCCTTAAACGCAAGGCGCAGTATACAGCCCCGTCCTCTCCTTCTGCTCCTCACCCCCCAACTGACTATTAGCCAACCTACTCCTCTCCCTCAACACATGCCCCCACTTAAACATCACAAACGGAATTAATGTCAGCGCCGTCCCCGCCAGTGCCAATATCAACCCCGCATACTGACTCCCCACATTCCGAAAAAACTGGCTCGCGAACAGCGGCGCCACTCCTCCAAGCGTATTCCGCATCAATCCTTGCCCCGCAATCGCAGACGACGAGTTCTCGCCGTAGCAGTCAGAGGTGTAGCTGTATGTCGACTCGAAGATGAAGAAGATGCCCATAGCGATCGGTGCGAGGGCGATGGTGGGCGCGATCCAGGGGATGTATCCGTATTGCGTGAAGCTGTAGATGAAAAGGCCAATGGGGAGGAGACCGGCTCCAAACATAGCGCCGTAGAGCCGGGATTCTGGGAGGATTTTGCGGTCGCGGGAGTTCATGATTGTTTTGTATTTTCGAATTTGGAGGAAATTGAGGGCAAAGGCGAGAGTGACGCCGATGCAGAGGGAGATGTATGGAAGGCCAGCTATGCCTTCGCTCCAGCCTCGCTTCGTTTGGAAGGTGATGGGGATCACCGATAAGAAGAGGAAGGTTACGAACCAGGCAAACGCGATCCAGAGACCGAATGCGAAGACGACGGGTTCGGTGACGAGCATGTGGACTGCTTTGACGGAGGAGTTGTGGAGCATTTCTTCAATATTCTTTGCTTCGAGATCCATCTTTGCTTTGTAGCGTTCATCGCCTGTTGCCGCACGGAGGGCTTTGGCTCGCTTGTGAAGAGTGACTCCTCCTCGGGTTTCTCGCAAGGAGATGAGAATGATAAGCAGGAGAGGGATATTAGCCAGACCCTGGATACCTTCGATCCATCTCCAGCCAATCGTCTCATCGATGAACTTAGCGTATATTGGTGCAGCCACCGTTCCCAAGATAGCAACATAGGAGAAGCAAGCCATCGGTCCTGCTCGATGGTCTGGGCGATAGATATCACTGAATGTCCCTCCCACTAAGATAGTTCCAACACAACCAAAAAGACCGGAGAGTGCACGCATGATGAGAATAGTTGCGATGTTCTTGCCCAATGCCAATCCGATGAAGACAATGGCGAAGCAAGCGTAAGCTCCAACATAGATGAATCTTCGACCAACGAGCTCACAGAACGGTGCTAGGAACAGTGGTGCAATAGCACAAGCAAAGTTGAAGCAAAATAGGCCCAATTGTCCCAACTCCGTTGAAACTCCCAAATCGTCGCACATCCGATCGATGCCGCTGCTGTAGGCTGTCGTCGCCAAGCCGATGAACAAAGTCATCAGACACAGGAGGAGAGTGATCCATGCTTTCCTACCGACGCTCCAGTTGAATGGATCCTCCTTGTCATCATCGGTGAACTTGAGCACGATATACTCTTGATCATTCTTGAGAGTGATTTCCCACAACGTGAGTGGCAGTTGGATGTCCACTTCCTTCAATGGTCCTTCGTCTGCGTTGTCCGAGTCACTCTCGTGGAGTGCTTGCAAGAAAGATCCACCAACAATCCTTCCTCTCTGAGCCTGCTTTTCAGGATTCTCCTCTTGTCTTGCCGCTGGCAGATCTGGTGATGACTCGTCTTTCGGAGGTATAGGAGTTTGGACATTTTCCCGCTTCTCTATCCCAGCACCGGATTGTGAATCGTGGTTTTCGTTCGTCGGCATACTGCTCTATCATGGAAGAGTCGGATTTCTCAGAAAGAGGAACTGCCTCCAGCGGCAGCGCACCATAATATTGCTGCATGGCAGCAGTATGAAAGCACAAGATTCAGTGGAGCATCAACATCATATTCCGCCCTTTCCTATCTACAATCCTGATCTGTCGTCATTGGAATGGGGCCCCGAGATAGGACCGTCGTGGTGTTGAGAAACTCTCGGCGAAACCATAGGAAAATACCCATATTTTCTTTACGAAGCTTGCAATTATGGGTCGAGTTAGAAGCTGATAGCCTTGCAATATGCAGCCAAGGATATCCCGAAAAACCCTCAAGGACATTTGCTCTCACGTGAACTCAGCAAGGAACAATGTTAAATCAGTTTGGGGTGCATCAAAAGCTTTCGTATTGAGGGAACCTGGAATTGAGTTCCATTCCATGTCAATCAATTGAAGAACACCTAAAGGCATTAATACAAGTAAATAGACAATTCTCTTAGTATAGCATGTGACACTCAAAGGCCTTTTTCCCGATCCGATCTTTATCTAATCCTGATCAAGTTACTTCAGGGCTTTGAGGGATCGTCTGCCGCCGCTAAGATTAACATCCCTGATGAGATCGAGAGTGAGGCGAACTTGACGAAATTTCAAATTCCGATGTCCTGGTTACTGCAGAATTGGAATGATGCTAGAAACAAACACATGTGCAATAGTTTAATTCCCACTTGGGAGCTGACTCGTTCATAGCGGTGGCTAGGTTCTGCATGTTTGCAGTAGTGGACATAAAGGCCGAAGGAACCGATAAACCTAGCTGCAAAATAATCTGATCGAATCTTTCCACTCTTGATGTTCTGAAGACCACTGAAAATCTCGGGACTGGACACGAGATTCCCGCAAGATGACGCTATACATGCTAGAAACGCCATTCATTCTTTGTACATTCCATTCAAGCGGCCGTAAGTCGTAAAATCATCAAATCCAAATTCATCCGTCGGTATCCACAATTCAGTACGGGTACCCATACCGAGTCGATGATTTATTGTCTCGGTCGACTCTGGTATCCACCGTCTTCGCTTCCAATTGTCGCAATGAGTATCGATCACTTCCTTTTCTTTCGTCGACCAGAATCTGCTTCTGTAATCTGGTTTCAAGCCTGTTCATTGCACGATTGTTGAACCACTTCTTCCAGATCTTTCGTCCAAAAGCGCCTCCTCTTGAGGTATGCGTCCAATAATGGCCTTCGAATTTTCTAGGCTTTGGACTTCCATGGTAACCTGAAAATTTAGCCTTAATCGTAATTTGCGGTCGGGAAGCTTACATCTTCCATTGTGTCCTCGTTTCCTGACAGTGAACCTCTCACAATGTCCACAATAGTTCATGCCGCTAGGCATCCAAGACTTCAGCCGAAAGTGTAGTCGAGATCTTCTTGTAAAGCATTCACAATGATCTGATCCGTAGCTTGTCCTGCACTTTGCCTTCATTTCTGGAGTCGATCGCCCAAGTGCCTGATTCCGCTTGTGTGCTGCTTCATATGATAATTTATGACAGTCTCGTCGATGCGTCCAGCGGGATTGCCAATCTTTAGTCGCGTCTTTGCATTGGCAGAGTGGACCAGTGTCTGTGCTCTCGAGCGAGATTGGCTCTTTCTTTGAGGGAGCGAGATCATAGAGGTACTTGCTATCAGAAGTCACTATCTACCTCCATGAGGAACATGGCAGGACATTTACCAAGTCAAACGAAGGCAAACAAGGTCATTCGGTGTGCATGAATCCAGAATGAGAGAATGCATCTCTGGTGGAAAAGCAGTGAACTGAGGGAAAGACATTTCTGCTGTTGAGGGCGTATTTTATTGATGGAAGATATAAAAGAGGAAAGAAGTATTGTAGTTTTGAGGTTTAATTGAGTGAGGATGACTTGAGATTGAGGACTTCAATCAAAGACAACTCCATAGTATAAATACCCTCCGAGCTTTCGAAAAGGGCCAACGCGACATCTCAAAATAGAATAATCGAGCGCGTCAATGACACGAACTCACGAGATAATCTCAGGCAGCAGCAACGAGCTTTGCCTGATGAGGAGGTAAATGAGGCAATGCGGAGGTCATGTGCGAAATGGTTAGGCAGCAGTCACATGCTGACTAGTCTGTAAAGAGATTAGCGCTTAAGACAACTACCGAGGTTTGTCCAAGTCGGATCTTGATAGAACTTTCAATTCCCTCTCCGTCCAGAGAAGAGCTGATTCAGAAACATTTCGAGGCTGACAACCGTCGAGCCCTCGAACTTTCGAAGTGTATCGCTTGCAGACTTCTGACTCCTTGCATACATATCGTTTTCCCATTATCTTACCAAGATCATTCTGTGGTCGCTATGTTACTCAATGCCTTTCGACTCACGGTCCATATTCCTTGCTGAAGGTGCCTGTTACTGATTGAAGTGAACAGCTATGCGTCTGCGACAATCCTTCGAGCCTTTCCTGAACCCAAACCCCGTCTCTCGACCGTCGATCCCTCGAAAATGTTTTCCATAAATACAACATAAGGCGTGCAATTGGCTTCTATGTGTTTGGCTTGGAGACCACAACAACATTGATGACAAATTCGTTGATGGGCTGGACAATCGGCAATATATGACTTCTTTCGAGACGCAGGAGAGACAATAGCCATGTCCAGCAAGCAGATCATGTCTCTCAAACTTGCATTGCCGACGAACGCATCAAAAAGCATGCCAGAAGAGTGGTGTACATGCAAGTGCAACACAAGCTATACAACAAATTACCACGTCATTACACATACATCCAGTTCGGCTGAGTTCAGCTACCGTCGTATCTGTCAGGACTCCTGCTCGTTGTCCTTCAGCCCCGAGATGCTCTTGCCCATGCCGTTATATCCTAAGGCCCTTGGTTTCTCCGCATGCTACTCGGGCATAATTCAGTTTCCTTATCTCCCTTTGTTTCGGTCCCGAACTGCATCATTTCGTTGTCTGATGCCCAATCAGAGAAGCAAGGATATATCTGCTTTGCCTAAACAAGATTAGCCAGCAATCACCAAGTGGTCATTGATCAATTGCCAGCCCTCTCTTGCGCCTGCCATGAGCCATTGGACATCGGGTTTCAAAATCGCAAATTGTGGGCGTCGTCACGCAATTCATGTAACTCAGACAGCTCCTTCACTTACTCAGCAAAAGCTTGTGAGGATATTGTAATATATTTAAGATCCGCCTTCTCTGCGTATTCTATATATCAATAGATGTTCCTTGGCAAGAAAGGCCAGAAACATTTCAATCACGTCTTCCTTGAACAAGGACCTCAACGCCACATATTTTTCGTAATACAAGCTCTCGCCCATAATGGCACCAATCCCAAGCCTCAAACTGAATGATGGAAATTCCATCCCACTTGTAAGTAGAATTACTACCAGCTCCCTCAATCCATTACTGACCACACGTAGCTCGGCTTCGGAACCGGTACCGCCCAGTCCAAAAGACGACAAGAGAAGCCAGGCTTCAACCAAGACCTGGTGGATATTCTCGAGATTGCAATAAAGCAAGGTATCCGACACATCGACGGTGCCGAAGGCTATGCCAACGAAGAAGAGATCGGTGTTGCAATCAAAGAATCTGGCATTCCCCGCGAAGAACTCTTCATCACCACAAAAGTCCGTGATATCAGAACATTGCCTGGAGCTATCGATGTCAGCCTGGAGAAACTGCAGCTCGAATATGTTGACTTGTAAGTCACTAAAGCCGGCCATTTGCTTTCATCACTGGTACTAATGGTTGTCGTGTAGATACCTGATCCATTCGCCCTACGGAGCCAAGGAGTTGTCAGAGCTACAGACAGCATGGTTGGCCATGGAATCCATCCAGAAGTCCGGCAAAGCCAAATCAATCGGCGTCTCCAACCATCTACAGCCCCACATAGAAGCCATTCTCGAAGTCGCAACCATCGTCCCGGCCGTGAACCAAATAGAATTCCACCCCTACCTTCAACGAGGCAATAACCTCGTGCCCTGGCTTAAAGAACATGGCATCGAAGTAACCAGCTACAACGGCCTTACACCCCTCCGCAAAGGTCTGGGAGGTCCCTTAGATGGACCATTGAAGGAAATCGCAAAGAAGTATGGAGTGAGTGAGAATGCAGTCTTGATCCAGTGGCAGATACATCAGGGTATTGTCCCGATTACGACGTCGAGTAAGCCAGAGAGGTTGGCGGAGTATTTGCAGGGGGTGGAGTTGAAGTTGGAACCGGAGGAGGTGGAGGAGATTACGAGGGTGGGGTTGACGCATCATTTTAGGGCGTCGCAGTTGACGAGGTTTGAGCCTGATGATCGGTCTTAATCCCTTGTAGGTAGATGCAACTATGCTTCGATTCAGAATTGCAATACCGAGAGCTGAAGCTGGGGAAGTTCAACCCCTTTCCCTGAGTCACTCTTGACCGATGGAGCATGTGTGGAGTACTATAGGCTGGCAACACTTTGACTGTGGTATTACTTTTCGATATTCATTTGACTGGCAAAGCTTGAATCTCCATGACTGGAGACCTTCATGTTCAGTCATGTTGTGAATAACCAAGCTGCCGCTTGCCGGTGTCCTTTGGTATAAAATCCCGGCCTCGAGTCTATTCTGTCCCCTTTGAGCAAGTGTCTTCCAGCATCCACCATACTCAAATCCTCCCTTGACAATCTCGGTCCCGTCAGATCATTTCTTAATCATGTCAACATCTACGTCTCAGCCTGAAGGTATCTCCATTGCCGAGTAAGTTCAACTCAAAGTCCCCACGTTTGTATAAAATACTAAACTCCCAAATTAGTGAGCTTGGCCTTGATACTGTCAAGCTCATCGTCGGCTCCGGCGACCAAAAATGCTCGTTCGCAGTGCACAAGAACCCGCTATGCAAGAAGATCCCTTATTTCGATACAATGCTCCACAGCAAGTTCAAGGAAGCCCTTACAGACCAAGCGGAGTTCCAGGAAGACTTGCCTGTTGCCTTCAGGATATTGATCAATTGGATTTATCAGCGCAAGGTGAAGGCATTGCCGCCGTCCGACCCTAGAAGTGGAGGTCTAAGTCAAGCCTTGCAACTTCTCCAGCTCTGCATTCTCGCCGAGAAGTTGATGGCAACACAACTACTCGACGACGCCCTGGCTGCTTTATCAAAGCAATATATGTACACGTATGCAACCAGTCCAGAAAACTCAAACCCATTCGAAGTAACCCCGGCCGAGCTGTGTGGGGTATACAACGAACTCCCAGAACATTCCAAAGTCCGCACTTGGGTCGTGCGGGTCATTGCGCATCAATTCAGCATCATTCGGCGCAAGGATTACAACAATAGTGCTTTCCAAGAGCTACTTGCCGACAATTTTGACCCTCTGGGCGAATTCTTGACTGGTTTGAGAATGGATAAACATGAAAATTCAGATATTTCAGCATACTTGTACGCGATGCCACCCCCAAATCATTATCCGTCCAACCTTTATTACGCCTTACCTACTCAACAAAGATGATTCTCTTCTTATCAAGATACTTTTATTCGTTCTTGCTTTACAAGTCGTGCGGTTTTTCTTTCCGGTCAGCAAGGCATCCCGTAAAATGGAAGGTGGAGTGGAAGGTGATGTCCGAATTACAAGTGGCACGTCATCCATTTGGACAGACGCATTGTGAGATCAGGAGATTATAGGGGTGTATTTGTATTTGTAAGCAGCGGAAACATGTACACTTGGTTTGTGGCGCTTTCTGAAATAGTGGGTGAAAGGTGTCAAGAAGTCATGCTGGGCATGCATTCACGTTGGGGTAGGATTTCAGAAAACGTCAATAATGCATTCCTTCACAATCAATTAAGCAAGGTGATACCACAACTATCTGTGCTAGAGCATTGTGCAGAAATTTAGGTAGCAAGTACCTTCAAGAATCAGAGGCCAGAAAAAGGTGTCCATGATAAGCTCACAATGTTCCTACAAAGCTCGGACTTAGCAGAATCTTGCTAGTCTAGTAGAAAGTAGGAGAAGGATGGATTCAAATCTTTAACTTAATTAAAACGGCTTCAAGAGCGTGACTTCTTACATTCGAATTTTGGCTTTGCTAAGGACTACCTATTGGTCCACAAACTAGCGTCCAATGTTACTATAAGTGGATGACCACTTCCACAGTCATTTTGCGCTCCATCAAGATTTCGATTTCCTCTTATTAACTCTTTTCTGAGCAAAATAAAGTGCAAAAGCAATAGCATGGCAGAAGCTGGATAAGTTCCCTGTGGATCTTCGGGTATCGTCCCTCTTGAAAGCGATTCCAGCAAAGGTAGTACGATCCAAGGAAAGTATCTCCGTGCCAATACCATCAACACTTGAACACAGAGCCTTGCCCTAGCGAGAAGACTTAAAGGAGAATACGTAGGTCTGAGTGAGAGATTGAGGGTGGTAAGGACTTATAATGGACTAGGATATTCTGGCACATTCTAGATATACCCTTGCGACTAAGACATAGGTATCTTTCGCATTGAATCTTGGCAGTTTTCTCTATGTCAAGCCCCGCATACTAATATGTTGAGACTGGATAATCCAGGTGGAGACAAAGCTGCACCCAATGATTGCATCACAAGTTCTTCCGATCGAGGTAAAAGAGTAGGCTTGACTCTTCTGTATTTGAGCGAGGAATTCCGCATTGCGCTTTTTGTGTGACTGAAATTCATGGACATGGCAGTGCAATTCGTAATAAAGCGAACAGTGCAATCTGATGAAGCAACTTCTCTCCTCTTTCTGTGAAATGTATGTATAATAGGATTCATGTCATCAAGAAATGGAGAGCTGGTTCACAGTTGAGCTGTAGAGTTCAGGTTGAATCCGTCTTTGATAGTAGCTCATTTATTGGTATGCCTGGAAGCGTTGCCAACATCTTGACCTCAGATCCCCATCTTCATTTGTTTTGACTATGGCATATGGTATCCAATCCTTTCAAGGCATCCATCTGCATAGTTTTCGTTTTTGGTGAGGTTCTTATACATTGTGTCTGCTGATGATAAGGTAGGATGGCTGACTTATGGATGAAGCAGCTGTGCTGTCGCTGGACGAGGGTGACTCCCTCGGATCTGATGTGGAATTGTCCTAGTTGAAATTTTCCTGCTCAAACCCCTGTCCCAATGAAGCTCGTCAATATTTGCAAGTCAGATTGTGGGCGAGACGTCGCTCTAGGGCGAAGGAGAATCAGGAAAATATGTACTTGAAACAATGGTCAGTACAGAATTTGAGCTTGTGATGTAAAACATGACTTTCAATTAGCTCCAAGGCCAGATTGATGTGGAGAGTAGAATGAGCTGCGGTTAAGATGTTGTGACACTAGACTCATCACCGCAATTCGACCCTATAAGACATGTACGAGACTTATGATTTATTTGCCTTCGAAGGAAAAGATTTGGTTATCTCCAATGTACACGCAAGTAACCATGGAATGATACATAGAAGTTTGAAAGCGCAGAAATTGTCAAGTGACGAAGGTCCATTCGCTTAGCTCACTCATAGCTAGTCAAGCTAAATTGTTCACACTCTTTCTTTCTTTCTTTCTTTTTCCCCGAACCAACGCGTCTTTATCTTCAAGCTGCATAGACAACTCGGAGGCGTAGCTTTGAAACAATATTCTGTCCTTGGTCAAGGAACCTAGGCTGAGGAACCTCTTCTGGTAAGCTACAAGAGTCTCGATGGTCAGCACTGTTGTAAACAATGCTGACAACGCCTAGATCGCGTCACTTTCGACTCAAGTCTCGCGTTCCTTCGACAACTGATTAGAGTCACTTCGCAAAGATATCAAGAACCATGGCGTTGGTTGTAACGAAAAGCCCACTGTTTAAGTAAGTTTGTTCTCAAGTTCAGTAGCCGGATTTCAAGCTGATCGTTTACAGGCGACTTGGCGACGAAACAGTGAAATTGGTGGTCACAAGTCTTTGCGAACACCCCAGAATCTTCACTGTCCACAAACAGTTACTCTGTCAAAAGATTCCATACTTCGACAAGATGTTCAATGGCCCGTTCGCGGAAGGTACAACACAGTCGGCGACCCTGCACGAAGATGATCCCCTGGCTGTCGAATCCATGCTCGGCTGGGTCTATCTGGACAAAATTGAGATCGTCGATGATGGTGGCTCTCTTTATCTCAACCGTTACATCCATCTGTTCTCTTTGGCTGAGAAGTATCATATCACTACACTGGCTGATTAGACAATGGATTTAATTGCCCTGGAATGTTTGACTGGTAAATTCGCACTATTGGCTGAGTAGATGAAATTGTGCTACGATCTAACATACGAGAACTCTAAATTGAGACTCTACGCAGCTCGAAATTTCGTCTACTGTACGCTCTCGATGACCGACGATTACGCTGGTGGTCTTTGGAACAATGATATCATGCACCAAGCCGTCAGTGATTGCGGAGATCTCAGCAAAGACACTTTTGCAATTCTTCGTAACCAGTCTGGAAAGGTTTTCAAGAAGCCATACACTGCCCCTCGATGCGAATATCACCAACATGCCAAGGAAGAAAAGTGTGGTTCGGAAACTCCCGCTCAAGGAGCGAAGGATGAATGGTGGTCAGATCATCCCGGTTCTAATGATTGGAGGGGATCTGGTCCTACTTCAGATCAATGGTAGACCAGACCTAGATGTGTTAGCATACTTTGCAACCCTCCGGCGATGAGAGATGGTGTATGAATTGAGCATTGCACTTTGACTACAGAACCTCCTCATACGCGACGTGCTAGTCTCTGGAGCTTTTCTCCTAGATAACTACTGTGATCAAGAGCGTAATACACACCCGATTTTACTTGATTTTGACCACACAGTGAGAACCCACTGCTTTCAATGAACAGCTGGAAAAGCAGGAGAGGCCAGGCCGTACACTTTTGAATTCCGTTGCTGAAGATGCCTGAGAAGAAATCACATATCACTCAACCACCCCACTGTCTACAACTGCTTTAGCCTCTGATCGTCTCGCTGGATCAATTATTGCTCTTTGTGACATTCACTTTCATATTATGGGTTCAGATCACCTGATCTCAGGTACGCACCCACGTTCCTACCGCTTTCGGCTGGTCTGCAAAACAGCTCTCCGCCTTCATCCTGGTCCTGTCACATCTCATAAAAGGTCGAGGCTCGATCTCCAAAGATTTCTACAGTCCTTGTCTTCTCAACTCTGGTGTTCTCTTTTCGCGGCGGAAGCATCCTAAATCTTCTCGTCTCGATTGAAGTGCTTCATGATCGTAGATGCGCCGCTCACTGCAACCATGAGCTCTTCACCTTCTACGATGTCTGCTGCCCCAGCTAGTTCTTCACTCGTTGGGGCTGGAAATACTAAAGGAACACAACCCAAACCTGACTCGCAAGACATCAGTTTCGCTGAGTAAGTCTCTCGAGATCATCTACCCTTGTTTTCGATATGCTGACATCGATAGTGATCTTGGCAATGAAATTGTCCTCATCACTATTGGCGTTGCACCCAATCAAGAGATATTCCCTATACACAAAACTCTACTATGCAGCAGATCCACCTTCTTCGATCGCATGTTCAATGGAGGCTTCCGCGAGGCTTCGACACAGAGTGCTAGTCTACCTGAGGATAATATTGATGCCTTCAAGGTATACGTTACTTGGCTTTATCGTAACATCATCGAAGTCCCCAAAAAGGCGCCGATTGCTCCTGTGCTGATTCGGCTCTTCGCTTTCGCGGAGAAGTATTGCCTTGAGGAGCTGGTTGATAACACAATGGACTATTTGGTCGGGCACCTTCACGACAAGAATGCTATACCTTGGCTGGATCTGATGGTGTCATCATATGCCAGTACCCATACTAAGTCGAAGTTGAGGATTTTAATGAGTCGAATCAACCTCTATGTTGCTCTGAGATACACCGATGCAAAATGGGAAGCTTTCAATACTGATACAGTGATTCCCTTCCTGATCAGATGCCCAGATCTTACGACTGATATGTTTCGACTGATCAAAGGTTCTTCTGGCAAGAAGGCGGTAGATCCAAGGTCTTTTAGTTGTGAATATCATCAACACAGCAGCACAAAGCCATGTCCTTATGGTGGCAAGAGCAGCGTCGACTCGCGAGGATAAAGCGTTCTTGCTCTCAAAGACTCTTTGAAGCGCAAGCGGGAGGACTAAGAGCGAGATCGAGTATCCATGCTCATACTCAGGAAATAAGTCTACATCAATGGTAGACATGCTCCTACGAGTAGCGAAGTTCAGCGTGGAAAGACTTTGGGGAGTCTTGGAAAATGCTTCATGGTTGGCCTGGTGATCAAGATATATTGAGCGCGAGGTCCATACAGTCATCATCTGGTTTTCTATTCTTGCTCTTTTCTATGGATTGATGCGGCATTCAATGAAGAAGAAGGAGCACGTTCTTGCCACGTTCTAGCTATGGAATGAAACAATTCCTCACAATAATGATTCTCCACTTGATATCAACAATAATCCCGCGATACACTTAAAGATTGCAGCCTTTCAAACCACTTGGAACTCCACACAGCTCTACTTGAGAACCTTGTCTATCTCATATAAGTTGTCACAAAGCCCCTCTTGAGACAGATTTGTGGAAATCCCCAAATATGCAAGTTCATGTTGGGCAATTATTTCGTTGTATACCAATCACGTGCACCCCTGGCAGTTGCAGCATCTCGCTTAGCAATGAACCAGCTTACACACTTCTCGTTCTATTGCTGCTTCATCTTGCTGAGAGACTGACTTGTTTCATCTTAGTATTATGTTATTCAATGTGAAATCATCTTGTTGGTTATCTTTCTATTACCCTCTGTGCCCTGAATGTATATAGCTTTGGGAGGGTGGTCTTGAGAAGCGAAGTTTTGACCCTCGACGCAGAGAAATATATCAAAAATGAAAAGAATCTTCACCTCCAAAAGCTAAACCTTGACCAGAAAATAGACCTCAAAGAGAAAACATTTAGGCACCCGTAGGGTGCGTAAATGCCCAAGTGCGAAACTTGTCCGAACATGCACTCGCGGTCCGCCCGTAGGGCGGCTCAGGCCGGGTGCATGTTAGGATCCCAACCAACGGCGCCAAGTCGACAAGGCGCTAGTCGGATCCATGGGAGGAAAATATTTATTTAATCCTACGTAGAAGTAAGCAAAGTACTCTTGAAAGTGATTAGTGCAGATAGGACTGACGAGGCTGGCGAGGTGAGGCCAGCATCAACAAGATCAATTCTCTTTGGGAACAATTATATCGGCTTCACTTGACTTCTTTGAGATGAATTGAGAAGCACCATGACGTCTTGTTAAGGCTCGCAATTCCTGCTGTATTTGCTGCTTCTCACACCATGTCGCTTTTCGTCTTCGTCTCTTTTAATTACATTCAAGAGAAAGATTCCAGAAGCATTATGTCCGCTTCGCAGGATTACACTACCCCCACATTGGGACGGGTGGTTTAAAGATATTTCTTATGAAGAAGCTCAGTCTGACTTCTAAAGTAGAGTATTGATACGTCAGATCCAGAGTGATTGCGCCTCCCCGAGTTACACCTATTTCGTTTCTGATACACAGATCACATCCAGCCAACATTTCCATTGGACTAGAGACTTTGTTCAAAACTAAGCCGAGAACCTAACTCTTCAGGCGTGAATCTTTGTTGCCGCTCTTTCCAACTCTCTCGACTTTGGTGCTAGCGAGTCTTTGCCTTCAACAACCCCCATCAGATAACTTCATCCTTACAACAACTTCTACAAACAACACAAAATGAGCACCGAAGTAGAATCCGAATCCAGCCTCAGTATGGCACAGGAGGCAAGCCCAGACTTAGAAGAGGCTCAACCTGACATGCTACCGGAAAATATGGATTTCACAACCTCTCCACTTTTTCTCGAGTTCGTATACCTTCTGAACCTGATACTCTCGCCTACTAACCTGTTTCCAGCTCCGATTCCTCAGACATGGTCATCGTCCACCTCGGAGTCTCTCCATCGATGCTCTCTCTGCTCGTCCACCGTCACATTGTCAGCGAGAAATCCTCAATTCTATCTCTCTTACTCAATCCCGAAGAAAGTCAACCACCTGAAGAACTTCATCTCCCCGACGATGACCCACAATTGTTCATCTACCTTCTGAACTACATTTACACCAACGCCGTCCTGCCCTCTCTCACCCCTTCCATCGTTACTACCAAATCTTTAACCCCCGCCACAGCAACCCACACCCCCTCACCCTCTATCAGTACGTGAAACTCTGCCTTTGTTTTGTATTTACTTTAGTAGCCAAGGATTGGGGATCATCCTCAGGAGCTCTTCATCAAAGAAGATGTGTCTCAACTCTTCGGATGATCTCCTTCGCTCTCAGAGCTCTATCAAAAGTATACACTAACATATCAACAGACGGCCCGACCAAAGACCACTTAATAAAAACCTTCAAATCCCTCTCCACCAACCCAACCTACACGCCCTTCCACCGCCCCTTCACCGCCACAATCCCCACCCGCTCCGCCCTCTGGCAACACCGCATCGTCACCGACATCGACTTCTCCACCATGCAATCCAAGCTCGTTCAAGGCATCTACCGGGACCTCCGCTCCATCGACCGAGACTTCGACCTGATCTACAACAACCAACTCTCGTTCCACGGCTCCAAACACCAGTACACCGACCTTGCAGACTCGTTCCGGGCTCTGTACCGCGAGAAGACGGCCGAGTTGCGGCCTAAGGGTTCGGAGGGCGATGGGGGAAGAGGAGTGCTGAAGATGCCGAAGACGCATTTACAGCAGCAGTTTGAGAGGATGGCGGAATTGGCTGTGGGACTACCCGTGGAGGTGTTGTTAGGGTTGGAGGTATTGGCTACGAAATACCATATCCCTACTCTGCAGGATTTAATCTTGACATCGATCCTCTCCTCGCACCTTACCTCCTCGACCTTCCTTACGCTCCCGCAAATCAATACTTACTACCCTCTTTCAACCCCCAATTCTCCCTTACGGAAATACATCCTGAAAACTATCTCTTTCCACCTGTTCAGCAAGACTGCTCTTCCGACCGATACAATCGGGGATCTGAATAGAACCGAGAATCTGTATCAGTTGATTGCAACGAACGAAGAGTTGGGGATGGAGGTGTTTGGGATGTTGAGGGGTCGGGGCGGGATCGCGTTTGGGGACCCGAGGAAGGGTGGCTTTTGCGAGTTCCACTGTCATGGTAGGGACGGCGTTTGTGGGCTGGGTGGTGAGGTATGGAGGGGTGTGGGCAGGAAGAGAGCAGCTGTGGAGATGGAGGGGTGGTTCTAGGGGCATGGATGGCTGATGAGGGGCTTGAGAGTGAGATTGCGGATGTTGGTATTTGGAAGGGATATTATGATGGATATGGCGGGGCACTTTGAGGACAGACATTAAGAAAACGCATTGAATTAACAAACATAGATAGCAAATGCAATTTATTTCACTTTAGGATTGTCCTAGTGGTTCAACAGCATAATGTCAAGTCACATCAAGGCAAGCAAGCAGTGTCTGAGACGAATCCCTTTTTCATTCATAACGCACAAACGAAACTGAAAAGGAAGGCAGCCGAAAAGCCAAAGAAGAGCAAATCTGAAGCTACCATAATAAATACAGATTGATACGAAGAAAGAGACATCCACACAAGAGAGGAACGCAGGAAAGGGAACGGAACGCTCAGAGCCAATTTTGTGCCTTTCTCAAACCATTCTTTTCAATCCTCAGCCTGTAAGTAAGCAAACTCCTCGAACCCACCCGTTTTGCCATGAACGTAGCACAAACAACCGACCTCGCAGAAGCCAGATTATTATGCCCTCCCAGAGCTCGACCTTGTGGTAATTTTCTCGCAGTATTAGGATCGATGATTAAAGAGACAAGAAGTGAAAGTAAAGAGGCTATGTGTCGTCGTGTCGGTACCGAGATAGCGGAGGTACGTCCGGGATTATTGGCGGGTCTTCTTAACGGAGAGAGAATCCCTTCCTCTTTCCCTTCTCTTCCAACGGTCTGCCACTCTCGACTCTCGACTTCTTCTCTTCCAATTCCATTCGTTGGCGCTCGAGTTGCTCCTTCATCTCGCGATGTCGTGCGTACAGCTCTTCTTCGCTCTGCTTCAACTTGCTCTCCTTCTCGGCGACCTTCTGTTGGAACACCATCTTCATCTCGGCCTCCATCTTCGCGAGCTTCTGCTCGTGCAGAGTGCGCTCCTCTTCCTGCTTGACAGCCGGGTTGACCTCTTTGAACACACTGGGATCTTGAGCAACACCCATAGCAGTGAGCTTCTCGGATCTGTAGTTCTCATATAGAGCATTGTTGGTGTGCTCCTTGAGTTCCTCCATGTGTGTTCGGATGAGCATCTGTCGTAGCTTGACGAAATCGCAGTGCTCCTCATTGTCGACCTCGATGATTCCCCAAGGATATTTGCGTCCACGAACTTTTCGTCCGTCGGCGCTGGTAATCTCGGAGTTGGCTCCAACAACAGCAAAGGGAACCTTAGACATGATCTCGTTATTCTCGGCAATCGTCTCGTCGTCGTCAAGCTCGTATCTGGGCCCCTCGAAGATTTGAATACCTTGGTGCTTGATGTCTGCGAGGATCTGGCAAAATTAGCATATTGAAAGAATATGGCGTCGTGGCTAACTTACTCTAGCCTTGAATGCCATAATCTCTTCATCGGTCATTGTGTCAGCCTTGGCGATAACTGGGATCAAGTTGACCTTGGTATGCAGTCTGCGCATAACCTCGATATCCAGAGGCTTCAAAGCATGGCCAGTTGGCTGAATGAAATAAACACAGGCATGAACACGGTTGTCAACGATGTTCATGCGGTTGACCTTGTTCTCAGCATCCAAGTATGCATCAAAACGTTGCTCAATGTTATCGACAATTGGACGCCACGACTCATCATTATTGACAAAGTCACCAAAACCCGGGGTATCAACAACGGTCAAACGTAAACGAACGCCATTCTCCTCAATATCTGCGCTTATGGATTGAATAGAAACAGTCTTTGGAATAATGTCCAGACTGGGGCCTTTGCGCTCACGGGGTGGGTAGAGCGAAGTGTTGAATAAAGTGTTCACCAGCGTAGACTTTCCGAGGCCAGATTCACCTGAGACATGTTAAAAAAATGCCGAGGAGATGATTGGATGATACATACCAACTACCATAACGTTGAAGTTGAATCCCTTTCGGACACTCTTTCGGTGCCACTGGTTGGGCAGATTTGCGAATCCAACGTAGCCAGTGAGCTTTCGTCGCACAATGTTGCGCATATCCGAAGCTTGTTGAGCAGCGATTTTTGGATCTGTTGAGCTCACGGTCTGCGGTGCCTCCAAGGTTGGAGATACAGCCTTGCCATTAGGAACTGGTGCTGGGGCTCTGGTGGGTGCCGCTGGGGCAACGCCATTTGTGGCTGTATAGAAACACAAGATGTCAGCCCAATTCTCCGTTTTATGCTTCCGCGATGTCTGATCAAGCTTTTCGGCAACCCAGTTTTCCATGGACTCCTCGGTTTGGAATGCCATCGGAGATAGACTTGGCGTATCGACATCGAGCATACTGCGGTAGTGAGTGACCGATGGAATCGACCTTTGATGGCGATGCAAACTTCCAGGATAAATCTGCGAGCTTGAGGCCATGTCGATCTCCTTTAATGCCATGGTTGTACCTCTCTGAGAGCTCTCAGATCGAGAGATCCGTGAGTGAGGGAGGAGGCTGTTGAAGGCAGAAGCCATGGTGGAGAGGTATCTTGTGGAGAGTCGAACCCTTATTCAATCCGTTTGTGATGTATTCGAGTAGACCTGGGATCGTAATTGAAAGCATGCAGCAAGCCTATCCATGAAATGGAAGGATTACTACAGCTCGATCCCATGTGTCATCTCGGTGAGCGGTGGACACTTCCATCTTCAATGACTGAACTTTAAATCGTCCAAGGAGTCCTGGATGCTTACTGCCATCTAAAAGAAATATATTGCTTACCCATTGTCTCGATTGTGATGTGGAAGGATCGATTGAGGTTGTCGTGAAGGAAGGAGTGAGGTGAAGGTCTACTTCAAAAAAAGTTCGGATTAGCTTCGTAGAACTTGCTTTTGCTTGCGCGGCAGATTTATGGATCAAGAAAAGACCACTTCAGTTAGAGCAGGTGAACGTTGTAGTTCATTCGTATTGATAGGATGGAGTGATGCGCAATGCATGAATACGACGATCTGCACATACCAAAAAGAGTTGTCCTCACAGTCGTTAGGCTTCGCGTGTTCGCGTCGTCGCAATATCGATACTGGACGAAAGAAAATGGCTCGGAGTACTCGATCTGCAGACGGCGCGTTCAGAGTCAGTTGTGGGTTGATGGAGAAGAGATGTGACAAGATTTTGGACGCTGGCCGTAGACGTTGAACGGCAAAAGGGGTTATGGCAATTAATGACAGGGTTCATGAAGCTGTCATTTAAGTGTGGCCCCGGATGGTATGTGCGCGCAGCGAGCAAACGTACCACAGATGATCGTGAGTAACAATTGAGCGCCTGCGAGGGTGACAGAAGTGAAAGTTTGCGAGACGTGAGATGTTGTACCTCTGGATACTGTACGAAGTACTTTGCGTATGGGGTTGAAGAGAAGGAGGTTTGTGACGGTACGACTCGAAGAAATTAATCTGCTGGCTCCTCTCCACGTCCAAGTCGGAAAGGGGATGCCGCTAGGCCCAATAAGGTCTGGTCTTAAAATCATGTGATGTCGACAGGCTTTAAAATTCTCCATGGCCTGGAAGCGGTTTAGCCTTCTTTCCTTATCCCACATCTACCGGTTGTCACTCATTGGCCTGCATATCCAGGGGCAGATCTCAATCAGAGACAGACACGCACGGGAACAGAGACAGAATTTCACGACGTTGACGACGACGAGGTGAGGGACAGGGCGTAGAGGAAAGAGGAGCAGAGAAAAGGAAAGACCAGAGGTCAGTTCTGCTGTGTTGATTATCGACTGCACACAACATGGAGATCTCTAACGGCTTGCCAGCGTGGTCTCGTGACACTGCATGCATGACGAATTGCTTCTGCCAGTGGAATCCTTAGGCTCTTTTCGACTTGCGGGATCGCAAGTGAGACTGATGCGCTGGAGGAAGAGAGACTGAACACGTCAAGAATCGCAACGAGAACGCGTTCTGTACGAAGTGTCGTGATTCAGCGGTACCAGAGACTCGGAGAGCAAGGTTCGTCACCACTGCCATGAAGCTATGTTCTTGCACTCATGGAAGAGCCTAGGTCGACGTGTCGCAGCTTTCACTGTGAGACTTTCAAGTTCTTCTTTCTGGAGAAGCCACCAACGTGCATCAATCCTAACAATATGGATTCCAATGCATCCAAGACCAAGGAAGGTACGCCGGATGGTATGGCCAAGTACGATGACCCTGACTATTACTCCCCAAAATGGGCAAAAGCTGCTCCCAAGATCTGGAAGCCTTACCTCACGTCCTTCACTCTCTTTTCAGACCTGCCCATCGAAATTCGTCAAGCCATCGTAAGTAGCAAACCTCTATTCTTCATACTCGCTATTGCTCAGAACATCCATCTTTCCAATTCGAAATTCTAGGAGAAAACTTGAAACTAATTGCTGTAGTGGAAATGGTCTCTCGCGGCACGTGTTGTCGAAGTCAAGTTCAACGTCAATCATGGTTTCTTTAGCACCAACAAGCCACCAGTAGCGTTGAGTGTTTGCAAGGATTCGCGTGATGCTGTCAAATACCTATACCCCATCTGCTTTGGTACCATCATTCACGAAGCCGCCATCGCCTTCAACTTCTCACTGGATACCTTGTACCTTGATGCCGACCTTGCCCCCGAAGTGGTCCCATTCATTTACAGCTGGAAGGGTTTGGAGGCTGAAAATCTGCAAACACTAGCAATTGATCGTTATCTTGACGAAGAAATGGAGGAATTTGGTTATGGGATCGCTTTCGAGGCTATCAAAACTCTTCGACAAACAACTCGGTTAATGCCTGCACTGAAGAAAGTTCTGATGGTTGCCAAACTTGATGACTACTGGCACGAACATGGTTTGCCTGAGGGTAGCGGAGAGATAAAACTGATGGAGTCTTTACCCTATGATCTCCAACGGTACATTGACGAAGAGTGGCACATGGATGATGAGGATGGCGCGTCGGAATGCCATCAGCTCCCTAACATGGATGATGTTCTGGAAGGCTTTGATGCTCCGTCCAAGAGTGTAGTGTGGGGTTGGCGACCTACCGAACTCCCACTGCAGCCTCATCCTTGGGACGAGTTAATTGGTGATAGTGAAGGTCATACACCCATTCAGATGTCTGAGAATGAGGGCGATGATGACTGAGAGAGGCAAACTCCGGTCAGTGGAGAAGAGAATGCGACTTATCATGCTTTGCGAGAATGAGCTACGACTTGTTGCTGGGATTGAAGCTTCGCTTCGACGAGATTCGAATGGGATGCGATGTTAGGAGTTGTTACTTATGAAAATGATACCCTGGGACAGGTGTTACTGAAAATTTGCTTGGAAGATACCCAGGGACGAGACGGACTGGCGTTAACAATATCGCCATTTGTAGCAAGAGCATTTAGCTATAGGTAGTCTTTGAACACATCGAGCTCAGCCAGACAATCTTTGCCTCGTCACAAGTAGAGACGGACACATGAACACGCGCGACAAATTTCTCTTTTCGATTAAGCGCTCGGAAGGAATTGAATATAGACTGTGAAGTGAAGTGAATTCTTCAAATTGCCGTTTATATACATGAGGTCGAAGACTGGAATGTGCCAAAAATAGCAAAGTGCCAGCTAAATACGCTGTAGCCAATCAATTGCCCGGACATCCGAGTGGGGTCTCGTGTCAAGGGATCTCAGGGGTACAAACTAGCGAGAAGCAGGCCATTCAAAACGTCACATTGTCGACTTCCAGATTTCTTTACTTCACCTACCTACACATTATATTCCCGGGCTGCATGATGGTTCATAGCACGGTCGAAAAGAAGAAAAGGATTGGTGCTCCGAAGAGCAGGAGGGGTTGTCAGACATGCAAGTATGATCACATCTCCGTTCCCTGATCCTCTCCACGTTGCACATCTCTAAACATACAAAGCTCTCCTCATCCTCGACTCCAAGCACTAACCTCCTCAGGGTGCGACACAAAAAATGCGATGAACAGAAACCAGCCTGCACCCCGTGCGTGCAAACAGGACGAACATGTGACTTCCTCCACCCCACCTCGACCCCTCTATCCATTCAAAAGTCCAAAGGTCCCTTAAAACCCGTCCCACGATCACGCATGATCCAGCTGCCCAAGTTGATACCAACACCAACATTCGGCTCCCCATTCCTCAGCCATGAACTCCCTCACTTCGAACACTTCTTTCACCTCCTCACGTTTTCCTCTTTACCGCATCACTCCAACACTTTCCTCAGGCTCATCCTGCAGATCTCGCATGAAGAGACATGTATACGGCAAGCCGTCATCGCTATATCGGTTCTACTCAAATACCAGTCGAGACACCATCATCCATCAGTCAATGTGAAGGCCTATTTGGTGGAGGGTTACCTTATCTATGCGAAAGCGCTGGAAGGCGTGAATAGGAGGGTTGCTGAGGGAAATGTCGAGATCGCCCTTCTTGGCAGTATCTTGTTTGCTATGTTTGAGGTGTTAGCCGGCCGAGAGGCAGTTGGACAGCATCTTCTGGGAGATGGTGGGAATGTATTGAGAGAACGGTTGCGGAACACTGTGAGTGCTATCTCGGCCACTTTCTCCATCCCCAATTACCGTCAGTTAATAGGGGAATAGAAACCATCAGACACCCTCCTCGATATCCACCAAGCATTCTGCTGTCTCGACATCCAAGCCTGCACCTGGGACACCTTCTACGGCTCTTTCGAAGTCCCCGATCCCATCATTCCATCCACCTTCCACTCCCTCCAATCCGCCCGCCTCACATTAGACTCCATCACCTACCGAATGTGGCATCTCCTGCGTCCCATAAAACCGCACGAACAAACCCTCCCCTACTCCCCACTTCCCTCTCTCCTTGCCGCCAAAATCTACCACATAAACAACCTCCTATCCATCTGGCAAGAAAGATTCGCGCAGATGGAATTTAAACCAGAAGATATCGCTGGTCACAATATCCTCAAACTCCAATACCTAGCCGCGACTATAACCCTCTCAACAATGTTCTACCGCGACCAACTCGCCTACGACGCTTTCCTGCCCTCTTTCCGCTCCATCGTCGACCTTGCGTCCTGTGTCCTTTTCCCTCCCTCTTGTAAGCAGAAAGTTCCACAGGGTAAAACAGCACCCACATTCGCCTTCGAAACAGCGCTCATACCGTCCCTGTACCTCACCGCCCTAAAATGCCGCGAGAAAATCCTGCGAAGGAGAGCAATCGAGCTCCTAGGCTATTGTGGGACAGAAGGGGTCTGGATCGGCGCTGCTATGGCGGCAGTCTCTATGTGGATCATGGGACTTGAAGAAGCGGATCAAGCAGAAGGAGGTTTTGTGAGGGAGGAGATGCGGTGTAAAGAGGTGAGGGTTAATATTGATCGGAGGAAATGGAGGCTGTTGGTTATGACGAGGAGGAGGGGGAGGGATGGGGAGATGGAGTATTTGCCGTGTGGGTTGAGTTGGGGGGATGAGGAGGTGGTGGTGCAGGGCAAAGAGAAGGAGGAGGAGGATTGGGAGTTGTTGAATAAGATTGCGGATTGGCGGGCGAGTTTTCGGACATTGGATGTTGTGCTTAGGATTCCGGGGCGGGAGAGGAGAGGACGAAGATGAGATTGGTTGTGTCTTGATTGGAGAGACTCGAAGTATGCGGTATGATTCGAACGTACATATGTATATCCAATTGTTGAAGATGTTTGTAACAATATATCCTGTATTATACAGTTGATTGAGGGATGTCGGGTGGCGAGAGCGATGCCAACCTCAAATCGAACATTAAGTCAACATCTTCAGTAAAAGAACAATCGAGAATCAAATATTCATCCTCAGTCAGATAAATTCTCATCTCAATACGTCAATTTTCATGGTCTTGAGAGCATAGAAAGTTGAGGACCAAGTTGATATAGTGTACCTACCTAGTCATATTCCAGCTTGCTAGAAATATGGAGACATGCTGCTTCAATTTGAAGAGAGTGCATAAATGAACAGAATTTGTTCAAAGATTCAAAGTCCATTAGTAATTGAGTCCTTTAAAACGGCATAAGTTCTCTCTTCAAATTAGAGTAAAATCATCGAATGGCAAGAAACTAACATATGACCAGATTCAAAGTCCGTTATTAATTGAGTATTTTGAACCGGCACAAGTTCTCTCCTCTTCAAATCAAAGTAAAATAATCGAGTGGCATGAACTAACATAGGATCAGGGGCGTACACTGTAGACGTCCGATTGCTTAGTCATGCGAGTAATGTTCTTCTTTCTCCTTTCTCATCCTTCACTTATCTCAAACATCTCTCATCTCCAAAAACAAATCATTCAACAGCCCAACCCTGATCTTTGCAACAATGCAAACGGAATGCAGTCCACTTGTCATCACATCACCAAACAAACATCCCAAAGCTTACATCACAGTCGCCCCAGCCCAATAAACATTAAACAACGCCGCCTCCCTTTTCTTGGATTTGCTCGCATCACGATCTTCACATGGGTTTTCTAGAGAAATGGGCAGATCCTGCCAGGTCATCAGCAATGTTTCAAACAAATTTCTCCGTGAGCGACATCAGACGGAATCGCCCCATCGAAAATTTCCATTTGGATGCAAGCTTCAGGGGGAGCGACCCGCTAACCTGGCTCCGAAACATCGATCACTGGGAATCCTGGGATAAGCCCGTGCTGAATATATTGAAGTGAAGATTTTCCTACTTCCTTCAAACAACACCAGAGATCCTATCTAATCTTGAGCCATTTTATCTGCTGGACGCCTCTCGCATGAGCCTCCGATTTGGGCAGTGGCGCCGCGCGAATGCACGTTGAGCACTCTCGCTTCGTCGGTTGGCGCCGGACACCTCAATATTAGACATGTCCACGCAATGGACCTTTTAGATTCCAATCAGTCCTCACAGGAGTCCATGGGCCCAGAACCTCGAAAAGTCTATTGTTTGTGGATCATCAAGATTACCCCGCCGTTAGAGAGATGCCGACCGAGTGGAAACAAACATCCTATGACCGCGAGGCCCCATTTCTTCTATGTGTATATATTCAAGAAGTTTAATCCTCTCAATTTTTCTCATCAGCAGCTTCTTTGCTTCACGTTCTTTACAGCTTTTTTAAGCGTTCCATTCTTTTCACTGTCCAGTTCATCGTCTTCGTCGATTGAATCGATAGAAGCTGGGATACCTTTCTTGTACAACTCCGAGACTATCACGATCACTACGCTGTGCGAAGATTTACAGAGCTTTTCTTCACCATGTCCTTCTCCAAGATCTCTGCCCTCGGTGGGCTTGTGGCTTTTGCTTCCAAAGTTGCCGCACATGGAACAGTCACGGGAATAGTGGCCGATGGTGTCTAGTATGTGAAGAAAGATCCATCATTTTCATTTTAGCTAACAATTGTATAGCTATGAGGGTTACTCCGCAAGCTTCCAATATCTCCAAACTCAGCCAAAGGTTGTTGGATGGTCAATCCCAGAGGATTTGAGCAACGGTTTCATTGCTCCAGACGCATACAACTCCAGTGATATCATCTGTCACTTGGCTGCTACCAATGCACAGGCCTCCGCACCTGTCAAAGCTGGAGGTATCGTTGAGCTGCAATGGACTGCTTGGCCATCATCTCACCATGGCCCTGTCATTGGTTAGTCAGACGCCCCGATCTAAGATTTTTAGCTGACTCCTTTCAGATTACCTCGCTAACTGCAATGGCGACTGCTCAACCGTCGACAAGACCACTCTTGAATGGTTCAAGATTGATGCTCAAGGTCTCTATGATGACACCACAGTTCCTGGAAACTGGGCATCCGACACCTTGATTGCCAACAACAATTCTTGGTCTGTTACTATCCCCACCGACATCGCCTCAGGAAACTACGTTCTCCGACACGAGATCATCGCCCTTCACTCGGCTGAGGAAGCCGATGGAGCTCAGAACTACCCTCAATGTGTGAACCTCGAGATCACCGGAACAGGAACCGCCACCCCATCTGGTACTCTCGGAACCGCCCTGTACTCTGAGACCGAGGCTGGCATTCTCGTCAACATCTACGCATCCCTCTCCACCTACGATATCCCAGGTCCAACTCTGTACTCTGGCGCTATCAGCATGTCCGAGACCCAACAACCATCCGCCACCGCCGTCAGCTCTGGCATAATCGGAGCAGGAACTGGTGCTGCTTCAGTAGCATCAACCACCGAAGCTGCCTCATCAGTTGCGATCTCAGCAGTTGCAGCCTCTTCCTCAACTTCTTCAGCTGCAGGCGTAGCAGTCACATCATCCTCCATCTCTGGCCTCCCCACCCAAGTAGCCGTCACCTCTGCCCCATACGGAAACAGCACTGTTCCCACGAGCACCAAGAAGAGCAAATCAGCATGCAAAAGCAAATCCAAGACCACCTCGCCAGCTATCCTCGGCACCTCATCTGCCATCAACGTCGGCGCCGTCGTAACCTCATCCTCAACTACCATCACCAACGACTTCACCACCGAGACCTTGGCCGTCACATCCGCTGACTCGGTCACAATCGCTACAAGCGCTCCCACCTCCGTAGCTGCTGTAACCACAACTTCCTCCGCAAGCCAACCTTCGTCCACCTCGACCACGCTGCCCGAAGGAACAACCCTCAACACGCTCCTCTCCTGGATCTCATCCTTCTACAACAAATTCAAGGGCACAAGCTACGACTCCGCGACCGTGGCACGCCGTCACGCCCGCGACTTGGCTGCGCGACAAATGAACCAGTTCACTGGGTTGGGGGTCAAGGCTACTGGTACTGCAACGGCTGGATTCGGTGGTCATCACCACCACCACCATCCTCATGGAACGGGTGCTTTTGGTTCGGGGGGGTTTGCGAAGCCTACGGGCAAGAGCCATTTTAAGGCTGCTGGGTTTTAGTTGTCTTGAGCCCTGATGATGAAGGAGGGAGGGGGATGAGGGGGAGATTTCTTGTATATATTCATTTGGACATTCTTCTTCGTTGTATATTTACATTTACATTCCAATAGATACGAGCTTGCTCGATCATCCCGAAATTCCTCCTCCACCTCCTCATTCCCTCTCCCATATCTTGAAGCCATTCTCATGGGTGTCTGATATCTAAACCCTAGGACGTTCACGCCCACTAAATGCGAGCCCAAGGATAACCACAACGAACATCCCGGCGATCAACATAATCAGCGGGAACGGCACCCGCGGGTTCGCCATCGGGTCTGAGCCGAAGTTTCCGTCTATTGCGGCACGGGGGGTGAGGGTTGGCATTTTTTGGGGTTTTTTTTCTTCTCCTTGCTTTTCGGTCTTCCTTTTCTTTTCGGATTCACGGATCTCAGTGTCTAGGCCAGTTAGTCTGTGCAAGGGGATGGAGGTCAAATGCATACAGAGCAGGAGATATCCGCCTCCCAGAACAGCCTTCACATGTTATCCTCGCCTGGCGCTGGCAAGCTCACAGTGAGTATCACGATGATTGAAGAGAGATTTGGTGCAGAGACAGAAGTCAGGATATCTGTGCTCGGGAGCTAGATAAATATTTCGGAATCGCGGAGAAGAGAAAGCGACCCTCCATTATTAGGTAAAGGGTAGGGCGGATGTGTGATTGGATGGTTGTGTGCCAATAAGGGGAGCTGGTAACGGGAAAAGAAAAACACGAGATGGGCAGTGAGGTTATACTTTTTATTTGATGGAGTTTCATGGTTTGGAGGGTAGAGGGTACCTAGGTAGGAATAGTTTCACGTGACCATATGTTTGACTTGGAAAATTGCATCGATTTTTTTGTAATGGGATTATATTGGCTAAGTTAAGTATAGAAGGAAAGACTTGTTTTGAGTATGATTAAATTTAACTATGGTTAAATGCCTACCTAGATATTTTCTGTTTTCCGACGATGTCCATAGTCGAGGTCTGGTGTTTTGATCGCGTGTGATTGGCTATCGGACTTAAGAACCGAGGGAAGTATCACCATGTCAACAAACACGTCCCTCATTAACCTTCATCTTTTCCATTCTTGTTCTGTACTTCTTCAAATCTTTCTTGCACATGTAATGTTTTCTTAACTTCATGTCATCAACGGGTTCGGTTTATATTTTTTGAGAGATGCAAGCAAGATGCAAGCAAGTGTGAAGTCACATGTAGCTAAAATGTGCACGAGATTTCCGTTGCGCATCCAGATTTCGACTGTTTTTTAATGTACTTCTACTGACCGTTCTGGACCTACTCTTTCGATGCACTCGTTTATGCGTTTCTTCATTCGTTGCAGCTGGACAATTATCGTATCTGCGCGCTTCTACACAGTGCATCTTATTCTTCAAATGCAGACAAACCCCTGTAGCGTGTCGCAGAACGCGTCGAGTGTGTCGGCGGTGCCGGATCGCAAAGCGTTCACCGAATCAAACTCCAATCACAAAATTCGAGAGGTTGGGGATTGACTTGACCCCTAAGGTCCTGAGCCTTATTGTGGGTGTATCAATGTCGGGGTCTGTCTGGAGCATTGTTCTACGGGTGCGGATAGAGAGTTCTGTCCATAATTGTCAAGGCGTGACTTGAAGTTTTCACACTTTTGGCAGCAATAGTGGTGCGATGTTGTTTCTGCTTTTGTTTCAATTGAATTGAGAATGTTAAGTAATGGTTCATGCAATTCTAATTCGATTCAACAGATGTTCACCTTGTTCTCAAGTTTTCATTGTGTGAAGAGGGGTTCTCGGTAACATGCGCTAAGCGAGGTGGTGAGAACTTGCAACTTACAACTTCTTCAATGTATGTCATTCTTCTTACTTACTATACCGCTTCTTTGGAGTGATTATAGAGTTGTAAGATGATACAACTCGCAGATTCCGTCTCAATTCTAAATTTGAAGCATTTCAATGGCGACTTCGTTGCAAGTCACATTACGGCTCCGAAGTCACAATGTTTTATGGTCAACGTCCACTTAAAGAGTACCGAAGCTGCAGCATGCATAGCCACTTCAGACATCCAACCCCGGTCTCACTGTTGCTCGAGCAACCAAACATTCAATTTGGGAAGTTTTCGCAATTGCTCAATGAATGCTCCATGACGATGTAATTTGGACTCGTTTCTATGACTATATACTGTCGAGAGCGCTACTCACCTACACTTCATCGTGGCCCCTTTTTCCCCGTTTGAATTGGCTTCCAAATGGTACCGGAGTCGTTCGTATGTACTATTCTATGTACTATTTACTTGCTTCCAACCTCCCTCGTTTCGATGCAGCTGGCAATGCCACACCAACTCACTCTCCTTTTCTAAACTCTTCACACCTGGCTTTTCTTTCGTAAATATCCTCGACAACAGCAAATCCTCCCAATTGAGCTCGTCAATCCTGTCCGCACTATCTACAACTACAACGACAGCATCTACAACAACAGCACCTACAACAAAAGCACCTGCAGCAACAGCACCTGCAGCAACAGCACCTGTGCCTCCAAGCTCTTTCCCTCCACCAGCAAGCTCATAGAGAGCACGTCCGGGATACTGCCTTACAACCTCCATTCCACACCCAAACCTGCAGCAACAATGCGTAAGAACTCCTAATCCCATCATCTCTCCCTCCAAATTACTAACTCGCCCAGTGGACCAAAGCGCAACCGTGACGCTGGTATGTGCCATAGCCGGCATCCTCGTCACAATAGGCATGAACCTCATCAACCACTACACCAACAGAAAACAAAGTGCGCTTCCCCCTCCGACCAAGATAGACAATGGTGAGCTAATCAATATACAGGACGAGGGTCGGATATTGAGAGCTCTGCTAGTTGGTACAGCTACCGACTCCGCCATAGACGATATCGACGAATCGAGAACACACTTCCGGGTCGCAACCGACGAGCTCCCAGACAGCAGCAACGAGACAATCGACGACACGCTCACGTGTCCGAGCGCCGTCGAACCGGACGTGATCGATCCCACAGTCAACGACAGCAACGTCGTGACCGAGGCCAGGATTACGGTCGAGGCTATAGTCGCCGTGACCGCAGCGTGCGGGTCCCAGATCGGGCCCATGTATAGTGGATGAGGACTCGGCGGGGAGATTATTTGTGATCCGCAGATGGAGGTGGAGGTGTGGTGAGGACTTTGTGTGGATAGCGGCTGGCCGCTGGAATCGGAGGTTCTTATGTTTGCAGAGTGGGAGAAGAAGAATGGGCAGGGAGGGGAGAGGAGGCTATATGCAATTGGGGAATCGTTGTACGGGAAGGAGTAATTGGGTGACGAATTGGTGTTTGCTTCCTTTGCTGGCAAGAAGCAGAAGGTCATCATGGACTTGGGGAGTCGAGATTCATTTCTACATGTTTTAATTTAATCTTATTTTCATTATGAATTTTTACGTTGCTTCTCCGCCAACGTGCTTCGGATTGCAGTCGATCTCCCATTCCTTAGCCAAGGTCCCATGAGCTTTTTCGAGTTTGATACTTCCATGACTGCAACGGTCTCAACTCTTTCTAGACAAAAGCCTAAGTGGATCCCGGGCAGCGGCCCATTCGGGCAATAAGTACTTCAGCAGAAGTTTCTGATTAGCAAAGCGTGTTGAGATGACTATCTTAGAAAGATGTAGGAAATCAAATACAGGACTGATCAATGACACCCAAACCAGGCAAACATACTCAAGAACGACGCTAGTGCGAACCCATAAATCGCAGCGTTCGCTCCAGTGAACTTGTTGTTTAACACTTTCTTTGGCCGTAAGGCAAGCTCGCCATGTGCCGAGCCAGTCAAGAGAATTGATAATGTAGAAAGACCTGTTATAGACCAAATTAAAGAGACTCTGGAATCTTAGGTCAAGACAAAGTAACAGGAAAAAGATTGGCAACGGAAAAAATGTTGATGGGAAGATTAGCAAAGTTGATGAAAGGATTGAGTTTGTGATGAACCGGGATGGAATGCAAAAGTTTAGGGATGTTGAGGGACCGACTTCGGTGAAGAGATGGGAGATGGGAGTTGGAGAACAATTCATTGAAGGATATAGGACAAAAGCAATGATCAGAGGATATTTCGAAAAACCTGTGGTCAACAAAATGTACATTCTTGCAAAGGAACAAAGCTCCCAGTACATTTTTGCCACAACACCCAAGCACCAAAGACGCCTGCAATGCTCTCCCTTCCCAAAAGACAAGGAAACCTACGCCACAACACCATGGCTCTTCTTGCCCTTCTTCGAAACCTTGACCGAAGCAATAGGAACCTCGCCCTCGACATCTTTACTAGCCTCCTCCTTCTGCTTCCTCAACTTCTCTTTCCTCAACGCAATCTCCTTATCAAGAGCATCGTCATTACTCTCCTTCAGCTTCTTCCCCTCCTTCCCAACCACACCCTCCAAAACCGCACTCTTCCTCTTCTTCCCCACATTCGCCGCCTTCTCCGCCTTAGCCTTCACCTCCTCCTCGCCCAACACATCCCCCTCATCAACCCACAACTCATCCGCCAACCAAATCGGGAGCGCCGCCGTCTCGGGCCCCTTGATATGCAGAGCTCTCACCCCTCTCCAACGTCTCGGTACAAACTTATCCACCACCTCCTTCGTCACAGCCTCGATATTCTCGGCCAATTTCTCAGCGCTCCAGCTCGAGTAGCCGACTCGAACCGCCGTGTTCGTAGAAGGAGATAAATGCACCAACGCACATGAAACCGCCTTCTCAACCTCGCTCGCGATCTGCTTCGCCGTCCCCGCACCGCGGGTCTCCGTATCGCCCTTCGCCCTTGCAATACGCTTCCCATCCGTCTTCGGCGCCGGCGCGGCAATATTAACCGGAATTGGTCGCTTAGTAGTAGACTTGTAGAACGTCTTGCCGAGTAACTTGGGCAGCGAAACAATGATCCTGTCGTCCGCCAGGAAGATGTCGTGCTCGGCCATCAGCTTGCGCTGGGCTTCGTACTGGGTCCATTTCTTCTTGATCTTGTCGAGGCCGACGACTTTTGTGATGCGGGCCGCGAGCTCGGGCGGGAAGGCGGGCGAGGAGACAATGTCTTTGTAGGTGCGTTGGGGGTCGGCGACGATTAGGCAGATGGTGGTCGAGGTGCTGCTGTTGAGGGGGTGTGGGACGGTGATTCGGGATGGTTTTAGGCGTTTGGTGTCGGTGATGTGTTTTTTGGTTGTGAGGGTGAGCCAGATGGGGGTGGAGAGGCTGTCGTCTGCTTCTTCGTCATCGTCTTCTGTGGGGAGGAGACTTTGTTTTCCAGATGACTTTGTGAGCTCGGCGGCAGAGGATTGGATGTGTGATAAGAGAGCTTTTGAGGCTTTGAGTGTCTATGGAGTTGTGAGTTTCTGTGCTGCGAAAAAGCTGGGGAATTTTTGTACCTGTTCGCTGTTCAATTGGTATGGGGGATCGCCCTCCACTTTCGTGGTAAGCGCAGTAGATGGTGCCATATTGCGATCGCACAGTACTTCAATCTCCAGCTGTAGATGAATTGTAAGTTCGGTGGGAGAAGTAATTTGCTGCGAGTATGCGATTGTGAAGCTGTGCGATTGTCCCGCCAAATATTTTTCGATATCTGAAATTTTTAGCGTCGGTAAAGTTGTCAGAATCGCCGATGTGAACCTTTCCTATTTGGGCCTTTTAAGTGAGTGATGAATTTGGCTTGGAGTTTGACAACATTCAATAATAATTAGTCAAAATTATTGGATTGGATATAATTGTGCTATTGTATTAATATGTACTGTAAATTCTAAGCGTTAACCACAAATCCGTGTTTATTTTTGCATTATCCAACCAACCATTTCGAAGAAGTTCGGGCGCCCAACAGCAGTAAGTAACAAGGCCGGGAAAGACATGTTACTTATGAAGCTCCCTAATCACAAGATTTGAACTCCAAGACCCATGCGTGACCAAAAAACTAAAGAAGGCCGCCTTTCCTCCGTTACAGCGATATATAAATGCGTCGCATGAGTATTGTTTTTTTTGGTTCCTTGGTCCACCCATGCTGAAGCGGTCACAGTCCCTGAATATCATCATAGCATAGCCGCGGTTTGGAACCTTTGAAGATTCTCAATTACCAAGCTTGTTGTGCAGTACTGAACGGAATACGTAAGTACAAGCTGTCAAAATGATACACTTAAACCTTCCCTCCTTCTCACGTCTCCATAATCATCCTTCACTCATGTCACACCGCCCCGCTCTGCACCTAACATAAAAAAAAGTACCTACCCCTCCCTCACCCATCTCGCACCCGTTCCAGGCCAAAAAAATCCTTTCCACGGTGCTGCTGACCGAGTGGAGAGCAGCTCGGAATTTCATCAATTCGCTGGTGGTGTGCGAGACCCGATTTGTCTCATACGCGCTGGAAACCCCCGTCCCTGTGTCCGTTCCGCAGCAGGCTGGCTCAAGATGCCTACAGTAGCGCGACAGACCCAACCGGCACGCACGCGACGATGAGAAAAGAGGCTGGGATGCTGGGATAAAAGAGAGGAGCTTGGACAACCGTGAACGCGACAGACACCGGGAAGTGAGAACAGAACAGGACAGGACAGCAGATGCATGGTGGGAGAGAGAGAGAATTGTAATTGTGTATAGATATATATATTGGTAGATTTCGGAGAGTGAAATACTGTCCAAGAAAAGTATAAAAGTTTATCGGAATTATGATTATCTCGCTCGCTCTGACAGGCCGGCCCCAAATGCACGTCATAAATTTGTGCTGCTCCGATTTAGCGATTACATACAGCAGAACGCGCTAGGGCCTGCTCAACTCGCGTTCCTAGCAGAGACCCAATCTTCCATCGAGACCGTGTTCCTGACCTTCAAAACCACGGCCCTTCCCTCCATTCACCCACCTCATCCATTTCCCTCCCGGACACGCCTCCAGAACTTTTGGGCCGGGTCGTCAATTCGGTCGATATCAAACTAAACTTGGAGCTTTGGTACCAGTCGCGTCCTACGCGGTCTGTCTCGACGAGGAAAAAAAAGTCCTTTTCTGGCAGCAGCCGTACATCTGGTAGATGTCTGCCATGATGGATTCCTCTCCCAGCAAAACCAATGCTAGGACTGTCCAGAATCCTGTACCTTCGACAGCAGGTGTAAAGAGACCAGCTCCCTCATTATTGCCCGCGTTCGAGCCCTCTTCGTCGCCCGGCTTCCCTCGACCTTCGAAGAGACAAACTCGTTCTTCCCCTTCTCAACGCGAACATGCTTACCAGAAATACCCTACACCGATTCCTACCTCGACGACGGGTATTTTGTCCTCTTCTCCACCTCAAATTCACGTCCGACCCGGTCTGCAACGAACTCAATCCTCGATCTCGGAGCGTGCTCCGCTCTCCTCGGTACCCTCAGTCACTATGCCCGAGAATGGAGAAACCCTCAAGATGGGCAGATCCAGCAATTCTTCCCACTACCAATTATCTGCCAATCGACTTATCTCCCGTGTACACATCGAAGCAAGGTATATCGCCGCTTCAGTCCCTCTCGAGCCCAACAAAGTTGAAATTAAGTGTAAAGGGTGGAATGGAGTGAAGTTGCATTGTCAGGGTCGGACATGGGAATTGGCCAAGGACGATACTTTCACATCGGAGACCGAGTTCGCAGAGATCATGTTGGATGTACAGGACGCCCGTGTACGAATCGAATGGCCGAATAGGGAACGTAAGGAGTCGGTGGACTCTTGGGAAGATGAGAGCTCGCCGAAGGGTCGTCTGTCTGCAATTAATGCTCGTGGTCAGATCATTGAGTCTAGTCCTCTGCGACGTGGGCAGAGACTCGAATCTCCTGTGTCTCCGACTCCAGCACGTCCTTCTCGAAATTCTGGAGACTTGGCCCACTTGTTCTCTGATGATATAGAGCCGAATGTTGTCCAAGTGTATGAAGACTCTCCCTCACCAAAGCGGAGGCCAGATATTGAGGACGGAGAATCTTTCGTGTCGACACAAGCTGCTACCTCTTTCGCGCAACCTCCTATTGAGAGTCCGACGAGTGAACTCAGCGAACCGGAGGACGACCCTGATGAAGAGAATGATCCCATTGTGCACTCCTTCGGTCCTTTCGGTGCTAACATCTCCTCCCGCATGGCATCCTTCACCACCATCGCGAGCCCAGAAATCCCTCGACGTGATCCAACACCCTCTCCCAAAGCCAGATCCAGTTCCGAGTCCACCAACGAAGCAGATGCTGTTCCCATTGTGAACCATGTCGTGAATCAATTGGCGTTCTCGCGTCTCTCCTCCACTCCTCTCTCAGTTATCTTAAATAACCTCCCAGCCGAATTCCGGAACCCCAATCCAACAGGCCAAGAGAACAAGGGACTTTCGAAAGATGATTTGCGCAGAATGCTCAACGCGACATCATGTATCGGAGAAATACACCGTGAAGGAAAGGATGCCGCCGGAAAGGCACTTGAGAGCGAGTACTACTACATTCCCGACGAAGACCAAGACGAGCACCGAAGAGCAGCCGTCGTCGATGGTCTGCGCAAACCCAGTCTCAGAAACTGCAGAAAGCAACACAAGGTAAGACATCCCACCTGGAATCTGATAGATAATATATATACTGACCCATCGCAGCAATACTACTGGAAACGACCTCGCACGCCTTGACGAACGGAAACGAAGCTGGTCGCTGTTATGGATATGAACCCTGTTCGAAGCTGCGCGAGAAAGCACCTTGTTGTATACGGCCGTGATACCACTCTCTCCTCGAGAAGAAAAAATCTTCCTGTTGTTCCATACCTTTTTCATACCCCATGCATAGCGAGGCGTATGATTAAATTTCCTTTTTCATCATTGTTGGATTTGCGCTCAAAGGAGGAGTAGGCGCTGTGGATTAAATGAATAAATCACCCATCCATCATATGGATTCTTCGTCGCATGTGAGATATCCATGATGAAGGTTGTTGATTGTGTTGTGTTGCAAACAAAACGATATCGCGATCCAACAACTTTACCCCGCAAAACAGAAGTAAACAACCCCGCACTAAAATCCCCGCTAGCGCCAAAGCTTAGCGACGAACCCCTGAGACTTTTGGTGGCGACCACCACCACGGCTACCACGGCACGCAACCTGTATCGCATTTGGATTCTGATCATCCCATGTTGAGGGGCGAATTTCTGTTTGCGTGTGGTGGTGAGGATGCACATGCGAGTTTACTGGTAGGTGGGTGATTGGCGTGCAGATCAGGGTTCAACAGTTTGAGAGCCGTTTGGTATGCGGGGTGCTGCTTGGTTGATTGATTGATGAATGAGGAAGGAAGAAGGAAGAGGGGAAGGTGGAATTTAGGGTTTGTGTGACGGTCAGGTTATATATTTATTTAATCTCCTCTCTCTGTCGCTCTCTTTCTATCTGCAATTCGTTTGTCTTTCCTTTTATTACGTCGTAGTCCAGTGTTTCCCGGTACGACGCCGCATATCGGAATCATCAGGTGAGGCTCTGTCGATATTTCTTGCTTGCTCGTCATTCCGAGATCTCCATGACGAATGAGCGAGCATCCAGGTCCCTATATATGCATCTGCTGACCTTCCTTCTTCCTTTCCTTCCAGAAACAAACATCCACATATCCAAACAAATCAAATACAAACAAACCTACAAAATGGCATCCACAACACCATCAACAACCACCCAACCAACCCCTCTAAACACAACCCTTACCTCCGATCCAACATCCTCCACCTCCACTGAACCAATCTCCATCTCCCCAACAACCAATACAGAACAACACCGCACAGACGGCCGCCGCAACTCCTTCGGCGAGATCCTACCTTCTCCCACTGAGAGCTGGAAACCGACCTTCAATCGCGTGCAGAGCTGGAATCGCGAGGATCGGAAGAGGGAGATCGTTTTGCAGAGGGAGATTGCCGCGCATGAGGGGTATGGTGGGGGGTTTAGTGAGAAGAAGTAGTTGATATCAACGAACGCAGAGTATTGGGAAAGGAGCTGTGACAATGCAATGAAAGGGGATGAATGGCGTTTGGGTTTGGTGCGGTACTTGCTTGCCTTAAGGGAGAGGATGGAGAAAGGATGGAAAGAGATTCAGATTGATGAATGGGTACACACTTGCATACATGGGTTTCGGCTTGGGTGGGGTTTTCTGCATGAGTTTTTCAATGGGACGAGGGAAATGCATACATACCTACGTTGGTTTCTGTGCTTCGAGTCTTGGGGCCACGGTGATGTGAAATCTTCTTCTGTGGTGTCGTGTTCGAGTGCTGTTCCTATTCTGTGTTGATGATGCAATACGGTATTGTTTCCCTACACTTCTTAGACATCGAGAAGTTTCTGGATCTTCGATCTTTCGGTATTCTTAGGTCTGCTTGATGCTGTGGAAGGACTTCGAGTTCTGGGGATATTCGAACAGTAAGTATACTTTGAATATTATCGTATACGCTCTTGAATATCATAAACCAGACTGATCTTCCTACTAGTTGTGCCTTGATGGTTGATACGCAAGTATAATAGGACTCTTCCTTTTAATCACGTCGAAACTCTATGCATAGCTACACATCCTAGGGCCCCTCGATCTCTCTTCCTCACCAAATTGTCAAATGTACATTGCCGTGAACTCCTGAACTCTTGAACTCTTTCTCTATTGCAAATGGTAACGAAATCCTTCTTCATGGCCCCTTCATGAAAGAAACTTCTTTTCGCCACAAATACTAAATTGACGGCTGAACTTAGAGTAGCGGAAAGCGTCGCAGGAATACGAAGAACCAGTTCTCGTTCTCGGTACATTTAATTGTTTTGATACTTGTTGGTGGATTTCTTTGTTTTGAAAACTGTGGGGTTGCTGCTGGGTATTGGCAGAAGGAGGGGGCTTTGGTTCAGTTGCGCTAGATCTTTACTTTTGTTGCACGTCACACCTGGTAAATCATCCCGAATCGATACAAATCAAGCAAGGAATGTTTAAAAAGCAGAATTGCTTTCCTATTCATCAAAAGAACCAAAGCACCGCTAAACAATAACGCCTATTCCATCATACAGCATCATACAAAGTTCCTCCTCCCCACACTACAAATCCTCCTTCCACACCTCACTCTCAAACTTCTTCCCATACGGACCATAATACTTCTTAAAAACATCCGTCAACAACTCCTCACTCAAACTCATATGCCCCCCATCCGTCGTCTTAAACTCCAACGCCCCCTTCTCATCCAACTCCTTCAACCCTAGCCAATCCTCCTTATACAACGTCCTCTCCTTCAACGCCGTGACCTCCGTCCCGTTGACTTCCGCAAACCATCCACTCTCCTTTGGATGCACCGTCGTATCATCCTCAAAGATGTACATCACGAATTTTTCCAACTTGGCCAAATTCTCCTTGTACGTCTGATTCTTCAACTCGCGTTCGTTGTTGATATCCGCCAGAAAATTCGAGTAAAGAAGATAATCATCGTATTGCATCGGATCCCGAAAATACTGCGCAGGAACTAACCTGCTCTGCACAAAACTGCTCCAGGTATTAGACCTCAGCAGTCCCTGCGCACCCTTACACAACCAATCCGTCGCACCACAGCTCTGGAACTCGGAGATGCCGTTATGTTGGCTGCCGAATGTGACGAGACTCCGGACGGGAGGAGCACTGCAGCGTTCGATGTAGCCGCGCAGGAATTGGCCGCCTTGCGAGAAGCCGAGGGCGTCGATGGCGGGGGCGGTCGAGAGAATGGGGTGGGCGGAGATGTCGGCGCAGACTTTTTCGAGTTGGAGAGTTAGGTTGCCGAAGAATGTTGCGGAGCGGTCCGAGGAGGAGTCTTCGTCCAGGCGGATTATGTACACGAGTGTGCCTGGGTTGGTGGATTCGGCGAGAGAGGCTACTTCTGCGAGGCCTTCGGCTGCGTACTGGGGGTAGGTTAGTCTGGGTATAGAAGAGGAGCTGGTGTGAGTGATGGAGTGATGGACGTACATTGTCGCCCAGGCCATGCCAGATGACGAGGGGGAGTGGCGTATCGTCTTCATCGTCGGAAGAGCTGCGTAGAGGGGTTTGAAACGGGATAATGCTGGCTTGCAGCAAGGGAAGAACAGAGACAAATGAAATGAGCTTCGTGAGTTTAGTCATGATGACTGTTGTGATGTCCGGGAGGATGTTGGAGATGGGGAGAGGCTGGGAGCTATTGTTGATAGCGATAAAGCTCACTCGCTTATTTGGCAAGGCTGAGCTGACTCAAAAGACTTGATGGAAAGAATCTCGCAGTTGTTTAAGATGAATAAGTATAGGAAAATAAACAATAACAAGATCGCAATCTAACGATAGCAAGTACATAGAGATAGTCATCTTTATTCCTTTCTTGTCCAAGCATTGTTGGTATCAGAGAGAATAAGAAAAGGCATCCTTGATATAGAAAAAGAGCAACATCTTTGGAGAATTTCTTGCCCCTGGCTGGAACATCGAGGTACCTAGCTTCGCTTGTTTGCTATGTATGACGTTTGAAGTGGTCTTAGTGCTTTTCAATGTGGAAAGAGTGACTCGATGCAAATTGACGAAAGTAGCTTGTCAACAAACTTCCACTAACTGACCGATTTCTGAAGCTGCTCAGAATCAAGTCTTCTCTGTCTATTCGAACATACTCAAGCAATTATCAAATAGCCGCTAGCACAGAGACAACTTTACCTTCTGTGTCATCGATCCGATTCAAGAACCAGCCTTGCCCAGCCTTATATCGGATTTCAGCCTTGTTCCAGAAGTTCTCGGAATTTGACCCAATTGCTTCTCATGCCAAGATGGTTCAAAGTGAAGACTTCTCGGGCACTTCTAGTAGTGAGGATAGTGTATTGAATGACTATGTTTCTCAGAAAATAACCTTGAATGTTGGTCTCAGGCCAAGGGCCGCAGCGATAGCAGCAGCCGCTAGCACAGCTCTCGGCTCGGGAAGCAAAAACAATTCCGAACCTCGAGTTTCGGCCCCGATCATCTGCAAGCCTCCATACTTCTTACTTTCCAGTCCACGATTGCATTACGAAGGCTTCAATACGGCGGACTCCTTCGACCGTAAGATGGCTCCTCAAGTTGCATTCCAGGCTCAAGCGGGCCCCCATCCTTCGTTCATCCATGTGGCGCAACAATTTACCTTCCAGCAACAACTTCAGAATCAACTGGTAGCTATTGGCACGAATCCTACGCGGGAAGACAATTTCAGGCTACAGGGCGTGCAATGGATTAACGATGTTAGAACTGCTCTTCAGCTGTACGACCCTTCTTCTCTCTTCAAGCTCTCAAATACTAATAGTATCCCAGGCCTGTTCGAACATACTGCACAGCAGTGTGGTACTTTCACAAGTTTCGCCTCGTCCATAAGGATTCCGAATATCAATATCCCGATGCTGCCGCAGCTGCTTTACTTACGGCTTGCAAGATTGAAGATACATTGAAGAAGTCGAGGGAGATACTGGCTGCTGCGCATAACCTCAAAGTTTCCGCTTCTGAGCATTTGAGCTCAGACGACAGTGTAAGTCTGCAGAATAGTGTATATGATCAATGGCACTGACAAGATGACAGGCCTTTGATGGATCCTCGAAAGTTGTTATTGGTCTCGAACGGCTCATGCTCGAAGCTTCAGGATTCGATTTCCGAGTTCGTTATCCCCATAAACACCTCATCAAACTTGCACGAGAAGCTGGATTCGATAAGGATGTTACAAGAGTTGCATACAATATGATGATCGACCTTTACCGAACATTCGCTCCTCTCAAGCAGAGTTGTGCCACTATGTCATTTGCATGCCTTGAACTTGCTACGAAGGTGTTGGAGAAGCAGCAAGAGAAGATCCATGGCAAACATGCACCACAATATAAGAAATGGAGTACGAGACGGGCAGAAGTACTGGAGACTATTCTCGATTTGCTGGACCTCTACACCCACTTCCAAAAGTCTTCCATTGTTGGACCTGGACATAGTATGGATAAGTTCATCCAACTCAAGATCAAGGTGAATCAGGAGGCTGGAGAAGGGCAATCATTGAACAGATTTACGGAATTCTTCGACCCGCCCAAAATCAATGGCTTTAGGTCGAATATCAAGACGCCAAAGACACCCGTCACGCCAGCTAGCCCTGCTGAAGTCCGTGTGAATGGCAAAGACGCATCTCCAGCGACTCTTAGTCCTAGATCATCCGGATCTGGCAGACGAGGTATCGGTGCCAGAGGTCAAGATGGAACAGTCCGATTCATGCTTGATGCCGAACAAGCCAAGGAGGAGAAAGACATCACTTCCAAGTATTTCACAGAGGAATGGGAAGAGTATGAAGTGGAGGTTGAGGAGCCGATCAAGCCGGAGAAGGAAGATAGAGGTCCTCGGCCACCTTATCGTGGTAATGGTCGTGATGATAGGCCTACTTTTCATCAGAATAAACGTCCCAGGAGATAAGTAGGAGGCATGGAGGATCATTGTTTGGCGTTGGGAGATTGGGCATAGGTTTTGGCAGGTCACACGAGCATGGGTTCACGGAGATGGCGTTCACGATAGATACCACTGCTATGTAGAATAATACGGATACTGTGAACATCTGCTCTCATGTGTAGTGCTTTACATGTATATTCGTGTCTTCGGTTCTGGCCTCGATAACCTCGTTATCTTCATGCTGTGGTATGAGTAGGCAGCCATGAATTTATCCAATTAAGGGGCTCGATATATTCAAGGTCACCAGGAACCTTCCACTAGAGTTTCAAGCTTCATGTCTCGCAAACATTTAGCAATAAGCTTCACAGCTTTTGAAACTGCAGCAAATGTTTCCGCGTCAACAGTACTTCTCCAAACCAATCCCAATATCTGACGATACCTGGTATATTCTGGCTCGCCATGAACAGACACAGATTGTTTGAGCAGCCTTGTCTATGATGCATGTTGATTCGATATGGGATGCTGCATCCTGACGATGGGCAGACCCCTGGTTTCCTCTAGCATGTGATGATCGCTGGTAGCGCCTGACAGCCACAGCGATGACGATGAGGTCGACGCTCTTCCGAACGAGGGACCAGAACGAGAACAAGAACAGGCAATGTGGCTTTACTGCAACAAATCAAGGCAGAACAATTCCCCCACGGCCAAATCTGTGTGATATCAAACCTCCCTCCACCGCGAATGCATTTTGTATCCTCATAATAATTAATTGACAAACGCACCATCTGCCGGCAAACAATCTGCGAGTGAGTGAATGGCACGCAAAGCTGCTCCCGGGCTCTCTTCAGCTGCGATGGGTCGCTAGTGACGTTTTGCAAGGATGCGCTAACCAGCCATTTTCTGTAGAGCTTCGCACCACCACCAACTTTCTTCTTCCGCACACGACACGACACCATTTCCTTCCACGAAACCAAAACCTCAAAAGTGCGACAATCGAGCAATTACGAAAGACAGTAATCTCTTCTCCTCGTCAGAACTCGCAGATTCCAACATCAACAATGGCTCCTCCGCCATCCGCATCTCTGCCTTTGCAGCAGCGATTGATTCAGCTGGCGCAGACTCTACAGTGTAAGCAAATCTCTAGAACCTTCTCCGATCGCGCATGCTGATACTCCTCATAGTCGCTTGGTTTGTTGGGTACGTTTATACTCTCTTACGGGTGTCATTGTTCTGTTCTCGAACTTCGAAATGCCTGCCTGGAGCGGTGTTCCGAGTTCTAGGATAGAGCTTTGTCTACCCTGTTGCATATCATAATATGAGGGTTCATGCAGGAAGCTAACAACGTGCAAACAGACATCTGACCCTCCTCTTCTGTATCGCTCGCTATGGGCTCTCCTACATCACATTCAACTACTACTCGAGATGGGCAAGATTCTCCTACCGTACCGCTTTCGTTTCCGCGGCGGTGACATATGGAATTGTGGTCTACAAGGCTTTCCGTGCTCGTTCAAGACCTGGCGCAAAAGCTCCTCCCAGTGCTCTTGCCCTTGTCGCTGATGAGAATGTTCAATACTTGGGTGAGTGTCCTCTAAATTCCCCACTCTGACCGGCGGCTAACCCCACCAAGCTATGGCCCTTGTCTGGCTCTTCTCTCCTCAATACCCTCTCGCCATGCTTCCGTTCGGTGTCTACTCCGTCTTCCACGTTGCCACCTACACTCGCACAAACCTGATCCCCACCATCCAACCTGGCCAACCAATTGCTCCTGCAGCTGGTGCAAGCCCATCCGCCAAGCCAGCCACCAAGACCAGCCCATATGCCGACATGATTGGCAGGTTCGTCAAGGAATACTATGACACCTCCATGGGACTCGTTGCTATCCTCGAGATCCTGCTCTGGGGCCGTCTCTTCCTCTCCGCCGTCACCTTCCAAAAGGGTTCCTGGATCTTGATCGCAGTCTACACCGCCTTCCTCCGAGCTCGATTCGCACAAAGCACCTTCGTCCAAGGCTCGTTCAAGCAATTGGAGGCAAGAATCGATAACCTCGTTGGTGCGCAATCTACTCCTCCAGCTGCCAGAGCTGTTTGGGATAATGTTAAGGGTGGTGCGAGGACATTCCATGATGCTACCGATGTTGGCAAGTACGTCAATGGTCCTCAAGCTCAGAAGAAGGCTTCTTAGCTACTCCACGCGAATTACGACCAATATATCTGGATACGCCGACTTGTTTGTGTAGGTGAAGCATATCCAAGTCACAGGCAGCAGATGATGGAACATGGACAGGAGGTATACGCAAGCAGGAAGGGGAAATGAAAAGTACAGTGATAAGGAAGGAAAGAGAGGTGGATCGGGAACTCTTTGATTTCTACATCATAGCGGTCTAGGTTTTTTCTTCTACTTCTCTTTCGTCTTCAGCTCTCGGGAATGGAATGGGAATTTTTACATATCGAATGGAGTGGAGTGGGGTGGAGGGATGTGTGTATTCGTAGTGTGGTTTATGACAGCTTTCGTATCGTATGATTTGAAAGACCGATGGCTCTTTTTCGCGTTCTTCTTTTTATGCAGACAATCAAACAATCAGACAGACAGACGAATGAGTGAATGGAATGGAATGTCGTATATGATATTGATGTATGTGTAGTGTGCACCGTGTGTGAAGTCCCGGTTCTGCTACTCCAATGACTGGAAGCAGAGAGTGTTCGTGTGTGTTCGTGAAGTTTGGGAATCGAGATGCGTGGATGGATGGCGGTTTTATGGATTTGGTGGTTTTTGAAGAGTTAGCTTGGAGGGTATGAGGTAGAAGGGAAGAGGGGTCGTTCATGGGGTATTGTATAGGGGATGGGCTGCTGGGCTTTGGCATAATATATTAGAAAGTTCATATATATGCACCGTTTATAGAGGGTGGCGATGGCTCAAATGGTAGGCGGTGTGAGAGTAGAGAGAGGGTGTTTTATGAATCTGGTGAAGTTTAAAGAGTTAGCTTGGAGGGTATGGGTTAAGGCGAAGAGGGGGGATGAGGTGTATATTGTGAGCTGTTAGGCTTTGGTACGGTGCGTCATAAAGTTCATATATTTGCACCGTGTATAGAGGGTGTTATGTTATTGGAATGGCGATGCGTAGAGATGTAGTCGGCGTAAGTCACTCGGTGTGAGAGCGGAAAGAGGGTGCTTGGTGTAATTAGTGGGTGTTTAGAGAATTTGCCTTGGAAGGTAGGTATGGATGAAGGGAAGAGTGGATGTTGGCGTTAGAGGGGAGTTTTCTGCATCTGGGGGATGAGCGTCGTGATGCTTGGGATCTAATTGTTGGTCTTAATATGAGGCCAGTACTGTGGTGGCTGGGTGATGGGAAATTTTCTTACTGTAGGGAAAACTTGAGATTTCTAGTTTGGCAGTTGTTGGAAGAATGTGTCGAGGATCCCGGATCTTTTGAATCTTGATTAGAATTGCAACTTATCTTCGGGAGGCGTGAAAAGGCGAAAGGGCGAAAAGGCAATAGCAAGAATTCTAATCTGTCATCTATTCCCAAAAAAAATCCTGAAGGCTCTCGAAGCCTTTGAGCGTTGTTTAGAATTTTGAGCCACCTCGAGGATTCGAATAAGGCAGCAGCAGAGATAAATTATGCAGCTGCCACCCGAAGTCCTGCATATAACATCTCAACTTTGGCCCCATGACAGATTTTAGGCTGGTGAGACGCCGATTGCTCGAAAGGGATTAAGCCCAGGATTTTGTGACTCCACGGAAGGGTAGCTGCAGGGTGCTAGAACATCGATCTGAGAACATAAAAGCTAGATAGTTGCATCATGATGAACGTTCATTGCGTTACTGTCTAGAGACGACATGGAATTCGATAACTCCTTCATGACCATCAGATCATCACATCATCCGTTCATACGCCATTGTGAGCATCCTCATCCCATTCCCAAATCCGTCGCTCCATTTCCGCCGAGAGGAAAGCAAACCTTTCCTCGCCGTCGCTAGACAAATGAGAGAATACATAAGAAAAAGGTGTCTGCTGGACACGGAAGAAGAGTATTTTGTTGACTAATAACACGTAAGAAACACTTTTCGCCACAGATTATGCTACCAACGAGCTATGTATCGGCACGTATGTAGGTTCACGATTCGCGGTTGTCGTGTTGCATTGACAAATGCTGGCACCTTCCTTGTTGGAGTTTTCCGATTGCGCGAGACCCATGATCCATACTGTTTCACCTGCTGTCATTGGATGAAATGCGTAGGTACAATACGAGGTGATGAGCTGCAAGTTTGACAGTGGGTAAGAATATTGAAGTGGTACAGAAGAAACTCGCGATAGCCGTTGGATTCAGGCTGGAAACAGTTAGCTCGGACCCGGTGCTAATCTAAGCAGCACAAAACGATGGGGCCCGGAAAACCTTAATTCAACTTACAATCATCAGCAACTTCATGGAAATGCTTCTCCAATCCTTGTCTCATCAACGCCGGAGCAGGTCTCGACGGCTTCTGCTCTTGCACAGTACTCCCTACACTTGACACGCTCGACCAGGTGGACGTGGTGCTCCGCATGCTCAAGGAATCCTGGGTGAATTGGGTGGATTGGGTGAACTGGCTAGACTGGCTAGCCTGGCTGAGTGAACTATCTGTTCTTCCAGTTCTCCTGCTTTGCCAGTCAAAGTCTTCATAGTCGCGGCGACTGGACTGGCGGAAATCATCGTTAGGACTCGCGCTATCCTGGGTCTGCTCCTTGGTCCTCGCAGTGCGAGATGTTTCGACCATTCTCGGGCTGTTTGAGCTTGACGATGCACTTGACAGGCTCTTCAGAGCCTGGAAATTTTGTTTATCCTGCGTAGTCTGCGCTCTGTATGCTTCGTCTATAGCCTCTTGTTCTTCATTATGAGCGTTAGCGCAAGTCTGTCTGCATGATTGGATATGCGTACTCTTGGACTTCTTGTCTGAGCGCAGAGCGAAAATACCATGCCTACCAATGGCTGAAATTGGCTGCTCCGTCGACGCGGCGTAATGCTCAAGCAATAACAGCAAAGATTTCCCAGTCTTCTTCTTGTAGGCCTTGATGGCATCTGTACCAGCTATGATCTGGAATTTGTCGGTTCCTTCCACGATCTTCAGTCTGACTTGTATGTTTCCCGACTCGATCCGCTGGAATGCCAGATTGGCATTGATGTACGAGCGAGGTTGTGTCTCATTGCCTCCAATTGGGCCCGAGAATGTTGTTCTGCTCGATTCTGGGATGGGTCTCTCTGTGAACGGACCCAATTTGGAAAGTGTTTCGCGGCTTATGAAACTTCTGTCCGCTCCCGTGTCAACAAGGACCACAAGTTCCCATGTATTGCCATTCAGATCCCTCATATGAACATGTACTGTGTATTTGTCTCCACTGTCACTGTCTTCGCTCTGTACACTGTGTATGCTCATTTGATCCGCATCAACCATGCCAAGTAATCGTGGGGCGAGAAGGAATCGAGTGCCCTGTGTCGACGAGTCTGGGCGTTCCACTTTTCCCCTGGTTTGTCGGTATGAACCATCAGACAAGCTCACCTCCACCGGACGTTTTTCGTTGGCAGTGCCAGTAAGCTTCTCCGCTAGGTCACTGGTCAAACCTCCAGACGAGACATGGTATATCCCAAGCCATGGCCACATACGAGAGAAAGAGGCCGCGATCTTTCGGCCGGTGTTGTTACTCTTCACTCTGCCTATCCATCCAAGAGACTGCTCTGCAGCAATTCGTATGTCAGTGGCATCATCGGTCGCCGGCGAAGACGATCCGTCGATTTTCAACAACGGCAGTTTCTGTTGGAGCCAATCAGTGTTATCGGACTGAGAACGATCCTTCGGTGTATGTGGAGGGGGAGGTTCTGCTGCGTCGTATCGGGTGGTTGAAGAGCTGCAGTCTCCCTTGCACTCCTGAGCGATATTCGTCTCCCCTTTGATAGTCAATTTCTGCAGACATTCGACATCCGCTGTGGATATGTGACGAGTGACTGCTTGCTGTTGAACGGCCGGGGAATCACTGGGACAGACCGCTTCTCCGACTCCACACATGGTTGAGATGCTCGACTCCGCGCGATCGCATTGACTTGAGGTCATCTTGATGAACAGGAGAAAGAGATTGAAGAAGATGGAGAAGACGCAGGTGCACGTGGCTCTACAATGCCCTCGTAGTTCGTCGTCGTCGAGGAGGAGATGTCGATATCTGGATTCATTCACACATCAGCTTGTGCTTGTGTCCTAGCACACACCGCATCAGAAATCTTGTTTGGGGTAAATACGCTAAACCTTTTTCATCTGATTGGCTTGCATGGAATCGTTGCAGGCTATAAGGTTTACTTGTGAAGACATATTCGGTGACTTGAGGTCTGTTACAAGTCACTAATCTTTGTATTTACCCGCTGCAAGAGTAATTGCACATCTCTGCCAGTATTTTCTTTCTTAACTGATCGGACTGGCATTTTTTTAGCCGTTTTTCTCGCTCTTTTGTGTATTGAAGTGCTTTCGTTGAGGCTCCCGCACAGCAGGGCGTCGACTTTGTCAGCACCAACGCGAAACACTCACCGAGGGCGTCAAAAAACTCGCTTGTTAGCCTTGATTCCTGTATATAAGAATCACGTCGCCCATGGTTTGAACTGAAGCTTTTGATAGTTTTCTGATGTCCCAATGTCAGGCTATACCAAGTTGGCGAAGTTCATGACCCAGAAACATCATCCCATCTTGAGAAAGTTTCAACATCTCGCGACTCGTGATCTCTTGTACTTACAGGCCGAGCTATGCGAGCTGGACTTTAAACACGACACAATTGCCAAGAAGGATGCCCTAGAGACAGATGAGAGGCAGTATTATGGTCGAGACTGGCAATATCTGGAGAGCTCAAATCAAAGAGGCTTTGGCGGCGAGCAGTGGGCCGTTGCTCTTGCCACGAGAGCAAAGTTGCGAGAGTACTGTAAGTAGAAACCATGCGTCAGGCCCTGGGTTGACACCGACGCTTGACGTGTATCCAGATGCAGCTTTGTCGCAGTATTCCCAGATTGCCTCAATTCCTGAGCCAAGCCCATCGGAACGAACGATATTGCATGACTGGATTGGAAGTCCGGCAATGGGAGGCGGTTGCGGATTTCTTGGTCGCGACCTCGGAGGCTATGAGCAGCTATCCGTCTATGAAGATCTTCACCAGAGCGACTTGGCCATTCTTTCTGATGCCCATGGAGAAGACGATCTGTTTACCAGATTTGTCACTGGACCTCTGCTCACGCTTTATCATTGGATTTTGAAACGTAGAAGAGTAAGTTTCCATATCTTGATACCACACATCGTCCTCCTGAAGCATGACTAAGTGCGGACCTTCAGAACCCACTGGCCATTGACCCAGAGAATCCCCCAGTGGGCGACAATCGGAGCAATTTACATCACTATGATGACCGTCGTATCGAAATGGTCACAAATATTTTAGGAACAGTCTTTTCATCATTCGCACCTTTGCTTTCCATCGTTGTGCTATCGTTTGTGAGTAATGCAAAGGCGAGACTCGGGCTTGTTTGTGCTTTCACGATACTATTCACCTGCTGTCTCGCTGTTGCCACAAAAGCCCGCCGAGTAGAAATCTTTGCCGCATCTGCTGCGTAGGTAACCTCTCCTTCAATGTTATTAAGAGACTAATCAGCCTTTAGTTTCGCTAGTGTTCAAGTGGTGTTTATTGGAAGTTCCAATTCAAACTCAATCGTGCTGTGAGGACATGGTCATTGCTATATCGGCATGTGTGTGCTTCATGCAAATCATGTCGCAATATCCTTTTTGGCAATGGCATTAGTTGTTGACGACGGATGAAGAATGTATATAACTGAAGCGGAAATAAATCTTGTCGACTCTTGTTCACATCCCTATTGAGGGCATGTCTTTCACAATTGCCCGGCTCGAGCCTCCTTCGGCTGACTCGAGCTTTTGCTTCTTGATTCAAGTGATCTCGAAGCGTCATAAAGACAAGAAAATTAGATGGGGACAAAGAGGGTGGCACCATGCATCGTTGCAGTTTGCAACGATCTTGAACCATTGTCACCGACGGGTATTGTCTATCTCTTAACCAGCTTTCTCGAGAACACCTTGCAATAGTACTTCGGGCTTCGAGAAATCACCCTAGTCTCCAACTTCCAAGTAACTGCCTTGCTTCACCGACATCGAAGCGCTATATCATTTCATAGGGACCTTAGGACGCCCGGACACGCCCGGGTACACAGCAAATTTAATCTCATAAGGCTGTCATGACAGACTCTCAAAAGACCCCAAGGCGTTCTGCGGTGGCTGATTAAGCCTGGTTCTAATCGTGTAGAGATCCATCGAGCTACAAGAATGTGATTGTTGAATCTCTTATGTGTTGCACCATTCTTGCGTTATAATTCATTGCACTGAGTTGATTTCACGATTCATTAACTATTGTGGGGTGAAAGATCGTCTTGGGATATGAGACAAGGATTTGAGCATTGTGGCTTGCATAAGCGCTGCATGGCACGCGAGGCTGAGCCTTTGAAAACAAGTCCGCATCCGCCACATCTGCTGCGGTCGCTCAGCTGAGGAATTTGCACAGTATGCCTCGCGTCTCAAGGCTCTCCAGCTCTCTACAGCCTCTATATGTCCACCAGATCATGTTCTCGATGCTGTTAAGAAGTCTTTCTGATTATCGCATATGAGCTGAAGCTATGTGGAAGGACCGCCTGCTTCGTTTCTTCGGTCGCAATCCTAAGAAGCACAAGGGTGTCGTGAGCGATCAACCCCCATCCATCGGAAAATACCATACTGACACGATGAAGTCAGGGTATATTGTAGCTGTTGAGATATTCAAGACGCCATCCGATGAATTGCATCCTTTGTCACTGAAAGCAGCATATGTACCTACGTACAAACGGCATCGAATGTCCCAAGCACTCGCGCAAAAGATGGACCTCAACATTGATAAGGATGGCATGGCAGAAGCGCTTTGGAAGGAACAGACTGCCAACTCGAAATCCTTCGTATGCAAAAGCCGCTTCATCATCATACCAGGTCTGCCATGGGATGTGGTGTTTGGAGACTACGATAGCGGTGAGATGTTTCGAGGGTGGTCTTGCCCTTTCCAGGGAGCCACCAAGCATGATTTTGGTGATACACTGGAACTCTTGAATGATCCTGCACCGCAGGCAAATCCGTGGGCGAAGTTTACGCAGCGAACAATGTCTTGGGCTTCTTTCGATCGGATAAAGGATACTTCGAGGCGCTCGTCATTTCCTCTAAGAACTTCCAGGCGCACGCCCACCATGCGTTCCCTCCTTGCAAAAAATTCGCCAAATCCTGGAAACGTTGCAATTGCCACAAATGGACCAGATCCAAGAGTTGCCTTGGTCTCTTCCCAGAACAGAGCACAGCATATTTCGAGAGAGGGTGGGTACAGACCAGGAGATCAATTACAGATTGAAGAAACAAGCTTGAAAGTGGTTCTGTCAAATGTTACAGAAGAGGCTAAGACACCACCTGAGGATACAAATAATCCGAATAGCATAATGCGGGAGGTGGCGTATCGATCATTGAAAGATGGGCCACCTCCGCACCTCAGTGATTCGACGGAAAGGAAACAAGGATCTTCTCTAGAAGAAAACTTTCCAATTAATTCAGATTTAGCACCGGTAGCTTTTGATACGTTAAGTGGTGGAACGGAGAAGTTTCAAAACGGCTCGATTGAGCAGCAAAACAGCCAAAAACTAATCAAAATGTTGACAAGTGAGGCTGAAAGAAGAGAGGCAACTACACCCCAGGTGGTTCTCGAACCTACCTCTAAAGTGAACGTGGCAGAACATGTTAAGGAGAGCAGAAAAGAATCTGCGAATGTAAACAGAAAGAGGATAGCGGTTGCAATGCTCGAGGCAAGAGAGCAGGCAAAAATCCACCTCGAGCAAATGAGAGATGTAAAAGCTGGAAGTTCGACAGGAGATCGATTTTCGAGCTCGGAACTTTCCCTGATGGGAAACAATATCTGGGACTCCCCCAAAACTATAACACGGCATACTGTAAGCTCCGACGGGAGCAGTGTACCTCCTACTCTGAGAGCCGCAGGGCCTGAGAAGGCGAGTCGTGTCGGATTAGAGAATCTGACATTATCCGATGTTGTGGAGCATGTTGGAACTCAATTCTCAGAGACAGCAGAGATACCGCCAACACATAGTGAACTTGCCTCTTACAAGGTGAAGCAATTTCTCGAACAGGATGCAGAAGAGAACGAAAGGGCCACTCACAGCGCCGATCCAGGAAATGGGTCTGCTCACACCTCAACCCATGAAGCTCCCAGACCTAGGCGGATAAAGAATCAACGAAATTTGCCCAAGATTAGAAGGGCGAAGGCAAAGCAGCCAACGGCTGCTACGAATTTGGATGTATCTGCACCACACTCGGATGACTATTGGACTTGGGATGACACCGTGAAACAGCATTTTCACGTTGATTCGGATACTCAGTCTATAGTCTGGTATGAAGACTCGGAGTCGGATTCAGAAGGGTCTCTAAAGTCAAATCGGTCAATAACGCCTGCGAGCTCGCCCGTGGACGTTCCTACTACCCATCAAAATTTCTGAGAATGATGGTGTCTCTGCTATCTGCGCGCCTCGTACAGTAGATTGTGTGTATACTCTCAGTACATTCCACTCATCAGGAGCTCTTCAATGGACCTATCTACGACTCTTTGCACACCCGTTCCATCAATATATCACAGAAACGTCCCTAAAGCTACATCTAAATCGAGATCTTGGAACTGTCTTACAATTTTTTTGGCAGACGGATGATTCTACTTCGAGTTGGTTTCAATGCTTTGGCAATATGCTCATGCTCTTAGGTGTTGAGTATCTGGGCCAGATGACCCTTGGTCTCGCTGGATTCATGGAAATTCTTCTGCTGTCTCATATAAATACTCAACACACACCTTGGATATTCGGTGGATTCCATTAAAGCCAGAAAATGTGCGTCATGGCAGTAGTATGGTTGATGTCTTGGAAATCGGCCCTTTGCGGATAGATAGGCTCGTCAGGATAAAATGGACTTGTCGTGGTCATAGAACGACGGCAGATTTGAATAGCAGAATCGATACTGGAAGTCAGGATCTGAATCGAACTTTACGATAATATATGGCTTTTTCTGAAATACTTTCTCCTGCTAAAAGAACCGGTTGCAAAAATCCAATGAGTTATACTACTCTACGAAAGCAACTTGATTCCAAAAGGATAAAAACAAGCTCAATAGCATAGCAAGAACGATTGAACAATAAAATGGTGTTTATAAATCGGTCACTCCACATTGAAATTAAGCAAAGTTAATTTCGGTGGGAGATGGTGGCAAGGTCATTGAAGCTTATTCTTGAGTTATAGGACCCACTTTCACTTTCCCGTCCACTTTCTCTCTCTTTGCCAGCTTTTAATACTCCTACTGCTCCCAGTCTCCCAGTTTCCCACTTATCTAGTCTCCCACTGCCCTCTTTGTTTTCTAGCTTTTGTGTATATACAATATAATGCTTCTTAGCTTTTGTATCAAAAGGAGGAGAACGGAAGTGGCTAAGATTGAAAAAAAAATCATACCTTATATTCATTACACTATACTATACTACCTTCACTATATCGTCTAGCGAGGCAGCTGTGAGGCAGAAGACAGAGCTTGGCATTTGACTGTTTATATCACTCAACAAGAGCATCCAGAGGCTTCGTGGGCATCGCAAATCCACTTTCTCAGTGCAATCATGTTCCCAAACCAACAAGATTGCTTTGGCCTCACCATGTGATGTCTCATGTCTCAAGCCAGGTGGATGTTTGTTGTTTCCCCAGGCGTCTTCTCTCGTTTCCTATCCCTCTAGAGTGCTTGTTCCCTACGCCATAAATTTAGAACCCGCTACCGGATGACACGGAACCTAAATCTGCAGACCTACGTTGATCTGGTATGAAGATTGCGCATGGCTTCCTCCTCCAAGATAGTGCACGTAGAGGAAACACCTCGCTGCGGTGCTTGAGGCGGAAGCAGAGGGACGCGCGGATCTTCCGTGATTTGTTGTAATGAAGCTTTCATCAAGGAAGAACGGGAAGTTGCACATGGTACGCGCTTTGTTCCAAATGAGAAAACAATGAAAGTTGTGTGGTTGAAGCAGAGATATGACTTTGCCATGTTTATGACAGATGCGCCATTTGCCCCGCCTTTCATTGCCTTCGCTTCTGTCTGTGCCGCCCTTTACTGACTCTTGACTTTTTGTTGCAGGCTTTGGAGCCTGTTCCAATGTTTCATTCTCTTTCAACTGGTAGAAATCAAGTTACTGCCTTCTGCTGTCCATACAGACCTAGGAGATATTAGCACGAGCGGAGAACTGGATTTTGAAGATGGTTTTAAGGGCTCTTGATAATTCGTCAGTGTACCTTTCAAGGCATAAACACTTGGTATTTCTGAGCAGTAAGCCTATATTTTGCAAGACTCATAATGGCGTATCATAAGTTCAAGACCCACACAGCACAACTCTAACGTCGTCGATAATTAAAATAGAGATTTTAAGGCGTATTCATGTGACAGGTTTGATTGACAAGCATTTATCTTTGTAATACTCATACTGGTTCATCTAATATGGGAGATTGCATAGCATAACTCAAAGTTGTGAAAATTTCCGTGAGATTTCCAAATCGAGATACTATAAAAATGATGGGAAATATGTGATTAGCGACCTCACAGCGTGAGAATCTCCGTCAAAATATTGGCTAGGTCTGCATCGATTTCATTGTTCAGACAAGCCTTGTGCTATTCAGGAGTCACTCCGCTTCACGACATCCGACCAGAAGTTCCCATGTTCTTGGGACACTCGCACTATGGTGTATTTAAAGATTTGTAAATTCTTCTCCACTTATTATATCACAGGCTAAGCCTCAACTTTGGCTTTTGATCGTGTCTGGGTGAGTGTATTCGATGCAAGAGCAAGCGCAAGTGAGCTAGGTAATAAGTAAGTTTTCTCTGTCAAAACAGTGCTGAACTGTAGGCATTATGAAGAGAGGCTTCATTAAGACCAGGATGAAGGGTATCTCTGAAAGAGTGGCATTTATCAAGGTGATCATTTTGTCTGGCCAGGTTTGAATCAATGAAAACATGCACTGATGTATTAATGTACATGATAACTGAGATTCCAAAAGGTTAGAAGCCGAGACATACAGAGAGGATGAAGAGAGCATAAGCCGCATAGATAACAAGAGAATTATAATTCCCTATCTCTGGCTGCGGGGTAAAGTTGGTGCTAGCTTTCATTTAAAGCAAAAGTGAAGTTTTCAGTATGTCCATTCTTAAAATTTCAAAGCAAATCCCGAATATGTAGCTAACAAAAACGAAGAGAAGCTTAAGTCACGTAGATGTCAAGAGACTTATGAAAATTGTATATTCTACTCAGCGCATGGATAATGCTAGTGTTTATCTATGTCGAGATTGATGTCTTCAGTGGGTTTATTTCTCCATGGCCAAAGTCTCAAAGCTATAGAGAGAACAAAGAAATGTCTAAGTAACGAGAAGGTAAGAATCCTTATGGCCATCCTATATACGGATACGTGGTAGGAACAATGTTAGCGTTTATTTAATCCGAAAGTGATATCTTCGATGAATGCATTTTTTAATATTGAAAGTCACAAGGTCGTATAGAAGATAGAAACTTGTTCAAAGCACGTCAATATCGAGAGGATAACATAGGCTATATCTCTAGCTGCAGGTCTGGACAATGATTTGACATTCATTGAGGTCTAAATTGAGATTTATACCAAGTGCATTTTTCCATGTTAAAAGTTCCGTAGCTACACCAAAGAGAGAGACTTGCTCAAGGCATGGAAAAGGTAAGATTTCAATGAGTTTTACATGCCCTGCCATAGCTCAGGGACAATTCCCGCGGCTGCTCAAGCTAAAGTTAGTATTTTCAATAAGTGCATTTCTTGATATCAAAAGTCCCAGAAATGTGGTGTAGAGAAGATAAGAACGTCTTTGAGTCACGAATACAACAACAGAGGGCCACCAAAGATCTTGGCCGACTTTGTGGGAGCGGAGCTGTACGTGTCGATGGTAGCTATGGACATGAGCAAGATTCGGGCACGGCTTGGAAAGACGAAGATTGGAGAGAAGATTTCGGGATTGAAGATGTACAATGTTGCTAGTGAGGTAAGAGTTGAGCCCCTAACTTATGGCGGTTACATCTCCAGCTGCAGCTCACGAACAATATTTTAACGTTCATTGTGGTCGAAATTGATATCTTCAGTCCGAGCACGTGATCGGCTATTACGCGAGGGGGTAACGAGGGAGTGGTTTCGTTTACAAGCCTCACAACTTCGTGTCCGTCGCAACCCCATCCACCAATCCCTATATCAAGAATAGTGTAACAAACGCACCTTATTAAGATTGATAACTGGCTTCCAGAAGTGGTTTCCTTGCTTGTGGAAGTATCTTATTCCGACCTTTCCAAAGTAACTCGGATGGTACTTGTCCATGTTCGTCCTGTGGTGATATTATCTACTAGCGAGACCTCGACCACCGGGATACTTGCAGTGCTTTCCTACACGACCGTGACCGGCCGAGACGTGTCCGCAACTATATTCATTTGCTCATTCAACCACTTCCCGTTCCCCAAACCTCTATAAACAATACAAATACAACAATCATGGTCCGTCCGTCTCGCCGCGCTGTGTGGGTCGCCTCCACAATGAGATCCGCAGGTCTCATTATGCAGGACAGCAAGTACCGCGCCGCCCAGGAGATGAAGAAGCGGGACCACTTCAAGATTGAGGTCTGCTTCTCATACAACCTCAGAGAGGCCCGAGAAAGCGATACTTTCAAGAGGGAGATTGCTGGTGAGACGAAGGGAGAACGTCGTCTTCGCGAGGCGGCTCTTTGGGATATTGAGGATGAGGACTCTGATGATGGTGGCGATTACGATGAAATCGTCGAACTTTCAGGTGAAGACTGCTACGCTGGTTCCCTCATGCTTCACGATTTGTGCGACGAGATTGACGCGGAGGGACTTGACCGTGTCTTTCACGTTCGTCAAGTCATTGGTCCTAGCTGGGTTACTCTGGAGGCGTCGATGTCCGCGGGAACTCTTCCCGAGCTTTTCCAATGGTTTGGCTCGTTGATTGGCTATGACTACAAAGACTGTGACTTCCTGAATGGTACGGATAGCATCATCTACGGAAAGAAGGAAGAGTTCAAACATCTGCACTGGATTGACCTTTGGCGCTTGGCTGATCGTCTTGTAAGTCTTTCTTCCTTTCTCCACCTTTCTTGATCCCCCTATCCATTGTTATCATTGAAAACCGCACAAGTCATCACGTTGTATGATTTGAAGCATTTGTCACTTGCACCTTTATCTGCGCTATTACTTGAAGATCAGAGGAAAATAGTCCACTAACATGGTAATGGGATGATAGATTTCAAGCAAGATTTGCAATCTCGCCGCCAGAATGATCGCTGGTGCTACTTGGGTTATAGACGAGAAGGAGGATTCAGACGATGAAGGCACTCCAGGCTATTGGAAGTACACTCGCCCCACACCACATGGTCCATACTTTGAACACAGACCATTCGAAAAAGATCACAATCGCGAAGAAGGAGAAGATGATGGAGATCATGAAGATGGAGCAAATGATCACGACGGTATGGAGTACGAAGAAGAAGAAGATGGTGATCACGAAGATGAAGCAAATGACCAAGAGGGTTTGGAGTATGAAGAAAAAGAAAAAGAAGACGAGGACGAAGATGGAGAAAATGGCCAAGACGGTATGGAATGTGAAGAAGAAGAAGAAGACGAGGACGAAGAGATGAGTGACTGTAACGATGAAGAGGACGAAGATGAGAGTTTGTGGTCAGAGGGCTCGTGGTCAGACCCCGTCGAGTTTAGGCGTACTGTGTGGAACGAGTACACCTTCATCAACGCCGGCGTTATCCTCGACGTTTGGAGAGCCACCGACTTCGCCGAAGATGTTAAATACGACCTGAGTGCCGGTCAAATCAACTGGGAGAATAAGAAGCTTCTCAGCTTCCTTCTCGATTGTGTCATCTACAAGGATGTCAAGACCTTTAATGGTTTGAAACATCCCTCCGGAGTCGTCATGGGTCCCGAGATCATGGCCTTGCTGAAGAATGGTTCGGAACTCGCGGCTGAGCTTGGCGTTAGATGCTATCGCGCTGGTATGAATCCTATGGATGAGACTTGTCCATGGAAGGAAGACAACATCAACCATTACTTGGAGGTGATCCAGCACTATGATTAGGGTAATAACTAGGAAGAAGAATGTTCTCGATTCTGGTGATGAGACTTGTCCATGGAAGGGAACCGACATCACGAAGTACCTGAATGGCATCAAACACATGACGAGGATGACTGGTCACGAATGGGCTTTGTTTTGAATTTGTACATTGAGGATTACTGGAGTTTGTGGATGGCATGTAGGAGTATTACCACACGATTTGAGACGGGTCGATTATTGAAAGGCATCCGCGATAGATGCAGAAGAGCAAGTCTCTTCCTTTATGTCGCTTTCATAAGAGTTTTGAGGGACTTGATTTCGTAGTAAAAGCTTCACCAGACCCTCGCTTCCTTGCTCGTGAACTTGTGACTTCTAAATTAGGAAACAAGGCCAAGCTAGTATCACTTTCAAAAGTATTTCTACGCTAAAGAGACCATTGACTGGTGGAGAGAGCATCCTCTTCACACAACTCCTTGCGACTGTTCTTCAACTTTGTTGCCTTCCTCTTATTTCGATCTTATTTCTCAAATCGGCCCCTTCCAAGCTCTTGACAGATAGCCCCAATCATCGAAGAACAACCATCGTAGCGATTTTATGATCCTCGCCCGCATCTCAGAGTTTGAGGCAGTATCAACACTCCCTGATACTGGAATCCGCCACCAAAGATAGGAAATTACAGGTCAGCTCGTTGAACGTGAGTGTTATGACTTTGGCTACCCATGGCTGCTTCTTGTATTGAATCTAATTCTTGCCTGTTCAGGTTCAGGTTGACGATAGTCATCATGGCTGGATCAAATGTCATTGGCAGAGTTTCGAAAGAAGTTCATGAGAAGTGAGTCGACTCCCTCTGAAGGTAATACCATACTTATCGATGATTCAGACTACCAACTTCGGGAGTTATCACAGTTGACTGCTCAGAGGAAGATGAACCCACGCGAGTCCTTCATCTACCTGAAGTCTTGGCATGTGCCGTTTCCTCACGCTTCCGAGATATTTGCAAATCGACCAAAAAGAGATGTTTTCAAGCCGAAGAGTTACTCGGACAGTCGGTTGAGAAATTCCGCAAAATTTTCGACTACAATAGTATCTATGACCTCCTTGAAGTGTTCTCGAGGTGGCTCTATGGCATAGATTTCTCGGAAGCAAAAACGGCGTGTTATAATCTTTGGTTCTTCGGGCAGAAGATAGGATCCCCGTTCTTTCAAAACGATGCCATACGCCAATTGTGCTCTACGGTGAAAGTCGAGAAAAGCGAGCTGTCCGACATGTTCGAAGACTGCTATAATATGGGAGACCTTGCGCAAATCTGGGACAGATCAGATTTCGCCCCGGACAACGAGCTTGAATACGATCAAGACACAGAAGTACATTGGGACAACAAGCAGATGTTGAAATTCGTTCTCGATGTACATGCTTTTGTTAGCTTGCAAGACGAAAACGTAGTTAGGATGGTCTTTTTGGCAGGTGGGAGATGTACCTATCACCTTACCCAGATTTTTGTTGAGGCAGTCAAAGCTGGAGGATTCGACGGTGCACCCTGGGAAGAGAGGAATATTCACAAATATCTGCTGGAGGAGACACTCGCGGACGAAGGCGATGCCGAGGAGGATGACGATGACAGCCATGATGAAGAAGAACACGAAGACGATGATTCCACTGATTCCGATTCTATTCCCAAGCCTGTTTTGAAACTCAGTCTAAAGCGAAAATCGCCAACGGAGGATTAGAGAGGACACGACTCAACGAGAAGTCCACCCGCTCTTGACCTCCTCGACTGCGAAACATTTTATCTGGAGAGTCTTCGGGAGCTCTCGAGAGAAGCCTTCATGGACACAGAGCAAATAATATGCCAGAAACTAACAAATGATCTTGAGAATCACATGGGCGGAATAGTATCAAAATGGAGAGATTTTGAGTGGGTCTCCGCGCAGAACAATAGTTTATCAGCAAACAAAACGATGATTTAGACAAAAGCAATGCATGATTTTCTTCTCTCTTGAGAATAAGAAGTACTTTAAGGAGGGCGATAATACGTGACAGAACACCTGATCATGTTCTGACATACCAACTGCAGACGGCTTGACAACTGCATAGGTACTTCCGAAAAGATAGCAACGCTGTCTTGAGATTAGGTTCAGACTTGCATAGCAGCCTTTTGACTATGTTCCACGAGGTCTATCTTATTCTGTTCCATTTCGTGTCGGATCTAGCCTCGGTACTTTGAACCTGCGGAGGGTCGCTTAGGTCGTTAGGTTCTCCACGTCTCTAATCTTGTTCTCAAGGATCGACCAACTTTCTTCCTTCATCTTCGACATCTGAGGTGACCAGAGAACAGCTTGTCAAACAATCGCGGCAAGGCATGTATCCATTAATCGATGTTCAAATGTGTTGCTGATTAGTCAATTAGAATGGCTCGGCCAATTCACGGATCCGAAGATGAACTGACATTCTGGGCGAGGTACCTCGAGTTCTGAGTCTGTTTTTGAGGATAAAAATTGATGATATTTAGGGTTATGAACAAAGATACACTGCAGATCAGCTGCCGCTGCGAGCCAAAGGAGGCGATCAACCTCGACGAAGATGTCTCGATCGATGTCGATCCAGATTTGGTATATGTCCACCGCATCCTAGCAATCCAACTATCTCACCATTTCAAACGATGCGTTGGGGATTTCCCGGACGAGAATGAAGATATTGAGCCATTTGAAATATCTGAAAAGACTGAGCCGAACTTTGCTCAGTGGGCTCGGAACGCTCAACTTCGTCACTTGATGACATGCTTCGGTGCTTGGGTTTATGCTCGTACACTACCGCATGAAACCACCCAACTCGTCGACTTGTGGCGATTTGGTCAGATTATCGGCTCTCCCTCGTTCATGAACGCAGTCATTATTCAATTAAGCGCCAATATTGAAGTGTACTTCTCCAGCGGTGATACCATTTCAAAGGTGATCACTGCCGACAACGTTAGGCGTTGCTGGGAAACATCAAACTTCGTGCGAGAGAATAAAGAGGCTGTATGTATGGAGGTTAACTGGGACAATAAGAAGATGCTGAAGTTTTTTATCGATGTCTTCGCCCACAAGGCACTCCATGTAAAGAACTTCTTCGATGAGAATGAAGATCTGAAGCTGCTAGTCACTGGACGGGACCAACTGGCACTCCAGGTTTTGAGAGCAATTGGAGCAAGGGGACAACTGGATGAGGCGCCTTGGCAGTATATTGGCATTAAGCAATACTTGGTCAATGAGGACATGTCGGAGAGCAGATTCGAGAGTGATTGCAGATGGGAGACTGATGCGGGAAACTAACTTTGAGATGTTTCTACATATCTTCGAGGGTTTGGAGGAGTATGACAACTCTGACTCGGTTTCTCTCTGTGTAGATTGTTGTCTAGGAAGTCGTTGGCAATGCAGATAGGAAAAACGAAGGTCCAGCTCCTTGGGAAACATGTGGACCAAGGACAATCAAGGTTTCCCCAGAAGATTCATGAAGCATGAATTCCGTCCAAATTATCTCGAACTTTACCAGTGAGCGCTTCAATTTGAACTACCATTAGTCGAATAGTCTTCACTTCTAACATTGGCGCTGTACTTGTCAAGTGTTCTCCTTCACTGTGGTAGGATCACGTGCACGCGTGCCGAAGCGTGCCTTCCCTTTTCTGCACTTTCCAGGTTCGACCTCGCGCATCAGAATAAAGACGCGTCTTCTATCTCCATCCATTCTTCTCAACACAACCAACTTTCCAGCAGTCCACCACAACTGCGAACCTTCTGCAATTCGAACTTGTCACAGCTTGACAGCCTTCCAAGGCACTGTTCTATCCGCGGAACCTGCACAGTATAGTGTAGAGCTCGAGATCAGGAGCAGGTGAGTACGGGAGCATTGTGAAAAGTATCAGGAGCTGCTCTGACTTGGAGGTGAAGCAGCATGGCTTGAGATTCGGGCGGAGGTCTCATGAGTGAGGATGAGATCGATATAATCGATCTCGAAGAGTTTGAGGAAGAGTTTGAGGAAGATATCGATCCCAGCTTGCTTGCTGATATGGCAAACTTTCCTGGGAAGGCTAGGAATGAGGTTATTGCGGCGAGACGGTAAGTTGCTCCCAAATACAGTATGAGGTCTTGGTTTCCTCTAACTTGGGCGCGCAGACTTTGGGCTACAAATACCATTGAGATCTACAATAAGAACGAAGACGATCCTTATACGAGAAGAGTTTTCATTGCAAGAGATGTCATCTGCTCACTATCAGGTCGCTTTCGAAAGTTGTCACCCACCTCTCGATCCTGGCCAATCATTGAGTGGAAAATGGCCGTTGATCAGCAATGGAGGAAAAACTTCAACCCCTGGGCCTTCATACAAGATATAATGAAATATCTACACACATTTGCCCCAATAGAGACGGAGGAAGAACTCTTCGAATTCATGTGTGGCGAGTGGACATTAGGTGCTGCGTTCGAAGCTCCAAAGTATCAGAATTACGCCATGAAGAGAGCAATGTCCTTGCACACTGCGGAATTCCAGGTGCGAGCGAGGGTCTATATCAATAGTAACGAAAAGAATATTTCGATATGGGACGTAGTGCAGCTTCGGCGTTTCGAGCCCACATATGCTAAGGAAGGCGATCTAAACAAGTACAAGTTGGCGACGTACATTCTTGACAGCCTGGTCTGGGATACCTTCGCGGGTGGTACTTTATGGCTGAATATGGTGAAAGACGGCGGTTTCCTAGCCGAGATTGTTGCGACAGCCCATTTCGAAGCAGCAAAGAAGCCCGCTCCAAGATTCCCGCCATGGCACATATTCAATCGTCACAAGTACCTGCTTAACGAGGATCCTATCACCCCACCAAAGCGAGCAGGCGACGATATGGTCAGTGAATCAGGGAAGCGGGCTAGATATATGTGATTTGGATATCTGCTCTGGCCCAATTGACATCAACTCGATGTTCGAGGAGACATGAGCTATTTGTGATACGGTCTGGCAGGTGTGAAAATGATAACGGTAGCAAGCAAAGGAATTTAGGGCAAGGGCATGGAGCTTGACATTGCTGGGGATAACTGACTGGAGGACATTAAGAATGAGGGAAGCCATTGCTTGCATGTATTGTTAGACTTATAGCATGCGATGCTTATTACAAACTACAATCTAGACCTTCATCAACGTCGTTTCGTGGCTATTCTCGACTATTTTGCAGTACAGTCAGCCTGCATGCGATTGCATTTCTGGACCTTAAGAAGTGTCTAGCTACCGATCAGTAAACAGTATTCCTGTATGATTGCAGAATTAGACTAAGGCCTCCAAGTGGAAAATTGACAAATAGAACGATAAGTAAACGTTCCGAAGCGCCGTCAGATCTCAACGTTGATTGAACAGAACGCTCACTTGAATGTGAAAATAACTAAGCGATGAAAGATATTGAAGTCATCAAATGGTATCTATTAGTCTATTGATATTATGCAGGTATCCAAATTCCAATCATCGCTCCCGTTCAGAAATCCATAACCCAGAACTCCACGCTTCTATCCCATTACACCCGCTGACTCGCTAACAAAGCCTCTTTTCCCAACGCCACACTCCTGAAGCCATCAATCTAGATAGCAAACTTACTCCTAGCCCTCAACTTGGCCCCAAAGATCCAAAGCAAATACATCCCAATAATCCCAATAACACTCAACCCACCCAACACAGAGACACCCTTGCCCACCCCAAGATTAATAAACAACGGCCTCCCAAACAAAATACTCCCACACGCAAACGCACTCCTCAAAAAATCATTGCCCGCAAACAAACTCGCGGCGTACTGCGGATACGACAGCGGCACGTACACAAAGATGCACTGCATCACGACGAACACGCTCGCGCCATAGATCGTGATACCGATCGTCGGCGCAATCCAGTGGATATCTGGACGCGCCGTCCAGCCGAAGAGGAAGAGGCCGATGGTGGGCCCGAAACAGGCGAAGAGGGCGGGGACCAGACGAGATTCTTGCGCGCGGAGACCGTTCTTGAGGATGTCGGGGATGAGGATTAGGTGCAGGTAGGAGCAGTAGATTGCGATGCCGATGAGGCAGGCGACGAGGATGCAGGTGAAGACGACGCCGATCATGCCGAGGGAGAAGCCGTAGTAGACGGGGTAGACGAGGGGGAAGACTTCGAAGAATGAATACTGTTGAGGAATTAGTATGAGGTTTTGATATAGATCGGCTCTTGGAAAGGAGACGAAATAAGAGCAGAGTGTGACTTACATAGATACCATAGATAATAGCGGTGTAAACGTTCACGAATGCGATAGCGGGGTCTTTGATCGTGATCTCGATGGGCTTGACGATAGCGTCGATCAGGATCTTGGAGGGCTTCATGTTCTTCTGGTCGATTTCGCTTTGTGCTAGGATACGGTTATCGCCCGTGAGTTTGCGGAGGCGGGCCGCGCGACGGAGGAGGATGTTAGGGGTGGAGGTCTCGGGCAGCAGGAGGAACATCAGCAGGAAGATGGGGCCGGCGGCCCAGAGGATCTCCCAGAGGGACCACCGCCAGCCTTTAGCTGTGACGGCGAAGCCAGATAGGAGAGGACCCAGAGCGGGGCCGCAATAGGCGGCAGAGACCCAGGCCACGAGCGCGTAGGGGAGGTAGAGGAGCGAGTACATGTCTTGCATGGTAGCGGCTCCTGTGGCGAGACATGGGGAGCCGAAGAAACCCTGTAGGAATCGCAGGACGAGGAGGCCGGCGAAGTTGTCGACGAGTGCGGTGGGCAAGGAGATAATTGTGAACATTGCCATGGTTGCGGCGTAGATTGGAGAGCGTCCGATACTGGGGATCTCGGAGAGTGGTGCCCAGAGAAGAGGACCCATTCCATAAGCGAGAACGTAGAGTGAGAGAGGAAGCGAGGCGTCGACTGGTCGGAGACCCCATTTCTCGATTACGCCTAGTTCAGAGGAGGTGTAGATTGCAGAGCCGGTGTATACGACGAAGGTGTAGAGACAGATGATGAGGGAGACGAAGAACTTCTTCTTTTGTGACCAGTTTTGAGGATTGGCTGGGTCGTCGGTGGTATACCACTCTACCAGGACGTTGCCGTCTGCTGTCTTCATGGGTACGATTGGCTTCGTTTGTGTGCGCTCGAGGGCGAGAACAGCTTCAACTTCTAGACGCTCTTCGGTGTAGGGCGTTGTCTCTAATCGACTCTTTGTTCGGCTGAGCTCGAGTTGCTCGACATCTTTATCGTAGGGATTTGGTTCAACTGTTTCTTGCTTCTCTAGATCCTCTGAATTGTCGTTGGTTTCGGAGATCGATGATTGACTCGATTGTCGTGTTCGTACTCGCGAGGCTGGAGCTGTAGCTGCACTCTGTGTCCGTGATGCTATTGGGAATGTATGTTTCTTTTCTGAAGAAGTAGAGTTGAGAACGGCGTTGTACGTGGCAGGCAACTCGAAATCATCCATCTCTTCTGGATACTTCAAAACTCTGTTGTTGGTTGCCCATCGAATGATTTGCCCCAATGGGGCTTCTCTGAGAATGTCGGCCATAGCCTCGAATTCTCGCTAAGTTGTGGGGATGAAATTGGGAGGAGGATCAGGATGAAGGAGGAGGTTGGGAATGGTTGCAGAAGACTTGAGATAGGAGACACTGAAGAAGACAATGAACTGAAGATGATGAGAGAGATAACTCTAACAGGATCATTCTCAAGTATATATAACTCTACCATACTGAGGACTTTCCTCATACAGTTCGAAGCTGACAAGTCCGCATGCATAAAAGCACTTATGTCCGATTCCATTGGGTTCAGTGGGTGTTCCCCTGGGCTTTCGCACGGACTCGCAATTAATAACCAATATGAAACTGGACGTAGGGCAGAGGAAAAGCTGGCGAGGCTGGTCGGTAGAGTGTGTTGGGGTACGGTCGTGGAATGCCAAAAGCCTTTTCGTGCGGATGTAAGCAAAGTGGCTTGCTGCCAAGGAGGCGTTGACGAGTTAAAGTCCGAAGCGCTTCATATCGAAGCGGCAGCGTGCTGAATAATCGCAACCGATGACGCACGAAGGACGAGGGAATACATGGCTTTGTCACACTGTATCCGCGATGTGATTCGTGAGGCTGGTACGAGAGAGAAAAATTGTCAGATTACTCAACACTCACTCGCTTCTGAGCCTGAGGAAGAATTTGGCGGATTAACCTATGAGATTACTCAACACTCGACTGCTTTCGCACTGGTGTGAGTGTCACTTCTCGATGACTGTTTCTCCGACATCTTTTGTCGTGTATGCAAAGCCGAAAGGCTAGGAATCGGGTACGGTGCAATTGTTTTTGCTTTGCGTTGGTGTGATTTTAAATATCTTCTATATCCTACCTCCGCCGTGACGGAGAAGTGACGGACATTCTCTGTCAGATATTTGCCTGCGTCTGTTTGTGTGTCAGTGCATTAGACTTGACTGCTGCATGTCTTGGATATCTTGGCGGTTGATGTGGGCACCGAATCAAGTTGATGCAAATCAAAGGCACAGAAATTTTGCTCGGATTGTTCTTTTTGCCTCTTTGAGGAAATGGAAAAGAGATTGGCCACTTTCGGCTAGGCTGAGATCCACGTGAGCTTCAGTCATGTGATAGCAATGCTTTGTGGTCACTTTTATGAATCCTCTTTCTCTTTAAAGTTCAAAACAAAAGTAAGCTTCACACTTCGGTAGTTGAGAGGTTGAACTCCCAGTGGTTTCCTGCAAATGAGCTTCGAAGTGGAAATTGCTTGGAACTAGAAAGCACGGATTACCTAGGTACTTACAAGATATACTAGTTGCTGAAACTTTCTAGCAAAAGCTTATGGAGAATATGTTTATGCATGATATTGTCTTATACTTGAGGGTAGTTCACAAGGTATTTAGACATTAAATTGAGAAGTGGAGAAAGTGTGTAAGAGTGCAAGAGGTCTAAGTGCCTCGTAGTTTCCGTTTCGGTACTAAACCACAACTAACTTGGTCGGCGCCGGCAAACACTATAAACGATTCACTGCGGCTGCAATACAAATGAAAAGAATTATTCCAAATTCTTAAACATATTCTTATTTTTCCAGATAAATATTCGAAACCGCAATAATGGAGAAAGCACGCATCGACAACCTGGCACTATGGGCGGAGAGACTCTCCTTCACTCCAGCCATCACACAAGACCGGAAGACACGCCTTCCGACCTTTTCTAACCTCCCCAGAGAGATGAAAGAATTGATCTGGGAACTCACTATAGAGCCAAGAGTCATCTCAATCTATGCATTTGACGAGTAAGCACCCCCAGCCTCTCGCGCATCTAAACTTCACTCCAGTGTAGTTGCACCTCTCACCACAACAAACTCCTAACAAGACACAGAAGCCGCGGCAAATTCGGAGGCAATGCCCCCATCCCATCCACCCTCTCCGTATCCCGCGAATGGAGACGCTACTTCATGACCCTCCACCCGCTCTGTTTCGGCTCAAACAACCATGCACCAAAGATCCGCTTCAACGGAGCCGTCGACTCCATCTTCATCAATGAAGAACGGTGCTTGTTTAACGCTTCTTATTTCTTCTACTTCTGTATGTCGAAGAAGGAAGCTGCTACTGTTCGATATCTTGTGTTTGACGAACATTTCAAGACTGGGAATGGTGAGCTATTCTTCTCAAGTTCATTTCATGTGGATTGGGTGCTAAAATGCGTCTCAAGGCTGGGAAACATGTATCCAAGAAGAAGTCATAGCGAATCTAACGGCGCTGGAGCATCTGACGGTCATTGGCGATACGTGGTGCAAAAAGCTAACCGACGAGAAATCTGATGAATGGGAAGTACACGACGGATGCCGAAAATGCGAAATCACCGATGGTAGCTGGATGGAACCAACGGATACGGATGATTGTATCCCTTTCAAATTCCTGGTTGGTGCTTGGAAGTTGTTCCGCACGTTGCCGCGTGAGAAGTTGCGCTTTGGTTATGCAGGTATACCGGATGAGCACTATATTAATCCTGAAGGACGCTGGGAATATTAGCAGCAAAAGCAAAATCCTATCTATGTATCAACCGAGAAAGCTGCCCTTCAATGACTCACAAAACCTTGAGATGAAAACCTACGTCAACGCAGCCTTGCACGCTAAACCAATTCACTAGCTATCGAACCGCTTAGCACCACATAACATTCAATAAGCAAAAGTTTACCCATCGTACAGTCAGGCGGTATCTTGGCCCATTGGGAAGTGGGAAAGACTTCACGCCATCCGACGGCTGGTTGCGATACGTCGACTTCGTAAACGACAATGCCATTGTGCGCTTGGGCGCCCAGCACGCAGCTCCGTGGCGACGGAGGGCGTGCTGGGCGTTTTATTTTGCTCTGCTACTTTTTTTTCTGGGCTGTGGTGGTATCCTGGGTTCTTGGGGCTTTTGTTTTTGGTTTCTGAGAGAGGTTTGGAGGGTGGTTGTTGAGGCTTTGTTTTTTGGGCGTATAGAGGAGGGGGAAAGCTGGGGAGCTAAGCGAGGGATGGGAGCTGGTTGTGTTTTTTTTTTAAAGCGTAAACGCAGAATCTCAAGCTCTTAACTTTTACATATTAAGGCGCTTGAATCCTTAAGTTTTGTACTTTGTTCGTGATCTTGGCAGTCAGTTGGGCACTTTCTAGATTCGTCAAAGGGATAAAACTCAAGCACCTGAACAAGCAAGAGCGACCCGGCTTGAAGCTAAGCGTTTCATGACATCTCTTCTGAGTTACTCAGAATCCCACAGAAGATAATTGAAAAATCCAATAATGAATTCCATCGCAATAATCTTACAAACATCGACCTGTTTCAGATTACATGTTTACCAAAAAGAGGCGCTGAGTGTCAGGTGACTGGTATTTGAAGACGGGTAGCTATCGCCGGATAGTTCTAGTGATAATCGACGTAGGTATGGTAGGTGCACATAGCCTCTTGATGACGAGAGTGGCGAGTTCTTCCTCGAGTTAGTGGTGAGAAGCTTATCATTATTGTATTTACATCCTCTCAGAGTGGACAGATGCTTTCCAGCAAAGATTCGTTGAACGAATGACAAACCTAGAAAGAGTGACTATTACTATCAAAGATAGAGATGAAGAATTGCAAAATTAACAGTCACATAGAACTCAGCGAAAGATTTCCGAAATGTGAGGTAACGAATGGTTGCAGGGATGCTGACAAGAGTTATTGGTGCGAACATATCAATCACATTGAGAGGGAGCATTCCTTACAGATCTGATGCCGGCTGAGAAGGTGATCAAGGAAAAATTACAATCATGAAGATACAATCTGTCCCTTCGAGAACATGGAATTCCCTCAGAGGAAAATATACAAGATAGTAGAGAGACTCTGTCCAGATGTACAATACTGGGCCAACTCACCCTGGGGCGGCGCTAAAGAAGCAAATGACCCCACCATAGGAGACATCCATCAATGGGACGGTACGTTCGTCCCTTCATCCCCACCACAATCACTAAATTAACACTTCCAGTCTGACATGGCAAGTCTCGCTCATATCAAGACTACAAACACCTCTCTGGGCGTTTCGTATCGGAATTTGGAATGCACGGCTACCCCGACATGCGGACAGTCAACGAATTCGTACCAAATCCGCAGGACAGACATCCCCAATCACGCGCTATCGATTCGCACAAGGGCCATCTCGCCGAGACACGAATCGCGAGATACCTCGCCGAGAACTTTAGATATAGCAACGAGCTGGAAAAATTCGCGAATGTGAGCCAGCTGATGCAAAGCGAAGCCTACGGCTACGCCTGCCGCGATTGGAAGCGCAAGTTCGGCGGCAAAGGAAAGGAGAGTTGCGCTGGACTTATCATCTGGCAGGTGAAACTTCCTTCTATCTGGGATGCGAGGAAGTTCTAAACTCACTGACGCTTTCTTGCTTAGCTAAACGACGTCTATCCCTGCACGAGCTGGGTTTTCTACACCATTAAAAAATCATTCGCGCCTATATCTATAGGTATTGAACGCACGCCTTGGTCTCGCTGGATCGACGACGATCATCCACGGATGACCGAGATTCCTTCTTTTGAGACCTTCGCGCACAACACGACGCCTTTTGAGAAGAAGTTTACGTTGTCGTTGAGCGCATATGACATGTATAAACACGAATACATCACCTTACCCCCGGATCATGCTGCACAGGAAGTAACTCTTGAACCGGGACAGAACACAGAGCTTGGTAGTCTGGCAATGCTCAAGAGTGTCGGCGAAGAGAGTTTGATTATTCTCGCCGCTAGCCTGGTCAATGACAAGAGAGAGGTAGAGGCACGGATCGTGAATTGGCCGGAACCTTTCAGGTATTTGAGTTGGCACGAGGACACTAGAGTCTCTGTAGCAGTGAGAGAGCAGGGAGAGAGGTAGTTGTGGAGGCAAAATATCCGGTGAAAGGGTGCTTGCTGTATGTGGGGTATGAAGATGGCGAGAACGCAGAATTGGAGGATAATATGCTTGACTTGATGCCTGGGCAGGACATATTTGTTAAAGTAAAAGGTTTGAATGGTAGGAATGTGTTTGCTAAGTGGTTGAACGACTGGGAGCTGAAGAAGTAGCTATTCATCAATTAGGCGGTATCAATATCAAGTTAAGGAGGGTCACATGACTAGCCCCCTTTATGTTCTCGCTTCGTGGATCAAAAATGGTAGCTCGATGCTCTACATGGGAGAAATATGGATGATTTGTGACATGAATCAAACTAAATGATTTGAATTCAGCCCCGCCCCCAGAGCCAGCAGACTATATTCAGTGAATTTCGAGTCAAATAACCGGCGTGATTCGACCAAAATGAAGAAGATACATACCTAGGTAAGAAGGCTTAGTGACGTAAACGACGGAACTTATACAGCTTTTCAATTTATAAGGTATAATGTTGGAAAGTATACAAAAAATCAACACAGCGCTATGCATAGCCACTTTTATAACTAGTAGCATATGTTTATTGGTCCGGCTGGAGTCCATACCTTTCACCAAACTTCTCTGAATACGCCTCGCTACCTCCAGCTTTTCCTACCAAATAATCCCTAACTGCCAACATAGCTTCCTCGTCCTCTTCCCTCGTACTCATCAACTCCGTTGAGTCCTCCCACGGCCTCCCGAACCACAGCTTCAAGTCGAAATTCTCACTACCACGAGCATACGATACTTCATCAAGATGGACGAATTCCAGCTTGGGACAGAGAAGTAGATGAGAGAATACTTCTTCCCAAAAGTCGGCCGTGAGATCCACGACTTCGAGCCAGATCCTCATAAGACGTGACTTGCTGATTTCAAGCGATTTGTTTGGCGAGAAGAGCTTGATGAGATTCGAAGAGCTGAATTTCACGCGCTCGAGGAAGAGACTTTGAAGACCGGAAGACGCAGGACTCCATTCTAAGAGATCCCCATCTAGAAGCTGCGTCCCTTGAAGTCCTAGAGTCTCCAGATTGTGGCATCGTGACACGATGGCAAAAATCCCTTGCATGTGACCCGTGTTCGGATATTGTTGCTGTAAGTTCGAGTGCGGAAAGCCGTCGTCTCCGTCTGTGGTCTCATCGGCCCAGTAGAGGTATTCTTTTCTACCTCCTGGGCCAGTTGCATCTGTGACTGAGAGAAAGAGAGCTTTTAGTCGGGCAAGGAGTGAGTCTGGAACCGTAGTCGAGACTTCCACGAAGTCATGTGTACATGGCAAAGACAGACGCAGCTCAGTCAAATTCGAAAGTGGAGTGGCTGATAAAGCGGTAGAGATCGTCGCTCTGAAATGCGAGAGGAGATCGAGGTCCAATTGCACTGTGCCGTCGTCCATATCACTATATTTACTTGACCAAGTAGGGAAGAAGATTTGTAAGGATTCAAGCTGTGATAGGTTCTTGGTGACGCGGGGCATTTTATCAATGAAAGCGATCATGGCATTCTTGTCATCGACAAAGTTCCAACTCGTGTCATGGAGAAATCCTCTCTGCACGTGATGATTGCGCAAGAAAATACGCAACGACTTGACGGAAGGTTCGAAAGTCGCTCTTGGCACCAACAGACTCTCAACCATTGAATCAAAGCCTGTAACCTCGTTCTCTAGACCAGGTCGGCACAAAATTCGGACGGAGCGAAAGAGTATCGAGGTAGCTGCTTGATTGAAAGCTTTCGAAGTCAATCGGAGACTCCGCAGGGTCTCAACGTCGAGCCAACCTTCGCGAGAGCGGGCATGGGGACAACACAGGAAGTTCTCCGGGCTGTCATATTCTGATGGATTCCAGTAATATTTGGGACTTGGCTGCGAATACTGGAAATGCGAAGTGATATGCACTCTCTTGTCAGCATTCTGCTCTTTGGACGACATTCACAACTCACCTCGCCATATAGCTCTGGAGGGAGGTCCATAGTCTTTGTCTTGGAAATTGTGAAGTTGTAGCGGGCCTTTGGTATATGTTTGTCTGTCCTGTTATTTGCTTACTTGCTGTGCCTCTTGATGAGGCTAAAAATCTTGGCACTTGTGAATTTGACGCCACAAGCGTGCAGATTTAAGCTTAAGTGGAAGCCACCAGCCATCAGCCATAATCAAATCTTCGCAACAAACATTGCTCAATGCTCACCTACAAAAGTGCTCTGATCGATGCTGTACAATTATCTACTGAGCCGGGATCTCGGACGAATCTCGGTGTGGAGTTCCAGAAGATCCCGGAGGAATTGAGAGGTCGCCATCAACGATCAATCCGGCATCTGGCTCAACCTACACGAAGTCGAAGACTTACCGGACAGTATTTACAGGAAAGTGGGAAAGGAGATCGGACGAAAGTAAAGGAAAGTCCCATCTAAGATTTGGCATGGCCAATATCTCGCCCATCTTGAGCCTAATCAAAGATGAGCCTAGAGAACGGACTTTACATTGCGCACGAGGACATTCATCAGGAGAAGAATGTGGATCGACTTGAAATAATTATCATCTTCCGGGATCCATCAAACGGCCGCTCGAATGATCGGACTTCCAAACCATGCATTCTTAAAGAGACTGATATCTTAGGTAATCTGTATTTCGACCTTGTGGAGAGGAAACGAAAGTCTCGAGGGAGAGTACGTGGTCACGAAAGTGTCTGCACTCGGCAACCTTGCCACGATGAAGAATAGCGCAACATGAAGAGTGAAGAGGTTCTTACATAGATTATCATTTCAGGGTATACGCGTACTCAAGAGAGCTAGTACCAATCTTCACTGACCTCAACGAATGTACAAGACAATCCGGCAAAATCAAACATCACCCGGACCCTTTCTTCAAACATTCTTCTTCCGCACTCCGGCTCCTCCGAAAGAAGCCACTTCAATTACTCTTAAAGTAATTGACAGCCAATATCGGACCAAGTTTCTCCTTCTTCTCAAACGCATCCAAATCAAACCTCATCCTCGACCCATTACCAAGCTTCTTCCCTCCAGGCGGCGCAAGTTGCTTCCCATCGAAGCCAGCAGGCTGCTCGTACAAGAAGAAGATATAACGATGGGCTCCCCCGAACGGCGGCGGCGCCGGTCCAATATAATTAGCCACGAACGGCTCGTTTGAGGTCAACGTTGAGGTCGAGGGAGACGCTTTCAGACCCGGCTGGATCCAATGAAGGATAGGACCCAGAGGTCCGAATGCAGGGAATGGGGCGTCGATATCGAGACCAATGACTAGGTATGTGGCAGAGGGCGAGGGGGCGGCGAAAGGTAGCTCGGGAGGAGATTGTGCTTCTGTTTACGGTCAGTCACGGAGACAAACAGCTTTCCTCAGAAGGGTAACTTACCTGCTTTTGGTATATACATACCAGGCGTGACCACATTTTTACCAACCGTTAAGCCCAGCACCTTGGAAGTATCCTTTTCAATTAGTTCCAAACCTTTCTTAACGCTGTTATTGACGGGCATCTTGAAGTTTTCACGCAAGAAGTGAAAGTTGCGACTTTCAGCAGTCGCAAGTAACAGCGGAAGTAGTCCTTTTTGACTTCTCACCAAATCATCCAAACGTCGATCTTCACGTAGTCACAAGCTTTATTGGCAAGGCTTCCAATTCCTCATTTGTCCAACTTCCGACCCTCTTCTCCCAATTCGCGTGCAAAAATGCCGTGATGATCCTGGAAAATATAGGGCTTACGTCGGAGCTAAGCGGGATCTGCGTCATTATATCCAGTCTCGACATATTTCCTCAATTTTCCTGCTCCGATTATTGATTTCCATCCTGTCGGGTCTGCTTTAAAGTCTGGCTGTCCCGACAGCGTGGTAAGCGGGGTTGAACGATTGGCAACGAAGCTGTGATATCGGTGTTCGGATCTGGCTTCGGACTCCGGTGCCAAATAATCGGTATTCTGCATCACGACATTCACAGGGTTCCATGATATTAACGATTGAAATGATGTATTACGTTGGGAGATGAGCGGTGAAGGTACGACTTGCTGAGATCTATCAATATTGGGATTGTACTCAGACTTCAGAGAAGCGATTCCACTCTTCCAGCCTGGACCCAACTTGGGTCGATGGTGAACGGGGTCATTTCACATTTCATCTTAATGCGGGGCTCAACAGGCTTCGACTCGGGAGTCGAAGGGTGTGTGAGGTCGAAACCGGGCTCTTTGGTCCAAATCCAGAAGTTGTCAGCGTTTCCGAGTACAGTCTTGCCTTGATCATCGCGAAGATTAGTTCGGAAGGCAGGAACATCTCGCGGCATTCTGGCGGTAGAGAGAGAGGAATACCACGTTGATTTCTGTATGGCAAGCCCGTTGCGATATGGTGGCGCTGGGAGACTTGTCAGCAAAAGAGGGTTGCAGATGAATTGCACGAAGTAATTTGTAGAATATTACCGAGTTTATGTTAAGCCAACTTTTTCATTGTATGACTGATAGCGAGAGAAGTTATTCCCTCTATCTCGATATTGATTCACAGCCTTGACTCAGGCTTACAGTCTAGATTCTGTCGAAGAAGCTTAAATAAGGCTAGATGCTTCTCCCGTGCCCTCTCAAACATACACTCAACAAACACTACTCATACTCTACCTCATTCCGACTCCTCACAACAAAATCGCAAATGTGCAACATGACCCTGACAAAGTACACCGACTGCGAACAAAAATCTTTCTTGATGATACCCTGTCAAAAATGGCTCGAGACAAACCGCCCTAGATGGGTTACCTGCCAAATCCCCAAGTACTGGAACAAGCCGATGTGGACAGACTTTAGCTTGGATAAGACTTTTTGGCACCATTACAACACGGTAGAAAGATCCCTATACTGGAAGAAGGAAATCTACTGTCGTGATGCCATTGAAGAAGTGAAGGTAATGGAGGGTGATTGTTATCTTGATAGAGGATTTTGTTGGCAGGGAACTCCGATGAATCAGGGGCAGTTGACTCGTTACCCGCTGGTCTATGTTGCGAGTGGAAAAGATGTGGAGGATGGGTATCCAAGATGGTAATTGAGGACGTCTACCGAGATAATGAATCATAAAAACAATACACTAGCCAGCATCCATCGATTCAAAATATATACAAAGAGTGTTCCCATCACAACTGATCACAAACACACCTCGTCCCCAATAACTAAATACAAGAATTTTTCCTCCACTACCACCACCTATCAACCAACATCCCCAAACCTAAGAAGAAGTTGTATTGCCACCCGCCTCACTGACAGTAATACTCGCCGAGCCACTACTATGATACCCCTCGGTAGCCAAAATCATATAATCGAACGCACCCATCTTCAGACCAGCCTTCGCCCAGGCATCAAAATGATTACCAGTGGTAATCGTACCACCGACCCTCTTGGTCTGTCGCACAGACCAATACTGATCAAAAGTAGAAGTGCCTTTGATAGACGGCTCATTGACGCGGTGGTTGAGATAGATATCATAAGTCCCACCATCAGAAGTCACCGTCCCCTTCTTCGTTGCGCCCGAGGACGGATTGAAAGTGCCGAAATCCTCCGTAATATAGTACTCGACCAACGGATCCGTAGTCCACCCATAGAGCGAAAGGTATGCATTGCCAGGCGTAGTCCAAGTACCATTATACACGACGGTCCTGTACACGTCCCAGTCAGCCCACATCCCAAGAAGAGAACGGAGCAAAAGGAAGGACATACTTAGCAGCCCCAGGATTCCATCCCTTGCCCGCAACAAAGTTCCCCCCGCTCCCGCTCCACTTCACATCATACGTCCCGCCCGCATCATTATTATACGTAACCGACCCGCCGCCATCAGTCCAGAACGAATAATAGAACCCATTATTCGTCCCCGTCCCCGTCGGCGTACTAGGCGCCTCTCCAACCGGGCTGGCTTCCTCGACTGGAGCAGCAAAGACCCCCGCCACAGCAGCGAGGCCGAAGAAGAGGGACGAGAAAGCTACCATCATGAAAAAACTAACGACAACGATGAGAAAAACGGAAACTCGGGAGGGATGAGAGGGCTTTATACCAAGATCTCACGCCATCGCAGCCCCTGGATTCGAGCAAATACCTCGATATTATTCCCATGGATCACAAGATCGACCTGCATTCTGCCGTGGGCAGAATACCGCACTCGTCCTATCGTATATAAACGCGGAGCAGAGATACAGAGCTACTTACCCCAGACTTGGTATGTGGTTAATGAACCGGTAGTGCCAACCCCGCCGTTCGGAGAAATGCGGTGTTTCTGGAAGATTGGATTAACCTTATATATTGTGCCTGGGGTTAATTCACGCAATAACTGCGTTGGAGGTTTATCCGTGGGGTGTGGGTGTTTGATGCTATTTACCCCTATATGATGGGCGTGGGGTCTCGCTTATTTTGGGCGGAGGAGGCGGCTGAAACGAGAGAGTTGGGGAGGTAGCAGTTATGCTGGACGTTTGTGGTAGAACAGAACAGAGCTATATTTGTAGCCGTTCATCTCAAGTAAAAGGAAATAAAAGGATTTAAATTGACCTCGTTGCATAGCTGCGGTGAAGTAGCGCTTTAACAGCTATGCTTGCCAGCAGTCTCTAGCTCACAATGTATAAAGTCACCCAGTCAGCAATGCTAGACTCCCAACTCACTAATATGTTCTCACAAACACCCTCACTACAAAACTATTCACCATTCCTAAAATCACCTGACCACATACCCAGGTACAAACCTGGAAATAGCACATCAGACCGTCACCCCAGACCCCAAAACACAACACCAAGAGTAGCGAGCAGCGGAGAAAAATTGCGTGACCCGGCCCGCTCCGCAAACCACGAAATGCAACAAAACCCCAACGAGAACGAAACGAAAGGCGAGACGAGGCGGGGAATCGGGACTGCCCGAAACAATGGTATAAAACGAGTTATGACGAAAAATGGAGAAGACACTAGTCTCTCGACTTGGCGATTGTGATCACTTGGGACATGAGAGGTGAAGTAAATTGTCGAAGGGAAAACGTGATCAGGTCGTGAGAAAGTAGCAAGTCTAATATGCTACGCGATCAGTAGTATGGTACAGTGCATCTAAAACTAAATCCTCTTTCTTTCATGCGATCACCATTTCCTTCTCTCTAAGCAATGCAAACCAAGTCTACAACTTCGCCTTTGGCGCCTCGAGCGTCGGGGTAAGGAGATCTCGAAGGTCCCCTGCTGCTTCGTTGAGGTAGAAGCTCATTCGTTCGCTTCCGAGACCTTTTGATACAATGTTGAATTGAATGCTGCTCCCCATTAGCTTGTGATCATCTCCAAATTGGAAATAGCTGCTTGCCTGTTCTCATTAATCATATACGCAATTCCAAAACCGTCATCCACAACCTGACTCCAACCGTAGCCGTTGAAATACTCGGAGCTCAATTGACTGGTGCTGAGGAACCAATGGCTTGAGTAGCTATATGTTGGGTCCTTGTAGATAGCTGGCACCTCCTCGCTGGGACCAAGTAATTTTTTCAATCCGAACAGATGTCTGTCGACACCTTTGCCATCCGATGCAGCGCTGATATACTCAACGTGAGAATTAATGGCTTTGCGGAAGAGGGCGGTAGCTTCCTCGGGCGCAACTGAGTGATCTGAAATAGCTTTGCAGAACGCAACAGAGTCAGCTGAAACTGATCTGCAGGTCTCTGTTCGGCCTTGTTGGAAACGTCTGGTGGTTGCGGACTCGTATGTTGGTCGATTTTTGCCATACATCTTGAAGTATGCCAACTGAATGATCATTTGAACGTAAGCATCTGGTGAGCACTTGAATTTCTTGATCAAGCTCTTGCCATATCCTTGGTAGGCTTGAACTCTCAACTCGTGAGCACCAATCACTTCCGTGAAGTCTTTCGTGGCACGCTCAATCTCAGCTTGGACTTCCTTGTTGACGTGGAATTTCACTACGGTAGGATCAGGAAGATTTGATCGGACCGAAGGATTTGAAAAATCGAGCTTGTTGTGCAAGATCATTTCTCCAACAAAATCATTGAGGCGGTGAGTGGGTGTGCCATCCATCATGGAGTGCTCGCCCATGAAACCCGAAGTACCATTTTCGTTGACGATGAACTGCAACGGCTTGTCAAACCAGCGATTCTGGCCATCACCGTGCCAGTATTGGTGGGCGCGCTCTTCAAGAGTGACTGGGCTGGCGTCATCCAAGCAGACGACAAATGATGCAGACTCAACTGTCTTGAGAGCTGCAGCATTCGAGGAGTGTGCCCTGAGAAGAACTTCTCGAGCATTGGTCCAGACATCGCGGTTCTCAGAGGTCAACACCCCCACTGCTGGTACTTTCTCGGCCTTTTGGTAGATTGCCTTGAATTGTTGCTCCAATTCCGAAGTATTGAGTTGCTTGCCATCAACCTCATGCATGACCTTGAAGAATTGGTTCTTGCGGATGACCAAGAAGTGCTTGTTTTCCTCGGGGGAGTACTTGACAGGGTGGTCTGCGGGTACTGCAGGTACTCTACAGCAGTTGAACATCCATTGGTAGCTCTCCATGGAAATGGGGAGCTTCTTCATGTATTCGGGCTCCAAGGTTCCACCATCCACCTGCTTCTTGAACTCTAAGACCGCGGTAGTGATGGATGCTGCTCTCTTGGAAGGATCTCGCCGCCGTCTGTCATCTCTGTGTGAATAGAAATAGCTGACATAAGGTACGACAGGATCTCGGTATGAAAGATATGCTGCATCATTCCACCACTCGTAGATCCAGTTCTTGTGTTTGGGCTCCTCTCGTCGTGCAATAAGCTTTTCCTGAAGCTTACTCCCGATTCCACCTGGCTTGATGAATTCCTGCACCGCCTTTGTTGTTGATTCGAGTTCGGAGGTAGAGAGTAATGGGTGTACGGATTTGAGGTATCGAACAGCAGTCTCTTCTAGAGTCGGTACTGGTAATTTGGGGAGAGATTCTTCGAATCGTAGCATAGGGCCTTTGGCAGAATCCTCTTTATATCCTGTGGAATGTTTTAGCACATGTTAAATGAGGGGCAGAGAAGTTGAGTAAACTTACCTGCTGGCAGAGCAGAGCTGTTGCTCCGCTTGGCTGCTGGGGCCATTCCCGCGGTCTGCAGACTCCTGTTAGCCAAGTAATTGTCCACAAAGGATGCTCTCGATCGTACTCTTGATACCTTCGCTGCAGACAAGCCTCTAAACACCTGCGACTGCGTCCTGCTTTTGGCAAGAACTCTCAACATTCCCGACGTCTGTATTGCAAAAACAAGAAGAATTCAAAAGGAGGTTCAAGGCACAAGGGACTTAAAAGAGTAGACTGGGTTCTCACGAGCGCAGCGGAGCGGAATGATCTGCCTTCTATTGTTGTGGTTGGTTGTGGAGGAACGTCGGTTGCGCTTGTCCGAGAGATGCCTCGGCATTCAAGATGGGCCTAGGAAGTGCTTCAAAGCTGGGGACAGACATTTAAAAGTTCCACCCCACCGTTCCGCCATCGCTAGAGCCGACAAATGACGCGCAAATTTTGCCAGTGCTGTGAATCTGGCTGGACCGGACCGAGGGACGAGAATATCCGCTCGGTCTCTGTTAAGCCGTCGAGGTCTGTTTGGATATGTTCGTCTCATTTGGACAGCTGCAGCTCTCACTAATTGTGCAGTCAGCAAGTCAGATGAGATAGAGCAGATTTAGCAGACTTGTTTAACACTTGGGAAGAGGTATCATATTTGCATGTGATAAAACAAACATGTTGTACAGGACATAGCCAATAGCCAGCCAATGACTCGTATTTTGCTATTGCTTGAATCTCATTTCAGCCTTGAAGCCAATCTCTAAATATCCGACATGTTGAACTACAAGAGCTTTTTCCCTCAGCCATGAAAAAGGCTATCTGGACATGGAACCCACAAACACAAATTCGATAACTGTCCAACCGTAATGCTGTCGACTATCACTGCCTTTTACGCCGACCTCGACGAGTTGGTGCCGCACTTGATGCCGTACTTGCTGCTCCTTTCGTTCTCCCTCTCGACGGCTTAGGTGATGGTGACCCCTCGTTTTCCTCTTCTGCTTCTCCTTCTTGCTCGTCCTCTTCACCAGCATCTTCTGTTCCCTCTCTACCAGTTTCCTCATCGGCTGTATCCGCCGTAGTATCCTTACTTTGATGTCTAGACCCAGAATCTGCCTTAACTCGTCCCATTGACCTGTTCGTTCCTCTGCCCGTGCGTGTTGACTTAGGAGGAGAAGAGGCTGCTGGTGAAGTCCTAGGTTCATCCGTATCCTCGACCGTACTTGCTCGAGTATCTTTCGCAGCCACCGTATCTGCTCTCTTCCGCTTTCTCTGTCCACGAGGAGAAGGCGAACGAGACAAGGAAGGCGGCGATGATGGTGCTTCACTGGGACTTCGTTTACCCCTCATGAATGTTACCTCGTCGTATTCCTCCTCTGGAAGCTTGAACTCCAAGTACTTGTCCTGGTCCTCAATCTCGAAATTTTCTCGTTCATCGATCAGATCCAGGCTATATAGAGTTCTCAGCTTCTCCCAAACACCAGGTATGCGAGTGTGTTGATCGACGGTCGGATCGTAGCCATGATTTCGTAGATGTTCAGACAATGCAATCATGCGAAAGTGCTTGTGCATACCTGTATCCGATCAGTAAGCTTCTTGCAAGGTGAGTGGTGTTTGCGCACCAGCTGGCTTCCATTTAATGATTCCCTTGAAGAGTGAAGTCTCCTGTTCGTCTGTCCATGGGTCCTTTGTAATATCGTAGCTAGGTTTTGCTGGACCTGCAGGTTCTGCCGGCTGAGGTGTGTCAATGGCCATGGCATCTTCATCAGCCACTGGAGTTGAAGGAGCGCGCACGCTTCCCTTCGCCGTTTTCTTTCGTGGAGGCATTGCGTTTTTAGTGAGTGTTGTCGATCAGTGGAGGAAAGGTAGCCTTGCAGAGCCTTGAACGGAATTTCAGGGCTAGCACGCGGCTACTCCCGCCTTATATTCTGGAGCGCGTCAACATTAATTAACGACGCGACATAATGTGAAGATGGACGATAACAGAGATTTTGGTGACGTTTTTGCGATTCCAGATCTATATGGACCTTCAAAGCTTCTGGGAGGTGCACCAGAGAACAGTAGCTTTCTGTTCTCACAACTCAAGCTAGATGGTATGTTGGCCATTTGAGGGGCTTTCAATGACTAACAGCCAAACAGACATTGACGAGAACCTGCCAAATGTTGTCGAGCAAGAAGGACAGGATGATGTGTTCTTCAGCATACCCGATTTATCTTTTGGACTTGGAGACGCCAACACTCCCAGTCATTCGACCACATCTGGAAAGGAGACCCCACAAGAGCCTGGAAATGTGTCGAATGACGATGTTGACATATGGGCTCTTATGCAAGAGCCGCAGATAAAAGTGGCAAATTACCAAAGCTGGGATGCATTTGAGAAACAAAAGACAGAACAATACAATACGCCGTATATAACAGAAGCTGGGCCAGCAATTTTCGATACTGCTTTAGCAGGCAGGGAAGATTACCTCCGTGTCGCAAATACAGAATACCTAGTTGTAGACGCCAAAGTGTACGTCAAGTCTTTGTTGGCGCTAGGACTTGGTCGAAGCTCGGTATTCTTCATATGGGATGAACAGAAGCAGACGTTTGTCTCTGCTCTACCGAAGATCAGACTATCTGGCTATACTGGAGAATCCCTCGATGGACTTCTGGCTACTTTCATGGAATGCGGAAACATTACGAGATCCCTCCAAAGCTTTGTGGACAAGACATACACAATCAATGCTTCGCCTGGTCGAATAGCTCTTGCTGATTCAGTTTCCAGTCTGTTGGCCACGATTCAATCTTCTCTAAGCAGGTCCGCTGCTTCACAGAATAGCATCCTTCAGCTGCAAGCTTTGTTTCAACCAGCACATTCTATTCTGGTCTGTTTTCGACGAATCATTATGAATGTCTCGGTCACTCGCAACGATGAAGCCATGTTATCTACCATTTTCGAAGAGATCCAGCTTCTAGAGCACAGGACCGACTCGTTGAGAGAGATCCTTCTCGAGATCCTAACTCGTGTATCACAACCTTGGCTTGAGTTTGCAAGCGAGTGGCTAGGTCTTCAACGAGAGATTGGCTTGCCTCTTACCAAAGAAGGCAAAGGCAAGAGCTTTGTGAAAGTAGAAAATCACCAATGGATCGACGAGCAGGGCTTTGAAATGCATGAACCTGACTATATTCTAGATTACGACAAGGTTCCTTCTTTCATTTTACCCGATGATGCCAGGACGATGTTCGAGGTTGGAAGAAGTCTTCGTTTTCTGAGAGATCACCATGCAACCCATCCATTGGCAAGAGCCGATGTAGTGGCTTCTGCTCAACCTCCATCATTGGAATGGAAGTTTTCGTGGCAAGATGTCGCACAGATCGAGACGAAAGCCCTTCAGTATGAAAAGAACCTGCTAGATGCTCTCCAACACTTCTCGAAGGATGACCCTCGACCAAAAGCCCAACATCAGATTCTAGACATTGATACCATCAAACTAGACTTCTTTGGCAAACCAGAAGAAGACATGCAAGCACATTTGTTAGCCTCAATTGATACTTTCGACCAGCCCTTGAATGACCACAGACCCGCCGATCCGCTGTCTGCAGGGCTTAATCGGTATCTTTTCCAACAGGATGGTCCTCATTCTGAAAGCGCTTCCGTATTTGCCCCTCCTATCGCCCTTGTACCGATACTATCTTTCAACCCAATCATCGTCACACAAGCTCGAATTGTCAATGGAACGTGTATGCGACTGTTCTTTGATTCTCACAAGCTTCGAGAGCATCTGGCTGTCCAGCGTAGCTTCCATTTGCTAGGGAATGGGGTTTTCTCCAGCAGGCTTTCCCACGCCTTGTTCGATCCTGAATTGGAGAGTGCTGAACGCCATCGAGGAGTCGCACGTTCTGGTGGGATAATGGGTCTTCGACTTGGTGGTCGAGATACATGGCCACCTGCGAGCTCTGAACTACGACTTTCTTTGATGGGCGTGCTCACCGAAAGCTATGAGACGAAGCAGCCACTCAACGAATCCCATCGGGGCACTTACCTTGATGACACGTCGCTCCCAGGCGATTTGAGCTTCGCGGTCCGCGATATGTCAGAAGAAGAGATAGAAAAATGTATGAATCCAGACTCGATCGAAGCATTGGACTTCCTCCGTGTATCCTACAAACCTCCGGCACCTTTAGACGCCATTATCACGCCTATAATCTTGTTCAAATACGACCAACTCTTCAAGTTACTCCTTCGAGTAATTCGGATGCTGTACGTCGTCTCTGCCCTCTTCCGAGACGCCACAGACCGCACCTCATATTGGCAAGGCATTGATCACGTCGCTCAACGTTTCCGCATTGAAGCCCATCACTTCATTTCTAGCGTCTCTGGATACTTCTTCGACACCGGCATTGAAGCTACCTGGCGAATATTCGAACGCAAGCTAGATCAAATCGAAGAACGAATCAACACAGACGCCGACAATCTCACCTTAGGACAAAACGAAGGCTTAGACAAACTCCGAGATTATCACGAACGAGTACTAGATAGGATCATGTTCGCGCTCCTCCTCAGAAAACGCCAACAGCCCGTCATGAAATTATTAGAAGAGATCTTTGCCCTGATCCTGCAATTCGCAAAGCATTCTAGGGAACGAGCTTTAGGCTTGAAGCGAAAGGTTGGCGCCGATGACGAGGTTCGAGAGATGTATTTGCGGTTTAGGAAGAAGGTGAGCGTGTTTATCACGGTTTGTAGGGGCTTAAGTGAGAAGAAAGGATATGGGGAGAAGAAGGTGGTAGATTCCAGGACTTCAGAGGGGGGATTGTTTGATGGTGATGATCTCGCTGAGGAGAATACTGTTGTGCATCTTCTGGCGAGGCTGGAGATGTCGAATTACTATTCGAAGAGTGTAGATGTATAGCCAATGAAAGTTTAAAGTTGGAAATCTTCTAGAGGGCCGCATTTCCTGTAGGACATTTGTTGCCAGCATAGTCACGTGAAGACGAATCAATCAAAAAATAAAATCTTATCTTTAAGCTATAAAATTGGCATAGATGCCTTCAGACCTACTTCAAGACTCCCATACTTATCAATTGTCTATACTCTCCATACTTTGGAGCTATTTTCCCCAGGTACCTGAATGCTGATATTTCCACCCCTCCGATTCGCCAGAAATTTAAACCCGCCAAGCCCCATCACCACCTCAAAGTCGAGCTTCCCTCCACCCATCCAAACCTCACGAGCAGAACAACAACGCACCACACACCCATTGACCATCCTCCCACGATGCGCCGCACGCTCACGCGCCTCGCGGCCCTCAAGCCAGGCCGCTACCTCGAACCCGGCACCCCCACCGGCCTCACCGGCCTCCTCACCCACAACTCGCCCCGATCAGCCCTGCTGTACCTGTACTCATCTACCCTCGAGAAACTAGAGTCCTTCCCAGAGACGTCGCTGTATCGCCAATCGACCGGCGCGCTGACGACACACCGCCTGAGTATCGTGGAGGGCGTCGTGCCGGAGGGGTATAAAGCGTGGGCGGAGAAGGCGAAGAGGGTGATGAGCGAGCATCCTGAGGTGTTTAATACGCCCGTTGGGGGTGTGGATCATGTTGGGGATGAGGGGGAGGGGAAATTGACGAGGGTTGTGGTGGATGGGAGGGTGTTTGTTACGAGGAAGCAGGAGAGGGTTGTGGATGAGGTTGCGGATGAGTGGGATGGGGAGGAGGATAAGGGGCCTGAGTTGGAGGGGCCGAGGACGAGGGAGGAGAGGAAGAGTTTGGTTTTGTTGGCGAAGGAGAGGCCGGGGGTTGATAGCAAGACGGTGGAGTTGGATCCGGAGCCCAAGTTGACGGTTGAGCAGTGAGTCGATCATGTTTTTGCAGATTGAGGAGGAAGATGGCTGACGATATTATAGAATTGAGGAGATTGAGAATAAGATCGGTGCTGGGCTCATTGAGGAAGTCATTCAAGTCGCAGAGGGAGAATTGAAGCTTGTAGATGTCATGCTGAAGGCAAAAGTGTACATTCCCCCTTCCAATCTGCAGAAGCATTGGCTAACCTACCTCGCAGATGGGAAGACTTAGAAGAGAAGCCGGTCGAAGGCCAATGGACATATTTCATGCGCGATACCGCAACGCCTACGACGCAACAACCACCACAAAAGTAATCTTGCATTCGAGAGATAGATGCATGTACAGTACCGGAAGAGACTTGTAAATAGAATATACATCATCGTTGGAGGAGATCCGCGTGCATACCAAGAAGCTTTCAGCGAGCCGGTCCGATATTTGGTGATACTGGCGCTCTGGAGTGAAAGGTATGATGCATCCGACATGTATCCACTCCGAACTGTCATATCACTAGCTTCTTGTTTGGCAGACGATATGGTGGACTCAAGTCGGCTTTTTTTAGAGAGAAAATGAGCCAAGAAATAAGCCAAGTCTTTGTTAGGTAAGTTTGAAGCCTCTCAGGATTTGTCCTACAGATGACCGAGTGGTCAAAGGTCGAAGAACCAAGACAACTTCTACATTAGCAGATTATCATTCGGGCATGATTAAAGTCCGCCACGGGAGCTTCCATCTCCCGTCTCATGAGATTATGAGACACCCAAGTGGAGTTTGTTCAACTATATGTTCCTAGTGGTTGAGACTTGACGGAGGGTTTTGTCGGCGGTATAAGTCATTTGAGATCATGTGACCAATATTCATTGGAAAGATATTCAAAGTTCATTTGCAAGTGCTCCTTTCCCTCTCATGCACAGATCAACTCTTACCACGAGATCCCGAAGCTACTTATGCACGTTGTTCAGACATATATGCCAAGTGGCCGTCAAAATCCTATTCGGGCTATTTCCATTGCGGGTCGGAGTCGCCTCCCGAGTGGTGGAATCATGGATTCTGAGGAGGAATTCTTTTGTGCAACAAGAGCGAGGTGTGCAGTGGTTGGGAGGCAAGAAGATCTTATACGAAAAAATGTTCTGTCATGCTTTGAGCTGTTTCAGGAATTATTGCGATACTGCTCTGAGAGTGGTTACCCAACACGAGGCGGCATAAGATCCCGTTCAACGGCCGCGAACGAGGCTGAAGATCATTTGACGTCTTATGGCATCCTCACCTTCCCTTGTCTTGTCTTGTTCATCGACCAGAAAAGCAAAGCAGAAAAAGTCACCACATAAAGCATTCGGGCTCGTGCTTATGTGAGAACTCAGTTTGCGTGGTGTTCATATAAATAGATCGCTGCCGAGCCCGGCGCGGGTCGTGATTCGTCGACTAGCGATCTGCATGGATGGCTGAGCCACACCCGAAGGGGCAGTACGCAACGCCAACAATCATCAGCTCCTCGGTCGCCGTGAAAAATAGCCTTTGTGGTGTGGCGGATGGCGGATGGATTGGCAGCGCAAAGCAAACAATGACTGTATCGTGGTGGATTGTGGTGAAATAAGATGGGCGGCCTTCCTTCGTAATGCCTTTTAGGAAGGATTCATCTTTCGTTATTCTCTGCATGATCTTTCCGCTTTTCCTTTGCTGATTTTGATTTATTCTTTTGTCAGCTGAGGAAGTCTATTGATTGCATTGTCCTCATCTCTTGAACTTTTCCTTTTTCTCTGGTATCGACATCGGAGGTTTATAAGTCAACAGTATGTACGAAGACGATGAGTTTGCGAGGTCTTTGAGACCTGCTCAGGATGCGGTGGATCGGGAGAGTCGAATATTTACGGCCGAAGACTCGGAGATGATGAACATGATCTTTCAATATCTGGACAACGATGGGGATTCGAAACAGATTGAAACCAAGGCCACGAAAGCATGGGAACCTCCTCGATTAGATTTTGATCCTGCATTGGTGGGGGATTTTCAGCGTTTTGCTGATTATAATGGATCGAGTCAAGAATCATCGCCATCTCCTTCGGTTTCTTTATTCTCGGAGGTATCTGGAATGACCACTCCAAGAACTTTGAGCAACAGGTCTTCACGATCTCCAAGTGGAATGAGGCATCAAGACGATTTCCGCATGACGACAAAGCCGGCCGACAAGTTGACCGTGGTGGACAGACCAGTTCGACTAACACCATCACCTCCAACAGCGGCACAAAATCCACCAACGTTCGAAAATAGAGAGGTCCACGATGAAGCCAGCTTGCCTCAACAATCAACATCACCCGTTGCGCCACAAGCAGCAAACTCGAGTGTTCGTCGACACGAATTGAGGGATCCTCAGGAGAAGAGGCAAAATTCGTATAACGAAGGGCACTGGCCGTCGATGGCGACTATCGCTAGCAAATACGAACGCAAGGGCTCAAGAAAGGATGCCTACCGCCACAAGATGCTACCAGCAATTCCCCCTCCAATGGCTTCTGGTGCGCGGATAGATGAGTTGGAGGAGCTTGCTCAAGCCGTTCAACCATCGCAACGTCAAATTTACTTGCCTTCAGCATACGTTCCTCAAGAGTCAAAGAGATCTCAAGACTCCTCCCGAACCGCACACGGCCCATCCCGATCTCCTCCTTTGGAATCTACGCGTGCGCAGAGTCAAAGAAGCTCTCATGAAGTATCCCCATCTCCTTATCAACCTGTCTACTCTCCAGAGAACTCCAGTGCTCGCACTTATGAGTCGAGAAGCTCACAGAATACTTTCCAAACTTACCGCAATCCTCTCCCCGCCCTACCGGAGTCTGGTCCTCAGAACGTCGAACCGCCATACTCTCCTACCTTGAACCGTCCTCAACCACCACCAACCGATCCCAGTCTCCGCAGATATGAATCTTTCAAGATGGCAGGCGCCAGCGCAGGGAGATATGAGCTCAAAGATCCACATGAAGCCATTCCAGTCGATGAGGCAAGGAACAAAAGTCTCGACAACTTGGTAGGACCGAAACCGAGTCTCAGGTCTCGATTCTCATTCCCAAAGCCAACAAGAGCGACGATCACCAGCTTTGTCGATATCTTGCCTCAAGCTCCACCTTCACCTGCTGTCACACCACCTGGAGAATCTGGATTGTTTCCCATACAGCTCAGGATCCCTACTCCGGATTTCAGCCTACCTCCTCGTCCTCCTAAGAAGGAACTCCCGGTTGAACCACTGCCATCAGTTTTGAGTATTGGACAGAAAGACGCAAGTACAGGTATCTCTACTTTCGTATCTGACGCCACACCATCCCGCTCTTCTAGTGGCAATTCGACCCGCATGTTAACCCCAAGTCTGACGATCCAAATCCCAGAATCAACTAGACCAGCACCACAGAAAGTGGACAGTGAGAGGCCAGGATTGAGCGAGGCTCTAAACAAGTTCAAGCAAGATTCCATGTTGGCTAGACCACGTCCCAAGCCTCAGCGTATGGACGCTCAGGACAATGTGTTGGTCACGATGCCAATGTGGAATCCACCAGCAGTACCAGACAAGTCCAAGATAGCTCGCACTTCGGATTCGATTCTGGCTCGACCTCGGCCAAAAGCGCAACCTAAGTTTGAGCTAGCTGATACCAATGGGAAGGCAGACGATTGGCGAGCATCAGCACCAGCTCCATCCCGCCCTGAGATTCTCAACGTCTCAGCCCCAGAGGCTCAACCAACACCTTATAGACCAGCATCAGTTCCCGCTCTCCAAGCCAACACTAAGGAGACTTTCGAAGAAGCAAGGCCCAAACCCAAGAAAATAACCTTCGACGAATCCTCCATCTCCCCACAAGGCTACCCCCTCGAATCCGCCGCCCCCATGATCCCCGCGCCCAACTTCAGCCGCACCGCCCACACCTACGCCTTCCACTCGCCCACGGCCCACGAACTCCAACACGCAGCCTCGCAATTCGAAGTCCAAGCCCCCATCATCCCACGCCCACTGAACATCGCGCCCAAGCCCCGGGACTTTGACCGCGAGTCCGCGATCTCGAAGGCGAAACTCGCTCAGAAAGCTGCAAGCCAGGCGAAGTGGTTCCATTCCGGGTTCTGCGCCTCGAGTACAGGATTGCAGATGACGATGTCGAGACGCGTAGCCACGTTCTCGAAATTGGAGTGGGCGGTGGAGTCCTCGGATTCGAAGAGGGGGATCCGGTGTTTTACGCAGACGAATACGTTGTCGCGGCGCACGGATTTCTTTGATGAGAAAGGGGAGCGGTTGTTTTGTTTCCAGCGGAAGACTGGGAGTACGAGGGTTGGAGAAACCGGGGATGGGGTGGGGTTGTTTAGTGTGAAGAATTCGAGTTTTGGGTTGAGTCCATATTGGGTTGTGGAGCTGGGGGCGGGGGAGAAGTTGATGGATGGGGAGAGGAGGTGGGTTGCGAGGGGGAATGAGAGCTTGACTGTTGTGGAGGTTAGTTGGGGTGGGTTTGAGGTGGGGAGGATCAGTGTTAAGGCGCAGTTGGGGAAGCATACTGTGAGTTCTCTTTTTATTCTTTTCCGGTTTGGATATCATGCTGACTGGAAGTAGTATACGGTTGATGTCTCTGCGGAGATGAATTATGCTATTATGGCGGCGTTGGTAACGGTGTTTGATGATTGGAGGATGGATCATGCGTGCTAGGTCGAGGCGTTCTTACCATTTCTATGTTCAAAACACTCGCTTTAGCGGCATTAGGAGGAGTTTTTCTGTTTGCAATATACCCTTACCAAATCACACATCGCATATTGACTCAGGGTCAAGTCCAATCTCTTTTCTTTTCTTGTATTAGCCTATCTCCTCTAAAGTCAGAATCACTGGTCGGCCCCTCATTCCCTCCCCTTCACGACCTCAACCTCTTTCTTTCTTTATTCTTACTAACCATATGCTCAATCTTCACCTCTTCGCAACTGAATCCCAACGATTACATGCGATGTCAATCGTGGTCAATTGGTCGTTAGCCGGTCCAATCGCTTAGACGCCCGGCCCCCTAACTTCACGATGTGTGGGTCGTACGAATTACCAAACTTTCATGTCATGAACCGAGTGGTTCCGGCGGCGTAGCACCAATACGAAGAATTCTCACTCTCCTCGTATTAAATAATCTTACGACCCATTTCCATTGGTTTTCGGCACTGCAAACTGCTAGTACCTTTCAGTGCTAGCGATACTACGTACATGTAGGCACCAGCTTTCGGCATCTGTATGTTGGATTTTCAATGCGTTTTCTTTACTTGAATATGAAAGGGGTGAGCGATGGCATGGCGGAGCCCACGATACACCAGGCGGGCGATTAGGGGCTTCACATTTCTCAGCATCGTTCTTTTCCTGTTACATTCCTTTGGACTTCTGGATTTTGCTGCACGGCGCTACGATACATGGCCTTGGACGCCCTGCTCAGCCTCGTCGCTATTCGCACAATCATGCACAGCTTCGAGGGCTACGATCGCCCAAGATATCCAGATTGTGGTCAAAACAGGAGGTTCAGAACCACAAAGCAGACTTCGTTACCAACTTGTGACAATCCTGTCCCAAATTCCTCGGGAGAACGTCCTCATCTTCTCGGACTTGGAAGAAGAAGTCGACTCTTACAGTGTCCATGATGTCTATGCTGATTTATCGGAGCAAGAGCGGAGGAGCTATCCCGAATTCGCGCTATATGACCAACTGCAGGAGTATAAAGAACAGGGGAAGGATACTAGAGAGCTGCAAGGTGGTTGGGACTTGGCCAAGTAGTAAGTACTTACTTTTATATCTAGTGTAGCTGCTCTTAAGCATTTCTCATGAGTAGCATCTCTCAGGATGCCTAGATGCAAATGCTGATGCCCCTTTCTTCCATAGCATGAACCTAGCCATGAAGCGCAAGATCTGGAAAATGCAACGAGAAATCGGCGGCGAGCATAGAGCGAAGTGGTTCGTGTTCATAGACACGGACACCTTCGTTGAATGGGACAATCTCCTCGAATTATTGGAACATCATGACCCCGCGAACAAGATCTACATAGGCAGTCCAGTCTGGCTACCAGGACTCCAATTTGCACATGGTGGAAGCGCATACATCCTATCGTATGGCGCATTGAAAGCACTTAACAGCCCCTACTCGCATGACCAAGAGGAACCACTGTATAGCCAGTACGGTCTGAACGTAACTGAGTTGTGTTGTGGCGACGAAGCTCTTGCGAGGGTACTAAAACCAAAGGGTGTCAAGCTGAAAGGCTATTGGCCGATGTTCAACGGAGAGACACCGGCCACTGTTCCATTCGGGAGAGATCTTTGGTGTGAGCCTGTTATCTCGTTACATCACATTGCCGGGGAAGATATGCAAAGTCTTTGGCAGTGGGTCGAGGATTGGAAAGTTAAAACAATGAACATGGTATTTATATCTATTTTTGATGATACTTGCCCCTTCCAAAAGAAAAGCGTCATTCCGCTAATACAAGTACAGCATCCACTTTTATTCAAAGACTTATTTGACTACATCGCTCCTCAAATCACCAGTATCCTTGAAGACTGGGATAACACAGATGACAGCATGAAGATCTACCCAACGAAAAAGGCGTCTCATACAACCTTCGATGATTGTAAAGGAGCTTGTGAAGCGGACAAATTATGCTTTCAGTTCGTCTACAACGGTACCACCTGCGCGTTGTCACATCATATCCGACTTGGCAGGGCACGTTCATCGAAAGGGGATGGGTATGGGGCGCAACGATACATCTCGGGATGGAATGTGGAGAGGGTTCGGGACTGGACAATGAAGACCGATTGTGCGAGCGCGCATTGGGTGAGGTCTAACCCATGAATTTTGTATAATTGAATGCTACTCTGAGAATGTGTCATGACGTTCACTTCACGTGATTAATGACCAAAGAATTCTGTAAATTCACAGGGCAAGTATTCACCCCAGGTTATTATACATGTAATGAAATGATACCTAGTAGAACCGAGCAAAAAACGGCCCGGGATCCATCTTACTCCCAGCTTTCCAGTCCAATCTCCACTGTCCAAAACCTCTATAACGCCACGCTTTCGTCCTTTTCATACCTACAAAAATAGCCAGTCTATCCATGCACTAACCCTCTCTGGAATCTTACACAACTCAAACGATCAAGGCATCACAACCCCACCACCCTCAACCCAAGCCCTATTGTACTCCTCCACATCTTCCCTCAATCTCTCATTCTCCTCCTCAAGCTCCTCCCCCTCCCTCTCTAATCTCCGAATATGCTTCTGCGCCAAATCCAACACCTCGCTCTTACTCACCTTCCTATCCTCCACGTCCCTGTCCCCGTTCTCCTCTTTTGGCAGCGCTGAAAGCAGAACCTCAAACTGCGAGTTCAGGCGGTTCCGGTACTGCTTCTCGATCTGGTTGTGGTTTGATTTTGTGGCGTTTTCGGGCTTGGGGTGAATGGTGGAGGTACCCGACAAGGAGGAGGTGGAGCGGAGACGAGGCTTGTGGTCGACGGATTTTCGCCGGGAGTGAGAGTGCGAATGGGAGGATGTGCTGCTTGAGGTGCCGCGGCTACGGGGGTGGCCCCAGGCTGGCTGTCTAGTTCTGGGTTGGAGTTGGGGTTGAGGGGCCAGTCCTGGTGATGGAAGGGGCGAAGTGAACGAAGTCCGTGATTGGTGGGCCGTTTGTCTAGTGACGGAATTTCGAGTTGAATCTTGACGGCCAAAGTCGTAGTCAAAATGTGGGGACTCGATGTCTGTGCTGGGACTGATGGAGCTTAAGCTCACGTACGAGCTATCCTTGGGAATAGTGTAGCCAGTCTGTAAATGTGTAGGGTTTGAAATTCTTGGGGTGAAGGGATTTCGAGAGACAAAGGCTCCATTATTGACGGTGCTGTTGATTGAAGAGAAAGAGCAGTCAAAGGGGTTCCAATTAGAGTCGTAAGAGACTCCCGCGCCGCCTGAGCCGGAGAGTGAGTCTGCATCTGTGAATGGCGTTCTGTTCGGAGTCCATGCCGGTGGCGGCTGGAGCCAATCGGGTGGTGCTTGAAACTCGGAGGCAAAATTGAGGTCAAAGTTCAGGTTGCTAGGCAAAGATGGCCTGTAGGGATATTCTTGGTTCCCAGTGGTAATATATGTCTGTGTGGGTGTTAGTTTCCATCATAAGCAATATAAGAGATAGATGCTGAAGGAAGAGAGAACGAACAGAGGGAACAGAAGGAAAAGAGGAAGTGTCAGGTACTTCTCCACCAAAATCCAATGATTCAGCATCAACGGTACTCTTGAGATCTTCGGGTCTTACATTGTTGTTGAACATCGCAAATTTTTATCGAGAACAGTAGAGTGGAAGCAAAGAGCGAAGTATTCAAATCTAAGGGGTAGCTCGGTTTGCCTCTATATTGACTTGAATGCCAAACGCAGATTGTGGTCTGACAATGCCATGAAGATATATAAAACCGGTCTCAGACCGTCACCTGCATGTGCAAGAGTACATGTACAATTCCATGATAAACCACGGCATTCCCAGAGCACGCTCATACATGACCTAGGAATAAATCCGGGGAGGACCCCGACTGTGCCCCGACTCACGCAAGGACATTCCATAATCGGCTCTCGAACATTCTCATGATATGCAATTGGCCATCACCTGCTCCAGAAAAAGTTGAGGAAAACAAATTATACCAAGCCACACGAGGCTTACGAGCCTTCCTTGAATCTCAACGTTGCATTGCTGATCTCCAAGTCGGAAAAGCAGGTTTGCGGGGCCTCATGCAGCTCACCGGCAACGAAAGGTCCACAAAGAACACCCCCAAGGCCATCACTCCTATAAACGGCGATATGCGGAACATTCTAGTACTTTCGTTTGGAAATAAGTGCTCGGATGGGAATGCCGTTGATATAGATCGAGATCTATTGCATAAGCGGACACGGTTCCGCGCTCGCGGGTGATGTTTTTGAACATACGAGTTTGACGGGAGTGACCGCAACACGCAACTTTGACATATCAGGATGGACCAAAGATGTTTATGGTGGCTTGGAGATGGTTCGTAGGGCTTGGCGGTTCGGATATGGTCGGCTGTCTCGGTTAGGAGGTGCCGGGCAAAAGGTGAAAAGGGGAGAAGGCACGTGATCGGCAACAATTGTTTTCATTGGGACGCTGGAACGCTGGGACGCTCGGGGGCTCGATGACAGGAAAAGTAAGCACCATATGTACGTCCTAAAGATACTTGATAGCCGTGAAGGTCGCTCAGCGGCATGGGTGGAGAAACATTTTGGTCCAATTTTCATTACCTAGCTTTGTCTTCTCACATTACAATAACTTGAAAGCTTCCTGCAACGAAAATCAATCTTCCAGTATGCGTAGACCATTTACAGACCTAGAAAGAACGACTATTTTATAGATGAGGTATATAATTCAAGAAGTTGCCTGCGGGGGTCTGATAGACTCCAATCGGCACACGGCGCAATGAGATGAAGGACTCTAAGACGACATAACATCTCGCAGAACAATACAGCACACATACAATGCAGAACAACATTGCTTCAAAGAACCCCATAGCCTCTATTGCGTACTGAGACCTTCCCAAGAGATCGTCCGTTAGCCAGTAATAGACCTGTCTCTTGACGAATCTCAGTGGATTGTCAATTGTGTTATGAGCGTTCGTTAAGGTATCTTGATCAATTTGCTTGTTTCTTCCAAACCCAAACCTTCGCCAAAGTTTGCTAAGCAAACCTGTAGCATAAACCATAAAGTAATACACCCCGATAGAGGCCCCGCATGAGATGAGGATTATGCATGAAATCTTCCAAAGTAACCTCTCGATGGACGTCGGAAAGACAAAGTTTAACGTTCCAAGATGAACACAGCCATATGCGATTGGAAGTAGCATCATGGCTGATACAAACCATGTTCTATCACTATCTGTTTCCAGCTCTTCACTATTCCAATTTTGCGACGAAATGGAGAGCAAGGGGTGCGTCTCCCGATATATCCCTGCGGGTATATGCGAAGAGTAGAGGGCGCGTAGTTTGGTTTCAGGACAATATCCAGGGTCGGGAGACTGCTGATTCAATGAATTCCCATTTCGGATGGAGTCGCTCAATTTTGAAGCAGCTTGCAACAATAGGGAACACCGTGTGAGATCTTTTCGAGTTAGTGATAGAGCAGCGCTCAAAGAGCCGTTATTCGGTAGTCTGACGCCAATTCCCTCGATTCCGGATGGTAATATTCGCCCAGGAAAAGATAAAACTTGCCCAGAATAGATGGTGCAGAGGATTGGGTCGGAGCAAGCTGGTACAAGAAGTCGCATGAACGAGTCGGGAACGCGATAAATATAGGATAGAGCTTTTCGATCTGTTCGTTGTCTTTCCTACATACGGCGTAATATGTCGAGATCTTAGCGAGAGCGACCCCGTCCTCGTGGATGATGGAATCTGGGAGAATTTCTGGAAGTGATGTATCCTCGTGGCTAGAGACCTTCTCCTGAATGTACTGAGGTTCGATTTTATGTACGAAGGTCATTTCACACTCTGGTCTAGTAGCTTTGACCGATCTAGGAACACGTGCGCCAAATTCCCTCTGAAACTTTTTAAAACCTTGCTTCTTATCGGGAAACCAATCCTGAGATACTTCTAGCATGAAAGCAAGGGTCTCTGGGTCTTGCTGAAAGCTAATTATGGTCGGATCCTGAACGTTTTGTGGGTTTTGTCCCCATAAAGTGTACATGGCTATTGCACATACAACATGTACAAGGGTGTGTATCTCAAGTATCGTTATTGGATACCCGGCAATCTTACGTTCAATAGCTTGGCCAGCTGCCCACATAACTTGAACGCAAACTAAGCCTTTCGCGAGAATGTCTGCTTTGCTCTTGTCTTGTATGAGACTTCTTGGTACTCAACAAAATTTTCCATGAGTGGCCATGAAAAGAACTCCTTCGGGCGTGATCGAGACTCTTGCCGCCACGTTATGAATGTCTTCGACGTCGGCGCCGAAACCTCCCATTATAACGTAGTGGCCGTAAACCATATCGAAACGATTGTGCGGCTTAGCGTACCACCGCTAACAATGCATTAGAGACTTGTGAACTTTGGAACAGTAAAAATATACTAACATTGAAGTCCTCATCTTTACTCTCAGCTGCTATTTCTTTAAGTTCTTGGATGAACCTTCTAGTACGCTTCCACTGCCAAAAAAGCGTTCACGACGACAATTTCGGGGGCAAAGACCGCGATTGCTACCCACTTTGTCTTTCTCAACCAAAATGCGAACTTACTTTCGCCAGCAGGTGGCACATTCATGTGTATTGCGGTATATACACACAAAAGAAGCGTGAACAGACAACTGTACAGAATCTCCCATGTTCCTCTCCCTCCCGGGCTTGATACCCAGGCTGGAGCAATGTCGGTCCGCAAGGCTGTGAGGTTGACTGGACTGATACTGGATAGCTCAATCACAAGAAAAAGCGCGAATAAGAGTGGGACCGACATCTCATGAAGCGGGCTGACATACGTAAATTGCATGCATAGAGGAAAGAATACAAAAGGAGGATGAAGTGAAATGCGAAGTGAAGCAACTACCGCGAGGCTTTCCAAAAGTCACTTCGTGGCATTGCGGCTGAGCGGGATTGAGGCTGTGCGAAACAATTAACGCCCAACGCCACCGGAAAAAGCAATTTGATATTCAGCTTGACCAAACGACCTTGTGAACTTTACTGCCTAGAATTTGGAGAGCACATCTCAAGGTTTGCGCATAGAGAGGCTCAGAACAACAATCACCGCCAATACTTCTCTTTATTCTACCAGAAGCTGAGAAGACTTCCTTCGATTCAAGAAAATCGAAAAAAAGGTTAGTATCATTGGTTCTTCCTGGCTCTTCAGCCAATCCAATAATTTCGAGCATCAAAGTGTATCTAACACTAAGGTATTGGAAAGTTCGAATTTCTGACTTTAAAGACTAGTTGAAATTTAGACGATTAACTAAGGATGAACAAAGAGTCCGTTGGTGATTTGGATGTGGTCGGCCAGGTCGGGGTGAAAAAGGGGTCAGCACGTGATCGGCAACTTTTCCAAACACCTGCATTTACTAAAAATAGCCGATTTTACAATGCCAAAGCTCCACAGGCTTTATTGAAACATCTCCCACAGGAACTTCTCCTTTCTTTACATCCCTTCATGGTGATACTACTTGCTCGTCCACCTAAAAGCATAGTGGCCTAGTAGACCTACAACAACGCTCGCTCTAACGAATCTTGAACCTGGCCCAAACCACTAGGCACAGCTGGCCGGCGTCTTGAGATCGACAAGTACCAGCATGGCAATGAGTGCTGATGCTGCTCCGCCGCAGCTTACCATGAAGTAAAACACCGAGAAGTTGCACAGACGCCCCACTCCTACGAGCAAGCTAATCTGTATAGCGCCCAAGAAGCCCAATCCAGGTTTTGTGTGATCGCCGAGACGAACGGCCAGAGATCTTACTCCTGCATTGACGTCGTCTTTGATATCCTGGTGTGCATACACGGTGTCAAAGATTATGGTCCACAGAACACTTGCACAGTACAAGCATGCTCCACCCCACTTCATAGCTACAGCCTCCGGCTCGCCAAACAGTTCGGGTTGGAGCAAGGGATCGGTATCAAGCGCAGCACAGCACATGAAAATTGGAATGGCGAATCCTATGCCAAGAATCACCTGTGGAAAATCTGTGACGCGCTTGCCAAGAGGATAGATGGTGAGAATAGCCATCATGATTGCTGCGTAGGCCGGAACGGCCCATGGTAGTGGCATGAGCATGACCGCCCCCACCACAGTCTGTATGAGCGTGAAGACGTGGCCTTGGGCCGTACTCACGGCACCTCGGGCGATCGGCCGGAAGCGGGTGCGTATGACCTTGCGGTCAAATTCTTGATCGAGGTTATCATTCCAGGTACAGACAGCGCCACGCAGAATGACCACCCAAAGCGCCAAATATCCCGTAAACGCAACAAGCGCTGTGGGAGAGACAAGTTGCGGGGCGATACAGGCCCCGAAAGCCAGGCCAATGGCATAGTGCCAGTAGAAGGCATAGTAGCCAGAGGGACGATCAAGTCGCATCAGCTCAGCATATGGGACCCAAGACGAGGGTAGTAAGAGAAAGACACCGCTGTCTGGTGCATGGTAACGGGTGGCAAGTTTTGTGGAGATATTCATCTTCTTTGTCGTCTCCCTTTTCAGATATGAAACACAGAGAAGCTCTTGACAAAAGTCAAGATCAGGATCAAGTTTGACTGATTCAGACCTCTTATTTTATACTCTGAACACGGTCGTGAGTAACACCACATGTACGTCGTAGTGCAGGTCAAGTCAACCTTCTGGATTTCTTTACCTCTGGAGGCCTGATAAGTCTCCTCCTGTTAGCCAATCAATTTGATGGATACGGCGGAAGCCTTAGGTTCCAGCCAAGTAGTTGCAAGGATCTCTTGAAGAAGAGATACAGGCTAAATACTTCAGGTGTGCTGTTGTCACCTTATCACAAAAGAGGGCATACTCCGCATGCAGCTCACGGCACTCTTGTCAAGGTGCATAAGTAAAATACAACAGGATCGAAATACAGTCAACATCAAGTCTGGAAAATTCACACCTCACCGTCTACTTTCTCTACAGACATCTCTCTACAATGGAGTGGATACTAGCTACTACCATAGTCATTCTCGTATTGATTTCATTCGCGTATAGGCAGTTGGACTCTTTGGTTCAAAAATGGGGCTTCTCAAGGAACGCGGAGCTGCCACCTGGCCCACAGGGCTTGCCTTTTGTGGGGAACTTACTTCAGTTCTGGAAAGCGCGGACTGATGGTTCAATGGATTCTTACGTGAGTCCCAAGAAACCTCTAGCTGGCCTTGAATTACAATGGAATTCTAATGCCTAAAATTCCTCAGCTCTTATCGCTACGCATCTTTGGCGAGATGACTACTTTGCATATGGGATCACACTTGTGGGTTGTTATCAACTCAGACCGAGTGGCAAGTGAGATCATCTCCAAGAGAGCTACAATCACCAGCGAACGAGCCCACATGCCAATTTCGAGCGACCTGATCAGCAATGGAAAACGGTCAGTACTCCAGAGGAGCGCAACATGGAGTGAGGGAAGACGATTGATGCGGCCCCTACTTACTGGACCTTTGGCAAAGACATTCGTGAAATGGCAGGACCTCGAAAGTGCTCAGTTGCTACTCTCATGTCTCCAGAGTCCAGAGAAGTGGTACCTACACCATTCGCGATATGCAACTGCAGCAACCTATGGTGTGGTTGCCGGGCATCGGCTCAACAAAAGTGAGGAAGAGTTAGCCGAGTATCGTAAAGTTACAAAGGAGTTTCTTGCAAGTCTGTTCAATACTACCGTCGATTTCTTCCCAATTCTTTCTCGAATACCACGGCCGCTGCAGCTCTGGCGACAACAGTGGGAAGCTGTCGGCCTGTCTCACCGTCGTATTTTCAAGAAGTGTTGGGGTCCCATTAAGGAGAAAGTCGAAGAGGGGCTAGCTGGAGACTCTTGGGTCCGGGATGTCCTATTGAAATCGGACAAGGGTAGGGAGGAAGAGGCACTCTATCTCACGAATTCGGTCATTTCAGCTGGCGGAGACAACATCCGAATGACGCTGAACACATTCGCTATGGTGAGCATCCACTATCCACAAGCTTTTCAGAAATGCCGGCAGGAGATCGACGAAGTATGTGGTGGAAGAGGGGTACGTTTGCGGCTACCGGGGTTAGAGGATATCTCTTCCATGCCTTGCCTTTGCGCCTTTATCAAAGAGCTCCTTCGTTGGCGACCAGTCGTACCACTCATACCTCCCCACCAACTGACCGAAGAACTGAAATATGCAGGCTTTGTCTTCTCTGTACAAACCAACTTTGTTATCAACACCGTCGCCATCTGCGCGGACTGCGAACAACCTGAGAAATTCCTGCCTGAAAGGTGGCTTGATGGCAGTGGTAACGAGGCCATTTTGACCCATAGATTCTGGGGGTTCGGTGGAGGACGGAGGGTCTGTATTGGGTACAAGGCCGCGCAACCGGCCCTCTTCCTTGCACTCTCACGTCTGATCTGTTGCTTTGACTTCGAACTTGTAAGTATTATATGGCAATGTGATTCTATGGCTGTTACCCTTGTTACCCCTTAAACTGAAGGCTGACCAAACGTTGCAGAACGGCAATTACGATAGCAAGCGTCTCAATCATGGAAGTACAACAGAGCCTTTCCCAGTTCGAGTGAGCAAGCGGAGCTCGACGCATGAGCATCTGATTTGGAAAGAAGGAGCAGCGAGAGGGCTGTGCTGAAGCTAGAAGATGAGGTTTACCAAAGTTGGACAAGAATGCAAGCACGGAGTAGCTTGCCTTAACTCAGCGAGTATGCATGACAATGTATCAGACTATGTATTCGAAGGGTTTTTCTCTTGCAATATGTGCATATGCATGAAACAAGAACGTATGCTGCCGATTTCGAAATAGGCAGGTCACAATATGTTGGTTTTGTTTGTTGCGTTGTTCAGGTTATGTTGGATATGTCGGATAATATTGGTACCTATATCGCTAGTCCCGAATGTTGTTGGTTGGTTCGCTAATCCTGCTATTTAGGGGTAGAGACTCTTAGAATATACGAAGTATTTTGGCCCCACGTCTGCTTACATCTATGTAAATAGTGCGGGGCACAGATACAACTTCTCGTCAGTCAATCATAGGCTGTATATAGAATAAGATGTAGCTCTACGTTACTTTTGCTCTACCTTTCTTAAAGCATCGTTCAAGCAACATTTTGTTGGAGCGGCTAGCGCCATGTACGATAACCATGGAAGTCGGTTGATGCCGACGATTTTACACGATGAGGCCAAACATAATCCTCAGCGAACATTTGCTGTAGTCGCCAAGTCAGATAACCTCGAGGAAGGATTCTATCAAGTTACCTTCGAACAAGTTGCCCGAGCTGTGAACCATGTATCTCATTGGCTGCAAACCGCTTTGAAAATGGCGACAAGCCTCTTCGCCATACGACCCTTTCCTATATTGGAGTTCCTGATCTCCGCTACAACATCCTCTTCTATGCAGCTGTACAATGTCCATACAAGGTCAGCTTCCGTAACATGTTCTTACCCGTTACATGCTGACAAGTATTTTTTGATGCTCAGGTCTTTCTGCCCTCACCACGAAATCCAACCGCAGTCAATGTGTCTCTGCTAGAACAGACGCAATGCTTGAGGTTGGTACATTCGAGCGAGGTTGGGTCTGTGGCGAAGACTTTACAAGCAGCTGTGTATGGTTTGCAATGTGAACAGCTCCCTTCACTGGACGAACTTCTTGTTGCCACACCGGCGGAGTATCCCTACAACCTCAAGTACGAAGATATATATCGTGAGCCTATACTCATTCTTCATTTCTCTGGATCCACTGGCCAGCCAAAGCCAGTCATCAATACACATGGAACTCTCACGACATATGATGTCCGTGACTGGCCCTCTGTGCCGGGTCGTATCAATCACGATGGTCTGAGTACGCTCAGGTTCTCTCAGCCAGACAGTCGCATCTACGATGTCTTTCCACCCTTTCACATTGCTGGCTTCATGACAAAGGTGATGGTGCCGCTGTACAATCTAACAGCACCAATACCTGGCCCCCCATTGCGACCACCTAGCGGTAGTTTGGCTGCAGAAATGATCCGGCTGCATAAACCACGCGGTGCTGTCATACCGCCGAGTATAGTGGAGCAGCTATATCATGAGCACGGTGGCGCCGATCTTTTCAAGCAACTCGATGTCCTCCTTTATGCCGGTGGCCCACTACCACAGGTGGTTGGCGATGAAATATCGAAACACACAACTCTCTGCCAATTCTATGGCTCGACCGAGATGGTCAAATCCGACAGCTTGCTCCTCTACCCGAAGATTGGGCATACATTCAATTTCATCCAAACGAACGCTTCGAGCTTCAGCCAGCAGGCGAAAGCATGTTTGAGCTGGTGGTGTTTGCAGACAAAGACCTTGAGCGGACTTCCTCGTTATATCATAACTACCCTGACGTGCGTGAGTGGAGGACTAAGGATCTTTTCAAACCACATCCGAGCAAGCCAGACCTGTGGAAGTTCCATGCTCGCAGAGATGATATCCTGGTGTTTTCGAGTGGGGAGAAACTGAACCCAATTCCCATGGAGTCTTCCATCACGGCCGTTCTTGGTGTCAGGGGTGCATTGGTAGTCGGGCAAGGCTACTCCCATGCTGCACTTTTGGTAGAGCTTGGTCAAGACGTGGCATCTTCCTCGGATCTACCCCAAGATCTTTGGCCTGCTGTAGAGAAAGCGAATACTCTCCTTCCCGGGCACGGTCGAATAGCCAAGTCCATGATCATCATTACAGACGCTAGCAAGCCCTTTGTAAGAGCTGGGAAAGGGACTGTTGTGCGTCGCTTGACCGAGGAGCTATTTGCCGAAGAGATCCAAAAGGTTTACGGAAGTGCTTCGACAGAACCGCTACGAGTACCAATAGTTCTCAAACCTCCATTTCTTGAAAGCGATATAAAAGAACTTGTACGTTCTATTCTAGCCCATGTTTCCATTGATGACCAGATGAAAGACGAGGACAACTTGTACGCACATGGTATGGATTCGGTAAGAACTGTAGAGGCTGTAGGACTTCTCAAATCCTGTCTTCTTCAGTCCAAACCGGAAGCCGACCTGGACTGGCTTTCTGCAGAAATTCTATATCGCAACCCAACTATCAAACGGCTTATCTCCTTGTTATTTGATTTTCTCGAAAATGAAACTACACCGAGGAAGAGAGATCGCATAGCAGAGATGCAAGCGAAGGTTGCAGAGTATACTGTTGACCTACCTCAAACTCTAGAGAGTCTAGTGACGAAAGAACACACTAGCAGATTCTCTGTTGCTGTCACTGGCACGACAGGATACCTTGGAAGCCGGTTGCTGATAGAGCTGATCCGAAACCCTCGCATATCCCGCCTCTACTGCTTGAATCGTTCCACAAGAGCACAAACGATCTTTGAGAATCACATCCCAGGGAAAAGCACAAAACTAGCATTCTTGCACGTTGACCTAGCTTCATCCTATCTCAGCTTAAGCAATGAAGACTACACTCGGCTCTTGCAGGACTGCCATATCATACTACACAACGCATGGCGAGTTGACTTCAACCTCGCCCTAGACTCCTTCGAAGACAATCTCCAAAGCGTCAAGCATCTCATCGATCTAAGTGCCGCCAGCGCCCTCCGTCCACGCATCGTCTTCATTTCTTCGATTAGCTCCACTGGCGTCTTTGCCCTCAAGGTTCGCCACAGCAGAGCGTTCCAGAGGATATTGTCGAGAATCTTGGTGCCACAATGGATATCGGCTACGCTGAATCAAAACACGTTGCTGAGCATGTACTGCACGCAGCGTCGAGAGTCGGTATCCCTGCAACAATCATTCGGATGGGCCAGATCTCACCATCGTCCGCACCAGAGGAGGAGGGGACGTGGCCAGACGGTGACCTTGTACCGATATTTCTGCGCACATGCAAAGCTTCTGGGTCGTTGGCGTCCGACTTTGTTGACACGGTAGATTGGGTACCGGTCGATCAAGCTGCTATAGTCGTGAGCGAAATCGTGGGGCATGAAATTGATAGCGGAAGTTGTGTGCGGTTCTACAATGTCGTGCATCCACGACCTCTACTGTGGAGTGCGGTGATGGATACAGTGCGGATATGGTGTGGCGAGGGAACGAAGACTGTGAGCTTGCAGCAATGGTTGCAGAGAATAAGGGAATTAGATACCAGGGATCCTCGAACGCTCGATAGATTCCCCGCATTGCGCATGCTCCGGATCTTCGACATAATGGCCAGCCGTGGACCGACGCACGAGTATGCGATGAAGAATCTGATCGCGACGAGTAAGAGTATGTCCTACTTTCCAGTTGTAGATGCAGCATTGATCGAGACATGGCTTCAAAAGCTGTCATTGTAAAGGAGATAGTAGTATTCGAGCAAGTCGCACGGCATTTAGGATGCGTGCTGTATTTGTTGTGTTCTGCTAGCTAGTAGCTCACCCTTCCTAAATCGTTGCATATTGTAAAATCGTGTACTATGCGCTTTTACTTTTCCCAAAACTGGGTGTCCTCGTAGGTGCAACTTATTGTTCATGCTCTTACTATTTCCGTGGCAAGCAGCATCCAGTTAAGTCAGAATTATCGGAAACTTAAGAATTACATTTGGATTAGGGGATATATACAGTATTCCAGACGTTGCCTATCATGTCCTTGTTTGGGCTCTATTGCTTGCCTTATTGAGTTTGGTGCGTTACATGTTGGTTCAAACCAACAGCCGATCCTCAAGCCCCCCCACGCGCAATCGAATATGGTATCCTAGTAAAATGAGTTGCGTTTCCTAATGCAAGGAGGGTGCGCTTTACTTACTGCTACTGCCAGGGAAAGCCTCTTCCGGTACCGCGAACCAGACATAGGTACCCTACAACAATCTAGAATCTGTCCTATACCCGCAGCGTTGTATTGCCACCATGGATATAGACGGGTTGCGTTTCATACCTTTCGGTGGGTTATCTGTAAGCTCTCGCTCGCACATATTGATTTACTGTTTTCGAATTGCAGGTAACATACTACAGGGCAGAAGCTTGTCCTTCATGCCTCCATCGAAGACTGAAGACCCTGAGGGTCATGAACCACAGGCTCTTAAATGCGGGCCTATTTAACCGCGAATTCTTTGGGAGACACAAATCCAACGTACTTTGCCCTCCCCTATTTCGAGAAAGGGCGATCTCTGGCGGGAATTCGGCCATATACAAACTTCGCAAACGATCAAGGGGATAGAAAGATGCTCTTTGTACGCAATACAATCTCATATTCCATTCTCCGTACATGTACATCGCGTACTCTACATCCCACTATGTGCACTATCATTATGTTAGCAACATCAACCACATCGTGATTGCCATCAAAACTCTTCAACCCTCCAACTTATTCAATTCATATGTTGACATCCACACCATGGCAAGTACGTTCACTCCGATGAGTTCTCCGCCTGCCGGCGTTATACCAAACTTCACCAATCCCACCGACACCCTGTATCCCGAAATCGTGGCTACGGTGATTTTGTCTATTGTGTTAACAACAATCTTCACCGCTGCACGCTTGATAGCTAAGAAAACAATAGCGAGTTTCACGATCGAGGACTGTAAGTGCGGGATGTTTCTTTTATGTGCACAACTCCGAACAGAGCATCTTTACAGTACATGATGGACTAAGTCTCATACACCAAATACAGATTTCTCAGTATTAACATGGCTTATGTTCATTGGGTACGCAACAACTTTTATGATCCAAGGTATGGCAGGCATTGGCCGACATTCTTGCATCGAGTCAGCGCCAAGAATTTCACAGGTATGTACCTCTTAACTTTACTTGACCTTCCACGATTGTAACCGATCATTGTATTCCACAGATTAGCTGGGCTATTAAGCTCATGTACTGCATTATTACTTGGCTCGCCAAGGCAACACTACTCCTCCAGCTTCAACGTACTTTTGCGCCAATTAAATCGGGCGCCGTATACATCGCTATTCAGGTCTTGCTCTGGAGCAACTTAGCATTCTACCTAGCATCATTCTTCGTTCTGGTGTTCGAGTGCGTGCCACAAGAGCGGATATGGAATCCGCTGATCACAACTGGGCACTGTATCAAAACGGGTTCCCTGCTGATAGCTATGGGTGTCATCAACGTGGTCAGCGACTTGATGATCCTGATACTACCCATCTGGGCTATCTTCCACCTACATATGAGCATGAAGTTGAAGCTGGGCATCTCCGCCATCTTCGCAACAGGCCTGCTTGCTTTCGCGTGCTCAATCTGCCGCCTGGTGTACACCGTCCCTCCGCTGCACAGCGACGACGCCAGCTACCTCTTTGCCCCAGTAGGCTTGTGGTCGTAAGTCAACCCAAGTCCTTTTCATCCCCATTGGTCGCGCCTATCCTCACTCCATACTCATCCTCTTGTCAACCCCAGAATTGCCGAAATTTCTTCCATCATTCTCTGCACCTGCTTCCCGCTCATGCCGCGTTTTTGGCGGGTCATTACAGGCGGGATAGGCAAGTACAGTAGTCCCATAGCATCGGACGACCACCGCTACGCTCGGTACGGCAATGAAAGAGGTACCCATCACAGCGTCACAATATCTGGCAACCATTGCTTGAACTGCAAGCACAGAGTGCCGTGCGCGATGCACGTAGCTAGTAACGTGGATAAGGTATTGAATCAGAATGATGATGAGGAGCGCCTGTATATACACAAGATGGTCAGTGTTGAGATGATAGACCATAAGGTAGATATTCCGAGCAGTAGTAGGAGTATGGAATGATGAGGGCGTTCGTAATTTCAAGTTTCTGTACTATACAAGACTGTCCCTGAAGGAGATATAGCCATTGAAGCTGGCTACCATGTGCCTTACCGAGATGCCTTCCTCTGAGCATGAAACATTGAGTACAAGGACTTTGCTGTAGTAATGAAAAATTGCAACAAATTGAACAGCAAAAGAGCGTATTGCATACGGAGAGAGATGTCTTCTACTTCCTCTACTATAATACATCATACATATCTCCAATACATTATCAATACACTCTATCTCCTCCGCAAGTACCAATTGAATGCTAGCTGCTGAATCTCACCAGGGAATGGTGTTGGGACCTCCGTCAATCCAGGTCTTGCCACTGGATGTCTCAAATACACCGCTGAACAAATCTTCGGACTGACCTCCAGATATCTCGGGATGAACGCAAATGCACTCATGAAATCCCTTGGCCGCCATGGTGTGGCGTAGGGCTTAGAAGGATCCACACCATCACCCTGTATTCTCATTGCCGCGATTCTCTTCTCTAATGCTACGAGCTTCTCTTCAGCAACTCGTTCTCCATAGGGCGTTTTCGTCCTCTTCGGTGCATCTGCTTCCTCAGATGCTCCCTCAGCTGCTCCAGCTTCTGTTTCGACCGAATTCTCAGCAGCGCGTTTCTTAGCAGCCTGTCGCCACGCCTTATCCAGTGTGTTAGATCCAACAGAACCACGAAACTCCTCGACGAAAGCTAGGCGCTCCTTTTCAAGTTCTTGGAAAGGCTTTCGAAAGACTTTGGATCTGGCGCTCTTGGCATGCCTGATAAAAGCTCGAATCTGCTGCTTTCTTTTTGCAGATAACATTTTACTCTTGGCGTGTTGCTTCCATTCCGCTCGCTGGATCATGGTAGAAAGATCCGCTTCACGAGTTTTCCGGTACTCAAAATGATCTTCCAGTAACGTCTTCGGGGTCTTGGAGCTTATGAGAGCTTTACTTGAATCTTTGTTGGATGCTTTGTCGGAGGCTTTTGCAGCTTTCCGCTCAGCCATCTGTGCTCGAAGCTTCTCCATGCCGACATTCCTGTTCCGTCGAACCCGAAGCACTCTTCTGCCAACTCGCAATTGTGGTCCATCTTTCGGAGCTCCCGTGGCGAAGAGGACGGCTTCGGGTTCGACTTGGAATAGATCGCCTGGGTTCAGAAGATATCCAGGGTATATCATCTGGAGAAGATTAATGTCTGAACATGACGAAACAAAGAAGTGAGATGTACCTTCTCCCCATTGACCTTAACTTTCCCGTGCACCACAAATTGTCTTGCCTGCCGTGCGCTACTTGCAAACAATGCTCGCCAGATGGCCATATCTAGTCTTCGTTCGATGGGAGCATATGTTTGATGCATATATGGGATTGCCTGTTTTCGTTTCGTCTTTTCTGCATCGAAAGGTTTCTCCAGCCCCGACCCACGTCCCGCTGCAAGCTCTGATCCATCAAACTCTGCCAGATATCTATGGTCCATTGGTACAACGGCGTTCAACCGTGGCGTAAACATTCGCTGCCATTGCTTCTCTCTAATTTGTTCGCCATGATATGCACGTGTTATTGATTTTGCTTTCCATTTCTGTTGATAGAAAGTCAAGGACTGGGTTCGGGGCATCGACAGACGCGAGAGATTATAGAGATTGTATTTGTTCCATGTCGCCCGAAATTTCTAGCTCTCAGGTCAGCTTCTGCGGAATGTCAAGGCAGCTGAGGGATAAAATCTTACCACTTTCTTTAACTGATGAAATCTCTTTCTTGCCATAGCGATGAATTGAGTGTTGCAACCTGCAGACTCGAAAATATACACCTCACGAGAGCAATGGTCGCATGAGGTCCAAAATTATCCCCTTGAACAAAATAAAGCTCGTTAGCTCGACGCTAGCGGCCGCTCACCACCCAAACGAAGACTCTTCGTTCTGAAAATAAAATGGTTTCTGGACCCTCAATCGACAACCGCAAAACTGCAACCTATTGAGAAGCAGTCGCAAACTCTTTATTTGAGACAATTGACTTTCTGGCAAACATCTGCAGCTGGGAAGTTCTTCAAGGTAAGTTTCACCGAATTTCTATTTGTGCGCCAATTGAAAGCTAGCTAGCTCAAGAGCTCAAGTTCACCCCGCCTTCTTGCTCGAGTCACCGATCCAGTCACAAATATTTCACCGCCACAATACTAATATTCTGTGCAATAGCAGACAATACGAAGATACAAGATCGGGCATCTACACGAAATTTATTTCGCACGATTCATTGATTCTTTTGGTCCTTTCTACTCCCCAACTTATCCTCCACGCCATAGAGAGAATTACCACCCACCAAGATGTCCACTCCCAAGATCGAAGCTACAGAGCCTGATCCTGCAGCTGCCTCAATTCCCAACGATGAGACCGTGAACAAGGAGAACGGCGACGCTTCTGCGCCCACCGATGTGGATGTTGTCGCAGAAGAAACCAAGGCTGAAGTAAAAGAAGAAAATGGCGACGCTGCAGAGAAGAAAGATGTGAAGAGCGAGGATACTGAAGAGGCCAATGAAGAAGGCAAGCCTAAGCTGAGATTCAACGAGAATGGCATCCTCAAGACTTCTGCCAAACCTATTGAGGGTGTGAACAACAGCAAATACGATGCGTCTGTCTTGTCAGAGTCTGAAGATCCTGTCAAGATCCGAGCACAGGTATGGTATCATTAAATCTAGGCCACTGCGGTGACTAACCTGACAAGGTCGAATTCTACTTTGGAGACTCGAATCTTCCAACTGACAATTATCTATGGGACCTGACCGGTGGTTCTGCGAACAAGCCTGTCGATCTTGCTAAAATCCTCGGATTCGGACGCATGAAGCGCTTTACGTCAAGAGAAATTGTCCTTGCCGCACTCAAAGAGAGCAAGTCCCTCCAGGTCACTGGTGAAAAGGGCGAGGAGCAGGTCAATCGCCGCATCGCCTACGACCCAACGAAGTCTAGCAGAGCTGAATCTCGATCGATCTATGCCAAAGGCTTCGGCGACGAGGAACCAAGCTCTCAATTCGACATTGAAGCATTCTTTGCTCCTTACGGTCCCACCAATGCCGTTCGACTCCGCCGCACTGATGACAGACTGTTCAAGGGTTCCGTCTTCGTCGAATTCCAAGATGATGAGACCGCCAAGAAATTCCTCGACCTCGACCCCAAGCCATTGTGGCAGGGCAAGCATACCCTCCTCATCCAATCGAAGAGAGAGTATGTTGAAGGAAAGGCACAAGATATCCGAGATGGAAAGATAGACCCTCAAGAGGCTCGTATTTTTGGAAACCGTGGTAGAGGCCGTGGTCGCGGAGGTCGTGGCCGTGGCCGTGGCGGTGACTTCAAGAGAGGGGATCGTGATCGAAATGGAGGCCGTGAGCGACGTGACCGAGACTTTACCGATCGCGATCCTGATGACTGGAAGAAGAGACGCGAGGAAGACCGAGCTTCTGGCTTCAAGGATGATCGCAAAAATGGTCGAAATGCTCGGGATCACCACAAGAAGGGTGGTCGTGGTGGACGTCGTGATGATCGAGGACATCGTGACAACGACAGAAATCGGGAGCGGAAAGATAGAGATGAGTGAGTACAGATTCGAACAGAGGTGAATTGCAAAACTGACAATTACACAGGGAGAGCAAGGCAGAGGTTAAGGATGAGGTTAAGGATGAGGTTAAGGATGAAGTTAAGGAAGAGGTCAAGACTGAGGTCAACTCCGAGGAGCCAAATGAGAGAAAGCGAGCCCGCGACGACGATGATGGTGCAGATGAGAAGCCAGCAAAGAAGGCCGACGTCAAGTCCGAAGTCACGGTCGAGTCATGATACCCCCCCATCTGCTTTTCGATTTCTCGCTTGGTTCTTCCTTACGAAGCTCATGCATGGTCAGTCGGTTGGTTGTGTCAGTCGGCGTTATGGGAAGGGCGGATTTTCTCAATATTCATGTCTCGTCAAGTCTGCAGTGCATTCCTTTGCTCGGTTGGCATAGATAAGCTTGCTCGCACTTGGCGGAGGCGGATTAACGATTGCGCTTGTACATAAGTCTCACATCCTAGAGCAATTGCACTTTCTGGCATGCCAAAAATACCAAAAATCAAGAAATTTGTGAACCATTTTTGCTTGGAGTTGGGGAGTGTACCATTGATTCTACATGCGCCGATATATTCTACAGCCATCCGGACATACTCCAACCAGAGCTCCATCAGCTCCCTAAATGCATAGACACATAAGGAAGATCTCAATAATACACATAGCCAGCTTTTGAACAAGCAACCAGCCATCATCCATCATCATACAGGTCCGCACGCTATGCATCACACCATCCAACTAATGTATCACCTCTCCCAGATCAATGTGTACCGGCTCCCATTCCCGCGCCCCTTTGCTTTCCATCTCACTTGGCACCCGGACATTATTCCCAGGACTGTACAAATACCACGCCTTCAGCGCCGCAACGCTGGCTCTAATCTTCGCCTCTAGCAAGCTGGGTCCCGCTCCCTCCCCAAGCTTGTCATTCCCGCTATAAATCCCCACCACATATACAGGTGACCTGCTGTGTCGTCCCGTCTCGCTCAGTATTCGCGCCACTGGATGCTCGAACTCCTCTCGTTGGCATAACCTCGTCAACTCTCGCTCTGGCGTCTTAAACTGAAACAGAGACGAGATGTCCAGATGTCTGCTCAGAATATGCCGCTTCACGAATCTCTTCGCTTGCTCTCGTCCTGCATGCAAAAACAAACTTCCCACAACCGCCTTTACGAATCCTGCGTACGCCTGCTCCGTAGACAACGGTTCATACGGTTCCCTTTCCCGCGGAATGGTGTCTCCGAATTCATCATCGTACACATTTCTACTGCTCATCCCTCTCCTGTAGAAACTTTTCGAGTCTGGTCTTGTGCTCGCCCCAAATTCATCTATTTTCGTTCCTGAAGCCATCTTTGAGAATTGCAGTAATCCAGGATCAACTTCTGAGCCTGGCGCGGCGGCGGTCTCGACACCCAATTCCCGCGCTATCAGTTCGAGGGTCTTAGGTCCGTTGTAGGCGTACGCTGCTGAAAAGAGGACGGTCATGGGTAGTCGGGGATATGTACAGAGAAGATATTCGGCAACGTGGTAAGAGATTATGGAGCCACCTAGCTGGGCTAGAGCAGCATTATTGAAATTCGGATTCGAGTCTGCTGAAGGATCGACTAGTGTTCTCGCCATGGTCTGCAGAGGGAGTTTTTGCGGTAAGGAGAGTCGAGCATGTAATGCTGCTAGTTTGGCGGATTTGAGAGCTGCTTCGGGAGTCGGTGATGCATATTGACTGAGAGGGTGTTTTTTGTTCGGTATTCGCTCTGCATCTTCGAATATGACATCTGCAGTTGAGGAAGAGGATTGTGACCGCGTTCGCGTGCTAGCTAGACTTGCTTGCATCTGGAATCGTAGACAGCATGGTCGTGTGCGCGGAGAGAGCAATTGCCCGCTCCATCTTTCTAATCGTAACCTCTTCATCGATATTACAACTCCACACCTGCTCGACCGGGCATAGAAAGGAAAGTCGTGAGTGGGATTGGGCGTTCTAGTTGTGAAGTTTGCTTTCCTGATCCCCTACCCAAAATTTCTGAGCTTCCTCACACGACATTATTTTCGGGCGAGCCTTATGTAATCCGTCACGCTAGTGGAGAGCTCTCGCATCTGTTCCGACCTCAGAACGTCAGTCTCAGCAATTAACCCCCAGATTTCTCTGCAATTGATCAAAATGGTATATCATATGTCAATTGAAAATGATTGAGAGCAGTGCTAACAGCTTCTAGGGCGGCGGCGGCAAGATCCCGTAAGTCAATGGGCTACGAACCCCGAATCTCGACCTCCCTTCCTCGATTCTGACTCCAACATAGCTACCCTAAGCACGTCTGGTCACCAGCAGGTGGCTGGTACTCTCAACCTTCGAACTGGAAAGCGAATACGGCAGTCTTTGGGGTTGTCATTGTCGGTATTACGGCTATGATGTGGAAGTTGAGCGCAGACAGGGAGGTGCGGACAAGATTTCCAGAAGAAGGACGATTCTTCCCAAGCCGATAGTATGTTGTTCACACAATGGGCTAGTCTGAGTTCTGCTGATGAATGTCTAGTTGGAGCAAGCAAATCATCGAGCATGAGAAGAGCGCAAAGGGCGGATCATAGAACGATGTTGAGGACGATAGACTTGTACATATCTCGGGAGTCTTGAATGGATTGGGTCCACGCAACATAAGAACCGATAATTTCTGTGATTGTGATTTATGTTGCTCCACAGGGACTGAATTCTGAATTTTGGGAGGATAGCGCAAGCTATACACCGTGAGATTCGGAGTGGATCCTCTTCAAGCATCAATCGATTGCTCGTCAACAGCAACAAACACCTCTTTTAAGCCAATATCAGCTAACCCTTCTATTTCTTTCCCTCTCATTCGGAGTCCTACACGGGATATCGGCTTTCAACTTGGATGTGCGGCTTCAAAGAGCGGTGTCCGGTGGTCGATCTCGGAGTTCATGGCCAGGCAACTATTCAAACTCTTCGAATATTCCGTACCTATGCATTCGAACCTGCAGAAACATTGGGCAAGGCCCAGAAACTAGAAATGGAAGGTGAATTAGCAGTCCAATATTGAGAAAATTAATAACCTAGTCATTAAAACCATGCTCAATCACAACCAGCGGCCAGTGCTGACATACATTGTCCTACATTTTCAATGCATCTAGAATATCAGTTCTATTCTTTGTTAAAGACTTGTCCGAATTAGACTCAATTGGAGTCACGTGTTATTGTAATCCCTCTACGTCATGCATATTATCTGCTTGATCTAAAATATCTGGACTTTCAATAATCCTTGATCATTGATACGATAGGATTGCGAGAAGTTGACATATCTGAGAGTTACAACGGCGAGACTAATTAGGCAGGTGGGTTATTTTACCGCTAAAGAAACGCCTAAACTCCTCGTCAACAACCCTACAGTGCTCGATTACATTTTCAGCAACACCCTTCTTACCAATTTTCACTCCCCCACACAATATCTTTTCAAATTCTTCGCAATGGGAGATGCAACGACACCACCACCTGAGTCAATTGACTCGGAGAAGGAAATTCTGCCTCAGAATATCAAGCCAATTCATTACGATCTTCGCTTTGAGCCCCACCTTGAAGAAGCTACCGAATACGATGGATCAGCTGTCATTGACTTGGAAGTATTGGAGGATACATCTTCAATTACTCTCAATGCTTTGTACCTGAACGTCATCACACTGGAAGTTGTCGACAAGAATGGGGTAAGAATTGCGACAAGTCCAGTTCAATTCGATACCGCAAAACAACGGATGATAATAGAGCTTGGTGAGACCGTCAAAGCGGGTTCGAAGTTATATGTCAAGACTGTATTCAAGGGCTCCATGCTTCATCAAGCCCGTGGCTTTCACCGAGCTCCAATCCAAGGTCCCAATGGGAAAACTACATGGATGGGAGCAACACACATGGAGCCAGTAGACGCACGGAAGACCTTTCCATGCTTTGACGAGCCTGCTCTCAAAGCAACATTTACGGTTACTATTGTTGCGGACAAGCATATGACATGTCTCGGCAATATGGACGTCGCATCAGAGGTCGAAGTACTGTCTAACGGCAAAGCAAAGAAAGCAGTGACATTCAACAAGACGCCTCCAATGTCAACTTACATCGTAGCATTTGCCGTGGGTGATTTGCAGATGATAGAGACGGACAACTTTCATGTTCCAGTCCGAGTTTACGCTGCTTCTGATAAGAATATACAGCACGGAAAATATGCTCTCGATATTGCTTCGCGAGCATTGAGTGCGTTTGAAAAGATCTTTGATATAGAATTTCCGCTCCCAAAGATGGATTTGATTGCCGTACCTGGTGGTCAAGGAGCGATGGAAAATTGGGGATTGATCACTTTTGGAGAGAGCTTGCTTCTCGTAGATGAGAAGGAGACAAGTGCTGAAGCATATCGTCGTGCTGGCTCAGTCATTGTCCACGAACTCGCCCATCAATGGTTTGGAAATATCGTCACAATGGATTTTTGGGAAGGACTATGGCTGAATGAAAGTTTTGCTGACTGGGCGGAACTTTACGCTTGGGAAACATTAGAGCCGTCTTGGCAGATGTGGCAAGATTATGCTATCAGTGGTTTGCAAGCTGGTCTGGCTTTGGATTCCAACAAGGCAAGTCATCCTATCGAAGTACCAGTCTCCAAGGCGAGCGCAATCAACCAAATCTTTGACGACATTTCTTACAATAAAGGCTGTGCAGTCATTCGGATGATTGCGAGTTACCTAGGAACGGAGAAGTTCATCAAAGGTGTTCGGGCATACCTCAAGAAACATGCTTATGGAAACACCAAGACCATCGACCTATGGGATGCATTGAGTCATGCAAGTGGTGAAGATGTTGGGAGTTTGATGGAGACTTGGACGAAATTCATTGGTTACCCTTTTGTCAAAGTCACAGAAGACGAGGACAAGATCACAGTTACCCAACACCGCTTCCTGCAAGACGGTTCTTGCAGCCCAGAAGACGACAAAACACTTTACCCATTGTCACTCAAGCTACGATCCAAGGGTGGCATCGATGATGGCCTAAGCTTATACGAACGGACAAGAACTATTGATATCTCACCCGATTTCATCAAACTCAATGCGAATCACACCGGCTTTTTCAGAGTTTGCTACACACCAGAACGACTAGAAATTCTCGGCAAGAACGTCAAGGAAGGCTTACTATCAGCTGATGATAGAATTGGACTTCTTTCTGATGCCTTGGCTATGGCTTCCAGTGGATACTCCAAGACCTCAACACTTCTCAACTTCCTCAAAATCTTCGACGAAGAAGAAAACTACTTCGTATGGAAACAAGCACTCAAGACTCTAGACGCAATCCAGGAAGCATGGAGATTCGAAGAAAAGTCTGTCTCAGAAGGTCTAAAATCTTTCAAACGTGATCTAATCAGAAAGTGTGCTAAGAGCAATGGCTGGGACTTCAAGAAAGGAGACGACATAGTGGAAACAATGCTCAAAGCAACCATGTTCGCTCAATCTGGCTCCGAGTTGGAGGTCCAGAAAGTTGCTAAGAGCATGTTTGATGCGTTCTTGGCTGGTGATGATGAAGCTATCAATATCAACATTCGAGCTGCTGTGTTCGCAATTGCTCTCGGGCACGGTGGAGTAGCGGAGGTAAATTCACCCACTCTCTTTCCAGTATATACCACTCACAATTCCAGTACGACGCTATCCTCGAAGCCCTAAAAAGCTCCAGCAGCGTCTTCAAACGAGATACCTGCATCAAAGCCCTCGGTGCATCAGAAGACCCCGCACTCATCCAACGCACCCTCAACTTATCACTCAGCGACGAAATGATAGCTCATAACGATACCCGCAACATCATCAGATCCCTCACAAAACATAAACCTGGGATCGAAGCTCTCTGGGCCTGGATGAAGGGCGATTATGGCAAGATTGAGAAAGGGCTCGGCCATGGTTTGGGCACGTTTGCGAGGTTGGTGCAAATTGTTACTGCCAGTTTGGCGACCAGGGAGCAGTATGAGGATGTTAAAGGGTTTTTTGAGGATAAGAATACTGAGGTGAGTTTGTTTTATTAGTGGAAAAGAGGGAGGAAGCTAATTGTGTATAGTCCTATGATAAATATCTAGCGCAGTGTCTGAATGGGATACTGGCAAAGGCCACATGGGTCGAACGGGATGGAGAGGATATGAAGGGCTGGTTGAAGAAAAATAATTATGCTTGATTGTCTTTGAACATTCAGATATCTTAGTACATATAATCATTGATGTGGGATTTTCTAGTCTATGAATACAGATGAGAATCATGAATATAGAGAATCTGAATCACGACCCATTTCACATTCCCATCTCAACAACACCACTCTCTTCCTCCACAACTATATCAACTCCTCCCCATCTCTATCCTGTAACCCTCTTCTAATCTTCTGAGTCCGCTAAACCCCAACAATCTCTCTACCTTCCACCAAAAAGAACAAAATGTGCATCATCAAACACTCAACCTGCGTCTACTGCACCTTCGTCGGCGACATCACAGTCCCATGCCCCAAACAGATCCGATACAACTACAAGCCTACAAAGTGTATCGAGAGGGGAGACTTTCATGATGTAATGGTCAGACCGTATGCTGGGCATCGGTGCTGGGATTATGATGAGTAAGAGGAGATGACGATGAGAGAAGAAATGAGTCTAATTGTGAGATAGAGCGGAGAGTTAAGATCTTGAAGATGGGCGGGGAGAAGAAGGTAGAGGAATGAGGAGTTCTTGATTCGGGGCTTGGGTGAGGGATGGGAACGTTGTTTGGGTTGATGCTATTTGGACACAGGGTTCGGCGATATGGAGCAAGGAAATGTCGATGAACATGTTTCTGAACATTGATATTAATCCTCAACTTTTCCCGCAAAACTTTCCCTACTTATCTCTTCCAACCAGAAACTAGAGTTCATGCACCTTACTTCCCATCGTGGCTCTCCTGAATCGCTTCCCCATAGCCAAGAAAAGCACCATCCCAATCAAAGTAATACCCACTGCTAGCGCCATGATCGTCAATACAGGAGGAATGAAACCAGCGCTTACGGCCCAGTCATTGAAGTAGAATATCATGCCGAACTATCGATTGTGAGCCAGGTCATGACGGAAGAGGACAGGGACGGGGTAACTTACGCCAAAGGTATTTTTGATGATCGTAGCAGAGACCATGATCTGGCCTGGGATGTGTTTGTAGCAATCGACCGCGTACTATAGTTGCCGTTAGTAACTACAGAATCTAACTGAACGATCACAAGGGAAACATACCGAAATAACAATAGCCGGGATAGCAATAACCTCAATCCCCACAAACCCATACCCGACCACCACAACCGCCTCCCAGGGCCAATGCCTCTGATACCCGACCGCGGTAACCTATTCTCATTAGCCTTCCCACCTTCACTTACAAAACAAGTTACGTACCGTCATCCCCACAAGACAAATCGCAATATAAGGAACCAACGCCCACAACCTCACCTCCGGCTCCCTCACGCCTCCATTCCTCTTCGCTCCCCACAGCGCAACCCAATCACTAAACGGCCCTGCGGTAACCAACCCTATTATACCACCCACCACGAACGCAAAATTCACATACCCGACTTTGCCCGGGTTGAACAGGTACGGCGGCGCGGCAAACAATTGACTTTGCGTCAGGTTTAGCGCGAGCAAACAATTTGTCGCAAAGCCGAAGGACATCGTGGCCCAGAAGACGATTGGGAAAGTGAAGATCTGGAGCGGGGCGAGGAAGTCGCGGAACAGAAGGAGGGAGCCTTCCCAGTGGAGCGTGGGGATGAAGGAGAATTGGGCCTTGGAGGGACGGCCGATGGGGCGGGAGCTGGTGGAGTAGATGTGGTCGATGGAGCGTTTTGGGTTATGATTGTCGGGTTCTTGTTTTGTGGTTGTTTGGGTAGTGATGTTTATCTCGTCGTTTTTGGCGGAGGTGGAGGAGAGGGTTGCGGGGGCGGAGGTCTGGGATGTGTGGTCGGAGGGGAGGGCGCGGATGTAGCGGGTTTCGGGGAACATGAAGATCATCATTATTAAGCTGACCTAGGGTGGTTGTTAGTGTTTGGGGGTTTGGAAGGGAGAGGGATGTCTTGCGCCTTGGAAGATTGTGCAGACCCAGAAGAACCATCTCCAGGAGATGTGAGCGGCGATGTTTCCAGAAATGATAGGTCCAATGTTGACGCCAATGAAGTATGCCCAGCTACTAAATGTTAGTATTACAGGATTTCTGCAAGGTATACGACTTACAAATAGAGACCCATCCAAAGTCCTCTCTGGTGCAAAAACATGACATCGGTAATAACCATGGGCATGATACTCTCATTGGCCGCAGCTCCCAGTCCACCAATGACTCTGGCGCCAATGAAACTGTTGTAGCTTGTAACGCGCGCTTGCCATATATTGGCAAGGATACAAATCAAACCGCAGATTAGGATGCTTGGACGTCGACCAAATATATTGCTGAACGGGACAATAATGAAGTTTGCATATCCGAGCGCCATGGCTGCTGCTCCAAACTAGACTATCGTCAGAATGCTTCTGAGAGAATGGACGCTTTTCGTGAACTTACAAGCATATTGACCTGAGGAAGTGTCTTGTGGAATTCTTCAATGAAAATCGGGGTCAGTGGCGCAATGGCAAGTGGCGTCAAGATACTGATGAAGACGAAGAAAGCTTGATTGACAATCACTATTGTTTTCCATGTTGGGCTCCAGTTCTGGTATCAAGCTCTCATTAGCAAGCAGCCTGAGAGGAGGAGTCTTGCTACTTACCAAAGGGTCGTCAGGCTGGTCACTTGGCTCTGGTACAAGAACCAGTTCTGCATCTCCTGAACGGGTAGAGTTGAGATCAGTATTGAGCAGGATTTCCGTTCCAGGAACCAACTCCTCCCTATATTCTGAGCTTGAAAACGCCATTTTGATATCCGGGCAATAGCAAACAACAGCAAAGAATAGCAGCGCTTGAAAAATGAAAAGACAATCTCCCTTCAATAGGGAAGCATCCTATCTTATAACATTTCTCGATTGCTCCACCACCAGAGGTAGCACAGAATGCTCGCAAGCCCCGCGTTTTGATTGAGGACAATCTGGACCTCATATGCATCCTTGAACAGCATGTCCGCTGACAGCTCCGTAGCACAAAAAAGGTGCCTGCGCAACATGGGATGTGTTCGGAGAACATCTAGAATAAGAATTGTGTTTCACGATGGGGAAGTCCGTGAGGAATTCCGCAGGGAGAAGACGAAGGAGCAACAAGAGCATCACATGACGGATATCAATCCAGAGACGATAATAGGCTATAGGAGCGGGAGAAGTATACCTTGGTGAGCCATGTGCGGCCGGTCCCATGCACCAGAGTTTGAGTTTGGTGGTCGAGACCCTTGTATTCGGCTCTGACAACGAGGCACCGGCAATCAATCAGAACGCTGCAAAACAATAGCATCGCAAGAATATGACTAGAACTTGATGATCACAAAGTATTTCGGCCGCCAAAGACTACTTCTGGAGCTTTGCCACGTTGCGAGCTTTCGCATCGCATGAACGCGAACTCGAGTCAAGAACTTGAAACATGCATCGGATGCAATCCACCACCACAACACTGGACAAAACTTTTAGGGATGAAACAAATAAACTTTCGTAGAAAGTGGATATTGTGATCAGACCAACGGTTTATAAGAAAGTTGGAAGGTCACCCTTGGATGTCAATATCAACTAGATCCTGCGCACGGTCTCGGTACTTGCACAGACTCTGAGTTCAGTCTCGTACTTCATTTGAAGAACGACTCATCTTGACTCACAGAAGCTTATACTTTTCTTCCTCGTCTTGTATCTGAGTTTAGGCTCTTTATAAAAAAAGGCAACCTATCTAGACTCACAGAAGCTCAACTCTTCTTCAGTCTCTCCCTCCTCGTCTTCACCACATGCATCCACCTCTTCAACAACCCTACCTCCAATCTTCCCTCCCTCTTATACCTCTCAACCCTCCTCCAAATCTCCTCCACATCCTGCCAAACCCTCCTTCGATTCCTCACCCCCATCAACTGCCCAAACCCGAACTTAATGCTCATATACAACGTATACCACATCGTCGTCCCAACCTCCAACTCCCTGATCTCCCACAGCCACGGAAAGTCGCTCAAAATCACCGCTCGGAACAAGATCACCGGTAAATCACGATACGCCGGCGTCACTAGCCGTAAATTCGCGATATCTCTACCAGATAAAGGTTCGAGGATCGCGAATCTTAGTTCTTGAGGTAATTTCCAGAATGGATCGTTGGGTGTCGTTGATGATGAGTAGGTGGTAGGAAAAGGACGTCGCCATACCGGGTGTACGCTTCTGTTGACATTATATTTCTCACGGTAACAAGAATTGATGAGGAGGTTGAGGCCCGGGATGTCGATTGGGTTAGCTGCCAGCCATTCGGCGCCTGGTTTGTGTTCCCACCACTGGTCTTTGCCTTGCCTTACGGCTGGGTGGCGGGGAAACCGCTCAAAGAAAGCTTCGTATGAGCCTTCTAACTAATGTTTTTTTCAATCGTCTGGACTTTAACGGGAAAGGGGTAGACTGACCTGTCGCCAGGCCCAAATATCGTGTAAGTCCACTTTACCGGTCTTCTCAATAGAGATCCTCTTCCAGATCTCAAAACAAGATGGATGCATCGGTAACCCCATCTCCTCATCCTATTGTCTCATTAGCACCATTCAGTCCTTCCACTTCTCTTACTTAACATACAACATCCTCAACAGTATTCCAAATCCAAACCCCCTCCACCCCATGCCTCACAGGCGTCAACCCCTCCAACGGCGCTTCGTCCGGGCTTCCATCACCGACGCCCGTCAAAAAATAACCCCCCTCTTTCTCAAACTCCTGATCATCGCTCTCTTCCTCCCAATCCTCCTCTTTCTTGAGAATAACAACCACAGACCTACACCCACGCATTTCCTCGACACTAATCCTATACCCCGAATAGCCACTCGTGCAAACACATCCCGGCCCAGCGAGATGTTCGCCGTTCTCGCTGTCATCGCGAGGAAGTGCGGTACAGCCTGAGCCAACGCCGCAGATGGGGCTGTCGCTGTAGTCAGAGCCGTAATAGGCCCACGCCTTGGAGGAGTCTTCCTCTGCGCGGCGGAATCGCGTGATGGCGAAGGAAACGCCGCAGAGTTGGCAGACGGTTTCTTTGTAGCACCCGGGCATTTTTGATGTTTGGGAACAGTATTTGGTAAAGAGAAAAAGATAAAAGGCGAATGAAAAAGAATTAATGTGTGAGAATAAAACCAGTACAAAGACATATGTCACTTTAAGTTGCAAAATTCAAAAGACTAGAGCTCTAGGCGACGAGTGGCGCGGGATCTACCTGTCATGCGAACTTGGTAATAATTGTCGCTACCACGCTAGTGGCAGCGAAGGTACCGCGAAGGGGCCTAGACAGACACATACGACAAAACCCTATTCCTTAATTTTTATTCCTTATTCTTTATTCCTTAATGCCTTAATTGTACTAAGAGCATAGTACTGAATGCGCTGAGAGCACCGCACTGAGAGCAGCACAGCACTGAATGCGCTGAGAGCACTGAGAGCACTACACTAGATGCCCTGAATGAGTGAATGCGCGCTTTTAGCGCCTTTTTAGGGCACTTAGCGCTAAAATAAGGAATAAGGAATTGGTGGAATCAGAGTTTTGACGTATGTGTACCAAGAGAGCCTTCTAGAAGGAACCAATCACTATCTCTCCCCTTGCATGCACGAAAAGGCGAAAACATAGTGGAAATCTCATCGCCATACAAGAAGATATCCCCCCGCAAAATGCTTCAATGCCTAGACTCCTAATCCATAGACCATGAATCGTAGGCAGAACTCCTAGAATAAGTACAACCTCCCATATGCTACAATTGATCTATTCCGTTGGATTGCCACCCAAGAAAACTTAACCAGCATGCTCCACGATCTCGCTGACAGCTTTACCATCCTTGCTAATGAATGTACGGATCTGTTCTGGCAGTGCTTCCTCTTTGTAGTCACCATCATCTCCTTCCGGTAGAAGAAGGTTGATGCTCGAGCATTTGCTAGAGAAGACTTCCGTGTTTAAGCTGTCTTTGCTGAGATACACCTGTGCGCCGTCGACTGAATCCATGAGGATAGTAGGAACGACTCCGAGAATTTGAAGGGCGAAATTGGAAGATTTGATGACGTCAATGGATGAGACAAGTGACTCAACCAAGAGAGACAATCGAGGGGAGTTATCGATTGAAATAGCATTGGCTTTGCCCTTTATGATGATCGTGGTCTTATTGCAGCGACTGATGAGGATAGAGTGTGATATTGATGCTTCGATTTCGACCGGCTGTGTTTCGTTGTCGTAATTCTCCTGCAAAGACAATTAGAAAATGCACCAAAGACCACCTACTAGAAACACTCACAATCAACCACTTGTTCCCATCAAGCTTCTTGACAGGAGGCTTCTTCGTCCGCATGCTCTCAGGTTTTGGTTTCTTGCCAGGAGCTGGGCTTTTCCCACGATTCGAGGAAATACTAGAAGCACTATCACTTCTAGTCGGAACAGTCGCACCTGCCCGAAGAGATGGATTCTTATGCGTCATTTGATCTGCTGTAACTTTTCGAAGACCTTTTGTGACATCTGAGCCTTTGTTGAGTTCGCTGAATACCGCGCCAAGTCCGCCGGCATCTGCAACTGGGGCAGGCTTGTCATCGATCATCATAGGTGGTGGTGGAGGTCCTGGAGGAGGTGGTGGCGGAGGAGCACCAGCAACTGCTTTGGGATGTGGTGCTGGGGGAGATGGCTGGTTTTGCTCGACTGCCTTCATGGCCTCCTCAGCCGTAACACCTTTGGGATTCCATGCCATGCCACTTGGGAAGGTTTGTTTGACATACTCAATCAGTTCCTTGAATACTTGATAATATGCTTGTATCCATTCGACTTGCTTCGGGTCCCTGTATACTTTAGCAATTAGATCCAACACATTGACCCAAGACCTTACTTCTCCTTGTATTCCTTTAAGACTCGGTTTCCCCAGTATTGTGCTGATCCCAAAGACTCCTCGACAACTTTGTGTGGTTTCGAGTCTGCAGTAACCCAAGCTAGAACACTGATACTCTCCGAAACAGCACTCAATTGGTTGAAGACGGGTGATCCACGGTTTCCTTCTCTCAGCTCCGTGACGGTCGAAATCAGTTGATTGAAAGGCTTCAAAAGTTGCATGAAAGCTGGACCGTTCATGTCGGGTTTCTTTGCTTTCGTGGTAATGAGGATGAATTTCCGTTGTTCCGCAAACGCTCGCAGAACGGCTGAAGCCTACAATTCTCGTTAATTCTCCTTCCTCGAATTTTGCTATTGTTCCATACCTGCTCTGCGACCAACCCTCCCAATTCATCACTCAGATTGACATACTTCTTGACCGGGCCGGTTATGAATGCATCAAAATCCTCCACAGACTCCGGCAACGCTTCTTGAACAGGCTTTGGTTGTTCGGGCGCAGCTCGCGCTGTCACCGGAGGTGGAGGCAAAGGACCGGTTGGCGCAGGAGCTGGAGCGCCACTGATATCAATGGCAGATGCTGCCATGTCCTCCAGACGGGAGGTGGCAGCTTCGAGCCTATTGATGATAGCTGTCAGATCCATTCTCGAGACGGTAGGCACCACTTTGTCGTCCATGATGGCTGATCAACAGCTTTTGGGAGCGGAGATGGTTATGAAGGAAGGAAGTATCACAGTACCGTTTGATGAGAGTGGTTAAATTATGCATGTTATTTGTCGCCATGCTGGCTGCAGGGTCCTCGATGCGAGGTGTTCCAGGTGACAGGTTTGTAATGAGGAATGATCAACGCAAAGCTGGGGCTAGAAGAAGGGTGCGCTGACGTGGGCAAGTAGATTGTTCGATACAGCAATACAAGCAGCAATTGTGCCGTGAGGGCGAGGAAGATTTCGCAGAGAGATTCAAAGCTCTGAGTGAAGCTGGCACGAAGAGATGTGTGCTTGGAGATAGCTCCGTGAAAGGTAGAGCTCGCCCGATGATCCCTGTCGTGCGTGACCTTCCTTTCTAGTGACACGATGAGTCAGCGAGGCTAGGTAACATCAATCAGCCTTGATCTTGAGACGATGTTGATACACCTACAGAGCAGAGGTCTAACAGTCTTTTATTGATGATGGAGGATGAAGATGGAGTGCCGTCGTCTCAAGGGATCGATTTCTGTACGATGGGAATGTTCATCATAGGTATGAAAGATGTTCATGTTATACGAATTTCAAATTGTCTTGCATGTGTTGTTCACTTTCTTTTCACCGTTGCCTTCTCATGCCAAGCGTCACATCTTTTTGTACGCACTTCACATTCTCATTTAGGCGCCAAGTAACGGATATTTCGTATGCGTAAGCAACTTGTTTTAAGCAAGACGGGCAGCTTTTTAAAAACATAGGAGCCTGTTCATGTAGGCTAGAATAAGTATGACTGTGCCATGAAACTGCATTCACAAGTGGGGATCGCAGTGTGTTCTTACATCTTATACAAGTTAAAACCTACTTTCTCGATGCTGTATGCCTGATTTCATGGCTATACTACAATATGTTATGTCTGTCTGCTCAGCATGACCACGTATGCCCTGCGCCCTGCAATACCGTCATCAATAATTGCTTTTCTTACCCGGCAAACCTTATCCTAACATCCTCTAGATGAAATCCACTACCTCCCTCCAAAGCCTCCAGTCTTCGATGTTCTCGGCGGAGGAGGAGCATACTCTGCCCTTGGAGCTCGACTCTTCTCACCACCACCCCTCTCCCAAACTATCTCCTGGATCGTCGACCGCGGCTCCGACTTCCCCCCTCACCTCACCACCCAAATAAACTCCTGGTCAACATCATGCCTCATCCGAGACGACCCAACGCGCCTCACTACCCGCGGCTGGAACGGCTACGACGACCTCGAAAACCGCGCTTTCAAATACACCACGCCCAAACTCCGCATCGACGAACACGCCCTCACGCCCTCCCTCCTCTTCTCCAAATCCTTCCACATGGTCTGCTCCCCCACCCGCTGCATCTCCCTCGTAACCGGCATCCTCCGCCACCGCAAAGCCATCAACCCCTCGGCCCCCAAACCCCTCTTCATCTGGGAACCCGTCCCGGACCTCTGTCTCCCCACCGAGCTCCTAAACTGCACCAACGCCCTCCCCTACGTCGACATCTGCTCCCCCAACGCCAACGAACTAGCTGGCTTCATGGGCGATGACGAAATAGACCCCTCCACCGGCCTCATCTCAACCACCTTCGTCGAACGAGCCTGCGAACAGCTCCTCGGCTCCATGCCCCTCCAATCCTTCGCCCTCGTCATCCGCTGCGGCGCCCAAGGCTGCTACGTCGCTAAGAACGGGGGCCGCTCCCGTCGAGCCTCCATCGTGAAGCGTAAACGACCCCGGAATTACGCCAGAGGTGGCTTAACTTTAGACATGGACATGGAATCCCTATTCGCCGGCCTTTTGAACGAAGACGGCAGTTTTGAGCGCGAAGAAGTGCCCATTGATCCAGGTATCGAGCTGTGGCTTCCGGCGTTCTTTAGTAAAGGGGAGGAAGAGAGAGTCGTTGATCCTACGGGCGGCGGGAATGGGTTCCTAGGCGGACTGGCGGTTGCGTTGGCGAGGGGGAGGGGGGTTGAGGAGGCGGCTGTGTGGGGGAGTGTCGCGGCTAGTTTTATGATTGAGCAGGTTGGTGTTCCGGTCCTGGGGGTGGATGAGGAGGGGAGAGAGACGTGGAATGGGGATGCAGTTGAGAGGCGGTTGGGGGTTTTTATGAAGAGGTGTGGACGTTGAATTGTTGGGTTTGGGGGCATGCATAGATGGGGATTTTGGCGTTTGATAGAATGATTGATTGATTGATTGACTGGGTTTACCGCTTTTTTAATGAGATTAGATTTTTTCCGATTTTGATACCACAATTTTAGCTGTCCATCTTGATTGTTAAAGCCGTGCGTGGGTCTATGGAAGGTACATCGATGGCGGTGTCAAGTGTAGATGGTTGTTAGCAGAAGCGAGATAATGCTTAAGCATCTTTGAATGTTAGATTTTGGGGACGGACAATGGGGTTTGTTGCACATCGCACTACTATACAAGATACCTAGTTCTTGAGTAGAGTAGAGTAGAGTAACTGCTTAAATAGACGGTACTTGAAGTAGGCACTACTTAAGTAGGCTTTATGCAGGTATAGAGTAGAGTAGAGTATAATTACACGAGGATAAGATAATAGGGGGCTTTAGTTGCAGATCGCACTTCTATAGAGTATACAAAGGTCCCTGATATAGAATGTACGTAGGTACTTAACTGAAAAATCTGCTTTATTTGAGTAAACTCAATTTCTAGTCAAAGTGACAACAAAGAACAGCTGGGATGATTTCATAAACATAAACCTCTCATTTATACATCTACGTAACTCATTACAACCTAACGAACGTTCCCATACCAAACATAACCGTGACGCCTCCCTCCATAGCCAAACCCGCCTCCCATCTAGATCTTATACACCATGTCTCCATCAGGATACCTAACATTGTCAGCAGCTGATAGCATTCACAGATTCAGGGGTCTACTCACATAATATTATTCGCGTCATCCATCTTCTTCAACGCCGCAACCGCCTCAGCTCTCTCGAAAGCTCCACCCGCAGCCCCGCCAATACTCCTATTCACAGCCGCGATAATATCATCCACGATCGCAGACTCGTCTTGGAACAAAGCCGTCTGCATAAGCTGACCGAGAGTCGTTCTGAAGACTTGTAACCTTGCAGGCGTGATAGCTGGTGCAATGCTAAGAGCAGCTGCTTCAGTGGCAAGCTCGGAGTCTTCTTGTGATTGGGATCGTGAAGGAATTTGAGAGGCTGGGAGAGATGATGCGAAGGACGTCTGTGATTGTGTTGGTGCGGTAGCAGTTGTGCCGTTGGTTCTTGAGCGTTGTGGAGTAGCTGTGTAGAGATCGTCCTCTTCTGAGCCGTCACCAGGAGCGGGTGTGCTAGAGGTGTTTGGAGCTCGTGGACGAGCCACTCCGCGAGTTCTTACCGTTGTTCCTGGAGTGCGAGATTTCGATGTTCCGGCTCTGGTAGTTGGTGGCGGAGAATCGGAATCAGAATCCGAGTCATCGTCGGAGGAAACGTCTTCCAAAGGACGAGTCTTACGGCGTTTGCTCTTCTTCTCGTCTTCAACCACTTCCTTGAATAGAGAAAATCGGAGGATTGACTCGGCAGCTATTGCATCAACTTCCTGAACACGATTTGAGAGACGAGCTTTAGCATGGGCTGTTGCAAGACGGATAATGGTCTCCAGGGTACGGACAGTCATGGGACTGGTCTTCCTCTGGTTGCCTTGCATATCGTCGTTTCGAAGACCGACATAGATCTCGCTGATACGGTCTGAAGCCTCTTGAGTCAAGACAGGCTTTATTCTGGACTTGGCGTATTGGATATACTTCTTGACAAAGGGTATGCTCAAGACTTCCACCTTCTTGTTCGCTCCTCGTCCGCTGGTGACAGTCACACCTGCATGAAGCATTTGATTGTACTTCTCGTACATTTCTGTAGGACGATTGGCGTCTGCTTCTTGCTCAACTCCGACTCCCAAAGTCTGCTGAGCTTGCTCGCGCACCGGTGCTCCTTCCTCGGTGCCTGGTTGACGATATCGATGCATCCGGAGGACGTGTTCGGATATCTCGCGATCTCGAGTGTCATCAATATCGTCAGTGACGATGAAAAGCAAATCGAAACGAGACAACAGAGAATCTGGCAACGCAATATTCTTGTGGGGATCCTTGTGGGTGTCGTATTGTCCAAAAATTGGATTGGCGGCGGCAATAACGCTGCATCGTGCATTGAGCGAAGTATGGATACCAGCTTTTGCAATTGTAACAGTTTGTTGTTCCATAACTTCGTGAATGGCCACTCGATCGATATCGGACATCTTGTCGAACTCATCAATACAAACGACACCACGGTCAGCAAGAACCATAGCACCTGCTTCCAGTCTGCGTTCTCCAGTCTCCTTGTCTGACGTGACAGCTGCTGTAAGACCGACACCAGATGATCCCCGACCAGTTGTTGCAATTGCAAGAGGTGCAGTGTTGAGGACAAAGCGTAATAGTTGAGATTTTGCGGTAGACGGATCTCCGACCATTAGAATATTGATGTCACCTCTCAAATGAGTTCCATTTTCCAAATTCTTCTCTTGACCACTCAGAAGCATAAGCAGGATAGCTTTCTTGATATGATCGTGACCGAAAATACTGGGAGCTAAAGATTGTGAGAGGAGCTCAAACAAATTCTTCTTCTTCGAGATCTTGTTGATGTTGCGAATATCGGTGTCTGTAATGGTAGCCGCCGCAATACCACCGCCAGATTTCGATGATAGCATGACCACATTGTTTGCCAAGATAACAGTCTTGAAAAGAGCTGTGTTGTGACCTGCATTGCGGTTTCCCAACGACCTGTAAATGCCCACCAATTGTACCCTATCACCAGGTTTGCATTTGTCGACAAGGTCATCGTCCAGAATCACATCCACCCCACGAGGTAATTGACCAGCAGGGGCGCGCTCCGGCATTTCTTGAATGGAAATCGTCTGGTGATCTCGGTACGTGCAGTATCCGTACTCTGTCACCAATGGGTTGCCCTCGTCATCCTCTTGAGGATACACACTTGATGTGCTTGCACCGCTGGCAGTCATCGTCTGGTCCTTGTATTCTCTGAAGTGGAAGATCTTTTTCGTCTCGTTGTAATGAACACTCTTCACCACTTTTGGTCGCACCAGCGAACATCTTGTGACAATGCCCTCCAAGGAGACCATGCGATTGAGGTATGAGGAGGATAAAGTTCGAGGATTGCAGGCATATTGTCCAAAGCTACCTGAAAAAGCACAATAGTACATTGTATCCTCGGATGTTTGTTTCGACGTCGCATTTGGAAGTGTTTGAATGACTTCCTTGAGCGCTCGATCGAATGCTTGTGCAAAGTCGAAGGGCTGTTGGAGAAGCCCCTCCGCCAATTCCGCATTTCGAGCACGTACTTCATCGATGCTAACAACGAGTCGTCGCTGGAACTTCTGCAGCATCAATATAATATCTGATCTGTAGCTTCTGGTTGCAGGGTCACCTATGAGAGGTTAGCAGTCTCAACGCCTCTCTAGAAGATGGACATACTTGGATCAAGGAATTCTTGAGCCGCGCGGACGCGATCGCGTACGGCTTCATCTCTGAGTTGGAGACCGTCCATGACTATTGGGAGGGAATTATGGTCGTTCTTGTTCCTCGGAGTGTTGTTCCTCTCAACAATGTTCTTCGCAATAATGTTCCTCGCAGTAATGTTCCTCGCAGTATTGTTCCTCGCGATGTTGTTCCTCGCAATGTTGTAGAACGAGAAGCGGCTGCGAATTTCAGGGGAGAATTTCAGAACGCGAACGCGTCAAGAAAGTCGCGTTTTCGTGTAAAGTGGGCGCTAGTCCTCTTATGGCCATGGCTTAAGCTCGCTCTCGCTGCTGCGCAAGATAAGTTTGATGGCCTGAGGCAGGAACTTTAAATCTTAGGTACCTAGGCACTTACGAGTACTCATACCTTTTCTCCTGTTCTCAAAAATTGTTCTCCCACTTGTCAAAATCGTACAGACAACCCACAAGATCATATCGATGATGTCCAGGGCACTCGATGCCTCGCGAGGAAACTCATTGACGATACAGAAGCAGCCTGCGACACCGATATAGCACGGCATGAGCTTCTCACATCTACAGCTTCACGCTCAAATCAAGCCAGCTTCCGTTCACATTGACAATGCTCAACGTTTAGGATTAGGCCTAATCCCATTGTATAAGTGTACAGGTGTAGCTAGGTTCGTGTTGCATTTGAAGCCTCACTGCTATCGAACTTCTTGCAATGTGCGTCACGTCTACGCACACATGCAGCTTCAATTATTCCTCGAGTCATACGAATCAAAGCGTACCAACGACCAGATGGACTTAGTATTTCCTCATGATCGACTCCAATAGCCCGAATCTACAGTAAAGAATGTAGTTGCGTTCTTTGTGCCATGGTGTTCGGCCCTTACTTTTCGTTAGTACCTCTCAAGATCGCCGCATTTGATCCGACAAAGACTTGCAAATAATGCTTGTGACTTGGTACCTCTCTTTTATTGTTATTGCTTTGCTTAGCCCTTTTATCACTTACTCTATTGCTCTATTGTGTGTCTGAGCCGTTTGCGGCCATCTTGTCTTTATACTAGAATATTTCCTTGGAGTCGAAGGGCGTCAAAGAATAGAAACAATATCATGTTGCCAGCGCTACTATCTCGTTGCCAGGTTATCTGTATATCTACACGAAAATCATAACTGCATAAAACGGTCATTTTATATACATCATGGCAACTCCACACCCTGCTGCTGCATCTTATGCTGCTGCAGATGGCGTTACAGACCTCCAGACTGGGATGAGGATGGTCCGAAATGTAGATTTTATGGGCGCTGTAATCACCGTCATGGTAGGCGACATAACTGCCGTCCCTGGAATCATAGTCACCACACCTTCGACAGATTTCCGCGTCAACGGCACAGGTGTAGACGCTCGTGTCCACGCTGTGGCTGGCTGGAAGTTGCGTCTGGAGCTGACTCTGAACTGGACAGGCGGCGAGATCGGGCAGGCTTACCAGACTGGTGGATGGGATATGGAGCCAGCCTGCCCACTGATTCTGAATGCTGTTGGCCCGGATTACGGCGTTGCGATACAAGCGAATGACGAGAATGTCACTGCAATTATGGAGGAAGATTTACGCCGCACGTATGTCGCCGCCTTGCAAACGCTGTTGGATAATGGCAATGAAGATTGGAAGGTCATTGTGTTTCCTCTCATATCAGTGGGTGAATATCAGTTCCCTCCGGAGAAAGCTTGCGAGATTGCTTTGAAGACTGTTCGAGATTGGTTGAGGAGACCGGATTCGAACAACATTTCTCGAGTCATTTTTGTGGTTCCTGGGGATGATGCATCTGACAGTGAGAACATCTACGCCGATTATGTGCCGTAAGTGCAATATCCTTTAAAATAGCATCATAGATCTAACGTTTCACTAGTTCATTCTTTGCCGTTGCCCCCCGAGCAGCCGGTGCCACTCCAGCAGCCGAAACCCCAGCAGTTGCCCCTCGAGCAGTCGCTCGTCGAACAATCGCCCGTCCAGCAGCCGCCCGTCCAACAGTCATCCGTTCAACGGTCACCCCTTCAGTAGTTGAAACTAGAACCCCATGCAACGCTCCCCTCCGAACCGGGGCTCGATGCCCCGTCACCGTCACCCGCACAGCCGACGGCCTCCCAAGGTGGTGTCCCAGACACGAACGAGCCGCCAGTCCGCCTCCCCGTACCACCGCCCTCTCGGAAGCGTCCCGATCGCCGACTCCTGAACCCGTGGCTCCGGCAACTCGCTCCCGCGCCCCAAGTCCTACCGATGGTGTCCCCGGTGTTTGCGGCGCCATCATACCCATGGACCTCCCTTGCGCCGTGGTCGTGATCCGCAACAACGGTCTACCGGCATTTTGTCCGCTCCACGAGGAAGGAGCAATTACTCAGCCTTCATCTCCAGGTAATGATCAAGTTGTCAACACAGCTTCACCATCAGACAATGGTCAGATTGTCTCCACGCCTGCATCCCCAAACGATAACCAAGTTATCCGCTCACCATCCCCATCAGACAACAAACAGGAACCCGCATCAGATAATGGACAAGTTATCCAATCACCTTCCCCATCAAACAACGGCCAGGCGCCTGCATCCCTAGACAACGGACAAGTTATCCAGTCACCTTCCCCATCCCCTGTTCCAGCATCTCTATCTTCATCTGACCTTGCTCCTCCACCTCGATCATCATCATCCTCATCCGCGGCTCCACCTTCTACCTCCTCCTCCTCCTCCCGCCTCTCCCAAAGAGGTAGAAGGAGAGGTGGACAGCGCGGCAGGGCCAAGAGAGCGAAGAGAGCGAAGGTAGTAGTGCCGGTCGCGGTGAGTAGTAACAGTAGCCAGACCAGTGATCCATACATCCCGCCCCCTCAGAGTAGCGGCAGTGAATATATCCCGTCTAGTCAGAGTAGTTCTTCGGACAGTGGCAGCAGTGACGATTCCGATCCATCGCGCTGCGGGTTCCAGAAGGAGGATGGGAGCAGGTGTATGAATCGGGTTGTGCGGGAACGGGGGAGGCCGAGGTTTTGTTGGAGGCATAAGGGGGCGGGGAGTAGTGGGAGTAGTGGCAGTAGTGCGAGTAGTCCGAGTTGGAGTATCCAGAGTACTCACAGTAGTGAGGGTCAGAGTAGCGAGGATAGTGATAGTAGTGACGATGTCGATCACCCGCGGTGCGGGTTCGAGAAGAGGGATGGGTCGGGGCCGTGTATGAGTCGGGTTGTGAGGGTAGCGGGGAGGCCGGCATTTTGTTGGAGGCATGTAAATGGGGGGAAGAGGAAGTGAGTGCAGGCTAGGGACTAAGGTGAGGAGGAGATGAGAGATGAGTTGCTATTTAGCTTGGAGAATTCTTAGGGTTTAGAAATAGGGTTGCACAGAATGATGTTAGTTAATGTAATTACTTTCCTTGTTTTATTTTGATTTGCTTGATGAGATGAGGTTGTAACAGTGAGCACATACAGCATGAAGGCAGGAATAGTCATGATTTATATAGCTCAACAAGGATATGCTCCTGTATCTCTATCCTACAAATATACAGTACATGACCGCAAGACCGGCAAGCAATCAGGCTCTCTACATTTCCTCCTCCCCTCAAATCTCCAACCTTCCAAACATCTCCGCAATCCCATCATACCGACTAAGCACCTCCCCATCCTCCCCACACATCATATCCGACTCCACGAACCCCCTATATAACTTCCCATCTTTACCCCTATATCCTTTCGAATACTTATCCCCTTCCAAATACCTCGTCTGCCAAGCTCGATACTTCTCATTCCACTTAACCACCAGACAAACCCTGATACTCGGCGTCCAAGACCGTCCGTACTGCTCAATATACTCCGGGAACACGGCACGGTACTGTTGCGCATGATCGTATAGCGTAATCAGGATAGCGATACCGCGAAGCGCTTTCCGCTTCAGATTTCGATCAGAGAGTTGTTCCCGCCGCTGGAAAACGTAGTCGATGACATTGGAGTCTATGTCGATGAACTTCAGTCTGTGGTGTGAAGATTGCTTTGGGAGTTTGAGGGGTCCGCCTTCGACCATGGAGCTGGGGAAGAGGATTAAGTTCTCGAGCTCGGGACAGCATGATTGGAGGGGCGCGAAAAGTTGGCCGCCGTTGCTGTGTAGGATGTCGAAGGCGAGGGCGAGATGCTTTACTTTTGCGAGGCCGATGAAGAGTCTGTAGCAGACTAGGTTGAAGTCGGTTGGTTCGAGATCAAACGCATCTTCTCCTTCTGGATTTGCTAGGTCTCGGATAATGGTGTCGTTTTTGAGGTCGACATAAATGACTTTTGTGTCTGTTTTGGAGGTCTCGAATGTTGGGCTAAGAAGCCGAGTAAGTTTGGTGAGAATAGCGGCCCGGGACTCTCTGTTAACGGCCAAGAGAGCCAAATTTCGATTGTGTCGTGGGTTGTGAGTGATGATTCTAGGATTCGGAAGAGCGCTCTGCCAAATCTGGAGTCTGATCTCAGGTGGAAGCTTAGCAAACTGAGGAAAGGAGTGAGTCCTGCGTCTAGCTTTTGCTGGCTCAGGTGGTGGGCTCCAAAAGGGGGTAGTGCCTCCTGTCAACTTAGCAAGAGCAGATAGATGCGGGAAATCTAAAGCGACGTCAGCACAAAGCTTTTTTTTTCCGAACTAGGGATAGACTACCAAAGAGAGATAACACGGTAGCACTGTTTTCTAGGCTTAATGCACGATCGAGAACCTGGATATTCTGCTCTAGCTCCTCGTAAGCCGAGTCGGCAAATTCAAGAACTGCTTTGTGACCACCAAGCAGCTCCTCTATCGTCGTCAATTCTCTCTGCTTGGTGTGAATCTCATCCCTTCTAGACTCGAGAGCTCCAGTGCAAAGCTGCCTCATGTCATCATCCAGGTCATCACGCCCTAACTGGCCGATAGCAATCTGTCTAATCTACGAATTGTCAGCGAAGTGAAATATGAAAAGTTGGGGAACACAAACCTTCATGTGACTGAAAAGGTCATCAATTACGGCGGTTCTAAGAGACTGAATAGAGTCCTTGATTTCATTATTCTTGCGAGTGAGCGAGGACAACCGATCTCTGACAATTTGTAAGGACTCTCTGGTAAGTTGTTGTCGGGCTACAACATGATCAGTTAAGCAGAAATGACCCGCACGTGATATCATCATACATTCAGGAAACTTCGTCTCTCTCGGTGTCAATCTCGGAGTCTCTGGGCATTGTAGAGGAGAAGACTCTCTTGAGGCCTTTGATATCTTAGCCGGTGGTAAAGATTCGTTGTCTGTATTTGACGCATCGTCTTCGCGCTTTCTTTTGCCAGCGAGTTCATTCAGCGCGATTGATACATCGATCTCATCATCGCTCGCCCACATAATCCAACAGAGGCAGTCGTAGGCTGCTCGCAACCTCTCTTCGATACAACAGAGCTCTAATAATCGATTGCGAGGGTCATTCCAGGGTGAGATCATTCGGCTGGGAGGGACTTTCGTAGATGTGGTGATGTTGGTTGAAGGTTTGTGGCCCTGACGTTGGGGCGCACACTGAGGCTGAAGTTTTGGCGCCAAGTCGCCAGATGCATTGCTCCGCCACGCTACACGAGACGTGTGGCTTTCACCTCAAGCTGACCAATAAGCGAAGGTCGCTTATTGATTTATAATTCTTTTTACCCCTATTTCACTCAAAGACAGAGTCTGGTCGGCTTTAGGAATTATGACTCTGTGTATTGTGCAATTGTTGTTCATATTGAAAATATACAATAGTCAAGATAGCGAGAAGTCTCGAAATATGATTGGATCGCTCACGCAGTAGCGCGAGCTTATACCACAGGGGGAAGACGACTCATCTACAAACATCTCATCTCGAAGATATCTCCGATTCTCAATAAGCAAATTACAAATATCTTCATTCCTTTAACGCAGACTGCAAGAGTAGAAAAGTCCGCGGTGAAATTTCTAGGACTTCATGTAGGATGAATGCATTTGACATCATGTGTCATTGGTCATCGACTTTAACGCCGATAAAATCCTACAATTCCTATCCTCTTAGTCCTACGTTTCACGTGAGACCCAACATATATATACTTGAACGCAAGGCATTCACCCAGGCATCTACTCAAGACATTAACCTACAACAACACCGACATCAACAACACTCACAATGACATCCACCAACCCGACCCAAAACCTCGCCGCAGTCCTCGAATCCCCAGGCGCCAGACTCAAAGTCCTCCCCCGCCCAATCCCCAAACCAGGACCCAACGAACTCGTAGTCCGCAACCATGCCATTGCAACCAACCCCGTGGACTGGAAGATCCAAGACTACAGCTTCGCAATCAAAACCTACCCTACCGTCCTCGGTAGCGATGGCTGCGGCGTCGTCACAGAAGTCGGCTCCTCGGTCACGAAATTCAAGAAAGGGGATCGAGTCACTGGATTCGGGGCTGTGATTTACAACGATAATGCCGATCACGGGAGTTGGCAGACTTACACTGTCTTGAAGGATATCGCTACGACTAAAATCCCGGATTTTATGTACGTCCCTGTTCTCGCGAGAAGAATTTGAATCTGGAAGGCTAACAGGGAAATAGGTCATTTGAAGAAGGTTCCGTCTTCCCAATGGCAATGGCAACCTCAGCCGTAGCACTCTTCACCATCCTCTCCGTCCCCCTCCCAACTGGCTCCGCACCCACAGCCCAAAAGTCCGGTCTCCTGATCTGGGGAGCTGCCTCCTCAGTCGGTATCTCCGCCGTCCAACTCGCCCGAAACCTCGGATTCAAAGTCTTCGCCACAGCTTCTCCCGCTCACCACCAAACCATCAAATCCCTAGGCGCTTTCGAGGTCTTCGACTATCGCGACGCAAACGTGGTCGAGAAAATCGTCGCTGCTGCCAAAGCGGCGGGAACGCCTATTAGTCTAGGATTCGATGCTGTCACCGAAGGAAAGCAAAGTGCTGAGATTCTCGTGTCTTCGGGTGGGAAGCGCGGAAAGCTTTGCTTGGCTCTTGAGTGGGATGAGAAGGAACCGAGGCCGGATGGGCTGGAAATTACTCAGACGGGGGCGTTGAGAGCGGGGACTGATCAGGCGGAGATGGGGAAGTGGTTTTTTAATGAGTATCTGGAGAAGGCGTTGCAGGATAAGAGTATTGTTGCTGCGCCGGAGATTGAGATTGTCGAGGGTGGACTTGCGTCTGCACAGAAAGCGTTTGATAAGGTGAAGGCGGGGGTTAGTGGGAAGAAGGTTGTTGTGAAGGTTGAATGAGGTGGCTGCTGAGAAGCTTTTAGAGCAGAAAAGCGTTTTCTGAGATCTTGATGTGCAGTGAAGGTTGATGCTAACGCTTCATTGATCTAAACACCATCGCTTATTGAAGTTATCTTCGTGAAGGCACTTCTTTCTAGTAGACGATGCCTCCTTCCTATGATCTCGACTGTGGAAATTCTTGTCTTCAGCGAAGTCCGTCCAAGACCCAGGCATTCCTCTTTCCGGGTGCTCGATCATTTCCCAGAAATCGCAGAACCAACGCTCAAGATCGTGTGTGAACCAAAACTGCCAATCATCAGGCTCAGGTCCAAACACGAAATTGACAAGGCGGGCTTCGAAGGGTCTTTCCGGTTTTATCTTCTCGGATTGAATGCCACAGAACCGACGTGGCGGGTTGAGTTTGAGCCCGCGCCAGCTACGCTTAACTTCCAGCGTTAAATGTATGTGCTTTTCCATTCGCCCATACTCCTCAAGATCTATAGTACACCTCTTCAGAAGATGAAGCCAACTCATAAGCCCTGGTACCGGAGTTCGATTCCACCAATAAACCGACCCGCACATGATGTTTAACATTGGCGTACTAAACAGTCCCCAATTCATGGAGAGAGCGTGGAGATCAGAACCGTTTTGTATGAGTGTCGATGCTATGGCAAAGATCTCTGAAAGTTTGGGTCGCCCGTATTCATCATTTGCATTCTCCATTGCCAAGGGAGCGCTAATACGTCGATGCGGCTCATGGGTTCCCGTAGCCATACTCAACAATCGAAGCAATCTGCTCAGCAAAGTGAAACCTTTATCGTCACATACTTTGCAGACTAACTTCATGTCCCTCCCCTCCAAGAGAAATTTGACAAGCGGCAGCAAACCATTGTTAGCATGTCCTTTCCAACCGTGATGTTTCAGCATCCTGATAAGAAATTGGACAATCTCGTCAGTACCGCGATCATTACACGATGATAACATGGTTTGGAATGTCCATTGAAAAGAATTTGTGATTGTGACATAAAAATACTCTGAATCGGCAATGTCAAAGGGATCCGATATGTCGACTGTCCGTTGGAAAAGATAGAACATCTGGGCGAAACCTGGTAATGGAGAGCCGCGCATAACAGCAATCGAGAGTGCCGAAATATGAAGACATTAGTAGGAAAAAGTGTTTCGCAGGACGGGATATAGTACTTGGCAGCAGAGACATTGGGATCTGCTCCTTGGTCGATCAAGAATTTGCAGGCCTCGAACTGATGCATTTCTGCTGCATTCTAAAAGCCATTAGCCAATCTATACAAGTTGTCAAATTATGAAGCAGCTCTTACGTCCAAGACTGTCCTCTCATCAATACTCCTGTCAAATGGAGAGGCTTGCCCGCTGTCGAAAAGCTTCTGCATCCCTTCAACATCTCCAACACGAGCATACTCGAATATAGCAGACCTAAGGGGGACCAAGCAGTATGTTCGAATTGAGAAGTTCCATCCCGATGATGCTCGAGCCGAGCATATCTCTATTGCTCGGCTACGGCTGAAGAGCCAACTTGGAAGGAGAAATCTTGTCTTCGTCTCGTTTCGACGTGGCGACGTTGAGGACCATCTCATACAACTAGCTTGCCACGGTTTACTGTTGCTTCTAACAACTGGAATTAATTCAGTAGCCCTAGAAAGTTGAGCTGATGTGGATGTGGCTTTGACCGGTACGGAGACAGCATTCGTTCCCACAGACTCCAAACATATTACCCTCAACTCCTGCAACTGCTTCTGGTTCGCAAGAACAATATCTCGTTGAATCTCGTGTCATCGATGGTTAAGTGTACTGCACTATATCAGCTCCATAACGCGAACTCAATGAGACCAGCTTACTCGAAATACGTCTGATTTGCAAGCAACAACATGACTTGAGCCGACTTCAACTTCTCCTTCAATCTATCCACCATGCCTCGTCCTAGCACCGCTTTCAGTCCTCCAAGTTTCCTCCTCTTGCCAACCTTCATCTCCAAATCTCTCAGTACTTCAGCCAACAGATGTGCACCTCTCAAGCACAAGTCCAAGCTTCACTTCGCAGATCGAGGCAAGTTGTCATTTTCGTCGGTGCTCGATAATAGGTCGCTCAATGTCTCGATTTCTTCGAGGAGATATTTTATGTCTTCAGGTGCGTCGTTTACGTCGTCCCAGAGCTGTTTTAGTTTGATGATTCCGCTTCCTATTTGGATTCCGAGTGAGGCTATGCCCATGCCGCTTGCGATGAGTCCTAATTCTGCCATTTGGCGGAGATTCTGAATGTCAAAGAAGACTCGCAGATTGTAGTGGCGTAAAATAGATTCTGCCAAGCAGCAAAAGAAGTAGAAAGTACAGAAAAACGCGAGAACAGTAATTTGAAAAAGGAGAGAGGAAAGCCAACTTGATGGGCGTCTTCCAGGACCTGTGCTACCTGCCCCGGAAAGAAGTCGCCATCTCATCGACACCGCCTCTCGTGCTTCGCGGGAGCTTGCATATTTCCAAGGCTTCTACAGTAGAGATGCGATGTATGGGCCAATTTGTGCTACATGACCAGCGCATCGTTCCAGGCAGCAAGGTAACGCAGTCCTGAGAAAAACTTAGGAATCCATAAACATTCCTGGGCCAAGACTGAGAGCAAGTATAAGAGTAAGGTATCCTTGTGCTCCTAAGCATGCAATTTAATGGGAGCCTGTGTAACCGCTGCTGAGGCTGACTTCAACAGGGTCGAGGCTCAGCTTCACAATGCATGAGTTCAGTCGTGAAGCGAATGAGGTAGATGTTGGAGATATCTTGAGAACGGTTGCTAGTACGGATATTCCCGCGTGCTTGCCCGCTTGGATAATTGTCCTATATCTCAGATTCTACGATAACCTCGATAACCCGTCTCTTGTTACAGTCTTGCTAGTGAAGGTAATTGGATCACTCCTGACTCCGAATTTTCGTCTCATGGCTCTCACTATTGGTACCAATCATTTGGCCAGGTGTACCACTCCATCCACTCCATTGAATCCTCTCCGCATACGCCAAAATCATTCCAAGCACCCGGCATTGCCCTTTCTGGATGATCAATCATATCCCAAAACTGGAAAAACCAAGGCTCTAGCTCTTTCGTAAACCAAAATTTCCAGTCCCTAGGTTCCGGACCATAAACAAAATTAATGAGCCTAATACAGCCCCATTGGCGTTTCTTATAAAATCTCGCTGTATCTTCTAATATCCACCAATTCTTACAGATATCTGGTGTTTGGTGGATGGCTTTTTCTTTCCGACCATAAACTCTCAGATCCACTTCACAGTCTTCCAAAAATTGGACCCAGGCGGCAAGAGCAGGTTGAGGGATGCCATAGAGGTCTTGGGCTCGGTCTCTGCAAGACCCAGAGACAATCCAGAGGAGTGGCGTAAGAAAAGTCCCTAACTCGGGCCTTGACAGTGAATTTAAGTCAGAACCACCCTTTACTAAGTCCGATAACAGAGTCAAGAGTTGAACAAGATCCTCCAATTTTCCTCTATTGTTTTTCAGAGGGGTGGAGGTTACAGAAATTTCTGTATTCTCAAAATGGCTATCGATCGTTTGGATGAATGACTGCCCAAACTGCCACAGTGTCTGGCTAAGTAAAGTCTGGCCTTTGGAATCAACTGCGTTGCATATTACCTCATCTATCTGCTTACTGCCTAAGATGAGCTTGACCACGGAGCAATAATCCTCACTGTTTTCCACTAATCTGTCTCGACATCTTTGCAGTACCGGGATCGCAAACTGCACAATGGACTCTGCGCTTTGAAGTAGACCCAGTGCCTGAAACTTTTTTCGGATCCATAAAATGCTTCCACGGGATTGGTAGGGTATATATGCCCTGCGAATCCAAACAAGGGGATCTTCCGTCTCTACAAATTCCCATATGTAGTCCAGGATTTGGAGAGTGTCCTCTATTGGTACAGCGCCGCCACTGACGTCCAGAACTAATTCTAGTTCGTAAAACCAAGAGTTCAATTCTACCCCTTGTTCCACCAAGGAACGGAAAACCTCGACGTTTTGTGAAAACGCGGCGAACTGGAAGCTATCAGCTTGTGCTTATAGATTATTATACCAGCATATATGCACTTACATGCAGGGCCGACTTGCCGGCTTCACTTCTATCAAACGGCCTAGCTTCGCCTTTTTGGAAAAGGTTCTGTATGCCTTGAATGTCACCATTTGAAGCACATTCAAAGAATTTCGAGCCACGAGGAACTATGCAGTATGGGCGGATCGAGAAATCCCAGCCATATGGTGCCTTGCAAGAATATATCTCAAAAGAACGCATATAGCTTGAGAGCCACCCCGGCGGTCGAAACTGGGCAATAGTCGTTCTTTGATGAGCCAATGTATTGTTGATTTGTCGGTAGTCCCGTTTTAGCTCTTTGCGTCTGGATTGAAGATTCAATTGAGACTGGACTTTGTTTCCATGATCAATCTCTTCATCGATCTCTGAATTGGAGACCAACACCTGGGACAGTGACGAAGCGAATGAGGTCGTGGTAACTGGTTGTGAGCAAAGCACAGTAAGGTTCTGTACCTGCTGTTGGGTCGCTAGAGCGAGCTCTCTTTGAATCTCATGACGGCGATCGCTGAGCGAACTGTCCAATGTCAATTCCGTTGCGCAAACAAGGTTACAGTGTAACTCAACTGAAGAGATATCTGAGTCGCAAGCATCAACATGGTTTGCGCAGATCTCAACCTCTCTCTCAACTTATCCACTGCGCCTCCTCCAAGGACGGCCTTCAAGCTCCCAATTCTTCTTCGCTTCGTAACTTTCGTCTCAAGGTCGTTCAGTGTTTCGGCAAGCAGCTGCGCTCCTCTGCAACACAGATCCAGGCATCGTCTTCCAGAAGGTGAGATATCGGAATGATCATCAACACCAGCTAGCACCTGGCCAAGTATCTCGATCTCCTCGATCAGATACCGTATCTCTTCTGGAGTATCTTTCACGTCATTCCAGAGCTGCTTGAGCCTGATTATGCCGCTTCCGATTTGTATTCCGAGCGAGGCTATGCCCATGCCACTAGCGATGATGCCTAGCTCTGCCATGCTTGCAGGGATTAAGAAGTGAAGGTCGTGAGAATAAGGTTGAAGAAGTTGGACAGGAAATGTTCAGTCTACAGTCGACAATGCAAGTTGAAGGAGACAAAAGGTAGGAGGAAAAAGTGGGTGAGTTGTTTTCGGAAAGTGAGGCTGTCGTGCATGCCTTGAAGGAAGCCTCGCCAGTCCACCCAATGGCATAGCCATACATTGAAACTCAGCCCCAAGACTGACAGAGGCTGTATCAAGAAGAGAGCAATTGAGACAATCTAACTCTGCTGATTGAGTGACGGTAACGAGGAGCGTCTACGCGCCAGCCTTTTCATTCTAGAGGACTACCCGGCTATTGCATGAGCTTGCGATTGAGAGAGCCCAATGTGTGAGATGTCACTCGTTGGACCCTTTTCGCGCATCATACACCAACTTAAACGGAACATACATGAGACGCACACCTATGTTATAGCTGTGATGCAGCTGACTTGCATGCTGTGAACAACACCATTAATTCGAACGATTAATTCGATAAGCAAGAATAGATTTCATACGGCTATCTGCTTATTGAAGTGCTCGTTTAGCAGAACGCCCAGGTATACAGCTTTGCAAAGAGAACCCCAAGCATCCATCATGAAACCAATATCCATTCCCCTTCAATTGCCAACCATCACCCCGATATCCATCCGCTACCCCCCACACGCCAGCAAGGATTTATGCCGCCAAACGTATCCGCTTCTCAAATACTCCTCTCAATTGTCCCTCCTTTCTCGGCACATCGCTGCTCCATCTAAGGAATAGCCTCATACCCACCACTCCCCATATGCTTCTCACGGTTCGAAAACAACCAATAGAACACCAGCCCCAAGATCGGGAACAAGAACACCACCACGCACCACAGCAGCTTATGGGAGGGAGGACGGTTGGACTTGAGGACTTCCACTGCAGAGACGGATTCATTAGCATGCATCTTTCAAACAACAAAACGAAACACAGGGAAGAACGACAAGTCGCAATAGAATGAACAACAAGGACAGAAGGAAAGCAAGGTAGGGAGAACGTACTAAACACCATAATATCCAAAATCAAAATCACGAAACCGAGTAATCCACCACCAGTGCCATACTTCCACGCATTGCCGTGCTGGCTCGTAGAAACCGTCTCCTCGGCCATAGCAAGGGAGACGAGGAAGAGGTTTAGGAGGATTTGTTGGATCATTTTTGCTGCTTTTGTTGTATTGTTGAACTTTGGAAATGTAAGTTCAGGTCGTGGTACAGAGGAGAGTACTTACAGATGTGTGAACGCGTGTAAAGTTGGTTGCCTAGAGGAAGGGAAGTTGGAAAATAAGAAAGGTGAGGCGCGGCGCGGGGTAATGTGGTGTTTGAGCTGACTCGAGACGAGCTGGAAAGGCTACGTCATACGAGCATCGACTGTTAGAAACACGTGACTGTTGAAAGCTGGAATTTTTTGACTTTGAAGCTTTTTGAAGCTGAAGAGATGTACTAAAAGGTAGATTGAATCTTCCGATAAGTTGCTATTTTGTTGTTGTGAGTTTGGTGTAGCACGAAAGAGAAAGGAGAGCTTCGGTCGTTGGACCAATGATATTGGAGAGTGAGAATAATTGCCGAAAGGTGTACTTCTTGCGCGATAAAATTAACCAAATCGAGGAACAAAACGCAGTTGGTAGACTTCTGGCTGAGCAATGTGCGTCAAGATATAGCAGGATGATTAGCTGAATGTCAGACGAAAGAAATAGCTGACTCATTAAGGAGATAGCTTAAGGCAAACTAGTAAGTACGAGGACGAAAAGAATAAATGAAATCTATAGCAAAATGCTAACAATAACTATGCAACCAAAACCCAAACTCAACCTCCCCGCCATAATGCTCAACCAGTTCCTAGACTATCACCTCGAATCCCTCAGCTTCCCCGGAACGTCACCATCTCCATCCCACAACCCAACCAATGCAACATCTAAACACTCTTACAAAGGTCATGTTTCTTAATAATCTTCTTAATCTTCTTACTCGACACCTCCTTCGCCACACAAACAACACACTCACATAACTATGTCCCCAAACATTAGCCCTCACCCCTCAATTTCCCACTCCCCTTCATCTCAACAACTCACCGATTTCACACCCCCAAAACAATTAGCCACGCCTTCATAATCGTCAAAAATGATTAAAGCAACAGCGCACACGGCGTCCACAGCCGCGTCGCCGCAGTCGGTGCTGCAGGACTGGACGGCTGGGGGTTCGTTAGCTTGAGTTTGAGGAGGAGGAAGAGGGAGGGAAGGAGAGAGGAGGAAAAAGGGGAGGGGAAAGGGGGGCAAACCGTTGTTTACTTCTACGAGCTCGGATTGCGTCCAGGTTGTGGGGCCGTCGATGCTGTCGTTGTCGTCTGTGTCGCGGGTTGAATAGACGGTTGGTGTTGCGAGGGCGGGGCCGAGGAGGCTGAGAAGAAGGAGTGGGGTGAAGTGCATGGTGATTGTTTGGTGGGGTTGGTTGGAATGGTAGTGTTGGTTGTGTGATAGAGATAGTGAACTGACTGCTTGCTGTGAGTGTGCTGTGAGTGTACTGTGTGTTGATGATGTTCGTAGAGGTGGTGAAGAGAGGTGTTTATATATTCCCCCTCCTCATGATATTCTCTACACAGCAGCTTTCGAAGCATGGATGGAGCTCCTTATTTCTGGACCGCATTATGCTTGTGCAACTGCAACTGAGTAGCAGTGTCAGCATATCGCCAACTTTAGGACTTCATCTCACTTTTCAAAGTGAAGAATAGATGTGGAAGCACCTTAACAGCAACGGTTGAATAATGAAGATGTCCATGTGAGGCGCAGAAGCATCTTGAACTTATCCATTTCTTCACTACTATATCAATGCATGCCGTTCAGATTGCGGTGTGGTAGCGTGAATGTACAGCTTATATCAGCGTACTTGAACAGAGATGAACGCCAGGGCTTGAAGAGGTGCCGAGAACCGTAGCTTTACACCCAATCCGACATCTGATGAGTCGGGAGCTTGCTGGCTTTTGATGATGCCAAATTTAGCTTCTGTCAGAAACGAGATCAGGGGTTATTGGGGCCATTTGAGGTCCTAGTCCAATGCTTTGACGCCTCAGTTGATACTAGAACTTGATCACTGTTGCGTGCCTCCGTAGTCCTCTTTAATTCTCCCATGATGACTTGTAGAATGATTTCTTGGAAATTACTTCGACAATTAAAGATACATGTGGAGGCATAAATGGCGTGTGCAGTACATCTACGGGAAGCCTGGACGGGAGCCGGCTGAATATTCATAACAGACTTTGCAGAGACCGAATGCGGCGGCCGCAGACGAGCTCTAGAACATGTACAGATCCGAACTGGGGACAATGACAAGCCCTGTAAATGGGAGATCTACACCAGGAGACTTCCATAGCTTTGGGACCCCAAAACTATGCAGCCATAATCCTGAAAGGGCGTTTGTACCTTAGCGAGTCGCTTGAAATAGGTCCTCGTGCGAGATAAGCTCCTTTGAGTGGATTCTGCAGCGAGCTGCGCATCATCTACCGGATCTGCATGTGTGGTAATATCTAGGATGGAAAAACATAACTTGTTACCAATTGGGAACGAAGCATAGACGTAACATCAGACGAATTTTCTCAGGATAGCTTAACAATTTTTACTAGTCTGCCGCATCAGTGGATACAGACTTTTGCGACTCGCGCCAAATGGAAGCACCAAACACACAACGAAGAGACATCACAAAAAACTTCTACGAACACTTGACTACTTTGCGAGCCTCAGGAAACAGAGAATCGAGGCTGACAGTGACCTCCCCGAAAGATTTGAAGCCATGGTACTGGGGTAATAAGGTTCAAGTGCCGGATAATCCACGACACTCAAGCGAAGAATCAGACACAGCCCGGAAAACTACCGAGCCATGTCAAAAGAGACAACTAGCCAAACGTGCGGATAAACATTGCTGACTGTGCTAGACTAGGTAGCAAAATAGCAGCTTTTCCGACTCTTGATATGCGGCCCAATTGAAGTATTGAGTGGTATTGAGGCGGCGTTTGGCATCACAAATAGGGATGCTGTGGTCAGTTCTGCTGCAAGAGAGTTGCTGAGCCGGAAATGGGCTTAGGACGAAGGATTCATTTCAGCAAAGTCATGAACCACATGTCCTAGTCTCATATTACTCTGTATCATTCGAAAGACTCGTGAAGGTCGACAAATTGAAAAGAAGCTTCTCTCTATATTGTGCTGAAGCATTTGCTGAAGAGCAATAAGAAGCTGCTCAAATGTAAGACACAGCTTGAAAGCATGAAAATCGAACACAGACTTAGAAATTTATTAGTAGCAATCGAATGTGACAGAGAGGCGGCGAGCTGATAGCGGTGATCATCGCTCATGAACACATTCTTCGAAGCAAATATATTCTCATGCTCGTCTCCTGTTCTTTCAAAGAAATGGTATCCGGCCCATAGCATTCACATACCAAGCTTTGGTCGCATCCAAAGGCGAGGCTCATCGTTGTTGTCGGGAAACATTCAAGTACAAACAAACACCTGGCAAAAAGACGGAAATTCAGACAGTATGTACCATAATGCTTGATCAACTCGAACTCAGTAAGTCCAATTGAAGCTATCCATCGTTCCCTTCAATGATGCAGCATCACTTGCTTCTGCCCCAGGAATCTCAGGTATGCTGAAATCTACAACTTTGGTCTGTGTGCGCATCTTTGAGCACTTGCAACATTTTGTGGTTAGACAAGAATAGCTTCAACAGTCCGAGCACCCCCTTTTTGAAGACCACAGTTGCTCCTTCATCAGAACAACTGTCACAGAGTTGATCCTTCTGGACATCTTCATTGTGACTCCAAATTTACTCTGACAAGGCGTCGTCACCAGATGCAGACCAGAAGACATCTGTCCCTTTTGTCTCTTCTGCCTGACCGGATCACATGCCCAAGGTTCAACGCAAATACAAATTCGACGTTGAGACGAAAACAAAAGGTGTCTTTAGTTGTGAAGAGACCACGATGAGTATCTTATATGGACGTGCTGTACCGACATACGTATGAACTGCGTCACGGTGATACGGATACAAATATAAAAACTTGAAAATACCCGCAAAACAAAGATTCTGTGTACATGTTTGTGTTTTGCTCGATCGTAAAGTGTGGCTACGTCAGTTTGCGCCACAGTCGCGTGCCACCGTGCTAAGTTGTCCGCTAAACTCGATTGGACGACAGCTCTCTTTCCCAATAAATTCATGTGCCAGAATCCTGGAAACCACACAAACCTGCGTCAACACCACTCCTTCTCCCACACTCCAACTCCCACCTGCAATCACGCACAGGAAAAACAAAACTGCAACTCCCACGACCGCAGATTGTCTTGCACGAGAATAATTCCATTCTTTGCGCAATCATCAACAGCAACAACTCCTTGCATCCGCAGAACAAGCAGCTCCTGCAGCATATCTCCACTCTCAGCTGTCGGATCACATCATTGAGCTCTGCAAAATGTCTGACATCCACGCCGATACCGCCATTCCGTCCATCGAGACTGGGAACGGGTCTACATTGACTAACACCAAGAATGGTATTATCAACAGTAAGGTTCGTAATAGCTTCCTTTCAGAATCTTTTTTCCCATCGCTGACCTTTGAAACAACAGATCCAAGCTCCATAGCTCCACAACCACACAACTGACAACCTATCTAGATGCCTCTGCCGCCGCTGATGCCATCAAGAACCACCCTATAACCCAGAGTGTCACCAACGGTACGCATTGGGTCTTATCTACACAGAGTGCAGCCTGCTGATAATAACGTGTAGGCCCTGTTGCGGAGAACATCATGGACCAACATGCAAAGACCCAAGCCGAGTTTTCCAACCTCGCAGCCTCAAGGCAGACACCTTCTACACCCGCCGCTACCGGACAACCGCTCACCCACTATCACGGCTTCTTTGGCAGCCTTCTGTCATGGGAGAACCCAAGAGCTTCCGGAATTGCCTATGCCTCCGTGGTCCTCTTCATCTTTGCCGCTCGATACCTTGATATCATCCGGTACACTTTCAAGATCTCCTACATGGTCCTCGGTATCACTGTGTTTGCAGAAGCTGTAGGCAAGGCTCTCTTGTCTACTGGTCTTACCTCCCAAATCCGCCCCAAGAAGTACTACACAGTTTCTCGGGAGACTTTGAACGCTGTGATTGGTGATGTCCACGAATTGCTCAACTTCTTCGTTATCGAGGCCCAGCAGATTATCTTCGCTGAGAACTTGTTCATGTCATTCGCTGTAAGCTTTATTTTCGTCTCTGACATCATTGTGCTAATTGAATACAGGCTTTCCTTGGTGCCTTCCTCTCGTACTACCTAATCAAGATCGTCCCATTCTGGGGTCTTTCTCTTATCTCGACCTCCATCCTCTTCCTCGCACCCCTGATCTATAAGACCAACCAAGAACTCATCGACCACCACGTCTCGAATGCCACAAAGGTCCTCAACGAGCAGAGCCAACAAGTTAAGGCCCTTGCTAGTCAACATGCCGCAACAGTCACCGAGTCAACCAAGAGCCTTGTTGGAGACTACTCTGCGAAGGCACAAGAGATGATTGGCAATGCTCGCGGACGTTCTACCTCTCCTACCCTGTCTGCTAAGCCAGCCAAGACCGAAGAGATCAAGAAGGAGAACGTCCCAGCATACAAGGCTGAAGACTTCCCTGCCGCTCCCAAGGAGGATTTCAAGGCACCTCCGGTCGGAGATGTGGCTGCAGCTATGAAGACCGAGGATGAGCCATTGATCGCCTCGTAAACGAATTCCAATACTCTACGACTCGAAGGCTCTTCAACACTCAAGGCGGCATAATAGGTGTGGGTTGACGAGAATGATGGCAGAGATATGATGGATATGGCGGATAGACATGACAACATTGGTACGAGGTACGATGCGATGCTCTCGAATTAGATTGGAAGCAGTGGTCAACCAGGTTATGAATATGGGTGGGCTAGCATGACCTCATGAACAGACTATTGTATTATGACGTTGTTTTGACAGCTTTCCTTTTTCTTTTTGAGCTTTCTTTCTTTACGTATGCGAGCTACGAGTTTTCCTTTGGGGTGAAATACCTGGGGTTAATGAGCGTGGGTCGTTTCTTTATTGCATGGCTTGCGTTACGGTGCGTTGCTGGTTGTGGGGGAGTCTGATGCCAAATCTTCTAGGCAACAGGAAGAAATGATAGCGTCGAACCAGATTCTGAGAACTTTTTCATACTATGACTTGTGACTAATTGATTATGTTATGTGAACGGCAAGCGCCACGACTTCCGTTTGTGGAAGTATGCCTCCTTCCAAGCCCAATTCAATATCTACTTGGCTTTTAGAGTAGTTTCGATGTCGAATGTCACTACAAATTATTTGATTATGTCATTTCTCTTCTTCAGAATGCATTTCCACACTAGGCCCAATCAGCTGTATGGCTCAAGACTGAGACAATGAGTAGTCATATCCCTTTGCAGATGTGTGACTCGTCGATCTGTTAATATGGGTGCCTTGAAAACCCTTTTCTACACCAAGTTCAAATCTTTGAGTCTATTATACGATACCTCTCGTTGATCAAGCTAATATGCGTCTGCCCCTTGAGTTGTTGCCGACTCTTGTCGCTGATATGGTTGCTGCCGTAGGGCTGCACAACACTACGAGATTGAGACTGGTATGCAGTATGATTCTACTTCCCCGAGATGATCCGCCGAGCTGACAAGGTAGAGGTCTTCAATTATGAAGTTGACAGTGTACTTTTCGGCGGCAACCTCCAACAGAAGATTTCACAGCGAACTTCCAGACACTTGTTGAGGCCATTATATCTTCGATATTTACTATTCAAGCTGTCGACGCCGGAAGGGAGAGAGAGTCGACTTGCTTGGATGCTCTATGCTTGCATAGCAATTTAGGAATTTGGACCTCAGAACACATCAGGCTTTGCGGCGAAAGCCCGCGATGTATCCAGGAAGATACCTTCGTCATTTATTCCCTCCGATCTGCGAACCTCGCCGCCTACAAATATCTGTCTACTCCTCGAATCGTTGATCGATAGAGAATCGTTCTCTAGTAACAATTACGAGCTTGCTGCACATCATGATGGGTCAATATATCCATGGACAGATGCTATGGTCGGAGAACTTAAGCTGGGAGCTTTTGTACTCGCTGCTTCTGTCAAAAATCCCTTGGTCTTCCAACGAATGGTTCATTTTTTCCACGGGAAGCCTTGCCCCAATGAAATCACTCCGAGATACTTCTCCTCGCCCCTAACTGCTGCTTCACGATGCGGTAACTTGGACGTCGTCAAGCTCCTCTTGCAACGTGGAGCAGATGCCCACGATTTCGGTTATGGAATGATCTCACCTATCAACGTGGCTACTTTTGCCGGCCACGTCAAAATCATCCGACAACTGATCCTGTTCGGGAGTGTTGTTGTTGCCGAGACTTATATCAACTGCGTCGAATCTGCGATTGAAGGCGGAAAGCGTCTCGACGCCGTGGAAGAATTACTGAAACATCGCCATATTTACTCCAAACTTCGGTTGAAAGACTTTGTAGAGAAATACGTCTTCTTCGTCGCTGCTCGCACAGGCAACGTTCCCGTCTTGAAAATGGCTTTAAAACTAAGCATCGACGTCAATCGTTCTGAGTCTGGCCCCTTCCCACCGTTAAATGCCCTCACAATAGCGGCCCAGAACGGCCGCACGGAAGTCATTCGGCATCTTTTGGACTACGGACTTGATACCACACATCCGAATTTCCATCGCTCGCTTGTTGTAGCTATCTGGCACCGACGAACCGAAACTGCGATGTTCCTTATAGAGCACGGAGCAGATGTTAATGCACACATGATCGTTGATACAAATGGCACTTGTAAGAGCGCACTGGCTGCTGCTGCTTCCCAGGAGAACCGTGCGCTGATAGGAGTTTTGATCAGGAGAGGAGCTAGACTGAAAGCACATGGGCATGAAACGGCGCAAGCAGAAGAATTATGCAAAAAGAGCCACGAGAAGGAGGTGATTGGCGTGACCAAAAAGCATGAACTTGACAAGGCAGAGATATTGCTTCACTTTGCACCTGAGCAGGAGAAGAACGTCTCCACACCGGGAACTTTGGAAGAAGGAATGAAGCAATTAACCATATCTCCATAAAGCAAACCCCCTATTCCTCAACACCCCTCTCCCACAACTTCCTCGGCGCAATCATCTCCCTCCCCACGCTCCCCTCCACAATCTCAGGCACAACCTTCATCCTCCCAATCCACCCCCAACACCTCGGAAACTCCCTCTCGATCTCAATATCCACCATAAACGCCTCCTCATACCACGCCAAAAAGCCCACATCCGCGACACTCATCTTATTTCCCACCAACCACTCCCTGCCCTCCAATCTCCCTTCAAGAACCCCTAAGATCCGCTTAGTTTCCTCGACGTAGCGGTTGTACGCTGAGGGGAGGATCTCGGAGTGCCAGTACCCGAACCAGAATGCCTGGCCGATGGTAGGGCCTTGTCCAGATACTTGGAGCGCGACCCAGGAGTTGACTTCGCTTTGGAGGAAGGGGGAACTGGGGTGTAGGGTGAAGAGGGGGTCGTAGAGGGTGAGGAGGTAGGTTATTATGGAGGCAGATTCCCAGATGATGTGGTTGGAGTGGTGGTGGTCGATTAGGACGGGGAGGCGGCCGTTGGGGTTTAGGGATAGGAACCAAGGTTCCTTTTGGTCTTTTGTGGTTTTAGTTATTGTTATGTAGATTGCTGAGGTGGGTTAGCGGGGAGATCAGAGGAAACGGGAGAGAGGGAAGTCACGTTTGTAGGTTAGGTGGAGGAGGCTGAGGATGTGGGCTACTTTGAAGGCGGCGGGGCAGGTGTGATGGGTGTAGAGGGTGAATTGGGGGTTCGTTTTGTCTTCTGCCATTTTCGCTCTTGATGTTTGAGTAGAGGTATATTGAAGTGTTTTTGATTTTGGTGAAGTGATTATCACTGCCTGCTTGTCATGAGATCCTGTTATTTATTCGGAAGAGCTATAGACGTCTTCGTCTTTTATTGATACAGTATCATCGCTTTGGAGTCATTGGATGGAAGATGTAACTCAACGCGTCCCAAAGTAGCAAATCAGCCGAGGTCTGCTGGCCAGAGTGAACTGCACGCCCCCCACTCCTCTTCCCTCATGCTCACGGTACAGGATCTGATGATTACGATAAGCTATCGGCGAAAGTAACGCGTATGTAAGTATCATCTACCATTGCAATCTATCCGTGGTCATTGATTCAGACTAGACACATCAGCTCCGAGTCTGAATTCCGCCTCGGAGTTCACGATCAGGCCACACCAGAGCGAATGGAAGGAACGGCTGAGGCTTCTGTTATAGAAGGCATAGCATCTAACGGTCTTATAAATCTCATGTAAGAACTCTTTCCACATCTTTTCAAGTCTAATACAAGAGTATAGTTTGCAATGGCATACGTTCCAATCATCGATTTCTCGCCTTTCTTGGACCCTTCATCAACTGATGAAAATAAGAAGAAGACCGCTTTAGAGATCGATAAAGCATGTCGAGAAATTGGATTCTTCTATCTATCCAATCATGGTGTGGATGAAGAGCTCAGGGCAGCAATGTTGAGCAGGGCAAAATCATTCTTCGAGAACGCTACAGAAGAGGAGAAGAAGTCGATTTCTATCAAACCAGCTGGGACAGAGAACGGAGACGATGCACGTGGATTTCAGAAAGTTGATGGGAGAGGAAAGGGTGCTCATGAGGTTCGGGAACCCGTTCTCCTATATTGATCAAGTGCTGACTTGGAGATAGGTTGTTGATTTCTTCAGACCGGTGGAAACAAGTACTCCACCTTATGAGACGGGACTTGGACAGAATTTGTGGCCATCTACTCCTAATGATTTCCGGGAGGTGTCGGAGAAGTATATTGATGCGTTATTTGCTCTTGCTACGAAAGTGGTGCAGGCTCTTGCTTTGGGCTTAAGTGTTGATGAAAGTATCTTCATGAGTAGGATTGGAAAGGCCTTCTGGAATTTGAGAGTCCTTGGGTACTATCCAAAGCCAGAAGGTAGCGTCGTTGGTATTGGAGATCATACGGGTAAGTTTAGCTTGATACCGTTAAGTGATGAGAACACTAAGTTCCCACAGATTTCGGCATCTTGACATTTCTTCTGACTGATCCTCAGAAAGACTCTTTGCTGGTTCTGTCAAAAGACGGAAACTGGGAGCCAGCAGATCCAATACCAGTGAGTCTCAACTTCTCTTTCAGAAAGTCAGGTCCTGAACAGATAGAACTGCTTCCTCTGCAACATCGGCGACATGCTCTCCAAATGGACAGACGGAATCTACAAATCAACACGACACCGAGTTCTCCACAACTCCGACACGATGCGGATTTCAGTCCCGTTCTTCTTCGATCCAGACTGGGACGCAGTCATATCTCCGGTGTTACCGCTTGACGTTGAACACCGTGAAGACGAGGGGATCCTTTATCGTGAGAAGTTTGTGAAGGCTATCAAGTACTCGGTCGTAACGTAAGGAGCTGCAGATACAATTAGCTAAGAATCAGTTCAGAACAATCGGTATGCTGCTTCCGAATTCATGCTCTGTGCCCTGTCCGAAAGTTCGAAGGCCACACGCACGTTGAGGACGAGACGAGGGGCTAGCCGCTTCTTTGGTCTACTTCCGACATCGTTGTCGCCAATCATGTCAAGATCATAGTCAAGTGAGCCCATGAAGGCGGCTTTGCTGTCTCATTTTGTCGATATTCCCGGATTGCTGTCGACCCCTGCTGCAGCCAAGCCCAATGCATATTGTCAGACCCCACCTTTGATATCCAAAACATTCTCAAAGATGTGATAAGATACAAGAACGCGAATCTAGAATATTGACCTCGATAAGGATGGAGGTGAAATATGAGTCGTTTTCCGGCTTTGGTGGTGACTTGTCAACGAGGTCGAGAATAGAATTCAAAAATGGCTGAGAAACTTCCCGAGAAGATCGAATATGTTCAAACAGTGGCGGATCCTCTCGCTGCAGGTGAGATCAAAGATGATTTGCTGCTCGAGGCCATGGGTTATGAGCAACACATGAAGCGGGGATTTTCGATGTGGTCCCTCACAGCGTTCTGTTTGACTGGCTTGGGTCTGTTGCCCTCACTCGGAGGTAAGTTGATTCCACTCCTAGTTTCCCAGGCGCGACTAATGATTTTAGGGACATTATGGTTCAGTCTGGGGTACTTGGGTCTTCTGCCAATGACGTGGGGTTGGCTCATTGCGACGATCTTCATTCATACTATGGTTTTCTCGCTTGCTGAGTTGGGGTCGGCATATCCTACTGCTGGTGGACTGTGAGTTACTTGAGTTATTCAAGGAACGAGTGCTAATGAATTTGAAGCTACTACTGGTATGCATAGGAACTGAGCAACGCTTTAGGCTAGGACTTACTTCCGAGTAGGACGTACTTATTGGCTCCAAAGGGGATCAAAGCAATCAGTTGCTGGATCACCGTCAGATATCTTCCACAATTATGCCATGGATGAAGTGCTAATAGAAGCAGGCATGGAGCATGGTAATCTCAGCAGTACTAGGTGCAGCCTCGATGTTCATGACACAAGCCCAAATGCTCGAGTCATTCGTCATCATGTTCAACCCAGATTGGTATCCCACAGACTGGCAAACCTACCTTATCTACCTCGCTCATATAATTCTGTATGTTGTTGTCTCTCCCAGAAGCCCACCACTTCAATGCTCAAAAGTAAACAGATGTGGCCTCGTAATGTGTGCGCCATCGAAAACTCTTGGCCAAATCAGCACCGTCTTTGCATGGGTCGGCACCATCGCATTCTTCATCATTTTGATAGTATTACCAATCAAGACCCCGCAACATACAACAGCAAAGCAGATATTTACTGAAGCTTACAACCAAACTGGGTGGTCCAACAAGGGTTTGGTGTTCTTGTTCACGTTTCTGACTCCGAGTTGGTGTATCTCGGGATACGACTCTACTGGTAATACATCTTTCTCAAAGTCTCAAAATTCACGCTGACAACAATAGTACATCTCGCCGAGGAGACTTCCAACGCAGCATGGGTTGTCCCCAACGCTATGTGGATATCTACCCTTTCGCTTTCAATCCTGGGCTACATCTTCAACGTCGTGCTAGCATACTGCTCCTTCGACATCGACGCCATTATCGGGTCTTCCCTCGGCCAGCCCCTTGGAGCCATCCTCGTCTCGGCATGCGGCAACGGAGCCTTGACTAAAGTCCTCTGGGCGGCGACGGTCATCTCAAACTTTGGGGTCATTTTCGTTATGACGACCTCCAGCTCTCGCATCATTTTCGCATATGCGAGAGATGGAGCGCTGCCATTTCAGAGATGGATGAGTCATGTTAATAGAGTTACGAAGACGCCTATCAATGCTACAGTTGCGCTGTGTATTTCGGTGAGCTTGGTGGGGTTGATCAGTCTGGGGAGTTCGACTGCTTTGAATGCTTTCTTTGCTGGAAGTAGCTTAGCTGGAGCTATTGGTGAGGGATATTCTTTTTTTCAATTGTGGATTTCGCTGACGATCTATACAGCATACTTGATGCCCGTTCTCATGAGGTATTTATACTCCCCTTTTCATAAGCGAGGAGATGACTAACACATGCAGATGCATCAACGAAAATAATCCAGACTACCATCCAGGAGTCTTCAGTATGGGTAAATGGTCAAAACCAGTTCGCTGGATTGCTGTCATCTGGGCTAGTATGTGTTTTTCTCTTTAAGTGTCACTCATTCCTGCTGACACAAACGCAGTTTTCATGCTCCCCATCTTCTCGTTCCCAACCACACCAAACCCGACAGCGAAGACGTTCAAGTGGACTGTGCCGATCTATATTGGTATCATGTGTATTATTGTCCCTTGGTACTTTTTCAGGGCAAGGAAGTGGTTCTTTGGTCCTGCTGGATTGGTGGAGGGCCATTAAAGAATTGTATTTTGAACTCAGTTAGAAAACCCGAGCTTGGAAATATGGATGTGATTGCAGCAATGTAAGGCTGAATCATGTCATTACGAAGGTTTAAAGCAGTGTTGAAGCCATTTCGATCAAGGAGGAGACTCACGTGATTATCAGTGAGCGTCACTTGCCATTCTTGTGTCCACCTCAGCTGTGCTTTACGTTTACGAGAAATTGTTCAATATTTTTGTCTATAAACTATCTATACAACCATAAATCTTAATATCCGTTTTCGAGATCCACCTGCCCCGCTAGATTTGCAAGTACCAAGTCTAGTTAAAATGAGTGCAACTCAGGTCTCTCGAACTTTCCCACTCTCTCAAAAGTAAGCACAATTCTTGAGCTTGAAGTTGATATAATAATGGTGCAAGTTTTCAAGGACGAATGCGCCCGCGCTATCTTCAATTTATTCAACTCAAAGACTTTTCTGTTTCAAGGACGTCTTCATAGCCATTTCACTCTTCTCAAGGACATCTTACTCAGTACCATTTCTCCAATGTGAGGATGTGCCTGTGTTTTCATAATCAAAGACACAGATGGAGAGTAGAAATTAATTGCGAGAAGTCAGAACGAAAGTTCAATCGCGAAAGTCTCACTTAAAAATCACTCTTAGAGTCTCACCCCATTCATCCAATACGAATCCAATCCGAGAACAACCTGATCGACCCAAATTCGTCCATCCATTTCCTACTAAGACTTTCCAACGAGCATCCAAAGATATCTAAATCTCAAATCTTAGCCAAAGGAAACACCAAAGTTCACAAAAGGTCCCAAGTGAATGTCTTGAGGGAGGCTCTGGAGGATCTTCTGGTAGATGGTGCAGAAGATGAAGAAGGAAAAAGACGACTTGCAAGGACGGAGGTCCTCTTTATATATGTGCTCTTGTTCTCCAATTTGGAGTCCTGTGGTACCAGGTATCCATCTTAGGCATCCATGGTTCCAGAAAACAAACAGCTGACAATCACAAAAATCATGCATGCGATCCATACGGCAGAAGTAAGCAATTGAAGAGGTCTTGCAACGCACCACAACTGAACCATTGCTGAGAATGCTCTAATCTGATAAAGAATAGATATACAATGTCCCAAATATTACCACCTCAAAAGGCTTCCAAACAACGTCTCTTCCACACCGTTCAAACCACTTGCCCCTCAATAAATATCAGCCTTAATCAAATCCGCAGCCTTCTCAGCCACTGCATAGGTAGTCGACATGATATTCCCTGAGACGTGTCCAGGAAATATCGATGCGTCACAAACCCTCAACCTCTCCACGCCCTTGACTCTCAATTTCATATCCACCGCCTCACCTAAGGCGGCCGTGCCAATCAAATGGTATTGAGTACTAATATGATTCTTGACGTATTCGATTCTCTTGGCTTCGGTGTCGAGTTCCGAGTCTTGAGGAGGCAGTTCACGGTCTGCGAGGGATTTGGCGAGGAGGGGATGTTTTGCGACTTTGTCCATCCATTTCATCTGTAAGAAAGATCAGCGTGTAATTGTTGGATCACAGGATGGAGACTTACACCAGCAGCAAGAATCTTTGCATCAACCTCATTCCTAAAATATCCCGGATCGATCCTCGGCGGTGCCATCGGATCGGAGCTCTCAATGTGCACTGTTCCCCTCGAAAGCGGATGCTCAAGACACATCAGCAAACTCAACTGCTGCTTTCCAGTTGGTGGGGCTCCGAAAAACAACGTCTGATCACTGCCTTTTGCAACATCTAATCGACACGGGATACAAAAAGTTTGTAAGTTCGCAAAAGTAGGATCAGTAAGCTGATCAACAATAATCTTTTCTTGCGCCTTCTCAAACTTCGTCTTAGCGAGAGAGTTCTTCTGGATCGAAGCAACTGTGCTCTTGACCTCTTCAGGTGTGGCCACAGAAGCATAAGATACGAAACCCATCATCATACCAGGGCTAGCATAGACGCCTGTTTGCTCTTTGTCGTAAGCATCTTGTTGCGCTTTCTGGAATTCTTCAAGACGGAGTGCATCCATAGATTCCACTCCTGGCTTCAAATCATATAGAAGTCCACCCAAGACGTGATCTTGGAAGTTGGCTCCAATGGCTGAATTCGAGACTTTGCATTGAATACCAGCTTTTTCTAGTACGGCTGGATCACCAATTCCGGAGAGCTCGAGGATTTGAGGAGTCTGGATTACACCTGCGGTGAGAATTACTTCGCGAGAACCGGGAACTTTGTAAGTTCTTCTTTGATGAACAAATTCGACGCCTGTAGCCGTTTTATTGTCGAGCAAGATCTGTGTGACATGGGCGCCCGTGAGGATTTTGAGGTTTGGGCGGCAAATATTGGGTCTGATGTATCCAGTGGCGGCGTAAGAGCGTCGGCCTTTGTCATCGCTGCGATTTACAGCTCCGAGACTGGAGTAGAAGCCGAGGTGATCGCCGCTCCAGGCATCTTTGACTGTCTTCTTTGTGCCAGTGACAGCGTAGGCAGCTTCGGCGAAGTCTTCTTCGAGAGGCATGTACCTAGCGGGGAGTAAGTCAAGCTGGACTTGTAACACCGCTGAAGGACAGGACTTACCAATCATTAAAACTGGTGTGAATAGGACCGTCTGTACCATGGTACTTCTCCAACTCAGCATGCGGATGAAAATGTGGATCCTTGCTCTTCAAATTCGTATGATCCAGCGTCTGATGTTTCTTGAAATATTTCGCCATTCCGTCCCAGCCCCAACTCTCATCCCCCGTAATCTCAGCCCATCCATCATAGTCCTTCTTGCTACCCCTCACGTACATCAAATAATTGATTGCACTCGAACCTCCCAACCCTTTCCCTCTTGGCATGGAATAGACTTTTCCTCCAGCATTTGGTTGAGGAATGGATGACATGCACCAATCGTACTCTTTTCTTCCAATCAAAGTCGGGTAGAGCGAGGGTGTGGAAACATTCTTGTCGTTCATGAGATTTGCACCGGCTTCGAGAACCCCGACCTTGATGTTGGGGTCTTCGGTGAGTCGTGCTGCGATGCAACATCCCGCAGTTCCTCCTCCTATAATTACATAATCGAACTTCTGGGAGGTGAACTCTTCGATAGAGCATAGGGCATTTCCGGCATGACCGTTCGAGCCATTGGTGTGACCATTTGTGTGGCCGTTGGTTGTAGACATTTTTAATTACAAAATCTTTGTTAATTTCGGAAGGTAAATAATGACTCGAGTCTTGACACACTGGGAAGGAACGTTTCCTTGTTGGCGAAGGGGCTTTTCAATCATCTTCAATTGAAGCTACGTCAATATACCCCGCATTGATATTCGTTCCAGACTCTTGCAATTTTTATGCTTCTATTCGTTCGACTTTCCTTGTGCTGGAATAGCTGCAAGAACAAGCGTGTCAATCTTGCATATCAATGCGGGGTACATGTCTAGGGAAGTCGCCACTAAGCCCCGCATCTGACATCCCCTCCACATTCCCAAGGTTCATTCAAATCCCTTCACCCGGCGTAGCTTCAGATAGGTATCTTAGAGGCTCATTATGTAGGTTGATCTTGGTGTTATATTTATTCCCGGCAGGATCCGGCTTTTTGTCATTCCTATGCGCAGGCCCTGCCGTTAGATTATGGAAATCAACAACCTCGAACATGAGCTATTTGAATTGCATATGATAGATTATTTCCTAAATTATGAAAGTATTCTTTGCGAGAGGTGAAGAAAGGTTATGACGCTATTGTTAAGTTTTGGTCTATATCTTCATCTTCAAGAACTCCACTCGTAACTCGTCAATCAAAGCGGCCATTCTCAGCTGATACTTCCAAGACCACAAGCTTCGTTAAAAAGATTCCATTGAACTTAGAGTCTTTCATAGGCGTGCCAAGGGACCATCTGCTCGAACAATGCCGAGGGAAGCTTTAGAAATCTCCGACACGTTCTTACAGCCTGTCAACATCATGCACCTTCTAAACTCATCATATAAGATATCGAGCGCCTTCTTAACACCCTTTTGACCATCGTACTTGAAAACGTTAGTGCTACTGCTGTAGACATGGAAAAGTGGAGTTCTTACAGCCAATGCCCAAATTGCTGGTCTCCCGATCCAACAGCATTCAGCTCCCAGAGCAATGGCCTTGAAGATATCTTGCCCTGTTCTGATCCCGCCATCTACTTGTATTCTGATTTTCCCTTCAGCTGCTGCCACACATTCAGGCAATGCGTCAATAGTAGCTGGCGTTCCATCCAACTGCCTACCACCATGGTTGCTCACAACGACCCCGTCACAACCATATTCGCGAGCCAGCAACACATCTTCAGCAGTAAGTACACCCTTAATCCAAATCTCCATCTTGGTCTGGCTCCTCAACCAAGGAATATCATCAGCCCAAGAATGCGAATCGGAAGTCAACGACAAGAACCCATCATCATGAGTCTGAGCCATAATCATTTCGGACGTTCTCTCCAACATCGGGAAAGCCAGTCCGTCAGGAGTTCGAAAGTCGTTTCGCCACTCGTTGTACCGAACGCCAAGCACGGGACTGTCTGCAGTTAAGAAGATAGCTACACAGCCTGCAGCCTCAGCGCGCTTGATGATCCGAGTTTGCAGTCCTCGGTCTTTCATGGTGTACAACTGCATCACGTGTGTAATTGGTCCAGTGTCATTGCCAGCCTTGATGATCTCCTCAACGCTGTAATTCGCAAAAGACGATACGCCCATATGAATCTTCCGCTTAGCACAAGCACGGCTTGTGGCAAGTTCTCCGTCTGGATGTGCCATGGCTTGAAGTCCGGCTGGAGATACGCAGAGGGGAAATGAAATCTTGCCTCCGAGTATGCTGGTGCTGGTGTCTGCCTTTGAAACGTCTTTTAGGACTCGAGGACGGAGACGGTATTTTGCGAATGCCGTGCTGTTTTCGTGAACTGTCACCTGGGCGGTGGAGCCGGAGTTGAAGAACTCTATATTGATCAAGTTGCCAGTTAGTCATTGTGATAACGAACAGCTGGTAGATCGAAGCAAAGTTAGAGAAAGAGACAACCTGCCTCGTTTGAACCTGGGAAGCTTCTTTGTTGCTTCGTTCTGGATGTCTTCTATGCTGAGCACCACTTCCGTGCTCATGCTTTTGACGACTGATTTCTCCGCCATGATTAGGTGTGCAAACCTTCAATACAGAGTATATCTTGTGTGCAGAAGATCAAGAAGGGCAAGAAGACACTCGGCCTTTACCGATGTATGATCAACAGGCACTAGTAAGTTTTAGTCAGTACCTATTGCGCAGGGGAGAAATATTGACCCACGTGAGCTGAGTGTGGAACAGGCCTCGTCCTAGACTGAGAGAAAAGCACAAAATCCGGAAATTGCTGAAGTCTCGAACACAATAATGTATCATAGCACAGATCCTCCCTCGAAGAAAACTCAACGAGAGTGGGATGTGCACCATATGAACTACTGGTCCACCGTAGCTACTGAGTAAGACGAAGTTTCGTTTTGTGGGGATTAAAGGTAGCATTAAAAGCTAGTACTCCCACTTCACGCTGAAACTGTCAGTGAGACGGGTAATTTTTACGAAATAGTAATTAATTTGTAGCTTCGCCTAGAAAGAAAGGATTAATCATTAACTATTCGGACCTGGATATCCTCTCGACCTATTTCCCGTAAAGCGAGCCCCCATTTACTTGTCTCTTGTCTTTTTCCTGCGTTTCAACCATTTGCATGCAAATATAGACGGTAGACGGATATTTGCTAATAGAATCTTGAATTATCTACTGTCAGGGCCTTGGTAAAAGGAGGACAAGTACGCGCTCGAAACCAGTGATGGGTTTCTGGAAATGTCAGTGGGATGGTGACGAGTCAAGTTTTTCCTCTCGTTGGTCGAGTGTTTCTGCTATTTCCTTACAATATAGAATTGAATGGACTATGAGGAGATGATTCATAAATGATGATCATACTCCTAGCTTGAGTCTCATCTAACAATTTCTACCTCACCGATCAAGATACATCGCCATATTCAAGTCTCTACACTTTGACTTCTTGCAATCTCTGAGCAACGAGCTCTTAGAACTTCGCTTGCAGCCTGGCTCCAACGAAAACATCGGTCTCGTCAGCATCGTCAGATATTCCGAACGCGCTCATGCCTTGAAGGCAAGCACGAATAGCTCCGTACATATTGTCACCCATGCAGCTTTGTACATGGTCCAGATATCTTCCACTGAGCAACTTTCCACGTAGCATTGCAACTTCACTTGGTCTGATATCCTCCAAATTTCTGAACCCGAGTATGGAATCTATCGACTCCCAATATGTGATCTCTAATAGTAGGATACCAAGACTGTATATGTCATGTCTTTTCTTATACCTCCTCCCTTGTGAATCATCTTGAATGAACCCCTGAACTTGCGGATGCCGATAAAGATCATGCAACACGTTACCAACTGTTCGTTCTGTCATGTCTTTGCGGTGAGCTGGTCTCGCATAGTCGAAGCCTGAGAGGTACGATTTCGAGAGGTCGATGGTTCCCTCTCTGGTTTCGTAAAGAAGGAGATTGTCACTTCGGAGCCCCTTGTGCAACCAATTCACAGCATGAAGTTTCTCCACACATTGCACTATGTCCTTTGCGAGTGCAAACCGAGCCGTCAGACTTGGCACCCTGCTCTTTGTGTCTTGGAAAAGCTCGAACAAAGACACAGGCCTCTCACTGAGCGCCACTCCTGAAGGATTCTTGAAGACTAGGCCGAAATGAACAATGTGATCCTCTCTGCTCGGTCTGGTACGAATATACCCTAGACAGGGTACGGCCCTGAATTGCTCTGTTCGCTGATTCTCTCTCAGGAGCGCAACGAGTGCCTCGAAGCGGCCGATGATCTTGCGGTCATGTGTATTGTGATTTGGACGTTGCCCATCTCCAGGCTTCCATTCTACCCAAACACGACGGTCTCTCCCCAAGTTTGAATTGTACCAAGCTTCTGTTCTTTGATCGTTCGATATAGGCGTAGCATGAGGTAATAGCTGTATATCATCCCAGGATAACTCGCACGAGGTAATGTCCTGCACTGATTCCCCAAGATCGAGCTTCTGCGCGTACTCATCCGTTAGAGAATCCGTTTCCAGCGCCGATCCCAAAGCTTTGAATTGGGCTAGGCTTGTAAGGTGTCGCGAGTGCTCAGAGTCACGGTGCGCCCCTGGTCTTACATCTCCTCCCCATTTCAACGGTCTGCGGTCTGCTCTGGAAGCAGCAGTCAAGTTGTGCGCCAAACCAGCCTCCACAATCTCCTGAAGATGATCCAGCTTGTTGTTCAGTTGCACAATCATGTAATCTGTTCGCACTTGTCGCGCCACGAGCATCTCCCATTGATGCGCATTGAGGAGTTCGCATAAGTAGTCGTTCAGTTCCGACAGCCTCTTGAGAAGTTCTTCAGTGGCCTTTTTGTCAGAAATTGCCCAACGAAGCTGTCCTGGGAATTTGCTCGTTTGTCGAACGAAAGTGACACATTTCCCCAACAGCTCGCCTGCATCTGGGAACCAGCTATCGAGCGTCTCTTCTGTCTGAGGACCTTGTCTTGCATCTCTATTGCTGGTGTTCTGTGAGTCTTGCTCCTCAGTGATGATGGTGTTGGCCAGTGGTTGTAGGCGGCCATCCAGTCGTCCAAATTTCAACAGTAGTTGTCGCTGTTGATTCAGCACATCCACCACGATGTTCTTGCTATACCTGTCAATTGAAAGCGTATCGTCTGATTCCGTCAATTTGGTCACGGTCGCCCAACCGTATGCCTCCAGAACCTTGTCTTGCAACTCACAATTTGATGGTGGATCTTCAATCTCCCTGCCTTCGTCTTCCATTCCACCAGTGATTCCCATCAATTCTTGTGGCCTGGGTCTGCAGTTATACTAATACTAAAATATCAAACATTTTGGCGTAGTTAGTGGTCCTACATAAGCTCACCGCATGTATGATAAACAAATGTATCCGGAAAAGTTTCCAATAGATTCAGCTTTTTCCTTATCCTAAACAGGGTTTCAACCGTGTATTTCTTCCTCCGTCTTGCTCAAGATCTCCGATTCTCATTCCCAAAATAGCTTCATGATTTCATTACCTCCAAAGTATATAAACAAGAGAGTCATAGGCTTCTTCCCCGGAGTCATCCTGAATACCCAAACTAGCCTTCTGCTCCATCAAAATTGACTCCGCTTCATAACGCTTCTCATCCGCCTCCAGTAAATTATTTTCAGCTTTTCTGAGTACTTGGGATAGTTTATAAAGCACTCGAGCATAGATCCCAGCCATGGCAACGGATTGTAATTTTGCCACCACCAGTGCTTGGTGGAGATAGGTGCTACGCAACAATTTTTTTTAGCTGATCTCTCCTTTTCTAATTGACCATGTATGAACACTTACACTGCGTCTTCATATTTGCCCTGCTCAAATGCCACACATCCTAGCTTGTATATGCAGACACTATTAAAATGATGGGTTTGTAATTTCCCCCCCTGCAACCAGGCTTCCTGAGCCGCGATATATTCTGCCTTGGCTTTCTCTAGCTTTTGCTCTGCTCTGAAGGTAGATGCAATAACAAAACGAGTACTTTGTAAGCATGTCAGTACATTGCGTTTTAAAAAAAACTTCTACTTCTTCGCTACTTACTAGGCAATCATCGCGAAATTCTCTGAGACTTTCAGCTGCCCCATCGCCAGCTTCAGCCGGGCGTGTGCATCTTCGAGTCGTCCTAAGAAACGCAAAGTTCTACCAATATTCTGGTTTCCAACAGCTGTGGACTCTGAAAGTCGTCCATCTTCGATCCGCAACTCCAGGCTGGTAAATCGGTCAGCTAGCTGATCAGTCGACTGATAAGTGATCAGTTAAAGCCAATCAGTTAGCGATTTTAAATAATTTCAGTCTATCAGTTAGCCAAAAGTCAACTGACAGTTGCTTATAAGTTGGGAGATATCTGAAAAAGTTTATTTTTAGCATTAAAAACACTATTTTTGGCTTAAAATCCTAGTTTTTTCTTGGATTTTTGATATATTTGAATATTTTGAAAAAACATGAAAATTTACTTTTGAAATGAACACTTGTAGATGATTATTTAAATTAAGATAAGAATATAGTTCAAATATCAAATATTTATTTATATTATACTTAAAAAATATAATAAAAATATTTACTAGTTAAAAGACACGTTTCTTGACTGATCAGCGGCTGGTAAGTGGATATCAGTGAGTCAGTTGGATGCCTTCATTATAATCAGTCAATCAGTTGGAGAATAAGCTCAACTAATGACTGACTGACTGACTGACTGACTGATTTACCAGCCTGCGCAACTCCTCAGCCTTTTCGTGCAGACGAAGTGCCTCATCATGTCTGTTAAGAGAAGATACACAATTTCCGAGGTCAGTGTACGCCCAGCTCTTTTCGTCAAGATTGTCGGGTTTTTGCTCTGTTCGAATTGCAAGTGCTCGTTTAAGATACTCCTCAGATTTTCGAAATTGGCCACGATGAGCCCACATAACACCCGACAAATTGGACAGTTTAGCCGAAAGCTCAGAATCCTGTTTCTGGGTATCTAATGCTTTGAACGCCTGAGTGGCAACCGCGGCCACATCTTCAAGCTCCGTGAATGAAGCAATTTCCATCATATATCTAGGATGCTATTATCAGTTTATGTAGTTATTTATTTTATTTTAGAGACGGAGTCTACAACCTTCCACAATTAACAAGAGCCCAGCAAAATTCTGGACAAGGATGTAAAGAATCTGTTCCTGCGTGGTCCTTCTTGTAGTTGTCTTTGATGCTCAATACGTGCTGCAAATAAAGGCGGCACACAGCCCAGCGATCATAATACTGTGATTTGCCCGCATTTCTCGGCGGGAAAGCCTTGTTCAATATCATCGAGGCATCTTCAAACACTTGCTGTCTTGCCTCTGCAGATAAATAGAATCTAAATTGGGTCTGCACGAGTCTGTGCAGCGAGAAAGTACGCGAAGATTTGTCCCTTCTGATAAGTGATAGATTAAGTAGCACCTCCTGCACCTCCGAGAATCTGAATTCTGCTTTAGCAAGACGGTATGACAACAGGTCAACATACATACTTGAGCTCATCTTGATATATCTCGAGGCTGGGACCAAGGGTAGAAGAGTCGCTGAACAGGACCTGAGGTATAGAATCGGGGGAAACATAGGATAGAACACCTAGGAATTCAGAGCAGGCAGGCTCCAACGACTTGAATGAAAGATACTAGACTATATCGAGCGAGTTCCCAGCGGCCGAGCCATGCATTTTCCGTGTGTTCTTATCATATATAGCCAGGAACTCTTCTATAGACCAACTCCGCCGATGGATTAAGCCGGCCATTTGAGAAATTGCAAGAGCATTTCCGCTTAGCCTTTCTGAGAGATCAAATGCTGATTTTGCTTCCTTTTCGGTTAAGTTATCAACTATGTCGAGGGAGAGTAGATGCAATAAAAATGCAGACCCCTCTGCTGTTTTGAAAGGAAATACTTCTATCCCTGTGTCGGCTGGTTGGAACGCAAGATTATGGTTTCGTGTCGTGATCAGCGCATATCCCCGTGCTGCGACAGGCCAATACTCAAGGAGATCGTTTTCATCATTGCCGTTGTCAAATATCAATAGCCAACGGCAGGCTATTTTGGTTGGGTCAGCTACAAATTCCGAATTTGTTGTAGGAGAACTTACGGGTCTTTTGCAACCAATTCAGGACAGAGACTCTGTTCCCTTCATGGTTCTGTGGATTGGTGTTGGGAAGTTGGAGGCGAACTGCGATGCTACTGAAACTTTCTGCTAGTGCAATTTGTCCTTCACTGTGAATCCAAAAGATGGCATCGAAGTCGTCAACCTTGCTTTTGGCATATTTCAAAGCTACGTGACTCTTTCCAACACCGCCAAGACCCCAGAGTGCAAGAGAACAGAAGGTACGGCTTTCAGATTTAGTGTCGAAGTGGGCTTCAATATCCGCGAGAATCGAACCACGGTCATAACACTGAGTAGTAAAAGTTCTGGGGAGAATGATACAGGGCAGGGAGGCTTCCTCCTGAAGACTGGCCGCCGCCATCGAAGTCGAAGATGGAGTCGGTGAAGAGAGAAACTGCTGTATCATCTCGAACTCGCTACTATGAGCGTTAAGCTTTGCCAGTTGTGCTAGTTTCTCAACTCGCTGGAATGTATCATCAATATCTGAGGTGGTGGATTTGTAGATGCGGATTAACTCTTGCCAGTCATCCTCGTGAGAGAGCGCTGGAAGGTCAGCAGAATTCTCAATGTATAACAAACTAAAGATATCACACACCAGATGGGCCAGTGTGATCGTGGAAAAAAGTAATCGCGTCGGTGCAGAATAGGACAAGATATATAAGGACATCCAAAGCTGCCTCTTCAGACTTTTCAACTCGGGTCCGACCATTGCAGTGCGCGTTGAATAGTTCGATTTTATGACCCATAGATTTGATCATGCGCGCAATTCGTGGTATAGCTTCATTCTCTCTGATGGAAACCTTCATGAAGTAAGTCTAGTTGGACATTTTAATAATTCTTGCGGAGGGAAAACACGCCTGTATCAGTACGGATATAAACCCCCAAAGGACAGAAACATCAAGTTTCTCATCTATACTCTGTGCCACAAATACGATAAGAGCCTCATAGTTCGTGAGCGTCGGTTCTATTAACGCTAATGCTTGGAGCGTTGCTACGGAGAACTTTTTGGTTTGAAGCTCTTGCAATTGACCCTGGACTTGCGCTAAGCTCGCGATAGATTTGATTTGGGTCACCTCATTTCGATAAAGGGAGCTGCAGGAGCGTTTGATTGTGGTGTCCCATTGGGTCAGGTAAGAGCTAGTCATTAGGTTAGTCAGACCTTTTAGAGATCATGGCACTGATCAAGTGGTCTTACGAGGCCGCGTCTGGAGAATTCAGATTGATAGACAGGGATTGGGAAGACGCCGACATATTTACTATTTAGTCTTTCCGTTTTCGTGTGATAGGTATGAATGTGTCGTATGTATGTTGTGAGTCAAGGAAAACGAGTAAATGAAAATGTATGGTAATAGATCCAACAAAGTCAAGGGAAGAAGGAAAAAAGCAAAGCGGGGTTCTGCGGCGTACTAAGCAGGCTGCTTGAAGTCACATGCCTGATAAGCCTTAATCAGCATAAGGTATTAGAAGCTATATACGCTGCCAGTCGAACATCTCACCAGGACCTCTCCGACAAACTCTCAGCTCCAAATCGCCAGGCTGTATTTACTGTTGTGTCTTGGTTGACAATGCTTGTTAGACCATCAGCGAATATGTCAGGCGAGAAATTCTGGATTACCGTTGACAAGAAGCTTGAAAAACACCAGGAATCACAATCCCAAGATACCGCCGCCTCTCCCATATTCAGTCTCTTTCGAGGCTTCGGCTGTTTGGTCCCAAGTGAAGGTTGTGAGAGGTCTAGGCAAAGGGATCCGTCTTCAAACATTCTCGATGTCTCAGATCTGAATTTTTTCTGTTTGAAAACAATTGGCAAAGTCAATATCAGATGGACGCATACCCTCGACACACATTTAATGTTTCATCAACGAAGTCGAACGCTCTCCTTATTTGGCTTTCCAACATTCTGTGCCTTGAATATAATTGCAGAAAACAATGCTGGATCGTTTTTTGACCGGTGAGAAATTACTCCCATCTATGATTTCTCCATGGCAGAGATTTACTAATTGACAAGTGTTCTTTGTGACAACCTCAACGAGAATGAAGAAACCCCATCTTATATTTCGTTGTATAAGCGGGAAGTCCTCTTGTCATATCGGATTCTGTTCGGTCAATCAGAAAAGTCTCGGAGAATTTTCAGAAGAAGCGAAGTCCACAAAATTCCAACCCTCAATGGCATATATGATCCCCTCCTTGCAATTTTGTGTGGAAAGGCAAATGGGAGATCAATGAAATCTCTCCCTCCAGAATTATGGCTAGAGACTTGGAGAGACTTTGCTGGGAATCTGCTTGAGCAAGATATGTACAGCGCTGATACAGATTTTCCTGTTCTGGGTCTCCGCTTCTTGGAGCTTCAAACTTTTAATTCAAGTCAGAAGGCGAATAGAATCTGGGATATATGGCGAGATCGCAGAAATCCTCTTCAATGGTACACATTTTGGGCCGTGATTGTCATTGGTGGTCTTACCTTGATCATAAGCGTGGTTCAGACCGCTCTGTCAGGAGCACAGCTAGCAGTGTCAAAACCATCGTCCAGTGTAACATAGCGCAGAATAAATATACTGTAGAATTATTATTATAACTACTATCTAGCGGTAATAAGGAAAAGAGCCTCATTAGAAGCGCTTAAAGTGGCACTTAAAATGCGGAGCTCCGTGTGCATGCACGAAGCTGCATGGACTGATTATTGCATCCTCTCCCTTGAGTTTGCAGCCCCCCATCCCAACACACACACCTACTCCGTACGTGCCATCCCCGCCCGTTTTTTCGACCAATGGGATGTTTCTCCAGAACCCTCCCTAGACTTACATGCAAGCGTGGGGCTCTTTAGTTGCCATGGCAGGTCACACGATCTCACGGTCCTGTTCTGAGGTGGACGCCAGAACGCGAGAGAAGTTACGTCGTGAAGTTGGGCATGTACTTTTGACCATTGCGAAATTGCACATAATTTCAATAAACTTGAACAAAATACATCTTTTGTTGAACCTTATGACAAAATGGCCATCGATATCCAAAGCATAATTCCTTACCTAAAGCGAGACCCCCTATACCACCAGTTCAAGCCATTCAGTGCAAGCTTTCGTGTCGAAAGTGTTACCGAAGAACAGTCCTCCAACCACATGTTTGAATACGTGCCAGTAACTGTCCATGACGTCCGAGGCCTCGAAAAGCCAATGGACCTGGACGTTAATGGCTTCTGCTACATGAAACAGAAGACATCTGTGACGTCCGAAATGGCCAACACCATTGCAACTTATCAAGAGCTATACTTCGAGGAAATAGAGGACTTTTTATACAACAACTTCCCGCAATATTCTCGTTTTGAGTGCATGGATTTGCAGGTGCGTTGAAAATGTTTCTATTCTCCTAAAGTCGGTTCTCTTTCTTGTCTAATTCCTGTAAACATACCAGGTCCGGAGGAGGCACCCCGACTTCCCAAATAGCGTGGGAAAGAGAGTAGAATTTGATCAACCTGCCGGGCTCCCTCACTGTGATTTCTCACCGGGAGGTGCTGTCATTCAGATGAGCGAGGCCTTTCCAGGTCAAGACAAGCATTGGAAAGGAAAAGATTTTGACCTGCTGAAGTAAGGATCTCTCCATCCAGAATGAGAGACGAAAAGGCTTCTGCTAAACCTTACATATGCAGTATTTGGCGTGTATTGAAAGGGCCAAACGATGACTGGCCCCTTGCGGTTTGCCATTGTAAAAGTGTGGATACCAAGAAGGACTGCGCAACAAACGATGCGTTGTATCTCGACGGCTTTGGAGAGAACTGGCTTATGCAAGCAAGTCCAAATCATCGATGGTACTATATGAGCGGGCAACAACCCGAAGACCTGATCGTTTTTCGGAATACGGATTCGTTCGGCGAGAGGACTCGTAAGCTTTCATTTCCCCTTGCTTTGGTGTTTCATCTGGCGCCATAACACCAACCAATTAAAACGAAGCTGTAGTCGAGACTGATCTATAGTTGTTGATAGGATGTTTCCACATGGCGATCAAGAATTCGTTGACTGTATGCGAGCCTAGAGAGAGCATTGAAGTTAGAGTCGTGGCATTCAGGGATGTCATGTAGCCTTAGGATCTTTTAGGATCATCGATAGCGAGACAATTTGAAGGATTCTTTATTGTCACTGGAAAACAGCAGTACTTCGCAGCTGATATGAAGAGCGTGATAAAGATCTGAATCGATGGACTTGAAATCATTATGCTTAGCCTGATTCTGATTCTCTGACAAACCCTATGATGTACATATTATCCATCTCCTTCAAAAACATCCTGCTTTTAGTTTACGTTCAATGTGTCTGCAAACCTTAAAAATCCGTATTAGACAGCATCTAGCATATTGTTCACACCTTGCTCCAAGGCTTTGCTGTCACTAACAAAACCCCATATCCTCGCACAGTTGAATTCCACGGCATCTGAAACATAACGTGGACTTGTTGTCCCACAAGCATCTTTCAATAAAATGACATCAAACCCAGCATGCCAGGCATCTAGGAGACTGGCCATAACACACATATCAGTCTTTATCCCAACAAATAACAAAGTTCGGACTCCCTTCTCTTCTAGGACTTTCACTCGCTTCATCTCTCGATCCCAGAATCCCGACATGCGGTTCTTGTGGATTAAAATGTCAGGATTTGATTCTGAGGCCTGGCCTTCCTTAAAGGAATCGTTCAAATCCAGAGGCATTGCTGCGTTCCAGGTATCTCGAACTAACATCCTTCCACCTTCGACTACCTGCCCATTCGCAAGTTTCACGGGTCCAATATCGAAACCTATGCCTTCAGTTCGCCGTCTCACCGCACCATCCTCTGCCATGCGCATGGTAGTTTGCTCGACTCCTGACAGTGCTCCGGTAGCTTGCTTATTGATTTCTTCCATGGCAGTCTCACGTAGAGCGCTCGGACGGTATCCTGAGTTAGAATCCACAACTTCCCGTTGCTCTTTGTCATATCCGAAAGCCTTGATCACACTGGGAGGGGCAGTTTCCCATCTTTCAAAAGAACTGTGTCCCAGCCCTTCAAATTGGCATCTTGCATCGTGCCGTAGACACACTGGTCTATATTCACGCCAGCAAAAAGTAGCGTCTTGATGTGGGCTCCCTTCCCGGCCAAAAAGCCAGTCAGATCGGTCGAGGAATCGCAGATGCCGGATACTCTATTCTTGCGGAGCCATACATCTAGAAGATCCGAGTGCAGAGATGCTTCATAGCTGTCCCGAAGCGGTTGGTGGAGCGCAGTATTCCACTGATCCCGCATCATCATCCGCCCCATATTGACTCTGGTACCATCAGTCAGGACGACTTCACCTAGTTCGGCTCCCATGCCTCCGTCCGTCCATCCTTCCTTCTGCTTTGACTCTGAGCTTGGAGCTGGAACTACCTGAGCAGATCCATTATCGTCGAATTTGAATATACGCAGCATTGTAGGTGACATGACCTCGAGATCCGCGTCTGTCAGTCCCCATGTGAGCCAGATGACTTGGATTCCTGCTTTGCGGGCGGCGGGCAGAGCATGCTGCAGCAACGCAGCCTCGGCATCGTGGCCCTGCCCCTTCCGGCCCAGCGAGCGAGAGAGGAAGAAGTTCTGCATATCGACGATAACCAGAGCAGTCTTAGAAGGAGCAATAGTAATCGGACTATTCGTAGTCTGGAGAGAAATGCGTGGGTGGAGTAGGGGTGAGGAGGAGGTCTCTGGGTGCGTCAAGTCGAAACCATCTCTTTCGCTCCACAGCCAGAAGTTGGATGCGTTGCCAATGACCTTGACTTCCAGTCCTGTCTTCGTTGCAGATGCCATGGTGATGCACGCTAAAATACGTTGGATCGAAGGATTTGGGTATCTTCTTGTCCTCAAGTCTTCGAAGAATCGATGAAATGGCCACGAGGCTGAGGATGGTAGTCTGCGGAGCGACAACCGTGAAGCAAACATTGATTTCTGGACTTGAAATTCGCAGCAGGCAGAAGCTGTTTCATAGAGACCGGGCACTGGATCTCATGCGTATGCACATGCATCGGCAAGTGACAACACGATAAAATGAATCACAAGCCTCTGGAAAAACTTCATTTCGACGTGTTCAAATCCGCGTGGCTGTTTGGGGGCGCGCAGCGCCACTAGGAGTCATGATTTATGTGACAGCACGGTGGGAAGCTCAGTACGTAGACGAAGTATCGATTCGGCTATCTCTTAGAATCTAAAGGTAAAGAAGAGAAGAGGAATGAAAGAGGAGAAGATCTAGATATATATACGCCAGGGGAAAGGGATGTCATGTGAGGAGCTAAGCCCTAATAGGCTTAAAGCTAGGGAACGCCACCATTCCCGGCCTGACCTCTGTCGCGGGCGATTGGGCAGGCGATTAGGTCAGGTGATCCAGGTGATCCAGGTGATCCGTAACAATTTATAAATTGTTGAGCGTTGATCTAACGACCCCCACCCCCCACGTGCGACTGAACGAGAGGGGATTCAAATCGGCTCCGGCAGACACCCATGTCAAGGTTGGGACTTATCGCATGACTAAGCAAACAGTATCAGGCACCAGTAATTGCCCGAATTCGTGGCGCACAGGCCATCCCCACCAAAATTATAAGGGGGCCAGAAATCAGTTAATTGAGACTATATACACCTGAATTACCATAATGCAGTCTTAATAGGCTTTCCACCATTATTAACAAGGCGCGCGCATCGCCTAGGCATCTGGGAAATTCGTTTCCGTACTTCTGTCATTGTTACTTTGCTCCATTCCTCTTGTAAAGCCTCCTTGATTTCCTCCTTAGATTGGAAGATCCTATGCCGTAACCTCTGCTTAATTATGTTCCAGATAGCCTCGATTGGGTTTAGATCAGGGCTCTAGGCAGGGTGCTTTAAGTTAACAATCCAATTATTCTCCTTAAGCTGCTGCGCGAGGCCCCTTTTCCTCATGCCGTAAGAGGGGTCCCCATCCTCTTGAAAAAGCCACGGTCCTGGGTCTCTTATACGTGCTTTTTGAATAGCATCGATATAAACTGGCAAGAGACGCTCTGTATAGTACTTCTGAGTCATGGAATTACCCTGCGGCTTAACGTCGACTTTGTGAGGCTTCTGGGCTTCCCAATCCGTAAGTCTGGCTTGGTATTCCTCTGGCGTTTCAGTCGTTGGCCGCCGGCGAGGCTTAGTAGGCATTGGGGGTTGTTCTTCGTACTCTTCTTCGTCATTATAGAACTCTAGCTTCTTAGCCTTATCAAACCAGGTGACCCACACAGCCACATAAAACTTGACTCCCTTCCTCTCTCCTCTCTCCACAATATTCTCATCATCGTACCGTGTCCCAAGCTCTCTAAGTATCCCAGGAGCTTGTTGTGCCGAAGGGTCAATATGTGCTTCATCGGTAAAGAATATATGACTAAAAGTCCTCTATTGTCTTGTCCTTATACTTATGTGCATAAGCTACCCGTTCGTCCTTATTCCTAGCCGAGATTTCCTTTTTAACAAATACACACTTATAAAACTGACCACCATTAGTATACTCTTTAAGCTTGCGTTGTAACTAGCGCTTCTTACAAGGAATTTTGTGATAGGCAATCTGCGCTTCGTATGGCTGATTTCGGACAGGATTTCTAGCCGGATCGACTAGCTTCTTACACATAGCTTTTGTGACTTTTGAGGGCTTTCCAAGCTTGCCTGATCTCCCGCGTGTATATCGATAAGCTAAGATACCCATATTTTCACATTGCTTAAGCCAGCGTCGCGCGGTAGACTCAGTAGTGCTTTCATCCTTTGCGATCTGGCGTAGCGATTTGAATGAGATTTCTTTGTCGTACGCTGTGAAGAACCTAGTCTTTTTGATCGTATTAGCTTCGTGGCCACTAGAAGGGCCTGGCGGAGGGGTAATGCGGCTTGTGCGACGTGTAGTTGGGGCCATAGTGAGTGTTTAGAGTGATAATAGATAAATCGCAAAAATCGCGTTTCGCGATTTTTGGTGTTTTTGGCCCGTGCGCCACGAATTCGGGCACCCACTGGTGAGGAGTGGCTGAAGAGATCCAATGATTGTTCGCGAGGCTTTGAGACAATGATACGTAGCTGGCTTTGCGGAAACACTAAATATTGCCTCTATGTCAGGAGATATTGAAATGGTTCCGAAAAAACAACATGTCGGTCATTTAGCTCAAGGTGTCTTCTGACTTGACAATTCACTTAGGCTGAGCGGTGATCGGCGGTTACATGCATTGGCAGTCGTTGATTGAGTTGGTGTAACATCTTCGGAACAAGGCAACAGCAGCACACACAGAGCCTCATTCAACATTCTACTCAATAGTCAGCGAAAATACGACAAGAGCATGGATATCGAATCATGCCTCAAGCCACTGCTACTAGCGATTACTATGCAATCCTCGAAATTGACCAAAATGCGACTCCAGACGAAATCACCAAATCGTACAAACGGCTGGCCTTACTGCGCCATCCTGATCGGAACACAACGCACAACTCTACGAAAGCTTTCCAACTTGTTCGTAAATTTTTTCTAGACCTGTGCCGAGCGTGTAGTTGCACACTTGTAGAGTCATCTGCTGACGCGGTCCGTGGCACCCTAGTTGGGTGAGGCGTATGAGACATTGAAAGACGAAAGCAAACGGCGAGATTACGATTCCACTTACGCACAAATCAAAACGACTAGATCTTCACAACCCAACACCACAGAAAGACGTCGCACGTCAAGTACCACCAACTCAAATCCAAATGACACAAAAACCGACATTGCGAGGATTGCAGCAATAGTGAGGGCAAAGCAAGAACGTTTCGCGGGCTGGTCACAAACGCAGACAATATTCAATGAAAAGATATTCGAGCTGAAGAGAGATATAATAGATCTGCAAAGCGCCATTCAAGGCTTCGAGGACACTGAGACTGCAGAGCGCGCCAAAGATGAAGGTACCAAAAGATGGCCAGCACGGATCTTTTCTCATCGATCCCGGAAATCCGTCCAAGCACAAGAAAAGAAGGAACAAAAGGAACGAGATCGATTACAGAGATTGCATAGCAAGACTCTCAGAGAAATAGAGCTGAAGAAGAAGTGGTCAGAAATACGAGATCACGAAACCCTGTTTGAAACCAAGCGCCAGGAGTTCTATGATGCGAACAAGGCGGATGATATCATCAAGTCTGCGATCGAACAGGTGATGCGCATCAAACAACAGATACACCAGCAAGCGGAACGATACGAGAAGGAAAAAGCGGCACGAGAAGAAGCACAAAGGGATAGGGATGAGCAATTTGAGCAGGGGCAGAGGGAGGCAGCAAGAGAGAAGGCCGAGCGAGAAGAAATGAAGATGCGGAGGGAGGAACTGGCAGAAGCAATCGAGAAGCTACGAGTGGAAGAAGCCCTAAAGCTTGCCGAAGAAAATCGCAAGAGAAATGAGTTGCAACAGAAACAGGAAGCGAAACGACGAAAGAAGGAGCAAGCGGCAGAACAACAGAGACGAGAGAATGCGGAAAAAGCCGCTGAACAAGCTTTGGAGGACTATAGAGTAGGGCAGACAGCGGTCTAAAGAGAAGGAGAAGGATAAGAGATAGTTTTGTAGAGGAAGTCTACTCAAGAAAGCAAGTGCGGAAGATGGCAGACGAAGATAAGAGAACCACCAGTACCCCTGAGTTTCACTAAGCGAGCCCCTGATTCTAGCGAGTACTGATCGAACTACTTGCAACATCACTGTGAAAAACAAGCATGGATGGCCCACTCATCAGAAAAATAAGGTTCACGTGAACAGCTCATATACTGTCTTCGTTTATGGTGTGGTTTCCTCCAGTCTGAACATCCAGCGGCGCGGGCCGCAGTGCTAGCTGAGCAGTCCAAATGAGAATCGGCACTATGAAAAGAGAGAAAACAACGCGATCAGTGATAATCACTATTCCTCATCACATTGATTTTCGGAAAATTTCTACAAAATTTTCGATACCGCAATAGCATCATTCATTCTAAAATGGCTAGTCCTCACAACGAATGTATTGCAGACAGTTTAGACGATTCTCCCAGCGATTCAACCACCATCGTCTCACCTACAGCAGACGCGCACACCCACACAATCATCTTCCTCCACGGCCGCGAAGACTTCAGCTCCGATCTCGCCCAGTACTTCTTCGATAGCAAGTCCTCGGATGATCGTTCAATGGCAGAAATATTTCCTTCCATCCGATGGGTCTTCCCGACTGCCAAGCTGCGCTTCTCAGCACAGCGGGACTTTGAATTCAGCAGCAGTTCATTCACAGAAGCGTTGAAGGGGTAGGAAATCATATCGCAATGGTTTGATGTATGGGATTTGAAGAGTCCCGAGGAGAGACAGGAACTTATGGTTCCGGGGTTGAGGGAGAGTATTGGGGAGATTGTGGAGATAGTGAAAGATGAAGCGACATTGGTTCCTGTAGGGAATATCATTCTTGGTGGGATCAGTCAGGGTTGCGCGACCGCGGTCCTCACTCTGCTTGCTTCGGATGTGGAGCTAGGAGGATTCATTGGTTGGTGTAGCTGGCTTCCGTTTCAGCAGGCTATTGAGCGAATTCAGAAAGAAAGCAAGGATACAGTCTCGCGGCAAATCCAGTCCATGTTGGGAATAGAGTTTGACCAGATCGTCGCGAACTCTCAACAAGCGATACAAATCTCGACAAATAGCGAGGCAGAGACTCCTGCACAGACCGAGGGACCTTCTGCAGGCAGTAAGGATATCGATATCGACAGCATCAGCACTTCGTCCTTGTGCTCTAAACCAGCCAATAAGACTCCGATCTTCCTCGCGCATTCGCGAGATGACGAGACGGTTCCGTTCGCGATGGGAGAAGGTTTATATCAAACCTTAGAACGACTTGGGTTTAACGTAACTTGGAAAAAGTATGAAGACGGAGGACATTGGATACATGCTGAACATGGAGTGGATGACATGTCCACGTTTCTTGAAGATGTCATGAAGGACTGAGGTACTTCACAAGTACGAGTGAAAGAAAATTTGGAAAGGCGACGATAAAGTCTGGATAACGAAAAGTAATACGAGCTGCCAAAAGGATGAGAACAAGGGTAGAATCGACGATTTAGACATGGACTCAATTACGAAAACGTGGACTCCTCGAGGTCTTCGGTGGAAGTCTTCGCATGTGTGTTGTAAGTTAGACGAGCCTATCGTATGGAAAGCCGGTACTGCCAGCACTTAATGTCATTGTCTCAATAATAAAACTTTAATTGTTCAAGAACCCCTAAAGATCTTTCGAGTTGTCGAGACGAGTCAAGAGACAAAATGTCTCATATCCCGAGTCGAACACAAAAGTAAGCTCCCGCGGGGTAATTTCCACCCCACTTTCACACCCCGCCAAAACCCGATCATTTTCATCCCCGCCAACGCAACCTTTGCTACACACCACCTCACTACTTTCAACATCTCAATTTCTCATGCCTAACAATGCCCAACGAAAAAGCCTACTTCCTCACCCTCGAACCTACATTCCAACAACTCCTCGGCACCGACGCCTCCATCGTGCTTCTCCTCGAGTACGACGCTTATCCGTTTGCACACGAAGCTGGGGTCTTCTTCGCCGACACCCACGAGCTTTTCATCACCAGCAATCGGTTTACACGCCAAGATGAACCATACATTCAGATTTCCAAAGTCTCCCTAGGAGATGGCTCAAAGAAAGTGAGCCGCGAGGAGATTCCCTCACTCGATATCCCTTTGGGGAACGGTGGCATCAATTATCGGGATGGGATCCTGTTCTGCTCCCAAGGTTCAATGACAAAACCAAGTGGACTGTACTGGATGTCGCGGAAAGCGCCGTACAGTAGCAAATTGCTCATATCAGACTTTTATGGACGGCAGTTCAACTCAGTGAATGATGTCGTCGTTCACTCGGATGGAAGCATTTGGTTTACAGATCCGATTTATGGTTATGAGCAAGGCTATCGACCGAAACCTGATTTGCCATGTCAGGTTTATAGATTTGATCCCAAGAATAAAAGCATTAGGGCTATTGCGGATGGATTTGGGAGGCCGAATGGTATTAGCTTTTCGCCTGATGAGGAGATCGTGTATATCACTGATACGGACTGGATTCATGGAGATGGAACGACAGATGGTATGAGGCCTTCAAGCATGTAAGAGAACATCTCTCTGAATCATTGTGATATTGCTAATAGGCATAGCTATGCCTTTGACGTCACACATTACTCCGGACAACCCTTCTTGACAAACAGAAGGCTATTCGCCATGGCTGCAGACGGCATCCCTGACGGTATCAAATGCGATATGGAAGGAAATGTGTACAGTGGGTGTGGGGATGGGATCAATGTGTGGAGTCCTGGTGGAGTGTTACTCGGCATCATCAAAATCGAGGGAGGTGCAGCGAATTTCTGTTTTGGCAAGGAAGGCGCGCTTTACATCTTGAACGAGCATAAGTTGTGGAAAGCCCAACTTTCCAAGTCGGTCCGAGGGGCTTTGCTAGAAATATAAACAGGCTACTGTGCTTGCCGAATAATTAACCCGATGTCTTCGGAACGAGTTTTATGTTGGAATTCTTCTTGTGATCTCCATTAAAGCCCCTTGGCCTTCGTGCTGAAATTCTTGGTTGTGGGGTAGACTACTAAATCAGAAAAGGGTTCCCCCACAATTGCCTCGAAACGAGGTGCATTTGCCCTCGAGGCGAGAGTCACCGCCGGTGGGAACGGAGAGCGGGGTCGGATAAACCCCACCAAGACTTTTGACAACACCCTCAAACGCACGTTCCTTGTAAGTTGCAACCCGAAAATAGGCTTTTGAACTACCTCGAGACGAAATTCGTCTTACGAGAATTTCCTCTATTTGAACCAGTACATAGTCTTTCCGCAATCTAGTCCAACCCTCGAGCCTCACCCTCGCCACGTGAAATTCGATGCAGCTTGACCACAGCTCTATGATACGTTGCAAATGATAGAAACTTCCCGGCGACACCCCACTAAGTGAGGTCTCGGCCTGTCGTTTACTTGTCGATCGAGGTAAATGCGGACTTCGCCTCGAGAAATGAGATGGATTGGAAGAGGTATAGATAGATGCGGGGACCCTCCGCGATAAAGTGAGTTCTGTACTTCTTCATTTCAGATAGCACATTTCTCATTACGAACGACGAATCCTCCTTCTATATCACATTCTTACATTCAAGATGGCACCATCAGCAGTAGAAACCGCGGCTACTACAATCCCTGAAGCTGTCTCCACCACACCTCAAGTCCAAACTCAAGTAACCTTAGGAGGAAAGATAATAGCCAGTAAGTCCCTCTACCTCCACTATCTGACGTTATTCTCACATTTTGAAAAGTCACTGGAGCGAATCGAGGAATCGGTCTCGGTATTGCGGAATGCTGTCTCGTCAACGGTGCCGCGAAAGTCTACTCGATCGATATCACTGACCCGGGAGATGAATTCGCGCTCAGCGCCAAGAGATTCCCAGGGAAGATTGGATCTGTCCAAGCAGATGTAACAAAAGAAGACAGCGTTACGGCGGCAGTGGACAAGATTATCGAAGAGAGCGGTGCTTTGCACGGAATGGTCGTGAATGCAGGACGAACAAACCACAAGTCGGCACTTGACTTTACACAAGCTGAGATTGAAGCTTTGTTCAACGTCAACGTACGTCCAAAATTGAATAAAAGATTAAGAGATTTGCTAACATTTGCATCCAGCTCTTCGGTGCCTTCTACTGCGCACGAGTCGCAGCGCGCGCTTTCATCAAGCACAACATCAAAGGCGCAATTGTCTTCACAGCCTCGATGGCCTCCTACCAACCCAACAAGCGCGTCCCATCAACACCATACGGCGACTCAAAAGCCGGCGTACGAAACATGACACACACCTTAGCCATGGAGTGGGCGAAATACGGCATCCGCGTCAACAGCGTCTCGCCAGGTTTGGTCAACACGGCCATGACATATTGGGTACCGCAACAACCGGATTGGGAACAACAATTGAAGTACTATGGTGGATTCCCTAGATTGGCGGAGGTGCAGGAGTTGGGTGGTGCGTATGTGTATCTGTTGAGTGATGCGGCTAGCTATACCACATCGATTGATATCCCTGTCAATGGAGTTATTGGAAGTGAGTAATTGCTCCGTATTATACTTGAGATCTTGCTAACCTTTCTTGTAGTCTGCTAGTGCTAGATAGACAAATTTAGATTTCAAAGGTTCATAATTTATCCTTTTCACGAAGTGTTTGCCACTTTGCAGCTTACCCCGCCATGCACCCCGTGAATGTCTCCTTTGGGTATTGCTCCTCTCTTCTCCCTGGACATGCTTCTACCCATCCAATTCCGCATAATTAACTCTTCATAATATTCTACACCCTTGAAACCTCCAACTTCAATCAAAAAGAGTAATCTCGGCATCGAACCGAAGAAGTAAAACCAAAGTATGCCAAGCTTCGGTTCACAGTCCACCGAACACTCCCACTTTTCAAATCCGACTAAACCCTTCGCCCAACTTTTTCGCAGATCCTTCCCAAGAACAAATGACTAGAGCAAGGCTTCTCCAGGGTCGTGAGCCAAACGCAATGAAATAGCGCGGGGCAGCGGGGTGAGGTGAGGTCTAGTGACTTAGATGTTTGGAAACTAAGCCGACCCAGGATCATGAGGTTTTCATATAAATAACATCCAAGTCCTTTCTTCGCACTTTGGAAGAAATATTGCAGATTCCTATAATCGATTCACGTTTCCTTGTCCCACCATGGCTTCAAGCGCTACCCCGCCCGTGCTCTCTCGAGACGCGGCTCTCGAACATCAACCCAAAAAAGGCACATACCAAATCGTGCTCGCAAATCCATACCTATTTGGCGTCGCATTGGTACTTCCCTCTTCCCATGCCCAAAATTCCTCATTAACAAAATTAACGACAGTTCTCCTCGCTCGGCGGTTTCCTCTTCGGTTATGACCAGGGCGTCGTATCCGGTATCCTAACCATGGAATCATTCGGCGTCGCGTTTCCAAGGACATATCTCGATAGTGGGTTCAAGGGATGGTTTGTGTCGACTTTGTTACTTGGTATGTTTTTCTTTCAAATTGAAGATAGGTGTTGATATGGTGCAGCTGCCTGGTTTGGATCTCTCCTAAATGGCCCAATCGCGGATCGAGTTGGGAGGAGGAAGTCGATTATGTTGGCTATCGTCATCTTCACCATTGGCTCTGCGGTCCAAGCTGGTGCTGTCAGTGTTGCGATGATTTTCGTCGGTAAGTGGAGCGAGTTGCTGATGATACTATTGCAAGAGACTCACGTCAGGACAGGGAGAGCCATTGCGGGTCTAGCGATTGGAATCTTGACTATGGTAGTACCGCTCTACATGGCGGAAGTCTCTCTCCCCGAGATTAGAGGCGGTATCGTAGTTCTTCAACAACGTAAGTCGTCCCTCCTTTTTCTTGGCTTGTCAACCTCACCGGCGTCTCCAGTGGCCATTACGATCGGAATCCTGTTCAGCTTCTGGATTGACTACGGAACGAACCATATTGGCGGAACTCGCTGTGCGCCAAACATCCCCTATACAGGCGGAACAACTGGCTCTCGTACCTTCGATCCAAGGTCCGATGTAGGACCACATGGCTGCACAGGACAAAGCGATGCTTCGTGGCGGGTTCCGTTCTCTCTCCAGATCCTGCCTGGACTTATCCTTGGTATCGGGATGATTTTCTTTCCTGAGTCTCCTCGCGTAAGCTTGTCGTTATTCTGCACATCTTGAACATTAAGCTGATTGGAAAAAGTGGTTAATGAAACAAGACCGGGATGATGATGCTATTGTCGTCTTATCCAAACTAAGGAGACAAGCTCCCGATAATCCGCTTCTGCTCGCCGAGTACGTCGAGATTCGAGCCGAGGTTTCGTTTGAGCAGCAATTCATTCGAGAAACTTATCCGAATGTTTCTGCGCTGAAACTTCAAGGGATACAGGTTAGTTCCCAGATCTTCATTTCTAGGTCAGATGCTGATGAACAGAACAGTACTGGAGTTTGCTTAGCAATAAGTCGAGTTTCAGGCGACTGGCTATTGGTTGTTGCATCATGTTCTTCCAGCAGTTTATAGGCTGTAACGGTGAGTTCTCCGTGTTTTTTTGTGACTTTGAAATCCGACTCAATTTTGCGCAAAACGCGCTTTTTGCGCTGTCAGCGTGAATCGCGCGGATTGCGCGGATTGCTGAAATTGTACTGATATCCAACAGCCATGATCTACTACGCTCCAACTATCTTTGGCCAACTGGGACTTGATGGCAACACCGTATGCCTCCACGCACCCGAAGATCAAACTTTCAACTGACAAGACAATAGACCTCCCTCCTCGCAACTGGCGTCTACGGCATCGTCAACTGCCTCAGCACCCTCCCCGCACTCTTTCTAATCGACAACGTGGGTCGGCGACCCCTCTTGATGTGCGGAGCATTAGGAACGATGATTTCGCTCGTCATTGTAGCGGGTATTATCGGTGCTTATGGTGATGATCTCGTGAACCATAAATCTGCTGGCTGGGCGGGGATTGCATTTATATATATTTATGATATAAATTTTTCGTATTCCTTTGGTAAGTTCTGATCAGAGTGGAAGATGAAGGGAGATGCGCTGATGTGTATAGCTCCCATTGGATGGGTTTTACCTTCTGAGATCTTCAATCTGGCGATCAGGTCGAAAGCTATTTCGATCACGACTTCGACTACTTGGATGTGTAATTTGTAAGCCTCTCTCTCTCCCAGAACTAGAATTCGAAGTAGGTAACAAATGAACAGCATAATCGGTCTCGTAACACCGGATATGTTAGATTCCATCACATGGTAAGCTCCGTTGCCCTCCTCGCTTGAGCCCCCTCGCTTATTTCACTGAACAGGGGCACATATGTTTTCTTCGCCGCATTTGCTCTCATCGCCCTTGTGTTCGTATATTTCCTCGTCCCGGAAACGAGAGGAAAGGTAAATATCCTGGTCTGAAACATACCATGAATCGGAGCTGATATGTAATATAGGCTCTTGAAGACATGGATGCTGTGTTTGGTGATGCGGCTGCGCATGAAGAGAAGCAGAGGATGAGACAGATTGAGGCACAGCTGACCGGACAACATATCCACGCTATTAACAAGGACAAAGTTGTGGATGAGGAGCATGTTGAGTAGGAGTTTGGAAGCGAGATGAAAGAAAGAAATTGAGGACTTGGCAACGCGGATAATGAACATCTAGCGAAGGTGTTGCAATAGCGTACAGCTTGAAAGAAAGCATTGATAGAGACAGAATAGAGCTTTTCTTACTTTTCATAATCACATTTCTTTTCTATGCTAAATCAAGCTTAGACCCCCACCTCGGTTCTTCAAAGCACAAACTTAACACCCAATCTCTCCTTTGTCGCCTCATACAACTTTGGAATCCTAGTTTCCTCGAACTTCTTTCCCTCTACTATCATCTCCACCAAGCCCTTGGACGACAAATGAATCACTGGCATACCATGCCCATTGAACCCAGCAATGATGAACTGGCCTTCTTTACCTGGGACCGCACCAATGTGAGGCAGACTATCCGGCGTATGACCTTGTACTATTCCTCCGTCAGCTTTCATCTCCTCTCATCACAATCAGAGTCAAAAGAAACACTTACTACCAGTCCAAGCCATATCAACTGTCTCCTCATCCTCACCCTTCTTGAAAGTACTGAAATACCTCTCCAAGTACCCTTCAAAATACCCCTCCGCAGGCTTGATCATAGAACTATCATCCCAATCTCCTAACCCACTTCCATCCTCCTTATACGTCCGATTCGCGCCACCCACAACCACACCACCATCGGGTCTCTGAATGAGATAATCGAAACCACCAAGCGGGGGCTCGATAATATAGGTGCTATCCCATCCATTGCCCATCCTCTTCACCTTACCATCCTCGGCAGAAGGCTTGACAACAATATGCGTACAAAGAGCTTTCCTCGGAGCAATGACATCCTTATACTCCGGCAGTAAACCAGCCGTATACCCATTCGTAGCAAAAACCACCTTCTTCGCCCTAACGTCCCCCCTCTCCGTCTCAAACCCCCAATACCCCTCCTCATCCCTCCCCCCACTCTTCAAAACCGCCGTATTAGTCTGTAAATTAACCCCTCTCTTGACACAAATCTCCAACAATCCAGCAAACAACTTATACGGCCACAAATGCGCCACCTCGTGCTGCCAATCCCCAATAACGCCCTTAACACCACTCTGCTTCTCTGCCTCCTCCCCCACAACAACCGTGTAATCCTCCGCCAGATCAGGACATTCAGCGATATATCGCCCCAGAACATCTTTCATGAATTCCACGGTCGCAGGATCTTTCGTCACTGTATGACCTCCTGTCAAAGTGAAATCACACACTATGCCTTCTTTTTCAATAAGCGATTTCATCGCGTCCATATGCGCGATTTCAAATAAAACGATCTCTAGACAGGCTGCGATACCATATTTCTCGATGAGTTCCGGGAACGGAACGCTCGGTCTGAGATGGCCTCCTAATTTTTACCCCTCGCGTCGTCAGCCCCTGAGATAAGCGAGAGTGTGTGAAAGGGGGAGGGGGGACGAACCATTGCGTCCGGTGGCGCCGGAACATATTTCTCGTGCTTCGAGGAGGACGATGGACGGTGGTGGTGAAGAGGAGGAGGAGGTGATGAGGTGGTAGGCGGTACTTATTCCTGCGTAGCCGGCGCCGATGATGAGGATGTCGGTCTTTTGGGGGAGGGAGGCGGTTGAGCGGTGGGTGTCGAGGGGGTGGGGGTTTGTACGCCAGAAGGGGATGGTTGCGTTGGGGACGGGGACGGGGAAGGGGAGGTGGGATTGTGTCATTGTGAAGGGTTTGTGATGGAGGAGTTGGAGTAGTTTGTGGTGGATGTGAAGTAGCAAGATAGAGAGCTAAGGTGGGGTGCAGTACGTAAAGTCAAGCATTTTCTTAGGAGACACACAAGATTTTATATACAGAATGTATATTATGAATCGCACACGTAAGTTGGATATGAAATTGTTTGTGACATACTACCATTGCGAATTGGATGGATGGTTCGTTCAAAGATTACCGTTGCCTTGAACTATTGGCAGGGTCGTTCACGCAATATTTGTGGTTGCCTGAGCTTGATGACAATTCGAGGATTCGGGATCGGGACATCACAGGCTACGGAGGCACTTCCCGTGCTGCTCATGAATATCTTGTCTGCCTACCTAGGTCGGTAGCCTAGGCGCGAGACCACTGCAGGGGAAAGAAAGCGGCGCGGCCTGAACACATCCGGAAGGTGGTTGTCGATCTTGCCACTGACGACTACTCAAGTATTTTGACTTCGTGACTTAACAAGTGCGAGCCTCAACGAACAATAATGAGACACGATATTTTCGTCCGGAATATTAACTTCGACATCAAAGCAAGGCTCTTAGTGATTATATAACAGCCCTATCGCAGTTGTCTCCCAATTCGGACAAAATGATCAACACGGCATGCAAAGATTCCCCGATGTCAAAATCTCATTACCTCGAGCACAGACAGTTCATGCCAAAACCTGGGGAAGATAGTGCGGCTGGATCTCGTTTCGACTATCGCTACCATTGCCGAGCTGGGGTTTGCATTTAGGGTGATGTTTCAACGATGTTCCGTAAATGCTTGACGATAAACTCTGTTTCCGAACTGTGGCTGAGGAATGGTCACGAAATGAACGTAGATTGGATGCCTGGGACAGAAAACAGAAAACAGAAAACAATGGTATTATCGCTGAGAGTATCTTAGCAAACATCGTAAAACATCGAACATATCTTCGTGGTATCCCGTTCCAGTCCCTGCCTGATCCTATCCGCTCGCTGTGCAAAATCCAAACAATGCAACAAACACTGATCTGTCATATCTTCTGTCATAATCATAGCACGTCTCTCTCCCCGCGAGAGACTGCTTATCTTCCATAAATCATTAAGCCCTCTTCGAATACATCTCCACAGCCTCAAACTCAAACGTAGCATGTTCTCTCCCCGCCGCTCCCTGATACCCAATCGCATGCGGCAAGTGCTCGAACAGTAAATCCTTCTTCTCCTCCACTTTATCCTTCTCTTCCTCGCCCAAAATCTCGATCCGCGCAATCTCCTCATACGGATTAACCAGCGTCCATTCCGCTCTCTCAAACCTCCGCTTGACATCAGGACAAAGACCTACGAAGCGGAACTCGACACTCTCGCCTCCATACGCCAGCAAAGTCTTCTTAATCGCTTGTAAGGCAGCAATCCCAGAACTGTCAATAAAAGACGTAGAAGAAAGATATAAAACAACGATTCGCAGACGGGGGATAAACGTATCCGCATTATTGACCCCAGCCCTCTTCCTCAGATCCCGGATATGTTTATCCATCCTCAGATTCCACGGCCGATCCTCTGGCTTCGCTCGCGAAGAAGGGATGCCGGCTTGGTAGGTAAGCACTGTGTCGATTACGTGTCGTTTTATTCTGTCTGCGTTGAGGAACATGCAGTCTGTTTCTAAGCGGACGACTTGTGTTCCTGCGGGGATGCGCTCGTTGTGTGCCCACCAAGGTGGAGTGACGGCGCTGTATGAGGTTTCAAGATCGCTGGCTTTGACTTCTGATGGGCGGGAGAACATGGTTCGTAGTAGGGTGTAAGCGATCATGAATCCGAGCGAGAGGCCGATGCCGATCAGGGCCGTGGCGAGCATGGTGATGTTGAATGCTAGGATGAAATGGACGAAGTCGACGAAGGAAAGTTTCCAGTATTTGTTGATAATGGCTTGAGGGGGCATTTTAGAGATGATGGCGACGATTATTACGGCTGAGACGGTGGCTTGAGGTAGGTATTGGAGGAAGGGCGAGAGGGCGTACATGCTGACTAGGACGGTGGCTGAGGTGAAGAGACCAGCGAGGGGACTTCGAACACCTGAGGCGGCGAGGACTGAGGTTCGTGCGATGTCTCCTCCTCCAACGGGGAGTGCACCAAAGAAGGAATTGACGAGATTGGTAATGCCTAAGGAGAAAAGCTCTTGGCTTTGATTGATCGAGTATTCGTGCTCGTTGCCAAAGGCTTTTGCGAGTGCTACATGCTCTATAGATATCGAGCCGAAGAGGATAGCGCTTGAGAGGAACAAGTTCTGGACAAGCTGTAGGTTGGGTACAGTTGCCGTTGTGATGTTTGTCTTGATTGGTCCTAGAATTGCCCACAGAGGTTCTTGGAGATTTTTGTTGAGAAGGAAGCTGATGAGTGTGTAGATTAGGAGAACGAAAATGGTCCTGCTGTTGCAAACTATCCTCAGTACTTCACTCTTGTGGCCCCATTTGCCACCAACGAATTGTAAGAACGCCAGAATGAGGATCGATGTTCCGCCGATACCAACTGTAATCGGTTTGATATTGCTCAAGGACTTGAGAATAGCAGGCATCACTGCCATAAACGAAGGAGGGATTCCCATCAAACCTAGAATGGTTGGAATCTGTAGTGTTATGGCGACAAAGGATATCCCCATGGTAAATCCAATCGCCATGGGTATCGATACAAAGTCGAATATGAATCCAAGGTTAAATATGCCAAATATCAGAGACCAAATGCCTATACAAAATGATAGCGCCGCTGCAACGAGTACTGGAGGGACTTTGAATTCCTTAAATCCGAGGAGGACTTGGCCAGTCAATATTGCTGTCGTTGATGTTGGTCCGACACTGAGATCTAGAAGTACGTCAGAGCGACTCTGTACAAGCTATACTCCACATACCTCTGGACGTTCCCATAAATGTGTATATGATGCCAGGTAGCCAACTCGCCAGAAGTGCTTGCTGGATCGACACACCCGCAAGTACTGAGTACATCATAGCTTGTGGTATGAGCAGCAATCCTGCCGACTGTCCAGCGATCAGATCGGAGATGAGCCACTTCGGTACGTATGCTGGTATCCATTGCACGATTGGGACTTTGTTGCTGAGATATCTTCCCGTGCCTGCACGGATTCCTCTTGCTCCCAAAACCACACCTCTTCCAAGTCGCACCCAATTTGCATCCTTTCGGAATTTGTCCGCAATCTTCGTGCCCAAACCCATCTTCTAGTCGGAGGTATTCTCCCGTCCTGGCCGTGAGGGATGTGTCGATGGTGCTGAGATAATATATAGATGTTGTAGATGTTGGCCTCGAAGGCGAATCTACTGGATCACCGTGAATACATATAGAACTGAGGTCGCCGAGATGCTGAAGATACTTTCAGAAGTACGATGTTAAACACAACAAAATAGAACAAGAACGATCCAGCCACGAGTCAAATTGAGTTTCACGGCAACTCTCTTCACGCCCCACCATGCAAGCATGGAGATCGTATACATTCGGGAGCTTAAAAAAGGCCCGGATCTCTCCACTACACCTATCCTCAGCCACAAAGATCTTCGTGGGCGCCATTTGAAGGGGTATGTGAAACAGAGAAACAAGCTTCTCCAAGGTTTGAACAAGGGTGAGATCTCGGACAGTGACCTCGCACTCGGACTCGGAAAAGTCAAAATATGCAAACGCGAATCCGACCAGTGAGGAGCAGCAGCAAACGCACAGGTGAGAGGGCTGTTTGCACGGCAGTGCAAAGCCTCAAACGCGTAAGAAACGCGAATCTTGGGATAACTTCATCTGAAGATTCTCGTCAATGGGGAGTGTCAAGAACAGACAATGAAATGAAACGCAGCCGAAGACGGGGCCGTAGAAGTGGTAATGTGATCAAAACTGCTCATGCACTGTGAGAAACTCCGAATCGCTTCACGATCCGATCTTCTCGTACAAGTGAAGTCATCGAAGCTATTCCGATATTCAGGCGGGATGAGCTTGAGTCGTGGTGGAGTATTTTTGGAAGATCGTGTTGCTGATGTGTCGGTGATGGGCTGACATTGAACTTGCTGGCCGGGCCCGCTCGGCAAATTGGCGTGGGAACCCGATGAGGAACGGCCAACACAACATCGGATGCTCTTCAGTCTCTGCCACAAACTCGAGGAGAAGAACCTGAATGGCTCTGAAAAGACAACTGAACCACGACTAGTTCATTTAAGGCTGGAAATTGTCACTGCCGGTGCTTATCTAGATTAATTGTCTGCAGCTGTTACTGCGATCAACAATTCAAGGCTTTGAGCGTGCTCGTTGTGCACGCTCATGACAGTGCTCATTGAGCACGCACACGAGCTGGTGCAGGTACGTCGTTCAATAAACAATCTCTATACCACAATTGCTGACCAAAAGACAGAATGATGAAGATACCGAGATTCGTTTGAATCCATTGCTCTCGATTCTGAGAACAATAGGAAGCTAGTTCTTGTCTTGGGTCCAAGGCCTTTTGACTCCCACTCCTTTATAATTCGACAATGAGGACGGCAAGCTAACAGGGTACACGAAATACATACCTGACCTCCAAGATGCTTTCCACATTCTATGTTGGTTTATACGTCACCAGGTTGCACTCCAAAATCGGTGCTGTCACTACATGTCTTAAAGCAGGAACAATAGCAGGTGAACTTGGGCAAGGCTCGCTGCAATTGTCTCTATCCTTCACCGTCGACTTTGCTCGCTTTCGCACTTCAGCAATTGGGACAAGACTGTTTGGCACGTGTAAGCTGGATGCAACAATCTAGGGGTAGCTAACTGATGTCTACCAATTTGCATTTCCTTGGTGGGACAAAGTAAGAGACAATGAATGCGCCTAGTGTCGCACAGGTTGGATGCAAACATTTCATGATCAATAGCAATCAATTGACTTATCGTGCCATCCAGTGATGAGCTTTTGACTGCGGCTCTGGAGAAATTAAAGAGAGGAGCTGTGGTACTTGGCCAGCTCGGCAAAAAGTCACGCAACACGAGTGCTGGGAGCGAGCAAGATGAGCCTCATATCACATTAACTGTAGCATAAGCAGCAACGTGGAGTTCAGAATACTATTTTCTTTGCTTGGGTCAATGCAATCTGCGATGAGTTGAACGCTCGTCAGCATTTATCCACTGTCATCTTTTTCTCAACAAGCGGTAGATACCTTTCCCGTCCGTACATCATATATACCACTCTCCTGGAGTCTCCATTCTTGGCAGAGCTTTCCTCCTTGCATTGGAAGCCGCAATCCTCAGGAAAAGTTTCTCCATCAGTCTCTAATGTCCGAAAATGCGGGGTTTACCCCTCACTCCGAACATTTCGCTTATGTGCTGCCCCACAACTGTAGTTCGTAGGAATTGAGGCTATCTTCTCTTGGCCTAAGTTCGTCCTTGCCCTGCTGATCCACGTGGATATTTATGTCGGTGGATGTTCTCTTAACCGGTTTTGGTAAAAGTTTTCTCCCCAGGATACACTTTTTATGACGACTCTTGTGGAGGTATAAGTATTGGAACCCTGTTGTTAAACAAATTCTCTTCGAGTCTTGGCACGTTCTCTATCTACCAAATATACAGGCAAGCATATACAATATGTGGTCTACTTGCTTGCTCTCATTCCTCTCTCTTCTTTCACTTGCTCTCTGCAACGATGGACTCGTCGTTCAAACAACAGTCGGCGAGATCCACGGCTTCATCAACGCCAGCTCTCCCCTCGTGCGCCAATTCCTAGGTGTCCCATACGCAGAGCCTCCACTTGGCAACCTGCGATTTGCGCCTCCTCAAACCAAGTCAAACAATGGTTCCATTAACGCCACTACATTTGCACCATCATGCATGCAACAATTTAGCAACAGTTCAACAATCTACACTGTGCAAGTTCCTCAATTTCTGATCAATGGGGGTAATTCGGAAGATTGTCTTTACCTGAATATTTGGGCCCCTGCTTTGAAAACGGAAGCTCCCCAGGAAGTGGCTCTTCCGGTGTTTGTGTATATCCCAGGTGGAGGATTCACGAGTGGTGGTGCGAATTCGATTGCCAAGTTCCCTGATAGGTGGATTCAGAGGACGCAATCCCATATCGTGGTGGTCATGAAGTGAGCAGACATAAAAAATCACCATATGATATAAAAACTGATAAATGCCTTCAGCTATCGACTGAATGTCTTTGGCTACCCGAATGCCAAAGGCCTGACAGATCTCAATCCAGGTCTTCTCGACCAGAGAAAAGCGTAAGTACCATTCCCATCAAGAGAAATGGTATCTCTGACAACTAAAAGCGTCGAATGGGTCCGCGACAATATCGCCTCCTTCGGCGGAGACCCCAAACGCATGACTCTCTGGGGCCAATAAGCCGGTGCTGCATCCGTTGGTATCTACGGCTACGCCTACCCCAACGATCCCATCGTCAGCTCTTTGATCTGTGATTCGGGCTCAGCAAATCTCCTGGGCAGTACCGACACGACGCAATCCAATTTCACATTTCTAGCGGGACTCGTAGGATGCGGCGGTCTCGATGCCCAGCCCGAATTGAGCTGCATGCGAAATGTTTCTGCGGTTTCGATTGAAAATGCGTTGAGCAATTATGCGATTAGTGGGATGAAGCCCGCTATTGCGTTCACGCCGTTTCCGGATAATAAGACGGCGTTTGGGAATACGACGGATAGGGCCGTGAGGGGACTTGTTGCTGATATTGTAAGTTTATTGTTGATATGGAGGGTAAAGAGTTGGTGCTGATTGAATAGCCTGCGATTTTGGGAAGTAATGCGAATGAAGGTGCTGGATTTGTGTCTTATACCCCGAATGGGCCTGGGTCTGCGGCTCTTTTTGCAACGACTGAGAACATTATTGCTTGTCCTCTTGCAGAAGAAGTGAAGTGGGTTTTTATATCTGTGGTAAGTACGTCTTGCTTACAGTCGCAGGACAAGAAACTTGGTTGGATTACCGACATATCGGTACCAATACGCTGGAAACTTTTCAAACATCTCTCCTGTATTTTGGATGGGTGCTTATCACAGCTGTGAGTTTCTGTGTTCGACATCCATCTTAAAACGAATACTAACTCGGCCGCCAAGCTGAATTGCCACTTCTGTTCGGCACTCATGATCAAGTCTTCAAGGGGCCATCAACAGCACTTGAGTACAATGTATCACATGCAATGGAAGGTAAGCTTTTAGTTCTCCTCTATCGAATTCAAGACTTGACGCCTTTTTCCAGCACTCTGGCTTTCATTCGCTTCGAACCCGAGCGGAGGTCCGGCAAGATGGACTGCAGAAACAGGATACTTTGCATGGCCACAGTATCAGCAGAACTCGAGCTCGATGTTACTCTTTGCGCGTGAAGAGACTGTGCAGCAGCTGGTTACTGGCGAGAGGATTGATGGTAATTGTACATTTTGATGGGAATGGGGGAGCTCAACAAAATGGCAAGAAAGTGTATAGCGCGTTGTTGTAAGAAGTTTATTAATTTAGACAACCACCATTAACCAAACTACAACCCTTGAGAGCTGAAGGTATAAGTCGATGTGAAGTTCTCCTTCAGCCTAACAACCACTATTGTACTTGCCAGAACCTCTACTTGATTATTAAAACGTAGCAGAATACTTCGGAAGTTTTCTTTCAACCAGCTCTTCCGCAGGTTCCGAAATTTCATCCAGAACAACATTCTTCGGGCTGCCGTTTTGAGCGACAAACGTCACAAAGTGGTGCCCACCAGCTGAATTCTCACTTATACCAACCCGTGAGCTGGGCGATTCTTCTTTTGACTCTTCGAAAAGATCCCATACATTACCAATAGCGGGACCAGTTTTCGCCAGCTCATGCTCAAAGATATTTGCTGCCAGACCAGCGACCGAGACAATCACTTGTTTCGAATGCGTCTTTCCTAGGCTTGTTTTCCACAGCGACACACCTAAGATGGACCCGTTGAAAATGATAGAGAGCACGATAAGCGTCGCGAGAGTGAACAGCGGCGCCTTTGGAATGCGTGCAACTAGCCTCGTAAATCTTTCCTGCTGATCGATATTGTCTACTTCATCAACGGCAATGGCCGCAAAAGAGAGATAATGTTTATGTAAAGTGTCAATCCAGTTTTCGAGAGCGGAATCAACGTCGTCGGACATCGCTGTTATTGCTGCCCCGCTGGTGAGGAATGGGTCGAAATCCAGCAGGGCGGGCAGGAAGATTGCGTTGGCCATATCTTGATCATCGAGCGGAGTGATGTCCGCCGAGGTGATTGATCCGTTGACGTGCGTATACGTGAATTTGACAAATTCTGTGTTGCAGCCGATGAAGTTACTATATATTACGGATCCCGAGATGGTGTAGTGGAAAGGCAAGCCGTATACACTTGGTTGGATCGGAGAGTCTATTCGCGAGACCGTGTAAAAGGAGTTGGAAGTGTTGTTGACGGTCATAATATCTTGCCAACTTTGATCTCTGAAGAACGATGTGACGACACCGACGTTCCCTTGTGTTACTTCTGTGGCCTGGACAATTGGGTCCGAAGAATATGCTGGGACTCCGACAAACTTTCCACAAATGGCCGATAAAGCGCTTGCTGCCGATCCATTGTCGGTTGGCAGCCAGCACCATTCGTCGATGGACTTGCAGAGCGAGCGAACTGCGAAAGTATTAGCGCGATAGTCGATCTTCCCATGAGGTGAAGCTGGGCCGATGTAGGCCATCCGGTCTTGCCCAACCGTGACGGGTATTATTGCCGTATCGGGATCTCTTCCAGACACAACGGAGGCATACAGAACTGTGTCGGTCAAAACAGGTGTCACATCAGAAAGGATGGGTTCTAAGATGCAACTGTAGTTCTGACCAACTGACATCAAGTATTCGGAGGTGCAGTTCTGCGTGAGGGTACGACCATATGGCTCCAATATATGTTGCGTGTCTGGATCGAGGTAGGAAGATGCGGTTGTAAACGATACAGTGGATGTCTCGATGTGCAACCAAGTATCTGCCACCCAGAGTCCGATTCTGGAAACAGTCAGCGTACAAAGTATAAGCAGAAGCATATGGAGACATCATACCCAAGTAGAGTAGATAACAGTACAACAAAGCCAGTGTCGGAGAGAAATTTGGCCTGTTTCTCTCGACGACGAGAAAATATATAGGAGACATACTCCCACAGAGACCCCAATGTCCCGCTCTTCAGATTGAGGAGCAATGACAACTGGTACGGCGTCAGTAGCTTATCGTATCGAGCGAGCGATGAATGGGATTCCAATTTCTGGCTCTCTCGATACCAGATTAAAGTCGTTAGAAAGCCGGGCAATAGTAGAGCGATGCTGCTAGTCCAAGATGCAACTGTTGTGTACCGAGTTGCGTCGAAGTCAATGTAGAATGCGTTCGGGTCCGAGCCGCTTTCGCTGATTGAGAAATTGGTTTGTGAGCTCACGGATGGCTGTACTCTATAGACCCCTAGCAATGAGACTAGGACTGAAAGCAAAATGAGTAGTGGAGCTATGGCAAGCAATGCCGCCAACACAAAGCTCCGTGGAAATCTGTGGAGGCTATGAGGATTGGCTAAATCGACTTTCCGTGATTTGAGTTGATTGTGTTGAGTGGTTACCACAGATGGCGAGCTCTGTGATAATGGTTCTGAACTTTTGACATCATCCGTAGGAGAAAGAGAGCTGTACGTATGACGCTTCCATCGGTAGCGAACGAGCCAAACGACTAGGGCGATGACAAGAACAGGAATTACAACGCTGAGCACAACTCGCCAAACACCTGATGCGGTACTTGCCTCTCTATCTCCGTATCCAGCCTGTGCGACGAAACTTTTGATAGGAGGCAGTTCTGGCCTCTGATCTTGCTCTCTCAGAGACGTCAACATGACCTCGACCGTATCATTCAGCATGGTGTCAATTGGGTATTTCTCATCCAGGTTGTACAACTCTAGAGAAATGGACCACGACCCATGCGACAACTCGTTGTAGATTGGTGACCACCATTGTGACAGATTTAAGGGGTAGGAGCCGGCAGTGCCTGAGATAATGAAAGTAGCATCGTCGCCAAAGCCTTGATCGTAAAAGTACTGGCCGGTATCCGCAAAATCGAGTGGCGTAGGGTCCGGAGGAACAATTCCTATAGTCGATACTATGAAATTTGCAGGAACCCCGTCGGTTGTCCATGTGAGATTATAAAGCTCATCAACAGATATCACTTCGCCAGAGTGTGGCGAGATAATGTTGAACGCAGAGGTAGCCATGCATAGGCAGAGAAGTGTTAGAACCAAAAGTCGCATTGTCGTTATTTAAACCTGGCCAAGAGTTTCGAAAGGGTTAACAAGCTCCTAACTGCATGCTCCTCCTATATACTCTACAGCTTCACGAGACTAACGCCCACCCACAGGCATTTCTGGAGCCATTTTCCGTTGGAGCAGTGATACCACGGTCCAGAGCCGAATGCCAAGAACGGACAGTTCAGCTTGTGACTCTGTCGCGGGTTATCATTGGACGTCGAACAAACTGATACTTGCGATTTTGCGCCTCAATTGCGGTGCCAAGTCTATCAATCTCAGAAAGGGTGTGTTCGCACGGGATCGAAAACTTTACAGCGAATTGCGAGTTTCTGGTCAAGCGTGGTGGATGCATGTTGTATATTGAATCGTATTGAGGCGTCGGCAACCCATTTCCATGTTAAGCAGGACATCGCTCACGAGGCTGCGGTGGCACAGCATCCTATTGCTCACTGCCGGCTAGGGTCAGCATCCTTTTAAGCCACAACATTAAATAAAGTTTCAACGTCTCAATCCGGACGTGCTGTTACCTCCCGCACGGCAAGTTTGTTGTACATGAGTCTTGTACAAGACTACAAGTAGCTGCATGTCGCAGTTTTGTGCTGATTTTACTGCGGATTCCGAGGGACAATACTTCTCGGTAGCTGAGCGAGCGATTCAGCGATATAGACTGGGTTCCATTGAGAAGCAAAATAGATAATTGTTGAAAGATGATAGTTGAGGTGTTTGACGAGCTGAGACGAGAGTTGCCCATGCTCACATTTCTCGCTAAACCACTTGAAGTCTAGTGGCTGACATGACATCAAGATCGTCCTTAAGAAACTGTGTTGACTGTCTGCAAGTGAGTCTCCAGAGTAGCGCAACAATCAGACTTCATTTATAACTGCTCTAGTTAAAGCAGCTCAAGAAGTGTATAATATCAAGTCTCACCGTTTATCCTCTTCTTGCACTCAGATTTTTCACTCCTCCCAAAGACGAAACCACCAGCTAGTCAACATGGCAACCTCAAGCTCCAACGTGCAGCTAGCACTCACGACTGCCTCCTCACTAATGGGCATCGTCGCGGTCTCCGGTGGTATCTACGGCATGGCCAACCCGCTAGGCTTCTCCTCCACACTCGGCATCCCCATCACATCCTCCACATCGCCAGCACTCCCGTTCGTCTCCTTCGCCGCCGCGAGGAATCTAGGTTCAGGTGTAACGATGCTAGCTCTCCTCGCTACAGGACAGAGGAAAGCTGTTGGTACGGTGTTGCTGTGTGGTACTGTGGTTGCGTGGGGTGATGCTTGGGTTTGCAATAGTTCTGGGGGAAGTGGAGATAAGACGGTTGGGCATGCGGTTGCAGGTGTTATTGCAGCAGCTTTGGGCTGGGGGATGAATTGGGTGTTTTAGGTAGTAGAGGGAAGGGAGGGAGAGAGGGGGTGGTTTTGCTGAAGGGGAAGTGCTGGTCAATCTCTGCTCTTTTTGCGGCTCATAATACCTCTAACTTCTAAAATACTACAGCTATGTATGTAAATGCTATGTTGTTCCTTGCAATCGTGATTGTGTGAAAAGCAGTACGTTAATTAACTTTGATTAGGTAATCATCTTATGACATGCTTTAAGATCATCTCAAAAGTAGCAGATATTCATACCTCTTTGCAGAATCAAGAAACTCAGATCGAGAAACACCTCCAATATCTCCGAATCCTTTCTACGGGGATAGGTGCAACGCCAAGATTGACATCGCGATAAGTCTTTTAAATATCCTACCTGAAGCTACACCGGGTGAAGAAAGTTCAGAAAACCATCAGGGAAGCTTGGCAATGTAAATCAAGATCCAACAAGAATGACAAAAATTTACTTCGCTTCGCTTGCAAGGAGAATCTACCACAAATTATCAGTACGCTAGTGCCGAAAATTTGGATCGCCTGTGAAAATGTGCTAGGAAATATCCTAGTAGAACTATCCGTATGTACGGAGAATTTACAAACTTGTTGTCGGCACGAGTAGCCAGTGTACAGTATATTATAGCATATATCACTCGAAAGTAGACGTTCGTGGTTCAGTGCAAGGACCTTCCTTACGTTGAGACACAATTGGAAGGTAGCTTCTGGCGCCATGTTTTACATGTTTCATTCAGGGGCATGTGTTCGCAGAAGAAATGTGATTATATTCAATAGTGTACTAATCCCTCGTTGAATCTGCTCCCATGTCTCACCGCTGACTAGAGTGGCGCAACGGATACAAAAACTGAGGTCAAGTCTCAATCTTTAATAGGGGCAAAACCCGAGGGCCACTCCCGGAGGTGCGCAATCATTCGCGCCTGTTCCGGGCGCGTAGCAACCTGTTGAAAGAACTTTAGCGTCGAAACTGCCATAGATTTGATAAAGCCTACCATCCTCACACTGACAGTAGTTTCCAACTCCCGCGTCAGGATCAGCTCTGAATCAATGTCTTAGTGAATGGTCTTGAGCGCGGATTCTGGTATGACACTTACGCATTATAGCAAGGGCCGACGTAGGCCAAAGTAACCACACTGAGTGATAGCATTGCAATAGCGATGGAGATTACGTTCTTCATTGTGGATGTTGAAGTACTATAATGGTTGTTGTTAGTACCTGTAAAGCATTTGGGGACTTATATCTTACTGGATGATGCTTTGGAAGTTGATCTTGAGAAATTCTAAGAAGTCTTCGAGGACAAAGGTGTTCGGAAACTAGACTGTGCTGTTGAGAAAAGAAAGTCTTGAAGCTTGTTGGGGTCAACTCTCTATATATAACCGAAGCAAGCTGACTGTGCCATCCAAGACACTACATTAATGCCAATCTAAGCATACCTAGTACGTAAAAGGGTGCCCTCTCACCTCGGTCGTATCGGTCGAAAACGAACGAAAGCGAGGTGCAGTATACGTAGTATCCATAGGGGATTACTTTGAGCTTTCAATAGCACTGAGCCAACGAGCCATGCACATGCATGCAGTGAGCAGTACCAGAAATCACATTTGGCAACAGCTCATCAGCCAGGCCATGTAGTGACAAGCATCGAGCATTCGATATACCTCCGTCTGATCTCCGCTGGCAGCTTAAACCGTCAGCTTCCTCTTACGCACTCGGTGTCCGATTTTGGACAGCTGCCAGACATAAACTTCGTATGGGCAAGGAAACGAAAGTTACGCGTCATCAGATAATCGTGTCGGATGTGGTCATCTCAATTTGCCAGACCTCTCAAATCCACCTAATGTCTGCCTCACTGAGGTCCAGGGCTGGCGTCTCAGGTGGGTGTTGACACCTCTATGAGTCTGCTTTATTTACAAGCTAATTTGACGACTTCATAGCGGCAATCTCAAGACTGGCACTTGAATTTGAGAATTGCCAGCGGTAGTGATTATATTTTGTGTCAGAAATTGGCTTTCAGGATTGGTAGACAACAGGTAGAACCATAAATGTCTACCAGCATTGTTACAGCTTACCTTCATCAACGGCTGCTACATTCTCATGCCAAGTGCAACGACTGAAGTAAGTATGCATGATATCAAGAAGGAGAAGGAGCAAGGGCTTCTGGAATAATAGCCGCTTTGGTCAAAGCACAATACAGGTACTCAGTGAGACAGAGATAAGTGCTTATCATATTTCATGCGGTGACTATAACGAATGTGATTCGAAAATTGCAAACGAGTGCAGAAGTACAAAGAAAATTGCAATGAGCTCGACTTCCACCCGTATTCTTCTTGACATTCCTTCCGCTCCCAAGTTCACTTCCAACACACCGGCTTTTCTGGGATACATGAAAACTAATTTCTGATGATGATGTTGGCAGTAGCTAACGCTCTCCTTCTCACCATCCAGATACTCTTAGTAGCATGTTGTCACGCCATTTGCAATAATGTAGTAACACAAGCCGTTGTTAACGCTGCACTGTTGAGAGGGATCAGTGATCAAATTCAATCCCAAGCTTTGACATTTGTTGCCACAGCGGCTTTGCGAAAAGGAAGTCCATATACTTACTGCAGTTTGGCATTGGGTAGTCTCAGCATCGTTATAATCGTCGTAAAACGTGCAGTTTCCGAGAGCGTTGCCGCTTCCTGTCTGACATTCCTGAGAAAGTTGCTGCTTTAGTAATGTTCAGAGTATAATGAGGGTGGTCATCGTGGGAAAACACGTACACCTTCGATATAAGGCTGCTGTCGCTGGACTAATCCAGATCGTGCGGGAGAAGTCGGCGCTCGTACAACTCTTGACGTTGGGGCTGCTGTGACAGCAGGCAATAGGGAGCTGCCAAGAACGTAAATTGAAAGCGCTAGGAAGGCCTTCATCTTGATGTCTACTGAATTGAATTGAAGGATATTAGAAGAGGTTCCCAATTTGAGTGTGTCTGATGATGCTAAGATGTTGATACTGTAGAGAAGGAGTGATACGGAGGAAAATGTAGGATATCAAGCTTTTTATAGTCGGCCACAGTCAACAAAACAGCTGAAGTCTTTTTACGTGTAAGAGATTGTCCATCCCTGGTCCGCAACGTTTGATTGTGGCATCAATATTGTCTTCTTTGAGTGCACCCGAGGTTGACTGCCAGACTGCTCACTCGGATGGCACAGTACCATGTAGCGCTTGCTGCTGAAAAGGACGATTTATGCAATCAGCAAGACATTCGACACGAAATGTAGCATCATACACAGTGGCACAGTGATCATGCTACAGTTAGTGGTGGACTCAAGGCACAGCGCTTACTTTGGTGGAGGGATGTGAACGCAGTAAAGCCTGTCTCGGACTATACAGACTGCTCACAAACTGTGGGTATAGAACAACTTTCCTATAGAGTATATGCATTAATAGGTGGTAGAGATTTCGGAGCTGTCAAACTTCCATATCCTGTAGATACGTTATAGAAGGGAAGGTTTGTATGGAGGGGAAGTTAATATGGAGCCCCAAGTTTTATGTAATCCTTCTTGCACTTGAAAGACTAGCGCAGCCTATGGATATACCTGTATATCCAGTGTTATTCTGGTCATTCCACCACGCCCCACTAAAGCTCACTCAATCATTCATGGGTCATTCCATACGAGTTAAATTTAGCTGAATCGAGCAAATTCAAAGCCATGTATAATGTTTACTAAAGTTCAAAACTATTAACAAACACTAGAAGATATCAAACGCATTCTCGGGCTCCAAGTAACAATCTCAAACTTTGAAATTGTCAAAACCCAACAAGAAAGTTTAAATATTATGGTGACCACTCCTTCAATCTCCCCACAAGCTGTTGGACTTCCACATTTATAAATAAGCTATTACCGAACCACACCCTCGCGACATTCTTGTTTCCCAACAAAGCCTCCGATTAGCCTGTTCTCGGAACGAGGTACTTCATTAGGTCTACCAGTATCCTTGGTGAGATTTAGTCCAAGGTTTCACAAATGTGCGATGTATGACAACTTATAATCAATATCACCAATGCATACGCACTCAGCAATGCTACTGTAAGAGATCCCGAGCAATATATTGGGCAACAACTTGAATAGCATCAAATAGGAATATGAATTGCGATTATCATGACATAAAGAATGTAACCAAGTGATGAACACACTGCATCCCATACTGGTCTACGGGTACTAACCTGAGGCTCAAGCAACAGAAGACATAAGAATCTGGTGTAGCATCGCATATGCACTTGCTGTGCCAGTTCTGTATGACACACCTCTAAGTCCATAGGAGAATGAAAGCATAGCCCGTTCAGATGGAGAGAAGAAGTATGTTCCTTGGAAGGAATAAGGGTGTTCCAGAAGTAGAAGTATTATCCCAAACAGTAAGCGATTCGCTCGATTCGCTAGTGAGTGCGATAACAATTGGCTATTGAGTACGATAACGATTGGCTGGTCAGATAAAAGAAATATAAGTCTGCGAGCGCTCTCACAGCGGACGAAAAAGCCGAAACTACAGTACGTAATAGAGTAAGACTTTGGCTATCCACTGAATTAATTCTTTCATTTTTGCGGCTTTTTTAAAAATCTGAGACTGAGAGTTGGAACGAAAGTGTTTTTGGCACTTCCTTCATTAGTCCGGGCTTTTTTGTCTACCGCGTCACACTCCAGCGAGAGCGTCTTTGCCCTGTAAGCACTCGCTCCTAGGTGACGTCTTCTTTCGAATACGGATGGGTCTATAGAAAACAGTCTGTAGACAGGCAGCAGAAGTGATGTCAGCCATACCTTTACCAGCTGATTCTCGCCGACATCAGACTGAGGGCGCGTTGCTGCGAGAATTTCGTGAGGGAAAATCAACATGTGGTATGTCAGAGATTTGCAGAGGATCGTGGACGATCAAGAAACAGCATCACAATGTTCTTCTCGATGCTCTTTGTCTCATCTACAGTCATGTATTTTCTCATGATTTCCCTCGCCTAAGAAATAGTTTCATTGAGCACACATGGAAGGGTTATTGATGTCGATATTCGACAGCAAATCTCGCATGCTCTTCATAAAGTGATGTCTTTGATGAACTATCTACTTGAAGCGGTACAAGTATATCTAGCAGAGTATCTATACCATCCAGTCTCAGTATTCAGACCAAACCAAAGCACAACCTCAATGCTGATTCTTCTCATGCATCTTCCTATAATGATTCCTCGAAAGCACCTTCTTACAACCCGGAATTCGACAAGGGAACTCAGCCTTCTCGTGCTTATCTTTACGATGCTTGTTATAATTGTACACCTTCCCGTAGTCGCGATTACAATCGTGGCAGAATGTGTTTCGGGGTGCTCTTGTTGACATGTTGAGAGATCGTGGTGTCGAGTTGCTTGATGAGGAGTGCGCTGTGTTTGATGAAATTGTCAAGGGAGAAAGGGAACTTCCGTAGGTTGGAGACTTCGAAGAAATGTTGGAGTTTGTTCCTTCATTTGAGCGTACGACGTCCATTTCTGTCGCTTCCAGAGCAGTGTGCGAGGAGATTGTCGGATGAACGCTTAACGTGGGTAATGGATTCATCGGTACAATATGTACGAATTGCTTGAATCCAAGATATACTTCTAAGGCGCGGTAATTTTGCTGGACTGAGTAGGTTGAACTCCAGTAAGCTTTTATGGACCGTAGCTGAGACTGTACGTTCTGCGTTGTGAAGGGATCCCAGTGAGATATCTGAATAGGGATTAGCAAGACCATGTTAGTTGGAAGATAGATTATCGTACTAAGGCATGATTAAGTAGGTGATCGATGAGACTGGAGAAACTCGGCATAGATCCTTGGTTGATGGCTACTTCTACACTTGACTTCATTTCTGACAGGTGCTCTGAGCTGAGAACTATACCAGTCTGGAGAATATGTAAGACATGTTGAAAAGCTGCTTGCAGCACGGGCTTTTGCAGGCTTGCTTGATTGTATATAAGAGGAAGGATTGATTCTGAGCCAGTGCTGGGAAGAAGAGACCGTAAGACTGTAAACAATCAGCACGGATTGGTGCAAAGGAACATTGTGGAGTAGACTTACTTATGAAGAACAGAATCATGATACAGAAAATGGCCCCTGACGCAAGCGATTGGAAAACTGGCTCGAACGTCACCACAGGGGTGGGCTGAAGCAGGGAGAACCTCCTCGAAAATTCGTCAGGGTCATCTTCTCGGCACCCAGGTGCCATAAAAGTCGGTGCACGAGCACTTTCTCCATACTCTGTATCCAAGTTCCTCCGACCGCACGTGTGTTTTCCGTGGCTGGCCTTCCAACGACTTTGACTGGCCAGTAGTCCATTTTCTTCAAAATCTCCACTACCTTGGGGATGTAATAATGGCGACATCTTGGCCATCAAGTTCATGGCCATGACCTGGAATAACATGCTTGTAAGCTGATCCACTTCGGGTGGCATGTTAAGATCCGAGTCGCCAGTAAGTGTGACACCCCAGAGGACGAGGGCTGCGCGGCGAAAGTCTTGCAAGCTGCCATCTTCGGAGCTAAAAATCCACTGCCAACGTGCTAAGTCATTTAAGAACTTCGCTTGGGAGTCTGATGATTCGCGATCGCGAAGGCTTAAGACATTAGACATCGACTTCAATATCGTCAAGACCATTACAGTTTCCCCCACCTTTCTGGACACTTGGCCCCGAGTTAGCTTTCGCAGTATGCTCATGCCTACTTTCCAGGCTGGCCGCTTAAGTCTCTCGATGCCGTGTGCCCAGCCAGGTAAGACATGCTCAATTTCAAAGGACGGAGCGAATCCTGAGGCAGGTGGAGTTGTTACCTTCATTATGATTTCAGAGACGTGGGCATGCTCGGTTGCGAACTCAGAATGAAGCTGTCGGAGCAAATGCTCAGATTTCATCTCTTCTGCTGGTGTCAGGGCGAGTTCCTCGAGCGTCTGTATCGCCTGCAGTCGCTTAGCATCACTTGTTGCTGCCTCTGTGCTCAAAACAAAAATTGCATCTTCCAAGCTGGCGCCTTTTGCTAGTAGTAGCCGAATAATCTGGCGAGAGCTGGACTTGGCAGCTGACTTGGCAGCAAGACTTAGTGCTGTGCCTTGAGAAGTTGTCGCGTCCACAGCGGCTCCAGCGGCGAGAAGACAGCGGACAAGTTTCGCATCGCCCCTCACAACAGCAATCGTCAACCCTGTCATACCAAAGTACTGATTCCAAGGGTCGTCTACAATCATATCAAGATCAAACAAGGGCATGACGGCCTCGCCGTAGGTGTTGTGAAACGCGCGGAAATCTTCAAGAATGTGTTTGACTTGGGGTACTGATCCGTTACTGACAGCCGTGAACCAAGCCGCTTCAAGGGAATTGTATTCGCCTTGGAGGTACCTCAGAAGCTTTTTTCGATGGCAAATTTGATCTGTTTCCAGGCTGTCTGTCACTAGATATCTGACTTGAGTAGCAATATCGTTCCAGAATAAAATGACGTGGTCGCCAGGTGAGTAAATAGAGTCTTGGTATGTAGAAGCGTCTTGGTAGGTACATAGAGGAAGTGGTGAGATGTCATTAGATTTCAGTGATGGCATCTCAGTCGAAGCAGTAGCGATGGACTTCTCTGCCTTCAAGTCTCTCAACATGTTGGAAGATGGTGTCTCGGATGAGGTTGCGGGTTCAGGCGGGTCGGCAGCGAACGTTGAAATGATGGAGAGAATCGTCTCTTCGACGTCAGTATCAAGAGAGAGTTTCGAATGTTCATCCGGTAAGAGGATCTCGTTGAAATCTTGCTCGTGCTCGGATTTCGAAGTATCTTCTTCATCCATCGCAGCCTGGACGCCTTGCTCGATAACATCGAGGTCGTTTTCGATCAAACAGGACTCGATAGATTGCCACCTTTCGAGACTGATATATCCATTCACGTACAGCCAGTGGTATCCAAAGCTAGAAAACGGCTCATGATCCCCCAAGAACCCGTCAACAAAAAGGCAAAGCTCATCCCGGAGAGGTCCTACTTCGAGCGACTTCAGAACTGAGGAAAGTTTGTCGTAATATCGGAGAAGGAGTAAGCCATCCAGCGTGTACGTTGTTTGGTTGCCAGGTCCGGGCAGTGGCAGCCACCCATAGACCACGGAGTAAACAGATTCATACAGGTTCCAAGACATGAAGTCTACGTTCATTGTGTCACCAGCCTTGCGGACTGAGAAGATGAAAGCTCCTTCTAGGAGTAGAGGATCAGGGTGGCACTTCCATTCTGAGGACCACTCTCTATAGCTCCGATCGCCAAAGGAGTACCCAGTATACAGGGAAGAGGCTGCATTGAAGGCTACCGCCTCTGTATTCAAGCTTACAAAGTCAGCAATTGTTGGAACTTTGGGTTTATGGTTGCCTACTTCTCGAGCTGTTCCTGTAGAAGAAATCCTTTCAGAGAGCTGCCTTTCCTCGTGCACGGGCAAAATTCCTCGTCATTTTCCTCATGATTTTCATCGATGGAAATCTCAAGAGGGTAAGATGATGAGCTGAGAGGCATTTGCACACCCCCATCAGGCACCTTCCGGTCAGGCTGAAGCCATGTATAATCATTGTAGGAGAAGTAAGAGTGATCCATTGCAAGACGGAGATCGAATACTTTCCGAAAATATTGATTGTCAATAGAGAGGAAAGTTCTCGAGAAGTGTGGGAGTGAGGAGGGAAGATACCCGGAAGATGTTGATGAAGGAAATGAGTGATGCGGCCCGCGCCTCAGCCACAGATTCCTAATGACAGGGGTAAGGCCTGCCGACCCGTCATATGTCGATCGCAAGGTGCGCAAGCAAGCCACAGCGCCCGTGCTTGGATTTAGGAATCGTCAACCATTTATTGGCCAACTTGGATTGGCAAGCACACCCAATCCTGAAACTGATTCAATGGCCTTTTAAGTTGAGTAATGGCATGGTTCGGCTCTTGAAGCCACATCCGATTCCTAATTCCTACCTACCTACGTTTTTCGTGAAAAGAAGAACCCGAAGAGCACGTGACGGATCGATTCCTATTCCCAAGATGTCGGGCTCTGTGGTTGGATTTGGTTATTCTTTGATATCATGGATGATATCGTGACATACCACAGTGTGTGTGTGACTTACCGAGATTCCTAAATCCTAATTTTAAACACGAGATTCTAGTCGAGGTTTCCCACCATGGAGACATATATCTCATGCCTAACGCTTTCAATTCAACGAGAAGGGTCTTGAGTAAAGTTGTCAAACAGTTCCTTGCCATCAAAATAATCTATTGTGCGCTTTTAACTTGCAGGGAGCCCGCAACAGCACCCAAAATGGCGACCTCTTCAAGCTTCAAGCCGATAAAAGCGCAATTTCAGAAGTTCGAAATCCTCAATGGCGGACACCGAAATTTATGCTAACCATTTTCAAGGAAAAGCTACATATCAAGCAGCAGTACCCATTCGCAATCTCGTTTAGACTCCGAATCGGCAAAGACATACTCTACGCAAGCCACTGATGTAGAAGTTGAGTTAGAGACCTCTGCGAGTTATTCGGTTTCTCAGGCGGAAGCACTTCGCGGGATTGGGGCTTGGACGGAGCAATATTCCGGGGAGTACTGTTCATCTCATGACTTCAACATGGAGCTTCGAGAGGACGAAAATAAAGGTTGAGCATCACTGTATACATCAAATGAACAGAGCATCATGAAGGAGATGGCTCTTCTCAGTGAAACTCGCTAAACCCAGGGGGCTCGCTTAGGGCTGTTTAGGCAGTCACAGGCTATTCTTCAGATCTTCAGGCACCGGCAATCATCACTTCACGCAAATGAAACATTGCAATGTAAATTGATTCTCTGCACAACCCAAAAGATTCCCTACCGACTCCTGTTCGATAATGCTAGCAAACGCTCCGATCCCAAAATGCCAAAATCCCATGGATATCAACCGTACGCCGGAACCTGCCAGGTCTTTCTACCCTCCACAATTGGCTCGCCTCTAAGAATATAGCCACCCTTGACAACTAATGACGACGAAATCGTTGTACCGATGCGGGACGATGATGTTTCATCACCCCGCATTATGATAGATCCCTCGAACCCTCGACCCCTCGAACCTCGACGACCCCTCCATCCTGACCCCTCCATCCTGACCCCTCCATCCCAACTACCATTCCGTCGTAATTCGTCGACCTCTAAAGGCCCATTCCTGCAAAGACAATCAGCTTAACTGAACACAAAAGGGCAAATGCAAGTCATAGGAAGAAAACATACCAGCATCATCTCCATCATCATCACCACCATCATTGTTCCCTCCTTTCCGGGGTTTGCCAGCCAAAGAAAGCGGTGTCCTCGAGGCCAAAAGGGCAACTCGACGCACGGCTGCAGAAGCCTGTGCCTTTTCAATGCAAATGTGCGACATAGCGAATAAGGAGGCGTCGATAAGGTACTTAAGGAAGTGGTAGCGGTAGCGATAGCGATAATAAATTTCTGGGTTCTGGCTGTAAGATCTCCAAGCAAGCACAAGATAATGAAGTGAACAAAAAAGAACCAGAAAACCACCAACATCTTGACTATTATATATCAGACACCAGACCCCCAAATCGCGCATCTGCGCGATGTGCCCTCCATCCAAACCAGTCCGCACCGCAAAACCAGCACAAATGACTGAACAATGCCCTTCTGAACGGTCCTCAGTCTCCATACCTCTCCAGGCACCACACTCTAGCTCACCGACGCACCGCCTCCCCTTACCCTGAGCGATGCGCCCTGCCAGGCTAGTCGCGGTACCGAATACCCCATTTCACTTCAAACGTCCCTCAGATGAGGGCGTTGCTAGCTAGCCAGCTAGGGCGAACCATGGGGAGGTTCGCCCAGGGGAGAGGGGCCTGCTGGATCGTGCTTGACTCACGGGTTCACTCACCGAACAGGACGAAGGCTCTTCGCCCTCTCACTGGGCGCTGGGGCCGCGCCCTGATCTTCGGGGCAGAGAGATACAGCATCGTTTTGAGATGAGGGACTTTTTCTAGGTGCGAATGTTGAGATGGGATTGTGAAACATTTAATGGTGGCAAGAAAGGACACACGAGCCCTGGGCTCCGGCGGTTCCTGCATGAGTTACAGTAGGGCTTGCCGAGAGCGATCTCGCCGCTGTGTGCCACAATCGCGGGGAAATTTTGGGTTGGCTTGATTACTGGTGCGAGGAGAGTGAGTTGAGACGGAGTGAGGAAGTCAAGCGATTGGATTTATTTTACGAATGAGGTGAACACAAACAGAAGATTCAAAATTTCATCCTGAGAATAATTGTAAAACCAGCTGATTATCCTGTGTGAGGCCTGGCGCCTTATTTTCCAAATCCATTTTGGCCTATGCAGATTTGATGACAGGCTTTCAGCCCTACGAGATCTAAGAACGCCATGGGAAAAAATGCCTCATGCATGCAATTACATCTCTACAACACATCGTTCAAAATGACAGAAACGAAGTTCTCCTTCTCCTTGCCGTTGCCTACGACAAGCGATCCTACATCACAAGTCAGCAAGTCTGCCATACAAATCAGATGCCAGAAAACTTACCCAGGCCTTTCAGCATCTCCCCTAGGTATCCAATCTCGCTCGCTATGCCGCAGATACTCGCTCGAACTCTGTTGAATACCTGCGTGCGCATATCTGTCTCGTATCTTGTGACGTCTCGGTCGTCCACCACAACCTTTTGATTGATCTTGCTCGCGAACTTGGCGAATTGTCGGCTTGCGCTCTGGGCCAGCTCTAGCACGATTGCGACTAGAAGCGCGATGGCTACCTTCACTTCCGCTGTGAGGTTCAAGTTACATTCCAAGTAACAGAAAATCGCATGTAATAATTCGTGCTGGAGGTAGTGAATGCTGGCCTTGATCTGCCGCGTAAGAAGCTTTGGACCAAGAGGAGAAATGTGGGGATTCTCGACGGACACAGGTTGTGGATGGATGAGCTGGCGGAGAGGTTCGGGGATGCTTTGGACTCTTGGAACATTTGTCAAAAGGGTTGTGGTCATCAGAAGTTTGAGTGTGGCTCGAGAGGTGCGATGTTCTCCTTCGGAAATCTAAAGGAGGTATTAGTACCTGCGAAAACTAGAGCTATCAAGCTGGAAGGGGGCATAGAAGAAGAAAAGACTTACATCGTTCTTAGATGCTTGGTACCACTGAACTATACATCTCAAAATCTTCACAGCAGGATCGCCCTTCTTCTTGCGTTCCACGAGTTCCACATACTCCCTGAGCCCAGACTCCGAGTCGATAAGTGTCTCAAGCCACGCATCGATGTCTCCAGCATGTGACTCGGCCTCGAAAAGATTGACGACTATTGGTAGCGACTCTTGCATGTGAAGTGGCTCGTCATCTTTGAACTTTTGGAAACTCCGCAAGGCCTCCTTCTTGTTGGGTATAAAGGCACAGACTTGGTAAGGTATCGGCGGTCCGAACCCAAGTGATAAATCGATGGCATACTCGGCAAGTTGATTGAGACTATTCGGAGCTATGAGTTCGCGTTGGAAAATATCGAGGGAGTTGATAGTGAGATGGGAGAAGAAAGGCTCTGAAGATGACAAATATCAGGTACTGTTCAAATATAATAGGGAGGAATAACATACGTGGGTAGAACAGAGAGGTCAATGTCTCAGGTGAGAACTGAGAGCAGCCCAATCCACGGCAGATCTGAGAACATTCCACACTGATTTCGTAGTGGTCCGATGTCCGTCTACTTCGCGAATCGGATCTATCCTCAGAAGAACTGGTTCCTGAAACCAGTCCATCAATATCTTCTGAATCCCGGTTCGCTAGTATTGCTTTCTTTTTCTTCTTATGAACCTTGCTGTCGTGTCTCGCTTTGTACACACCCGTCTTCGAGTGATAGAGATTGTACACTCGACCCGCAGACGGCGCGACAATACTACTGCCCCAGCTGAGTTCTACCTCCTGTGTTCCTGGTGTCCATGGCTCTTCGCTCCCTCGAGTCTGCAGATTGGCATATTCGCGGAGTTGTCCGATCCCCCCGTTCAGGATGTCTTCCCGGGCGTCAATCTCGTCTTCGTCATTGGAGACCGATTCGACATAATGTTCATCTGGTCCTTCGTGTGGAAGTAAGCTTTCTCATCCGCAATACAAGAGCAGCCTTATCGACGTACCTGATGTCAGCAGCCCATACAGTGCCTCCACAATCGGTATCACAACGATCTGGTCTTCGAAATCCTGGTCCGTAACAAAGACCTCATCTGCCGCTGCATCTGAAGTTGCGTCACTAGTTGGAGGGGTTCCCAACGCCCCAGCCGCATCTACGCCATTCGGCTCCGCACTTGAGTCGCTCTCCTGAGACTCATCTGCCTCGCTGGAGGAGAGACTACTCGGCCTTGAGATATGGCGAGGAGGCGATGCAGCGGCTGAAGCTGGCGGTGTTCCCAGGGCAAGATTTTCCAGGATCGGATCGAAATGACTTGATGATGATGCCCAAGAACTAGATTCTCTTGCCTTGCGAGGGGCTGAGAAGTAAGGCGTCACGCCCAAGAACGATGCAGTGGATGGATGTGACAATAGCACGCTGCCTGTCGAACATGTTGATAGTCTACTCGCGAAAGAGCTCCAGGAGTATGACGTTCGGCCGGTGTCAGATGGGGTAACTCGTCGCTCAGAGAGTTGACTCCCTAGTCGGCGAGACTGAGCTGAACGGCGGCGGCCTTGGGAAGAGTCACTAGATATGATATCGCTGGCAGATGAGCTCCCAAGAAAGACCTCCTCAGGCTCACTCGAATAGTTACCCTCGTCAAACATAGTGCCCGATCCCAAAAGAGAAAGGCGATGGCTACCGTCGAGTAGGGGTGCCGGGCGTCCCTGGAGCAAGGCTTTTGCTTATCGGTTGGCGGTGGCTTTCTTGGGCTGAATGCAAAGGTCTGGCCGAGCAGTGGTCGGTCTGCGAAAGGAGGCAGGAAGGTGATGGTGTTGATACGTCTGCCTAGGCAATACTAGGTCTGTTGAAGAATGACTCTGCCTTTGGCGACTTGGGAGAAAGTGAAGAGGAGCAAGTTTGGCCGGAGCTGACGGCCTTAACGTTACTTACATCACTCAGCCACCATCCCCTGCCGAGAAAAAAAAGGAACGAGAGACTGCAACGGCTTCACGGGGAAGCGATGCAGAAGTACGATACATCGATGCAAGATACTTTGAACAATCCATTTTTGACTACTTCGATTTCTTTGAAGGTTAAGATATTTAGTTTAGAAGGATAACACCAGTATAATATAGTGTTTGCCTCGGTCATGCTTTGCGGGAACTACGGGATGTCCACTTCGAAAGTTCAGCCAATCGATCAGGGGTACGTACCCTTAGTCAGCATCCGGTCATTTCCCCTGATGTCTCTCCTTTCTCAGATAAGTTTGATATCATATGAATCAAGATGCAAAAATAGAAACCAAAATTGCTTTCTTTCTCAGATCTATATCATAGAAATTACTAGTAGAAAATATATATTTCTTTGGAGTGTCTATATCATCTGGAGCCATAGACCGATGAGTTCGTGCACTTTCACGATAGTCACAGCAGGGTCTAGGTCGTGGTACATCCTTGACCAGTTGTTTTCTTTTTATGGCACCGGGCCGGAAAGTGGACTTCGATACGGACCTTATTTCGCAGCATGATCCTTGTACCTGTATAGCAAGCCTTAAAAGATTTGAGATCAAGCCACTATAACTACAATTCGGTTTCTCTGCTTCTTCCTTTTCTGCAAACCCAAAACCGTCAATTTACATCAAATATCAACCACAGATCTAGACCTTACTGATATGCTGGACTCCAACCTCCCCATCCTTCTCCATCGAGCTATCAATTTCCTCACCACTCATTTCACCAGCGCGTCTCCGGATCAAAGCTGTCAAACCAACCCTCTCCTGTACTAATGCAAAAGCCGCCAAATCTTCAGTGGCAGTGTGACTTCCAAACACTTGATCCATTTCTTCCAACGTCTTTCCCTTAGTCTCAGGCATACACAACCAGATGAAATTTCCTCCCGCGGCAGACCACACAGCGAAGAATACATAAGTTCCCCAACCGATGCCAGTCAGCATTGGGGGAACGACAAACACGATGACGAAGTTGTTCATCCAGTTTGCTGAGGCGCCGATCGAGGTACCCTTCGCACGGATGGAAATGGGGAAGATCTCTGCGATGAGAATCCAGGATCCTGGTCCCCAAGAATATGCGAAATTGACGATGTAGAGCCAGACGAAGACTGTTCAATGTTAATCGGTGTTACGGGCTGATACAATGAGTCAAAGTAACAAGCTATGTGTATTACAAAAAGAACTAGTTAAGGAAAGAAGGATTCTCCCCGGAGAAATCCTTTTGTGAGGGCGCCAAGGCCCGAGCGTCTGCTCACGTGACGGCTATGCCCATTTAGGGGCATAGCCACAGAATGGGTTCAACCCATCACAATCGGGATCGAGCGTGTGAGAGGAGGGGAACGTACCAACGGCAGCCCAGCCAGCAGCTGAATGAGCAGCCCAATCGTGGCCGCATGTAGCAACGATAACACCAATGATGAGTTCGCAAATAGCCATACCAGCTGAACCGGTCATCATCAAGGGCTTGCGTCCAACTCGGTCAATGACATAGATTGCTGGAATGGTAGTCATAACGTTGATGATACCAATGACTCCTGATGCAAGGAGGGATATGGTACTGCTGGTCAAGCCGAGAGATTGGAAGATCACAGAAGCGTAGTAGATGACTGGTCTCTTGTTAGTGCAAATTTGAGGGCCATGGAGATGATGTGCTTACTCGAGTCAATACCAGTCCATTGTTGGAAGAACATAACCAAACTTGCAAGAGCAACACGCTTGAAGTTATCCTTGGAGCGGAAAATATTGCTATACTGCGCGAACTCTCGTCTCCAGACGCTGTTTCCAGTAGATTTCGCCAATGAGGGAAATCGCTTGTCGAAAATTTCTCGCTCGAATTCAGCATCTGATTTGATCTCCAAGAACTCGACTTGGACTAGATAGTGATCTTCGGGAAGATTCCGAAGATATGATAGCGTCTTGAGGGCTTCTTCGTCTTTGCCTTTGTTGACGAGGAGGCGGAGTGAGTATGGCATGAAGAAGAGACCGATGCAGAGGACGACTGCTGGAATGCCTTGAATGATCATGGGTAGACGCCAAGCCAGGGCGGATTGCCCATCGCCTGTACCACCAATGTAATTGCTTCCAAACTAAAAGATATTAGGCGATAACTCAAAACTCAACCATGAATCGAGACTTACTGCACACCAATATGCGAGCATGATACCGATTGTAGTCGTGAGTTGTTGTAGTGCGATCAAGAAACTACGCATTTCTGGTGGAGATAATTCTGCGTTGTACAAAGGACTATTCGACACTTCGTCAGCTTTGCAACAACAAAATTCGCATCAAACTTACCCGGTGGCAGACAAAGTTCCAACACCAAGACCAGTGAATAGTCTTCCAGCGTACAGATACGTAGTTGAGTGAGCACCAGCTGCAAGGAAAGAACCGAGAACGACCCAGAGTGCTCCAGCGAACATGGTATGCTTTCTCGAGAACACTTCACCGAAAATACCAGCTGAGAGAGATCCGACCCAACCGCCAAGTTGAAGAACAGACGTGAGCCATCCAAGCTTGGAAGAGCTGTTATGGATTTCAGGGAAGTCTCTGATGAAAGAATTCATCACGACTGCTTGGCCAAGAACACCTTGCTGGTAACCATAAAGTAGACCACCAAATCTGTGACGTGTTAATGGGATATGGATGGAAAGTATTAGGATGACTTACGAGGCAAACATGGCGATGAAGAATACTTTCTTGTTCTTCATCAGTCCCTTCACTCCGGTATTGCCCATTTCAGCTCGCACCATGGCGGTGACGCCCTGAAGATTTTCGCCGCTGGCCATGATGAAGGCTGGCTATCGATGTAAGAACCAGTGTACAATATTGAAGATATTCCAGGAGCACTTTGACTTCGCAATTGATGTTCGAGAAGGAATGATCAGCAGAAATATAGATCAGACCAAGAGAGACCGGGCAATATATAATAACTCCAGCGGAACAAGGTATCGGTATGCGTCCTTAGAGACGTCTGTATCGCCGTCTCTGGGGTTTCCCATGCCGGGAGAGAACTTAATTCATACAACCCCGCAAATGAGAATCTAGGACGGGAAACCCTGGTGGGAGCGAATGACTCGTAAGCATCTGGCCTGGGGAAGACACCCTTTACATCATCATGGGTTGCAATATCAGGTGGAAAGAGGGAATACAGACGACGATGCGCAACTGGAAACAGGTTGTTGGGATGGTTTGGAGGGAAGTGGCTTGCTGGTGGCGTCCCCCAGATTCCCCAGAATGGGCTTTTGTTGTCTCGTGTCGAGACATCCTCCCCGCCTGCCCGCTTCCGGGGTGGGGACGATCGCGTGTCTCGGCTCGGGGACACGATACATCGATTCGAGGCAACATGAGTTCATGCGGGGACGTTGTTTAACGAGATGAAGAATAACGGTAAGTTTGGTAGGCAATTGGTCTAGATGTGGGGTAGAAAGAGAAACGTTAACGAGCTCGCCTCGTGCCGGACTCGAAACCAACCAAACCATCATGTGATAGCGCGACCTCAACGACTCAATCATTGAAATTCTGTTAAAGAAAAGATTTGCTCTGATTCAATATTCTCCAAAGATACGCAAAAATGGCGCCAAATCCCGATTGGAAAGCAACAAACACAACAATCCAAATCCTGAAGGCCGCCGAAGAAGGAAAATATGGCGTCCTCGCAACTGTCGCGTACAACATCGAGCACATCCTCGGCATGGTACGAGCAGCAGAAAAAGCTCGCTCACCTCTCATAATCCAATTCTTCCCATGGGCAATCACGTTCTCAGATGGACTCCTAATACGATCTGCAGCAGACTATGCCAAGCGAGCGAAGGTCCCAGTAGCGATACATCTCGACCATGCTCAGGATGAGAAGATGATACGGTTGGCAGCGGATACCCTACCATTTGATAGTATTATGGTCGATATGTCGCATTTTGAGAAAGAGGAGAATTTGGCGAAGACCAAGGCTTTGATGAAGTATTGTCATGAGAGGGGAGTTGCTGCCGAGGCAGAGCCAGGCAGGATCGAGGGCGGAGAAGATGGCGTGATGGATACAGAGGGGTTGGAAGGCAGTAAGACGACGATGGAAGAAGTTGATGATTTTGTGGCTACTGGTGTTGATGCTCTGGCTCCGGCAATTGGGAACATGCACGGAGAAGACCCATATGGTTCGACAGGACCGCAACTAGATTTCGAAAGGTGAGAACACTTGTGTTGAATTTCGGCCTATGCTTATTTCTATCGTGTAGGCTCAAGCAGATTCGAGCTCAAATAAATGGTAGAGTTCGGATTGCTCTTCACGGGACCAACACCTTCGAACCGGAGTTGATGAAGGAATGCATTGCTCAAGGGGTCTCCAAGATAAACGTCAACAGGTTATGCCTGGATGGTTATATGGACCACAAGAAGAGTTACGCTGGAAAATTGACGCATACGAAACTGATGGAGCAGGGAGTAGAAAAGGTAATTGAAGACACCGTGCGGTGGATGGAGATTTGTGGTTCGGCGGGAAAGGCATAGACAAAATAGATCTTTGATCAATTACCTAACGTCTACTTTGAATCCAGTGTCTTCATTTAAATGTAAATGATGTCTCCTACGATGTTGGCGTGTGAATTCCCTGGTCAGTTACCCGAACAAAGAGCGATTCAGGGGCCAACTCGCTAATTTTTTTACGCCAAATCTCAACGTCTGAAGACAAGGAGGTAGACAATTGGGAACAGATTATTCTACTGGATTTCTATACAGCGTAATTCTAGACCGTTTGAAAGTGGAAGCAAGGAAGAAGATTCAAATGGCCATACGCATGCCACCATTCGCGCAAACAACCTGCCCCGTACACCAGCCACTGTCTTCGGAGCAAAGCATTGCCACAATCCCAGCAACCTCATGAGCATACGCTGGTCACCCACCAACGAAACTTGCATCTCGAACCAAGTCCTCCTCGTCAACACCCTCGCGTACGGCAGCCAAAGGGGAATGCGAAGTCCACGGCCTCAGCCCACCACGATGCTCAGGCGGCATCCGATCCCACATGTCTGTTTTCACAGGACCTGGATTAATCGCATTGACGGTACAACGCTCCGCTAACTCTCTTGCCCATGTTCTCGTCATTGCTTCGAGTGCGGCTTTTGTCCCGCCGTAGACGGACTGGCCAGTAAATCCTTCTGTTGAAGATATGGATGAGAGGTTCACTATCCGGCCACTCCTGTCGGGTAGCAGATATGGCAAAACAGCTTGCATTAACAACAAAGGGCCTAGGACATTGATTCGATACATCCTTTCGAATTCTTCGACCTTGAATTCCTCAATGGTCGCATTGCTTGCAACGCCAGCATTGTTGATTACGATGTCAATTTGAAAAGGCTGGCTTGAAGTATGATTGAAATGACTCTTGATTGCTTCAACGAGGGAAGCCGGGCCAAAAGGAGTGCCGATATCTGCTTTGACGGATAGACACTTGACAGGGTATTGAGATTCGAGCTCTTTCCGTAATGCTTCGCAATGAGCGGCTGAGCTATCTGAGGTGAAGTTAAGTGCTATAGAAGATCCTTTGGAAGCCAAGTTGCGCGCTATCGCTGCACCAATGCCTTTCAAATCCTGTCAGCGAAAGAGTCATGTATCGAGGATTTTGATTATGGGTACAGTACCTCTTGAAGCGCCAGTAATGAGAGCCAACTTGCCTTCAAGAGGCAGTCGAGTAGAAGTATGCTGCAAAACTGTTGAGGCCACGCCGAGGCACGAGTTCAGGTTTGGGCTTTTCATTTTGTGACGCCTTGAGGAAAAGTATAGCTGAAGTGTTCAGCCAGAGCACTGCCCAAACTTGCAGAATGAAAGTTTGATGAGCAGATTGGGAAAAGCCGCGGGGCGGAATGAATCTTGCTCTCATGAAACTCATTCCTGTTCAAATTCTCATCTTGAGGTAGCCTTTCGAGGAGCCATTGTCTTTATTTGCCAACTAGATTTGCTCTTTCAAAGAGTCTCTCGCATTTCAGGCTTTTTTACGGAGATGGACTCTTGCTTGATGGGTGTGACGATGTCTCGAATGTGAGTAACGCGCCGCGTGCCGCAACTTCGTTGCTGTATGTCCTCGAGCCGATGTTACTGATGAAAAGGAACATCGGTCCGAAGTAGTGATAGCGGAATGCTCCGCGTCAGCCGCCACTTCTTTAGGTGGCTTTCTGCGAACTTGCCATCAAGTCGCAAAGGAGAGGAAGAAGACTCTCCCAGCTTAATGCCTCAGGCATCAATCGGCTCGAGGGCAATCTCCAGTTCTTCGTTCCGCTCCCCATTCCCCACTCTCCATTTCTCATCCACAGCTTGTTGCCTCGACACGAGGACATTTCCGCCGTTGCATGCCCCGGATCATACCCACGATGGCGGGGCTGCTTTTAGTGGAGCCGGCGTGTCTGAGGAAAAGTCAATATTTTAATTCCTTCCATCATGGTTGTTTCTGTCGGACATTCTTGAGGTGAGCAGGTGTTGAGGATAATGTCTTCTATTATTCAACATACACGTCTACTTCCACGTCTACAATCTGCTCACTTCTCGAACCACTTCAAACTCCTACCCCGAAAGTATACGACAACAGCCCGCAACATGGCACCTGCGCGTTAGCGGATACTGGAAGGCAAAGTGGCAGCAATTACTGGTGGAACGACGGGCATTGGACGTGCCATTGCGTTGGAATATCTGCGGCAGGGCTGCAATGTTGCGATCAACCACTTAGGCCTGCCGAAGGACGAGGTCCACAAAGACAGCTTGCTAGAAGAAGCAGCTGCTTTAAAGGCGGAGAAAGTAGAAGGCGAGACGACTTCTAAGGCAGGCGACCTTTTGGAAGTGGTTGGAGATGTCACAAAGTCAGACACTGGCACAATACTTGTGGAAAAGGCTGTGGAGAAGTGGGGAAAGCTTGATGTATTCGTGGCCAATGCTGGAGTCTTTGAGCCTGCCGATTTCCTCACGTATGCTCCTCAGAATACATTCAGAAAACAATGCTGATATATGCCTGTAGTCTCGACCACGAGCTCTTCGATCGAACCATTCGTATCAATGTCAATGGATGTTTCTACACATGTCAGGCTGCTGCAAGGCAGATGGTCAAGCAAGGCCACGGTGGCAGTATAATTGCTATATCTTCCATAAGTGCTCTTCTTGGTGGAGGCTTACAAACACATTATACTCCTATGAAGGCAGCTGTTCTGTCTATGATTCAATCGATGGCTATTTCTATGGGGAGGCACAATTTCAGGTGTAATGCCATCCTGCCGGGTACCATCAAGACCCAATTGAGTGAGGACGACATGAAGAATGATGAGAAGCGGACCTACTTGGAGCAACGGATACCAATGGGTCGGGTAGGAGATACAAAGGATATTGCTGGGCCGGCTCTATTTCTTGCTAGTGAGGAGCTTAGTCCATACTGCAACGGCACACAACTTTTGTCGGATGGTGGCATGTATGTTCACTTGCAATAATGAAATGCAAAGTTCTGAATCGTGGTTAATGTTTCTCTACTCAATTAACTTTGGCGGTGTGAAACTATGCATTGACTCTGATAATCGCGAGTTTGAGATGCTATCAGAACCCAAGACCAGAATCAAGTGTATGACCGTCGAGAGTTGTTAGATACGTATATGATCTACGATGCTGACTTTAGACAAATCTACCAAACGATTCAATGGAGATAATGCTTCCATGATAGCTTCTAGAACTGACTTTAATTGCGACGGTGCTGTGGCATCCCAATCCCCGCTTCCCCAGAAAGTCTAAATGGAGGCCAAAGCATTTTCAGCACACTTTGTCCTTGTCTCGAAATCTTCCCGTTCATCGCAAGAATCCAGCAGAACGTATCCAGATGACAAGAACGAAGGATTGTGTCATTCATGAGCGTCTTCCTTCATAAACAATGGCCTTGACTCCTGAGTTCGTGCTCTACCCGTGTGCTCACCGGCTACTCCGAGTTTGGCCAAGATCCAGAGGTGGAGAAACTCTATTTTGATCACTTGACTAACGAACATCCATCTTCTAGATATTCTCCTGGGCAGCAACTCAATGATTTCCTTCAAAGAGGACAATCGGCCTCTCCTTTCTCTTCGGCTCTCAGTATGGTCGACGAAGAGCGACCCACGACACCGCGAAAGCCTCGGAATCGCCAGTCGCGGGGGAAGGGGCTGCGAAAAACCACAGGATGGTGAAACTCTGCTCATCTTTCTTGTCTCGAATCACGGGAACTGATATTTTGATAGCATCACGTGTCGTAGAAGACATGTCAAATGCGGAGAAGAACAACCTTACTGCAAGTGAACCCTTTGCCAGAATATTGCTCCTCGAATGCTTGATTTGCTACAAAAAGCATGGCATCACTCTTGTCAATCGCATATTTGATCTTTAGTCCATTTCTAGTAAGATGAGGTCTACTGACTCGGTCATTAGGTCATCGCTGTCTGAAGGCAAATCAGACTTGTATCTATTGTGATCCCCACAAACCTCATGTGTCGGCTCGTCAGGAATCCAGGCTGGCAACCACTCCAACGGCCGAGCTACCACGACTTCCATCTATCCCGCAATGGCATAACTCACCAGAACATATCGTTCGCTATCCACCGCCACCACCAGTAACATCAGATAATACATCGGTTACTTCTATTCCTGGACCTCCTTATATACCAACACCACGCAATCGACAGAACTTCTCAGGAACCAGTCAATCGAATGAGTACTCACTAAACGGTCCGACCAACATGACTCCAGAGGCTACCAATCAACAAGTAATGTCACCGGAAATGTCAACTTATGCAGCGACTGCATTTTCTCTTGGGAGTAATGACAGCCTTGTGCCCCGCTCTGCTTCCTCTCAGCCCACTTTTAACGTTGCAATCACAAGATGGTTCGATATGCTTGTTGGAGATTCCGCTTTTGAGAGTGCTGTACCTGACATCGACGGCATTGTTGAGGGGCGCAGCAGCGTTGATACACCTCGGGAACCGGAGAGAGCTACTATTCCCTTCATCGCTTCACTCCGCGGAACACCTGAAGGAAGTGGAGCGGCTGCTGCGTCACCCATATCCACAAGCCCTCAACTATTAGAACGCAGTGCTCCGGGCTTCGACTCCAATGCGCTTGCTGAGAAGCTTCGTTGGCAATCCAGCATTATAGAGCTGCTTCCATATGAGCACTTTATTTTCAGCAATTTCGTCCAGCGCATCAGCCCGATGATGGATCTGTTCGACCCCACGCAGAATTTCTCCGCTTTCGTACCCCACCTAGCAATGCGCAATGCTGGGCTTATGAAAGCTATTCTTGCTCTTTCGGCGAGACACATCTCTCTCGTTCCGTCCGTAGCAGCAGAGCAGAGCCATGACCGAAACGATGCATTGCAATACTACAATGAGACTCTACACTATCTTTCCAAGGCTATGCAATATGACACCTTCAAGACCAGCCTCGAGTTGTTAGCAACAGTACTGATTATCTCGACCCATGAAATGCTCGATGGTTCCGGGAAAGACTGGGAGCGCCATTTACAGGGAGTTTTCTGGATTCAAAGATCTCAGGTTATCCATGGTGATTCGAAAGGCTTGAGAGCGGCTGTCTGGTGGGCCTGGCTCTGTCAAGATGTTTGGGCTGCTTTCAGGGAAAAGCGGAAAACATTCACTTTCTGGAAACCGACTCGAAATTTTACCGAAATGAGCCCGCATGAAATGGCAGCTCGATCAGTATACATCATTGCAAAAGTGGTCAACTATTGCTCTAAAGAGGAAACCGAGGCTGGCGATATTGCAGCTCGAATCGAGAGGGCAAATCAGCTGCAAGCAATGCTAGAAGAATGGGAGCGGTATCTAACTGTTGAGTTTACTCCTTTACCTTACCGAGGCGACGTATCTTCAACGGCCTTCCAACCTATCTGGATTCACCCTCCAGCCTTTGGTTAGTGATATTCTATCAGTCATATCAAGTAGGACCTTCACTAATGATACCGTAGCTGTGGCCGTGCAGCTTCATTATTCTGCACGTCTGCTGCTCTTGCTCAATAAGCCATCTAGAGGTGGCTTTGGTGGATATTTAGAACAGAGCCGGATGATTTCTAAATATGTCAACAACATCTGTGGCATTGCGCTCACATTGACAGATCACGCTTCGAGCGTGATGAGTTCTCAATGCTTATACATAGGTAGGTAATCAAACTCAAACTAAGATCTTGCAACGATGACTGATTTGTTTGTAGCGGGGATGTGCGTCCAGGACACTCGACAACGAGAAACTGTTCTCAGCATGCTAGAATCTTGTCGACAGCGAACTGGATGGCCATTGCGATCTTTGGGCGAGGAGCTGCAAGCCTTTTGGGAGTCTTCTGAAGGCTTTCCAAACGGCTGAGTATCGGATTTAGCGTCGTTCATTTGGAAGACGTTTTAGTCTGAAGCAATCACCGTCAAACCTACCTCTAGGTAGGTAGGCTGCCAACCTGGAAGGTTCGATACTCATGTGACGAGGTCAGATGTGTGTTTCGGGGTGGAGCAGTTGTCTTCTAAAGACACAATGCTTCCTTTGAAGTGGCGAATCTCGGACCCGTAATATTTCCTCTTCGCTCCAACAATTCTCATATCAAATTGCCAATTGTCGACAACTTGAAGGTCCAGTCTCCGTTCGGACAATGGCCTCAATAAGACACGAACCAATCCCTATAGACAATGGAAACTGGATCACCATGCCGAGGACAATGGACGAAAACAAAGAGCAGTATTCCGAGAAATGTCATGATGCTGCCCAGTTCCATTTGACAAAGGAAGTCAAAAGTCGAGGTCGAGTCAACAAAGGACAAAAGGTGTTTTAAGAAATCTCACAGCATGGCTCAAAGAGCATCCTTTGACGCTAACTTCATCGAATTCTCGTTTGACTAAGGAATAAATTCTGCCATTTCCTTTCATGACCCTTTGTCAGCGTTGACAAGTTTTACAATAATGGGACAAGAAGCCTAGAAATTCTTCCTCGAAATCTCAAGGGCTACATCACAATTGGCAAAGCACGCCTGCATGCCTCACGAGGTGGAGAGAAAATCTACCAGACATGATTTTGGCGAAGATTGGTCACGGAGCACAATAAACTGCTAAGATGGAGAATGTGGAAATTTGGTGTTTAATGGTTTTTTATTGCAATGAAGCGACTATATTTTGTTAGCAAGAGAGCGAGAGGGATTTACTTACCTGGAAAGGAGTCCAGCTCACATTTCCGGGGATCCATACTCTGTCAGCATTCTTATCTATAGCTCATCGTCCTTCTTTCGACTGGCTACTGCTATGGTTAGTAGGTGTGGGTTGGTTAGTTAATTATACTCATCTTCAGGGTCTTCTTTCAGGTCCGCAACTCCCTTCAGATACAGCGTCCTCTCGGTAGCGGCTGTGCGGTGTTTGTTCTTTACCACGCTGTCCTGGATCGCCTCGGATTGCGCCCGATCGTCGCAAGCCTCCCGTAGGTGCTTGGGGCGGTGGTCTAGGTGTGATGCCCCTCCTTGGCTTCCAGGACAGGTCGGGAGCTACTGGTGCTGGTCTGGATTCTACTTCCAATGGCCTCTTCCATTCCGGTCGCGCTGGTCGTGGTGGTGGTAGTCCATGCCTTGGGCTCGGCTCGGTGGCAGTCCGACGTACATGGGGGGGAGGTGGCATTGGGACCGCGACACCGACCTCGCGGTGTCTGTCCCTGCGCTGTCTGGCAGCTTCAACGTCACGAAGACGTTGCTTCTCCTCTTCCTGCGCTCGCCGTCGGACGTGCTCCAGATCCGGCCTCTCTGCATCTTGTTGTGCCTTAATGGCCTCCAACTTGTCCCAGTTGTCCAGGATGGACCCTTCAAACGGCCGCATGGGCTCCCCCTTACGATTTAGATTGGTTCCGGTAATGCCCGTCTTTCGACGGGGAGGTGGAGGGGGAGCGGGAGGGGGAGCAACATGCAGACCTAGTCGTCCGCTACCAGGTCCTGCCTGGTCGGGACGTCCAGGTCTATTGTCCTCTTCATCCACCAGTGACTCGGATGACTCGCCGTGGATGGATGCCGCGTACGAATCGCGGTTTGCTCCTCTGTGTGTTACCACAGTTTGCTGAGCAGTGTTGCCCCGGTACTTTGGAAGCCCTTCCCAGTCATTTGGTTGAGGCGTTGGGGCGGTATAGGGTCTGTTGTCTGAAGTCTTCGCGTCAGAGGTCGTGCTGTTTCTCTTCAATTTGTTGACAATTTTGGAGACAAAGTTCGTCATGGGTGCGCTGTTGCTGAAGAGTTTGTGGTTGAAGTGGTTTTGTATGTATGACGAGTTGAAGGTTGATGTTGGGTTTTCCTCTTAATAGCTGTGAGAACTTGCTGTCTTGTAGATGTATGTGTTGTGCTTCTTAGTGGTATGTTGTTCGACTGTTCTGAAGGCTTGTTTAGGACAATGGGAGTCGTCCTGCGTTGTTCATTCTCTTGTTCACAGAAGGGTTGAGGTCACTAAAACAATGCTATTGTTCTCCGACCATAAAGCTGCTTTGTCTGTTCGCTTTGTTCTCTAGAAGTACAAAGACGCATGCTTGTGCTATGAAAGAAAATGGTCACGTGTATCGAGTTGTCCTTGAGTTTGGGGATACTCTCAAATTCTTTAGAATTTCATACCACTTTACACATCCAGCTTTTAAGACAGTTTGATCATTTCTCCGCTCATATTGTACTACAAACTCTGGAATGATCTTGTTTATATTCTAATTCCTGTGGTACGTGCACCAAGTGCGCGAAATGCGCTGGGCGCGCTGAACGTGCTGATTGCGCTGAGTGCGCTGAGTGCGTAGAATACGATAAGTAGCTAAACGTACGGAGGCACGAACGAACGATATTGAGTGCAACACAGGGATTGATTCAAGACTATGCTGACAAATAGACTGCTATAAAACTCCACAATAGATAGTAGTGCTGTCCAACCTGCCATGGCATTACTTAATTGGAAGATGAAGGAAAAAATCTATACGACAAGGCAAAACAGAAATTATAACTACAAATCCAACAACCCATACCACTCGACTCCCATCATTCCATGTAATCATACCTAACTAGAAGTTATCCTTGGCTTGATAATAGAGCCAAGAGATTGGCCCTTTAACCTTTCTCTGTGGCCTGGGCAGCATTGCAGGGCTTGCCATATTTCCCCGGCCGTATCTCAGCGGAACATCCTCTTCGCGATTGTACGAATCTTCAGAGTATACAGGTACATGGCTGTTGTCCATCTCTATATCCGAAGTGTTCACCAGCTCGCCCTTGGGGAGTTTATGTAGAGTAAATCCAATAGGCTCGCAGGTGAGTATGACAATAAACTTCATAACAACGGCCATAATGAGATAGATAGTCGTATTCCCAAAGAAGGAGTTGAAGTCTTTGTTTTGGGCGAAGTCGGCTAGGAGAGCATATAGATATCGGACAGCGAGGAAGGGCAGTGATAGTGCAACTGCTAGCAACAATCGCTTCTCTCCCGGCGGCACATCTGAGAGTCGTGTGACCAGGACAAAGAAGATTATGATAGTGATGATGAAGATGATAGTGAACAAGACAACTGCGATCTTGCTGTCCCTGTTGACTTGTGTGAAATTTGTCGCATTCGCATTGGATGCTTGCTGTGTTCCCCCATAGACACCAAGGCATAGAGCAATGAGGCCACCAATACCAACTCCTTTGTAGATTATATCGGGGATTGGCTGACCCACAGCTTGATTACTATATGAAAATAATTAGCACTGAATGTATAGCCAGACACTAAATCAAATACGTACACTCTCTGCAGCAGACCAAGACTCATCAAAGCCAAGGGTGAAAGGCCAATGGAGATGCAGACTATTGCACCAGTGACGACTTGTTTGGTAGGATGGTCGACAGCAATGATCTCAAAAATGGCGCCGATAAGTCGAAGAAGAGAGAAAGTTACAAGGACCCAGCCAGAGCTCTTGCCGAAGCCATGGCGCAAGCACAATAGAATTCCTCCGATGAGAGCAAGAATGTAAAAAGCAACTTGCACGATGGCGATACCCTCGCGATATGTAACCATGATCGAAATTGGCGTAGGATGGTAGTTTGATGATTCGGATTCTTGATGGTGATCGTGCAAGGGAAGATGAATGATGGTGGCAAATGGAATTTTTGCAAAAGAAGAAAATATAGAAGCCGAGCGTGGCACGAAGCAGCAATGAGAGGTGGATATGGATATATACGTCTATGGAAAGTAGAGGGAGGTTGACATCAATCCGTTCCACAAGATGATTAAACGTGGAAAATTACAGTGCCGCATAGGGTTCTGTTCCTGCAGGTTGGCTGATGTTTGAGTCGTTGCTGCTGGTCCTCGAACAAGGCGTTCAGTTCAGTACCTAGCTTCTTCGCTGTGCTGGCCCAATTGGGCCCCAGCACAGGGACTTCTCCCACTCAATCTTTAACTCAAGGAGCCAAAGGAATGCCGGATGTTTGAATGATCATCACACCTTCGCACACCAACGTATATGCTGCCAAAAATATGGGGTTCTTACTAGCTTTGAAAGGAAATTTTGGCCCGCTCTGGGGGCCCATGTTTTAAGAGCTGACAGCTGTATTGTATTTTGGGGAAATGCGAAAGTAGAAGCCAGTAAGCATGTACGATTTTGACTAACTTTAAAAGACAATTTTCGCCCGCCTTTCTAGCACTAAGTGCGGGAGTACCCGCGCCTGCAGCAACTCGTTCTCCTTGTTGCAAGCGAACCTATAGTTTTCAAGCTGTCGTATACTGCGCCGCCTCAGCAAAATGGAATGTGCGCAAAGCACGCCCAACACAGTATATACTATGTAGCCTCTGTAGTTGGAGATCATTTAAGGATCTGCGGGGATGACCTACAAAGTACTTCTAAAACATCAGCCTTGCGATTCCGTCTTGTGCCACTATGTGAAATGAATTGCTCCACTATGACCTCAGCCACGATGACTCCTCGGTCCCTCTGGATGATTCCTGAGTATGGAGTTCTGGGGGTTGACGTCTTTTTTACGTTATAGGCAGAAAATTTGCAGCACATAAGATCTAAGAACCTCTCTTCATTTGCATGGCTTGCACTCTGAGCATTCGCCTTGATAATTTATCTTCGCATCTTGAAAATTTGATGGCCATGCTTTTCTCTACTTTACTTAGCTTGAGTGCTTTGATTATCCCTGGGGTAGCTATTCTCCAAGCTAGAGCCTGTCACAAGTCAACAACTAACACACACAGCTCACCCAAGGTTTTGGCTCCAAATCAACTGTGTTCCCACTATCCAACGAGACACAATTCTCGTTCACCCTTCAGGGCACTCTGTCATACTCTGATGGCTATGGAGCCAATCCTGGAGAAGTGCTGACCGCTGCGGCCAACATCACTCCGTCGGATTTTGAGTCATACTACCGCGCATTTTACTACCTTGCAAAACACATCTACAACACATCTCAGCAAATCGACTCCAAGAGATACCCCGTCTCAGCACGCGAAGCGCTCTTCCGAAGTTCAACTTACTTCCGTTCTTCTCCGTTCTACCTGATTGGGAACATTTCTGACCCAAGACTCTACTCAACCTGGGAGCAACAAGTCACTGCCTTCAATGAAGCAATATCCCTCCTCCCAGTGCCTGGTTACCGCATCACACTCCCAGGCCCTGAATTTCAAATTCCAGTCATTTTCTACCCAGCATCGAATGACGATGTTGAGCGACCTACTATTCTCGTAGGATCTGGGTATGATGGTGCACAAGAAGAATCCCTGCATTACATGGGCTTTGAAGCCCTCTCTCGTGGCTACAACTTTGCTACTTATGAAGGACCTGGTCAGCCTACCGTGCGACGGGATCAACAAATAGGCTTTATACCGCAGTGGGAAAAAGTCGTCACTCCAGTAGTAGATTACCTCTCTTCTCATCCAAAAGTTGATGCTGATGCCATCGCTCTGGTTGGAATCTCCTTTGGAGGCACATTAGCACCCCTCGCGTCAGCACATGAACATCGACTCGCAGCGGTGATAGCACTGGATGGCCTCTAGTCAATGTTTGAAATCCTGGAAAAGGAATGGCCCTCCGACTTGATCCAACAGTACAACCATACGAATTCGCAGAATTGCTCTTCGTTCGATGAAGCTGTTCTTGCTATCGCGGCAAACTCTAGCTGGCCAACTTCTATTCGTTGGTTCATCAATCAAGGACTCTGGGCTTTCAATACGCGCTCTCCGTATGATTTACTTCAACAGTTTTCTCAGTATACGCTGACTACGGAATTACTGCGGGATATTACGTGTCCAGTTTTCGTGGGTATGGGCTTGGATGACTCGGCTAGTATACAGGCTCCCATGGTCGCGGAGGCTCTGGGCCAGAATGCTACCTTGTTCAGGTTTGGAGCTGATGTAGGCGCTGGCGAACATTGTCAGATTGGAGCTGAGAGTTTTTTTTGGCTCAGGTAACAATGGATTGGTTTCAGGGGGTATTAGATGCAAAAAAGAAATCTGGATAGAGTTTACAGGAAATCCGGACTTATTCCGCTCAGGTGATAGCAGATTAGTTCAGGTGGCGTTAGCTGCATAGAATAGACCGAAGTCATCTGTCCGGGTTATATGAATTGATACAGACATAATGCGCTTGACACGATTTCGACTCCTCTATTCCACTATCGTATATCCCATGGATGCATTTTCTGCCTTCTCGCCAACATGCCCCCCATTTCAACGCCCATTGAATCGCTAATATACTCCAATTTATCCCGAAGCCAGGCTTTGCTCTCATTTTCGTCTTTAGCGGACACCATTGCGACATAAAATGGCCAAAATGCCTGATATCCCCAATGCGGCATCGGTCTCTTTGTTCTTGGTTCTCCCTTCGAGTCAATCTGACCCAGGCAGAAGTAGGTGCTACAGCAGACATCAAACACCATCTCGACAATGATGGATCTAGACTCCTTGCCAGTTGTCTCAATATCTAGAGACAGGTTGTGAGCAAGTGGATGAGATTGGATGCAGGTGATGCAATGCAGAAGCACTTCATGTAGTCGCATGCGGCAGGCGCGAAAGAAGTTCCAGGTCCAAGCGACGTATGTATCGTAATAAACTTGCGGTGGATATCTCTGAGATATGTTGGCTTCAATAAATCGTGGACGGCAAATTTCATAGCTCCATCGAACCCATTCTTTGGACGTTGAAGCGCTCCACTGTTTACATCTGTTCTCGATCTCTACTCCGTCTTTGACAACATTTAGTAAATTTAGAATCCATTGCGCATCTCTCTCGGTGCTATCGAATAGTCCTTGAGCTGCAGCGCAAAATTTTGCAATGCCCCAAGCGCACTTCAAGAATTGTGTGCATGGAGTACCATGCTCGAAGTCCGTCATGCTGGACTGGCTGATCCATGCTAGTAGTTCCTCGGGCGGGTTTTGGTGGCTGGCTATGCATCTGACCAACCGTAAGTGTTAGTGTCAAGTTGAATACTGACTGATAATGAAAGTCGAAGACGAACGTTATGCGCTAAGACAAGACCTAGAATGTTTAGTGATGCTGAACCACTGGATTTTCGTTGGCCTCGAGCACGTAATAGCGATATGCGCCCGGAATCATGAGCAACGTTCCAAAATCCTTTCGGCACCGCCTGAATGGAGATTATCTAAAGCCAAAGATATTAGAAGCTGATCTCCAAGTCTGTCTAGGAACGGTCGAGCAGAAGCAAATCGAACTTTACCTGAAACAAACTAAAGAGGAAAGATGACGCCAGAATTGCGTCGTCCAGCGCTTCCTCGACGTTTTGCACCTTCGTTGCCACTCTTATGATTGCGCTACCGTAAAGCTTCCTAGCTTCGACAGATAGATTATTTTTGCCCAATTGATTGGCGAGGCTCATGTAGGCCACTGCCCGAAGAGCCTCGTCAAAATGAACATTACACATCTGTTGGTTACACAGATCCAGGAGAAAGTGGAAGCTGCCCCCGTTAAGCACGTTTGAGGGAGAAACGTAATCGGCGAAGAAGCGGGGGATAGCTGTTTCGTGCCAGTTTGTAGATAAAGGGCGGGCGATTTCATCTTGCATACCAATCCGAGGTCGCTGGAAGGCATCGAGTTGCGCTTTCGAAAACCCATGCAGGGCAACCGAGGAACTGTTTGAAAATATCTCGCCCGCACTCGGAATACTTTTCTCGTGACCTCGACCTGTAGTTGCAGTCCTTGATCGAACCTTTCGTTCTGAGATCTGGGTCATATCACGGAACTTTGTTGTCGTTTCACTGGAGTATCCTGGGCAAACTTTACCAGACTTAACACACCGAACACATTGCGGTAAAGACCTATCGCACTTCAAGTCAAACATCAGCAGCGAAGATTGTAAAGAATACGAAAAAACTCACCTTCTTTCTGCGCAAACTGCAATTCGTACACGCTCGAGTAGGAGCCAACATTGTATGATTCAATTGATCACTGAAGCACGCTGTTGCTCCGATGTATAGGGCGACTAAAGTGTCAGAGTACAGGAACTCGGGCAGTTTGTGTTTCTATACAACGTAAATGATAAAACAGGAAGAATGCGACGTTTCCTTCGGTTGGGCATGTTTCAGCCTTATAAATATGGTGCTGTTTGGGGGCCAATTGAAAGTTGGAATTCAGCTGACTTCAGCTTCCGCACCTATACGGCACAGCTGTCTGTAGTAAGAACAGGCTTACGGGACCCAAAGTCCTTCAAATATAATGGGAAATGCTTGTACTAGGAAGACAAAAGAATGTCACGTACACGAAGGCATTTGTAGCTGTAATCTAGCTTAAGTGCAAACCGCATTCGAATGTGGTAGATCCATCTGTATACATGCTCCAACTTCGACAAGTCATTACCTCGTTCCTCGGTCAAATCTAAACTGCTTGTGATTTCCAGCGTCAAATGTCGGACAAGCGTCGTGGCAATTTAATATCAATTTCGCCTCAGTGATTGATCTGCGCGTGCTCCTGCAACCATCATTCGAGAACACTTTTGTACAATAGCGGCGCTCGTCTAGTGTCGCCTCATCGACGAAGTCGGGGGCAACTTCTTGCTCGACCTCGTGATTTTAGCCAGTGCCTGTTGTCTACAGAGCTTCTGATGTCTGTGCAGGAAGAGCTAGTTCTGGGTCCTTATCGCCATGATAGGATCAACGAGAAGGGCGTTGAGAGTTCCCATCCACCGGGCAATCAATTTGCGTCCTTGAAGGATCTACTTGCGCTAGGGTGGCTGACTAGGCTTGCTGCCATCAAACCACGGATCGGTCGAACCAAACAACATCTTCCATACATTGCCGTTGTATTTCTCATGGTCGATAATGTCTCGACCGCTAAAGAAATTAGCAGATGTTCTCCATCGCAAGACAGACCGTCAGGACTTACAGTTTTTCACCCAAATCGTCATCCAGTTGGTTCAGTCGTTCCAAAGCAAAATCCCGGTTTCCGAAGCTGATGAATTGAATGCCGACTTGATATTGTCCGTTCTCAAGTTCATTAAGCTTTTCCACGAGTCTTCGAATTGGCGAAGTTAGATCCGTTGTTGGTTGCCATATACCGTCTGTGAGAACATATATATTCAACGAGCGAACGGGCTTAAACTTTCTCTTAAGCCAACCCCTGCCAAGTCCCTTGATAAAGTCATCGATTACTGCGGTCAGGCGGGTGCGAATATCTGTCAGGCCTGCGGGTTGGTTGTTCTCGAACCTCGCAACAAGCTTAGACGGCTCCTTTGCCTTGATTTGCTGCTTTGAGCAAGTAAAATAAAGCTCTATGCCATCGGGGTCGGAATCTTTGACTAAGTATGCAAGTAGATCCAGAATACGCTTCACTTCAACTTTATGTGCTTTCATGGAAGCAGCGTCATCGATCAAGAAGACCTGTTCATCGTAAGAGCTTGCAATTAGAGAATGAAAGGGATACATACATGATCACGAGTCGCCAACCGTTTGAGAAGGTATTCACCTGGGAGTCTGCGCGGCCTGCCAGCTCTCTTATCTCGAATCCATCGCTCAGCAACATCAACATCTAATCTTGGAAGCTCGGGCTGACTCGACTTATTTGGCTGGGTGTGGCCACGCTTCGGAGGTACATATGAAGTTGAGGATCCTAGCCGTGTGGGTGACCGATCGCCGGCTATACTGGATCTTGAAGGTACCGTGACCGAGGTTCGATGTTCGGGAGTGGAGATGTTTGAAGATGCGATGTTGACATTGGACATATTTCCGTCCTGCTGGTTCAGCACAGAAAGAGAGCCAGGTGCCAGTCGACCACTATCGGATCCTGAAATTTCTGTTAGCAAAACTGCAGTCTCTACTATTGGATATGACCGGGTACCTTGAGGAGAATGGCTAGCCGCTGGAGGTCCCGCGATGCTGGGCGATAGAAGAATACGCATTGCATGCGTGTGGGCCTGTTTCGCTGTGTATCTGACCTCGGGTTCGTCTAGCATAACCTTCACCAGCTTTTCGAGTATCGGTCCAGTAACCCGGTCAGATTTACGAAAGTCGCTTTGCAGACTGTTGATAGTCTCCATAACTATTGGTAGGACTCTCGTACCGTCGTGAAACCAGTCACCATTCTTCATTTCGGGAATTGCGCTGATTGCAGCTGAACGGTTGCGTCGAAATCTTTGTAATCCTGGAAACCCGTGTATGAGCCACACAGCTGCCTCGGCGAGGATACAGCCAAAAGACCAAATGTCACAGTTTTGCTTGACCATGATCGTACAGTCTTCGAGGAATCTGTCTGCTCTGAAACATTCAGGAGCACCTGGTAGGTTCAATTAGATATATGTGAACAAGATTCATACCGCACAAGGACTCACCGTATGCTTCAGTGCCACGAGTATCTATATCCGAGCCCTCTTTAGACCATTTCTTGAAATGGCTCGTGCCAAGATCGGCGAGATTGAACTTCCAATCATAAGGCGAATTGATGCCGTTGGTCATGACCAGAATGTTATCAGGTTTGACGTCTTGGTGCCATCTGAAGAAGTCAGTAAGTACTCCTTTTGCCTGGCTTCAACTAACAAACCCTTGGAAAATTTGAGGAGCGCCTAGTGTATTCTGGGAATCCACTTCGTGTATGTGGACCAGTGCTCTAGTGATGCCACAGAGCGTCGTCCAGAAATGTTCAATATCTTTCCCACTTGTTGGTGGAAGAACAGTCCTGAAATACTCTTCTAATGTGCCTTTATCTGCAAAGGCCAAGATGACATTATACGTGCCATTTTGTGTGAAGCTTCCGTAGAAGTGAACTATGTTGGGATCTAATGTTCCTCGCAGTGGTCGAAGTCGTCTAAAAGCCTCCACCTCATCATGATAATACTGCTCAGCTTCGTGCTTGTGGTAGGTTTTCAGTACAAACGTGTCGTTGTCTGCAGTCGAATCCTACCAGACGTTAGATCTATTCATATAACATTAAGTATTGGTCACTTACCGACGAAGCAGAATTACTGCGTAGTTTGTTGAATGATTTGTGCAGCACGATCTTGGAAACCACCGCACTGCCACCTCGTCCAAGCACTTCCCTCTCAACAATAGGTAGTATTCGGTGAGGTTCGAGAGAATTGTTTATCTTGTAGGACATCTCCGCTGCACAAAATACCCATTGTTTCTCATAAAACAAGTCCCACAGGTTCAGTCGAGATGGTGATATTGGAAAGTTCTGCGGCTTCGAGGTATGGGGTAGGCGCACATCGGCGAGACCATCGTGTTCGACAAAATGTCGAATGTACCCTGCTCCTCCAATGGAGAGCAAGATACAAAGCGTCTTTAGGTACTGGTTTTGTACAACTTCGTCGTCGACAGGAAGCGGCTCCTCTTCTGGGAAAACAGCTGAAAGGATATCAATCAATCGACCCTCATCCCCCAAATGCTCCTCGATCTGCTCAAATGGCACAAACTCTTCTTTCCGGGTCGTGACTGGATTGTCTGTGCGAATGAGGGACTCGCGGAGATACTGATGGAAATTCTGAAGGTATCGGTTGTCGTCTGGTTGCTCGAGTTCGTAGTACAGGGAGTCTCGTTGTTGCAGGGACATTGCTTGGCCGTTCATGGGCTCGGGCGCGAGTTCGGGCGGCTCTCTGGGCCTGTGCACACCTAAGGCAGTCTACGCATAGGTTCTCACGTTCTTCGTACTCCGTGGTTCATATATTTCTCAAACAGGGCGATGGAGAAGTAACTGCGCGCAATCACAAATTGGAACGTAACCTTGTAGTTTCATGCAGAGCACTCTCAGAGCGTGAAATGGTGGTGTGCGGCAGTTTTAATATTTTCTCTCGCCAGCCTCATGGGTTTTGGTGGTGGCGTCTCATAAGCTGCCAGGCACCCATCCCCCAACATGAAGACAGCCTTGTAACTTATTGCACGCTCAAGATGATTCATTTGCCTTTCTAGTCTGCGGCTGAGCCTAGAGATGTCTCTCAGCATAGCCCTGAGATGTTTCGGTGGGCTTGTTGTGTTTCTCAGCAACTTCGGCCCAAGTTAATCAGTGTTCGAAGAGCAACAGCTTCCAAGTGCAGACTCTAGTCCTTCAAATTTCTCCCTCACTTCCTTTCGAACCCTTTTCTGCTTGTATCTCGTTTTCTAGCTTTCCAACTGGAAAATGGCCTCATATTACAAATACTGCCAAGAAATTAACAGAGCAAGAGCCATCAAACGTTCTCCGCAGTCTGTTTTTCGAGCGACTTTCTCCTCCTCTTTTTGTCAGCCTTCCGGCTCTCCAATTTGTAGATTAAAAACCAAGCAGCAAATGTGAGTAACATCATCGGTAAGGTGATATATACATAAAGCTTCAAAGCTTCCGCTTGAAAGGTCTTAGGACCTGGACCACCATTTGGCCCTTGGAATCTGACAATATCTGTGCTCATTATGGTCTGAAAACCAATTAGTAGTCGATAACAAAAGGTATTCCATGGCATGCTCCTCTTCGCGATGAAGATTACACAGAAACGTACCGAAATGAAGGTGCCTGGGAGGAAGAAAAGAGTTACTAGTGTGATGATCCTCATCGAAACTGTTTCTTGGGTTGTTTTCTGCGCAAGCTCGTTCATGTCTACTGTTAACTCTTCCATCTTGCGGGTCATTCTTTCCATGTTATTGGCCGATTCCTGCGACTTGGCAGCAAAAGTCATGCTAGCAGCCGCGTTCCGATAGTTCAGAATACCGTAAAGCTAATGCCGTCAGTTTCGTGAAGAAGAAATATTACAACAAAAGACAAAAGCTACACTTACCAGTGCTTTACGGTCTGAAAGCATTCGTAATAGAGCTCCTGCTCTTGTAATCTGCATTCGAAGATCATTTATAATGCTTGTAATCTGCTTTCCAAAGCGTTCAACAACTCTGTTGTGGTTACTGGCGAAGAGTTTGACATGCTCCTGAGAAACCACCAAATCATGATAGTAGACTTTCAATTCTCCAAGTACATCAATGTTCGCGTTTAGGACGAAAATTGCTTCATTCGTTTTATCCTCAAGGGATTGGATGTCCCGCGAATCATCAAACGAGAACTGACTGTGGCCATCAAGTTCGGCTCCAGACTCCCTCGAAGCTGATCGAGTTCGATTTGGTTGAGGTTTGGGGGATTGGCAGAACGTGGTCATGCCCGAACGTCCCTTGCTAGTCCCTTTCGTGGACATCGATCGTGCTCTCAAAAATTCAAGCTTCTCCTTCTCCTCAGGCCTACGCTCGCGGACCACCTTCGCGGACAATGCGCGACGGCCAGCCCCTCCCTGTAGCTCTTCCTCAAGGTAATTCAGATACCAACGCCATTGCTCACCGGCCCATTTACAGTTTATCAAGTGAATTGACATGGCTTCTTCAAATGCACGCTCTTTAGTGGAAAATGGCCTCTGGTCTGGCCCCAAATTCTCTGTAGCGGTCATAACACGATCTTGGATCAGATCGTTTCCTTTCACTGAGATCCACAACGCCGACCCGGTCTCGACGTCAAATGAATGGTATGTAGCGGTCTGACGAACGGACCAGGGAGAGTGTTTTTCTCCGGGTTCATCAGTCTTTTCCACAGATTTCAAGCTGTAGCAAACTCGAATTTCTTGGCCAGACCTTCTAAGCTTCGGTAAATCGGGTCCAAGATCTGAATCCAGCAGTCGATTTTCGTGTCTGATGCCACCAAAGAAAAAATCTCGAGTATAGATCTGCTGACCGAACGGGAAAATAAAATCCAAAAAAGCTGGCATGACTTGATGGTAGGTGAGTGTATACATGAGCATCGCCCGGGACGTGTCCAGTGGAGCGCGAGAATGCTCTGCTAAAACAAATCTTCCCATGAAAAGTCAACAATTAGACTTTATGTAGTGGAGGGAACCTCCTACATGAATCTGCATCGTGGGTCTGGATTATCGAATATCTTAGAGCCGCAAAGTAGGCTCTTCAAGTCATGTAATGTTGCCGGCTCGTCCTCTCGAAACCCTTCTTCGAATTAGCCACAGAATGATACCTGTTCGTTTGGATTGGTTTACTCTGGCTTTCATCGTCATATTCCCAAAACCTCAAATAACCTTTATCCTCTGGCGAAAACAGCTCGCTAGCCCGATCATTCAGCCTCTCATAGTAGTCGATCAAACTGGATTCGATAAACATTTCATTTCTTATGAGATTCTTGGGAAAATCGCTGGCACGACTGCAAGAGTCAATAAATCGATCAGTAATTTGCATGATCACAATCTTGAAGAATTTAAATTCTCGTGCTACAAGCAGAAATTGAGATCTGGATGCTGGCATCAGTGGGTATTTTAACGCCAGTCCAAATATGCCTCATTGCCCCTCCGTTCCAAGTTCCACATGCGCCTCTGCACGCGCAAGTTGGGGCGGTGCGATAGGCTGATATTTCGAAAACGAAACTCCTCCAACCACATTCAAAAGCCCCCAAAACCTCAAATCTTGCACCAGCCACCCCTTCCTCAATCAGAGGCAAACTGCAGAGAGTTCGAGCTCATGATTCAGCGCCCATGATGGCCACGGCGCCTCTTCACTGGTTGCCTCAACTTCGAGATCTCGTCTAGCTCGGTCTTGAACTCGTCAGATACCTTTTTAAACTGGAGCTTGGAACTTAGGACTCACCCGATCCAGAAGTCTCGGAATCACGATGTTATACTCGTCGCGCGCAAGCTGAACACTGTTAGTTGACTGTAATGTGAATTTCGGAACACGTGCAAGGCATACTTCAATACTGAAGTATGATTGCTCGGGGAAAGTCCTGCGCAGATAATCTTCCAAATCCTCCTGTCTCAGCCTGTACGCTGGTACCACATCGCTGACCCCAGGCATCTTGGCGCAGACAAGCCACTCTGCTAGGCGAATCGAAGTCAGAAAATAGCGCTTTGGTTTTCTGGAGCTTGAGAGTTAGAGACCGAGTACTGCGGATAGCACTGCGGTTGTTGGCTGGGCTATATAAGAAGAAGGAAGATTTGCTGGTAGTTTCTCGATTGTCGTATGCTAGCTGGGCAAGAGACATACAATAAGGCCATCCAAAATGAGGCGAGAGGGTGACTGGGCAAGGCCGGAGAGTGGGTGGGCACGAGGCTCTGCGGATTATGACCCATCGGCTCACCGAAATCAGTCAACGCTCAGCGAATAGAATGCTTCACCACCATGCATGGCTTGCATCTTGAGGTTGCACAAAGCAGAATTATCCAACCAACAAGGTTAAAGTCTTCAGTCGAGTGTGCATCTAGTCCAAGAATAATGACTTGCATAAGCCGGAGTTTGAAATGTGGATCTGAGATAGGGAAGCCGTCATAGGGAAGCAACATTGCAACAAAAGTTTTGGACAAAACATCAGTGAACATGGTCTTACTTGATGCTTTGTTATAAAATACCAACTGCTTTCTTCAGCACAGTCCAGCCAATCATACCAAACTCCGTCTTGAAATATCAAAAGAACATTCTGAGACATAATACGCAAATATTCGCGGTAGGGACGGACAGCCCCTCACATTGCCGTTGATAAGTCTGCTTCAGTATTGCGGGCTACCTCGCCTGAGGGTATTCCCCTCCTTTCAATATTCGCAGCCTCACTTTTTTCGCATAGAAGACTGGAAATTGAGAGCTGATACTCAGCATTCCATGTTCTCGATCCTTCGCAGTAAGTGCATAAAGATAACCAATGTTTCAAGCATAAGCTTGCTTATTTGCTATAAAGTCTCCCTTTTCGTTTTGCGAAACCTCGGTATAGGCACAATATTCAAGGACTTATCAAGTTGCGAGGTGTCATACAAGGAGAGAAGGGATAAATCAGTTTGGAACAGCTCGCGATCAACATTTACTACTAGACACCAATTACTAAGTGACTAGCCTTTACAGGTATCACTGGTTTAAACAATAACATCTACTCTTCAATGCCACTTCTTAGGACTTCGATATCTCATCATGTCAGGACCTTATTAATTCCTGTATGAATCAAGTCCCCACAGTGATCATCGTCGCGAGAGGTTCGCATTGACATAGGATCACACGCTGCATACTCATACCTTCGATTGAAGCCACTGGGAAAGAAGAAGAGTCAAAAGCCTGTAGTGAGCCATATAGTCGCTAATTTTCTCGAATTTATCTCATCATTGCCTAGAACGAGCAGCGGAAGAATTGCGATCGGATATCCTTGCATGGATCGCACCAACGCTCACCCGAAAACCCATTGAGGATCAGCACACAGTCTTTGAAAAACGAGACCCAGAGACTGGTAGATGGTTCCTTGACGGTGACTTGTTTCGTTCATGGCGGAATCCCAATGGCCCCTTTCTGTGGATGTATGGGGATGGTAATATTCAATGCTACAATTGTCTTTAGCTGTACTGACATGTCGTAGTTGGTTGCGGAAAGACTATTCTGTGGTATTTTCACTCATGTTTAATTCAGCTGATATGTGCTTACAGTTGTAGCTCATCAATTATCAACGAGCTCAAAAGGTCGCAAGCCGGCACGGGTACATGCCAAAGCACTAACCTTGTTTATTTTTATTTCACTTTCGATGACGTTCAGAAACAAGATCTTGGAGTGTTTCTGAGGTCAGCGCTAGAGCAACTATGTCCCAGAGATGGAATACTGCCTCAAGTCGAGGATCTCTACCAACGTTGCGAGCCAGACCCACCTTCCACGTTCGAGCTCCAACAAACTTTCCTCCAAACCCTTCGTTCTGTCAGCAAATCAAATACGCAGTCATCTCATGCTGGAGACTCCAAATCTCACGAAGAATCAAGTTGCAATGGCACCAGGCACACATATATTGTGCTTGATGGACTAGACGAAGTCCAATATGGGCCAAAAAGGAACGCAATTCTCAAACTTCTAAGGATGATATCCGCACTCGACCTAAGACAATTACATCTACTCGTTTCGAGCAGGCGAGAGACGGACATTGAGGTTGAGCTTCTTTCTATTGTGCGGTGGCAACCCCTCCAAGTCACCCAACAAAATATCGAGAAGGATCTGAATATCTTTGTCACTAACCAGATATCAGAGAGCCAAAAGCTCAGAAGTCAGTCAGAGCTCGTGAAGGATGAAATCAAGCATAAACTCGTTGGTGGAGCGAATGGAATGTATGCATTTTCTTAACCCGACCACATCGACCCCCGCTTGCTTTGCTTACAATGTTCTAGGTTCCGCTGGACAGCGCTCCAGATGCAGGAGCTAAACAAGAAGCGTGTTCTCTGACCTCGAGCAATCATGGATGTCTTAACTTCTTTGCCAACAGACATTCATACAACTTACGACCGCATCCTTACCAATGTTGAAGCCTCATTGGTACATGAGGCAGTCTCGATTTTGAAATGGCTGTCCTGTTCCGGTCGGCCTTTGTTCATAGAAGAACTTACCGAAGCCTGCATAATTCACCCCGAAGAGGACCCTGCTATAGAAATTGACATGCGCCTCACCCCATCAGATATTCTGGAAATTCTTCCAGGTCTCATTGCTGTGGACCCCCCTATTGATGTCTCTAAAAAGGACTTCGAGGCTAGAAGGCACATATTCAGCTTGGCACATTTTTCGGTTAAGGAATACCTCTTCAAACGTGGCACCTTCGTCATCGGCTCTCAGAATATCGAGCTAAACGCTGTTCTTGCACAGAAACATATCGTCGGATGTTGCCTTTCCTATATAAGCTTTTGCCAGCTCAACAACTCGTATGTCCAAAACGAGCAATCGGCACGCGAATTCCATAAAGTTGTGCCTTTGAGATTATACGCATATTCTCGCTGGGCGTTACATGCTGCTCCGATACCAGACGAGCATTCTAAAGAGTTTGTGACGAAATCAATTCAATTGCTTTGCCAGCCAAAGATATGCCATGAATGGATGACACTCACCACATTAGCGAATAGTTTGAATGAAGAGATCAAGCCTTGCGTTTTGGGACCCCCACGGTCTTGGCATTCGAAGCAGAATTGGCCTCCAAGCTACCTGCTCTGCTACTCCGTTGTCACTGGCAATACAAAGATTGTGGAATCGTTGTTGAAGATGGATGTGCCGATATCAGGACCACATGCTATTGGTGAACCGTTGCGACTTGCGGCAGAACCCAACCAGACCAGTCTTGTGGATATATTACTCAAGGCTGGTGCTAGCAAAGATAAAGCCTTGGTTACTGCCTTACAGAAAGGGAACGAAGATATCGCTTGGCGAATACTCCAGAGCTCGGAAATTGTAGGCAGCGATGAGCTGATAGCCGCGGCGAAGTGTAGCTCATCCATCTTGACGAAAAAACTCATTGAGAAGGCAGCCAATGTGGAGTTGATTGATATCAACAGGGCTATTCTTGCAGCGATATTGTCTTCGAATTTTGACACCGCGAACGCTTTGCTCGGTGGGATGATTGCGAGAGGTCAACTTAGCAATATTATATCGCAGGAAAGCAGCTCCAGTGATGGAGAGACAGTTTGGCAAGACATCTTATCTTCAGCTACAACACTCGACTCTCGATCTCTTTTGCGTTTTCTGCTTCAAGAGGTTCCTTTGGATGTCATCGAAAGACTAAATACCCAGGATTTGTATTTGCTTTCAGTCGTCCTAGGATGTTCACAATCCACCAGGGCTTTCGTATCTTACCCTTGGTTCAAAATACCACCAGTAGCAAGAACACTCGCGAAGCATTGGGAAAGTCTCTCTATCAGTAATCCAATCTCAACTATGGTTGTTGGTGTCCACGAACTTTGTACTGGAAGAGACTACCCTATTGCTAGCGAACCGATACAAGAGAGTACACTGGAGACATGGAACTTGCTCTATCGATGGAGGCCCGAAATTGTATCTTCTATGCTGAAGAAATGGGGATTCAAGACGATTGACCAAATCAGGAAGGGAGATCCTTGCTTTGAGACTGATTATCCCCAAAAGTCCAGCATACAACGACACCGGGTTCAGCCATTTTCAAATTTGGACGATTACAATCTAGACCTGACATGTCAAAGGATGTCTCACAAATATATTTCAGATTTGTTAAAGTCTTCAAGTCATGCATTGTAGGCACCGAACTATCAAACGAGGTCCCAATCGCTACGCGTACACAATCACTATGCCTCTAAAAAGGTATCAACAATGCAACATACCTTGCAGCAGAATGTAAAGGCTTATATGATTTTAAGTGGTCCTTACTCGGAAAGGATCAAAGGCCTTGTTGCCACAGAGATTGCTCATAACTCCTTGCTTCGAGGCATGTCTGAGAGATACATTGCACCAATAGTAGTTCCACACTCTGATATGTCTGTATGGCAGCTCTCTCTTTTGGAGAATACCACCTCTTCTGAAGCCTGGTTTTGCGAAATATTTAGGCCAGAGACCAAACGACGATCTTCTCGGCGCATATCTTGCCGAGAGCTACAACCAGGTAACCCTAGGCGGCGGTTTGAAGATGAAGAAGACACGGAGACCCCCTTAGCTACTGAAGCCTTTATAGAATAGCCGTGTACTAGGATGAAAGGTTTTTCAGATATTATTTATGCAATGTTTTTCACAGAGTCACGGAAAGGATGCGATGTCATTGATTGGGAAGTGTTCGATTTTTAGATGTTTTGTATTGAAATAAAATGCACAGATGTGGTCCGGCCAGATCGAGCAGGGCTAAAGAAATGAAGGGAAATTTGAAACCACTTACCTGACTGTACGTTACACCACCTCTCCTACTCGAACCAAACACCCTCACCAACTCCTTAGAATCGGTTATTTGGATCAAACTCACCAGGAGGAACCGACGGTCTCGGCGCTTCAACCCTTCCACCCGCCTTTTGTTCCTTCGACGGAACACGCACGGCTTTGGATCGCTTCAATTTGGAGGTAGAAGACGGGTTGCTCACAGGTAGAGGAGGTCTGGATTGAACGTTAATTTGGAACGCTTCAGAAATGCCAGCATACTCAAGCGTGTCGCCTGCCCATTGTTTGGGCCGGACGTGTTCGTTCAGGTCTTTGGTCCATCTGTTCTTTTCTCGTCCGGCTTGAAGGAACTCGTCGAAGTTCGCTGAGGGCTTCACGGAAGAGTGAGATGGGAGGGGTGGTAAAGGCTTCATCGTGTTTGCCCGCCCGACTTGGGCTGCTTGTGCTGATGATTGTCGTCTCACTGGTGGCCAAGGAGTAACTGATCTTTCTGCGCCACGGGGTGGTGGTGGACTATGGAACTCTGAAGATTGATTCTCCTCTCTAGTGAAACCGGCTGCCCCGAGCTGGCTTGCTATTGATGAGTTTGAGTCTCGGTCCGTGACCGGATGCCGTGAAGCTTGGTTTCTTTGAGTTGTACCTGTCTGTGGTCTGTTAGCTTGGGATACTTGACGGACAGGTCCCGCTGTCGTCTTACTTCTACGGAGCTTGTTATTCAACTTCTCCCAAGCGCTGACCATTTTGATGGATTACTAGAAGTCTTCTCTGAGCTTGGATTAGAATTCAAGTGTTTCTGCAAAATTTTGTTGAAGTGATTAGCTTAAACAAAATTTAAACAAAATTTGTGAAGAGTTTGTGGTTGCGTGGAAGTTGATGGATGAAGAATTGAACGAGTCTTGCAGAGGAGATATGCTACTTCAAAAAGCACTGTTGTAGTGGGAGACTTCTGTTCTCTGCTTCTTACTAATTATGTTATTGTTCGGACAAAGAGTGGCTTAGTAAGATAAAGGGTTGAAAGAAAGAACAGCTTAAGCGGATCAAACAAGCTTGTTCGTTCAGCGCACTAACTTGTTGTTGGCGTGAAAAGAAGGAGCAGCTTAAGCAGATCACATAAGCCTGTGCGTTCGTGCACTTGCGGTCGACGTGGACAGGTAGTCAAAATGAGCCAGGCTGATTGAAGTTGAGCATGGACTTGGTCACCGTGAATTCACAGGACGATAGAGCAAGTCAAACAGCAGGCAACAACCAAGTCTTGGGAATGTAGGGCAAGAGGCATCATAGTAGGAAACAAAGCTAGAAGAAAACAAGAGAGCAAAGGCAACGCGATCTCAACTCAAAGAACATTCCTTCATTGTCTACAGTGTTTTTGGCTACCTCATTGTCCAGGTCCCAGTCACGACTTTAGTTGTTGATAAGCGCTTTCTTTGTGATTAGTAATTTCGATCAATACATTATTTCCAATAGACATGCCTTGTGGGTCATATCTTCAGGGACTAGAAGCAGAACGTCATTGAGCTATCACACTGCTTGTTGTCATATAATATAGAGATAGGAGGCAGCACTTGCATTGAATTGGAACATTGATTGGTATAATTTCAGATTTGGATTGATACTTTACAATAAAACTACAATAGCATTCGCAACTGGCACTTGCCAGCTATAGCTCATTCTTCATTCTCCAAGATGGGATTAGATACCTCGTGCGGCCTTACTTCTGGGCAGAAGTCGAGACGAGACAGACGGCTGGATCGTCTTATGCTCCACGTCCATTGCAAGAGACTGCTCATCGCGATCACAAAACTTTCCGCGCTTGTACGATTCATCCACAGCACTTTCCCAGTCCTCCTCATCAAATGAGGCGAGAGGAGTGGACTTCTTGCGTGGTGGGGTTGGGAGGGCTTTGCTCTCGTAGTAGGATTGGGACGGTACCTTTTCTTCGCCCTCAGCAGAAGATCCGCTGTAGGCGTATCTGAGAGATCCGGATCCTTCGACCTTTCGGACAGAGTGGGAACGGTTAAGAGAGTCGGTTTGCTGGAAGGAGTCGCGTGCGTTGCTAACAGATCCAGCTGTGGTCTTGCTGCGCTTGAGACGGTTGATTTCTGACATTTTGGAAGTTGGATGGTTGATTGAAAGAGTTGATATTGTGCTTGTGTTGTTGTATTGATAGAGTATTGTACTGTTGATGAGGAATGATGTTTGAGAGAGGAAACGTTCGGCGATGTATAGGCATTGTAGGAGCTTTGTATTAGGAGACAATGGCTTTGTGTAAAAATGATTAAACAATGGTTCTGTGCTTCTCATTATCAGCATGCCATTGAGATTTTCGATTAACAAAGAGATTGAGTGCTTGTCCGAAGAACCCACCTTTGTCAAGATAGTGAAAGATCAAAGATACTGCTTATGTTAAGAAGCCCTTAACTTTAAAGTGGTGATGTGCAAGACAAGAACATTGATGCGCTAAGAAAAGACTCCAACCGACTTGGGGGAGCCCCGAGATGATCTTTGTAACGGCTACCGCAAAGCCTCAAAGCATTCACAATAAACGCATGTACACCTAGCAACTGGAGCCCAACTTCAGTTTTACAGAACCTCGCTCACAAAGAGCTCTTTCATAAGTTAAGAATAGAATGCCAGACCAATAGAAGTGAGAGATCCGACCCCAGAGCTAGTCCCACAAAGCCCTTTTCATAACCCCCAAGCAATAGCAGATCTCTAGACAAAACCAGTATGCCAAAGTAAAGAGACCGAATGAGGGCAATAAAGTACGTAGCAAATAAAGCTTCTGGTATTGTGTGTGAGAAGCATATGTTTCGAGTGTTTCCGGTCACTCAGTGTCCCGGAATGGTAGCGAATTCCGGCTTTACGCCCGAATTTTGCATCTACGCCTGCATGCTATTGCTTTAGGCTGGCTACAGCATGTCAGTTGACATCTTCGAAAGGTGCGGCATTACGTACATTAGTCTCATTGATACATATGTCACATCGTACATGATCGCAATGAGGGCAAAAAATCTCAAGACCACTGATGATTTTCTGAGTACTGACAATATTCCGAACGCAGTCGCAGCAAATCCAAGACCGCTTCCTCTTGGACTCGTCTTCAGGGACAAGCTTATTGGCTAGAACAGTTTATGAACCAAATCACCATCAGACGTCCGAAGTTCGGTTTCTTGAAGAGGGAATTAATTCACGCACCTTCCTGATTTGTTTGTGCAAATGAGTGCGGATCGATGGTCGATCTCATTGATGGCTCAGCGTCCCATGGATTATTGGACAATGATTTTGCTCCTTGAGCAATATCATCTAGAAGTGATAGTATTTGATCGGACTCAGCCTTACTGTAAGCCCTTTCCCATTTATAGTCCCATTCTTCGGGCTGCCTGTCATCCACTCCAGATCCCTCAAGCGTAGTATAAACTGTGTTGGAAGGTGAGGGGTGTGCGGTTTGAAGGCTTGGCTGGTACTTCTTCCGAATCAGCTCCGAAGGAGTGTACGTCACAGGTCCAAGACTCAAGGATGTTGGTAGTGAGGTGCTTCAGTGTTCGCAATAGTATACGGTCGTATTACGGGATCTAATATCAGCTCAATACGCACTTACGGCGTACGATATGAGGTCAGTAAGTATGTCTTAACACTAGTTCCGTATCAATGGAAGATATTAGTCAATATACTAAGTACTGAATGCAGCTTAAGACATTGAAATCCAAGCCTAAATTAGCTTGAAATTGTAAAACCTAAGCCTAATGGAGCTTAAAAAGGCATATTTCATCAATATTAAACCCTTAAAACAAAGCATTCCAGTATTTGTATATTTCCAGTGAGATTCAATAATACTAGTCTTGATATTATACGTACAACCATATTATTATCGTACGTATCACTCAAAGTACAGTTACAATAGATACGAATTGTGTCACAACTCATGGATCACGCGTCCAACAACCCCACAATCCATTCCGTAATCTTCTCCACCCCATGTCCATTGATAGCACTAACAGGAATAACCTCAACTCTCTTCGGCCACACATTCGTCTGCCCATTTGGATGTGGCTCGTCGCCAGCATTCACCCTCTCTAGATACTGCTTCAAATTTTGATAGTTCTCCTGAGTATCAGGAAGATCTGCCTTCGTAGCGACGACGAACCATGGTTTGTCTGCAATGCTGGGGAGTTCTGGTGCCAAAGGATTCTCAACAGTGGGGCCTGAGTTGATGATAATCGTCTCTTGGCGGTTGGTAAGTGCGTCTTCGACGGATGTGAAAGGGCTCCAGTGAACAATGGGTTCAATAAGCTCTTTCTCTTCCTCGATTTTCATTCGCTCATACTCGCTGACTTCTTTCCAAAGCCCTTTGAGAGCGCTGATCGCGTCGCCTTTCCCTAAATCTACCACAAATGCCAATACTCTGGCCCGTTCAACATGTCGTAGGAAACTGATCCCCAAACCCCGATCCAAATGGGCATCCTCAACCAAACCAGGGATATCGGCGATTGTGAAATTCGTTCTTGGCTCTCCATTCTCAAGAGAAGCTTGTGACAAAGGCCGTCCTTTGTTGTTGTCCAAGACTACCGTCCCGATGTTCGGCTGTAACGTTGTGAAGGCCCAGTTTCCAACCCTTGCTCGGCTGTTGCTCATAGCTCTTAATAAAGTACTCTTCCCAGCATTTGGCAATCCCACAAGTCCAACATCTGCCAGGAGCTTCAATTCCAATTCTAATGTAATTCGCACAGCTTCCTCTCCTTTCGTAGCATATTTTGGTCGAGGCACTGTCTTTGACACGAAATGTGGATTTCCGAGCCCTCCAACAGCTCCGGCTGCCAACAAAAGAGGTCTGTCCATTGGTCGACTGAGATCTAGAGCAACTGGTCCTTTTACCTGCGCCATAGCCAATGGTGATCTTCTTCCTCTGGGAAGCTTTGGAAAATCTGCGGTAGCAATATCCTCTGGCGTGACAGCAGGATACAATAACCACTTTTCCCGATCCCATTTCCACGGCCCCTTTCCATCTGCACCTTCCACCGCATCCTCCTTCCCACCCTCGACTCTTCTCCTTGCTTCTTCGTCCGCGACGGGGTCCACTCGTGAAATTTCGCGCACCACAGTACCGACAGGAACCTGAACAACAATATCATCTCCACGCTCTCCTCCCTTCGTTTTGCCCTTTCCATTTTTCCCTCGTCCAGCTTTCAGTATATTTCGCCGAGCGAGCTTGTGCAGCGAAGTCTCGCCGCGCACTGCTTGGATATAGACGTTACCTCCGCTGCCACCATCTCCTCCATTGGCAGGGCCAGCAGATATGTATTTTTCGCGGAGGAAGGAGATACAGCCATGTCCTCCTGAGCCTGCAACAAGAGTTACAGTTGCTCGATCGCTGAAAATAGTTCGACCATAGTCGCTCGGAGGAGGGTTGAGGTGGGATTCTGGCAGAGGTTCGATGTGCGTGCTATTGTTCTGTTTGCGAATAGCAGAAAGAAGTGGTCGAAAGGAGGCTTTAGTTGTTTGAGAGAAGAAGAAAGGATACAAGAAAGGTGTCAATGTCCCTTGAGGAGTAGGACATCTTGGGGGCATTCTCAACCTCTGGAACAAGACTGTCGATGGTTGAAGCTCAGATGAATCTGATGTTATTCAGTGACAGCACAGAAAAAGTTCTTGGCCACCGTAGTTCCGACTTCGAATCTGCCGTCTGTCACCGCTAACCACCTGCCATCTGATCTCTCTTCTCCTCTCCAACATCCAAATCCAACTTACCTTACCCTATGATCGCCTTTCTCGATTCAAGCAATGCACTCCCTGTAAGATCTTGCCTCTCAAATCCCACTTCCACTTTCTCTGCCTCTCTCATTATTCCAACATCTCCTTCTTCAACTCCTCCTTACAAATATGCAGCCGCCTCCAAAGCGGTGTACAAATACTCCTCTCTGGTCCTGCACCTAATGCTGCAGGCGCTCTCACCCTCACATGTCCCATTGGCCGCACTGCTTGTCGGATCTCATGATATGCACCCAATGCAACGTCTGCAACACCTCAACCCTCGTCGTGCATCGGCCTTGCGCACGCGATGTCAAGCATTCGAGCCACGACACTCCGACGTCCATTGCCTCTCTTCTATTGCTCCAGCCGTGCGAACTCCCCACTTTAATATCTGCCATGGCGGCGGAGGACGAGATAGACGACATCTGTGTTGGTTTCTGTGTTGTCTCGCTGTGATGTCGCTGCAGCACTCTCTTCTACAGGCCGGTTTTCTCTCTCTAATCTGACATTCGTTCTATCTATCTGTCCATCTGTCTATTGTCAATCCTGAGTTTGAGAGCGGTGTCAGGTCAGGCCCATCCCTCTCCCGTCGATTGGAGTCCCGATATATGTGCAGTGTGTTGTGTGCGGAAGACCGGGCGTGCTGGAGGACGGACGAGACCAGCGTGATCGAGATACTATCAACCTGAGGTGGGTGAGTGATCTTGGAGGCTCATCCCTCCCCCCTTTCCCTCCCACACACATACACATTTCACCTACCCTACATACACCTACACGCACTACTACATTACTCCCTTTCGTCCACACGCATTCCCAACCGCCCCTAATGACTTCTACACCGTCCATTCGGGCCCATCAGCAGTCTTCTCCAATGAGACCCTCCTGTTTCTGGTTCCTGGTACAAGAATGGCGGTGTTTGCCATTCCATTTCCGATCTGTTCACTATCTTCCTTTTTCCTGAACCGCTGCCCCTAACACTTACTCGGCCTCTCACTCACTCCCTCTCTCCACAATTCCTCGCCACGTTCTCTTACATTCTCTACCCTTGTATTACTTCTTGCGTGTATATTATTCCTTTATAGTTCGCCGCCGCGGGTGTGGATAAGAGGGGGATGCCATATCTCCGTCCCGAAATCATGTTGATCAAACATAGCAGGTCGAAAAAGCCGGTTGCGATCATGGACCCGGATTGTGCAATTTGCAGCCAGCCGGCTCTGGCTCAGTGCGAGTGTGAAGCTAAAGGGCTTGATATTGCTGTACGGCAAGCGGAACAACGAATGATGACCAGTGTATTTAATGATATAAGGTACGTATCTTATTCCTCACTGACTTTCCCAATCACTTACAAGGACAATGCCTCTATATCTCTTTGCTAGTATAAAAACTAACAGAGTAATAGAGCTTGGGTCCGAGGCCATGCCCAAGATTACATCCTCTCCTACTTCAGTATGCTCACCACTCGCCGCAAAGACCACCACGCCCAAACCATCCACCGCATCACCGAACGAGCAGCGTACTACTACAGAGCCCGTCCACACCCTACCGAGATCGCCGCCGCAGATGCTGAACTGAAACGAGGCATAGACGAGGATTGGAAAGCATCTGTACAACGGTATCCAGAGGTCTTGGAGTATTTCTATGGCTTGGTGGATTTAAATCTTCCAGGAGACGAGGAGCCTGGAGTTAGAGATCCACCACTTAGTGCATTGGGTGGTGTAGCAGTAGGCAGGGAAAGAGAAAGAAAAGTTAGACTGAGGGAACCAAGTGAGGTCGAAGAGCGAAGGAGACGGAGAAGAAGTAGAGGAGCCGAAGACCGAGACAGAGACCGGGACCGAGTCAGATTAGAAAGGGTCGAAGCACCACTCCCCCCAAGCCTAGGAGCCAGAGAACGGAGCAGACCCGGCGCAGTTTACGCTCCGCCCATGGGCGGATATGGCTATGTGCAGCCGCAATACTGAGGCGAGCACAAATCAGCGAGTTACATGATACGTTTCCACCGCCGACTACCACATCACTTCCAAGAACCCAACGCAAGCAAAAGCAACAAATAATCATCACGAACCAAAATACGTACGTACATGGGCGGCAGACCTCCCTCAAATTAATCACCGGCGCAAGCAAAATACAGGGTCACAGGACAACGTGTGGCACGAGACCAATGGTCACGAGATTCCTTTTTTTCTTTGGTGAGATGGATATTCTTGGGGATGATGGGGAAGCGTGCATTGAGCATCTGATTCTTAGCAATTGCATAGCAGCGGAGTTTGCTTTCTGTTGTTTGTAATTAGGGGATTAATATGATGTCACCTTTTTGTGTGTGTTTGGCTGTGTTGATGTGATGTGATGTGTGAGTGATGTGCATCGTGTCTGAGTAAGGAGAAAATGGAGGGAAAGTTGAAAATGAGATGGTGAATGTCTAGTGTGTTTATGGAGTTTGGGTAGGGATGTAATTATGATTGCAAGTGTGTGACTTTGTGAAAGGAGATCATTTGAATCTATACCAGACATTCAAATTGCGAGATTAGACCTCAGGCACCAATCTTCAAATCAAAGCATCACTCAACACATGTACCACAATTAACAAAACAGCACACATACCATGCATCAAAGAGATCATCATGTGGCAGCAAGGTAGATTATTTCTATCACCCAAGCGCCAAAAATGCATTGCAAGTTTTAATGTTCAATTCAGCGCTGCTCATTGTCCAACCCATCACTCAATATCTGCAAACCTCCCATCACCTCCAGGATATCTAACCATCCCTACTAACATACAGGCGAAAGAAGATCCCGTTCTCATTTTTTTCATCAACCCCCACCCGTGGTGCAACATGCCAAACTTTTTATATTAGAAGTTCCTTTCTCTCTCGCGTCACTGATGCATGGTTCTTCTAATGCAAACAAAGCCAAAGGGGTGGATGCAAAATGAAGTGGTAGAAAAGGTGCTTATTCCTTGTCTTCAATGCTGGCGGCTTTGAGATCGTCGGCGACATCTGCGTCGGCCTCTTTCTCAAGTTCAATTTCGTTTGCCACGGAGCCACCCTCGTCGACGGAAGCGGTTGCCTTGGTCTCGCCGTTGGCGTGCGGTGCGGGTGGGATGCTTCCGTTGGCGGCAGCGGCTTCTTCAGCATCCAGTCGCTCGACTTCCTTTTGGGCCTTTTCGATGTTCTGTTCTGTATTAGCTATAATGTCCAGAAATGATGATCAATACGGGAGAACTTACTCGCTTAGTTTGGGCCTCTTGGTCAGACTTCCAGAAATCGAGCTTCTCCTTAGCGGCTGCCAAAGCTTTCGGGACTTCAGCAGCAGTCATCGGAGGCTCAATCTTGAGAGCGACGCAATCTTCGAGGACAGAAGGTGGGCAGTTGAATTTGGTGCCCGCAGTTGGAGCTGGAGACTCTGCTGCTTTCTTGGCGTTTTTGCCCTTCTTGCCTTTCTTTCCACCGGAGCCAGCAAAGTAATCTTCCTCTTCCTTCTTGACAACCTTCATGCCTTTGATACCAGAATCATCGACAGTTCTTTGGGCGGTGGCTGTGAATTGCGAAGGGGCTTGGAGGGGTGCTTTCTCAGAGGTGTACGACGGGTCCAGGAATCGCATCAGAGACTCAGCACGACGGATCTCATCCAGGTAGGCCTTGTCGCTTGCCTCAGCAAGCATTTGCTGAGCACGCTCCTTTCTCTTCTCTTGGTGGTACTTGTCGTTCTCCGCCTTCTTGCGCTCCCGGAGTCTTTGACGAGCTTCAAATTCGTACTTCTGGATCGCACGGTTTTGTTGGAAGTAGTCGTCCTTGATCTTCTTGATCGCACCGTACTTCTCTTGTTGCTCATTTTGCAACTTTGTACGTTCGTCCCGGAGAGTGTTGATGCTCTTGAATGCATCATCTTGCTCAGCCTTAATTGTATCAAGCTCGCCCTGGATCTTGTTGTATTTCTCAGACAGGGCCTTAGACTCAGGATCTTCCAGTTGGTCGCGAAGAGCTTGAAGCTTCTTCTTCTTTTCATCGATTTGCTTCTGACTGTCCTCAAAGCCAGCGAAACCCTTACGTTGTTTGCGCAGGTTCGAGACCTCAGCCAAATTCTTCTTCTCCTCGACGATCTTCATATTACCGCTGTCGACCTGCTTCTGCAATCGGTCGATCTCACGATCCAGTTCATCGACATTCTTATAGTTAACTCTACTGCGAGCTACTTTTTGCTGAGCGATAAGGTCCTTAATCTTTTGGTCCTCCGATTTTATCTCGTCGAAGATCTTGTTACGACCGGCCTTTCCTGCACCTTGCTTCTCACGGATTTCCTTCAATTGGGCGAGAAGTTCAGCGCGACGCTTAGCAGACGGGGAATCTTTATTTTGAGGCTTTGCGAGGTCAAGCTTGCCCTTAATTTCCGCCTATAATGTCCACGTTAGTGAATGACAATGCAGGTTGCCGATGATAAATGATTGCTGCGCAGGCGCATTTTCGGTTTCAATGTGACGTACCAGTCTCTTCATAGACGCCGCATGTTCCTTCTCGGCCTTTGCCAGACTCTCTTTGTATGCCGCTTCATCGGGCTTCTCTGGCTTCGTCTCGACGACCTTCTTCTTGTCTGCGACACCCGCCTCCACAGATGGAGCTGCGACTTCGGCCATGATTGTAGAGGGATACCTTCGCGTGATTAGGGGGAAGCGGAAGTGTACGGATTCAATTGCCCACTTGACAGGGACAATAGATGTTGCGTGCGCACAAGAGTAAGTTAATATCTCGTGTGGGAAATATTTCACGACGAATGTCCAAGAACAGATTTACACGAGACCCTGCCGAAAAGTTTACAGGGTGGACGAAGCGAAGCCGTAGCGTCCTTTTATGAAGAACCAAACAGAGCCTCGTGAGGATTTCTTAAATCATACTAGCGTCAAAATATTGCAGCCTTCCTCGAAACTTTTGATATCCAGTTCACCTCAAAACTTCAACGACGACCACCTCCTGTCTCGGCAGACTCAGAACTCAATACCATCAAAGACAACATACAAGAAACCTGGGATATCACAGCCATGGCTTCCACCGACGAGGATCGCATGCGCAAGCAGCGCGAAGCTGGCGAAAGAGAATCTGCCAAACTCTGGCGCGCATGTCGAACCGTCCATGAGATGGTTCGAGATCGAGGCTACCAACTGTCTGACGCGGAAGTCACCATGAGCTTTGACGCTTTCAAGCAAAAGTACACGACGGATGATGGCAGCATCAGGTAACGCCGCAGCCCTTCATTGACGTGAAGTTATCGTACTGACCGGAATGTCCAGTCGCAAGATGATGAACTTCTCCGCCAGTCCAACCCTCGAGATGATCAAGCGCTATTCCAATCCTGTCACCGCACACGATCTACATCCTTCGAGCCCCGATATTGGCACCATCTGGGTCGAGTTCTTGCCAGACTCCAATGTTGGTATCAAGCAAATGCGCGCCTTCGCCCAGCATCTTACTGCTAACAACTTCCACACCGGCATCCTGATCACCGGCGTCAACATCACCCCTGCTGCGCTGAAGATTATTCCTGCTGTGGCTTCGGAGACGAGAATTGAGTGCTTTATGGAGGCGGATCTGTTAGTCAACATCACGCATCACGAGCTGGTCCCCCAACATGTTTTGTTGAGCAAGGAGGAGAGAACTGCGCTTCTGCAAAGATACAGATTGAAGGATACACAGCTGCCAAGAATCCAATTGGGAGACCCAGTTGCACGGTACCTTGGGTTGAGACGAGGTCAAGTGGTCAAGATCATTCGAAAGTCTGAAACGGCAGGACGATATGCTAGTTATAGACTTTGCGTCTAGAGTGCTCCGAGAGGCTTGATATACCATTGGCGTTCTGGGAGTTATTGATCGTTGGAGACTGGGAAAGTCAAAAGCATTGCTGAGGGCGTCTGGAGGAAGAATGATATAGCGGATACCTCGCTTGTACCAAGAGATTTCATACAATCAAGATTATGAAGCACGAGACGACTGAAGGCCATTTAAGTGACAAACACGGCTGACATTAGATCAATGCTAAATGTCACAAGATCATGGCAATTCACTAAAAGTGTCTACAGCTTTGCTTTCGCAGCAACCTCATCTCTAACAACCACACCTTCGCTCGCACCCCTACTCTTGTCCCTCAACAGCCTTCTCAGGATCTTCCCACTTGCACTTTTCGGGATCTCCCCAATGAACTCCACCTCTTTGACCCATTTATGCCTAACCTTCTTCTCCTTCACATATCTCAATAACTGCTCCCCTACATCCTTCTCTCCCGGACTCCCCTTCTTCTTGACAATATATGCCTTCGGTTTCTCTCCCGAATAATCATCATTTACACCAAGCACAGCAACATCCTCCACGAACTCATGCCCTAGCAAAAGATCCTCCAGCTCAGCTGGCGCCACCCCAATTCCCTTCACCTTAATCATCTCCTTAATTCGATCTGTAATAGTAACCATTCCCTCGTCATCAATCACCGCCTGATCCCCGGTATGCAGGTACCCCTCACTGTCAAACGTGCTCTTCGTCGCTTGCTCATTATTCAAATACCCCATCACGATCTGTGGTCCCTTCGCCAGCAATTCTCCCGGTTCATTAACCCCTAATTCCTTCCCATCTTCATCCACGATTTTGATAGTAGTAGAAGCACACACCGTGCCGACTTTATGCGCATGCTCATATCCGTATTTCTCTGGCGGATGACTCGTAATACAAGAACACGACTCCGTCATCCCGTACCCTTGCTTGAACCCCGTACCCGGAAACTTCTTCTTGAGCATCTGGATGATTTCCTCGCTCAACGGAGCAGCACCGGAACTGAACCGTGTGACGAAACTTAGGTCGTAGTCATCGACAATAGGGTCTCGCACAAGCCGGATGATGATTGGTGGCACGAGTAAGAGTTCGGAGATGCGGTACTTGACGACGGTGTCGAGCATGGATTTCATGGTGAAGGAAGAGAGCATGTAGACTTCGGCGTTGAGGAGGATGGGGAGGTGGAGGGCGTGGACGAGGCCAGTTATCTAGGTAATGGGGGGGGAGCGTTAGCACTTTTCATCTTTGTTGTTTCAGGAAAAGGATAAGACAATGTCTCGAGAAAGGAAGTGGAAAATGGGGCTTCCCCAATACCTACGTGGAAGGAGGGGAGGACGGCGAGGACTTTTTTGTGGGTGCCAGGGGTGATTTGCTTGATTTGGACGCATTGGGCTATCACGTTTTGGTGGGAGATCATGACCTGGACGGACATTCATCAGTTTGCGGACAATTTGAGGGAAGAATGTACGTACAGCTTTGGGAAGTCCAGTAGTGCCTGAACTGAAACTTAGGAATCCACACAGGTCCTTATTCTTCTCTCCTCTCTTCAATTTGTACTCCTCGACCTGTCCCTTTTCTCCTTCTCTCTTCCCTAGCTCGAGTAGCTCGTACATAGTGGTAAACCCTTCCATTGTCCCTTCCAACAAGAACACTCTCTGCTTCGGAATTCCAGCATTCTTAGCTGCGGCAGAAGCAACGTCCATACTCCCAGGTATCGTAAACAGATACTTGGCCCCAGCAGTTTTCAACGCATATGTCATTTCTTCCACATTATACGCCGGACTAGCTCCTGATATGATACCTCCAACGCGGTTGACCGCGAGCATAGCAACTGGGTACCATATTGTGTTTTGAGAGAAGAGGGCTACAACGTCGCCTTTTTGAAGGCCATAATGTCGGACAAGTGCTGTGGACAAGTGGGTGGTATGGGTCTTGACGTTTGCCCAATTGATCCTCTCTTTGGTGTTGGCATTGCTGTAGCCTGCGAGTTGAGAAGAGGGAATCGATTGTAGGGGAGAGGCAGGGGAATTGAAGAGCCAGGTCCAGTTGGTGATGTTGGTTGGTACTGAAGATTATATTAGCTAACTTGACCACCATTTGAGGGAGTACTTACAGTCAATGTCTGGCTGTGAACTTTTGAACGGCATTGTAAGATACCTACCTTGAGAAAACGAATAGAGAGAGAAAGCGCTGAACGGAACAAGAAACTCGAATGGAGTTTGTAAGAGTAACTGGAGCACAAGTCCTACCGGGAATACCAACCTTGTGCCTCCTTGAGGCCGATCCCGTGCCTAGGTTGTCAAGATGTACGACTCAATTGTGCTGGCGTCAGTGGAGGTGGAGGTTCAATGCGGGGTACGGGAAGGAGGTACCGCTGACTAAGATCACGTGTAGCCCCCACATTACGCGCATCTTGTACGTTCTGCGGTCATCTTTCTTTTGAAAAGAGAGTTAAGTTCAGTCTCTGAAGTCTGGGACACTGTCCGCTCCAAGTCTTGTGTCGTCTATGAGCTCTAAGGTGCAGAATGTTCGCATCAACATCGCAAGTCTTGAGGCAGCCAAGCTGGCTCAACGAGTCGCTGACGGCGAAGTCAAAATCACATCGACAACAAAAGAGAGAGACACAGCGAAAAAAGGTATACGAAGATTTGAAAGATATTGCAAGTCAGCCTGGTGCTACAGACAAGGGGATCCAGGATATGAATGCAGCAAAGGCTGAATTCGACAGGAGGTTCGCAGAGGCAGAAGCTACGTCAACGAGCAGAATGCTTTACAACAACAACGTGACGAGATGAAAGTAGAGAGGCTGAAGCACAGAAGGAACATAAGCAGGCTGAAGCAGAGGCTGCGAATGCACTGAAGAAGGTCCGTCAGCGTGGTGACTGATACAAGAACTCAGGTAATTTAGTTGAGATAAAAGATACATATGCAGCAGATAGTCTAGAAGAACTACAATGTGGCTTCACTGGCCTGGAAAGTTTTTAATGTGAACATCTGGCAGGATGAACATTCAGTTAAATCACAAATGGTTGCATGCCTGGTTAGGTAACCCCTATTTTAAGCGAGACTCGCATCTTTTGGGCAAATCGCCACACTAACACAATATAATCAACAATTATTCGAGACAAGGAAGCTTCTTGTATATATACAAGTCCACATTTGGCAAGATGATTCCAGATACAGCATGACTTATATCTCTTCGGGTGCCATGAAGTGACCAAGTTCAACATTCCCTTTAAAATCTAACATAGCTCAACACCCTCCTCCACATCGGTTGCCCATAATACTTATCCAAAAACTCCAGCTCTTCCTCATTCAATTCCCTCCTTCCACTAACCAAATCTGCGGTCTTTGGATTTTGAATCTTCGTCCTGAACCAAAGTTTATACCCCAGATATGCCACAATGAAGACTGGGAAACAAAGCATAGTCTCGAAGAACGTGGACGCAGAAGGAGAACCGGAGTCGGGGATTACACTAACGTAGAACGTGCAAGCAAAGGTGAAGAGGGTTGAAACAAAGAGGAAAATGGATTCGGAGGGCCAGAAACGGTTTTTATTCGCGTAAGCGAGGGAGAACGCCGGGTCGTTCTGGGCTTTGATGGCGCGGTGCATGCACCAATTTGTGACGGGAATGACCTGAATTCGCGTTAATCACATTTATCGCCCTATTGCTTGGTGAAAACTTACCATCCAGGCAAAGAATGTAGTAGTGGCAGATATTGAGGAGAACCAGTTGAAAGCAATTGCCCCGGTCGTCGAGACACACATGTATGTCATTGCCGTCGCGATGAGGAAGCAGCTGATCAAAGAGATCATGGGTCTTCCCTTGGTGTCTACACGTCCGAAGATAGCGGGGAACATTCCCATCTTAGACATAGCAGTCTGGATTCTCGATGCAATGAAGATTGACTCGGAACCAATGCAGCAGAGGCAGATAAGGAGCACAACATTGATGATGTCCGGCAAGACTTTAATCCCAGCATAGCCCATAGCAATGACGAACGGCGAAGCAGCCACGTTGCTGGTGTTAAGTAAAAGTGGCTCGTTGTAGGGTACCATTACGGAAACAAGAACGCAGGATGATCCGAAGATGAGAATGATTCGGATGAAGAGGTTAATCGATGCTCGAGGCATGTCATAGCGGGGCATTTTCGCTTCACCAGCAGCAATGCCCAAAATTTCTTGGCCACCTGTTGCCCATGAAGCATACAGAAAAACACGAGCCACACCCTGAGAACAGTCAGATACATGTTTCTGATCGGTAGCGAATCATGGAGAAACATTTGCGCGACCTAATTTCCCTAGGCTTCAACTGGTCGAGAAAGCGCTTTCTACCTCTATGAAAAAAGGGTACAAATCGGATCGTACTACTTACTCTGAATCCGTTAGGAAACACCGGTAGTTCTCCATTGTAGTTTGCGCCCCATCCGCTTGTTCGTCCAGTCGGTCCAGCACCAGCAACAATAGCGACGGAAGTCAAAAGAACAATAGCCATTGTGACTACTTTGACAGCTCCTGTGCAGAATTCGAATTCGGCAAACCATCTATTAGGCATCAAGTGGAATGCATAGACAACAACTACATGACAAGTCAGCACTATGTCAAGGACCTAGAAGGAGCTCGCTCACCTAGGTAGATAGTCATCAAAGCAGCTGCGGGTATCTCAGTCGTCCAGTAGCTAATAATAACTGGGAACACCTGAGAAGTCAATTCGTAATCTTTGGACTTTACAACAGGATGAACTTACAGCTCCCTCAGCAGCAACAACTGTCAAAGCTCCAAACCATTCACAGAATCCAATGGCAAATCCAAGAGCCGGATCGACAAATCGAGAAGCATGATCAATGAAGGATCCCGAAGTAGGAAAGAGGCAGACAGCTTCACCCAAGACTGTGAGCATAGCAATAGCCATGACACAGATCAAAGGGTAGCCAATGAGGATACCAGGGGCACCGCCAACTTGAAGAGCCTGTTGCAATTGTCAGAATTGGACCTCTAGAACGGGACTATACTCAGACTTACAGCACCAATACTGATGAAAACGCCGCTCCCAATATTGCCAGCCAACGCAATCATTTGCACATGTCTAGCCTTGAACTTCCGATGAAGTTGTCCCGAGTTCGCTGCGGCACTGGATTCGCCAACATACTCTCTGAGAGGACCGACATTGCCAACACCATGTTCTACCGAGCTTGTCGGTAGACTTGTCGCCTTCACCGTTGTCTTCTCCAAGTCCGCCATTTTTACCAACAATTGCAAATAATCAATTGGTCATTCGATACTTTCTTTTGGCAAGTGGATGTGCGTAGAACGCGCCGTCATATATCAGACCACAATGGCATCTGTAATCTGGAAGCGTCAATAACTTCATTGTTCCTATCTGCGTATCGTTTTTCTCGGCGATATGATTTCGAGAATTGGATTGCTGGCGCCGAGATGCTGGGATGCTCCTTGAAGGGTCCTTCCGATAAGCCTCTCAAGAGTGGATGATGAATTAAGGTTAGGGGCTACTCGCTTAAGCGCTTGTCTCCACATCCCTATCAACTCGAGTCAGTTACCCCATCTTTGCCACTGACCGAGATAAACGTGCAGAAAATGAGTCTGGCCATTTAGTGGTTTTCAACTCCGAGAGTGTTATCGCCGTCGGCCTCGTTACTGAGACTCCGCGGATGAGGGGTATTGCTTGCTTGTCGCGGGGCAATTGCAAAGTGCAATTGAACGATCAGATTTACTCGGCGTTGTGACGTCCAATCATTTGCCGCCCCGAGCTCAATGAGCTGCGTCAAGCTTTCAGAAGGAATATACAGAAACAATTCAGAGTTTTCAGATGAAGTTTGAATAGCAATCATAGAAAAGTTTCTCTCAAACTCTTCACAATGGTCATCGACAGTCGCGGTCCCAAAGCCGAGATGAATCAAGGTATCTTCGTGCCAGTCTCCAATGGCTATGTCGTCGACGAAGATGCATTCGGAGAACCACGAAAATTACGCATCATAACCCTCGGAGCAGGCGCCTCGGGATTGAATGTGGCCAGGCAGATTGAACAGCACATGAAGAATGTCGAGTTTCAAATCTACGAAAAGAACGGGGATGTTGGAGGCACCTGGCTAGAAAATAAGTATGGCCCCACCAACATCGAGACCGAGAGTTCTTCTCACAAGAATCCAGGTATCCAGGCTGCGCATGCGACATCCCCTCTCATAGCTACCAATATACATGGGCTACGAATCCAAATTGGAAGAAATTGTAAGACTTGCGACCAGAACCGGAAGCTGAGCTGAGAGAAATAGCTATTCGCCTGGCCCAGAGATCTTGGAATATTTCCAGGATGTTGCAGATAAATATTGTCTGAGGAAATATATCAAATTCCACCATCGAATCATCTCGACGATATGGGACGAGCAAGAGGGAGCCTGGAACATGAGAATAAGAAAGTTGGAGACTGGAGAGGAGTTTGATGACTATTGCCACTTTTTCATCAACGCGTCTGGATTTCTGAAGTATTTTTCTCAGCAACTCCTTAAGGTTCCCCTGTTGATAGAAGAGCAGCAATTGGAAATGGCCAGCGATTCCAGGTCTCGAGTCTTTCAAGGGCAATCTGATGCACAGTGCTGCATGGAAACCAGAAAGCGATTTGTCGGGCAAGACAGTGGCGGTCATTGGAAGTGGCTCGTCGGCAATTCAGATTGTGCCTGCAATACAGCCTCAAGTCAAGCATCTGACGACGTTCATTCGATCGCCAACGTGGGTTACGGCTGGGTTCGCACAGAGCAAAGCAGGCCCTGGAGGAACGAATTTTGACTGTAAGTTGACATGTGCAATTAGTGTGGCTTCAACTGCTGCTGACCAATATTCTAGTCAGTCCCGAACAGAAAGAAAGCTTTGCCAAAGATCCGGAGAAGTACTTGGCGTACCGGAAAGACGTGGAGAAAGAGATGTGCAGCCGTTTCAAAATGCTTCACAAAGATACACCTGAACAAAAGGCAGCAGTCGAGTTCTCGACAAATGACATGAAATCCAAGCTGGGTCCGAACAACCCACTTGCAGAGTTCATCATCCCAAAATTCGCAGTCGGATGTCGACGGCCTACACCGGGAAACGGATATTTAGAATCCCTCACAAAGGACAATGTCCGCGTAGTCACAGACGAAATCGAAGAAGTCGTGCCAGAGGGTCTCATCCTCACAGGTGGAGAGACTTTGAAGGTGGATGCTATCATCTGTGCAACTGGATTCGATTTGTCATTTTGCCCACAATTCCCCATTATTGGAAGGAATGGTGCGAATCTTAGTGAACAGTGGAAGGAAAGAGCAACAGCATACATGTCGGTAACACCTGAAAATATGCCAAATTACTTCAGTAAGAACACACTTGCGAAGATACCACACCCCGCCAGGAGAGTGTCACTGACCTTCACAGTGTTTATGGGCCCCAATTCTCCTGTTGGTCACGGCTCAGCGATTCCCATCATTGAACACGTAACAAAGTACATCCTCAAAATGATCTACAAGTGCCAGACAGAGTCGATCAAAGCGCTCTGTCCCTCGCCTTCTGCGATCCGCGAATTCACACTCCACGCAGACGTGTTCCTCACTCGTACTGCTTGGAGCACGAAATGTCGTTCTTGGTTCAAGAATGGGAAGGTTGATGGACCTGTCATGGCGTTGCATCCAGGTAGTAGGATACATTGGTTCCACATGATGACACAACCAAGGTACGAGGATTGGGAATGGACGAGGTTAAACCCTTTAAATCGGTTTGCTTATTTGGGTAACGGATTTAGTGTGAGGGAGGCGCGGGGCAAAGATCTCACTTGGTACTTTGATGATCCCAATGAGGGGTACGAAGGGTTTCTGTATTGATAGACGAATTGTTCTGAACTCATTGGCACTTCAGGTCTAAATGATGATATATTGATCATGACCAACCCCAGAACCCATCTGGAAATGAGCCTGAAAGTCCGGGCTCTTGCCAATATATTTCTCGCCATTCGTTGTCCAAAGTCATCATGTCAGAGGAGTTCAGAACGAAATCCTCTGGGCTGTTATTCTGGGACAGAATTCCATTCCAGTTTTGCATTTCGTCCGATGCATTCGGGACCATTGCTAGCGTAGTATCTCGCGCTGCATCTGCAGCGGCCGCAAGCATATCTAGATCCGTTCTTCCACTCGGATTCCACGTATTCTCATCTCGTGATGTACTAGCATTAGATGTTGGAGCAACTTCTTTGCCTTTTTGAAGGCTCGGAGTCTGCGCCCGATCTTGCTCTGAGCTGGCTTTGCCTAGGCGAATTCCATGTTGCACATGGGAACTTTCCTCGAAGAACCGTAAGATCGATTCGGCATTGATCCAATACTCGGCAAGTTTTCTCAGTGAGAGGAGAGTCGAGTCAAATCTGCGAAGAGCGTTGATCGCTAAGACTGGGTTGGAAAACCTCAATTCAACACTAACTTGGATCATTGCTGTGAACAGAGCATTGATATCGGAGATCCACAAGTACTTTATGCGATTTTTCTGTCTCAATTCTTCGAATATGCTGGCAATTGCGATCGCAGCTGCGCTGCAAATGTCAGAGTCATTTCGTCCGTGGTGATCAGATCGTTGGGATGCCCGAGGATGTGGTCGATGAAGCAAGATCAAGAAGTTATTATACGTCAGATGTAGAGAGGATGCCCATAGACTCATATCGGAAGTACACATCTGTAGATAAGAAGGGAGCTTCAAACACCAATGGGCAAGTGCCTCGTCTCCATTTCCCAGAGCTGCTTTGCGGTCTTCGGGACTGACTCGCAGGCCAAACCCTTCCTTGACAATCTTAGAGATCAGGAGGCAGAGCTCGGTATGTTGGACGACATAATCAATTTGGACGTTGGGGCCACAGCCTTCAAAATCAGACTCGCTCAAGGGCTGCACATCACATTCTTCGAGGTTTCTATTCTGCCATCAGTTGCAGAAGTAATTAAGGAAGCGAGGCACATACATAGCTTGTGGACGTCCATATGAAAGGGATACCGTAACATCAAATTGGACCAAGATCCACCACGTTCGCCTCCACGTACGCATATCATGATGAATCAAGGTACTGGAGCCAGCATCACGGTGCATGCCCAAACCCATAGCAATCCGAGCAGCGATGCCGACCCAGTACCATGCATTTGCAGCAATGTCTTCATTCCCGTCAGAGTGCCATGTGAGAAGCAGTGCTGCTTGCACGACAACATCTCGATTCTTCTCTAGCCGAGCATCGAACAACATTTTCGCTCTCCTGAAAAATGTGGCTTTCAACACATCACGATCAGGCCGTTCTCGCAACACATGAGCTCCTACCAGGAGAATAGCTTGAAGAACGAGAAGTGAAGGAGGATCCGCTGGATTTCGACCTCGATACTGGCCCATGAAAATATCTTCGTCCACAATGGGACAACCAGGATTTATGTGAGTGAAGTAAGCTTCTACCAACTCATCTGCCAAAGCTTGGTCCGGCAGAATAAATGCTTCTCGTGGCATACGGTCAGGTTCGTGAGTGATATACTGACGTGCTATTTGATCACTTGGAAAATGGTAAACGGTTTCGTCTTCCCCACCGTCTCGTTGTCGGACAAGAAAATTGATATTTGAGACATCTTTGCCAACATATGTGATCCTAACCCCTCTTTGAATTGATCGATGGCCTATGTCCTTTTGGCCGATAAATTCGACAAGATGGCGTCTACCAGAATCATCTTTTGCTACTGCTGTACTTGCGTCATTTGTGTTTTGAACTTCGCCCGCAGATTGAGTTGTGCTTGACGAAGCTCTATCAGAAGATGTGCCTTGTGGCAGACTGGCTTGATCATTAGACCTCCGCCGAATCGGAACAGGATTGCTTGAGGGGCGAATTATAGTTCGTTTCTTCTTCTCATGTATTCGACAGTTAGGCCGCTGGGAATTGATACAAGTCGAACATGGGAAACCTCTTTTGTGGGCATCGCAGCGCACTTTTCGGTCGTGGCAGTTGATGCACGCAGCTCGGCCTGCTGAGAGTCAGATCCTATCCACACTTGCCAACGGATTGCCCTACTCAACTTGCGTCTTGGGGCTAGGCCGTGGGGACCAGAGCTTGCGTTCTCCCTCAATGAGGCCATTCTAATCAATGCTGAGGTTCGTTTGCAGCACAATGGACGAGCTTGGAGGCATGTTTGTTGAAACGCCGAGATCCCACTCTTGTCCAGTTCAGCCTGGGTTGCCCCAGACTCTAGGGCTATAAAACCAGCCCTCCATCAATCTGCAGGGCCGCATTTCGCTGTATTGCACTGGTTAGCAGCGCCGAGTACTTTTGTTGAGCACACAAGTGATCAAGCTTCGGCAACATAGTTCGTTTGTAAAGTTAGATGAGTCGCGTGCTGCAATTGCCACAAAACGCGGTGGACCTGTGACCGCGAGTTCGTGGAATAATTAATTCTATAGAAACTTTCTTATTCAATTGAATCGGATAGAATCCATAGATTTTAAATCCACGAATTCGGGCAAAATTTTATTTTTCTTCGATTTTTTTTTATAATTTTTATAATTTTTATAATAATTCGTAGATTGAAAATCTATGGAATTAAAAGAAATTCTATAAATACGACTATTTTATAGATTCGCGGTTACAGACCGAGCACGTCAGATCCGAGGTCAACGACAGAATGAACGATCATTACCAGAACTCTTCTTCGCGATCTGTGAATATTGTTTGAGAGAAACTTTCATGTCGGTCTTCTGAACCATTAACATTGCTCTCCGCGTAAGTGAAAAGAGGGAATTTTCGCCCACGGAGACATCAACCAATCATATCCACTCTGCCCCTCCAAACCGCCGTAGCCACCCATTCTTGGTAAGGAATCATGTTCTATATACATCATGTCTCCAGACAAGAAATGAAAACGTTGCTGTTATCTGGATTTCTTTTATTTGGCGACTGAAAGCTTTTTCAAAATGCCAAAGGCAAACTCACCTCCCACTTCACCAGTAGCTGAACTAGGCTTGACTGTCAAGTCACAAGTCAAGACCTCATCGGGTCTTAGTGCAGCAGTGGAAGCTGCGAAGCAGCGATTTGTCGAGAGAAACCCCGCGTCGGCGAAGTTTTTCGAAGATGCCACGGAATATCTTCCTGGCGGAAATACGAGAACCCTATTATACTCTGCTCCTTTCCCAATATGCATGAAGAAAGGAGAAAATTATCAAGTGTTTGATGAAGATGGACATACGTAAGTGTTAAAGCAACGTTCGTGTCTTATTTCTAATATATACAGATACACTGACTTCGTTGGCGAACTCACGGCTGCCTTGTATGGACACTCTCATCCTCTGATCAAAGAGTCTCTCATCAACACGATCAACACTGTTGGACTAAATCTCGGTGCTACAATTGCCCAAGAAGCAAAGCATGCCAAACTCATTTGCGAACGCTTCAATCTTTCCAAAGTCCGCTTCTGCAACTCAGGAACGGAAGCCAATTTACATGCTCTAGCGGGAGTACGTCACTTCACTGGAAAACGAAAGGTAGTGGTGTTCAGCGGTGGATATCACGGTGCCGTGTTAGGATTCTGGGATGGTGTCCAAGAGAACGGAGTTGACAAGCACGAATGGGTCATTGGAAAATACAACGACGTGGAAGGAGCCAAGAAGCTGATTGAACAAGATGATATTGCTGCTGTGCTCGTCGAGGGTATGCAAGGCGCCGGTGGTTGTATTCTGGGGACCAATGAGTTCTTGCTTCAGCTACAAGAGAGTGCCAGGAAAGTAGGTGCATGCTTCATCTTGGACGAAGTCATGACTTCACGACTTGGACCTTCTGGGTTGCAGGGTATCGAAGGACTTTCCCCGGATATCACTACATTCGGCAAATATCTCGGTGGCGGTCTTGCATTTGGAGCTTTTGGCGGCAGAGCAGATATCATGGCCGTTTACGACCCTCGCTCGCCTAACTCTCTGGCTCACTCTGGAACATTCAACAACAATACACTTGCCATGAATGCTGGCTTCGTTGGTCTCAGTGAGATCTGGAAGCCAGATGTTGCAGTTGAGTTCAACAAGATTGGCGATGCCTTCAGAGCAAGCCTACAGGAGGTCACCAATAGCACAAAGATGAGCGTCACTGGACGAGGAGCGTTGAATGCCATCCACTTTTCGGATAATGGCCTGACAAAGATTTCTTGCAGAGAGGATATTGACGAAGATTGGGGCTTGAAAGACTTGTTCTATATGGAGATGATGGAAGATGGCTTTTGGATTACCAGGAGAGGAAGCATCGCGATGATTTTGGATACACCTCAAAGCGAGTTGGATCGCTTCGTTGATTGCGTGGGAAAGTTCTTGGAAAGACACAAGAGCTTGGTGTCTTTGTAGATTCATTTGCTCGTAATTTTTATCTCATATTCTGTTCACTTAATTACTGGATTAATATGAACTTTTTGATTGGACTGTCATATGATTCTTTTTCCGTCTTGATCCTTAACTCCGAAGCTCTTGATACCAATTTCCAGCAATTTCCCTTTCGCCTCATTAAATGGATCCGGCCTTGCTCCATAAACTCCAATCATTATAGTCTCAACACCGCTCCTTTCCTCCTCCAAGAAGACCCATGGCACTTTCCTCACCAAAGTCCTCTTCTTCACCTCGCTTACAGTATAAATCATCAACGCATCACCAAATCTTTCCATCTCAAGAGTCATTTTGTACGTTCCAGTCGCAGTAATCTGACCAGGTTCGAACAAACTCCAATCACTCCATTTTTCTCTCACAACGATACTTCCCCATGCCTTTCCTTCCCAGACTTCGATCCCGGCTTTGATCCATCTTGGATGCGTCTCTTTCTCTGCTTGTACCAGATCTTTTGCCTCAGTCCCAGCACCAGGAAAGACAAACACCAAGCCTCCTTGGTCGAATTGAAGAGTAGGATTCTCTACTTCTTTCTCCTTTGGAGAATGTAGTGTGAATGGGATTGAGATTGTAGCTTTGGCGGATCCAAATTCTAGGATAGGGAGTTGGGTGTAAATAATTGGCGCCGAGAAGTGGTATCCATGTGTTGGAGATGCAAAGATATCCGTCCTAGGAGGAGTCAAGATCGAGAACTTGTCTGATGCTTCTTGTTGACCTTGGACCGTGTTCAGAAAGTGAATAGGAGGAGACATCACGTCTTTTGACTCGTCTTATTATGTGCTGATAAGAATGTGGCGAAGAAGGCGGATATACCTGATAGCAGGATGGGCACTGGTACTCTCATCAGAGATGTTCCCGAAGATGGACCTCGCGGGACTTTGTGAAAACTTCCCATCCCACTCATGTTATCTGAATGGTGCATTAGTACTTGGCTGAAAAAGTTACCATGCAAGGATAACCACTTCCTGCATGGCAATTTCGAAAGTGGGAGTAGCTTCGGCGTTTGGATTCAGCCAATTACGGCGAAAGCTCAGAACAAGAAACTAAAAATTGCTATCACGTGTTAGGGACTTTGGGAACTGCTTTCATCATCGTGAAGTATGAATTGAATAGCAAAGGAACGATGTTGCGGTAGCAATCAATTGTTTAGCGATTCATTGATTTGCAGAAATGAACGCATCTACTGAAAGTACCCGAAACTGGGAGTCAGGATACTGGCCGTTGACTTACCTTGCCCTGCTGACCGCGCTGGCACTCGTATTCGTGTATCTTCGAAACATAGATCCATCCAAGAAATCGAGGATATGTCTCAAGTCTACGGGAGCAGAGAAACAAGATGCTGCTTTCCAATCCATGGGCGCCATTGAGCCCCTTTCAAATCTGAAATGGGAAACAGAAGAACCTCGAAAGATCTACAAATTCAGTCCCAAGTATTTTCTGACAATGGGTAAGTCTCGGTTCTTCTGATACTCAGCCAGTATTTACAGCAAGTATAGGTCTAACAAACACGAATATAAACTTCATCACACAAATGGACAAACAATACCCCTCACGCCTCATCGAGCGTCAAAAAATCCACGACACACATCCCAACTCTCTTAAGTGTCTTCCCACAGCCGTTCCGATGGTAAACGAAATATACACCTTCCTCGTAACCACTTATCTCCCTCAACGCTACCCCACAATGTTTACCCTACAATCACCATCTCACCTCCTGAACATCGCCACCAACAAACTATTGCCAACGAGTCCGCCTCAAGACCCGATCGAAGCACTTCATCTCCTCAGTGTGAACATTGATGAAGATTTCCTCATGCTTCTTCCAGCACCAGATGGAGATGGATATTCGCTTCAAAGTTTCATTTGGTGCTATCCCGTCGGGTTTGATGCGGGGTCGAAACTTGGGCTGAAGTTAAGAGAAGCGCATAAACCTGTGCCGGAATACAAGGAGAAATTACAAGGGAGCATGGATCGTTACTTTGGAAAATTGGAAGTTGGGAGAGTGGTCTATCGTGTTAATGTAAGAATTCCCATTTCTCTGTCTCGGGCGTGAAGTTGACACAAGGATAGTGGGCAATAGCAACAAACGACTCTCTCTGCGAAGACGGCGAGTACCATCTGTACGAAGGACAAGAAGTGTCCACAGAGACAGACATCGATATCTCGAACTGTTGGGTGAGATGTGAACTGCAGACTCTATTCGCTCTTCCGAAGTCTGGTGGAAGGATCTTATCTGTGCATTTGTATTTGTATCCATTGCAGCAGATCAAGGACGAAGGATTGGGAGAAGAGTTGTGTGAGGCAATTGATGGGTTGAAGTTGGGTAATGCGCCGTCGTTTTGGAGGTATAAACGAGCACCTGTCTGGCAGGAAAAAGTGAAGGAATTCCTTCGGGGCTAGCGAAGCGGGGTTAATTTGCCCTGTGATTATCAAATCAATGGAAGGACAACCATGCTTGATACCAAAGCCTTTAAGATGTCGTGTATAGCTTTGATCTTCGAACGTCGAATGAAGATGGGGATGTGAACAGACTTGAGCCTAAAGACTTTCTCGCTTAAATAGGGGTAGACGAATGGTCAGGCGGAGAGTCTTATTGTGAAGCTAGCAATGGCACAGAGAAAAATGAGACAGATACGTAGAAGCGATTTTGGAATTGACGTAACGGGCTCTAGAACCTTTCACTTTTCCTAGAAATTCTACAACTTGCAGTCGATTTCCATGGAGTCACTGCTCTAACTCCAGAGCTAAATAGGGTTCTCAATGGGTAGGTCGGACATTTTTTTGGCTCTAAATCATTACTACTCGTACTCGTACAGATCTAGACAGATAGATATCCGTCACTATTAGGATTCTAAATACGTCTCAATAGTTTTACTTGCCAAGACAAATATAAGCTATGAATAGTGTATTCTCAACCTCAAGCCTCAAATCTTAAGCATCAACTTTAAGCTTCAACCTTACACTTCAAGCTTTTGTCACGTCCACCTCAAGCCTCCTATATTTAAAAGGTTTCAAGCTCTAAAGTCTTATCTAAAGCACCCTAACTTTTTTTGATCTCTTTAATCCTTAGGGCTAGCTTTCACCCCGGCTTCCAGCCCCTAAAGTAAACGAGTAGTCAAATATTAGCAGTCTTTTTGAGCTAATGTCCGTGTCCGCCAATAAGATAACAGACGATTAAAAAGTCATATCCGTAAGCAGCCTAGAGGGACAGTTCTTGTCGGACACGCAAAAAATGCCTGTCCATTGAGACCGCTGGAGCTACACATCCAAAATGGCTCCTCCATTCCATCGCACATCAACTAGTCGAGAGAAAAGTCTTTGGTACTTTCACGAAATATTTGGCATGAACCGCGTTCAAGAAATAACATACAAATCCTCAGGAACCGATCTCAGAGACGTGAAAGCAACGACGAGAAGTGCAACTCTCGCAATTGCGTACAGAAAGATTGTGACAAGGGTCAAAGCTCGCGATAGAGCATTGCACCAGTTCAGCACAATGGCAATCCCCCCCCAATGAGCGCACGGCTCTTCGACCAGAAGAATTTCAAAAAGGCTTGCTTCCGGAACATCATGTCCTTGAGCGCGTAATGCATGTCCTATGAATGCTTCGCATAATTTGAAGAACATAATCTTTCCAGCCTTTGTTTTTTCTGATTCTATGCCTTGACTTGTTATTGCTCCAAAATAAAGAGCTCGCACCTCATCACACAGCCCAATTAGAGCGGGTAAGATTTCCAGGGCGTGTTCTGAGTCGATGTGCCTGTGACGCCAACAAGAACGTACATATTTCAACTGCCATTCGATCCACATGAAACCTCTCGGTTCTTCTTCTAGGTTGTAACAGTTGTATCCTGTGCTGGACTGAGCGTGTCGAAGCAACTCTGTTAATATCGATGTCTGTACTGTTGACATAGTCGGAGGCGTCTTGCTTGTAAGGAGAAATTCTTGAAACTCCACACGCAAGGGCGACATGCACCAGATGTCATCAAGTGAATCCCACCAAATACTTGGGTAGAGATCTATCTTTTCGAGCCGGGAGTGCACTTCCTGGATGTAGCGATCAAGTCGAGGACTGATTAGCAATGAAAGCAAGTGGCTTCCAAGTAAGGCCACACACGGTAGCGTGGCTGATGCAACACCCCCAACACGCCAAATTAAAATTTCGGCTCGAGATGGGAATTCGAATGACCATGCTACACAATGTAGACTGCCAAATACAAACGCTGACATTGCAGTAATTATTGAGATCATGCCCATGCTGCCTTCTTTCCGAATTGAGTCATTGGATATGCGAGCCCTGGACGCACGCCACACTGCCAAGGAATTATGAGACTGAGGAGTTGATGGAAATCTTATTCCCGATGGTTTGACAAGGAATGGGAAGAATGGTATTAAAGTGTGCCTCGCTGTGCTAAGCGCAGTTCTATCTGTACTGACTCTCCCATATTGGTTCGGAATTGATAGCTTGATAGGCACGTCGACGTCCTTGGGTTTCCACAAATTTGTTATGTATGTAAGAATAGCAATCGTAGAGAAAGCAACGGCGGCTATCTCTAGTGGGCTTACAGGCAGGCGTGTTGTACGTCGAACGATTACACAGAGAACGAGCCACAATATCTGGCATATTGCAAGCAGCTTTACCAGAAGATCAGCCTTGCCTTTGTCTTCAATATCAGCCTTTGATGGGAATAGGTTGCTCTTGCTTGGTTCTCCTCGGCAACGAGCGAGTAATCCGGATGTTGTGATTAGAGAGTCAATAGTGCTCACGCTAGCATCATCAAAGCCACCCATGTTTGCAAAGTAGGAATGAACAGGTGTCCAAAAAGTCCACTCTTTGCTCCATCTGTCATCGAATTCTGGCAACCTCTGGCGTTCTCGCTTGACCGCTCTGCTGTCGATGTCTTGCTTTGGCTCATCATCAAGACGAGGTCCATTCCCCATCATTGTTCCTCCTCTCCCAGGATTGCCGAGGTGAAAGATTCGATACCAGACTCGACATGCTCGACCAAATTCAACATACCAATTCAGCTCTATCTCGTGACGTTTCATTTCAAAGGTGTTATCGACTGCATCCTTAAGCTCGCAAACGGCTTTCGCAAAGATGAATTCAGGAAACAGGATCGTGACACACATCCATTTCAGCTTCCGAAGCCTCTTCGTCCAAGCACTATCTCCGCGAGCTGGGACATTCAAGTGCAAAATCGACCAAGTACAAGTGATGATAGTGGCTAGACAACTCCACACGAGTGTCAAAGTGCCACGTCGAGTCGGGCCAGGCTCCCAACCGACTTTGCCTAGAGGCTGCGAGGCTGAGGTTTGATTCTGGGCATTGGCAGTAGTAACAACGAACGCAGTAATGAGAAAGAAGACACGAAACATCTCTCAAACTCTTGACGAGTACAACTTGCTCGCGATTCGAGAACGAGACTAGATAAAGAGGAACTTAGCAGGCACGAAATGGGCAATTGTTTGAGCAGTTTCAACGCTAGCCGGAAATGGACGATGTCTGGCTGCGATGTTCAGCCACATTGTTCGCCAATTGTACAATGAGGATGCTTCTTGGTCTGCGTAATAAGGCTCCTACTCTTTGATCCAAACTAGTTGCGTGTATGTGAGGCTTCGAAAGGGGTAGGCACTACAAGACAAGGTGAAGCATACACTGCCACTTGGCAAAATGCAAAGCAAGAAACCAATACAACAAACCATTTTACTCGAAGATCACATAGTAACTAACACAGTCCATCAATTACAATCAAGTTCATCATTTCCTATGCACAAGCAAAGCAGGGTCAAGTGAGACCCCACCAATCGCACCTCTCTTCTCCTTCCCAGCACCACGCAGCAAGGAACCCAACAACCATGAAAATGCCCTACACCAACCAGCCATGATGAAAAGAGCATCGATCCAATTCAACCCATCCCAAGCAAAGTAAAGCAAAGCAACGCAAACAATGAAGTCATGAACACGTATCTACACCTCTATTCCTTCAACTTAACATTTTCACCCCACAACACCCTTCATACTCAAACTCTCCAAGAAGGGTTGAAGATCCTCTTTCTTAACTTCCACCACACAATGCTCGAAACTGTCAATTCGAACCCTAGCACTTGTCTCAGCAACCACTTCCTGAAAGGCATTGCCGAATTTATTCCTCCCAAAGCCCTTGGCTTGAGCTTTCTCGTCATCTTCCTCATCCTCCTCATCGTCCGAGTCAGAATCCGAGCCTTCTGATTCCGTTTCATCTTCCTCATCATCGACTTCATCGTCACCGAGTGCGAGTCTTCTCGCCTCACGTTTCTGCTCTCGCACTTTCTGCTTGTTGGCTCGCTTCAGCTCGCGGGCCCTCTCCTTCGCTTCTTTCTTTTCCTTTTTCTCTTTGGCCGCCTGCCGATCGCCGAATCCCATGCTCCCTCCACCTCCACCGCCTGTGCCGACCACGACATATACACCTCGACTCTCGTTCAATCCTGCAACAACAAGTGGTGTGCCTCGGCCACCGTGACCGAGCTTACCCTTTGATTCCCGCTCCTGCTCGGCAATTGCTTCTCCAATCCAGAGTGCCAGTTTTGTCAACGCAGCCGGATGTGTGAACAGCGCAACGTCTGGGCCGTCCTTGACTATACACATGCGGAATGCCCGGAGATGTTTGATCTGACGCTTCTCGATAAGAGAAGTACCTGTGCGAAGGATGGCGCGGTGAAGATGTTGGGCAGTTGGGAGTGCAGCTTTGAGTTCCTCGATTCTGATAGCAGGTTAGTAAGTCTGTAACCTCGTGCATTTTGGCTTCATACTTTTCGAGTGCATCATAGGCATCCCAAAACCTCCCAACCCATTCCTCGCCCTCCAATTTGCCATTTTCATCCACCGTCTCTTTCTCCCGGCCACGATCATTGCCCTCTATACTGGTGATCACTTTCTTGCCGACTTCGAGAATAGCACCAACGACGACCCCAACATCTTGCGCGCTTAGTGTTGCTCGCCAGCCCCAACTCCTGACGAAGCCCCAGCCTTCCTTTGTTCCACCCCGATCCTTGCCATCAGTATCTGATGCTGGTACCAGATCGTCCAGACCATACATTTCTGAGTACTTCAGCAATTTTGTTCGAAGACCTCTCTTCAGTTCCATATCCATATGGGTATAGCTTTGTTTGCATTGAACAAGGCTGACCCCCATCTTCGCCAATAGCTTGTGCAGTCGCTTTCTTCCGCTGTCTGACCAGATATGTAACTTAGCAGATAGATATGGCGAGTGCAACATGCTATCGTAGAGACTCCAATGCCGAATTAGCAAGAATTTGGGCTCGGGTGACAAGCGAATGCTGGTGTCCGTTGGACTGCGTGCTGTAGTAGGGATGATGCCACTGTTCTCTGGTAAAGCATTCCTGTTGCCGTTGAAGCTTGACTCTGCAAGTTCTGGTGGATTCAGGCGCCGAACTTCGTCTCGTAAAAGCTGCCGTGTTCTTGATCCTCTAGTTCCAAGCCAACCTCTTGATGCCAAAGCCTTCTGGGTAGAAATGGCTACACCTACTGACGAACGACCATATAACTCCATAGAAGTCACTCCTACAATTGTCATCCACAGCAGGTCATTGTCTTCTCGACCCAGTTCTGATGCAAGCGAGTACATCATGGAAGATATCGGTTCTGAGTATGAGGATCCTAGTGTGTAGTATTTTTGTAGGACTGACTCGTGTTTCCGCCGTAACTTTAGTAATCGGCGTCTTAATGTTCGAGCAGAAGGGCCCTTGGGAGGTTGGGCTGGTGTAGGAGAGACGGAACGAGAAACACTAGACGCCAAAGCTGAGGGACCATCGAGTGATATGAGACCGCGTTGTCTTGGCCGACTAGGAGACTCAGGTATCGGACTTGACTATGATGCATATTGGCATGGAGGAATTTCTTTTCAAAGCAGAGAGACTTACCGAATTACTTCTCCTTCTTTGCCTAGGCCTATCGTCATCTTCGTCACTCTCATCATCCTCGTCTCGGTCCGACCACGACTTTCTCTTCTGACCTGGTCGCGAATCCTCTGCGAAATCATCTTCCTCACTCTCGGAATCACTCCCATCGTCTTCCCCTTCATCATCTTCAACCTCTGGCATATCTACCAAAGCTAAATACGCGTCTCGTTCAGCGTCTAGTTCTTGTTCAATATCTCCATCATCGAAAACCACAATGCCACCCTGCCCTGACTTGTAGTTGCGCTGTAATTTGCCGCCATCTATTCCAGAGTGCTTTTGGTCCACCAATTGTCCGTCTTCCTCAACTTGTGGTAACGTTGGGTGACCACCAAAGACATTTCCCAAATTCCAAGGTCTTCGCGCGTCAATGACCCAGACCTCTACACCATCATAACTGGTCCCGTCTTCGTTTTCAATGCCGAGGAGGCCTCCTAGATCAACCAATCCTCCAACTCCTAGACAGACAACCACGCCTCCCTCCCCTCCTTGGCTCTTCATCATGGGTCTGACAACATCCCGTCCTGCTTTCTCCAAGTCGCCATAACCAGCAATCGGTTGTATCTTATGGGGCATGTAGTCGCGCTTGAGGAGTTCAGTAAGAATTCGGCATCCGCATAGTGCATCGGGGTCGAGTGCGGCGAGGATTATAACAGGTGGGGATAGCGGATGGTGTGCTCGTTGGAGGTTGAGGTAGAGTGAGGAGATAAGTGATCGTGGAAGATACATGATTATTAGATGCGCGACGCGTCCCAACTCATGATAGGAGTAGAGTAGTCAAGATGAAAGAGAAGTTTGACGCAATTGCTATTGTCGTTGGTCATGAAATCGCGGTCTGTATAATGTCGGTAGGGACGCGTTCTTGATGGACCAGGACCAGGATTATTGTGTGACAATTGCCGTGCGTAGGCATATAAGTGGGTCGCTCACTCTCGATATGTGTTCACGGGGAGATCCGCCTTCGAACAAGAGTAGAACAATATTTGGTGATGTTGTGGTGGTCGCTGGGTATTGTTTGTAGATTTACCTCGCGATCCAAAATGACGGAGAGACGCGTTTGGTGGCCCGGCGCTAAAAATCCTGACAGGAAAGCCGAGGTTTTGCCGTCAACAAATCATTTCTGCTTCATAGCGAACAGTTGTTATAAACCTTCAAATGTTATCAATATACAGTGGACATCTCATAACTTCCTTCTTTTGCAAAGTCGGCAAGCTCATATGGCCACGTCAATGAGAGCTCTGTAGCAATGATCACCTACCCAGCAGACGATCCGTGGTCAATCCTGACATACCAATATCGATGAATGACAACGTCGATGTTCTCATCCAAGCTCTCGGGTCTGTGGTCTAAAAAGCAAGTCATAGACCTCGCCACTTTAGACTTCTACCTTTTCCAGAAATATCACCGAAGGCATCTCATCAATGTTCAAACATCCGATGGATACAGATGCGAGTACTCGACAACACAAGACAGACTACTTACGCTTGCCAACATCATGATATTCTTCTTGACTTACTGTGGTATCGATCTTTTTCCTTTGCAGGATTCTATCGACTTGTCCGTCCAAGTGTGAAACAATCCTACGCTGCTGTCACTTCTGTACATTGAGGATTTCATTTGACTGCCTTTGGAAGTATGAAACCAAGCGAAATCTGATGAAAGCTCGAGGTTCGAAAGAAAATGAGAGCATAGTCTAGATCTCACGTTCAACAAATTGATGACCGTATGGATTGTTCATTTCCGTCCCATTTTCTTGAATGAATGTTCTCCGTCCCCAACGATACACCAACGACCATGTCCATTACCGTACACGTGGACCGTACCCCGCATCCATTCATGTACCTCTCTCCGACTGTTGGAATAATACATCAAGGCCAAGAGTCGACCGAAGTCCATAACCGTAACAACAAGAAAAGACCCAACCCAATCACAAGACGATGCATTAGCTTCAGTGAAGGGTAGCCATCAACAAGTCTGAGTCATCTCCCCTCCCTCTTCTCATCAACTCTCGGTTCCTAAAAGGATGAGTATCAGCTACTAGCACGCAGATCCTCTCGAACAGAGACTCACCTAGAAGCCGGCCACATCTCCTGCCATTTTGGTTGCACTATGAACACGTGCCCATTCAACATATACATCTCGGAACTGAGCGAGTCCCATCCCCAACTCGAAGGCCCCGAGAATCAAAAGGTTATTTCGCTCACCCTCCGTAAAGCGAAGTCGGTTTCTCTCAGCCTTGAGCCCAGCCATGCTCCAGAGCATCAGGTTTGCGGCAGCCGGCACAGCCGCCAACAGAGGTTGTATCCGGGCTAATTCGGGATCGAATGGTCGGTACTCGAAACGAGAAACAACTCTTTGAATGAGGAAGTAGCAGCTTATCGACCAGATCCAAGAACGTCCTTCGTAGTGCAGGATGGTCTGAGTGAAGCGCACCATGACGAGTAGACAGACAATGTAGATGAGAAAGTCGATGTGTACGCCCAGCAAGTATTCGGGGAGTCCCATGCCCTGCAATACTTCTTGATAGACTGAGTAAGTCTTTTCTGGACTTGGTAGAAGGTCGAAAGGGATAGTAATGTTGAGAGGCATGGTTTCGGTCTTCTCGCCTGAAGAACTCCGCAGGATAATTTCTCCCTCAACAAGTTTGACGGCGAGCAATGTCTCGAGTAATGGCACAGTAGTCCAGGTGACAAGTGTAGAACGCGATATTCGACGATGAAAATGTATGCTGAATGCTTGATAAAGAGTACCGTGTGCAAAAGTGATGTGTATGAAGTTGATGAAGAGAAAGAAATAAATGGGAAGGACGCGAAAGAGATTCCCGCACACTCGTGACAGCGATGGAAGGAGCTACAGACTGAAATGATCACGCAATCGCCGCAGCAGTAGCAGTGTGCTTTCCAGAAGTATTAAGGATACGAGCATGAGGAGAGAATCGTGGTTGCCGAAAAGGAGAGTCACGTGAGCACTCCTACTCCCACAACACTCCGATAGAGATCAGTATAGCTGCTCCAAGAAAATGGAAATCCTCTCAATTCTCGACCTCGATCTTACCGATATTCACTCCTCTAAAAGCTTTCTCCAACTCCGTCTCAACACCAAATCCACTCGCTTTCTCCACCTTTCCGCTACTCTCAAGCAACGCCCTATACTTCTCAAAAAACTGCTTCTTCTCCTCTTTCCAAGCGTCGTCATACGGCTCAAACTTCTCACCTCCCGTCTTTTCGGCATCTCTATTCAACCAACCCACCAGCTCTTCCACATACAGTTCATCCTGTCCTCTAATCAGCGAATGAAACGCTCTCCCATAGCCTTTCGCTTTGACTCTCTCTTCGTACTCTTTCCTCATTTCTTCTTCAGAGGGGAGGAATGCATGAGATGAGATGACAGCAGATACGGCTATAGCTTGGAATTCGAAGAAAGTGAACGTGGCGGTGTAGGCCGGGACACCGATGAATGATAATGTGGGGTCGGGGATGTAGAAGATATCCTTGTGGAGATTGTGCAGCTGGAGACCGTCTGTCACGAGTACGGTTTCGTTTGCTTCTTCTGCCGAGAGGTCGTCGTTGTGTAGCTCTGGTAAGAAAGGGAGTGAGAATAGGTAGCCTGTGCAAACGATAACACGGTCGATGTCGCTTAGTATTCGACCGTCTATGAGAGTCACCGTCCCAGGAGCATTCTTGGAGTCAGAGGATGGTGGGGAGAAAGAGTTGATCCCGGTAATTCGCTCGGTTTCTGGTGATATAAAGGATTCTGGGAGGTCGAAAGTTCCACCTCGACTAGATTGGTAAATTTTCTTGGCAACGCCTGAGCATTCTCGTCCAATGTCAGCAGAAGAGACACCTCCGCCAATCAAAAGTACAGTCTGAATGTCGATCAGTTTGGGAATTCAAGCTAGACTTAGAACCATACCTGATCTCTATAATCTTGCGGGCCTCGATATCTCTTCGAATGCTCGACTCGGTCCGGCCAAGCTGCTTTCCATTCTTTCAGACCTGGGATATCTGGGATCTTGGAAGCATGATAATGTCCCGAAGCAACAACCACATTATCGAATTCCTCAACACTTTCCTTCCTCCTCCCTCGTCCATCTTGGTCCTTGATCAACGTCGTCGATCTCACTTTCCAAGTCTGTCCCACTTTCTCGAGCTTCTCAACCCTGGTGTTGAATCGAATCAAAGGCACCACACCAAATTTCTCAGCATAGTCCTGGATATACTTCTGTTTCACGTGGACCGAAACATGATCCGGCGTTCTTTTCGGCCATGGAAATTCCTTCAACGACTGACACTTTGTTGACACATTATTCGTCAAATCTGGATACGCTGGCCTGATTCAAATCAATCAAGAATCTCACTGCACCATTAAGAAGGTGACATACCCAGGAGGAGCGAACTTCAAATCGTCCTCACTCGTACATTCCTCATCTCCAGTCTTCGCTATCCAAGGATCCGCAATAGAAGCTTTCAACGAAGGATAAGTTGGCTCCACTGGTCTCCGAGCATCGTAAAGCCAGTTACCTCCAATGCGACTTGAACGCTCGAATACCACGGCGTTTATTCCAACATGCTTGAGATGCTTTGCTGCCGTTATACCACTTATGCCTGCACCGATGACTGCAACTCGCTTTGGAGGTAGATCTTCGCCGCTGATGTCTCCCATGTTGTCGCTTGTTTCAAAACAGAGTGGAGGCTGAGGAGCCACCGAGGACAAAATCGAATTCAAGTTCTTGAATGACAAGTATATAATGCCGTATGCGACGTTTATCGGTAAAGCGATGTATCAACGTGACTTAGTGCTGGGTTTATTTCGAACCACTCGTTGTACTTCCTTGAAGCTTAAAAATTATTATACAAGTTCATATCCAGAAGAAGTACACCCCAGAGTCTCATATACAAAACAGGAAAGGAAAGCGCGACTCGCATTCATTATAACACTAGATAGGACATAGGGAATAAGCAGCTGAGTTGCGAGGCTGACTAACATGAGGCGCTCGTAATGCGGGACGATTATCTCGTCATTCGCTTGCCGAGCTACTTCACCAATGAGAGAACACTGCTGGACGAATAAGATTTACTCCTTTTGGAGGGTGGATCGCGGGGTTGGAGGCTATGTGCTGCGTGATATGCAGGTGGGGTTGCGCGATAGATAGCAAGACGGGGTTAAGGTATGATTCTAGGGCGACTTTGAACGACTCGTCCGCTCGAAGAGATATGAGATAGCGCTTGCTTCAATAGACTCAGGAGGGAGAAAGACAACGATGTATGAAAGTGGAATCCTGTTTGAATATGTACTCGATTAAGTAACTTGGCTGTCGATAATAAGCTGCGCCATCTGTGTGTTGTTAGTAAATCACTCTAGAATACAAGCCAAAAAGAACATACCTGCTCAGCAAGAGCATAAACAGCAGCTTGGTAGTGCGCTCCCAAAGGAGCTGGAAATACACTTGCATCCATAACTCTCAACCCCTCCAAGCCTTTCACTCTACATTCCGTATCCACCACACTACCCATAGCGCATGTGCCACTTCCATGATTCAAAGTTCTCCCTGTATACAACAACCTCTTCCTCATCGCCGCATCAGACAAATCGTTTCTGATACTCTCATCAACGCCATACTCCATGACTCCATATCTCTGAGCGGTAGGACTTTGCATCATAGCAATGGTGAGTCGACCACAAGCATACATGAGCTGAGTATCAAGCTCGTTCGACAGGAGATTTGGATCAAGGATCGGAGCGTCAAGGGGATCGGAAGATGCAAGTTTGAGTGTTCCTCTTGAGGTGGGTGATACAAGCACGTTTGCCAATGTGAAGCAGGAGCCTCCTGGGTTTTCAACACCGCATTGACCAAGGTCGATATGGCCATAGAGTGCAAATGACTCGGTGTGAGGTTTTCCGTTCGCTGTCAATAGGGCATATATATTGGGATCTATGCTGGCGTTCTCAATTTTCGGCAGAAGGTCTGAATGATTGTGCCATGCCATCAAATCTCCGGGGAGACCGGCTGTCCAATCGCATTCTGGAGTCACCATTGGCATGTCACCGAGTGAGAGACCTCGATCGCGAACTTTCCAGAAGGTTTGGAAGTTTGGGTGGTCGGAGTAGTTCTCTCCTACTGGTAGATGGCAGATTTGTGGGATGTTATGCTTCTTCAGTTCTTCTGTGGGGCCAATGCCACTGTATATGTCAGTGACGGATTGCGTTCTCCTCTCGGAAAAAGACTTACCTCAGAAGCAGCAACTTGGCAGATCCTTGCACTCCACTGCAAACTAGAACCTCTTTCTTCGCCTTTACTATGAGTCTTTCCGAGTCACGAGAAAGTTGGACCCCAACCACTTTGTTGCCTTCGAATATCAAATGCTCGGCCAACACTTTATTATATGTCGTTACATTCTCTCCAAGCTTGTAACAATTCGAAGCATAGTATCTCTTGCCATCATATGTATTATGCGCACCCTCGCAGTAGCCTAATGGATCTCCCGCATTGCCATCAGGAATCCATTTAACCCCAGTAGATTGGTATGATTGGGCAATCATATCTCGTAATGGATAATTGCGTTGTCTGCCAGAGTTTGTAACTTGAGCAACCTACAATATAATCTGTTAGTCTCGCAAACGTATACCGGAATTCATAGAGTGGTGAATGAGACTACCTTAATAGGCCCGTCTACTCCGTGAAGTTTAGCAAGATCGACAGTATTGGACTTGGCTGGAAAGAATGTCTCCGATTTCTTGAAGTAAGGTAGCTGTCCAGACCACGACCATCGATCATCCCCAACCTGCTCTGCCCATTGATCACTACAAAAATCAGCATGTTCTGGGACCGACTTTTCATTAATACTCACAAGTCTACAGCAGCACCTCTTGTCCAGCCTTGAACATTGATAGCTGAAGATCCACCCATGATCTTTCCTTGCAGCTGGCTGACGAATTTACCAGCTAAGCCTTCCTGAGGTACAGTCTTGTGATTCCACTCAATGGCTGGGTCGAGCCCAGCGCGATAACCTTGCGTTGGCTCAAGCCGAGGATCTCCATCGGGACCAGCTTCGAGGAGGAGAAACGATAACGCCGGAAGAGCAGCAGAAAGTCGACTGGCAATTGTTACTCCTTCATTTAAATTAGTCAAGGCCACAAAAAGGGATGGTATTAGATGAAGTCATACCTGCAGTTCCACCCCCGACAATAATGTAGTCAAATGTATTCGCCATGACTATTCAATTGAGCATTGTGCTTTCCACAGACCACTACCACAGCATACTTATACTTGCGAGAAGGGCTACGCAAGGCTGTCATGTCAGCCCTTGCAGCCTCGTGCATACGTACGAGAATGTCAGCATGTACGGTAAGCCGTCTATGATTGGTCCTCAGTGATGGTCGGACCCAATCATCGTCTTCCGAAGCTAGACTCTCTGATCGTCCCTGCAACTAGTCCTCTCGGGTTTCTCGGCTCGCTTCTTCTCATTGGCTAGCCTCTCTCGATGTTGAAGCGGCTTCGAGTGCTTCACCGTCGCTTTCAACCAGTGTAGCCGAAGAACTCCTCGAAACGAGAATAATGCTCGTATATGGGTCTTGCTCAGCCAAAGCGTCTGTCGCGAATTTGACATCGTCCCAAAGCTCTCGAAAGGAACCGTCAAGAAATTTCCGGACGTAAATGATACCCTCCATAGCAGAAGTGAAGTCTGCCCATGAACGCAGCTCAAGATGTGCTACAATCGGCACGAGATGGCCGATGAACCAATCACGCTCCGGTAGATTCACAGATGTCACACCACCCACTGCCAGCAGCCACAAGAGTAGTCGAGCTTGTGGGCCCGAAGCTGGTACTAAGTGTTGCAAAGCAGATTTGAGCTTATGGAGCATGGAGTTGATCACAAGTGTTGGATCTGGGTAGTGATTATCGAATGGAAGGAAAAGAAAGAGAGATGTCGCGTGCCGACAAGCCTCTGTGAAGTACGCAGTAGTTGACCCTGCACCTGCTCGGACTTTGAGATGACAGAGTCTCTGTAACAACGCATTGAACTGCCAATGGAAATCATCGGGCGTATTTGCGGCGCTCTGCACTCCCGAAGATAGGTGCTCCGAAATGCGTCTTGTTCGTTCCATAATCACTCGAACACCCTCCTCCATATCAAATGATTCTAGGCTAAGATACTGAGGACTCGGTTCAAGACTGTACAGCTTGCTTGGCTCATCGCTTGAAAGGTCGTCACGCTTGTCGGGTGGGAAAATAGACTGGGATGAGTGTCAGCGATGTACGTTCTACAAGAGTAAAAAAGACGTGGCCGTTTTCGTCTGTCCCATGCAGACATAAGAGAAAGGTGGCAGGTTGTGAACCGCATAGCAAAAGCAATAGCAAATATACCCACATCTTGCATCATTAGCATCGTAAACCTAAAATCGCAAATTAGCAACTGAACAGAAGGTTGACTACAAACAGTATGTATCTACTTACCAGTGTATCATCGTCGCAGTTGTTTGACTTGATGCCCGAACTTTCGATAGGCCACCTCTCATGCTGACCATTCTTTTCAGTCCGTCAAGATGCATCTTCATCGCCGTCATGTTCTTCTTTCCATACTGGTAATTGCCTGTCAGAAACCTCCTATCCTGGTCGTGTAAAGACATACCTCGAGAGTCGCCAAAGTGGCCACTGCTGACATGGTTTGATCTGAAACAGCTTCATTGGGGTCTTCGATCCTGCTACGTAATATCCGCATGCTTTCCCGGGTATACTTGTCTGAGTGAAACGTATTTGGCTTGCCTTGCAACAACTCAAGCTCAACGGCACTCACTTGAAGAATGACGGTGTGGTAAAATACGTCTGACTGGAGGAGTCCCCATAAACCTTTGATCAGAGGGTTTTTGTCCGGCGTATGCCCTGCAGGTAGACATTTGCTGATGATTGCGGAGAGATCTATGCCAAGTCAGTCACTATGGACTCAAGAGACAGATGCTGTTATATACAGTGATGCAAAAGTTGATCTGCACTAGGAAGATCGCTTCTAGCTACGGTGTTGAATGGATCGAGAGCCGCGCCGCCTACTGTACTTGGTAACAGCGGCCTTCGACGAGGGAGAGTCATGAATGTATTCGTGTTGGGATTGGCGATCACGTGCTTGTCAAACATCAGGCCTTTCGTGCTTCGGACTATGGAAGATCTATTTGATGGTTTCTCGTCCGATTCGGGGTTGGGAGCATTGCCGTAGTCGCACTTTTGTATTCTCGAGCTGTAATAGATGTTACAGTTTCCACACACGGGGCGCTGTTCGTCGCACTGGAAAGGTGTTAGCAGCTAGGTGGAGATTGTCGTCCTCGAAGCATACCTTCACTTTACGAGTCTTACAAGTCCTGCATCCTTGTTTACTCTTCTTCTTGGATCGATTATTCGAGACAGGTTTCCAGTTGCCGGAGGGGGACAACATCTTAGCGGAAGGCACAGGATGTCAGCCAACTGAACCAACTTGCTTCGATTATAATGAGAACCGGAGACCGCGCAACGCATTCCAAAAAGCCAGGTAATCCGCCGTCTTCTGGTTATTTAACATGTTCTTGACTCTTGCTGTGCTACTGGAATGTTTTGCACGCATCACGTAAATGAGCGTCAGCAAATTGCGGACTAGTAGGGGCCACCGTGGGGCACGTGAAGTTGCTGATGTAAGCACTTTCTTGCCCCCTGGTGCCCCTTTTCTCACTCTCATTTTTATCAACGTCGTCCAGTCCGCAGAAAGAAAGAATACCTAACCTCTCGCCTTCTTTGTTGCATTCGTTGATATACATGGCTTCTCGGCGTTTCCGGTTCCCACAACCATTGAAAACTCTGCCTCTGTTTCCTTCCGCCACTTCGGCATTTGAATCCATAAGCCACGATGGATGGTCCAAACTCTATCATATCTGCCGAGAAGATGATGATACCTAGGTGGGTATCAACGCGAGTCGCTTCCAACACATCACATATTACGCAAAACCCACCATGTCGCAAGGCAAATCTGTCCGATAACGAACTGAGTCGTTAGACGAAGGCGTAAAGATGTATGTTATTCCTACAAACGACTCCCACGAATGTACTATTGCCAATACGCTTTCGCCTATCCCTCAACATCAACAGAAAAAAAAGATTCTTCTGTCAACAGAAAGAAGCATGCTTAGCAATCAACTATGTCTCGATGCTCTCCCATCGCACCTGGTTCGAAACGGATGTCCACAAAAGCGTCGAACCCCCCTGTGATAGAAATGAGGCGCAATGGAGAAAATGCAACGCACCCAATAGCGTAACACTCCAAAAGCCAATCTCTCGGAGATAGCCTCTGTTCACTTTGCATCGAAGCTACAGTGACTCTGTCGGATATACTATTTGTCCACTCGCCGACCACGCATGCACAGCCATCACAGCACTTATCTGAAGTTGCCCAAATCGAGGCTCGACGGACGGCAGCGGCTAGCGTAACTGGCACGCCGTTCAGGATGAACTGGGGGATTCCTTTGATGGTTTGGATGGTATCTTCGCGATAAATGTTCTCTTCCAGGGCGTCCTTGCATGACTCGCACAATCCTGGCAAGTAGAAGCCCTTGCACTGAGCCAGAGTCTCCACCGGGCTCGGAATTGTGTAAACACTGGTGTGCAATGCCCGAGGAACCAATTTGTTAGCATTCGCTGGCTCAAGACACGACTTGAATGCGACCTCAACATCAGCTTCTATATCGACAGCTGGGAAAACCATGTTCTGCTTGGCGTGGTTCAGAATCTTGCTTGCGACCGGACTATTCGATCTTTGGAGAAGTCGAGTATACTTGATCAGCCGCTCCCATGTCCTATACCTAATGTTGAACAGATTCCAGAGACAGGCAACAAAATTTGTGTTGTTACCGTATAGGACAGATTGGTCTGCGGGTCCATTCAAGCAAGCTTCCGCTGCCGCGTCCATAGTACTGACAATGAATGCTTGAGGCAGGTCATGCTCGAAGCTGCCAGAGGCGAAGGCATAACCGGCGCAGGAAATCCTGCTACTCGAGCCCATGTCGTAGATTAGATCGTGCAGGTTCGAGTTCAGGACGGCGAGGAACATCCCTTTGCGACTGGGAATGTATTCAGCAGCTGTTTGATGCGCAAATGGCGTCAGGGAAGCACAATCTGCGACACCAGCTCGCAGATATTCGTAAGGTGAGATTTCGCTTGGCCCAGTGACGAAACAGCCTTTTCCTTCTGCGACCCCTGTTTGCTGGTTAGCATTTCTTTTTCAAACCATATATATCACTTCTGCATATCGCAAGAGTTTCGAGAGGGCCGGTTCCCCGAAGGCGTTTTGAGTGGGCGAGGAACAAGTGTCCTGAGTCTTGACTCACATTTATATTGGACCTGTCGATTGTAGGTCTGCTGATCCATGGTCAACAATCCAGTCCAAGCAACCCCCCTCATTGCCTCATTTTCAGCCCCCATCTTTGCTGTCCTCTCCATCGCCTCCTTAAACTTTTTAGTCTTGATATTACTGTCATCCTGGTCCAGGTCATAATCAACTATACCCAACATCTGCGCAGTCCAAAACGCCTCCAGCATCTTCGGATCGTTGAATCTGGGAACTTTCTTGCAAATACCGATCCAAGCAAAGAAAACGCAAGGTCCCATCAGCAACTCCGCTGGTCCACACCAGGCTTCGTATTCTTTCAGATACACAAGATCTCCTTCCCAAAATTTGCCTCCAAGACTCTTCGGTCCGAGTTGGTCGATGCGGCCCGGTTTCGGCTCCGAGACGACTGTGAGATGGATGTCGTGAATCGCGGGACGATGTTTGGTGGCAACTTCTACCTTCTGGAATGCTTGGACACCTATCTCAACTGCACCATATTAGCATTGAAAAGAGGATACTTGATGTAAAGACGTACCATCCCTTAGCATCTCCTCATGCACACCGCAACCGGGGCAAGACTCCACCAGACATTTCCATCCTTGCAACCAACCGCCTGTATTTGCACTCTGACGAACAGTGGTAGCAAGTGCTACATTTCTTTCCTTGACAGACCTATATTGCCCAGAGTCAGATAATTCCTCTCACCAAAGCGATAGGATTATTCACAAAGCTTCAAGATCGAATGTAATATTCGAGTAAATCTGAACGACTCTGGCGAGATTCGTCGGAGTGCAAATTTCTTGCTCCGAATGGTAGATTGCACGAGTTGCGGCCTCTAATCCACTTGCAAACTCGGCGATCAAGTCTGGAAGGGGCATTGCTGACAATTTATCTTCAAGGAAGATTGCCGTTCTTTGAAATATATTTTCCCAAGAGCGAATTGGTGAAATTGAAATAGAATTTCTTTTTACTAGTGTGCTTCCCCATCTTATGCGATAGCCGGGAATAGTTCTCCGCAAGCTCCGAAAGGGGAAGGAGCCCCCACGTGATCGAAGGCCGGCAGCTGAGTTAGATTGTGTGCTTCCAATCACAAATTCATGTTGGAATGATCAGATCCATGGATTTTTTCTTGCTCAATGGAAAATCCCAGATCATCGTATGGAAGCTTTCCGTAGATTCCAAATCCATGGATTAGGACCAATCGCGAGGTTATGTTCCCAACCTCACCCCTTTGCCGCTACCCTCATTGAAATCCTACCCTCCCGCCTCACCTCCACCTCACTCTCACTTACTACCAAAGTTGGTCGCAAGAGGAGGGCGAGTATAGCGGCTAATGAAGTGGAAAATGTTACTCGATTTACTGTGAGTATTCGCAAGTCAAAGCTAAGCATTATGAAAGTAGAAGCTCTAGGAATAGCTTTATTTATATTTCAACTCATATAAAGGACTACCTCTTTGCACTGATATACTCGAGAATATAAATATTATCTCTATATCTTTCAGTCCCGTTACATGTGGTAACATACTATGAAAGATGCCGCATTATTTCATAAATTGGTAAACATTTTTCAATGAAATAAAAAAATCATTTAAAGGACTGAGTGCTGACCCATAGAATCCATCTGGTTCTATGGAGTCACTTGCTGAAAGATTGAATATGATTCGTGGATTTGGAATCTATGGATCTTGTCCGGTTCGATGGAATGCGAAGAATGCCATTCCATGACTTCTCGGCCACACATTGAGGCTAGTGCTGACGTGAATGAGAGGGAATGGGGGTGACAAATAGCGATGCGGTGAGAGATACAACGCGGCGCAAGATTGTAAGCAACCGCTCGCCGCAAAGTTTTGCTGCTGTGCGACTGTTGGATTGAGAATTCATGGCTAGTTATATTTCATTGGGTAATATCATAAATACGGGTTTAGACGTTGAGCTTTATCGTACTCGCCTTTTCTTTCAAGTCTGACAATCGCAGGGGGCTTCGAGGAAATGCGCCAGAAGTTCGCGCTCTTGAGAACGGCACGCACCAATATTTCCCAAAGATAGAATCTTAAATGTGAGACTCACGCTACATTCTCAAAGGTTCTGCTGGCTTCCACCGTTTCCCGGTATCTCTGAGTGGTCGAAAACCTGGGAAGAGGTCCAGGAGCTTCAGAAGAAACGAGTATGTCGTGACCCATGTTGGAACATCCTCCAGCCTTCATTTGTGGAGTGAACTCGCTGTAGAAAATGATACGAAATAAGCTCATCGCAGAAAATGTGTACCGCTGGAAACAACAACTATAAAGCTGTAACAATGCTCGAGAGTATATGCCGTGATACACGTGATTCAGAGCTTTAATGAGAGAGACCGATGAAGATTCAACGCAATTTGAAGACATCGAAGTTACTAAAGAAGGAAGTTTGAAGCAGGATCATGTCATACACGATAGGAGCTTGAGCCTTTGAAATGATAAATCCCTAGATGATCTTCGTTAATACAAGCATTCAGTTTCTTCTGGTGGCTCAACTATGAAGGTCTTCTTCTTCGTCCCAATATATCTGCTCTGAACACTATCCAACAGATTCATCAACCCAAGCAAGAGACTGAACATTCCAAACAGAAAACCAAGACTACGAGATAACTTGGCTTAGGTCCTTCCTCACAACCACACTCCCACCAAGTCCATCATCAATGAGTGATATCATCTTTCCCGTCGCATATCATCATATGTCAAACCCCAAGTCCGGCTCCCATAACCCGCACCGGCTTCGCATCCAATTACCCTACCAAGCAGAAAGTCCCATACTAAGAAGACTAATTATATCAAAGGATTACCTAGCTCGGTAACCCGTCGCTTTAGGGTTGAAGATCAACAATGCCGTTTGCCGCCTCGGATGAGGAGCCGTTCTGGCGAATTGCGGGGGAGGAGGAAATTTATACATACTCACCTCGCCGGAGATTCAGAAGAGTTGGAACTTATATATTTCAATTGTTGCATGATTTTTTCTTGTGGCATTGGTGTCCTATAGAATAATATAGATCGTCGGACTGCAGTTTTGCAATTAGATCTCGCTCTTGGGACAACGAATTTTGCGAGGTGACACAGTTGTGATCACTGACATCATCGGCTTCAATCTGAGGGGTTCAACAATAGAGTCGCAATCATGTTCGGAAAGAGTGGGAAATTCTTGGGCCTCCGTGGTGTGAGGCTGCAGATTGCAGTTGGGGTCATTGCTGGGATGGATTTCCTGTGAGCTCTTCTTTTGAATTGAATTGTCCGTCAACACTTACTGATATTGTTACAGATTGTTCGGTTATGATCAGTCAGTATACTTTGCTTGGAAAGGAGGTTCAATATTGATGATTCTAGGGGTGTGACTGGCGGCCTTCTCACTCTGAGTTCTTTTCGATCTCAGTTTCCGAGTATCGATCCGAATGCACAGGGAATTGTTGCGGGGTCGGCGGAACAGAGTAATCGCTCTACATATCAAGGAATCACTGTTGCAAGCTACAACGTTGGATGCTTTTTTGGTATACACTCTTTTACAGACCTCACCAACATCAAACTCTGACTTATTCCAGGCGCAATCCTATGTATATTCATCGGCAATCCCCTCGGCCGTCGACGAACCATCTTCCTCGGCTCCTCAATCATGGTCATTGGCGCAATTCTCCAATGTAGCTCTTACTCTCTTGCTCAATTCATCGTCGGTCGACTCATCACCGGTCTTGGAAATGGACTCAACACGTCAACAGTCCCAACGTGGCAAAGCGAATGCTCGAGATCACATCGACGAGGTCAATTGGTCATGATTGAAGGTGCATTGATCACGGGAGGGATCATGATTGCTTACTGGCTTGACTTCGGCTTTTACTTCCTCGACCCAAACCCTGTATCGTGGAGATTTCCCTTGGCATTCCAAATCGTATTCTGTTTCTTCATCCTCGGTGCGTCTTCTCCCTTTCAAAGCTATCATACACCATCTCATTAACGTACGAGCAGCATTTGTTCTCAGCCTCCCCGAAAGTCCCCGCTGGCTCATCCTCAAAGGAAAAGACACAGAAGCTATCCACGTCCTCGCGCACCTCAACGACATGCCCGAAGAAAGCCCTTACATCCAAAACGAATACTCGGCCATCAAAGACACGGTTCTCGAGATGCAGAAAGGCACTTTTGCCGATCTCTTTACACGAGGACCAGATCGGCATTTCCATCGAACTGTTTTGGCGTATGTGAATCAAGTGTTCCAGCAAATCTCAGGAATCAATCTTATTACTTATTACATCCCGAATGTGTTGCAAGGACAAGTTGGACTCAGTGAGACGCTGGCGAAGTTGATTGCTGCTTGCAATGGGACGGAATATTTCGTCGCTTCATGGTTTGCTGTATTCACTGTTGAGAGATTCGGACGCAGACAGTTGATGCTTTTTGGAGCTGCTGGGATGTCCATTTCGATGGTAGTCCTTGCGGTTACTGACTCGATTGGTGGGACGAAAGCGGGAATCGCTCAAACAGTGTTCTTATTTGTCTTCAACACTTTCTTTGCGATTGGATGGTTGGGAATGACTTGGTTGTATCCGGCTGAGATTGTGCCGTTGAGGATTCGGGCTCCTGCCAACGCATTGAGTACGAGTGGGAATTGGTTGTTTAATTTTATGGCGAGTGCTCCAGAAATTTCAAATATTGACAGTGTACTAATCTAATCAAAGTCGTTATGATCACTCCAGTGGCATTTAACAACATCGGTTATCAGACATACATCATCTTTGCAGTCATGTAAGCTGCCAGCCATTATCCCAAGCTCACCCAATAACTAACCACCCTCTACAGTAATGCAGCCATATTCCCAGTCGTCTACTTCTTCTACCCAGAAACCGCCTATCGTTCACTCGAAGAAATGGACAGCATTTTCCAAAAGACCAAGAATGCATTCACTGTCGTGCGTCAAGCAAAGGAAGAACCGAGACGATACGGAAAGCATGGAGAGGCTCTCATCAATTATGAGGAGACAGAGGAGCATAAGAGGAGGGCTAGTCAAGCTAATGTGGAGCATAAGGAGACATCGAGTTAGAGTGGATTGGTGCAACGGCAGAAACAAGATTACTTGAATGCGTGAGATATTATATGAATCAAGCATCAGGAGTATCTTTTATATAATATATTTCTATAACAAACTTTTCTATTATCGCACATACAAATACAAAACTCTAACATATTTCTATTTTGTCGCTCTAAACAACGTAATATATTAATTTATAAAATTTATTTTATTAAAAATATTATTCATACTTATTATTCTAAGTTTTGTTATAATTTACATTTAACTTTTAATAAAATTAAATAAAACAAAGATTTAGTAATTTGTTAGAAAAGAGGATTTGTTAAGTATTTTATAAATAAATTTTTTTTGTCTAGCAATTACACTTACGGTAGTGTTGTATTACTAATTTTAACAAACATTTTCTCGTTAATAGCTTCTAATTTTACAAATCCTCTTTCTTTAACATATATAGATAATTGTGGCATCAGACCTATTTTCTCTTATAGCTCAACTCTATTATTACGGGTAGGAAAAGGAATTAAAACGATCTATCTTCATCTCTATTCATATAGAAGAATTAAACTTTCAGGTGTGTTTGCTGCTGCGCACAAGACAGACTCAACAAAGCTTCTTTAATTCGATGGTCATCAACTCCTTTTAATTCCTGTTATGCTTTCCTATCTAATACAACACACTGCCTCAGGTAACAATACATTACTTCAAGTAGTGTTAGCTGCAAATAATAGACTAAAGCAAAGTTTGAACTATCCAAATCATGTGAACTAATAAAGACATAATGCGCTTGCCGAAACTAATGCATTTAGTTAATTGATTCGTTCGTTCTAAAGTTTGGGTCGCTAAATACTAGCTAGCTTTATACAAATATTTATACGAGAAAAAATCTCGAAATAATACAAATGTCTTTGAATACGACAGAAAAATCTTTCAAAAAATAGCAGACTTTAATTACTATTTTACACATAATCGGTGGAGCTGTATCATATATCGAAGGGGAAAGGGGAAGTAATGTGTTTAGACAGTCGTGTATGCGGAGGCTTGATCGGGAGAGTTACATCATTACTTTCCGAGAATGACTCAACCCGATTGTGATTCGAACTGAGCCGTGGCCCGTGACTCATGAGTTACGGCTCACTTAAGAGTCGGCGCTCATATATATTACACTTATTCTTTCAATAATTCTTTTCTTGAGGTATTCACAACTTTCAAATCCAGACCACGCCTCTTCAGTACCTCCTCTCGCCCAAAAAGTCAGCAAGATGACATCCAGCTCAAGCGAAATGGTACAACCTGCCGCATATGGAGGTTACGGCAGACAGACAGGTCTTTATGGGGGACTTCAGGGTGTCGAGTTCGCTGCGAAATGCCCACCAGATGTCCAGAAAAATACAAGAATCATTGCGGTCTGCGGAATACCGGAAATCGATGCAGGCCCGCAAGATGATGGATGGTTCTTTTCGGACTTCTTTTTATTTTATCAGATGCTGGGTTCTCGACGTGCGTGCAACCTCACTGCTTTCTCCATTCCCTCTTGATCGTTCTATTGATGCTAACATCACAGCAGCCGAACTACCTAACCAACTATGGTTTTCAAGTTGCTCGCCCAGTGATTTGACCCGCAAACACGGGCGTTATCTCTACGGGCCTGCAAATGGAGTTGCAGGAGCTCGGAGAGTTGTCATGAACGAGGCAATGCTGCCAGAAGATGAAATGAAAGCCGGATTTCGTATTGTCAACCCAAAAGATCTCCTTGAAAGATTCTTAGCCACTCTCAAATCCGAGATCCAAGAAGCTGCACGAGCTAAACAACCAGTTCTGGTGCTCATATTTGGGCATGGTGAAGAGGATACGTCCGGAATCTTCATTGGTTGTGGTGAAGGCGGCCTCTGGAAGATTACCCAACCAAGGCTCACTTCTATGCTGCAAAAGGCGGTTCAAACGACAATGATCTTGACATCGTGCTTCTCCGGTGGCTGGATCATGAAGCCAAATTTCAACAAAAACTTCGATAAGAAGCCCCTCTTCAATCACTCCTTTCTCACAGCAGCGGGAGCCGGTACCCCGAGTTGGTCTTGGGGGATAAGTGAGACCGTTGGACAACAAGCTGGAGGAAGTGTTTTTGCGACATGCCTCCTAAATTCCATAATCACGATTTCTGATCGGAAAGAAGGTTCAATCGCGAAGGAGAAGCTAATCAAGGTGAAAGAAGATGACGAGGGAGAAGAACTTTCGATGGCCGGTTTGACGCAGCAGATTGTTAATGAATGTCAAGCTCAGTGCGGAACAATATGGACAGAGCACGAATTCTCATTTGCTGTCCAAGACGACCTTTGGGCCCAATCATGTGGGAAAAGGACGGGACTTCCTCTCTTGAATTATGAAGAGAGGTGGAGGAGCCTGCCAGAAGCCCCGGTAATGAGGAAAGTCTACAAATCGGCCGGTCCTCTTAATGGCTCTGTCATGTCAAAAAGTCCAGGAGCTCTCCATCGTATGGTTAAAGTCAAAGCGATTAGGTACATGAACTCAAATCCAGGCCGGGATAATGAGGGCGGCAATACCAACTGTCATCCTAGATTCCACAGGCTGATTGAAGGGGCTGAATTCGATATTGACCAACTCTACCGGCTGAACGAAATCTTGGACTACAGGGAGGGTCAGATGAGACTAGCAGAATTTTATTGCGGTATTCTGGACATAGGTGTTCCGGAAGGTTGGCAAGGAAACAAATTTGAAGAGTACGCATGGAAGCTCCCTTATCTCAAAGAAAAAAGCGAACCATCTACAGACCGTTCGAACTCCGCCATTGAGGTCTTGGAAAAATTTAGCATGATTCGGAGCTGGGTGTTTCAACTTGGCATCTTCGATTCTCCTCTTCCTCATCAAGGGTTTGCTTATTCTTAGCCTGTTGCCTATCTGTCTGCCAGGTTAACGGAGTGTCATTTGCCAATTGAGCACATACGTGAGAAGTTGGAGTATCTCTTGCAGTGTACGTTTAATTTGTCAAATCCTTTGTTCGCTTTCTCTAACTTCTACACAGATAAGTTGCAATTTGCCAAACAGGCAGCTTGTTCTCCTCTCGGTGTAGCTATTCTCAACAAGCCGCAGATCAAAACTATGCGAGGCAGGCTGTATAAGTCGACCACCCCTCTTTTGGGCATACCCCTGTTTTGGGCCACCTCGCTTAATTCACATCACCCCTCTTTGCACTTAAATAACTTTTTTATTCTTCAATTTTTATATGAGATAAAGTAGAAGCAAGTGTAGTAGTATCATCTGAGTCTAATGGTACATTTGGGCGCTCTCCAACCTCTATTTGAGTTCTCATAATATCTTCGATTGTGACAAACTTGGAATTAGGAGAGGCTTGCACTTTCCTTCTTTTTCTAGGTTGCAAATCCACTAACTTACTCTCCAACTACTTGATCTTCATCTCTTACTATGCAATAACAAAGTCCTTTTGCTCCATACCCTTTGAGATAGTCCTAAAAAGTACCCTAGTCGTGGTAATATCGACTGTCCGAAGTCCCGTGATTTGACTGACTTGTTGACGAACATCACCAGCTTTTTGAGGAGTCTGGAACTTGGTTTTTGATTGCGAATCATACCATTCAGGTGCCTGGACATCCCTAGAAGTTCCCGGGGTTTGGTTATCAAGCTGATTGCTATTCTCAAGCAATAATCGGTTCATGAGGGGCTTCGACATCCGAACGGGCCATAATCCTGATCCAGACCACCCCGCTTTGATGTTTGCAACTGTTATTGCATCTATCCGAGCCTTTTTATAACACTCTAAGAACTTTCTTTTCCATATAGGAGTAGAATCGTTCATAAGTGCCAAGAGTCCTAAGTGATGCCGGTACGCTCGCTTAAGAGGGGAGAAAATCGATAAATCCAAGGGTTGGAGCACATAAGAGGTGTGAGGAGGTAGAAATAACAAGTGGATATTGTGCTTAAAGCACTCCCACATGAATTCTGTAGTCTCATGACTCCTATGGCCATCCAGAATAAGGAGACGGTAGTCTTTTGGGTTATGTGGTGTTAACTAGGGAATAAACACTTTTAACAGCCATTCCAAAGCAGTAGCATTAGTAGTCCACCCATTGTCTGTTGCTTCAAACTTCCAACCCTTATAGTCTTTTAGTTCTATGCCGAACCATTGCTACTGAACTAATTTTCCCTTATAAATAACAAGTGGCCGGAGAGCATGGCCCAAAGCGGAGATGCACTCAATAAATAAAGTCTAAGTTCTTCCCCCGGGTTGCTTTTTTTGAATGAAACGTTTCTGGGCACTCCCAACCACCAATCCATTCTCCCCTTGGCCTTCCATAATGCCTGCCTCGTCTATATTCCAACGGTTCTCAGGTTTAATAACCCTAATGGCCGGAGCTTCCAATCTTTGGAACCAAGGCTTAATAATTTCAGTAGTAGCGCCATTTACACGCACAGAATCGATCCGGTATTGCTTTTTGGTCTTGAGAACAGGATTGCGTCGCAAAAAATTAGCCATCCATCGTTTTCTGAGGGGAACAGCATTATATCTGCTGGCATATATCCTCCCAGCAAAAGCTCTAATCTGCGCATGAGTAGGGCTTGACCCTATACTCTCCTGAACAAAGACCCAGTCTGCTAAATGGTCTTCCTAAACCTGGGACAGCTTTTGAAAAGGTTGGGCAGCTTCCGAATGAGAAAGGTGGCCGTATGTTCGATTCTGGAGTGTACTCCTTGGAACACCCCACTTTAAACCGGCTTGTCGCGCTGATATTTCATTTTTGATGTCGTTTAGAGCCCATTGAACGTCCTCTTCAGTGTATTTAGATTTCATGATATAGAGAAGCTAATCCCAAAGTTTAAAAGAATTTTATTAAAGAATGATTAAAATAATTAAATATAAAGTGGGAGGGTGAGTGTGGCGGTGAGCTAAGCGAGGTGGCCCAAAACAGGGGTATGCCCAAAAGAGGGGTGGTCGACTTAACACTGTCGGCAAGCTAAAACGTAGAATGCGTTCCCTATCACCGCAGAAAAGATCATCGAGAACGGAGGGCGAGAGTTCCCAAAGGTTGGCATGATAGTGCAAGATGCGAAAACGGCGTTGGTTTTGTAAAATAGCTTTACACACGGCAATCGCTGAATCGTAGTTCTTTAGCAAAACTTTCATGTTTTTGTGATCGCATTTTTGTGAAATTTCGGTTTTCGAAGCTTTTTTAAGTACTATTTCGGCAAATTGGAATGTTTAAGTGTAAAATCGATTAAGTATAAATGATAATGGTAGTAGGATAATTGCATACGAGTATTAAAATACTATATTAAGCCAGACTAGGCTTTTATTTAATTTTGTTTAAAAATTGCGAAATTAAAGTTTAATTTCGGGTATTAGTAGTATTAATAAAGAACGTAATAATATAAAGAAAACACGAAATATTTTGTTTTAAATTTTTAGTGAAAACAATTTGTTGGTGAATTGAGAACGAGATTAGATAAAGAGGAACTTAGCAAACACGAAATGGGCTTTAGCTGAAATTGTTTGGGTAGTTCTAGGGTACGCCACCCATCCACCTCCATGACTTACTGTAAGAATTCCGTTGTTTACCTGCTCTTTTCCCACGCATTCCGCATAGGACATCTAAGTATGGGTCAATCCACCCTTTGCTTTGGAGCTTTCTTCGCTCTTTCTTTCTGTAGTGACTGGTGGATCTTGCATCGTCAGAGAAGATAAGATGGTATGATCGTCGGAGTTTCAGCAAGTTTGCCCCTGAAAAGTTTTGAGGCATGTTATATTCGTCATAGTAGCTACTCACAATCCTATTCCCTTATGAGTCTGATCATTCGTCTCGTGTTGATGAGCAGCCAAGACGTTGCTTACTTTGCGAATGTAGAGCTTTGGTCTTCATTGATTTTACAAAATGATGGGTGTGCAAAAAGCATTAATTTTGGGATCTCGGGGTCGAATCCCAAATGAGAACTGACGTTAGAGACCCATTCGATCTCAATGCCTCCAATCTGAGTGATGGTGGAAGCATTGAGCAAAGAGACGTATATGGACTCGGCTGAGAATACAGAGTCTGGAGTGTTTGGGATGACGGTGTCGCGGCAAACTGGAAGCAAAGGCCCAAAGCTTTGTATAACCTCGCAGACCGGGTGATTTGCGTTGGATATAGGTTGGGTATCTTCGATACACAAACACTCTGTTTTATCCACAGTGAGGTTTTCGTAAGGTGGCATTGTGGGTGATATGGGTGGGTAAAGCATACTGACCCATACTACACACGAAAACGAAATCGACAACCCTTTTCGGTGTAGAGGACCATGAAGTGTTGCTTCGTGGGGTATTTTCTCTTTCACTGCCTTTTTGAGTGCAGACTCGATGCTGAATTGACTCCCCTTCCGGGCGCTTAATGCAATGCTGGTCAGAACTTCAGAAGCACAAAGACTTCGTGAGAGTCGATCTCTACCATGTCATCCTTGGCCGGCCCATGCAAAATTTCAGCGAAAGAACTTATAGGATACTTGGCTAATTGTTCTTCGATGAAGTTGATATAAGCGTTTTGCTGGATTGTAAAAGGGGTATCATCTGTTTCCCTGTTATCGCCGACAGAAAATCTCTGATATGTCGGTCAAGAGCCGCCTCATCCTCTGTTTCATGAGACAATCTTCATTAGATAGGTGTGATTTAGAACGCCGAGTCAAAAAGAAACTGACCTTCGTTCTTGACTGGGGAAGATTCGGGATCCCTTTCTCTGGTAGTGACCCTTCGCCAAAGCGTGGGTGCCGAGAGTGATCTGTACTGGACTACTCACCAAATAATCTATTGGTCAATAGAATGGCCTCTTTGGCCAAATTTAGGGCTTTTTGACCAATAGAACGGCATTGACGAATAGATTAAACGTTTCATCAATGGATTGATTTACCCAAAATAAACTGATGTTTCAAACTTAATGTTTAATTTGCCCCCCTTTTTGCACTAGTTTTAAGCGAGCTACACTTATTATTAAACTTGATAATTATTATTTAATTTACTTAAAAGTCTAAATATTAGTTATATAAAGTGCTAAAACTAAATATTACTATACAAAATAAGCTAGATAGGCATTTTGCATGTGATGTTAAGGCTACTATTAATAAAAGCTTTCTTACACTTGGCCCAGCAGGGGAAAAATTGAGGAAGTTTGGTAGAGTCTTTAAATAGGTTTTTTTTTTTTGGTCGGAGTCTTTTTCGTTGAGTTATTAATCGCTGACTTCGATGCCGGCATCGAGGGCAGCTTGCCAAAAAAATAACCCCCTTTTTTTATTAGACAAAAAATATTTGGCCAAATAGATCGATTTATTGGCCAATAGAATATTTGGTGAGCAGTCCAGTACAGATCGAAAAGTCGATTGCCGTGGAGCGGTGGGAATCTGCGGTTCGGTGCTGGCCATGTCTTCGATGACGCCTGAAATATGGGCGACGAAGATTTAGCTCTGTTCGGGCGCTTTTCATCGATCTTATCGTTTGATGCTATTGGAGCAAACTTCCTCTCTGGTCCTACGTCTTACTGGAGACGTGGACATCCGCGTGATTTATACGCTGGATGGCAACAGTTGATGGCGGTTAGGCGCATATCCAGGCAGGATTTGCGGCTGTAGGTCCTTTCCGAGGCGTAGCAAACTCCAGTCTGCCGTTTGTTTAGCTGGATCATGGCAAATGGAGCGAATCGAGCTCCAGCGAACGTATAGCAGAAGCCATTGTTTGGTATTCGAACATATAAGCTGACTCAAAACCACAGCACAATGACAACGGTGGTGGCGATCGATGACGATGAATGATGATTGATTTGGCTGTCTGCACTGCCTCGTCTCAATTTCTCTCCGACAGCTGGAAGTGTGAAGTGAGGTGAAGTGAAGTGTAGCGTAAGAGCTGAGGCCACCGGGAATGGCCCACTTAAGCGAAACTCAACAAATGAGACCTTATTTACCAAAAATCATAAATTTTTAGTCTTCTTATGAATCTCTGTGAAAATGGAACTTATGATTAATTAATAGTAGCCATACCCTTGTACTTAATTACATCCTCAATCTTACAAGTCAATTGCTCAGTGTAGTGGCGAAAGTCACGTGGGTCAACTCGGTCCCATAGCTTTTGCAACTCCCTCTTCAAATCCACCTTATTTTTGGGCACATAGTCCAAGTTTTTCAATTCCTCCTTCATCCACCTCCAGACCTTCTCAATAGGGTTCAAATCTGGTGAAGAAGGAGGCTAATTAAACCCTCGGATATTGTGCTGTAGTCTAGGTAATCTGGCATGCCCTTTATGCACCTTAGACCCGTCTTCCATAAAGATATACTCCGGCCCTAGATCATCAAAGAGAGGGAAGATTATATGCTGAAGAACTTGCTGTAGATAGGCTTTAGAACATATGCCCTTGCGTTCTGGAAGCTTCTCTAGGAAGACTAATGGCGACTTGTAATCCCAACCTAATGCCCCCCATATCATGACCGTTGTCCTCCCAGACCTGTAGACTGACTTAATGCAGTCAGGGTACCTCCTCTCATCTACCCTCCTAGTCACATATATCCTGCCATTCTTCCCAGTCTCAAATATAGCCTCATCAGACCATACAACCTTCCTCCAGTCCCCTCCTTGCTTGCCATCATCTCTATGAGCTGCATAGTCTGATGTCCCCCACCATCTATGCTCCTTGGCAAATACATATCTCTTCCTAGCTTGTTTGAGGGTAATATATGGTCGAGGGCATGCAATGCAGCGGCGGTAGCCAGCCCGGGCTAATTCTCGACGAATGGTGCGCACCGAGGGTAGGTAGGGTAGTTGCTTTTTGAGAGCCTCAAAAGTCATGCGCCTAGAGCTCCAGTTTTTGGAAATGGTTCGAATGCAATAACGTATGTCGCGTATAGACATGAGATGGTGTCTAGAGAGCTTTCTTTTGCGCTCTCTCCGACTAGATTCCTGCTTAAGAATGCGGCGTACTGTTCTTCGAGGGATATGGGTCTCTGAGACAATCTCGCGTTGCGACTTTCCCTGGCGCTGTAGGGATCGAATGACTGCACGTGCAGGGGTAGGCCATTCATTATTCTCTTTCTCGATAGGATCACTTAGGATAAGAGGTGTCTCCATCTTGAATTATGGACTGATTCCTAAGATGGTTGTTGTGTAGTAAGGGTTTTAAAATGGGGTGTAGAATTTTTACGCGTTACCGCGTCTCGCTTAAGTGGGCCATTCCCGGTGGCCTCAGCTCTTACCAACAACCTGCCGCCTACAGTACAACCCTGCCTGAAGACGAGCCGTTGGCAGACTTCCTTATCGCTAATCGCCTTGGAGTCTGCCTACCTTACCGGAGCTGCAGCAATCCAATCTTCCGGTGCGCTTGCTTCTATTCTGAAATGTATTGCAAATGAACGAGACATTGCTAACTAGGTGTCTTGGCCGTTGAGATCGCGAGACTGTTGCTGCCACTTATATCTTGGGCTGAAGCTCCTCGCTTTCTAGTAGCCACCGAGCTTTTCGTGTTTGACTCAGAGGTGACCCAACCTTCGTTGGAAATCTGCACAACTTCAAACTTCAAAACTCAAATTACAATCACAAGAACATCGTGATCCCCACTCGACATGGCAACCTCAATGTCGTCAAAGGGCTTGAGAACAGTCGCAACTTCCAAGCTGAGAGGCTTTATTCCAACATTCCCTGACCAGATTCACCACACGCCGCTATTCAATACTTTGACTGCAACCGCAAGTGATCTGCAAAAAGAACTCAGCAATGGCAAGCTCAGGAGCACGCAGGTGGTCGAAGAGTATCATCGATCCATCATTGCTCACAATGGAGTCCTCAACGCCGTTTGGGAATTGGCACTTGGAGCCATGAAGCGAGCCGAAGAATTGGATCTGTTGAGAGAGAAGGGGCAATTTTTAGGTCCCCTGCATGGAATTCCCATCCTGGTCAAGGTACTCAAGTGCTGCATCAGATGAAATGGGCATCACTGACACGGACAAGGACAATATCAATCTGGACCCTTCCTTTGGTATAGGCACGTCGGGAGGAGCAGTGGCCCTCGTAGATTCTGTCCCCGCATCGTCTGCCACCATAGTTGAGAAGGTTAGCTTTCGTCGGCGTTGATTCTGCAGAGCCCGTGCTTACGTGCCTACTTGTACAGCTTCTCGAAGCCGGTGCCATCATCTTGGGAAAGACGACAATGTCGGTGAGTAATTTTTGCTGCCAACTTCTATCTCTGTTTGCTGACTACTGCAGGAAATGGCATATTTTAAGTGAATTTTCCAGTTAACATTTGAGGTCAGGTATGCTGATCTTTATCTCTCCAGAGGTTCAGGTATCCGGTGCGGATGGTCTGCTGCAGCTGGACATTCCCAATCAGCTTATGTCAGAGGCGGTTTAGACATGGAGGACAGCATTATAGGCCACAGCGTAAGTCTTCACTCCCAATCTTTGAATCGTGTCAATGATGTACGTAGTGCCCTGACGGTTCGTCTTCTGGAAGTGCAATTGCTGTCAGTGCCGGAATGACCCGAGTCTCTATTGGCACAGAGACATTTGGCTCGCTTGTGAACCCCGCCACGCGAGCTGCGCTCTTTACTATTAGATCAACCGTAGGCCATGCCACATTCGCTCATCAAATATGTCGAAGAGGCAACGACACAAATGGTACGTCTATGAAGTGCCCAGGAAGTAGAGACGGCGGCTAACCCAGGAAAGAATAAGGAGCTTCGTGCCGCATACAGCAAAATTGAAAAGCTTGCGAAAACCTACCACGGAAATATCTCCAAACTTGCCTTGGAGAAGTCTTTCGATATGCCAGATGGCGAAGATGCTATCTCTGCTGCTTTGAGTAAGACTCCCCCCTTCGGTTTACCCATTTCCCAATTCATGCTTAGTAGTGGTAGAAGTACGTTTATGTTTACGCAAACTTCTAGCTTTCGACATCGGAAGAGATTTGGATCCTTTCCTTCAAGATCTTACAACGAGCAAAATTCGGAGCTTGAAAGAACTAGTCAAATGGAACATCGATCATGCAGACGTAGCTCTCACGGCAGGTATGAACATTTTCCGCATACTATTTTAATGGTCATAAGCTGAGACTCTGTCAGAATATCCGAACCAAGGTTCTCTTTGTGGCCGCTACTGAGGTCGATCACGATGAGAAGAAGAGAGAAGAAATTGCTTCTTACACCAAAGCTGCGGGCGCAAAGTTCCTTGAACTCTTTACTGAATATGATGTGGATGTTATTATAGCTCCCACAGACTCACCGCTCTTCCTCTTCTCTGGTGCTGGAGGTAAGCACGTGAACAGTCATGTGTTACCAGCTGATCTAACTCTGTGCAGCATTTCCAACGGCTATACCACTTTCAACCATTGAATTCAACGGCAGGCCATTTGGTCTCACTGCTGCAGCTCGTGCTCACCATGAAGGAGTCTTGATCAAGGTCATGAGTGCCTGGGAGTCCACATTCCCAGCAAGAAAGACACCTGAAGCATTCTTGACATTGAAAGCAATAGATAAGACTTTCCCTTCAGCAGCAGGCAGGATCACAATAACATAAGGTAGTATTTGATGTCTCAGAACAACAACACACTCATTTTCGATAAATTTGGTTTGGATGGGTCCAACAAGAATACTGAACACACAATCACACAGCTCTCAAAGCAACTTCCCCCAAAATTGACAGCAGAAGCTTCACTTCTTCGTAACAACAATCAAAGCGTTCTCCAAACTCTGTCTAGGCCTTGCCTCCTTGCCTACCATATTATTAAGAAACGATGAATGCGGCATAACTGAGGTCAAATCAGTTCAAGCCGCCATGTTTAAGTAGGAATCTCACCATTAGGACCCCCATCCTTTGGATCGCTATCATAATTCACAAACAACAGAATCTCGTCAGGAGTCTGACGACTGATCCAATACCACTTCTGATTCTCGCTGTACTGCATGTAATATATCTCTCCGACGTATTCACGCGAAGCTCTGTCTGCGGCTCGGAGGTCGGAATCAGCTACGGTGTATAAGTTACAGAAGGCTAATGGCCGTTCATCTGCCAAGTTGTATAATGGGCGCCAGCAGTTCAGAATCCGGACTCGGTAGTTGCCATCGAGCAGGCCGGCCAACCAGCCAATCAGTCAGTTATCAGTCGAGCTAATTCTTCAACTGATAGACTGGTTAAAATGAAGGCATCCAATTGATTGGCTGTCAGTCATTTATAAATAAATAATAAGTTGTAGAGGTAAAAATATAATATTAAATATTAATTAAGATTTAAAATCTAATTATCTTTAAGCATAAGGAGACCTCGAGCTGAGGAAATGGGCGTAACAGCAGAAGCAAGATCGCTTGCATGCATTCAATTCGACACGAATCAAGCATCGCGGGTATCTTTTGTACAGTACATTTTTCTGCTAAACTTTTTTAATATCGCATATACAAATACAAAGCTCTAACACATTCCCATCCTGTCAGGGTCCCTCTTTCTTTAAAAGTCCGTCCTTTTCTAAAAGTCCGTCCTTTTTAAGTGTCCCTCCTTTTCTAAGAGTCTTTCCAGGTAACGTAATATGTTAATCCATGAGACTCACCTCAAGCCCCACCTCATAATGTTTTCATGCCAATTTTATCTCACTAAAAACATCATTCATGCCCACCATTCTAAATTCCATTGCAATTTACAACTAACCCTTAATAAAACTAGATAAAACAAGGATCTGGCAATTCGTGAAAGGGAGGATTTGTCTAGCATTTTGTGAATAAGAAAGATTGGTCTGGCAATTACACCTTCGTTGTTAGCATCTTCTTATTGTACGACAAATACGGGGTGATTGCGGCATCAGACCTGTTCACTCTTATAGCTCCACTCCATTGTCACTCGGCAAGAAGGGAATTGACGCGATCTATCCTCCTCCCTATTCGTCTGGGATCAAGCTTTCATGTGTGTTTGCTGCTGCTGCGCACAAGACAGACTCAACAAAGCTCCTTCAATTCTGGTCATTGACTCGTTTTAGTTCCTGCTATGTGTTACGCCCGTACAGCGTAACGTGCCTTGCCTGGGCGCTATACCCAACTAAGTATAGCGCTAGGGAAGATTAGCGTTCCCGGGCTCTTACTGCACGTGACAGAGCCATAAGCGAAGACGCTAAGTTGGAGTAGGAAAAGGACTTGTATTTAAACTCGACCGCGCTCTTCGAGCTGCGCTCTCTTTCTTTCCTTCTTTAACTTAGAATCCCAGTCTTATGACATCCCCTCAAGGCCATCTTATCCGTGCCATTTGAGAGTCGTGGCACTATGTTTTATTCTCTAATACAACACACTGTCTTCCTCTTCAGGGTACACCACCCATCCACCTCCAACTAGGATCCTTTTGTCCACCCTTAAGCTCGCTGGTTGGCACATCTCCAGCCTTAGTATTCACTCCCTGCGCTCTGTTACGTCTTGCATTATCATATTTCATCCAAAACCCGAGACTCAAAACAATGGCCACTCCAGCGAATCCGAAACAAGCGCAGATAATACTCGCCATAACATATCTTGGAGCGCTCTGCTCTGTGAAAATGTTGGCTGCAACGAGTCCCATGGCATTGGCAGTACAAACCATGACGGGCGTAAGGATAGCACGTTGATTTTCATCTGGAGTATTGTTGTTGTACCATGTCGAAAGTAGTGGCGAAGTGATGAAGCCGCCTGCGCAAAGCAAGAAGCAAGCGAAGTAGCCGACACCTAGATGATTTGGGACATCGACACAAGCAAGGACAACGAAGCCAACAGCGGTCGTTGCAAGAGTAGCTGCCAGGTGGCATGAACGATCACCCCAATAATCAGACGAAAAAGCGACAAAAACGACAAAGCAGGCGCCGACAATGTTTGGAGCCACCGTGTATAAGTTCGTCTTGACGGTGCTGTATCCGAGTTGAGCAACGATTTGGGGCAAGAAGTTGGACACTGAGAATAGTGGGACTCCGACACAGAACCCTATGCTCATATATACGGGCCACAGCCTGTCTTGCTTAAAAACTCGGATTGCTTGGCGGAACGAAAACTCGGAGTCGACGACTGTGGAAGAGTTGGCTGCAATGCGATGGTAGGCGAGTGCTTTTTCATCCTCATTGAGGAAGTACGCCGTCGCTGCAGATTTTGGTAGCACGATGATCGCAATGATGCCTCCGAGAACAGTAAGACCTCCTACATATTTTGTTAACAGGAGCATCTCGAGTGGTATCTGTGTTACTTGCCTTCAATGATGAAGAGATATTGCCAACCATAGAGAGCATCCTTGATTTGGAATACTCCGAATGCAATGAGGCCAGTGAAGGCTCCTGCAACCTCACTGGCAGCATAGAAGATACTCAATCTGCCTGCCAGTTCGTTTCTTTTGTAGAAGGTCGTGAGATAGAAGATAACACCAGGGTAGAATCCACTTTCGGCCATGCCCAAGAACCATCTGGTAGTTACAATGCCACCAAAGTTCGTCGTACCAGCACTGATCATGGCCATGCTTCCGAAAATAATCATGGCGATGGGAAGAACGAACTTGGCACCGAATTTCTTGGTGAGCATGTTCATGGGAACAGCTGTGAGAACCAATGGTACGTAGAAGATGGAAAGCAGGATGTTGTACTGGTTTCCGGTGAAATGGAGATCCTTAGTAAGTCCATCTGTTTTGGCATTACCCAAGTTCGATTTGTCGATTGAGCTGTATTTCTTTAGCATTCATTCAGAACATACTTTCAAGTGAGCGAGAAATGACCTACTTGAACAGATACATAATAGCAAGCATAGGCAGGATATGAATGTCGAATTTAAACAACATCTTCTTCTCCAGCTTCCTATCGACAACATAATTGGAAGCGACCTGGACAAGGCCATTTCCACGCTCAATGTCCGACTCCGAGCCGGGTGCCTCCTTGGAGTCGACAGGGTATTCAGCATCGTTCATCTTCTCGACTGAAGCCATTGTGAATTCGACAATACTCTTAAGAGATGTTCCCGAGAATGCAGCTCAATGTCGATCAAAAACTTTCCTGGGACCGCCTCTCAATATATCGTGGTTACCCCACACTCAACGCATTTGGCCGCGTCCTTCGGGAAATCTACCCCTATCATCAGGTTATCACCGTTATCGACCCCGACCCGGTTTTCTAGCCTTTTGCTGGGTCGTCTTGCCACCAGCGTGGGTCGGCTAGATTTCCACTCTCAAAAGTGGGATGAATGCCAAGATAAGAAACGAGACTGGATGAAAAGAACATTCCATTCGAGAGTTCGGGTTTGTGACGGATGGGAAAGGGTGAATGGATGCGAGAGCCGTTCTGAAGCCGTTCTGCCAAGACGGATGGAGAGCGGATGAGGCGCGGGGCTTGGGAGGGTGAACGATGATTCGCTTCCCAGCACCGTTCATCACGATGCTGGGAATCCCACTCTTTCATGTCGCGGGGTTATTCAACCTCGTGATGATGTCCGGCGATTTGATATAGAAGCTTGCGCATATATTTCTCTCATTGTACTTGTTTGTCTATTATCCATTTCAAATTCCTCAATAGCGTCTACCACGTTATCATCAGCAGAGAAATCTACACTATTATCACCACCATGTCGGAAGTCAAACTCATAAATCCTCTCCATCCTTCAGTGAAGGATAGAATGGATCCTCAATTCGCAGAAATCTACACAAAATACCAAGGTATATACTTCCTCTCAAACCACAGAACTCTTGATTGACTTGACTCCAGCACCAAGAACACGCGCAGACCAAGTCTCATATGAAGAATACAACTCCAACCGCTCCAAGTACACATTCTCAATCGCACCTGGCTCCTTCCCCGAAGTCGGATCTGTGAAAATCTATAAAGTCCCCGTCTCAGACCCAGCCGGCGAGATACAAATCCAAGTCTTCCATCCAACTCCCGAAGCCATCAAGTCCGCTGGCCTCGCGACAGCAGATGGAAAACTTCCAGCGCACGTCGACTACCACGGCGGCGGCTTCGTGATCGGCGGTCTCACCAGCGATGAGAGTTGGAACAGACAAGCTTGTCAAGCGCTAGGTTGTGTGGTTGTAAATGTCGATTATCGACTCTCGCCCGAATTCCCTCACCCAGTTCCTCTGACGGATTCTTGGGCTGCGTTGAAATGGACGTTTGCTAATGCATCTGAGCTTGGAATTGACAGAAGCAGGATCTCGATTGGAGGCTTGAGTGCTGGCGGGCAGATAAGTGCTGTGCTTGCGTTGATGGCGAGAGATGAGCCGGGGATGGAGAAACTGGTTTGTCAGTTGCTGATTGTGCCTGCTGTCGATGCGAGATATGTGCCGATCGAGGATGTGTCTTTGAAAGGAGTAGAGGGCGTGCCGTATGAGAGTTATGTGGTGAATGAATTTGCGCCGTGTTTGCCTCTGAATAGGATGAGGTGGTTTTACAGGTTGTGGTTGGGAACTGATCCTGGTAGGTTTTTGTTGTTCGTCTCGCATGAAAATGGACATACTCTTGGTTTACATAGCTAATGTTTGAATAGTGGAAAGAAAGAAGAAAGCAGAGCATTTCTACGCATCACCCATCCTCGCAAAATCCCACGCCAACCTAGCTCCAGCTTCCATCCATGTGGCAGGAGTCGACACTCTCACCTCAGAAGGCATCGCTTACCACGAAGTGCTCAAAAAAGCCGGCACTCCAAGCACATTGAAAGTATACGAAGGCTGTGGACACCCTTTCGGGCATTGGGACGGCGAATTAGACAAAGCGAAGGAGTTTGTGACAGACACTATTGGGGCGTTGAGAAAGGCTTATACTGTTTAACACTGAATAGAGAATTGACGTCTATACAAGCTTCCAAGTATCTTAACCTTATTATTCCACATTGATCTCAAAGAGGAAAAATGGATGAATCACGTGCATCGAAACAAGGACAATTGGAAACCCCTTTCCTCCTGCGGCGCAGCCATCATAAACCAATGTTCCCGGCGACGGATAAGACGGCCAAGTCTATGTGGGTGGATCACCATACCCGACAGCTCGGGACTGCTTTGTAACATCCTCGCTTTCCCGATGTCACTCTCTGCATATTCTTCTTCTACCCTTCAATACCTACACAACGACCGCGGCTAGAACATCTTCACCAATTCAAACATTTGATCAGTTCCGAACAACTGAAACTGCCAAAAATGGCACCAACCCTCCTAACAAAAACAACCCGCTTCATCAACGACTCCGGTCCGTCCCCTCCACTCCCACTCCAACTCCCACTCTTGCCCAGCCCCCTTTCCCTCCCCCTATCATCACGTGCCACTAACCCCCTCCCCTCCCTCCCTCCAGCCGGCCTCGAAAAGACCCTCCGCTTCCTCCAAGCCCTCGCCCAGATAATCGCCTCATACACCCTCTCGCCCAGCTCCGCCAAGCCCTGGCAAACAGCTTGGAGACAACTTGCGCTCGGTTCGTACCTTTCTCGTCGTCCTCGCTTATCTATCTACCTAGCTATTTCTCACGTGAATGATTCTGATAAATAACGGGAGAATAGGAAGGAGATACCTCCGGATCGTGAAGTTCGTGGATGCGTTCCAGTTGAGTCTTGCTGTTTTTGAGAGTGGGAATGGGAATGATAATGGGAAGCGGGGTTTTGTTGTCCTGAGGACGACGCTGGAGGCGGGGAAGTGGAGTTGTTTGGGGATGTTTTTGGGGTTGGAGAGTTTGACTATTGTGAGTTTTTTTTTTTTTTTGTTGTCTTCTTCTTTTCTTCCGTTCGTTTCGAGGCGCTCCACGCTCCACTTGTTTGGATAAAGAGAGAGGGAGAATTTGATGATGATGCTTCGAATAGCTTGATACGATGGGTGTTTATAGAACGGCATGGGCAGCGCCGCTTTTTGTTGAGGCGATGAAGTTCTGGTTTTATTCTATAAGTCTAAGTATTGTGCTTTCGTTGGTGGAGCTTTGGGGGTTGTATAGTTCGCCCACTTCTTCGATGATAGCTTTGGTTCCAGAAGGGAAGGAGAAGATCGATCGCGTGAAGGAAAAGGAGATGGAAAAGAGGGAGTGGAAGCAAAAGCGAGGGAAGATCGTGAAGAATATTGTCACCGATTCTTGTGATCTGGTCATTCCTGGGTCTGTGACGGGGTGGTTGCTTGTTTCGAGTAGGAATGTGGGGTTTTGTAGTGTGGTTAGTACGGTGCTGGCTGGGAGGGATGTTTGGGCGAGGATTCAAGGATAGCACGCCTGATTACATCTACAGTGTACTCCCCCTGATCATACGTTAGCTTGCCAAAAAAAAAATATGGAAGCATGCTGCTTCAACTTGAAGAGAGTGCACCAGATTCAAAGTTCGTCTGCGATTCAGTACTTTAAAGCCGCATACGTTCTCTCATTTTCAAGTTCAAGTAGAATAATCGAGTGGCAAGAAACTAACATATGATCAGGGGAGTACACTGTACATCTATGGTACATCGAAGACCTTCTTCATGCTTGCTTTTCTGCTGGCGACAGCAGCTCATTCCTCAGTATCAACACTTTTCTTCCACCAAAACTCACACTCCTTCTTCACCCACTCGCTCCCCCTCATCTCCGCCGCAACACCAACACCATTCCCACCAGCCCGCTCATCATTCCCCATCCCGAACGTCATGACTTTCTCACTCCCTCTCTCGTACCTCTCCCACTTCGGTCGATCTCCCCACCGCCCTTGAATAGCATTTGGATCTCCACCCGTTATAAAACTCGTAACATACGCATGGTATTTCCCGCTCACCTCTCTTTGGGACTCACTAATACTCGTGACATCCTCAGGGAAAGATTCGTAGTACATGTTATCCCCATGATTCGCACCCCCTTTGACAGTCTTGTTCAAAGCCCAGTGAAAGACGAAGATGGGTGGTTCTTGGGCGGCAGAAGCGATGTGTGCTGTTTGGCGGACGGGGCAGATGTAGGCGTAATGAGCATAGGAGGCTTCAACGCGCTTGTATTGTGGTCCGATGGATAATGCTTTCATGTCCCGCTGCTCGACGTATGGCGATTCGGGATCTTTGGCTGGGTCGGGGTATAGAGAGTTGATGGTCGCTAAGTCTTCTGGAGTGTAATGCGGAAGTAACGTGTGCCAAAAGTCTGTGAATCCTTCTGAGGTAGAGAGGTTAGAGGGGACGTAGTAAGTTCCCTCGTTGGTGGCGTGTCCAGTCATTATTGGCACTTTATTCCATTTTCTGGATGCCCAGATATCGATTGGACGGCCGTGAATGAGGTGGTGGTCTATCACCGGTTGAAATGCCCAGCGTAGACTAGGATTGTACTTGTCGAACACGGTGGTGGAAGCTTTGGTAACGACATCTTCTGGTTGAGAGCGAAGACAAGATGTGATGGACTCGGGAAGTACATCGGAGCAACCTGCTTCAGAGACGAAGAGGGCAAATTGCTCTTCGTGAACGGGAGCATCGAACGGGTGGACGGCCCGGGACGTTGGAGCGCCCGACTCGAGAATTGCCTTGTGGAAGAGAGGCTTTACTCCTTCCTGGTAATTGAGGATGTGATGGCCGATCTTAAAAAAGTGTTAGCAAGAACTCAATTCAAGTGTTTGCATGGGAATCGAGCGACTATTGAATGCGTTTCACAGGAAATTACTTACCGAGTGAGCGCCTGCAGACAGTCCAAAGATGGTAACATCGTTCTTGTCTCCTCCAAATGCCGCGATGTTGTCTTGGATCCATTGCAGGAGGAAAACTTGGTCATGTAGCCCTAGGTTTACGACGCCCTCTTCAAAAGTAAGTTTGGACGGGAGGAAGCCAAGTGCGCCGATCCTTGCATCGTTAGTATACTGTCAGGCATGAAAAAACGGCTAGATCAGAATACCGGTAGTTGAAGCTTACTCCAATGAACGGACTTTCAGACCACGCTACCATAGATGCAGTGTTGTGCATCAGAGCTAGACATTTTCAATACAGTACGAGGTCAACACAGGAGTATAGGCTTACAGCTTCCACGATTGAAGGCCCCGCCATGGATGTACACTGCGACTGGCACTTTGTCATCTCCGACTGGCTTCTGTCTAACAATATTGACAGTCATGCAATCTTCACTATTGTCTCCTGCCTTCCCACTAAGCAATTGTTTTCCTGGACATCTGTGATCATCAGCATGGGAATCTATGTGGTACGTGGAGAACGTCAAAGCGTACATCGGGCCATATTTCTGGGCTCTGAACGTGAGATTCGATTCTGGAAGAGGAAATGCACGTCGGAATCGTCTATCACCTGTTGGGGGCTGGGCGTAAGGCAAACCCATGAAAGCTTGGATGGGAGCAGGGAATTCGTTGTCCAAGACCGTGCCGATCACGAGACCCTGGGAAAGGGTGACCTGGGGGAGTTCCGAGGCCGTCCATGTTGGGATGAACGAGTTGGTGATATCCTGTAGCCACGACGACCAGAAGACAGCTATCCCAACAAGTGGAACGGCCGTGAAAAGTAGAAATGAGACGGCTGAAGGCATGAGGTCTGAGACATTCGAATCGTGATATCTCTCTTTGAGATCAGCGATCTTGATACATACGGTACATACATCTCGAGGCTTCCAGTGCTTTTGTGGTTAAGGTCACCGCAGCCCACTTTTGGAATGGTCGCCGAGTCGGTAAAGAAGCACCCCCTAAATCCCCAGCCCAGGCGAGGGCCGCTGGGTGGAGCTTCAGTGTTGCTTGCCCGACACAAAGATAGGGAACTCTCGCCCGTGGAGTTAACGGACCGACACCGTTTTTCCTTACAGTACATTTTCTCTACCCACTTCTGTTGTTCTTTGTGTACAGTATCAGCAAGTTGGAGTCCTTAGGTACTTCGTACGTTTGAGATTCCCATCGTCTCCAGTGTCGAATTGTTTGCATTCTCCACAACCCAATGCGGCTGGCTACCAAATGCTCGCTTTCGTACTTACTGGTCGCGGAAATCACTTCCACCGCGACAGCTAAGTAGAACCAACGCTTCCATCGATGGCTTCCAATGGTTCCGACACTATCTGCCGGTTGGGCATCATGGGTGGTGCTGTAGCGCGGTTCTGCACTGTACTGTAGCGACTCGCGAGAAGTCGCTTCCTGCCGTGTGAATCTGAAATTGGTGCTGAAGAGGGCGATCTTAGGGCTTCATCGCTGGAAACGCTCAAATGACGCCGAGAGATAAGGATCAAGGGGCCACTGTCCCGTTTAATTCTTCGCTACAGTCAGTGCGGCTCCGAGCCGTTGACAAAGAAAAGTGGACAGTGGACGTTTTGCCATGCACCGGAGCAATGGGAAGAAAGGGGTCGTCAAATTCTTACTTATACCTCGTGGATGATAATATAGTAAGCAAAGTCAGATCTTTACCAGAACCAGGAACTTTTCCCCACAAACAAGATTTGAAACAATGCACTCGAAGCATCTTTCCCATTCCATCACTGGTCTCCTCCATCTTTAGCTTCTGGAATCCCAGAGAGGGCAATCTCATCAATTTGGCCTGAACCCAAGTCTAATGATCCAGATGAAGAGATTATCAGATCGCAGATCACTACAGTACGTAGTACTCAGCACAGCCCGACGTCGCGTGTCTCCCCACTTCAATCCCAGCAGCATCAAGGGGGGGGGGGCCGCCTAGGGTCTATCCGCAGCCGCAGTTTCACGACATGTGGTTCTCGAGGTTGCCATGCATCCCTTGACTCGGTTGTCGCCATATCAGGGAAGGTTCACGTCTATCCTGCAAGCCATACAACGTACAATACAACCCAGTAGCCGATTTCCTGGTGTTGCGTTCGCGAGATATCCCGAGGTAGTCCTTGCCAGGAACGGGGCTTTCACAGGTCCAGACAAGTCGACGACCTCGGGATGGTCCTGGATTGGAAACAAGGGTGGACCTGCGCAAGCGTCAGGAGAAAATGGCATGGCATGGCATGGCATGGCATGGCAGGAGGGGCAGATCTGCTGTCAGCACAGTTAGATGGAGACTACTGGCTGAGGTGCCGGATGCGAATTGCCAGTCGACCGCGATGCAGTAGTTTGGCCCTGATGGAAAAACTTTCTCCACAGTTGGTCCACCTGGGTCTTCTCCATAAGACATAGCATCTCCGCTCGAAATCTCACCATGAGGCTTTACAATTCTCCATCTCATCTCTAAGCTCTTCACTGAAATCTTAGTTTCTTGGGGAGTTTTGTTCTTCGTTAAGCAACAATGACGGTTCCAGTGGCAGGTCGTGGACCTCAGGTCCAAGGTGTTGCGGGGCTGTTTCTCGCTCTGAGCACTATTGCTATTGGCCTCAGATGTTATACACGAACATTCATTGTCAAGAGCTTTGGACTTGATGACTGGTCTGCGCTTATTGCTTGGGTATGGACGTTGATTCCGAGATACTTTACTACTACAGCTAACCTTCATAGGTCTTCTTCGTTTTCTTCTGTACCTTTGCTATCAGCGGTGTACATTACGGCACTGGTCAACATGCAGTCGACCTGCCTCCAGCGGACATTCCTGTCGGTCTCAAGGTAATTTTATCAAAATACGGACGTGACCAACACACTAACATGATCTAGTGGTGGTGGGCATGTGAACCTGTCTACGTTCTCAGCAATATGTGTCTCAAATTCTCCATCGGCGTGATGCTTCTTCGTATCACCGTTGCCAGAACCCACAAAATCATCATCTGGACAGTCGTTGTCGTCCTCGAAGTCTATGGCGCATTCTACTTCTTTCTCTTTGTCTTGCAATGTCGTCCATCAGCCTATTTCTGGACAAGGTACACAGGAGGAAAAGGGACTTGTATCGACCCAACCATCACCGTCGATGCCACCTACGTCTACTCCGCCGTCTCGTGTTGGGCAGACTGGACACTTGCTATTATCCCCGTCTTCATAGTCTGGAATCTCCAGATGAACATCAGAACCAAAGTCGGTCTGTCCTTCATTTTAGCCATGGCCGCCGTGTAAGTTCCCTATCTCCCCTCTGCTCATAGACCACCACCTCTAATATATCCCTATCCAGCGCCTCCGTAGCAACCATCATCCGAATCCCCTACGTCAAAGACCTCGCCAACGCAGCCGACTTCCTCTACGCCACCACCGACGTCGCAATCTGGTCGACAGCCGAAACCGGCATCGGCATAGCCGCCTGCTCCTTCGCCACCATCCGCCCTCTCTTCCGCAACTTCTTCCTGCGCTCCCGCCTCCTCGGCGGCTCCTCCAGCCGTGGTAACTCCAAGTCCAACCCCTGGCCCTCGTCCGGTCGTCCGGGGTACATCCGCAGCGAGAGTCGCGGCGGCCAAGAGAGTTTTGGGCTCCGAACAGACATTGGGAAGAACCAGGGCGTGACGACGGTCATTGCCAGCGATGCCGATGTCGAGAAAGGTGAGGAGAAGTTGCCGATTCAGGGGAGTTCGAGGAAGCAGAGTTTTGGGCATAGTCGGGGGAATGGGTGGAATAACAGCGAGAGTAAGTTGCATGATAGTAGTGATGAGGAGCAGAATTGGGGGTTTGGGATTAGGAAGACTACGGTTCAGACCCAGGTTGCCGATTGATTGAGGTTTGAGTCTGGAGGGGTGTACAGTACCATTAATAGCTTGTTTTGCGATCTGCTACCAGTGGCGTTGGGAGGTTCAAGGATAAAGAAAAGAGTAGCGCATGTACTTCACTTCTGTATATCTTCAGCATAGTGTAAAAAGGATTGCAAATGCTTTTATTGGCCCTCACACACAAGCCTAGAAGTCAACGGAAGCGTCAGAAATCTGAATCCCAGTGATAGCCCATTTCCACGCAGTAGTTCCTCCAACAATATATTCAGAATTTGTACAAGATTCCTAGATTTTCACTAAACTAAAGTTTTAAATAAAAGCCGGATAATTTTTTCTAAATTCGAGTAGAATTTGTCCATTTTTACTTTTCATGTCATGAAGCGTGGCAATAGTTACGTTACTTTACGGGAGCATATTGTACAGCATTGATCCAGAATTTGGACAGGATTCCTGGATTTTCACCAAACTAAAGTTCTAAATAAAAACCGGACAATTCTTTAAATTCGAGTAGGATTTGTTCACTTTGAAATTTAAAAGTTTTAAATCCTAGACAAGTGCTGGACATGTACTTCATAGTAAGCCTGCACAATAAGTCTACATTATGCACCGCTCTTCTTCTTGTTTCAATAGTAAGTGTGCATGCATCTCTTCTCTCATGAATTTTCTCTTAATCCAGGTATGTGACACCCATCTGCAGCATGAATCCACAGTACTAACTCTCTTCTAGAACGCGTTCATCATACAAGCAGGAATAGAAGGCAAGAATGCAGGGCAGGAGTAGTAGGCAGGAATTGTTCTATAAACAAGTGGCGGATTTTGGTTCCGAATACTAGATAAATACCGACAAAATCCTGGATCTGTACTAGATAATTTATCCAGTTTTTTTGTCCGGTCGCTTGCTACCGTAGGGGTTGTCTAAAGAAAAGCTTCTGCGAGTTTGATCTTGAAAAAGGAGCCACTGAGCTAATCCACCCAACGTAACAAAAAAGGCACAAAAAGAAAGCAGCTTCCCAAAAAGAAATATATTAGCATTAAAAGCGGCCCCGTTTAGTTTGTTCCTAGTCCAGCAAGCTTGAGCATGAGAGACACAACGATTCGTTTAATATTTGGGATTCAGTGTCTCTGAATAAGGAGAATGTTCGGCATCTTAACAACACTTTTATTCTAGCATACGAAACAAATATCTGATTAACAAGTAGTAATACACAGAAAGAATCATATAGCTGACTAGTTTTTCAATGCTTTTACTAAAGGCTGATAAAACTAGTTTGGTGCAGGTGTTTGGATGGCGCGGTAGGTGGAGTTTGTTGTCTGGTCGCCCATTGGTTCGCTAAACCACGCACAACACCAAATGTTTTATTTGGTCTATAAATTTAAATACGCAAAAATTTTATCATAAACGGCCGGATGGTGTAGTTGGTTATCACGTGTCCTTAACACGGACAAGGTCCTGGGATCGAGCCCCAGTCTGGTCAATATTCTCCTTTTTTTGCATCTTTTTTGAGCTTGCACTGTCCGCGCTGTGTTTTCAGGCTTCTCTTGTGATGCTATGGGGTCTCTTTTGCGCCTCATCAGAGTGCCAAATCATATTTGTTGCCATAAGTTTATTTTCTGTGGTCTGAATATGATCAAGCTTTGGCGTCGAAAACAAATTGTATTTTCAAATATGTGGGGTAATCACATCTGAGGGTCTCAAAGCCAATAAGAAAGTGTGGAGGCAATAATTTATCTGATTAATGTTGCTCTGTTCGAAGCTCCAGCTATACACTCGAGACTAAAGTAGCAAAGACAATTGTTTCCATGCCTTTCCTGTCTCAAGTAGATGCACTTTCCACACCGGTAACATAGCGCAATACCCCCAACTTTCAATACACTCCATCAGCAACAATATATTCCGTCTTCGGACCTTTCTCCCCCGACTTCAAACGCTCTATATGCTCAACTCTCTCCAACGGAACATCCAACGAGTCAAGTGGCATGACCCCCAGTTTGGCGGCTTCTTTGGCAGTGAACGCACCGTAATAATCCACATCATCGAAATCGCCCATTCCAGGTACAGGAAACAGACGCATTGTAACGTAGAAGAGGAGAGCGCTTGTGAAGAAACCTATGTAACGAGATATTAGAGCAGTGAAGTCGGTTTAAGGAGTGAATAGGACATACCGAAGAAGAACGCCATATAATAAAGCTCGAACAACCTTTTCGGAGCAGTGGTATTGCCCCGCACTGTGAGAATCAAACCTCCCACAGTTGGACCCCATCCACACAGCCAGGCTGGGATAACTCTCCAGTTGACACCATGAAAGTACCAGTAAGCAGTATCATGCGTTCGGTACAGATTGCTCAGTTGAATCTTTTGTTTCCGAAGAATGAAGAAATCACAGCACATTACTCCAATCATTGGAGCTAGGAAGACGGCGAAGGAGCTTAAGACTGTGATAAATGTCGCGGCTTTGTTGATGAGCTGCCATGGCTGGACGACCTTTGAAGCATGTTAGCTTTGTAATTTTAAGATTCCTACGGTGTAGATATACCCAGCATGCGATAAATGTGATCAGAGCACCCTGTTAACAAGTCAGCATCTTCCCCTGATCAAGAACAACAAACACTTACTCTTCGGATGTCAATGTAACGAGGAAACAATCCCGCTAAGTCGATTCCACCAGCTACGGCGTTTCCCTTGGATGTTATCAGCAGTGACAAGCGGGCACAGATGTTCTGGACTTACACAAATATTCTCGAACATCGCAGTCAGAGCAAACCCAGCTGACAGGAAGAACACCCCGGTCCTCGCCTTAGATGATCCCTGGCCGGCGTCCATCATCACCATCAACAAGTCAGGTGCTATGTTACAACACCGTAAGTCTCAATCATTTCAGGAATAGCAGGGGTGGTACTTACGGTTCCAGTATATTTCGCCATAGATTTTCTGGCATGCACTAGTTGTAACCAATCCCACGAAACTGACCTGATCAAGATTAAAAATTGGACATTCAGAAGGCAAAGGATCCAGAATGACATACCATGGTACCGACTACCCAGACTGAAGCTATGGAACCCAAGATATAGTGCTTTGGAGACTTGGCATATCTCGAGAAATCCGAACCGTTCGTGATTCCCGCTTCTCGGAGTTAATTTTAATCTCTATCAACTTTCCAGACATCGACTCACCTGCAATGCCTCCCAGCATCTGGTTGATACCAGACATTATGAGCCACGAAGAATTCCACCTGCTTTCAGACGGGATTTTCTCGCCTTCCGAGAAAACAGGACCAACTCCTTTGGCTACTGAAAGCGACCAAATCACTGAAAATTTTAGAAACATTCGATAGAGAGAATTTGATAAAGCTTACTCATGCATATCATTCCGATACCACAATAAGCGGAAACGACTTGGAATGGAAGCTTGAATTTTTCAGGTCTAATGAACAGGAATGGGAGGGACAATGTCCAGAAAACGATGAATCCGACGAACTGATAAGTCGTTGTCGGCATATTCGAAGGTAGAGTGTTTTCAATCGTCGCAAACGATGGCCATATAGCTGTGATACAAACACTAGGCACGAAGAATCAGTTCTGAGAAAGTCTGGGGAGTCTTGGAGCACTCACGCGACCAGTCTTCCGCCATTCCAACATTGTACAGCCGTCCAGATGAAGTTCAACAAGATACGCTGAAGTAACGGAATGTAGCTTCCTCGCATTCCCCAGGTGTATCTATTCTGAATCGTGAATCCGATATGCCATTTCAGCCCACACCAAGCAACAAGTGTCGAGAATAGGGCAATAAGAGCTCTGGAAATGACAATCACAGCCATCGATTGGCCTACCGAAAGCCCCAAAGCTGTTGCAAAGTTAGGCATATCCAGTTCACTTTTGAGAATACACTCACTCAGGTATGTATTCGGGGTTTGCCAATTGCTGACATTCAGAGAACTGATGGCCCAGTACCCGAAGTAATGGAAAGCTGCCCATGTTCTCCGAGATGGAGGCAGAGGGATGAGATCGCGATTGCTCCAAGAGTCTGTCTTTTCGTGTTGAGCTTCGTCGCCCTTCACTTGAAGCTTTTCTCCGAACTTTCTCAGACGAAGAGAAGCCATGTTGAGATGCAAATCGGATTCCTCCCTGTCTAGGTGTAGACCGATTTCGACGACCTGAAGATAGACGAAGAATTGGAGGTCGTGCAAACTCTCACGACTCGCAAGTCAAATCCACAAGCTAGCGTCGAGGCGTCTGTCAAATATGTCTTTCAAGGGTGGGAGATAACCTACCGACAGATAAGATTTCTGATTACCTTACATGAACTTCAAGTAGGAATCTCAGGAACTCTGCCGCGTCGCGTTGCCAAGAAAGATTGTGCGTGTGATCGGGGAAGATAAATTCGATCCGGGAATAGACCCAGATAAGAGGATCCACCAGCGGGATGGGAACCTTAATCATAGTAGCAACCTTGATTGTGCTGTGTTGGAGATACTCCGAAAGTGGGCTGCGTTGATTTTTATACAAGCAGAAGTGGGGCTATGATACTCGAGTCCAGAACATACAAAAGGTACTGTACTGCCAGTCGGTTCGTACACATAGAGTATAAAACATAATCAAAACTTGAAGTCCAACACTGTCGTGATAGACATTATCTAAGATCGTCATCAAATATTTAGGACAACTTCGCTCTCCACCACTCCGCGTTTCAATGACGATTCATTGTCCGTCTCTGGATATCTCTTAAACAGATCCATTTCAGTATAGCCACTTCCCACCCTTCCTATTGAAAGTATGCACTTCTCTCTTCTCATTTGCCTTCATCTTAGCAGGAAGTGTTTCAAAGCTCCGTCCATAACTTGCTACAGCATGCGCAATTCCTTTGGTCAGCTGCACCCAGACACCGACATTGAGATTCTCAAGTGTATCTCTAGCAGTGTGGTAATTTGGGTCATAGATTTCACCAGCTGTTCCACCATATAATGCGACCTCCTCGTCAGTCTTCACTCCATCAGCTCCAGAAGTCAGTCCACCAGCGGCGATACCAGCATCGAGGAATGGTCCGTAGTCGGATCTTCCATCAAACTCGGATGGCTTAGTTGGAATGTTAACCTCGTTCTTGAAATAATCCTCCCAGAGATTCTCGACTTCGGCTGAACCAGATGGGCCGCTGAGGTTGAAAGCCGATCCATCTCCATCGTATATCTCAAAGACAAAGTTGGGCGATGCAATCATGTCGAAGTTGATGTAGAGACGGATTTTATCACGTTCGTCTTGCGAGAGAGTTGAAACGTAGTGCTCAGCTCCTAGGAGACCTTCTTCTTCACCTGACCACCAGCCAAAACGAACGGCATTGTTTGTTGAGAATTTGGACAGCTGGATAGCTACTTCGAGAATTCCAATTGATCCGGAGCCGTTGTCGTTAATTCCTGGTCCAGCTTGAACTGAGTCCGTATGAGCACCAACTGCGAGAACATTTTCCTTGTCACCACCTTTTGTCTCCGCTATGACATTGTACCTAAAAACTCATCAATTATATCCTATTTCGTGGAGCTCGAACACGTACGTAAGAATCTCGCTCAAGTCAACATCGAGATGGGCGATTACAGCGCCATTAGCAAGTGATGCGATTAGCGTCTGCCCATCGGCAAGAGAAATGCCAACCGTGGGTGCATAGTCACCTGCCTCTCCAAGAGTTCCTTGGAGAAGACCTTCGACGTTGTTGTATATGATTGTCCCAATTGCGCCCGCAACTTTAGCATTAATGGCTTTGGTTGCAAAAGTGCATGAACCACGGCTGATCAGGGCAATATTGCCGCTGACTTCAGTTGGATAATCCTCCTATACGATTGTTAGCATAAGGATGGAAGTATAAAACCAAACTTACGGCATTGCATCCAAGATTGGACACGAGGACGATGGGACCGGAAACAGTGCCTTCGGCAGTGAAGGTCATTGGCGCAACCTCGTAATCAACCTCACTGATGCTCAACGTCCCAGATGCACTCGGAACCGTGAGTGGTTGTACCTCAACATCATAATAATCCAAGGCATCTAACGTATCAACGAGGTAGTTGACGGTGGCATTGTGACCAGGGGTTCCAATGTAGCGATTCCGTCCTTCCGTGGCGTACGCAAAATCTTGCAGTATTCGACCCTTGTCAAGAAGTTCGGACCGCAGAATGACTCGACGCAATTGGTTCTGAGAAATTGTTAGGGTTGATATCGTGGTGGGGAGCGAGTCTTACAGATTGAACTAATGGCAAAGCTCGAGGTTCTGGAGCTGGGATGGCTGTGGATAAAGAGCCCAATGCTGCAAGAATAACAGAGTATACAGAGAGCTTCATGTTGTTCAACAGTCCCTCATGCAAGAAGACTCAGAACAAAGTACGTTCCAAGACAAGTTGCACATCATTCATCCACGTTGCGACGGAGGCAATTTATAGATGAGCACTGCAGCTCAGGACACCCAAGCTTTGGCCAAAGGATGGTGAATAAAATTTGTCTATCCTACCAGGTACTATGCACCGTTTGCGTGCGATGCAACTTCTTACAGCCACCCAAGCATTTCAGAGATAACCAACTTCCTCATTCTCGCACCCAAGACTCTTGGCGGGTCAGACGAACCTCAATATCCCCAACAACAGTCATATTTCCTTCGGGTCCGGGAACTAAGATGTCACTACCACTTGTTGCAAATCGAAGAGAGAAGGAGCCAAGGTGATAAAAGCATCGCGAATCTTGGACATAAATTAGATCTTTCTAGGCGAAGACGTTCGTTGGTTCCAAGAAAAGCCAAGCAGAGGGGCAGTCGAATGCGAGAATACCAAGGCAGTGTGTGCATGTCGTTCAATCGACTTCCATGCTTTAGACTCATCAAGGCATCGTACACGACGGCCAACTGGGTCTAGCATGCTGAATACCAAGAGAAGTCCAAAATTCGGCCAAATATTAAGAAGGTTCAGAGATATCGGCATGAGGACCAGCCTTGGCTTGGTCTGAATCATCCCATATAGGAAGCCCATCATCGCTGAATTTTGCCCATTTGAAGAAAGTGCATCCATCTTTATCAGGAACATTACCTGCATGGCACATCCAGAAGTATTTGCCCCAATTCTCCTTCTTTCTTTGAACAACTCTCAATACCCCCGGCACATCACACTTGCACCTGGGTGTATATTTTGGGTGTAGACTCGCTTTATAATCTCGATATGTGATGTTGATTCTCTTCTTGCCGGAGATAGGATGTGGATCAATAGCTTGTGCGGGCGCTATGCTATGCTTCCATTCTTCCTGCATTTCGGCATGCATGACGAGTAAGGAGTTATGTGGAAGATGAATCGCTATCTGTCCCTCCATATCTCCGTCTTCCTTGGACTTCTCCTTCTTCTCTTCATCTTGTGGTATGATGCGGCGAACTCGAAATTCCCTTGCTACACCCAAAGATATAGACCCGATGATTGCTCGTGGTCCCAGGTACGTAAGCTGATCGCTGTGATATCCAACACTTTCCCCTCCGCCATCGTAGCAGTTGACAAATGCTGCATTTGGTTTCCAGACCGCAGGCGATTGATATTTGAGTTTCTTGCCATCAGGGTAGCGTGTAATTCGCTTCGTAATCTCGGAGTTGACTGCTTGTTCGACTTGAGGGGAGACTTTGCGCATTTGTGGGGTAAGTTGACGAACATCCTAGTAAATGTCAATTACAGACGACGAAGGGGAAGGATTGTGCAGCGAGAGCCAAAAAAGGATACAATCAGGTAGATACTGCGGATTGGAAGCACCCACTGTCAAGAGTCCACCATTGTAGATATATTCTGTCTTCTGCCTTTGCAGCTCCTCGTAAGAGTCAACATAAAACGAAGCAGTGTGAGGACTTTGGACAACGTTATCAAACAGCTTGAATGTCATTCTTTCGTAGGTTGGGACTTCCTTGAGAAGCTCTTCGAGCAAGGCGTTTGCGTCTTCTGCCGGCAGGAAATTGTGGATGATCGAGCAAGGTGTATGTTCAGCCACATCTGCGGGGTCGTATAGGTGTAAAGTCTTGCCCTTCTTCGAAAGTAGTTTTGCTTTCTTGTTCAAACCTTCATCTGTACTATTCTGAGAGACAAAGCCAGACAGGGAGCTCTGGTAACCGATCACACCGGAAGACTTTCTTGGGGGCGAATCCGAGGGGTTGAGAGAGGCAGATGCTTTCTCTACAGATCCATCATGTGCTAAGAGCATATCCATAAGAACATTCTGGTCGAGATATGGATGTAAGGACGAGAGAAGGGCCAGCTTGAAATCCGTAGACTCGTCATCTGGGGCGCTCAAAGCACTGATATCTTCGATAGTCGAGGTTGGAGGAGGAGGTGAGAGCTTTCTCTTCTTCCGGGAAACGAAGGAATCCATGATGATGTGTAGATTGGGAGTATCCTCTCCCCAGACTCCCAAACAGAAAAATCAACCTCGAATTCATGTTTTGTAATCATTTCACCAGTCTTGTAGAGTCTAGAAAAGAAAGTGACTTTGCTCTGGAAGTCGCCAATAAGGCAGCTATACGCCTTACCTAAAGCAGTCTAGACGATAGCGGTTTCACTTAGCCTACCGTTCTCCACCTCCATCTTTCACCGCCTTCAAAAGAGGCAACGCGTACAAGCAAAAACTCACCGCCTCTACAAGTGGCAAAGCGTTCTGGCAAATACCGAGGTATCATCGCATCAACACGAGCCGAGAAACAATTCTACTTCAGATCGAAGCAACAACCAACGTCCACCATGGAGTTTCGCACGACGGGTTTCAACGGTTATGCCGTGAAGTACTCACCATATTTCGATAATCGTCTTGCGGTAGCCGCCTCTGCCAATTATGGACTCGTCGGAAATGGACGTCTCTTTGTCCTAGGTCTCGATGCCAGTGGAATTCATGCGGAAAAAGTGTGAGTACAGCTGCCAGGAATCGGACGATTAAGAGTAAAGACCATGTGCTAATCTTTTCCGAATAGCTATGAGACCTCTGATAGCGTGTATGATTTGGCCTGGGCTGAATCCAGCGAAACACAAGTAATTCTGGCCGGTGGGGACGGTTCAATCAAGCTGTTCGATATCGCTGCCCCCGGAAATAACCCAGTTGCACAATGGCAGGAGCATAATCGTGAGGTATATGCTGTTGCATACAATCTGGTCACAAAGGATTCATTCGTATCAAGCTCATGGGACGGAACGGTCAAAGTGGTACAGTTCCCTACCACCCCACTTACCCATGGGAGTTGTGTAAAGGACGAAAGCTGACATGTTCTTATAGTGGTCTCCCATTAGGTCTCAAAGCATGCTTACGCTTCCGACTCATTCTTGCACATATAGTGCCGCATTTGCCCCCCGATCTGCGTCAATCGTCTCCTGCGTCTCTTCAGACTCTCACTTGAGGATCTACGACTTGCGAACACCTGCCTCTGCCACGAACCACTTGGTACACCTCATTCCTGCCCATGGTCACGCCCCCGTACCAGGAGGTCCGCAACGTCCTAGTTATGAGCCTGCTGAGATTCTTACGCATGATTGGAACAAATATCGTGATACGGTCATTGCGACCGCTGGAGTCGATCAATTGATCCGTACCTTTGATATTAGAAACCCTAAAGGAGGACCGGTTGCCATCTTGAGAGGACACAATTTCGCAGTTCGAAAGATTGCTTGGTCCCCCCACCTGAGCGATGTTCTTATTAGTGGAAGCTATGATATGACCGCACGAGTCTGGACGGATGGCTCGACTTCTGCTACGCCAAGTCGACCAATCACTCTAGGTCCTGAGGCTTGGGGAGATGAATACGGCCGTTTCAACGCTCACACCGAGTTCGTCACCGGTGTTGACTGGTGTCTCTTCGGTACTGAGGGTTGGGTTGCCACCACTGCTTGGGACGAGCGTGTCTGCGTTTGGGATGTTCGGACCGTCATGGGCCAGAACCGCACCCGCTTCCACACTCCTTAGGTCAACAGCAACAAAGCTAAAATTCGACAAAAGCAGGCAATTTCTTTTCACGACGCTCACGATCTGGATGCGAATAATGGTGTAATAGACAAAAGTGGATACTGCGGACGGAGATACCATGGCGTTTGTTGGCGTTTTCAGGCCTTTCGTGTACATCTGGGCTTTGATGTGGGCTGATCACATTTGCATATGGGAGGCAACTTGTGATCACGTTTACATAGAACCTCTCCGTCTACAGAGACTTTTACTAGACAAATAGTAATAGAGTCTTACTTCACTTCTTCTCAAAGCCTCCACCAGTGACTGTCTCTTTTCTTCTTCTTGTCCCCACTATCCCCATCATCGTCACAGTCATCGCCGTTGTCATTGTCAGATCCTGAATCCGTCCCATTCGTCAACGCGTTAACAATGCCTTGATATGCAGGATGTTTGGTGAAGTTTGCAAAATAAAGCGTCGCTGATCCCTGGCCAGGGAACGTATCTGGAACCCAGGAGAACTACATAAATCAATCAGCTTGAAGTCCACGCTTCGCATCCCAATTTGAAAGCAGAAACAACACAACTCACAGGATCATAAAAGTCCCAAACAGTAATTCCAATGCACTCATCAACTTGCATACAAGCTCCAACAGTATTCTCGTAAACCTGGCTCTGATTCGCAAGGTTCGTACTGTTCTCTGGCTCATTTAGCCTAACATCCAATTCCGTAATAGCGATCTCGAGTCCCATATCAGCAAACAGCTGCATGTTCTCGATCTGCGCATCTAAACTCGGCGCATTGGCTACAGTAAAATGGCTCTGAAGCCCCACACCATCGATCCTGATCCCATCATCCTGAAGAAGCTTGATAATATTTGCTCTTGCGGCATTGGATTTATTGGAGACGTGCTCGATGTTATAATCGTTGTAATAAGCTTGGCATCTGGATCAGCTGCTGCTGCTGCGCGGAAGGCGATCTTGATGTATTCTGGGCCGAGAATTGCGAGGAAGGTGTCGTTCCTGTAGGTACCGTCTTCGTTGAGAGCTTCGTTCAAGACGTCCCAGGCATAGCATTTGCCTTTCCAGTGTGTGGCTTCTTGTGTTACGTGATCGATGAGGGCTGCTGTGAGGTTCTCTTTTGACCAGGTCATGGTATCGACTGCTCCACGTTAGTAAGAGCGGGATTGGACGGGAAGAAACTGACCCCATGGTGCTAATTGTGAATGCCAAACCAGATTGTGGCAGCGGAGTATTTGGTTGTTGCTCGCAGCCAAGTCTGCTACAACTGAGCCCATGGAGAAGTTGTAAACTCCGAATTCTGGCTCAATTACAAACCACTATTTCGGTCCTGTCAACATGCTATCTTTCGATCATGGAAACAGGTCTCGGAGACTGGTGGAAACTTACCTTCTGACCGTTTGACGGAGTCAATTGACCAAATTCGGACGTATTGGTCAAAATGCTAACATACTGCGTATTGTTAAGCTCCCCATTGTCAGTTGCAGTGCCAAAGTACATTTTCCCAGCATCTTGAGCAAGCTGATTCAACTGAGCAGAAGCAAATGGGATGGCTGCCACAGCAGTCAGCGACTGGAAGAACATTTTGGCGGTCCTTGAATCTGGATGAAAGAATGGCCAACAAAAGAGGAGTCAAGGACGAAGCTTCCAGGAACCGGCCTAGGGAAATATATGTAGCTGTCAGTGATCTAACAAGCATCACTTATCCGTCAAGCCGGCATTTACTAGGATTAGCAGATGGAAAGCTGGACCTGCATATCCAGATCCTCTTCCAGAACCAACACGTTGGTGCGGGAGGGGTAGGCTGATATCCAGAGACGCGGAACTGTTGAACCAGTAACAAAACAGATACTGAGAGGGACTACAGGAGCAATCTATGTGGATAAAAATGCGGTCTTTAGCAGGCCAAGAGCAAAGATGCAGTGTTTTGTTGTGTTCCATATTGTGGCTTCGTGTACCATTTTTGGACCCAGAATCTCCCAAGCCCAGATAGAGAACAGCTTTTTACCTAAAGCATTAGAAGTGATTCGTTATCTGATACGGCAGTGAAAGGGAGATTTTGAGTTCAGCACAGGATTAGAGCAACGTTGAATGTCCGAAAGATTGTTGACAATTGAAATCGTATATGAAGGGGAAGAGTGAAGGTGCGAGCTTCGCTGTGCCTCGTAACTCGTTACCACTAGACTAAATGCACGGTATCCAACAAAGAAGAAATGTGTCCCCAAGAATTAACACTGAAAAAGGTGACGGTTCGGGTCAAGTGTAATTGAAATAAATTGACTTGAGCCGGATATTATACAATCCAATGGCCCGGCGACGGATAGCTGTACTTCAGCCTGAGAAGCCGGAATGACCAGGGCACCTGAAGAGATCCACAAACACATGAAGAGGAATGAAATGCGACGAAACACAAGGGCATGCCGTTGGTCAAAGACCTAAAGTGAAGTAGAGTTGAATTACTGTCATACTAGGCTATGCCAGACCCAGTGAGCGGACCAGAGAGCCTTGTAGTTGCCCCCAAACCCCAGAACGCTCTGCAATGCTATGATCGATCTACCCAAACTTTGCCAGAGGTCGAACGCCGCCGACTATTCATACAGACCGTGAGCTTTTGTACACGCAACAAATGAAACAATATGGTTCGACAGCCCAGACCCCAAGACCCAAAGCCAGCCGTCTAGTATGCACACACTTACACGTGCACTTCATTAAAAGCTCGGCTCCCTGTTGGCAAAGCTCCCACCACCTCGTCCTCCCGACGATCGATCACCAAATCCACCACTTCTTCCGCCTCCTCGTCCGCCGAAGCCACCAGCTCTGCCTCCATCTCGGCCGCCAAATCCTCCAGAGCTTCCTCGATCACGGAAACCTCCGCCACCTCGTCCGCCAAAGCCTCCAGAACTTCCTCGATCACCGAATCCACCACTTCGTCCTCCAAATCCCCGGTCGCCCCCACTCCCTCCAAAGCCACCACTCTCATCCCGTGGCTCTCTGCCGATATTTACGCCCGGTAATCTCGCAATACCTAGCTTGTTGGCAAGGATAGGTGCAATCATAGGAGGCTGCTCGAAACCCCAACCATATCGTGTCCACTGATTCAGAGCGTCGATTGATTCTGCCGCGTCACTTCTTTGTATTTGACCAAGATAACCCATATAAGCAGCAACCTTGGTTCCACGAGACACCATCTTTGTCGATTCTCCAACTTGGCTCAGAGTATCCGCTACCGACTTTGGTAGTTGGGTATCCTTGGTCATGTCCACAGCAGCTGACTCCAACGATTTGTCGGGAGTGATAGGTAGTCCTCGTAGCATTCTCCGAGCTGGTTGGAGCTGAGATTTGTCTACAATGATAAACCCTTCTCCGGTCTTGTCTCCTCTTCCTGTGCGACCAATTCTGTGAACGTATTGCTCTTGGTTCGGTGGCAGGCCAATCTGGATGACGTGTGATACATTAGGGAAGTCCATTCCTCTGGCTGTGACATCTGAAGAGAACAACAGTGCAGATTCTGCTCTGCGGAAACGTTCGGAGACTCTGGTACGTTGCTCCTGGGTGAGTTGACCGTGCATGACGGAAACTGTGGCTGGATGTAATGGGTGCTTGCCAAACAGTCCGCCACCTGCTCTCAAGCCCGCGAAGATATCATGAGCGAGATTGACATTGGCGGTAGATGAAAAGTAGACAATTGCTTTGAAAGGTTTAGCTCCCTCTTCCTTGGCCTCGTATCTTGCGATCTCCCGCTTAGATAATTCCAGTAAAGCAGGCATAAAATTCTCGATACCAGGAGTGATAACTATCTTTTGAGGGATCTTCTCATGTGTCGCAATATCGCCTGGCTTGACAGCCTGTACAAACTCGAAATCGGGCTTCAGAGTATTTCGTACAAGATGCATGACTTCTCTCGGCATTGTCGCAGAGAACAAAAGGGTTTGTCGGTCGACATGTTCGCGGTTCGGTAGCAAATCGATGATTGCTTCAACTTCTCTCGAGAAGCCAGCATCCAGTAGTCGATCCGCTTCATCAAGTACCAAAGTCGTAAGGTTTGGAGCTTTGATCCCACTATATTCGTCGGACAGAAGATCCTGAAGGCGACCTGGCGTGCCAACGAGTAAATGACATCCTTCACGCAAAGTCTTATTCAACATCATCCGCTTGCTGTTTCCACCAACTGCAACTTGAACCTTGAGACCGGTATTCCGGCATATCTTATCGGCCTCGACAGCAATTTGCTCTGCAAGTTCACGCGTGGGTGAAATGATAACTGCGCGGATGTCGCTAGCTTTTGCTCGAGTATGCTGTCTTCGGTGTGCCAATTCGGGGCTCTGGCGAAGAATATTCTGGACGGTCGGAATGAGGAATCCAAGGGTTTTACCAGTTCCAGTTCGAGCTTGGGCGACACTAGGGAAAAGTCAGTCGGGCGAATGAAGATATAACATCGCGCGACTTACATATCGGTACCCAGTAACCCAGCGTTGATGGTCATGGTCTGCACTTCGGTCATTGTGTGATGTCCCATGCCCTTCGTAATTGATTCGACGACATTGCCGTGTACCATGCCATGGTCCATCAGCTCCTGAAATTTTGTGACTTCTCTCTGTTGTTCCTTTCCAAATCCCATAGGCTGCTCCGTGCTCTCCTGATTGCTCTCATGGCGATATGCAGGAGCTTGATTTCTCAATGCCGAAGAGATGTGTAGCCATCGCGATTCGGAGGATAATCGAGTTGATGTCTGGTTGTCTAATGACAGACACGAGGGTCTGGTTGATGGTATACGAATAGTAGGGACAGCGGCGCTCAGAGCTCGAGATATCGAGGCCGGGCCTCTTCTGCAGACGTTGAACATCTTGCTTCCCCCAAAACAAACAATCCCAACAGAAACAGCGTATTAAATAGGATAGGATTGAAGGGGACAAGTAGTTACAATGAATGTAGATGTTGAGTTGTGGTATCTATCACCAAGTAAAAAAATCAACGACTTGACAATCTCCAGAACTTTTTGATTTCGGCTAGTCCATATCGGGCCTGGGCTGGTACTAAAGCACGTGCCATTTTCCCCTATCATTTTTCGCCTGAAGCAGCCCCTGAAGCCCCTTCCATTCTTCACCATGGAATGTTTCTGCACATAGTTTTCTGAGCACAAGTCGTTAAGCAGACTAGATATTTTTCAAATCCAGCTTTTCATTTGACAGTCGAGTTGATTTCAAAGGCCAAGGGAGAGATGAATTCCAAATGTTCTATCTATGCTACCAAAAATGCAAAACGCCACCATATCTCAGGGTATCATAAAGCACCAAGCATCGTCTACATCTAATCATTACCACATCAATCATAAATACATCACTTTCTCGAGCTCTGCACCTGACTTCTCCTCGGCGCTGCACCCATGATAACCATACCCTCTCCAACACCCTCGTGAATACCTCCCGTAACACCTTCTACAAACCAAGCTGCCGTCTCTGTAATCATCTGTCCTACTTTGCCATCGCCCATACCATATATTGCTCCTGTGAGATTCAGGCCTGTTTTACCAAGACTATCTACAGTCTCTATACTTTGTGCCAGAACCTTCTCAGAGATCTTGTGTTCGCGATCGTAGGCGTATGCTGTGCTGAGAAGGTATTTGAGGTAGGGCATAATGAATTGCATAAAAATAAATAGTTGAATAATAGTAGAGGCTAGTGTTCGATGGAGGAGAGACGGTTCTTGTTCTCCTTGCGGAGATGTATTGGATGCGTAGGATGGATTGAGGCCGAGATGTAGAGGTTCCACAATACCTTCTGGTAAAGAGCCACGAACACTCATCCGTTCCTCTATCGTGAGATCTGTTGGAAGGGCTCGGAGAAGGTATGCCAGAGAGTGTATATAGACTTGTCTCGCAAAGCTCGGGTTTCCAAAAGTAGGATCTCGAGAGATCGTGGAGGATTCGTCCACAGCCAGACTCAAAAGACTAAGGCCTTAAAAGAATCAGAATATGTACAATAGATGGCCAACACGGGTCCATACCTTGATTTGCAAACTTCCACCCAATCCCACTAGCACCCTCCGTCAGCTCCATCCTCTGAGGTTGTCTCTCTTTGCCCGCCTTGCTCTGCAATCCCTCATCATCACTTGTTGAGACGCTCTCGACATAGTACCCCGCAATGTCCTCGTCTGCCATCATCGTTCTCCCTTCACTCAACACCATGGCAGACGTGTACCCTACATCCGGCGTTCGTGTCCCAGAAGATGTCGAAGAACCTGTCGATGGTCTTGAGCCCGCTGATTTGCGTCTTGAAGCAAGTCCGTACATTGAGACCGAACGGCGGATGGAAGGCAGGCGGGGGAGGCGGAATTGAACCGCCGAAGGAAGTATGGAGAATAGCATCGAGGCTTCTTTTGGTCGGGGGAGGAAATCTGCGGAGAGGGGACGAATGCTGGAGGTAGACATCGCATCTCGCTGACGCATCTGAGCCATGTCTAATGTAAACCCTATCTCGTTCCGTGGATAGCAACGGGGTCCGGCGGCAAGGAATGCTGACGCTCTGAAAATAAAAAAGGAGAATAAACACAGAGCAAAGGGTGGGGTAATTATATCAGAGACATGGTTGAAACATATACATTTGAAGATATAAACGGAGGAACAGGTAGTGACCGTGGGGGATGGTGAGGCAAAGTCAAAAGGGCGATAAGAAATCGGAATTGCAAGATGTTGAGAATAGTCGCAGAAGCAGCATCCCGGTCGCTGGCATGTGAAGTCAAGCATGTGAAGATTTCAAAGAGTGGGATGCACGTGATGACGATTTCCTGCTTGTTGTAAAACATCCGATTGCCTTGTTCGGATACCTAGAAAACGAATACTCTACACTTGAATGCGCACAACGTATGGTTGTGTTGATAGTGATTACCCCGGGTCAAACAATCTTTCTCCCTCCCACCTAAAGCCACCTTCAAACCAAGGCATCCGATTCTCAAACATCAATTGCTTCACTCTTCATCGTCATCATAGTATCCCCAGGGATTTCGAGGCTTTTTCTGCTTTGCGATCCCAATTTTCTCTCCATGAAGATCGAAGACCAGGAAACGAGAGGAGAAAAATGGCCATCCAAAGATCGCTTGTCCTCCTTTCTCTACCTCTTGCAATCGACCAGCACAAACTGTTAATTCTGGCTCTTCAGGGCCGCTAGCTGTGGCCAATCCCCAGATTGGAATGTGATCTTCAAGGACAACGCGGGACAATGTTCCCACGTATCCCCCTTTCAGTCCAAAACTGATTTCTGGCATTTGCCCTCCTTCACATGGTAAGAACCACTGCTTGTACGTAGTATTGTATGTAGCTCCTTCAACTTGGCGATAATACTGGTTCACAAGATCTTTGGGAAGGTAGATGTACTCGGTGCCGGAGTCAACCACTACTTGAACATTGGTTTCAGTTGGTGGCTGTTGAGCTTCGATAACTTCGAACGAAGTCATAGTGATACCCCAACCAGGCCCAAACTTTCGATATGGAGTTCGTTGTGCAGGTGTGTAAGAAATCGTTCCGTTCACCCGCTTCTTGTCGATGTACCCCAGCCCAAAGTAGCCACGTTCGGAACTTCGGCCACCTTCTAGGCTGAGTGTGAAGAGAGTAACTAGATTAGATCAGTTCTGTACAAGTATCATGGTTCTACAGTACTTACTGTTATGTGTTCTTGCAAGCCAGGGAAGAAACTTAGTCGGGCTCTTGTCATCAAGTTTCGCCATTCCCAAGCCCAACATCCCATCAACATAGGCTTGGCTATATGTACCGTTGTTAAGCATCTTCTAGACCTCAAGTCCATCGTCTTCTGTTTCATCGTACGTGTTATCTGGTGACACCAGGGAATTCCATGTCGTTTCATCTGGAAGGGTTATAGCAGAAGCATGATTCTGCTTCGATACAACACCAAATGTGCAATTGTTGGACAGTAGCTGTCCATAAGCATTATCTGGAGAAGGGTCTGCATCCGGTGCTTCGACACCGAAGCGCATTGCATCCTCAACAACCGTTCCTGACACGGTTCCACCTTGATCCACGGACTTGAAGGTCTGCTTATCATGGAGGACATGTGTTGTAGAGTTCGATGCGTTGTATCCCGGCATTGCCCAGCCTTTGCCTTCAGGGTACACCCAGAAGTCACTGGATCCAGTATTGATCTCGACCTGCAAAAGAATCGGTGGATTTCCCAGATAAACGCTAGTCACCCACCGCCTGTAGAATTAGCGATAGAGCATCAAAAGGGTTCAGTATCACGCACGTATCATGTCTCATTGCTGAAGCATTGAAATGTGGCAATTTGTTCACGAATTGCTCTTCCTCTTTTTCCGCTTCGTGGCCTGACCAGTAACGCTTACCAACTGCGGATGCCATAGTAGGTGTAGCACAATGATGCTCGGGCTCCCAGCCACTGATGCCAGTTACGGTCGCGGTGGATGCCCAGCTTGGACTCGTTTCTATCTTCTCCGCCATCAGCCATAATTCATTCACAGTCATTGTTTCACTTACTGCTACTTTCTCGCCTCCATCAACCTGGATATGTTGGTGACCACGAACGTCCAACACAGCATCTGGAAGTTAGGTGCCCTCAGCTCTGATCTGCGGCGGTGGTCCGCATCATGCTGGTGAGCATAGTGAATAGGACGATAGACTCCTTCTGGACCCCAGTTTTCGTCCCAACCAGGTGTGGCAGTCACTATAGTGGTGTGTGCAAAGGGACCTGAACCACCGGTGGCTGTCTACGCAGATGTTAACAACAAGCTGTCTCTGCAGAGAGCGAGTACTCACAACGACTGTTTTGCCTTCGCTAATCTGCGACTTGGCGTCATCGAGGAGCTCTCCATACATGAGAGATCTCATTGAGATGACGGATTTCTGTTCTGCAACACCCTGACGTGGGCCTCCCTGACCAAGCGCTCTCTGCGCGACCAGGAGGGGAAGGGCGAGAGAGAGAATCATCGTGATCCTTGTTGTGGTGAGATAGATAGTAGCAATGCAATGATAGAATGTCTGGAAGCAATGCTGTTGTTGTAGTGCTGTTGATGTGTGTAATGGGTTTGTGATGAAGAGGATAGGTGGAAGAACAAGCACAAGAGAGAGAGAGAGGCCCTCAAGTCAATCACTGGATGAGGAAGGAGCATTTTTGACATTGTTGGGGTGTTGAGGTCGACTTCAAAACAGAAGGAGCAAAGGAAGCGGACACTCAAGCTAACGAAGAACACCAACATGTTTTCGTACGTGAGCGACCCGAGACAGAATGAAGGTAGTGCTTCAAAATGAAGCCAAATAGCGCCACTTTTAGACATCTACACGATACATCTTCAACAACTCTTTCACAAAATCGACTGGGAACCCATCGAAATGAATGCCCTCGAACCCCGTTCTCCCATCTCTACCTGCAATGATGGAGTTCAAGATCGCCTCTTCCGTGGCTTCAGAAGCTGCTCTGAACATGGCATCGATACTCTCATTCTTGATGATCTCGATCTGATTCTTCTCAATCGGACCAATCATATTGACCTGCGGGGTCGATACTCTCTCGTCCGGCTTATTGGCAGTAGAAAGACACATGATGATATCGCCAGAGTGATTTCGTCCCACACCATGACCGCCAACTTGGGCAAGTCCCACCGCACAATGTCTAGCCATGCGATTCAACTGATGGGGAAGAACAGGTGCATCGGTACTAGCAAACATCAGCGAAGCTCCAAATTACAATGAAGAAAAGCAACTCACATGAGATATATGACAATACTTCCCTCATCAGCCTTCCCGCCTCCACTCGTAAGCTGAGCTTGCGTCTTCTCCGGCTGATGAACAGGACTCCCCCTCTCTTTGAAGATCAATTTTCCAATCGGCACCCCGCCAATCTGCAAATCGGGCAAGTGCCCATAATTCGACTGACAAATGACACCCACAGTATACTTCTTTTCACCATGACCCCTCACAATTCTTGACGAAGTGCCTGTCCCGCCAGGAAAGAAATGGCAAGTCATTCCGGCACCACCTCCACGCTGACCTTCTTGGACTTCTGTCTGGGTCAGTGCATTGGCGAAGGCTTCATGGATGTGTTTCTCCTCGAGAGCGGTTTGGTGGGCATCATTCAACCACCAATCCGATGTCTCGCCCACAACTGGAGTAGCATAATTATGATTGAGTGCCTCCGACGAGGTGCCATTCTTACGGGCTTGAGCCAAGGTCCATTGCCAGATTGCGTGAAAGGTGATGCCAAGACTACAGGAATTCGTCAAAGCGAGAGGCTATACTTTTAGCATGAGACTTTGAGACAGCAGGAAAACAAACACTGCTAGTATATCCCCAGTCCTTGACCTGGTACGAGCCAGTAACCTCGCCGTTGCCGTTCAAGGTGTGCATTCCTGCATAACATGGGATGTGGATCTCCGAAGGATCGCGAGGGAGAATGATAGTAACACCATTGCAGACATCGTCCCCGTCTTTTCCCACAGTCACTTGACCGACATGAACCCCTATTCCTGTAAGCGAGCATTTCAATCGGGGATATTGCTTTCCCAACCTTTGATATCAAGAATAGAATTCTTAGGCCCAGCTTCAAGTTGTCCAGGACTATACCCCAAATCGCGAGTCGTGATACGTGCCATTGTGAATATATCAAATTGAAATAGAATAAAACTGTTATCGATACCTCAAAAAGCACGACAACTTTGCAAGTACTTCTATTTATATCAACACAACCCCAAACACGTGAGCGGGGTAAATGTTCAATCTTGTGAAGCTAAAAGCATCCCACCTGCCCAAAGCAGAAGTGACTCAGACACAAACAGCAGAATTCGAGTCAGCTCGCACTTATCATCGTACTCGAAGTGCGAATACTTGGATAATGTCAATCGATGCAGGTACAGTCGATACTTAGAGTCATCGCCGAGATCGTAGTGAAAATTCAAAAGTGGGGTGCCGAGAAGTGGCCCTTCGCTTAGGGGTTAAGGGGCATAAGCTCTCTGAAGAAAGATGGACATTCGTCATTGAATCTCGAATGTCATTCTCCTCAACGCAAAGCACCAGACACCGACGAAACTGCTCACCTTCAATCTGCCTCGCCAAATATCAGCACGCTAAAGCTCTTCAACCAATCACAGCCCTCAACCTCTTTAGCATTGTACAAAGTTAAATAAACAGATTCTTGGCATCATCCTCTGAGACAGCGGCCTCCAGGGTATAGATGCTTGCGACAGTGATCGTGCCTCTCTATATTCTCGTGTGAATGCCTGAAATACGAATGACTCAAGAGCCAGCGGCTTCCAGTGTATAGATGCTTGCGATATTATCGTGCCTCTCTATACCCTCGTGAATGCTTGAAATACGAATGGCTCAAGATAATCCCCTTTAGACCCCATACTAGCTATGGTGTTGGACACTCCTTCGGGAGTGAAGTTTTTGCTTCTGGCTTCTTTGGAACCGTTTCGGCTTTTATTTCCTTTTATATTTTTACTCGTCTTTTTTTTCAATCGAGGTCCTTTTTAAGCGAGGTCCGCAAAGGACTCAGCTCAGTTATTGAAGTTGGGCGATGGAGGATAGACCTACGCATTTGGAAACGGGGACGTTAATTTCGAGTTCTTTTTGATTATGAGACTGATTGTGAAGGAAGCTGCAGGATGAATGTCTAGATTTCCCTAACACCGCCATCATCTCATAAATATGAGATTTCTCTAGTTACCCTTCCTATTCACTCACTCCACGACATACTCCCTCCCAACATCCTTATAATACCCCTTCTTAACCTGGATCGCATCCCACTCCACGCAGTCAAAGCACCTCAGATTAACAGGACATATCCCCTTCCAAACCTCCTTGCTCCTCCCCTTCCCAGACTCCTTCTCCCACGCCTCATCCGAGACATCAAGTTTCTTGATATACACACTGACTCCACAGATGCCACAGAACTCATGGGACTGAAAACCTCTTCCAAAGACATAGGACGTGAGGCTCCCCTTGTTCTCGATATGAACTTGATCGGAAGCGGGGTAGGTGAGGATCGTTCCGTTCTATACTCATTAGTCTGGGGATGAAACGAGAGGAAGGGAGACGTACACGAGCACAAATACTGCAATTGCATTCCTGGATATGCTCCGATCCCCCGCTCAAGGGCTCCTTGGTCTTCAACGCCATGGTCACAGCACCACAATGACAAGACCCAGTATACGTCTTCGCATTCTCGATTTCGGCTGTCGGTTCAGGACCTTTGTATTTCGGGGCTTCATAAGCGGGTGCGATAGCGCAGCCATCATATTTATTCACTTCCAGCGCCCAAAGATCCACATCTTGCAATGTACGAACCTGCCATCATTAGCTAAACTCAGTAGATCTCCAACAAGACACTACATTAATACCCAACTGCTGCCCGGGCGGAGCAGCATGTCTCGACCCTCCAATCCCTATCCCACACACGCCACAAAACTACAAACGCTTCATTAGCATCTTCCTCCCTCACTCACAAACGCAACATACCTTATGAACCATACTCTTCACCCCAAACTCATACTCCTTCAAGTCTCCGCCTCCCCTCTCAATGGTGAACGGCCCTTCCCCAGGAAACGCCCACTTATACCCCTTCCTGAAACAAATACTACAATTGCACTCCACCACCGATTTAATGTCGGGCATCTGGACGCTGAACTTAAAAGCGCCGCAATGGCAATTGCCATTGTAGGTCTTGAGCTCTGGGACTGGCGCTGGGGTTGATTGGGCCATGTTTGCTGGACCTCAATTGATCGTAATGGAGGAAGTGAAGACGATGAGATAAGAATCTCGCGAGGAATGTTCATTTGTATATAAGCCCCCCAAATTCCTCCGCGGCTGACACACGGGATCAAAACCGTACTGTGCCCCAGCAAATGAGCGGTGTCGAGGAAAAGCAAATTCCCGCCATGGCTGAACTTGAGACAGTGTGACTCACTCCTGCACTGAGGAATAAATAAGAAATAACGTGTTATGCAGCCTCGACGCCCGCGATCAGACACGTCGCATCAGCTGAAAAAGAGCGGGGGTGTCGCGATATCACGGGAACTCGCGTTGGATCACTTCCCGTCCATCCATTTGGAGTATTGAGTGATTGTGGCTGCATGAGATTGGCATGTTGCATGAATAAGTGTGGATATGCTTGCTGCAGAGAAACAATCAGGAAAATTTAGAGATGAAGACCCCTTCAAGGAGAAGCTACGTGCTTGAAATCATGTATTAGTCTGATCTAGCGATCTTCTACTGCGCTGCCATGAGCCATCGAGTCGTCAATTATGAAACCATCGCATGCTCTGCGGAGCATTCATATCGCAGAGAAATTTATGTACAAAGCGCAGCTCGTCAGCTAATTCCGTTCCCCAGAAACATGTCAACGGGTCGTGAACGTGCTCCCTAGATCCGCGACGAAATCTATCCCTTGTGCTTTGCTGTACCATCAGAGCAGAAGACCATGCCCTTGCTATCAACTTTCATGACAACGTTTGGTGTCTTGACATCAGCGTTGTTAGTGATGACGAACTTGTCGCCCTTCTTCAAAGTACCATACTTGATGGCGAGTTCAAGATTATGAACATTCTTTTGACAAAAATGGCCATCCTGAGCAAATCTCAATTCTGCAAGTTGCTTGGTATCCATACACTTTCTGCAAGTGCAAGTATCAGCATTGCCGGTGGATGGAATGTTGAAATGATCCAGCAAGGCGCATTCAGATTGGAAAGTTGCACCACAGATGAATTCAGGAGCAACTTTCCAAAACTTGACCTCAATGCCCATCGCGTCCAAGTTCTGGAGATGGTCGCGCAAGAGACCCAAACAATCCTTGAACTGCCCGTTAGGCATGGTGGCGGGAAAGCCATTCTTGGTCCAGTTGAAGAGGTTCTTGACACCCTCGATCAACGCATCGGAGCTGGTCATGACATAGGCCTTCTTGATTTTCGGATACTGAGAGGCAATGCTACGAATTGTATTCATACCTAGTCGGTTCAGTCAGCCTGCTGTATGAACAGACGAGAATACTCCTAGGATGCATGATGAAAGATGCCTACCGATGCAAGTAGTTGAGATGATCTGGTCATCAAGAGACATAGCGAACTGGTTGCTAGCAACACCTTGGCGGTTGTAGCCGGAGTTCTCACCGAACCAGCGTGCACCAGCGGTCTTTCCTTGAATCAAGCGAGCACCAACTTCCATGACCATAGTATCAAGCTCAGCGCACTTCAGACCATCGTGGTTGTGTTTGCCACCGAACTGTGGTCCAACATGAAGATGGGTGATGCCCAAAGTAGGATTTTGTAGAAGTAGCAGGGAGGGGAGGCCTAGGTCGTTGGCGTACTTGGGGTTGGTTGTGGGATCGAAGATGCGGTCCTTATCATGGAAGAAAGGATCTGCATTGGGAATCGGGTTGCCATTACAATCGATGCATCCAGCGCTCATTGGGTTGAGGATGGACATCTAGACGGCGTCAGTATGTGAAGGTGAATTTAACCCGCCGATAGCTTACCTTGATGCTGATCAATGTTGTGAACGAGTTGCGTTGATGCTTGATTCTCCAATTCAGCTTAGAAGACGCGTCGAGTACCGCAACAGCGTGGCTCGAGGCTGAATACAATGCGGTTGAGTCTGGAAGTTGTTAGTAATGGAATTTGGATGTGGATCTCAGCTTGCAACGCACCTCTGATCAAGAGTCGACGTGTCGAGATGGAAATATTGACTCGGAGAAGGTGTGTGTTGATGGAAGAGCGTTGGTAAGAAAGAAAGAGAGAGGAGATTAAGTAGAAGTTGGGTGGTCAAGTGAGAACGCGTTTGCCTGTCCCCAAACGGAAGGAACCCAATCGCACCTTCCTCACAGCTTGGAGTTGAATCAAGAACATCAAAAATTGAGTGCTTGAAATAAAATATTGAAAGATAAATTCAAACCTGGCATCTTCTTTGAAAATTCACCTTCTTTACTTCGAAGCTCTTTCTTTCTCGCCAGATGATGTTGGTAGCCGTGTCAGCCTTCAGGAACGGCACCTACAGCTGGTACCGCCTTTCTAACTCTCTTCTGGAGAAGTCTTCTTTGCTGCTGAGCACACAGGAGACTTGCTGAAGGAAGATTATATTTGTATTTTAAGACACTGTGGGGATATCTATACTTAGGCAATGCACATCTTTCCTCTTGCTTCCCGAGTTCACTCTCATCACCAATAAACCTTGTCGCTGTAATATCCACACTCAATGCCAAGTGCGTTGCACAACCAACGCAGCTTCCAGTGCTCAGCTGTCAACAGTACAGCTAGATCAGGATCTATTTTGTCAGCTGCTGCTATTGTTGCCGAGTTCCAAGGGATGACTGATTCGTCGATAAGCCAAGACGTTGGCTGGTATGCAACCATGAATCTCAATGTCCATGAGAACCAGAGAAATACCCATGCCCTGCCAATAAATTTCGTCCAACCTTATGCCCTGTCAGTGACACACTCTTCATCAAGTTTGCAATGGCCACTCACCGCTCGACTTCACTCCTGCTCTGCGACCCAGAGCCATAATCCCATCTTCGAACATGATAGCTAGGGGCTGGGTCATGAAGTAGACAGCTTGCCAATACCCTCCATCTTGGTACATTCCCACCTTAGCACCAGCCTGGTGGGCTAAAGCGCTGACAGCAAATCCAACCCAAATTTGGCTGTATCTGCTCATGAAACCACCCTTTCTGAAGCCGAAGATATTCTTGACAATCCGTCCAGCCTCCGAACAAGGACGTCTCATCATCTGATGCCAGCAGCGTCCCCACATATTTCTCACGCTCCATCCGTCAAACAGAAAAGAACCAAAGATTGGGGGCCAGTCCCGAGGTTCATAAATGTTGAGAAGTACTGTGACCAAAGCTAATGCAAAATACAACATATTAATATTAGTGTAGAGCTTGAAAGCTGTCACCCAAGAGAGCATGATTTGTCCAGTCAAGGGGAATCGGAAAAAGTGATAGGATTGATCGTCCCATGGGTATTGGGAGAGAAAGTAGAAGTATCCTATTCGCAGGACGGCATTAGTCAAAGCTTGGCTGAGCAAAGCATAACCAAAGCGTCGGAAGGTGTCCTTGAGAAATTGACTTCGTGAATATCCTCGAGGAACGGCAGCAGGTAGGCAATCCGGCTCAATGTTCCAGCCTACGCCTCTTTGTGTTGTCAGCCAAGACCCTTTTAGATACACAGAGTTACAAACCTCTGATTATTCCAAAGGAAGAACGCCCATTTCAACCTAGGCCACCAACCCTCTGGAGCCCGCCCCTGCACCACCGTGCCATCGTCCTGCTCCTCGACCTTCCAGAAGTCACGTTCCGGCTTATGGATGACCACAAGATCAAGCCATCGATAAACCAGAATCGTACAGGACACTCCCAGTAAATATGATTGACGAGACTGTTGCTCGGTCCAGAAGAGGATGTAGAAGTAGAGACCGAAGATAATCGGTCCAGCGCTTAAGCGCACAACTCCTGCCGGCAGCAAGATCGAGAGGAAGCAACATGCCTGCAAATGTCAGTGAGATGATAGAGACAATTGCAGAGCAGATTTACCGTTATGACTTCTTGAATGCCTCGTGGTGCAGGGTTCAAGTCTCCTCGTTCCGCTATTAGCTGGGCGACGATTTCTCGTGGAATCATGTTTCGAGTATTGTCGCTGTCTAGAGGGCGTTTCCCAGCTATATTATCATTGAAATGAGGATCTCCTTCCACGAGAGAAGAGAAGGTACCAGGTCAGGTCGAGCCCCATTGAAATCGGCGCTACTGCGTGGTCGTTCCTGCAGCTACCGGCAAGATCTGCGGTCGATCATAGAAGGAGGTACACGATATCACATGAACCCCCGACTGATAGGACACACGATTCGAAAGTGCACCTCCCACCGGATATCATGAACAATGTTATTAAACAACTACTCTAACCATATGAGGTTGTATGAGGCTTTATGAACAAGACGGAAAGTTGAAAACTCCAACACGCAAATCATGCCGCCCGCATGCCAAACACTCGAAACAAGAGTATGATGCATTGCGACGATCGAGACCACGATCGCAATGCCGCAAATGAATGAAAAACGTAGAATGCTCCACACCACCATCAAACCCTGACATACATAAAAATAATAGAAAGCTGTCGTGACGCAAGAACCGAGCAAGACAGCTACTTCCACCAAGCTGATATCATCGTAGACGAAGACCAGAGATCATCCGAAGAAATTTCCCCATCCCCAACCACCAACTCGCAGACCCAGACCAGTAGAACCTTGCTTTCCCTTACCACTCTTTGAAACACTTGGTGCAATGCTTCTTAGAGTTTCAGTCCCAACACTGCGCTTATTCTTCAACGCGATCTCCTTGATCTTGGTACGCTCCTCCTCGATGCTAGAATCTGGGCTTTCGCAGGTTTGGTTCAGCAATACCCCGTCAGAAGATTGGCTGGAGCCGATTCTTCCTGGGCTGTTGTTGGTCTCGAGACTGGTGTAGTGGTCGGCGCTGATGCTCTGTCTTGGATGGCGACGCAAACGGTTACCTCCAGAAGTCTCGCGGATGCTAGCCCAGATCTTGCGTGCAGGATCTTCCCCATCATCTTCCTCATCGATACCATAACGCATGCGACGATGACGTGGTGACGGGTTTACGACAGATCGTTCGAGGGTACGCGAAGCTGGGACACCATTGGGCCTAGTTCGACGTACTTGAGGATCGAAGCCAAGCTCAACGCTGGAAGTATCAGTCTCAAATGCCGTCGGCGGTAAGTCTCCTGTACCACGATTGACGTTAGGCTTTCTGATGCTCGAGGAAAGCTTTGGTTGATCTCGATAGATAACGCGAAAAGCCTCTGCTGCCTTATTGGCTGAGAGGCGTCTCTTGATCAGGTCATTGAACACGTTCGATTGAGGAGCGGTTGTGATCGTCTCGGAAGTTCGAGGAGACCAAGCTGACTGAGGATCATGTCTCTTGATGGCAACTTTGGCTTCGGTATAGTGGAAGGATGAATGTACATAGGTTCCCTCGCGAGTGGCATAGTTGCTCTCCCATCGAGTGTAGCCACTGTGCTTGTAATTGGCTTGTACAGTGAGGTAGGGAGTGATAGTGTCGCCGAGGTGATTTTGAAGCTCCGTCATGAGAATCTCTGGGTCTCGTGTGGAAGGGCTTGGGTTGCTATCGACACCACCAACTTGAACTTTGGCCAATATGAAGCGAGTTTCGCAGGGTTCTAGGTCAAAATGGAGGTCACCAATGATATCAAGGACGGTGCATCCAGACGGAGGCAGGATGCTGATGTTCATTGCGTACATCTTGCCATAACGCGACAAATCTAGTGAACGTAAGTCAGTGGTGATTTAGAAGACCGAGGAGCCACATACCTTGAAGCCGAATATCTGCCGATTGTGAGGAGCACGTACGACGACCAGGGTGCATATCGTAACGGCCGTCAGCAGCATGAAGCTCTCCCCGAATCTCAATGGCAACCCAGAACGTTGAAGTGGTAGTAGGTAGGCTGGTTGTTTCAGGGGTGACTTTGATTCGAGGAGAAAGAATCAAAGGGGAAAGTACAAGCACATCTTGTCGTTGGGATAGCTCTTGTGGAGAGGCAGACGTTTGAGGGACGGTTGGTACTTGCGGAAGGGCTCTGATAGGAGTCTCTTGCTGAGAAGTAGACGCGTCCGAACCGCCATTTCCAAGGTCCAATTCCTCCATTGGAATTGAATACAAGGTCTCTCCGCTCATGCTGGTCCTACCAGATCGATCTGAGTCCATTGTCTTGTTCCGAGATAGACGCCGAACCAATGTGTTCCTGGAACCTTTGGAATTGACGCGTTGAGGATGGTTTGACTCTTCACTGCCACGGCCAGCAAGAGCACGTAGAATGAAATTCTTGGATTTCGAAGGTTGTCGGTCCGGTATCTTGGGAGGCTTGAACTTGCCAAAGTTTGGAGGAGAAGGAACGTGCTGAGCGATCTGATTTGAGTAGAAAGAGTTCCGATTGCTGCGAACGGAATATCGTCCTTGATCTGTCTCTAGACTACGTCGATGGAATTCACTCTTGAGAAAGTTCCCGGCAGAGATCGTTCGCGGTACGCGTTGACGCGCCTTAGGGGTGATATCAGGGTCATCGTCGGCAGATACTAAATTCTCGTTAAGACCTCGTGCAATAATGCTAAAGCTCTCCCTTTGATACATACCTGACGTAGCTGAGAATGGTTGTTCGTTTTCCTTGTCCCACGATCTGTGATCTGAACCGACATTCAAAGAAGTGCCACCACCCTGCCTCTTCTTCCTGACAGTTAATGGTCTGTCGGCTCCCATCGGTGGGCTCCCCTTGCTCTGGAGGGATGAGCAGCTAGATGATTGGCGTCCTCCTCGGAAAGTCTCTCTGGAAGACAAGCTGCCTGCAACGGTCTGGCTACGTTTGATAATTCTAAGCGGAGAGGGCTTAGAGACTTCGGATTCGAGAAGCTCCACATCAGCCGAGCAGATCTTGAAGGGTGCCATATCTGCTTTGGTGTTTCCACTTCAACCACAACGTCGTTCTTGTCTTCTTCACTATATGACTTGCTTCTTCGTTCTTGTCCAATAAAGTTCGTATATCGAGGATCGTCGTCGTTGCTTTCAAGGTCACTCCAGGAGTCGGCGTATGTCTGGCTTGAAGGCAGATTTGAGCGTCGCAATTTTCTTCTGCGTTGAGTCTTCTGTGTCTGGGACCAAGGGGAGTAGTAGTCCCAGAGTTTCGAGCAATATTGGCTTATTCGATGGGTGGATTCTGATGTTTTGATGGCAATAAATGCTGCTGACGCTGCAATCACAATCGGGACTAATACAAGTGCGCCGATTGCTGGAGAGGTATCGCTATTCATAGCCAAAACTTGATGGATGTTGACATGCTAGAATAGAAGTAATGGTTGCGAAGATGTATGTGAAGTGTGGTGAAGAGTTGTTGATGCTAGGAACGTGTTTTGTGGTCGTCTCCTGACAAGAGAGGAAGGAGCCACTGAGTTGTCAGTTCACATGTGAAAACTGTCGTCGTCGTCGACGACGCTCAGGTACAGTTTGATGACATCGAAAGTCATAATATCGGGCAAACCTAAGAAAGTGACCACCAGACGAACTACAAGGATGGACTCATCGCGGTTTACCTGAAGGCTGGAAGTTGAACGTGGTCTCAGGCTTGAACTGCGAAGGGGAGGTGGCTACCTAGGTATGCAGCAGCCATCACATGGTGTATAGTCTAACTCCAATTCACATTCGTCGCAGCAGAGGTTGCCTTGGTAGGCACAGGGGATCTACTTGTGTCAACATTTGCTTTGGAAATAGGGATTAAACAACGCTTGCCATACGTCTTCCACTCTCTAGTTTCCTTAAACGATTCCCCTTCTTTGCGGCTCTGCAACCTCTAAACTCCTCTTGATGTTCTCCTTGATCGACTCAATCTGCTCCGGATCTAAATGCAAAAATCGGATGAGATCATCCCCAGCATCCTTGCCAAATAACACCGACTCTGTAATACTAGCATCCACGCCCTTCTTGACCCTAACTTCCCAGACCCCATCCCAATTCCATTCTCCAGGCCGTCTAGCTGTACTTGGCGCGCTCGTTCCTCCAGCAAGCCTCTGATATCCCTCTGGTGTTGACGCAGAACTGCTCTCATCATCATCTAGGCCATCATGCCATGCAGTCCTCTCGTCCTTAATCTTCAACTTCCCCGACTTAATCCTATGGGTCCTCCAAGCATGCCACGCTCCAGGATTCCCAGCTGCTTCCAGCGGCACACTATCCAGCACCTCCTCGTCGTCAAACGTACTCCGAATATACCTCAACACCTCATACGTCGTAATCTCCTCTTTCTTCCCTCTACCAGCACTCGTACCACTATCTGCGGTCCCAGCCGTTCCTCTAGGCGTAGGACTCATGCTCCCCGAAACACCACTCCCTGGACTCTCCACTCCACTTCCGCCTCCTCTGGTAGGAGTTTGTAAATTCCCTGCGCTAGTCCTTACACGTTCTGCAGACCTCCTACTAGCTCTACCAAACCAGCCTGGGAAGCCATGGCGCAGCGAGAATCCACCAGGTGGTAACCTCTCGTCGTCGGTCGCAGACACAGTTCCTGAGTCTTGAATGTCGGTCGTGTACATATACGTGGTGAGCGGTGTGATCAAAGGGTGAAAGATGTCGGTGCTGAAGGTTACAAGGGGTGGGAGAGAGGGATATGTTGGTGGGAAGGAGATTTGGAAACGGAGGATTGAGGGGCCATAGGGTCCTTTTGTTCATTAGCTACTGTCTTTTCCTACTTGCTTGAGCGAAATGGAGTGCATAGGACACAAGTACCTTTTCGTACGAATATAACACCAGACCAGAGGGTTGGATCGCCTGGAGTGAGGCTCACGAATACTCCATGAGGACAGGCGTACTTGAGACTGGAGCTGTAGCAAGATGTTAGAATCCTTCTAGATAATTGAGATTGGAACATTCGCATACAATTCTACCAGTAGATGCTGCTTCCGCACAGCGGAGAGGGTAGAAAACGGTCGTGATACCATTTCAAAAGCGTTGACGTGGTGCTGTAATCGTTGAAGCAATTAAATTGTGAAGCATGAAGCTGTTAGAGCTCCAAAGCGGTGTACAGCAATTCTGCCATCCATGACCATGATTCACATGCTGCATAGTTTGGAACGCGAACCTAAAAGTATGGATGTCCGGATTTCTCTATTCAATTTCAGGCACTCCTCTATGATCAATGTTCTTGAAGCTATGCGCTTCTGATAGCCTAGCCATATCTCGTCAAGCCTCGTTAGTCGTAGGCACCCCTTTTCTCGCTACGAGATATGACAGCTGAACCACAATTTCTCCTCTCCCTATGTACATATTATGTTATGTACCAGCACTCAAGCTCTCTCATTTCTCCGCTAATCTGGCTTCGATCTTTTTCTTCTCCGCCTCTCGTAACGCTCTGATCTCCTCCTTAGAAGCATCATATGCCGCCGAGACCTGGTTGAACGGATTGTCCTCACTCTTCTCAAATTCTTTCCTGATCTTGTCCTTCTTCTGGTTCTGTCTCAAACCTTGTCCACTACCATCCTCTTCCATCTCCTTCAGTCTCCTCTCCTCAAATGCCGTATATGCCGCCTTGAATCGTCTTTCGGGATGCTTATCAATCTTATCCGCAGAGCCCGCAGTCAAAGACAGAGCATCAAGGGCATTATCGATACCAGTTGCATTAAGAGCTCCTGCGCTCTTTGGTGCGTCGTCATCGAGTTGTGATAAGTCGAGGCCTTTCGATTTCTTAACAGCGGTCTTTGCATTCTTGGGTACAGCCCGAGCCTCCTTCTCCTCTTCCGCTAATAGAGCGTCCTTCTCTGCCTTCTTTCGTGCAGCTTCAGCCTTCTTCGCAGCTTCTGCTTCCCTATTTCCAAAGTGGTCAGCCGATGTGGCGTGTAGGAAGTGGGGAGTGCGGGGTAAGGTTTAAACTTGTTGATATTAGGAGGAGGGGGATTCACTTCTTTGCGTTACTCTTTGCTCCTTTGGACCACTCTTGGTCTTCTTCAGATGCCTTCTTTGCGTTCTCTTGAGCTGCTTTCTGGGCTGCTGCTTCGGCTTTCTTTGCGTTGCCTGACGCCTTCTTCGAGTTCTCTCCGGTGTTTTTCTTTCCTGCCATAATTAGAGATTTTGCAGAAATAGAGTCTGCCAATAAGATATGCAGGAGCTCGAAGGTTTAGAGTTGGCAGATTTCTTTGTTGCGAATGAATTAATCTCGTCGCCGAATGACTCTCCAGCCTTTGATACCCCGCCATCGATCTTTGAGCGGAGTTGGATCATTCATTGTTCCGACTTCCTGCCTCAGGCAACATCATTGGGGGCTTTCACGTGATATATTCAGAGCCTCAATTTTAGTCTGCCCAAGTGCTCGAGTTTCTTTCAATACTCTCATCACCTTCAACTACAAATTCTTGAATCGTTCGCCAAACCGGACAGAAAGCCAAGCCTGGATTCTCATGACATGAGGCATGAATTGCGGTGAGAAGCCGCCAGGTGTTGCTGAAGTCAGCACATTCGTGACCCAGTTTTCATTCCTTACCGAGTAGCACTCACGTTCACGTTCGAGATTTGCAGAGAACGAGTCATTTCAGAGGAATTATCTCATTGCTTGGAAAGTCGAACCAAGAGAAGGTAGCGTACCATGCATACCTACCGTATCATTTTCGCAACGCGTGCCCGGCAAGATATGCAGGGTGCATTCCCAGTTTGTTGCTTTTCAAACCTATCGCATCAAATCATTACCGCGCTGTGGTCATATGATGTTGTTAGTTTGACATCGTGAGGCTAACATGCCTCGAAATCAGGTATGCCGAAGAAATGGAAGCTTTTTGCTGGCCCACGTATGCTGATGAAAGATGACACGTCTTGTAATACGAGATATCGAGATCGTCGACCTGCAGATGCGTATCTACGGACTTTCAGTGGTGTCATCATGGTCCTGGATATCGTGGAACATCATCTTCGCCGGGAAGGTGGGATAGACTTCCGCGACGGCTTCTGAAGAATGATGAGGCTGGCACTGCACCTCGCCACTGTGCAAGTCAGCATGGGGGATTATGTTGTGTTCCCATACTCGGTATCACTCGAGAGGTCCGTCACTACACACGAGTGTAGATGTGTTGAAGGATTGTGTATCTTGAGAAGAACAAAATCTCGTTTTGACCTTTCAAAAAAAAGCAATATATTATTCCTTGAACCGACATGGTAGCTTGCTTCCGCTGCACTGGTTACTTGCGTCTGTAGGCTACCCTACGTACGGAGGGGATTAGCGAGGAAAAAAGAAAAGAGATCTGAATTGGGGATCATAATGTCTCATCGTCTCTAGACTGCATGTCTCACTCCTCATGCATCGTCCAGGTTGATGCAGATTGACGAGTGCCGCTTGGTATGTGGTGGATTCTGTCCACGAGAGTCAGGGTTGAGTAACTGCAGCTAAGCGCCTAGGTCCCGTGCTTCGGAATGTTTGAGATGATGCCCAATGTTATACAGGGCTGAAGGTCTCTCGGGCGAGGCTCTGAAAATCTGATTGCCAACTTTTCAAGTTGTGTAACATTGGATGTCCGAGAAACGGAGGCGCGAAGTCAACCTTCTGTGCATATGCATTCCAAGCTTCGCTGCAGCTGCATGACTGCAAAACTTCTAATCTTGGAGTGTTCGAACGTGTGAATGGGTCACGGCTTCCAAAACCGGCTGAGGTCGCATTGCATGCTGCAAGGCTTATGGTAAAGAGATTGAGTTTGTAGATGTGGTGCATGAGGCTCAGCAGAGTTGGAAGCGGCGGCGAGCATAGCATACTTCGAAAGTTCTTGTATCGTGTTTCCAGTGCAACACCAAATTCTCGTTGGTCTTGGAGCCGGATATCGACGTCTACCATCGACCTAATCTGGATTTACGTGTGCGAGATCGGCCAACTCCAAGAAGATTGTGTAACGTTGCTGGCGAATGGAGGCCACGAGTTCTGAGGTATATTTTTTGATAGGTTGTGGAAATTCAAGACAACACGTTTTGTCGTTTGCCGAGGTCGTGTACACCGATACTTTTCTTTCAACGACGTACCTTATGTTGGTGTCACTGGATCAGTTTGCTGGGTCCGGCATTCCGGAAGGCGTCCCTGATCCATGCACAGATTCTTTCCTCGGAACCCTACCGAGTCAAGTGAACTGAGAGCCGACTCGTGATGTCAGTCTCAGCCTCGGAGGTCAATTTTGACATTTCTGAAGTTCTTAACAGATCCAGAAAAGGAACGCAAAGGGGCCCGGGCGGGTAGGGACGGGTAGCCATCTGACCAGTAAGATATTCTTTGCCTCAACTCAATTGTGATTGAATGCTTTGAAATCATGTCTGAAGCGCCACCATCCCGACTGGATCCTGCCTCTGGATTTCATCACCTCACGGGGGCAAGGGCTGGGTGGATCACGGAGCCATGCGCGACTACCCAGCAGTGCGGTTCGAGTGACACGGAATTGGGCGAACACGACTTCTGATTGGGCATCGCGGGGGACATTGAACGTCGCCCCGGGTAGGGCGTTGGCATGGTAGATCTGGATACCGGTAAGTCAATTAGCTCCTCCTTCGTCGCTCTTTTGAACCAACAGCCAACAAAACGGTCAGAGTGGCGGTGTGTGCCTCACTACCTACCTTTGCAGCGGAGTCAGGTCAGAACGATGTCACGACCGTCCATCGACCAGACACCCGATGACCAGACAGGACCTGAATCATCATTTCTTACCTCACCTCGGGCGTACCTGGCCCGGACCTCGTCAGCCTGCCTGTCTCAGAGCACGGCGACGGCTGCTTACGAGACAGCAAACCGCAACTTGGACGAGCCGTAAGGGACCCGTTCGTCTGACGATGCAGCCCGAGACATAATCCCCGCGAGCCGGATGCGCTGCCCAACTTCCCACGAGGTCCTGAACCCAAATATCAATATCACATTTTAGGTCAATTGGGCCAATCGCACGGGGTGGGCGATGAAATCGTAACCCCTCGTGGTCTAGCTGCCACGCCAATTCAATCCACTGTGTGAAGCCAAAACCACTTCCCCGGCGGACACTTGGAAATCTGTTCCGCGAGATCACCACTTTTGCTAGGTCTGGGAGTGGCATAGTGTCGCAAAATCCCCGAGCCCTCCAACCCAGCTCCCCTGAAAGTAGCTCCTTTAGTGTACGGGCTAAAAACTCACTACAAGAATAGGGAAATGCGCCCAGAAAGCTTGGACTGGATAGGGGGTGAGAAAAAGGGGGTATGTTGTTGGGGGCATTGAAGATTGGCGAGCTGGGGCTCCGAAGTCAATTACCCTTTTCTGCGAACTCGGTCGATCTCCAGCCACAGCACCGTTTTCCATCACCAACACCACCACCGCACAAGCTCACCAGGGGACTTCCCAGCTGGGACAATCGGCACGCAGGCTTGGCTGAGTCAATTGAGCTCATACGACGATCCCGACTTGTGAAACACGGTTACGAGTAGTTAGGGTTGAGAGGTTCGTGAATCTTTCTTCCGAGCCTCTCACTAATGATCCACATACAGTCCTGGACCATGAACATGTCCCCGTTGCTCTCTTTCTCTCAAACGTCTTCGTCTAGAATGTCTCCATTTTGTTCTCCAATCCATGTCGGCGACCCGATTCCGCGGTTGGCTCCAGTTATACTTCGTGCTGCTTGATTGCCAAGTCTTTAACGGTCGAGGTTCGTGAAGCAGCCCATCGACTGGCAATTACTGCCGACGAAACGGGAGAATTTGTTTGGCTGCGTTCTCGATGTGGGTTGCGATATGTTTATTCATCGTCCATCGATGATGGAGTTTGCTCCTTTCTCTACTCCGGTTGCTATTGCTGCAGCAGCTGCATAATGTCCTTTGGGTCTTCCGTCGACAAATCGAGAGCGCACCATCACGGCAGCTGGGCAACGTGCAAACTCAGCTCAGCCTCGAAAGTGGTCTCCTGACTTTGTGATCCCGTATCAACAGAAAGCAGCTTACGCTGACATGGTTTCTGAGTAATCGTCGGTATCTGCAGTTCCCAATGTTCATGCCTCCGACAAGCATGATGTAGGTATGCGCATCGAGATAATCGAGAAGAGAAGAGAAAGCGGGCGTTTGCATGAGTGTCCAGACGGCTTGTGGAACGAGCCATGAAAGACGCCCTCTGCTCTATTCTGCTCTGCTCCGCTCCTACTCGTACCTCGTCCTCTCGCCTTCTACTGTCCGCAGCGCATCGCACCGGGAATTCCGGGCCATCCGCATTATCGGAGTGGGATTTGGACGCCGCTCTGAGACGGTCTCATTTCCTGTGCCGATATTCTTCGGTCCCTCATGTGGTGTTCTCTTTTCGATTGGGAAGTGATGAGCTGAAGCCCTAATCACAGCCGATCTCCTCCCCGGCTTCCCCCTGACTAAGTGACTTCTAGCTGTGTCAGCACCTCAACGCCTCAGGCACTTAGTGCTCAAGCACTACGCATCAGAGATCACATGAGCCCTCAAACATCTCGCTTCATCGCTACACTTGCTCCGACACGGAAGGAGGCAAGCGCCGTGACGGGGGGCCAAAGCCGGTATTGTGGTTACTGGAACGTTGGTCCATGGTTGCTTCCCAGCATAGCGTTGTTGGTTTGGCTCTGGCCTGCTCGTCTTACTGCTTGAAGCGTTGCGAAATGCTGGGACAAGAACGGGGTCACAACTGGATCCCGTCTGCGAATGCGAAAGAGGCTGACTTTCTACTTACGAGTACTGCAAATCTGATGGATGGAAAAGGTGACGGAGCTAGCCCGGCCTAGGCCATGGTTGTATTCTCTCTTTTTCTCATATCTGTCCTATTCGACGATGATGATGCCTGCCGGCTTGACAGGGCGAGAGTTGCGCTTTGGGGAAGGGGTCCAAAGGTGATATTCAGCGGTACTGACTGCGTCGAGTTGGCTGGCGCAGTGCAGTCACATTGAAAAGAGGGGAAGAGGTCAGAAGCTCAGTCGGACTTGTGAATTACAGTACCACGATATCATGAGCAATCACGCAGAGTCGTTGCGCCGTACAGAATTTCTGTACGTTCGAGTCCGAACTTACTTCTGCAGCATGGTCCCTACAACATCTTCTGATGTCTCCGAAAGAAGGGCTCATCACGCACCTAAATGTGCCAGAAGAGGTTCGAATTGGAGCTACTGGACAGTCGGCAGCCAAATTGTGCATCTGGAATCCTAATATCCTATGTCCGCATCGTCATCCCGGGCTTGAGATTTGAAAGCACCGGCAACGACTCTGCTGCACTCCTCCTTCTCTTTCTCCCGCTGAGAAGACGACGAGGAGCTGCTACGCTTCATCTCAGAGGTTAGTCAAACAGGAGTCAGGCTTCACCGACGATTGACCTCTAAAAATTGCCCTAGTAATCGGAGCCGGCCAGCGACTGCTGCTAAACTCGCCCTGGCAAGCTCGTGCTGCTGCAAGCATCCTGTTTCCCAGCAGTCGACCCAGTCGAGTGTTCACCGAACGGCAAACGCATAATGGGCTATCTTCAGACAACGTGGGCTTCAGGGATCCCTTGACTTGATTTCTCCATGAAATCTGGCGACTGAACGACGTGCATTTATCGTGATGCATCCATCATGCCTGTCGACACACATTCCACATTTCTTTCACATCCCATACGACCAAAAATCCCTCCAATATCGACCATGTGGATCGTGGCTTTAACAGCCAAATCTCTGCGATGTTGTATGGGGAACGTGGAGTGGGGGGTCTCACCAGCAATTGCAGTTTTCAGCCGAGTGAGTGAGGAATTGATGGCACGGTTGTGAGATGAAGTGCAGATCAGTGCAGTGTGCTCCGAGATATGTCTCTCATTTCTGCGTGCGTACATTATCATTCAATTTACCTGTGATGTTGCAGGCAGGAGGCAGCTAGCCATTTGAGGTACGCAACGGGTAGGAAGTTGTCTCAACATCCTCCCCGCTTGCAATCTAAAGATCTGGCATGACAATACGGGGAAGTGCAGGGCAGGGCTGTATATCATCGTCGCACCGAACGGCGCAACCTTCTTTTCTCCATACGTAGAATAATTTCTTGTGTTCCCCGAGGCCTTTTATTTTTAGTGGGATAGGGTTGAGATGTTCACCGCTGTGCCCCTTTGGAAAGCGATCAACGACCATGAGCGCGGTAAGAGGCCGCGGCCACAAACCCTCCCACCTACCCTGCCCTCACCCTACCAAGCCAAACTACCTACTGTAAGTAAGTGCAAACTACCCTACCCTACGACCGAGTTATCCCACCACCACCCATGGCATAAAGAGCAGAATGACCATGCCCATGCCCATGCCCATCGTCACTCATCCCTCACCCCCAAAACCCGGATCCCAGGAGAGAAGAGAACAGAACACAGCCTAACTCAGCCGACGCTCTCATCATCGTTCCGACAGGGGGCTGTTGGCCCACAACACCCCCATGCCATCGCAGCTGCACACAATTCCCCCCCCAAGTTCCAAAGACTACCATTCAAAATCTACTCTTGGCTCAATTTCGGTCGTCCTCTCTTGCCCCTCGACTGGGCTCTGGCTCCCTAGTGACATTCTCTCCAGGCCTCCCAGTAAGTAAGGCCCAAATGATCTCGTCCTGCCCTGGCCTCCACGGGTCACGGCCTCCAAATGCCGGGGTGCGTAGTGCACTACCGTCTGATACAACCGACGCCTCTCGGCCTTCTTGCTGCTGCTCATCAACCAGCGAGCCACCTGCACCCAAACCAGCATGGCCCGTCCAGCCCCATCTGCCGCTCTAAAGTTGGCAGAAGCACAGCAGCAGCAGCTCCAGAAAAAGGTGCTGAGCACAGAGCACTTTTTTGCGTGCTGGATGAGCAGCAGCCTTCCTGGGAGCCACGAAGACCGGTACCAATTCCCCGTATGGCACTTGTGACACTACTACTCGATCAAGTTAAGTCTTCTTTATTCTCTTTCCTATGCCTCGTCACCGCCCATCAGATACCATATAATTTACGCGGCCGCTATCCGATACGATACTTTTCATGGCCCTGGTGAAGAAAGCTCCTCCTGGCGGTCAAGTACATGAACTGCCTCTGCTCCCCTGTATCATTTGTCTCCTTTGATCTGATACTTCTGCTTTTTTCACATTCACCACAATACATACATATCACATTAAGCCACAGAGTTGTGCCAGGACCTCCCCGCTCCTACTCCTACCGCATTCGACTCAAGACAGAAAGGAAGTGACGATATATTTCCCAAGAAGCATATAATCTCACATGGTCCTGAGCATCCAGCTCAACTTGTCCCAGCAATCCGGTACATCTGAACGCCTCTTCCTCAGTGCAACACCGAAGCACCGCTCATACTGCTGCGGCATCTCATCCCCAACAATCTCCCTCGCAAGACAGCGCTCGCGATGTCTGGCGTCCAATACACCGGTTCCCGGAAGGGGACCCCTCCATTTCCTACTAGGCAGATGACAATCTTGGGTAAGTCCAAGTCCTGCACGCAGAAAATATGTGCTATACGCACTCGGGAGATCTCTCACTGACCATTCCTAGCATTATGCCGAATCTGCGAACCAATTGCGTTCATGTCGATCTTCCCGTACGTCTATTACATGATCAAAGATTTCGGGATCACCAAAAACGACTCTGAAATCTCGGTGTATGCGGGCATGGTCACATCTGCGTTCGCCTTTGCAGAGTTCTCGTCGGGCGTCGCATGGGGAAGACTGAGTGATAGGATCGGACGAAAACCAGTCCTGCTCACAGGACTGGCAGGAACGGCGCTGAGCATGTTGATCTTCGGGTTTGCGCCCAGTTTTCCAGTTGCACTGCTGGCACGAGCATTGGGAGGACTTCTGAATGGGTACGTCGGATCCCACGAGGCAGGCGAGAGCGTCTTGTGAACGTTTCTTTTCTGACATTGCTCTGCATATAGGAATATCGGGGTTTTACAAACGACGGTCGCGGAGATGGTCACGGTCAAAGAACACCAGCGTATGTGCGACCTGACAGATCATGTCTCCCCTCGTGTTGGAGCCTCTTGCTGACAAGTCGAAAAGCCCGCGCTTATACAATCATGCCATTCGTGTGGTGTCTCGGGTAAGTTTTTGGGATCTTGATCAGTTCTCACAAGAAGAATTGCAGCTGATGATCTATCCTAGATCCATCCTGGGGCCAACACTGGGAGGCGCATTGGCTCGACCCGTTCTTGGGTATCCCACCATTTTCGCCGCAGGAACCATCTGGGATCGATTTCCATATCTGCTGCCCAATCTGGTATGCACGGTCATTGTGTCTTGTGGTGTGGTCATTGGGATTCTGTTCCTCGAGGAAACTCATGCCGAGAAGAAATTTCGACACGATCCCGGGCTGGCAGCCGGGAAATGGATCCTGAGCAAGTTCACACGATGTGCTGCGAACCTGAAAGCATCTCGATCGGAGAAGGTGGAAGATCTCGATGAGATTCGGGCTCTGTTGGGTGAGGAGCAGCCACCACCAGGATATCGCACGGCAGAAGGATCACCCAAGCTGCCGTCCACCCCATCTCCCGAACCGCAAGAATCGTTGGATTTGAATGCTTCGCATATGGTGACAAGGTCGAAGCCGGCTGCAACAAATGCATTTACGAGACAAGTCGTTTTGAATATTGTCGGCTATGGCATCTTGGCTTAGTAAGTTATGTCCGAATTGTTTCTCCTGCAGGTCAGAAACTGACTGACTCGTGATTCAGCCACACCATGACTTTTGATGCGATGCTGCCAACACTCCTGAGTACGCCACCACCAGAAAACCCCGAATGGAATCTTCCCTTCAAGTTTGTCAGCGGATATGGCCTCAGTCCCAAGGAGATTGGAGTCATCATGTCCGTTCAGGGTATCTATTCCATGTTTGCGACCATTGTCCTCTTCCCGATCATTGTTCGCCGTCTGAGTGCCCTAGGTCTTTTCAGACTTATTGCTCTTTCTTATCCGATCCTCTACATGACGACGCCTTATTTTGTCTTGCTTCCGGATTCCATGCGGATGGCTGGTGTTTATGCTTTGGTCGTCTGGAAATGTACCTTTGCAACACTGGCTTACCCGAGTAATGCGATCCTACTCACCAACTCAGCACCATCTCTTCTGATGCTGGGTACCATCAATGGCGTTGCTGCGTCCACAGCCAGTCTTTCTCGAGCTTTTGGTCCCACTGTGTCTGGCTTCCTCTTTTCTGCTGGATTGGGCTTGGGATACTCTGGCTTGGCATGGTGGTGCAGCGCCGTGATTGCTGTGGCCGGTGCGATCATCAGCTTGAGCATGACCGACAAAGGGGGACGCATGGACGTCGACGAGAAGAGTGACGAAGAACAAGAAGCCAGCTTCGAGGACCACATCCTGGACCACAACGCTTTAGACTCCGCCATTGTTGCGGCGGAACCCCGATCAGAGACCGACACGATAGAACAGACCATCAAGTGATGTTTTCTCTCACGAGAAACTTGATGGCGAGCGACTCGTCGATATCTTCAATTCTATTTTTCTTCTGGAGGACATCTGTATAAAATATCTACATTCTAGTTTTAGCTTCGTCCTCTTTCTTAGTAGTTAGATATCCCTATGCTTGCTTTGCTCTTTTCAGCGTTGCTTCACTCAAAAAAATCGTTCGGCGCAACTGGAAACACAAAATACCGGAAAGGGGAATATCGATATCAGGACAACGCTGCGTTGCGTTACGTCAGGGGTACTTGAAAGAAGGAGTTTATAAGACAGGATATATCGCAAAAATCGAAAGCTGGGATTCGGAGTTCTACTTTGCTGGCGAGAACTGAGACGGTTGGAAATCCTTGAAGACGGGCTGGCATTTTACAAAGGCGTTCTCCTTATTTTTACTTAATATACCGCGAGGAAGCGTGCAATTTCGAGAAGGATTTATTGAAGGAGGATGAGAGAATGAGTGGAAGAAGGGATTTTTATTCTTGATATGATTAATGGATTCAAATTGAATGCCTGCAGATGCAGTTTTAGTAGTTTTGGTGATACTCCATCATCTCTACTCAACCTAATAGGTGTATATGGCATCGAAAATATCGCGACTTTTCCAGCTTCATCTATAACCTGCAATTCTAAAGAGTTGCCCCACGTGCATCTCCAACTCCACAGACTCAAGTGGCGGTCAAACATAGCCCACTAGTCCAACAATTATCTCTCCAAATGAAAAATCCTCACATCCATCCCACGATCCATCCATGGCCCTCAGAGATGAAAGATAATGAAACATTATATACCTCACGTAAATATCACAATGCAACTATTGTTGTCATCTCCGACAATCTTTACTCGATAGCTACACATAATCAATCTCCGACTACAGCTTAAGCCCGTGGCAGCCGCTTCCCTCCATTCGCCGCGCGCGGGCCCTGATTCGCCAAAGCTCTTATCAATTAGTTTTATCTCTTGCACGTCGACCAGCCGCGTGGGATTTGGGGAGATCAAGGAGGGTACAGCACAGCACAGGACAGGGTTGGAATTTCTATCTGTGGTTTTGGTTTTCTTTTTTCTGTGTCGCCGCATCATTGTTGTCTAGGTTATCCGTCCCCTCTATTCTCTGAGCTGCCTTGACGATGGTAGAGAAAGATTGATGTTTGGACGAAAAGTGCCTCGATAACGTACGACGAAAGCAAAAACTCGACAAGCAGGCACACGGAGCGAGGAGAATAGCAAAGATGAACACCTGCACGAAGCTGAGATAGATACGGAGCGTCGCATTATCCAATCGCGCAACACCCAACGCGCGATCCCAGTCGCATTTTCATCCCATCCCTCCATCCCAAAGCCGAGGCTGCGAAGATATACCACCGACGAGAACAGGACGATGAATCCACGCTCGCCCTCCTCCTCGACGGCAGCAACAGCAGCAGCAGTAGCAGGAACTGGATACCCGCCGCACAAGCGCGCCCGCCACGATTCACCAGCACCCAAGAGCCCGAAGAGCGTGCTGGAGGAGCTCGAGACGCCTGCTGCAGTCGAGAAGGGCGCTGGCAAGGCGGGCCAGAGCAGCAGTTTTCGAAATGTCAGCGCGTGTAATAGGTGTCGGTTACGGAAGAATAGGTGTGATCAGCGGTTGCCGTCGTGTGCCAGTTGCGAGAAGGCGAGCGTGAAGTGTGTGGGGTACGATCCTATTACCAAGAGGGAGATTCCCAGGAGGTGAGTCTTGTTTTTTTGTTCTAGTGTTGAGAGAAGGAATTGGACTGATATATTCTGTGTAGTTATGTGTTCTACCTAGAAACTAGAGTGGGAAACCTCGAACGGCTCCTCCAAGAGCATAGTATCCCGTTCCCGCCAGCAGATGTCCTCGATCACTCCTCTCGTCCTGGTCCGGACCCCACTACTGTCCAGACACCAAGCGATGACGGCAGACCGATATTCAATGGCACAGATCCATCCATAACATCCTCGCTCAAACAATCGCCCCAGGAAGCAGCATGGAACAAGAAACAAGACGAGTCCGAGAAACTGAATAAGCTAGTCTCGAACGTAGGCAGTATTTCCGTCCAAGGCGCCTCAGACTCCAGATACCTGGGCTCTACATCCGGTATCTCGTTCGCGAGAGTAGTATTCGCAGCAGTAAAGAGCTCAGTATCGGGAACCAACAGCGATAAATCGGGCGTGCGTCCCTCTCGGCCTCCTATACCTGCCAAAGCAGCAGCAGCAGGACCGAACGGGACGTCGATGCGCGATTCGTTCTTTGGGCTACACACCAAACCTACGATCAAGCAGGCTCCGTTCCCGAGCAAGGAGGTCGGGAGACGGTTAGTCGAGTTCTATTTCGAGCATGCGAATCCGCAAATCCCTATCTTGCACAGAGGCGAGTTTAGCAAGATGTTTGAGGCGGCGTATGAGGAGGGGGATAGGAGGGTGAGGACTAGTAGGGAGCTGTATATGCTGAATATGGTGTTTGCGATTGGGTCAGGCATCTTCCTGGGCGATCATGGGGAGAGGGAGAAGGAGAAGGAGGAGAGGGATAAGAGGAGGAGTGGGCTGGATAAACAGTGTCAGCCGGAGGAATATCATGCGAGTGCGATTGTGCATCTGGAAGCTTGTCTCAGTTCTTCGAGTACGTCGATTATTGGGATTGAAGGGTTTGGTGGCGGGTTGGAGGAGTTGCAGGCAGTGCTATTACTTGCTGGTTTTGCGCTGCTCAGACCAGTTGCGCCAGGCTTGTGGTATATTATCGGGGTGGCTGTACGATTAGCTGTTGATCTGGGGTTGCATTATGAGGATGGGAAAGATCTCGATGTCGGACTCGAAGATATGCCAGAGGAGAAAGCGGGTGATCCTGAATTGGTCAAGATGCAGAGAGAGAAAAGTGCCAGAGAACGAGGGAGGAGGGAATATGTTCGTGATTTCAGACGACGGCTATGGTGGTGTACTTACTCATTCGATCGTCTGGTCTCGACATGTGTTGGACGACCATTTGGGATTACAGATCAGGTTGTTACGACGGAATTCCCTTCGCTACTGGACGACAAGTATATTACCCCTTCTGGATTCATGGTACCTACCGGTGGACCTGGAGAGCCGAGTTACAAGCATGCTGCTTATCATTACTTTCGTCTCAGATTGTTGCAATCCGAGATCCTGCAAGTTTTACAACACCAGCAAGCACAACAAGCTCGAGCTACGGGGGCGAATCAGCAGAATCCGTTTATGCATACGACATTACCGTCTCCGTTCCTATCGAAGTTCGATTCTTTCCGGTCATGGCGGATCGATATCGATAAGCGGTTGTGGGAGTGGAAGACTTCGGCGCCGACAAGGAAAGAGACTGGTGTTGGATTCTCAGTCGAGTTTCTAGAGTTGAATTACTGGCAGTGCGTGATTATGCTTTATCGGCAGAGCCTGAGTGTGCCGACTCCTTTCGAGGGAGAGTTCAACACTAGTGACGAAGTCAATAGTCCGAATGTGCACAATGTGGAGCTGAGAGAAGACGAAGAGAGAGTGTTCTTGAAAGTTGCAGAAGCAGGACAGAGGGTTTTGAGATTGTATAGACAGTTGCATCGGGTGCATCTTGTCAACTATACTTTCTTGGCGACTCATCATCTGTTTATGGCGGGCATTTCGTTCTTGTATGCTATCTGGCATTCGTCTATTGTCAGGAGCCGTTTGGTGAGTCTTGTCTTCGAAGTTTTAAATGAAAGTTAACATTCTGTAGACAATGGATGAGGTAGACTTCACCATCTTAGCAGCAACATCCGTCCTTGGCGATCTCATCGAGAAATGTCCACCTGCAGAAGCATGTCGAGATGCATTCGACAGAATGTCCAAAGCTACAGTCCAGATGTGCATGTCAACCACGGGCTTCGGCTCCTCAGCCCATGGCCTAAATTCTCGTCAACGCTCGCATTCTCAAAACCAAAGGCACACCCAATCCGAATCGGGACCAGGATCTGCCGACTATTTCTCCAAATCAGCACGTCGACAAAGTCGAGGTCCACATGGTCCACCCAGACCAAAACCTCAATTCGACATGGCCTTAAACGATCTTCTCGGCCCAGTATCAACATCCCAACAATCCCCCTCGACACCCACCCAACCACAACCTCAGAACTTCCGTCCCAGATCCCAAAACAGCGGCGTCAAAATGGAACTCGACCCCTACGCCAGCAGCAGCACCGCCACACCCCGCCAAACAACAGCCCAACACACAACCTCACCCTCCGACTACGCCATCTCCCCTCCCCTCTCCCAACTAGACACCTCAGCCATCGACCCCTCTCTCCTGCCCTCCCCCTCCGCAACAGGCCCCTACGCTGCAGCCGTCCAATCAACGTACCCCTCAAACCCATACCAAGAGATGCAATTCCCGTTTCAAAACGCCCCAGGAATGGATTTCCTGAATTCCTCAGCCTGGGACACGGGTCTAGGCGGTAATACGACGAATGGCGGGAATGGCGGGAATAATTGGATGGGCGGAGGCGATCTGGGGATGGGGTTGGGCATGGATATGCAGTGGATAGGTGACGGGGTGGATGGCGAGCATGATTTTAGTGAGGGTGGGAATGGGGGCGTGGATCTGTTTGATGGGTTCTTTTTTGGGGGGACGGGGAATTTTTAGGTTCCTCTGTTTTTCGGGGGAGTATATATCACTACTCGTCTATTATTATTCTTTTTCTTTTGCCTTAAGAAGGAAGAGATATTTTTATGCTGGGATGAGCTGGGATGAGGAAGGGGAAGGTAAAAAAAAAAATTGATTGGTAGATAGGTCTGCTGTGATCTAGGTAGCTATTGTCGGTGATAGCAGGGCGTTTTTGGAGTTCTCGTTCACGAAATGAATGCATGGATGGCCTTTGAGCTGATCGATGGGTTGATGATATCCTGTTGCTCGGTAGGCAGGTGGGAAAGGAGGACGATGGTAGGGAATGAATGAACTTGGGTGGATGAGATTCACCGTGATTTTGAGGTTGATAGTTCTTGTGGTGAAGTGATGAATTTGGTATTCACTGTTTTTTGAAACTATTGGTGGAGGAGTTGAGGGGTATATAAATACCACCTCTCCCTTCTGTCTTCGAATATTATTCAACTGCGGATTATGCGAATGCACCAGATGGCTTGGAGACGAGTGCCCGGTTCCTTTCCCATTTCTGCCTTTCATTCTCTGGAGCTGCTTGTAGGGTAGGTATGTTTCAGGTGAAGGGGAAGATGAGCCGGGGAGGATTATTTGCTGTTGTCATCTTTGCTGGTTTGCTGTCAAGCTTGGGATTGTTTTATTTTATCTAATATTGTTGAAACTTTGATTGTCGATGATGTGCTGTTGTTGTGTTTTAGTGTGGGATTTTCATCTTATGTTCCTGGGTTGTGCGGATACAGATGCGGGAAGTGAAGATGATAGGAATGTTTGGGGTGCTAGGGGGTTGCTGGGTCTGAATTGCAAAGATTAGACAGGACACTCTGTTCGTTTTCGTGTGTATAAGGCTTAGCTGCGATTGGGAAACATGAATCGATAAAGGTCGTATATCAAGTCAAGGGTCATGAAGTTGAAGCTGAGTCTAAGTTTAATCAAGCGAGTGTTACAAAACTTTTTCGTGGTTATACCTCACTTTCCCACTCTACATTCTGATAGACAGTCCCCCCCCTCTCTCCCCCTATTGAATGTAGCTTTCACCTCTTGTAAGATCCACTATTATTTCTGGTGCTGTTTTATTGCTATACTCTGAAACTCTTATGGCAAATAAAAATTGGTGCATTTATGAGTTTCAAGTGTATTTTTGGATTTGATATCCATAAAGCGACTAAAATGAATGCCGAATTTGGTCGCGTCATCGAAGTGGTTTCAAATATCCTGGTTTCTTCGGGGGAACACTATAGAGCAACAAATTTACCAAGTGGGTGGCATGTTCTGGTGGTTGGTTCTATTGCACGGACAGCTGGTACTCTGCAAAGCTTTCTAGTAATGTCATTTCACGGCCATCCTCGGGCATCCGCTTGAAGAGGCTCATGGTAACCCAGGTTTATATACTATTGTGGGCAGGAGGGAAGGAAGTAGGTGGGCTCGCCATTTCGAGTGGATGACCGGCTCGTACAATTCGCAAGATGTGGTGGTTTGGATGAAGATAAATTTTTCATGCATTCAAAATCGATCTAGTAGATTGTGGGTATTGTGATACTAACTCCGATCCATGCCTTCCAGTCGCCCCACAAAAACATCCCGATTGTTGTAAACAAGTTCCTTCAGGCTTCAGCCTCAATTAAGGCATTCCCTTCCGTAGTATTCGCTGCGTTTTCATTTCCTCCTGTGGTGATGGCCCGACCTTGAGCTCTGCCCCCTATATTGCCCCCTTTCATCGCGACGATCCTCGTTGGACTTGTTGCTGGATGTGGCTTTTCGTGGTCCTTGAGGAGGTTGATCTGCTGGTCTCACAAAGAGACATGAGGCTAAAAGTGATTCCATGGAATTTGCGTGGACCTTCCCGATATTAAGGACACGCACATACTTCTCAATTGTATATATCTTTGCATAGTTGATTCGCGCAAGATCCCCTAGGTCGCTTTCCTCGTCGTCGAGATCGCGCACGACTCTGATGGGGTCCTTGGTTAATTCTTCCCGAACAACATTCCCATTTGTGTCGTATTGCCACCGTTCTTCCGGCGGTCTCGCACTGGTGTAAATAATGGCGTGCTGTTGTCGATCGGGTAGATTGGGCTTCAGAGTTGCTTGCCCAGAATACGTGTGTATCGGTCTACGATAAGGTCAGGATAGGACTGATGAGGGATCATGTTACCAACGAGCATATAACATTACCATAACCCTCACCGACAACAACGAACAGACGGATCTCGCTGAATACCGTCTCGCCTAACCACACCGACTCGTATTGACCATTGTTCAGACCCGCATTTGGACGAGCTGGCTCTGTCCACACCATCTTGAATACTCGCCCGACTTTCCAGAACCTTTTATTCTTACGTTCATCGATCTGGATATATCCTATGAATTTGAATCAGACTGGGTAGGGAATCGAGAACACACGACTCACTCGCGTCAAGCAAAGGACTTTCTTTCTGCGGTAAGTGTTGTCTGGCCTTTTTGATCTGTCCACTCGAGTCCTGGATATGAATAGAAGAAAAAGCATCGTCTAACGAATCGAAGTTTTCTGATCGACGTGAAGTGTAGGTGCTTCTTTCAGGGATATCTGTTCTTGGCGTAGTGTATTGAGCGGGCATCCTTTGACTGCTAGCCGGAACTCGAGGAGTTGAGGTCTCCGACCATGGAGTAGCATATCCTGTATTTATTCCTGGCGGAATACTACGGGCTAGAGGCGGGTTGTCAGAGTTGAAATCAATCGACATGTCTCTCCATTGAGGACCAAAAATGGTGTGAACCAGATAGTGTGTGAGTCTGGTATGGTGCTCATCGGGGATTCTCCCAATTTTAATAGCTCTGACATTGTGTTCCACTGTATACACACGACCAAAACTCAGACGCGACATGGGATGAAGTCTCTGAGAGGGATTCTCAATGATTATGGGAAAAGGGTCTTTACTCAAACGCTCTCCCGGAAGAGTATGTGCCTGGCCGCCATCAGGGAAGACAGCAGCATAGTCCTCAGGGCGAACACCGTCTTTGGTGGTGCCTTGTCCATTGTATGTGAATAGGGAAAGACAGATGCAGCAACCTCTCATCTCCCTTACGACAACAAAGCGGCGATTCTTAGTGAAGACATTCGCACCGAGTTGGGACACCATGAAATTTGGGCCCACTACCGATGAGTCTTCGCCAGCTGGTTCTGCCCAGATTACCTCGAGAACCCGTCCTACTTTGAAGAACCGTGGCGGTTCACCAATCGATTCGTAGTCTATTATTGGGTCAGAATACTGTATGTTTAGGACTTCGGACTGGATCTTAACCTTCATATGCAGATCCGATATCCCCAGGTTGTGAATTATGTTGGCTTCCCCTGCTCGGAAAGCCCCCAGCTAGCGATGCGTTTTTGACAATGTTGTCATCGTAATAACTGCTCGGAAAGCCCCCAGCTAGCGATGCGTTTTTGACAATGTTGTCATCGTAATAACCATAGGATGGCCTATTCCGTGGGGGTTGGCTGGTTGTATAGAACTCTAACTCCACGTCAAAATGCAATTCAGGAAACAATGGATCAACCTACGAGCATCTTCCACTGTCGATTCTCGGGTGTATTGAGGGGTCTCCGGGTCCTCCTCATGCTCGTCCTCCTCAGGTTCGTCCTCCTCAGGGGGTTCAAGGAAATCATATTCCAGCTTGCCGTCGGGTCCGTAGCGCTGCGCATACTTGCAACCATGTTTGTCGCTCCACATCCATTCCGACCATGGCGTCGAGAGATCTGGTTGTTTGCCCGACATTCTTCACTTCGGCCATCCAAAAGTCTCCAGCGATGTGAGTCGCAGGAGGCTAACCCAAGATTTGCACAACATATTAGCATTCGCAGGTACAAGGTGATGGCATGGGCCAACAAGTCTTGTAGTTATACACTTGCGGTGTTGACATTCGATCGACGGACTTTTGAAGCCAGGCTATTGTTGCGAGTTCTTTTGAGAGAATAGCCTAACGCTAAAACGTTAGGCTTCAGCGGAAAGACAGTCACGTGATACACGCCAAAGACATCCAATTCGTACTCTGTAAGTATGCTACCTATTGCCTTATTATAGGGTGTTTAAAATCTTGGGGCTGGAATGAACATGTTATACTTACTGTATTTCAACTCACGCAAGCAAAAGAGCCCAGTGATTATTCAAGCAAAAATTCCGAGCAACTTCAGGCAGCTGCGTGCATGTTGTTCCACTCCAAGCATCATGTCCTCGTCTTTGCATGGCTTTCAAAGTTACTGAGCCCTGTAAGATTTTCCGTGCGCTTGAGGTTTGCCATAGTAATTGACCGGGAAGTACCAATACGTAACATGATCAGCAGCCCCAAGTGTGGCTAGGCTCCCAGAAGGACGCCCGGCTTGTATGCACCCGCTGCGTAATGGACCGCCGGAGACAGCCTTATGTCCAGGTAGGCTGAGATTGACTCCTTACTGGCTGTGTTCGATATTTCTGGGCCGATGTTTGTGGGCTCTGGACCGCCAGATTACGACCGACATGACAGCTTAAATCTCGCGCCTTTCCCTCTGCAACTTTATGATTTCATTCGAAGAGATACTTCCTGCGTCAGCATCAAGGATGACAGTATTGCAAGGGTGAAGCCTGACAAGACATCAAGCTTAGATCGATGCCGCGGAATCAACCCACCCAAAACTCGCGTTCTAGGAACAAGGCTTGCCAAATCTGTTGGCTTCGTGCGAAGCAGGTGAGTGGCGCAAGCTTATATACCTTTGGACTCGACGTAGAAATATTCTGACGGCTATTTTAGTGTAATGGAGGAGTAAATTGCCGGTGCTCGGTATGCAGCAGCATGATGGCGAAATTGAAGAACAATGGAACTGATCTAAACTTCCCCCTTAAAGGTTGATCTCTTTGGCATCTCTCTTGGTCCTACTCTGACATGTAGACAGAAAGTCAATCTCACATGTATGACATGTACCGGTCTCTCGAAAGCCAAGACCTTGAATTTTCCAAATGGATCATCAAAGTCGAGCGACGAAACAAGCCGAACACGACCGTCGAACTTCCGAGCTATGGAACTCTGGATAACACGGATGGTGGCTTGCAGACGGCGGATTTGGATAACTTGATCCTTTCTCAGTTTGCACCAAAGTTACGTGCCAAGAGTGGGAACCCAGCAGTTATAGCAAATGCTGTGCTTGCTAGTGGATATATATTCTGCCTCTTGTCTGCCACGAACCCTTCTCAACCTGTAAGCGGGATGGTCAATGGCTCTGGGAATCCATGTTCCAATGAGACTTTACGCCATACACCAATGTTCAAAGGGAGATTGCTTATGCGCCTCGGAGCGATCAGCGACTTGTTCAGGGCGAGCTTTCGGCACGAAATTGGAGCACTTAGTCAAAATGAAGCTGCAAACAACCATGCCGCTGCTGTTATTTTCCTTCATGGCATGGTCGATCTCTACGAAGGTCTTCACAATGGTGTTCTGCAAAGTCTGGTCAGTCGCTTGTTCTGATACGTAAACATTACTGAATTGCTTGACATAGTTTCCTACCGAGCTTACTGAACGTTTAAGCGCTTGGTCGAACTCTTTTAGAGACGAGCTCTATCAACAAGCTGGAAATGACTGTAGCAAGTTCTGGAACGACGCTCTCAAAGGTCCTCTGAAGCAGTTGAAAATCCGCCGAAAGGAGCACGTCCGAATGACTGTCGAACTTCAGCAGTATCTACGGTCTCTGGACGATTCGATCGAGGCCCTTTCTGAGTCACCCGGTCTACTTTACAACGAGTCTGGGATATCCTTTGTAGACTCGGCCATGATATTACCTCCAACACCATTCTCAATGCCCACTGCTGGCTGCGCTGAGACTTCGGCTGCAGGCTTTGAAGATTATAACAATCAAAACTTCTCATGGTCAGGCATGCCTACTCAGCATCCGCAGTATTCGGCTCCAGGTTTTGAAGATCATGACAATCAAAACGTGTCATGGCCAGGCATGCCTGTTCAGCATCCACAGTATTCGGCTAATGCTTATTACGCCTTTGAGCAAATGGCGACCAACGACAAAGTATACTCGAATCCGTTATTCGAGCCACCCGCTCAATGGGCATCCCATGATCCAGGAGAGTTCTTCTTCAATGACAGAACGCTGGACCCGGATCCTTCCCCATACGTGCTCTAAACTGAGCCACACGTTCGCCTACCGCATTGTCCGTGTCAATCGACATTGGAAGATCGGTAGGTATTTTTTCTTGATTCGTGCTTTCTACTAAATTGCCAATTTTGTTTTGTTTGTGCGGGATATCTGGGGTAGGATGGGTTTTGGGGGCTTGCAGGAAACTTTGCAAAAACAGGGTATATAATTATATGATAGCGAATTCAACATTCCACCAAACTGAACATGCAACAAGTACTCACATGACGTGGTTCTCATGAAGCGGTTTAGTAACCGAGCTGTCGCGAGATACTATGCAACTATTTCAGCCTACAATCAATTTAACAAACATTGTGCACGCAACAATTCCAGGAAAGTGCTAATATTGACTAAATAACCGTATCAACAAGATTTACTGAGACCTAGGACATTGACTTCATCAAACATAAGAAACAAGAAATTCCCAAAAGTTCATCAATTTCTTCTTTAGAGTGGGAACCGGTCGCCCAGGTTATCCGGCTAACGTATCAACGTTTTCAAGTCAGGCAAGAGATTAAGATCCATGTCAGAGGTTTCTGCCTCGGTACTTGGTTGATCAAGCAGAGCGAGGTATGAGACGTGAGCCGGTATCTCCTCTTCCACATCAAGGGCGTGACTTCTCAGCCCAAGGACTTGTAAGGTTGGAGATCTTGGCGGCGATATCAAGAAGACATCGCCATCTCCTAGGGGTGTGAATATTGTTCGAATCGGAGGCACATATTGTATTGTGTGCTTGATTTGATGGAGAGTGAGTTTAAGTTTGAATGTGGTGTGTGTGCGCCTCGCACTTCTTTTGGAAGTGAGTGCTGAATCCCAGTCCACATGCTGGCCACAGCCTCGACGCAGCTGTGACTGCAGTTCTGCTCCGATGTTTTCGAACCACTTGACTATGGTACCTCCTGGGCCTTTCCAGGATGCAGGCATCTAGATTCAGATCAGTGATCTGAAATAATGCTTGACACATTGAAAGACTCACCGAGTTTTGTAAGAGTAGAGGTCCGTGACGAAGGCTTCTCCTGAAGTAATCCACGTCGTACCAGAGAATCACGGCCGCCGCGTGTGCAGTTCGAGCATAGCCCGGATACTCGTTGTGCGGATCCTCGAAACGAAGCGAATTCAGTATTTCTTTGATGAGCATTTGAAGTCTGCTCAGAAGCAGATGTTGGAGATGTAGGTAGAGATTGTAGTGTTCCAACTCATTCTCGACAATTACACCATCTCGAGTCGTGTCGACGTGTTCTTTGACTCGGATGGACGAAGACAAAAGAGTAATATATCCACCGATGAGCACAGCATCTTCGACAATTTGGGTATGATCTCCTTTGCCATGAATGTCAAGACAACAATTTCGACGCACAAACTCGTCCAGCCATTCCACCAACAGTCGATTTCGGGTGTTGAAGTGTGCATCAATAACATGCCCAGAAGGATCCGATGTATTGCCTGCAGATGATGCAACTTGTAGCCCGAAGATGTTCTGATTTCGAGTACCTTGGCTGATATCGAGAGTAGGAAGGGAAGAGGCTGAAACTTGTCTGTACAGTTCTGAGTGGGCAACTTGGACATGTCAGAAATTGCCAGCATGATCTGAGTACCAGGGATAATACCTGCATCGAAGAATGTGTCTGCCAAAAGGGTTCCACCATCTTGAAGCTTGGCGTCCTTGATATATGATTTACAACCCTGGCATTGCAGAGTAATTGGATCGCGATCGAGACACTGAATATTTCTCAGACAAAGTTCTGAATTGTAATGCATGGATAATAGTTACCCCTCGCTTCAAGGCCCAACAGGTTGAACAAGCTGCTAACTTCCGGAGTTCTTCTGCCATCTTTTGACGCTTCTGCTATGAAAAGCTATTAGAGACGTAAAGTGGACGAAGGTCTGCTGTTCCTTCAAAGGAGGTTGCTAAAATTGAATGACAAGATAGACTATACTCATGTTGAGAAGTGTTGGCGTTGCGCAGAACTATCATTCTGAGCGTCTCATTACTTTAATCGTTCGACGGAAGCTTTAGAAGGCACTTGGAACGTGGTGTGGAAAGGTTCTCCTTGTGTCGTCGCATTTTCCTGATTCATGCCCTGTCGAGCCCTTCCCAGCTTTACTTAAAAGCGCTAAGTTTGATTGATGTCTGGCGCAAGATTCAAAGATTTAACGTGCGCCACGGTTCGTGTTGACTCGAAATTCTTGATCGGGTACACTTAAAAATGCAGCCACCACTTTCTCGTCGTCTCTTTCTTCTTTTTAGATCTTTCTAGTGTTGCCTCCTCGCCAGAATATCGGAGGTGGGCATGCATGGAGGTGAGCCAGACAATTGACTCGAGTCCATCTGCGGAACATAAGCATGGAGACAATCGTTGGTGCACGAGGTCCTGATGGACCTGATATCAGTATAGGTGTGTGAGCACTGATCTTTAATGTAACAAACATTGACTTCAGCAGCTGGTCCAATGATGAGAACGATATGGATTCTGTACGGCATTACCTTTGCAGTTGTGATCTTGAGACTTTACACGCAGTGGCGTATAACATGTTCATTGGGATTGGGAGATGCTATAATGGCACTTTCTCTTGTGCGTTCCTCGTAAAGGTGAAAAGTCCCTTTGCTGATTTCAATAGCTTTGCGGTACAGGTATCTTGACGACCTTGACCATACAACATCACTATGGCCTTGGGAGACATTTTTCGTACCTTGACCCACATCAGAAAGTGGAAGCGTTATATTTCAACTTCATTGGTCAACCGCTAGGTAGACATTCCCTCCTCCGCGAAAGGAGTATCCAGCAGCACATTCTAAACTTCACAGGCATAATGGCAGCAGCATTCGTTGTATAATGATGCTACAGCTTTTCGGTACGACCAACTTGAGAAGATATGTGCTTTGGGCGACATTCTGGGAATCCTTGATTGTCAATCTTACCACCTGCATTTTAATTTTTGTGCAGTGCAAGGATCCACGGACGTTGTGGGACCCCATAGGGCATCCGGGGTACTGTTGGAGACCTTTCATTCAGGAGGTGAGTACCAGTGATGTTTTCAGAGCTTCAAGCTGATACTTGCGTGCAGTATACAGGGTTCGCTCAAGGAGGTCCGATTTTGTGACTGTGCTGCGGGCCTCGATAATATGCTAATGCTTGTGTAGCGATTAATTCAGCGACCGATCTTTTTCTCACAATTCTGCCTATTCGAATATTTTATACGCTTAAGATGAGTATTCATTTGAAGCTCGGTCTGGGATTTCTTCTTGGCTTAAGTGCTTTGTAAGCTTTTTCGTTCTCATACATCAGACAATGGAGATGTCGCTCACGTATCAAAAGCGCTTTCGTTGCATCAATAATCAAGACGGTCGAGCTGAAAGCAATTGGAAATAGAGGAGACTTCACTTGTGAGATTCTCTGGACGTCTCCCGGCCTCCAAAACTGACTTTATCAGTCGGCACAGTCGACTTCTTCACCTGGGTAATGTAAGTCCTCGCACCCCATACAACTCGCCACTATTCAATCTCACACACTGTCAGCGTCGAGTTCACCCTCGTAGATATAGCAGCCTCTGCTCCGTTAGCTCTTCCTCTCTTCCGGAGACTCCGTAAACCACCACCAAAGAACAGCTACCAATTACAAAAACCCTATGGTGGACACTCAATTGTAATTCTGGGTGGAAAATCTGCTCATCCTCAAAACAGAAACAAAAGTAGATCCAAGCTCGCTATAAATGATCTCGAGACCACGATCCTCAATTCCAGCGAAGACAATATCTTGACGTTGGTGGATGATGCTGGGGAGAGGGCAGGTGAGCGGGATTTGCCAAGAGCTGCTGGACGGGCTGTGGATTTGGAAAGTGGTGCGAGGAAGAAGGTCACAAGCCCAGTTTGCGATGGGAAAACAGCGATTATCAAGCAGACAAGCTTTGATGTTAGTTTTAAAGTTAATGAGGGAGAAGGTGTTAATATTGATGGGACTAGGAGGAGAGATGAGATGTGGATGACCAAGGAACTGCCAAAAATTCCTTGGGAGGCACAGGTTAAAATGTATAAGAGGTAGGAAGTTATCAGACACAATAATGGAGTTCAAGCATTTGCTAGTCAGTAAGGAAGGGTGAGTTTGAGTTTTTCTTGACCTGAACACTACGGCGTTTGGAATTTCGGCTGACGTGCTGTTGAAGGGCGGCATTCTTCTGCCGGCGAAACCTTCGGTCAGCGGCTTGGCAAATATCTTGGACACAGTCGTGACCAAGTTTGTGCAACTGTGGGACTATGCTAGTAGCCTCAAGTTTACCTGGCTTAAACTTCACTTCAGATGATCCCGTATTGGCGCAGTAGTACAAGTACGCATTCTCGTGTTATTCCCCACGTTCGTGTCTCCAAGCAAGGTTTCTAGTTGCGCTTGTCTCTTGCAGTTAAGTAAGCTCTATGCTATTGTTACGGTCTGTGGAATGCTATTGGACCGAATCTCGTCTGTCTACTTGACGTGTGTTACATTACTTCCGGATAAGTTCCGGCTGTTTGCGATTTCTCGTATCCGCTAATGTACTAGGTAAGGTTGCATTGCTATATAAGAACTATTCTTGTATGTTCAGAAAAAGGTTATAGCTGATTGATACTTATAATAATTTCGAAACTATCAGTCGAAGTTCACGATGAAATACTTCGGCTCTGCTGTGCTTGCCTTGCAGCTCTTCCATGAGACTGCTACAAGCAAACCCATCACTCCTCGACAATTGCCTACAAGATCTGAATGTCCATCAGAGAGCAGTTACCCTACCGCTTTCAGTTTGCAAGCCATAGAAGTAGCCACCAATTCTACTATGGTCCTAGCCCCAGTCGATAACATCTCCTTCGACGAACCCGGTACATGGTATTTAGGAGGCGGCACAGACTTTACCTTCAACCTCACAGACTACAATTTAGCTATAGGAAATGCGCCCTGTGGTTTTCAAGGATACGAAACGAGTAGTGGAACTTTAGGGGTTCCGAAATGTTCTGTCCAACCTGGTGGGCGTGGACAGCTGAATCCGTACTTTTCAATTGGCTACAGCGACACATTGGGCATTTCAATATTGCAGCTTGCTCATCCCAATGTGACAGGTGCAGGCAGTGCCTGTGGTAGGTTCAGAGATCTTGTCCATTGGATTACGTACTGACAAATTTAGGTGAATTTGCTACCAGCGATTGGGGACCCTATGGAGAGGTTTACATGAATATAACAACGTGCGGTAAATGCTCCACAATAAATTACAAATGTACTCCGCTGACTTGGACCATAGGATCTTTTCCAGCAGGCTACGATCCGATCATTGTTCAGATCATTCCTGTGAATGGGACTCAATCCTAGGAAACGTAATATAAGGAAAAATCCATAAGAAGACAACTATACGAACACTCAATATGTCTTCTAAGCTCCAGAGCAATTGTGAAAGTAAATTCAGCAATACTACAAGGGACTAATACCAAGTGGCATCCTCCATATGTAAATGAACAACCCGCGCAAATAGCGCAAAGCGCGCGTGTGGCGCGAAACGCGCAAATTTCGCTGATTTCGCTGATTTCGCTGATTTCGATGATTTCGCTGATTTCGATGATTTCGATGATTTCGCTGATTTCGATGATTTCGATGATTTCGATGATTTCGATGATTTCGATGATTTCGATGATTTCGATGATTTCGATGATTTCGATGATTTCGATGATTTCGGTTTTTATATTTAATCACCCGTCTAATCAAGGCTTAGGCTCACTTCCACGTTCTTAGCTTCTGATCCTTTTCCGAGACTTACCTAGATAGATCGAAATGCGAGGCAAGAAATGAAGCTCACGATATCCTCAACCTCTACATTAGCCGGACAGACTTTTGAGTTTCGGACAACGTTTTCTGAGGACTAAACTCTGAAATTTAGATTCACTGTTACGAGATCGCTGGTAAGATGACATGTGATTTCAGTGTTGCTTACAGTTCTATGTTGACCATAGATGGTCCGTCTTGCGGGAGCTGCCTTAGCTAAGACACTTCAACGAAAATTAGCTTAGTCCGTTACCAAGGCCACTGAACTTGTGGTAGAGCTAAATTAGGTGGATTACGCATATACCATCACTTTGGTAAAATTGAAGCTTTGCAATTTATTCCGCCCTGAACAAAAACGGCGCTGTGAGTCATTTTATTGCCTACTCCTACCACTAACACAAACTTTCCTCCAACAATTCCTTCATCCGCAAACAACCTAATAACAAATAATGCCATAATGGCTGACGGACCCAGCAGTCAGATCTCGCGTCGTGCACAACGGCGGAAGAAGCACCTGCGACCAAAATCGGCTCAGGCCTACGAAGAATGGAAATCAAAACATTCGCAAACTGCCAATGCGTGGCTTTCGAAGCTTAAGAATCATCTTGACGTTCCAACGCTTGAAGTCCGCGTCATGCAGTTGCTCTCTGGCCATGTAGAAATTTCAAATGAGAAGAAAATGTCTGACGGCACGGGGTGTCTGGAAGAGAGGATCTTGGACCACGCAGCTCTAGTCCAACGGCAATCCAAGCTCGCTAAAGCCGCGAAAAAGGAATTCTGGAAGCAGAAAACGAGATCGGAGATTGAGATGAGGATTGAGATTGGGAGCAAGAGCAAGAGTAACTCTTTCCCATTTCCGAAGCTTCCACCTGAGTTGAGGGACATGGTTTACAAAGTGGTATTCGAAGAAACAAGTGGGATGAAGCCTACTCTGTTGTGGGCCTTGCAAGACTACAATAAGCTGTATCCAGAAGCAAGGAAAGCTTGGTGTGGGACGAATGATTTCAGATTCTCGTTGTTGGAGAGTAAGGCGAATACAAGGGACGGGCTAGAGGAGAAAGAGATGGAGTTGCTGAAGAAGGCCACTGCTCTTGTCTCGTAAGTATCTCTATATTAAACAGGTTCATTGGCGCTGACGATGTTCCTAGAAAAGATATCCAAGCGTGTAGCAAGCTATCGTTGGTCGTGTTGAGAGCCCAGAACCTGGAATGCCTCACGCTGGAAGTGGCTTCAAAAGTCGGCTTTGTGCTCACGATTCATAACATCATCCCGAATCTGAAGAAGCTCAAGAAAATCACCCTCCGTTTGAGTTGTGGCAAGACGAGAAAAGAGAGGATGAAGGATTGGACGACATGGATGGTTGGTCATACTTACCCTGATTTGTTTCGAAACACAGTAGAGACCAGGAAAATGCTCGATACGATGTTAGGGAAGGAAGGAAAGCTTATAGAGAGTGAGAGTAAGCCTTGGATGCAGATCTGGGTTTGGGAGGTGAAAGGCAAAGACGAGGTGTTTCGCCCAAAAAAGACGAAGACACATATAAAGTTTGATTAAGTAGTGTAGAGATGAGGAGCAGGTATTCGATTAGTCGAAATATTATGTACATGTTCGTAAAAGTTCTTCTAGCTTACCTTGCAAGACACATGCCGAGAAGCTCTGTACAAGCCCTTGTCGTGCGTAGTTCTCAGACTTCCGTTGCTCTTCACAATTCTTTCGAGTCTTCAAAGTCGGACAGCAAGTGAATACTTCCAAGTTTCACGTGAGCAGCCCAGAATCTTTTTTTGCACGTCGCAAGGCGCTAATTATCCTTACAACCTTGATTGAAGAAAATGCGTCTGAAAACCCTCATCGCGTAATATCTCAACAACCACTGTGGTAAGCATATAATTGAGCGACCAAAAGTTTGATCTACGTTACAAGAAGCGATTCCACGTCTTGGATTGGAGAAAAATAAATTATGTTGCGAGATATTCTTGTTCTTGAGCTGAAAACCTGGACTTTTCGAAGAGAGTGTCTGAAGGTGAAATTTGTTGCTCCAAACTTCCGCTCCGATCATTCACCTTGACTTCTCGAGTCCCTCTCCTCTTTTCTCATAAGTCCTCCAAACTTCCCAAGCGCCTTCCGGCACTTCAACAACTGCTTTCCCATCCTTAATCAAAATCTTCCTCTCACCCTTCACAGTCCCGGGTCCGACTTGCAAAATCTGTTCATGTGCCAACATACCCAACAATCTAATTTCATCTGCACGAATTACTTCGTCATAGTAGTCTTGTTTCCATTGCGGGACGAGAGTCGATAGAGCCCAGATCTTGAGCACGTCTTCAGATGGCATTTCTGCTGCTCCAGACCCTGTAATTTATGAGCCGAGAGTATGGGGAGGAATGAGAGAAGGATACATTCTGATATGTCTATGTCTGGGGATGTAGTTGAGAGGGGTGCGTGGATCTATGCAGGAGTGAGTTGAGCACACCTGAGATGAGAATTGGGAAGGGGCGAGAGAGGGTAGAGGAACGCACTTGAGCGTAATACGTTATACCACAGCTAAGGAAATATGGAACGAGTAGAGGACGGTGATCTTTGTACCATGATTCTGAAAATTGCTCTGGAGTGAGATCTGGGTTGCGTTTCATGAGACCTTGATTGATGGGCATTGTGAACGACTTTAATCGGGACTCGGGATCGCAGAGTGAGACTAATGTTCTGGACTGTGAGCGGTGATTCTGGAGACTGTATCCTTGGCCGTTGTTGTAGAGAATATTCAGCTCCTTTAAGACTGTCCCTAGTGCTGACAGGAATGACGAACTCGCCAATCATCGCTGAATGCAAACTAAACTCATGCAGGATCTAGTACTCTCGAGCTTATTTAGGCAGCGTAAACGTGCATTTGAGCGGACGGTTACTTGGGACTTGAGTCTGGAATGACCTCGATAATCAGGAAGAAAGACGTCACGTGCCTTTATCAAAGATTTCTATGTAGAGGTTGTCAAGCGGTCCTTTCTCCAAGTCTGAAGTAAAGCAATATTGAAGTGACAAACAAATTTCGGATCTACTTATTTTCTCTCCATAAACCTACGCCATTTTATTTGTAAACAAACTTTCCTTGCAGCACACCCTCAGCATAAACGCCTTCGCAACATGGATTTACATACCCCAGATCCACTACAACAAGCTCTGTTACTGGATAGAGAGGGCAGAAAAAGCAAGTAGCCTAAGCCAGTCTGGGGCGTAGATCAAACTACCGCTCATGATCTTGTAGGCCAGGGTGTAGGAATTTTTTGATATCTGGCTCTTTGGGAGCTGTAGGAGTATTTTCCGACACGGACGCAGCAAATTTTGAGGGAGTTCGAGGTAAGGCGGGAGAGAGATGAGCAGTCTGAGAAGAAAGAAAGAAAGAAAGAAAGAAAGAAAGAAAGGGGTAGACAATAGGTGGTCGTAAGAATAGAAGCAATGCAGATGACACTGTCGATGCATCCAGCATGATCTCGGTTAAGAAAAGAGGCACCATGACTGTACGCCTCACTAGAAGCTATCCCCACCTTGTACTAGAAAAAAAAACAATCAAAATCTTTGGTAAAGCAACACATGAAACGGCACAATACAAACACGTAAAAGGAATATGTTCAGAATTCACTGAGCGTTCCTAGACTCGTCTCTCATATTCATACCAGTCTTCTTCTATAGTGTGTTCTAGACATGCTCGTCTACATTCTTCTTGTTGTCTGGTGGCGGCGACTCCGAAGTGCTCTATGCGGAAGAGCATCACTGCCCACATGCAGTAGCAGTACGAGACTCCTTGACGGAATGCTCCTCAAGTCTCGTGTCCCCTCATGAATCACTATGCTGGGAGTCCCAAGCTACTGTAGTCTTAGACAATTCTCTGTCGCTTCATTCCTTCGTGTCTTGAGTTTTGTGGGCCTGACCAAACTGTCTACTTCCATTCCTATGACCCCATCAACCTCAAGTCTGCGACATCATTGCTAAGTCTTTCTCAAGATGAGACTGCAACAGCTCCTGACCCTCCTCCCAGGATGGAAACGATTCTTGGCATTGCTCCGAGCGCTCTATATTTCGCCAATGTGGCACGGGATCTGGTTTTGTGTTCCATACCATTATGTATTTGCGTCTCTCCATGTATTCGGCAACAACTAAAGCCTGCCTGATTCCAACTGTTTCGCCAATGTTTCTCAATCGCTGAATGGCCCATTCTCGAATCGGATCTGTTGTCAAGTCCATGTTGCCGACCAGATAGAGGGGCCATAGAATGAAGTAGCTTCGGGACCCTTCCAATAGCCCTTGGGCACTCTCGGAGATGGGTGATGGAGTAAAGCGAGGTATGCTTGCTAGGATGTCCGCTTGCAGTTCCAGCATAATGGCGACGGACTTCTCGCCTTGGACTATCATCTGCGCGATAGGGATAATTGGTGTCATGGCAGTCGATGCTGCGAGCAGTTGATCCCTGATAATCTCGTGTAGAAGAATTCTGCAAGTCCGATACGAATTGTAGATATGCGCCATCCAACTCTCCTTGTAGACATGATAACAACCATTCCAAATAAGATGTGGGTTCTCATCCGTGTAAGCCATGTCATATTTCCAATTCTCAGGCAGATTTTCGAAGACCGATATGAATCTGCCATCGAGTTGTAACGCAGCCTCGATGACTGCCTTTGGACCAACAATCTTGCAGTCTCGGACGTCGGATCGGAGAATGGTGAAGTCGATGATCACGCTCGAAAGTCGCCAGGCAGGATTTTCGGAGTCCACGAACTTGGCTGCTTCTTTCCGGAGGTCAACTATATGCTGTGGCATAGGTATTGTACGCTGTATACAGCTCAACATGAGACTCGCTGTCACTTGTATGAACATTCTTTGTCCTGCTGCGTTCTTGAACTGGTCCCGTCCTCTCAGTTTCACCAGCGCAGCAGCTCCGTTGATATGTTCAGTCCATGCCGCTAACGATCGGTCGTTATTGCCTGTGATAGTTTCGAAGATGCCCAAAATCATGACGGCGAAGAGTGTGCTGTCCTTCTTAGCCTCTGTGGGCGATCTTAAAGCAGCATTCGTTAACTGAAGGGCATTCACATAGTCCCTACGAGCCCGGACCATGATCTCGGGAGCATGCACCGAGTTTGAGAAAGTGGCCAGTCCAACGGCACTCATGCTGGCTAAGAGGTGCTCCTCGGCATTGCTCTGATTGCTAATGTCGTCTACCAAGCTAGGATCCCGAAGCCAAGTCGACGACAAGGTGCTGAAGTAGGACAAACCACGCTCTTCGAGGGAGGGAAACATGGTACAGCTTGGAAGCAGTGTCTGAACAAAGGCACCTTGATCGATGCGGCACATTGACAGGTCTTCAGGAAGTTCAAGGTCATTTTTGAATGACTTCGCATTGAAAAGTTCTTCCGCAGGCTCAACAGGTTCGGGTGGTGGAAGCGGATTTGACTTTGCCTTGGATCTCTCGCGGGCTTTGGCTTTCCCAATAACTGCATTACTTTCATTACGGAACATGAGATCTAGCTGGCTGCGATATCCTGGGCAAGGACGATTTGCTCTGATGCATTGACCACATGATGGTGTTTGTCGGTCGCACTGAAAAGTGTTAGGATGTCTCTCCAAAACTTGTAGTGACTCCGCTGATGACAACCCCGTACTTAGAGTTATCTGATCAAGAAGTGCGACTTACTCGAGTCTTCTTATCCCTACATGTCTGACAGCCTTTGGAGGGCTTTCCGCAATATACCATGGTGAAAATCGATTGATGACAAAGGATAGGAAGTCGTCGATTCCTTCTGATTCAGGTTGAGATTGCTGACCTTTATCATAGCTTTGAACTAGCCGCTGTGCCGTGCTCACACCAGCATAGCCAGATCATGAGTCGGGGCGAAGCAATAGAGGGGCGCGTACGTCAGTGCCTCAGAAATGCCGCACTTCAATCAGCCTTAAAGCTGCACGGGGAATCCGAATCTACAGCAACGGGGACCAACGGCATGCTCTGATTATGTTGAGATGAAGGAAAGCTGCTGAAATTTAAGTTCTTATCCAACCAGGCGGGATGTCGGGTGGGATGCTTTTGTCGTGGCTGAGGGGCGCGAGCCTAACCTAATGAGGAATTCTGTGCGTAGCGTTTGCTATTGGCCAATGGCTGTCGAGCAACTCGGCACTTTGCTGGGACCATGGGACTCACGTGATATGGACCACGTTGACCCTGGTGTCTTACACTAGAGAAATGCTGGTAGGGCTGAGCTGATCTGGAGATAATCGGGCTTTTGAGTTGCAGGATTCTGTTTTGATAATGATTGGTCCCCTCGTCAATTCCACCAAAAGCTTGTACTGAAGCTAACACTTAAGCTTCGAACGTAATGCCACCATCCCAATGGAATGTACAGACATTCTCCTTCATTCAAGATACAATCCATATATTGGGCATCTTTGAAAAGAGGAAACATCTCATGAGCCTCCAGTCTTTCGGCATCACTCCCATCCCATCTAGCAAGCACTCCGATATCAAGAGCGCTCGTATTCTCCATGTCTACACCTCCGTCTTCAATGCCTCGCGCGTACAGCTTTTCGCTCTCACGCGGGGCATAGAGTCTGACATACTTCTTGCCTACGACTTGGGCAAGAATGTTATGATAGGGGTCCACGTGGAGAGGACTGATCGTTCCCGCTGGTCCAAACCATGCATTCAACAAGGGCTCGTCGAGCTGGAGGTGTTTAGAGTGCTTTTCAGCCAGTGGTGAGGACGGATGGGGTGGCGGAGGATTCGTGTAACAGTAATCCGGTACTGCAATGTCCTGGCGAAGAGAGGGAACCTGACCAAATAGGTCGTGTTGAGCAAGGTAGCCCGTTGCCAGTCCCGTTGAGTCTCGTTCACGGAGAACGTACTGGCGAATGAATGCTCTAAACGGGATTATCTTCTGACCCCATCCCTCGTCAACGTAGCTTCGACCAAGCTCGACAGGGACTAGACGTCGCCCTCCAATTGTCTTCGACATAAGATAGGAAGGTTTATTCCACGGCCGCTCATTGCGTGCAGGCCAGTGGTTCAAGGTATCCGTAATGATAAGAGGTTCTGGGCCGAGATTGGTATCCTTGGGATGTTGCATATGCTTCTCGAATTGATCAAAGGTGGGTGCAGCCATACGAGGGACCGGTCTCGATACTGGTGGAATGAATGAGGTAGTCCCAGGAAAGGTATCTTCACCGAGCTTCTGTCGTTTTATTGGCCTCTCTTCATGCTCAAATTCAGATCTTGCATCATTGATATCTTGCAGAAGGTTGAACAATGTCTCAACTTCTGCTTGCCCAGTTTCTGATGGTGGTGGTCCTGTCATAATGAGTGCCATGTCGATCGTTTTGACAATCTCATCAAGTATTTCTTCACGCTGCAGCGGGCCCAGCTGAACAGAATCATGGTTTTGCTTGCTCGTTTTCTGATCTGATTTCAGAATGAGAACTGAGACTCTAAGCATACTTGCTTCTCTGAAAAGGATTCTCCAACAAGGAGGTACATCTTTGAAAGGGAACGCATAGAATTTCTCTGTTGCAAGAGCTATCAAGTCATCTAGACGTGTGATGATGAGATCGAAGTCCCTTGTCTGATCGTGAATCTGTGAGGCAAGTTGAAGCAGAAGCTTGAGGATGGGTTTGCCACATTTATTGACCGTCTGAAAATGGATCTCTGAAGAGGAAAGGTCCCCGTCCAGCAACGATTCATAAGTTCTTTGAGCGTCTGGTGCGATTTGGCTTGCGATATCGATCAAGGACTGATAAATTGAGCTGCGGTCGGTCCCTCTCAGCAGTGGTGGCAAGTAATCTGGTGAGGCGGTCATCGCGCTATTTCCATCGGTTGGATCGCTTTGAGGGTGTTGTCGGCATCAGGTAGCACATGTTATCCAGTTCCGTTCAAGAGAACTAGCGGAATTCTCAAAACAAGACTCGTTAAATATTGTTACGCTGATTGTGTTGTTGAAGATGTCTTCAGACTTTGGAGTTCGTGGCGGAGCTTAAAATGTTTAGCGAACATCCACCAGATCTTGCGCCAGGCTCTGGAGCGCTGGAAAATTGGATGTCACCAAAACCCACCACAAAAGTTGTAGGGAAAATCATCTTTTTACGCACCTTATCGTCCAAGTATGTTTGGGTCTCGCCGATCGCTCTGTATCATCTAAAAGAAGGAGAAGCTTTGGATTCTCGAGCAATGCGCATGAAAGCGGTGCTTTGAGTAGTTCCGGTCAGGTGATGGTGATATTCCTTTCGATAAGAACAACATTTCGATAATGACATTCCCTTATCTGCTCACATATCTTTAGACCTTCAAAGTTAATACTCATTCATATACCTACGATTAGTGTCAGAAGGCAGCGCAGGGATTATCACGTGCACAAGTCTATCTGTACCTAGGTACCTAGTTAGGCTAGTATACATAGCCTTCACACGAGGGCCACATGGAGGGAGAGCACCCATAGAAGCTAACTGTGTAGAATCGAGACTTTGGTAGGGAAAAAATTCGATAATTTCTCACCCAGCGACCGTCCCGCGCAGTTGCCACTCAAAGAAGCCAAAATCCCGAAGAAGTCTTATCTCCCGGTTTCAGTCTTTAGTGTCTGCCTCTGCCTTCAATGCGGGCGCTAAGGACTGACATTTGATGGCTACAGCTGCTGCCAATTCTGTAATGCTGTTGTTGCCTAAGATATCAAAGACTGAGACATCAGAACTATAGTTAGTATCGGTCAAACACAGTAAATTTGAAAAAGTTCGATTTTGCAAAATCCTTCCAAACGAAAAAATAAAACAAGTCAAAAGAAGACAATTTTCTTTAGTAGAATCTTATTATTTGATTTAAATTAATTCGAAATTTATTATAAAAAGCCTTCTGCGATCGTGCTGCGATACGTAGTCTGACGAGTCAACGGATCGATGATTTTCCCACTCAAATTATCGAGGTTATAATTGTTTCCAGTTTTGAAATTGAAGACCGCACAAAAGCTCAGTGGAAAAGGATAATATAGTTATTAACATAAGCGCTATATCGAATAATCAGACTCTAAGAGACAGAGCGCACCACTCACTAGGTGGAGACTCCCTGTTAGTAATGCTTGCATGCCGTTGTTTTGATCACCGATTCCTCTAGCCCGATCTAAAGCACCTTCAATTGTTCTTCCGCGTAATACTGTAGCCGTAGGATCAAGATTCCCCCAAGTCTCGGCATAACGCTCTTGGACCTCTGCAGAGAAGCGCTTTTTCAGATTTCTATCTATAAAGGAAATTAGCTCGCGTAGTATCCTTTGGTATATTAGCAAATACCAATCCTGGTTTGGCCATCTCGCCTTTCATCATATGTGGTTAAAATGATATACTGCATGTGAATGTCATTACGTCGTAGTGATTGTGCGATGCTATGAAGAAGTGCTGTGCCGTCTCGGCTTGAAAATTGACTAAATATAAGAATGCGCGAGGGAGTGACAGTATTACTATAGAAGGGTTAACATGCAGCCCGTATGTTACCGGCTAGACATCATAACGTACTTTTGATACTCTCTGGCCATTTCAGCAAACCACTTCACAGCATATCGTACACTTGACTCATTATGCGCTCCATCAAGAAACCATTGGCAATTCCGCTCGTTAATCTGCTGGTACCGCCCTGGCCAAGAGAATTGCTCGATGCCCTGAATGATATTATCTTCCATGCGACTTTGCCCCTCAGGCGCCTTTACAGACAGCCAAGCATGGACTACTGCGAGAGCCAGAGAGCAGTTTATTCTCTGGACTTTGGGCCTTAGCACTGCGGCGTTGGTCGGAAGTGTAGAGTCGACGCCAACAAATTCCAATACCACTCCTTTCCCTGCCGCTCGCTGTTCGAGGACCGTAGCAACTTCTGGTTCCTGGAGAGTGGAGAAGGCCAGGCTTCCCTTTTTGAAGATTCCTGCCTTATGCCAGGCAATTCTTTGGATTGTTGGGCCGAGCAATTTAACATGATCGAGTGCAATTGTTGTAACGGCTGTCGCAAGCGGCGTCCTAAGAACATTCGTCGCATCATATTCTCCACCAAGATGTGTCTCATATATGGCCACATCCACCTTTTCCTCAATAAAGACATGGAAAGAGAGGAGAGCCATGAGCTGGAGATACCGGGGAATATCCAAGGCTGTGGTAGACTGGTCCGGCAACTTATCCCAGATCTCAAAAAATCGCATCGTGAAATGCTCCTTCGATATTGGCTCACCGTTGATGCGAATCCGCTCACGTATGCTTTTCATATGTGGCGACGTGTAGAGCCCAATCTTTTGCGGGTATCCAGTGTCGTTCCCGTGCGCCTTGAGGAACGACGCCGCGAATGCACAGGTACTACCCTTTCCATCCGTCCCCGCGACGTGTATAGCATTTAAAGCATCCAGATCTTCCACCTGTTATTATCTTCAGCAATGTCTCTAAGCCTTTGAAAAATATAAGCCTGTACTGAGTGACCGAGTAGTTCCAGCCATTCCACCATGTCATCGGAGCCCTTCATATCCTCTACGTTGGGCTTCGGGAGGCCAAATCTGCTATTCAAACACTTTATGGCTTCCTATACTCGGTTAGTATACTAAGAAGATTTCCTGTATTGTTTCTCTAACCTCGTAGCTTCTCTCCATTTTTGTTGCTTTCGCGATGAGGGCACTTCCGTTTGCAACCTGGAAACCGCGATGCATTCCGATATCGCTTGTTCCAGACCTAATCACAGCGTCTGCCATCGACCATACGAACTTCTCCATCAATCCTCTCCTACTTCTGTTATATTCTCTGGGCTGTTCCCAAATTCGACGGGACATACTATTTCGTGGACTACTGCCACAGAAACGATGGGATGCCAACGGAAACGCGCAGGAGATTTAAGCACGTGACTCCGGCTTTAATGAGCAGATCACCTGTCTCTTCTCCAGCCAGAGCCCGCTCGAGCAGACTATCAAGTCTTGCATCCAGCTTAGTTTGGTTGTGCAGGGTGCATCAGAAGATGGTTCAGTTGTGTACTCAATCAGCGGTCAGTCACAGCATCAAATATCTCAATCCTTTGAACGCGAAGAGCTGTACCAACTTGGGTTGATGTTCACAACCCATATCTATCCTAGAGATCAGACCCTAGAATCCACGTAAGCTGGATGATTCAGCTTCCAGGCTACGCTGCTAACGACAACTTAGATTTCAGGATACTGGGAAGCTCTTGCTACCATACCTTGAAAATATATGGGGATCTATCCCGGGAGAGCCTCGTCCCACTATGCCAACTCATATCTATCACAGCTTGGTGGAAGCATGCTTAGCGACATACAAATTATTCGGTCCGTCCCGTACAAAGGACGTGATTTCAGTGCTAGCCAAATTTGAGGATCCTGAGTTACCAGACTACTTGCGGATGGCAATTGTAGATCGGAAGAGTATTTCGTTACGATTTAAGGGCGACCATGATCAATCAGATGTTGTGGTCCAAGATACCTTGAGGAGCATTGTCATCAAGTCGAAAGATATAAGAAACATTGTGCATATGGACGTTTGCTACTTTCCCGAGCGGAAAATTCAATATTGCGGAAAGAATTTGGCAAAGCAGAGTCATATCTGGCAAGTTGGGAGACGAAGAGTTCGGAACCTTCTGGATTGGAGCTCCAAGTAGTTCGATTGAAGAATACTGTACTCGGCAGATTGTTACGATATGCGGGCGATTTCCCAAATGCATGCTACTACCTCGAGAAATGTCTTCAGGCGATTCCTGGCGATGCAAGTCGCTATCATATTATGCACCACCTGGGCGATATCTACTGCGAACGGGGAGTGCCAGAGAAGGTTGAAAAGTTGGTGCTTGTTGAGATTAAGCAGCTGAGAGCTCGAGGCAAGCAACATTCAAAAGCTTTCCGACGTCTGGCTCCGCCCTTGGCGGAGGCCTACATCCGGCAAGAAAGACTAGATGCAGCCAAGGCTGACCTTCGAGAACTTCTTGACATCTTCGAAAGGATGGCCGGTCATGATGTGTCCGATCAATTGAACCACGTTCGTTCAATGATCGGCCTAGCACGCGTCAATTGGTTTCTGGCCCGACGGTCTGAAGCCCGTCAAACCTTAGAACTTGCATTGGGTCTTACCGAAAGATACAGAACCTTTACGAAGGGGAATTATTACATAGGGTTCATCAACCTCTTCCTTTCTGTTGTGAATTTCGAGCTTCACAAGTTTGCGGAGAGCCGATTGACTCTTGCGTCTGCAAATGATATCCTCTGCAAAGAGGTTCCTCGACACTTTATACCAGGACTAGGTTCATATTTCTTACAAGATCTCCAGCGGATTGAGGCTCTTCAGCGGCCTTGGAGCTCGATTGGTGCAACTCAATTCTCAACCCGCTTTCAACAAAGCTCAAATAAATCTGGACCGGAGGAGCCGAGGAGGAATAACAAGGAATCGGGAAAGGTTATGGCTCGAGGGTGACGGGTAGAGTTGGGCATTGCCATCCCAAGACGAAAAAGGTAGACGGGGGCGCTGAAGAGTCTTGTGAAGACAAAGAGAATTTCGAAGATGGTGCCACAGAACAAAATGAAGAGGCCGTCCAAATTGATACCAAACCGGTGCGAGTAGTAGAGACTCCTTCGTGTATAGCTTCGCCCATGCAGAAGAGCACGAGGAGTCTGAAGTTATATGGATCGATCTCAGTCCTACACAACCAGAGTTCGTCCCCTAGACCTTATATTTGAAATTCGTGACGTGGAAGAGGATGTTTGCTTCACCTACTCTTGCGATTCATGATTTACCGGTGCAAAGAAACGAATTTTCTCTTTCGCTCGATGAAGCTATATACCGTCTTAAAGAGAGCTGCTCGGAAGCATGCTTTATAAATAAGCTTATTATAATTACAAACGATAATACCATAATACAGCGGTGTATTTCCCCAAAAAATTTTTTTTTAAATTTAATATATGTTGATGCTGGTTCCATGTATGATAGAATCGTAGGTAGCTGATTTCATGGTCTGGCCGTCGCGTGGTGTGAGCGGCTTATTTCCTTATTGGAGGGAGGCTCTGGTGAGACAACGGCGTTGGTGGGGCTCACTTTGGTCCAACCCCGCTGCTGCGGCTTGTTCTAGATACGCCGATGCATGGCCACGTTGCATTACCTGCCCAAAAGGCCTTCATAATGCATGCAGACCATAATTGCAGACGTCTGCATGTCCCTGTCGCGCAGTGAGGGTTAAGATAGGACACCTCCCCATAACTAGTTCGCACATTCAAGGTCCACAGAGATCTGACTGCGAATTCACCTTATATATAGCACATGTCCTCCAGACGCCTTTAAAGAAATAAATTCGTCAAACCACTAGCTCGAAACATTAAGCTCAGCTATATTGTCCTAGACAACAGGGATTTGGGTATTTGTTCCTTCCCAAGTTTTCAAACAAGGCCCACTCTATGTAGATACCCCGCCGACCATAATTACAACATCTGCCCATAGTTTGAGGCTAATAAATATCGCCAAATCCTCGAAATGGCCGATAATCGCTCGGGACAAGAAGCGAAAGAAGCTGAGGATCGTGCAGCGAAGCAGGCGCTCACATTAGCCCTCACTGATCAGGAAACTGTGAAACGGATGTCATCTTCAGGAGAGAGGGCCCAGCGGGATAGGCCTAATGCAATGCAACGACATCGGGAGGAAGAGGCTGAAGCTGCACGTCAGGCTGAAGCGGCACGTCAGGCAGGAGGATCAGGAAGTGGAGGGTCTTGATTACAATAGTTATGCGCTACTATCATATTCATCCGTCAGAAGCCAATCGCTAGTGATCGTGGTAGATCTAGCTGAAATAGCAAGCAGTTATGCAGGATTGCTGACCACAAAAAAATCTGCTCATTGAAGTCCGAATCTTTAGAGATACACTGCCGATAACATGCTCCTGAATCGACAACTGATGCGAGAGGTATCTGCTTTATCAAACTATTGACTATCCATCAGAACTTTCCTTTACAGACTCGTTGCTAACAGCCCCAAATGCTTTTCGTAATTGATCAGTGTACACTTCAATATCCTTGATTTTCGAAGCTATCACTGCGTCTGCATCGGTTGCCCAATATGGCGCTACGATTCGATCGAACATCGACTCATTATGCGATGATGTAAATCTTGGTTGAATATGTTGCAGGAACAGGTTATATATGCCCTTAGGGCTCTCAAGAGCGTGGAAGTACCAAAAGTTTCCAATATTCCAACCGGTCCTCATGATATTTGTGCGGTACAAGGCACCATGCTTTGTGGGAGGCAGCAATCTCTCTTCCTTCTCGAAGGCATCTACAAACTCTTCGTGCAGACGAGCGAAGGCTTCGAGGTATTCGCCTTTTTGTAGTTCGTCAACCGCTCGACCAGTCAGCCAACATGGAGGATGTTGCATCTCAATAGGCAAGGAGCATGCCCACTCTAAGTCAATTAGACACTTAATGTGCCAATCGGCGTCAACTAAAATATTGTTTTGGTTAAGGTCTGTGAGGCTGAAAACAAATGGTCCATGGCGAAGGTCGCGGCTAACAAAATTGGGAAGAAGGGCTCGCATCATTGCTAAGGTCGCCATCTGTGCTCTACCATCAAACTCGTCCCTGATGGAATTAGGTTGATATCGTATGCGACTATCGTGACATGCCAAGAGATCAAGCAAGTACGTGCCTGTGTTAGAGTATGTGAGGTTCCTGTCGATGTTGGTTGGAATGCCTTCATTCTCCATAATTTGGAGCTGACACGTCAAAGGGCGATTTGTTAGACTCAAAACACCTCGATTGTCGATTGTTAAGGAGCCTATACGTGGCATCGGTGATTGGCCTAATGCAAGGACAATCCGAGATATGTCCCTGAAAAGAGTTGTTCTTCGATTCAGGTCGTGATGAAGCTCTTCCCAAGACTCGGAGAGCATCCTCCCATCCGTATCTTCGATGTAGTCCATGATGAGATATCCAATCCCTAGTGAACTAGGACACCTGCGACTTATATACCGACATGGGACAGGGTATCCGAGCACTGATAATATGGTCCTTCGCAAATTCCACTTCAATCGAATGAGAAAGGGTATATTTTCGTCTTTGGTGAACTACATGTTTCCAATAAACGAATTAGCATATGCTCTAGAGTTTTGAAGTGGAACACCAATACATACACTTTGACCATCAGAGAACCCAAACCCCCATAAGTAAGGTATTGGAATAGTGGGACAGTTGTTTTGGATCCAGATAAAGGAAGCAGCTTCACAACGTAACTTTTCATCTGCGTTGCCGGGGTATCTTGACTCCCCAACCTTGTAGGGAAGCGGAAACCTAATAATCACCCGTTTATTAGGGAATGTGGCCCAATTGTTGATATTAACGGGTATGCAAACGTTGAAGCTGCCTGCTTTCCAGTCTTTGAATTCTCCAAGGTGACATGTCTCCGTCTTGCGTAGGCGTAGATGGTGCGACACTATAGCTTCGATGTCACTGCGACGCTTGAAGAGGGAGAGATAGAATTCGAACCGTAGGTCAGGGTATGCTATCCTTTGCAGCATGTTATCGTCGTTAGCAAGGGCCGACTCCAATGTGACATTTCCGTGAAGAAGTGGAAGGGTTTTCAGCATTGTTGAGGTGTTGACTGGCAATGCCATCATCAGACGAATTGATGACGCTTGTATAGGCTGACCACCGGTGCAGTTCAAATCCAACAAGGGAGCACCAGTGCTTATACGAGATGGGAGTGCAATTCCACGAGATTCAGGTGCCTTATCGAGTTTCGCTGTGCGAGGCTCGGACACTACATGAGTCAGCATGCCGCAGCGCTAGTACTATTACAGTAAGCTCTCACGGAGAAGCAAAGGCAAGGCTCCGCTAACCACATAGATGAAGCAGTAGTCACTGAAATCGAAAATCCTTGGGGTGGTAGAGTGACCGACGTGAAATTTTGCTGTGGTACAAATGTCTGCGGACTGTGCTGGTTGGCATGATAGTTTTGAGAGCTTGAGGCAGATGAAAATAAGCCATAGGGGCCAGCTGTCTGCAGAGAACGCCTCGAAAAATTGGCAGGTGTTGCATCAGATATTCCAGAGGGTGAGTGGCACTGTGGTCTACTTTGTGGAGTGCCTTTGGACGAATCATGCCCCCTGGTGATATGACGGCTATTGGAGCATTCTATGAAGTTGTCGGACTGAGGAAGATTATCCCCGTCACTTGAGGAAGCTGTGCCGGAATATTTTCTAGAGGGATTGGTCGCGGGCGAATACAAACAGGGCTTCATCACTTGGGAAGACTGATACTGTTGATCAGCCTCTGATTTAACCTCTGGAGAAGCTTCCGCTGTTGGCGAAGCATGAGCATGACCCAGCATGGAATATTTGCTGCGAAGCTGTGATCCTTTCGCAGTATGCCGGTCTCCATGCCTATTACACAAGTCTCGCCTGACGAATGTTCGAGCGCAGTCAGGGAAACCACAAGAATAAATTTGCTTTGGGGTGTGATTCAGTTGATGGCGATTGCTACAAGTAGAGTGTGATTAGTAATAAGTAAGGCATAAGGATGCTCAAGCGAGAGCTACAGATGCTCAGCCCTTGTGTAGATTATTTGGCACCTTTCTTAGGGACATTTGAATTTCTTTTCGAATTCTTGGGTCGCTTTCTGAATTTTTTGTTCGAATTTTTAGGTCGCGTCTACGAGAGACTATTAACTCTAAAAAAGCTGTTGGCAACATCGTTCGGAGATCTCTCTTTATTACTATCTTTGTTTTTGCTTTCTATTAGAGTATTTAGTAGGGCGGGGTTGTGCCTTCGAGATATTCTAAGTGCATTAATCTAGCTAAACTACGTTGTTTTATTATTTCTTTTATCGTTCTTTTTTAAAATTAGCTTGCGTTGTGTTTAAAAAGAGTGATAGATTGCTAGAATCGAAGCCGTTGAAATGAGGTTGTGATTCAGAATACAATAATTGACGAATATCGGCATGTGTAACTACAGAAGTATTAAAGCAATTCCAAGTAGTCTTTAGTGTTGAGGTAGTGCATGTTGAGGTTGTTCCCGCTTCGACGCGCGGGATCCAGTGAAAGAGATATTAGATCTCTTAAGCAAGAATGTGAATATTAAAACTAGCAAAGTGCATCGTTCTTGGAAAACAAATCCAGAGCAAATATCCGATATCGATCTACGGTTCTACTTACCGAACCGCGGGGCCGTAAAGCGATTCTCACAGCTTCCTGCAGGGATCGATCCGGTTGCCTTTGTCTCATTTTCAGCCACGAAAAGCCAGAGAGCCGGGGTTGGACGTAGCACGGCCGCGCTACTTTAATCGGCGAGCGTTTTCCATATCAGTAACCCCCAAAAGCTCGCAGGCCGCAACCTCAGAACCTCGCAGGACACAGCTTATGGACAACTACCTTTCGTGTGAGACACGCCCAAACGGCATTCCAGCATTTCATACTAACGTATTAGTTCATTTATTATTTGCTCATCACACTAACGCGCTTAGGATGGCAAAATACTTGTTCACAAAGGAGAGTTGTTTTGCCGAATAACCTTACGCGGAGGTGGACTCTGCATCCATCACGTGAGTGTCCGGGACCTCTTTCGGGATTGTCTAACTCTCTGCAGAGTCGCTTCCGATACACCTACCGGGTCACAGAACACATTGAAAGGATGCATCGCAAGAAGTGTCAAATACTAAAGGTAAGCTTGTCTGACAATCCTTTTTTCATTAACTAAATTTTCTTCCTCAGGGCAAGCATTTAGCGAAGGAGCATTTCGAATGGTGCTGGCTTCAACACGTCCAAGCCTCTAAGAGAGATGCAGATGAATTGCAATTAATTCTAGCCAACAATGAAAGAGCACGTGAGCAGATGCAGAAAGTTCCTAATGCGTCCCAAATTTACTAATATTCCTTATGCAGGATTTATTCGGCCCCCTGAACTCGTAGATCCCGACGAGCGGATATTAGACTACTGTAGGTAAATCCTCAGCTCTCCTCTCTTGAAATCTCTAATCGAAGCAGTTGGCAGGCACTTCGCATACAACCGCACTGCAATAAGGGACAATGCGTGGGAGGCCATCGTGAAGATAGCGCCGGAGAGAACCCTTTTAATGCTAGTTCTTACGGAGCTTTTCTCTGCATATATTCGTTGTGAATATCGAGAGAAGGAATTGATGCGGGTCAATTACCAATCTAGAGCTAGTGTTTTAACAACTCTTCATCAATGGCAGTCAAAGGTCGACCTTACAGGAATCGATGCTGAGTCCCTGGGTATAGTCTTGTTAGGCGGGATGATGGTGGTGCTGCAGCAGATGGTAAGAAGAACAAAACCCATAGACGACGAATGCTAATCAGATACAGATCGGTCCAGACGATGATCAACAGGCGTGGGCTCACGAGATCCTGTGGATTCCATTTCTTATACAGAAGACTCTCCACGCAGTAACATCAGTGCCCAAAATCTTGCCACTTACGTTCGAGTTGCGAGCTAAATTGAATCCGCATATCACGATGGCAAATATGTTGGCTCCTCTTCATGCGCAGCTTCCGGACTCTGGCTATCTCGCTGAGGCCGAATGGCAGAATTCTCAGTTAATGTGCACAATTGACCCACTTGTCGGTGCATCGCACGCAATAATGTGGGCAATTAGGGAGACGAATTTGATATGCAAAGGGTCGTCCCAGATCTCACCGGAAAAGTTGTTGTTATATATCAAGAGCATCGAGCAACGGTATCCAGAGGGCGGAGAGCCACGAGACAATGATCACATTATTTACAAGCAGATCCTATTCGATGGCGAACGTGGATACCAGATTCTAGCGAAATCCAGCTGTGTTGTTGACTATTAAAGTGAGTCTAGCTAACTTATCTTTAGGAAATCCTAACTAGAGATTTAGGGAGACACCGGAAGAAATTGCACAACTAGTCGACGAGATCCTAAACATCCTTGAAAGAACCTTGGTTAGGTTCAATGCGACATGGCCTTTATGCGTATATGTTCTTGTTGCCCTCGTCTGCGTACTCGACTATCAGAAAAAAAATTTAAGAAGATTATGGACCGCCTTCAGTTTATGGCTCCCAGGACGGTAAGTCAGCACACCACTGCTGCTATGCGCTAGTTAACGTTAATATAGAACATCTCTCGGGCGGAAACAATTTGTGACTTTATTCTCCGCTTGAACATACAAATTGATTTCTGGGAACTGGTTGCTAGTCTGGTCCATGAAAAGTATGGCTATATTTCCTTAACGTGATATGCATTCCTTACTAAGTCTCTTCTTGTCTTATATCCCTCAATTCTGCTTTTGCATGCTGCTCCATCTCCTCAAATGTCGCGCATGTAGTGAGGGCAGGTTGTGTGTGTATATTAGTATCCCGCTCTTGTAATGAAAAATCAGGCTCAGGCTTGCCAAATATCGCGTTCACTGTCAGTTCGCCAATTAAAGGCGCAAGTTTAGCACTGGTCAGACCACCATTCATGACTAGGCATACACGAGGCATCTCCGGATGCATAGCAATAACAGGCATCCCCGCTTTGCTCATACTGTCGCTAATCGCAGAATTAGCTATGAATAGTGGCAAGGCACTGCCAGGAACTCACATTTGTGCGTCTCCTCTCAAATCCACAATACCGAGGTCGGGTAGGATCTCTCGTAGCCATTTCCTAATGTGGTATACTGCGACCTGCATAATAGCGGTTCCTTCTAGCATTTTCGGATTTGATAGGAGTCCACTACCCTTCTCTAGGAACCTATGATTGACCCATGTAACCTTAATTTTGTTTGCAACTAGCGGAGTGATCTCAACTATTGAGGGTCAGCTTAAACAAATATTCAAATACGCAAGCGCCTTACATAGACCAACAGGAGAAATGATGGGATTGTCCTTCATCTTTGTGAGTGCCTCCTGAGTCAGTTCGATCTCAAACGACATGATCACGACAGTTTCCGGCTGGTGGGATTCTGGCAACTTTGGTACGCCCCACAAGTCCAGATTCGCCGATGTCCAGCCCCCTGTAGCTACAACAGTAATGTCTTCCGAGGTCACCTCATATACGTTCGCATTTGTCACAATTTGCATAACCTTGTCGTCGTCGATCTCTAAATCTACCACTTGCTCTTGGATAAACTCAACGTTTCGTGTAGCTGATTCCCGTCTTGAATCCACGTACTGCTGCCAATCCAGGACGCAATCCTCAGGGCTATGAATATACGTAGCACCCTCTCCAAAAAGTTTGCCCAAGGCTCGGCTACCGAAAGCTTCCTCAACCTCCTTAGCCGTGACTCTTTTGCATGGTTCCTTGCCTTGTTCCTTTCGAGTGTTGTCGATACCCTGTAATATGTTGATGCGATCGGATGTATAGATGAGAAAACGAGTACATTTTCTCATAAATATCTTGTACTCTGTCGTCTCCCACCGTTCCATAGCTCGAGCAGCCCATTTAGCAAATATGGGGTTGGCGTAGCCGTCACGTAAGATCCTGGAAGAGCCAGAGCTTCCAGCGCTGCTAGAAGGGAAATCGAAGAGAATAACCTTCTCAAACATTCCTGTTGTTGCGACTGCTAAGGCTGACTCCAATCCAAAAATCCCACCGCCAATGACTCTACAAGTTTTCGGAGGGGACATCGTGGTATTGCGGATGTTAAACAAGGAGTCGGGTCGGAGATGTGAGTCGGGTCGTAAAATAGAGCGGTGACTTGCTCGTTGGATAATGGGGTCCACGGCCTCGTTGATGGCCAAGCTGTCGTAAACGTTACACTCTGCGACTAAAGTAAATGCTATTGTCGATTATTCCCAACGCAGAAGGGAAAGCGCATTCATAGTATGTTGAATCATTTCAAAAAGCCGGTTGTTTGGCAATGCCGACCTGTCCTCCGTTATCGGAGTGTTAGTGAAAAACATTGCCACATGACGCGATGCAACTCTCAAACAAAGTCGCTGCCATTGGAGGCAAATGCAATGATAGCGTGCGGGGAGATCGTGGTATTTATCATGAGGGTATTACTAAGTTGTGCAATAGCAATCCACGAAGAATTGAAATAGTTGGAAGAGAGGATGACTCGTAGAGCCAAAAGGATTACCAAAAGAATGGGGATTTTACAAGTGTCTTACCTTTCGAAGACACTCAAAGATAATCCTTTGGGAAGATAGTTCGGCATATTTATGAAAGAAATCTCGAGGCTCCTTGCACGCCAAAAGCACGACGCGCGTCCTAGACACCCATGCCCCGTTCTACGCTGACATGGAAACTTGGAGAAGCAGAAACCTTATTGAGGTTTCAACTAGTCTCTGGCCGAGCTATGGAAAAGAGCCATAGATATGTTGGCTTTGAACGAAGAGCAAGCTACCCTTCGTTGACCTTCTTGGCCCGATTGTTGCAATGATACTTGGGGAATTGCCATGATCCATTTTAGAGGTGCGAGCTATATGCTGCTACTCCACAGTATTTACATCATGGATCATATGGAAGCATCATAAAGATGCGTAAATTAGGATGGGTGTATAACATCAAGACTAGTTTAGTACTGAGTCATGACGCAGCCTTCCACCCTGATCTGCTGGCTTATGGTAAGCTGTGCACTAGCTTACCACTGGCATCTGATGGTGAATTACAACACCGATAGAAGAAAGCTAAGTGAGGACCTGAAAAAAAGAAAGAGGAGTCACCAACAAGTGACCAAGTTTACTCACACCATGTGGTTGTCTCAGACAAGATTTATCCCAGTCCGTGGGAGTTCTGAGAAAAGAAGCAGGAGGGGTGGATTTCTCGGAAATAATAAATATGACCTATTACAGAAATATAGTACGGGACTAATGACTTTCCAACGCACGGTGGTTGACCGCTGGCGCTTCTCTAGCCTTGCGCCTGTGACGCCGATGCTTCGACCTGTCCTACATTCAGAGACTGAAAAGGGGTTCCCATTGCATCGCGAGAACTTCGGAATCCTGATGACTCAGGTGAGCTTTTGTGAACCGAACTATGACGGAGTCCGGATGCATGTACCATAGAGTATGGCTGGGATGACAAAGGAGAGTGGTCGGCGTATGCTTGTATCGAGGGTGGTAATATCGAAGATGTCAATGATAGAGCCGCCATTGGCATCATGTCTGAACTCACTGTCGCTGATGGGCTTCCCGTAGCTGACATTGAAGCGGCCGAGATCGAAGGGGAAAGAGAGTATTGTCGCCCGTCACTGCCGAGAGGTCGGACAGCCATCTGTATTGACAGCATGCCGTGACTTGAGGGTTGCCGATAGATCTGGGCTCGCAGCGCTTCGTTTTCTCTTCGAAGTTCGTCGTTCTGACAGCGAAGACACTCGATCTCTTCTGACTGCTCAAAGCTCTGTTCTTTCTGTGCCTGCTCGAGGCTTCTAAGATGCTCTTTTCTTGTCCGACCTAGACATCCTATTAGTGATGTTCGCTCGATGGGGCATCTTTGGGAACCATACGGAATTCTCGTTGAGCAACTCGATTGTAGGAGAGAGTCAGCCAACGTGTTGCTGTTGCGGTTTTAATAGGGTGGACCTGCCTCTCGCTTGCGCTCTTCTTTGTCTGCCGCTGAGTCCATGTTGATCTAGAACAAGTATTGTCTCGAAGATCGTGTTGTGGTCGTGGTTTATCTTGAGGTTTCAAGGACATCCAAGGATTGGATCCTTCGAGCAAGGTAATCGTGAGATCATATATCCTGCCTTGTCCTGCCTGCGTCTGAACATGGTAAACGTCGTCGAATAGACCCGCCAGCAATCCAGGAAGGAAATGGGAATGGCCTGGAGACACACTTACCAAAGCCGACAGACCCGCAATGTGGCACACAGCATCCGCCAGCACTCCTCCAGGCAGCAAATCGGGATGGTCTAAGCTGTATGACCTCTGCTCTCGAATGTTTTTCATTAGACTAATGCTGGCCAGCCCATATATTGTCTCATTTTACCATTGCAAGCTTCTGCCAGTCTTTGCAGAACGTCATAGGCAGGAGGAAATGCTTTGTGGAACCGATTGCCCCAGAATCAGAATCACCAGTTCGAATTGACATAGAAAATAGTGACACAACGCCAGGGACAAGAGTCGTTATGGAGTTAGAAGGGGAAATACTCGAGGATCTGGCGAAGCATGACAGAGAAATATGGCTAGGGGAGCTCTGCAAGTTGATTCTAGAGCATGTGGATGATCAGGAATTCTTGCTGCATGTTAAGGCTCCTCCAAGAACAGGACTGGCATTGGCTAGAATGCCGCCAGGAATAAAAGGAATGTTGGTTTTCTCATTGCTTGGGCTCCGTCTCATATTGAAGGGGCTGAACCAGCAGAGCCAGAAGACACTACATTGTCCTTGTGAATATGCAACACAATAACATCTATAGTGTCCTTCCTATCTGAATATCATTTCTTCTTCTTTCTTCCAATATATACAATCGTCACACCGCCCTCTCCTATACAATCCCAACCACCGCTGATATCTGCTATTCCCTTATCGTAGCCGTTGCCTCCTACCCAAAGAATGCCTTTTCCGGGTTCGACTGAAATTTTATAAGTATTGGATGGCGGATTAAAGGTAGTCATGCCCATCTCAGCAGTTGTGTCGGATCTGATGATTTCGTACTCGTATCCGTCGTCTCCGTGCTTAAGCAGAAGTCAGCAATCAAATTCCAAGATTCTAAAGTGTAGCAAATGTACTTCAGCGATAAAGTTGTTGGCCCCGTCCATTTCTTAGATACAACGCGCCGCTGTTCTACGCCCGTAGCCTTAGCTTAAATACACCTCCAAACCGCCAGGTAGCAAACCCACCCAAAAGAAACGCTCCTGTCTCTTGCGCCAGTCCTCAAGATCGGGCTGGCGGGGACATTCGTGATCGTTGTCTTTCCTTATTCCTGAGTATAGGAAAAGATGGTGACGATGGTGCCCAACGATAAAGATTAACCGGGTGCCCAATCACACCAACTCCAGAGAGATGACTTGTCGCCGGCGAGCTGGAGGTCTTCGTAGACTGTCACGGTGCTGCGTGAGATTTGATAAATAATACGGTTGGATTCGGCGGCCCGTCCTTTGATCTCTTGAGAGTAAAGAAAGAGAGACTACATGATGATGTTGTCGAAACGTCGCGCATGTATCGAAAAAGTAGTTCCAGTTTGCCGAGGATGCTTTGTATCCAGCGTAATATACATCGTCACCGGGGTATCAGTTGTGAAAACAGGGGTCAGTTCTTTTGAGTAAACTTTACCAAAGGAAGTAACGATTCACCGATTTATCAGATCTTATTGGAGAATTCCCCCCTGCCATCGAAGAAGTCTCTCGAAGGCTTGGCACAACTATTACGCCGGAGACCAAAGTAATTACAGCGCACGTACAGCACATGCGCAGCGTAACCCTTCTATAGTTTAGGCTATGTATCCTAACTTTATAACACACTCCTTCTATAATAGCGATCGTACGTCCCGCAGCTAGGGATTGGGCCCACTTATTAAAATGACACAAAGTAAATGCCTAGAGAATTTAAGCGGAACAGGAAAAAGCCAGAATGATCCGATGCTTGATTATATCAAACTAAAGTTAGTCTATCATGAGCTAACCATTCTGGGATCTATGAATCGAAAAGAGCTCTTTTGAGATTCGTAATAGTGCAGTCTTGGGCGAGGCTGTTCTTTACAATGAGTTATTGTGATTAAACTTGCCGGGTTTGAAGTGACTGATGTGCGAGGATTGCGTTGGAAATAATACAGCTTCAGGGCAAGTGAGCCGGACCTTAATAAGTAAACACGGTGAAAGATCTCATAAGTCTATAGGCCATGGCGTTCACTCTGCTGATCGGGCTGTTATCGCTGGCGTTGGAGAAGGGCATGCGCTGTAGGGGTCTGGTGGATTGATTGGTTAACCTACTGCGGCATGAGACACTCACCTCGCCATCTCACCTCGCCATCTCGCCGTCCAACCAAAGCCAATCACTAATGGCTTCAGACACACGAGCATGGCTTAGAAAACCTCGACCATGGAAGACCGATTTTACAGGTGACAAGAACCGTCCAGCAAAAAGGAATATTGATGCATGGTCTCAATCTTTTTTGCTGGGCACCGGCAAGAACGAGAAGTTTACAAAAAGAATTAAGGAGCTCGATTTTTCAACCGTCTACAAAGATGGCCCATACATCACTCAACGTCAATTAAGTTCTCTATCAGACGAGGAGTGGGCGGAAGAGAAACAAAAGCTTTTGGATAAAGATAAAGGACGACCACCTCAGGCGTTCAGAAGCAACGTTAGGGATGCCCTCCCTGAGGCTCTGCGCAATGTTTTCAAGACGGCGTTTTTTTACGGAGTTCGGGGCCATAGATGAGGAGCAGGAGGTGAGCGGGGCAGAGGAGACAAGAGCAGACGACTACACGAGCGAGGCAGAGACGGAATTAGCAAAGCTCGACACGCGGTTTAAGGCAGCATTTCACGAACTAGTGATAGAAACGACACATGACCATGTCAAAGACCAACTCGAGAAATTTGCGGTGCTTTTTACAGGCTATCGTGACGAGCATCGAAACGCCATCCCCCAGCTCGAGGCTAAGTACAAACGAAAAGTAGAGCAGGCAGCTGCGAAGCAGGCGAAGAAAATCAGGGGGGGTTCTACTACTACATCAGAAGTTCAATGAATTGGTTGAGAACAATGCGCAGCTTGATGGAGGACTTAATGAGGGGCTCAAACGCAGCGGGGCATCTTTGGCGGAGCTGAACAGGAAGGTTGAAGAATTATACCCAGAACCTCCCATCCTTGTCCAAGTGCACCCAAATCTGCAGGTTCGTAGGATGCACCTCCCCCGCGCCCCGGTTTACCAGATGCTAATATTTCACCTGCGCTAGAAGCAGTCCACCCGACCGATCTCTCGAAAACAAGTCCTACGAATCCCTCGCAAAATCCGAATAAGCGCAATGTCGATTGCTCGGAGGATCTTCCAACAACAATACACCAGGGAGGAGGAGGATTTGGTGATATACACCGAGACGGGGGACGCGAGACACAATTGACCCAACAGACAAGTAAGTCTTGGAGCGAGATTCTCTCGGAGTGTGTGCTGCATAACCTTTGTATTTAGTCATCCATGAAAACCCACCAAGTCAGATAAAGTATCTCCATATCAGCTCGTGTTCAGCCCCTATTCATGTCCGGGCGCTTTCGTCTTGCTGGAAAGATACTGTCTTGTTCCTTCGTCCAATACTGCGCTAGGTCCTGCTGAATTTCCGCTTTTGAGACCGAGGCCGTTCTTCAGCAACGCCTGCTAGGGCCCACTTACGATGTGAGTGGAGGTTACTACAAGTATTCAGTGGCTTCAAGAGGCAACCTAGGCAAGTAACCTGTACGTGGAATGAAATGTAGAATAAAGGACTCAAGTAGCGATGCCTGTAGCAGTGCAGTTGGAGACGGGACTCGGCGGATAATATGTGAGGGGAAAAGGTGATGAATTCTGCACCCAGAGGACTACCAAGCCTACGCTATGCTTGACCATTCTTGATTGCATACTCATATACCTACCGCTATCTAATGTCTTAGATATCACGAACAGGATCGAATGGTGGCACGCTCGTTTCTTCAGCATCGTTGGCTTCCGCGATACTACCTATTGGCTGATAGCCTTGTCCATGTTATTCACGCGGTAAATAAATGTAGATTCTCAGCCTTACTTGATTCGGATACTTTTCTGGCCCGCAAATATTGACTGACATGCCATTCTGCTAGCCCACTCTGGTCAACCCAGTCACCGCCCCACCACTCCTGAGATGCCTTCACCCAGTCTTTGAAAGATACTCCGAGTGCATCGCGTTCGGTTTCTTTAGGTTTCGCCGAAATATTGATCTTATTGAAGAATGTGCGTCGCTCGTCCTTGAGATCTCTATTAGGCAAGTCAAATTAACATCGAGAGGCTGGTCTCACGAGGAATTCCCGCCACCATCTGCCTTCCTTCCATCGTTCCATGCCTGTGACACGGACCATTTCAGACTGCACAACACTAGACCTTTCCGAGCGCTTCATGGTTATCATCACGAAGTGACTGTGTTGAGGTCTCAGCTCGTGTTCGATTCCAGGATTTTCGGTGGTGGGGCTGAGGTGCATGTGACACCACCAGTTGCGATTGGCCTGCTGATTGGCGAGCAATTTCTGAGGGGCCTCATCCATGTCTGAGAAACAACGCAAGCGATGTACCCGATGCACCCGATGCACCCGATGCACCCGATGCACACGATGCACACGATGCACATGATGCTGTTGCACAAGTAAATAATCCCTAACCTGACCGGGCAGTAACTTCAACCGGGGTTCGTGACAAGCTGAACACCAACTACGGCTGTGCGCTTAAGGCCACGAGGCACGAAGCTCCAAAAGCTGTACCCGTAGCGACCGAAGCTCAACTAACTATTCGTCAGTGGTCCACTTTTCACGATTCTGGTAACTCCAGCCTAAAAGAAATACGATTTTAAACGATCAAAGAACTTGGACAGCACCACACTTGCAGAAGCAGCTCAAATGCACTGTCTGTATGGAAACTTGCCTGCTAGGTGGTTTTCGTGTGTGGCGGAAGCTAGCTCGAACGGTGCACATATGCGTGTTCATCTTGAACCCGCACACCGCATTAATAATAGGTAACGCCCGGCTCTTTGCTTCACTATTGCAAGCTTTTGCACCTATCCTCGAAGTGCCACGCCCATCTTGTTGAATCCTCCTACCGCTTTGCTTGCAGATGCGACGCCGAGCTCTTTCTCTCTACTACTCACTTGGTCGCTTTGTTTTTTGTTTAACTGCCTGCAGCTGGCAAATTCGCTGGTCACGAACCAGTTTGTATAATCAAGCGGAGTCGGCTGTGCGCTGTCGCAATTGGAAGCAAAGTGCTTGCAGTTGGAGACTATGTTCTAAAGTCAAAGCAAAGCGGTGTAAATCGAAAGGGTTGCAAAGAGGCCAAGGAGGCCGCATACGCCTTTTTTATTGCTCTTAGTCTAGGGTAAAACTTTTTATATCTTTGCGACTATTAATTTTTCATGCAAGTCTACTAATATCCGCTTTGCTTTAGCTTCTTTATACGCTCCATCTAGCTGGTACGTTCTTCCCGTGTCATTTTCCATGCAGGTCATGAAATGCGCTTTTTTTGAGCTGAGTCTTTGACGGTCGATGCGAGCTCTCATGAGGCTTGCTAGCTGCAGCAGTGCACTTGTTTGGAGCTTAGTCTCGAAATGCAAGCTAACGAGTATTTCGCAATTAAGCAAAGAGCGATAGGCTTGTAGTAGATGGCTAAGGAGTTGGGCGTTCGTATTTGCAAAGCAATAAACAAGATGGGCGTGGTACCCGAGACTAAGTGCAAAGTGTGAGTTGGTAAGTTAGGCTTGCATTCGCGTTTAAGATAAAAATGCATATTCGTACAACTTGAAGAATAGTGAAAGGTTTCACATGATTTTATTACACGACTTCTCAGACTTTGCCTTGTTTTTTGCTTTCCTTCTGCAAGCCCAAAATGGCAAACACGGGAGGTGACCCGCGACACGCTACACGGAAGCCCCGGAACTTTGCAATAGCACGCATTTTTTGCTGAAATGGAATGCTCCAGTCTTGACTACATCAGTAAGACCGAAGAATCCTCCACGACGCCGACAGTGGACGTGGACGTGGCCGCTCGTTCTCCTTCTCGTTCCCCTTCTCCTGATTCTCGAGCTCGTGGACAACGAAGGACAAGTTACTCGTTACTCTTCCGATCAATCCCTCAATTTCATGATTCGACCCTCCAAAACAAAGTAAACATGTCTCGCCAACGCGACTCACGACCTTCCTCACAGCCAGCCATCAATCCCCGGGAATTAGAAGAAGGAATCCCAGGACGAGTTCTTCAGAATTGGAAAGCCAAGGTCTCCGAATTTCTATCTCCCGTATCTCCAAAACTTGAGCAGATCACGCGCCTGACTTCAAAAACGATCCGCCTTACGCTTCTTACGGGACACCTGCGATGCCTGGAACAAAGTGTATAAAGGGCAATTCTATTTTCATATTCCATGATCCGAATATGGGTCCCTCAATTGCCGTCGATCCACCAGATCACTGGCCGCAAATGGGTCTTCTAGGAGACACGGTGGACCTTTCCGCCCTAGTGGCATATATGAAGGAGGAAGCACGACTCGGGGAAGAGACCAAAGACAAGGAGAGGTTGTTAGAGGCGTTCAAGATACTTGCAGAGCTCAAAGCCGACTCAGTAGAATGGATTGAAGAAAGCCACAAGCGGTTCCCTGGTGATGATGCGGTGGAATCGATGTGTCGGTGCATGGAAGAGCTGTATCCTGAGTCAGGCGGATCACGCCAGGGTATTTTGGAATAATGGGTGCTCTGATCCAAGCATTGATGTATCCATGGCAGAAGCAATCAAGATGGGAAGTTCTAAAAGAGGCCGTGGACCATGGCTCGGTGAAGCGGGAATGGCGCAAATTTAAACCTGGAGGAAAAACTCGATCTCATTATGAATGTTTCTTGATACCACTTGATCCTTGTCTTGTAAGAATTGTGGTACGCAGGTAACAGATCGATGGTATACAGCAGGCACAGCAGGCACACACTGCAACCACTGTTACTCGTACCAGAAGCGCAACGGTGTTCTGCGACCCGGAGAAGCAGGTGTTCTGAACCGCCGCAGACGGGGTAAGAAGGCAAGTTCTCCTACCCTTCGCCATGAGCATTAGAGCTTACCAAGTCTTTTGATTAGCTGCCGTCACTTGACGCAGCTCCCAATGCTCTCCCTGCGGAAAGGGTGCCTTCTCCATATTTGGACGTACTGTGAAAGCATGGCTCCGGTGACATCATACTGGGAAGATCGGTGACATTATTGAAGTCAAGATTCTTATCTTTATTCGGAAAGGAGCTGGTGCGGAGGATCAATGGCCGGTGGAGATGGATACAGAGCAATCACGTCCAGCACGACATTCCTTATTTCGAGCTTTATTTTCAAGAATGTGGTTGGAAGGAATTCTTTGAAGAAGGATCTCAATTCAATACTGCCATGTTCCACATTGTCCTACTGAACACTCTTCTGGTTCCGACTTCTTATCCTTCAAATGAATCAATCTCCCATCTCCATACCAGGTGCTACTTGCTCTCCCTTGGGTTCGACATTCCCACGCGCTGAGGCCGGCAGTCCGATCATCGGCGAATCCATATCCGAATCACAGCCGAGCCGCGAATCGTTGGTATTTACCTTGAACCATTTTTTGAGCAGTGGGACGCGAAGGAGGAAGGAACTCCCGGAAAGAACAAGTGCCTGTGGATGTAAGCACTCCCCTGAACGGTTGTCCAATATCTCAGGATAGAGTCACTTACTGCAAGGAAAATATGCGAGGTGTTCGAATATTCCCATATATACTTGAACATGCCACCCGTAGCTGCCAACTGAACAAGATAAAAAAGCTATCTGTATCCGGATCAATGTATTACTCGACGCTCCCCAGAGGATAATCGAGTGTCCCACAAGAGACATGACATGTAGCGCGAGGGAGAGGATTGTTGCGCTTCGAATCAAGATTGCCATTGTTCGGTATGATACCACAACTCTGTCTTAATATCAGTTAGTGCTACTTGAAAACTCGGCTTGCAATAGGCTCACCTAGTGGTAATACAACCAAGGACGAACAAGAATAGATTGAACACGCAGAATAATAGAATGACTGCCAAACCAAATTTGTGCTCGCGCACTTTTGCTCTCCAGTTGATCAACAGTGTTAATGAGCTTGACAGCTTGGTAACAATTAGCCAGTAGTGCTTTTATGTAGGAAGTTCGGGAATGCTTCTTCTATTGCTGAAAGAAGGAAAGCTGTTAGAAGCCAGAGAACGTAGGTTTGTTTCGTATCCATAAAAACAATGACTTCCAGACTTATAGAGCATCCCAAAAACAAAGCGGCATAAATGTGATGCTTTGGCGGATTTGTTTTATGCGTCGAATTCGCTGAATTCGCTGGAATCCATTGGCAGATGATTCTAACCAATCCGATGAATAAAATAAATGTTGCAAGCAATACATCAATCTGGGGCTGCATAGTGAATAGTGTGTGGAAGAGCCAAAAGTCGCGCTGCATGTAGACTTATATTACTGACGGCTGTCGGGATTCGAGATGGTAGAAGCGGGACTTGAATAACCCTAGTTGTGAGCTTCTTCTCCCGAAAAAGAAACAAGCCCGAGTTTAGCAAGGATCGCGCGTGGCGGCGTCGTGAAACCTGCTAATCCGCCTCTTCTTGAAGGTTCCACAACAGCCAATACCGGATTCGTTTGGTCAGACAGCACGGAACACGAGGTGAGTTCCCCGGAATCTCAAACATGATCGATCAATTCTGGGCAGATCAACTCGAAAGCGGCAGGCCTTTGAGAGGTCATATAGCCGTCCCTTGGTGAAGATTGTCACATTACCCTTTGTTTTAGTAAAGCGAACTTGAGCAAACATGACAGTATGTACATTCCCAATCTGAAGGGATTACATTTCTAACAAAAGAACAGAAAGCGTTCTCACCCGATCCGACTAGGTCCATCATTGCTGCTCTAGTGGTGGAAGACGCACAAAAGAAAAGTGAAAAAAAAGAAGCGGAGGGGAAACAGAAGGTCGAGGAGAGCGAGGAGAGGCAGAGAGCTGTGAAAAAGAAAGGGAAAGATGTGGAAGAATAGCTGCTGGATGGACAAACAAATCTTGCGCAAATCATCGCCAGCGCTATCTGCGCAGCCATGTTGGACGAAGCTCTTCACTTCAACTTCACCACTTCACCACTTCACCACTTCACCACTTCACCACTTCACCACTTCACC